TTCTTGAGATTCAAAAGAATCAGGTCTAAGATCCATGGCTTCATCTACAGCAGGAATACTAGGAGCAGGAGAGTGTTCTTGAGAAACAGGAGCAGGAGAAGAAGAACGAAAGCCAGAGTTGATGTTTTGGTTGGACATTGTAAAAATAGAATTCAAAGTAAAAAATGTGATGTTTTGATAATAGAGTTATATAATAAGATGATATAGAGACAAAGGTAGATACTTTGAGACTGTTCTATACAATTTTATTGTTCTTCTTTTTCATTATAAATTATTCTAGCATATTTATATATGAAGAGATGTCGGAGTAAGTAGTAGTAGAGTTCATGCAAATGACTGAGTCTCTATTATCATAGACTACTTTAAATTAATTAAATAATGTAAATTATGGATTTCGGTTATAAGTCTTGATCTATTAAAAGATCCATTGTCTTATTCAGTACAAGAGGTTCTTTTATGTCTATTTCTGATGTAAATTGATTATGATGTATTTTAGTATGTAAATGAAGACTTATTTAATGTCAGATCATCACACGATGTTTGCATTAGAAAAAATAGAGTCTTTATCATTTGGATCAACACTATCATTTTCTAAATTGTATGCAACACCTGTAAGTGCAATACCCAGTTTACTCATAATGTCCGTACCAAGAAGAATGTCAAAGTCAAAGCTATCATTGAAATCTATGACTTCAAATTGGTGCTTAAAAATGATTCCATTTGTATATTTTACAGTCAAAGGATCTGTAATACCAATACGAGAAATTTTATTGTCTTTAGACAAGCAATTAAAGAAACCACTAATATTTTTGTTTATTTTGTTTATATTTAATTTAGCTCTAAGCGAGTCTAACTTTATAAAAGTATGTGTGCTTCCGGTATCAACCTTTGCCATCATCTTGTGGTTTTCTATAATAATAGGTGTCAATAAGTCAAAAGTGTCTTTATGTAAAGCATCTTTCGCTTTGATCTCGTTTGTGTACTTACAGTCAAAGCAATCATCCGTGATCATTTCAGTATCATCGTCTGTTTCTTTTTTGTCATTGTCATTGTCTTTATTTTTATCATCATTGGTCTTTGCAGCTGTCAAAGCCAAGACATTTCTTCTTGTACAACTGTGACCGGGAATCCAAGGTTCATCGCAAAATCTGCAAGGATTGTCACGTTGTCGAGAGATAGTTGCCTTCTCCTTTTCTTTGTTTTTATTCTTGCTTATGGTATAGCACTTATCCGTGGTATGAGTGCTATTTTGCCCATGCATCTTGCAAAAGTATGATTTGCTGGTGCCAGGTTTATTGTAAGGTGCAGAGCGATCAACCTGCGTTCTTATCGTTCTAGCATGTCTCTTAGCATGACCCAAAGGGTTCACACCAACAGCATGACTCAGCCCTGCCACACCAGGCAACAAGGAAGTAGACGTAGTATATTTGGACGCATCATCACCCAACACATCTCTTGCGACATCGGCTATGTTTTCCACAGTCCAACTCGAAGAATCTTCTGTCTGTCTACCCAACGTATTCATACACGCCAGACGTGTCAAAGTCTGTACAGGAGCAGTCAGAGAAGCAAGAAAACGATCAGCTACTCGAGGATCATCCTTCGGTATGCCAGCATTGTAAACAGTTTGAAGAAAGCGATTGGTGTATGTGCCAATGGGTTCATCGTTCTTCATGGTCATAGTAAACACCTGAGTGTTATACTCCCTAGTCTTGAACTTCGAACCAAAGTGCTTTTTAAATGCTTCTCTTGCTTCAGTCCAGGATCCGCAGCGCTTCAAGTTAGTCTGGGCCCAGGCATCCGCTCCATACGGAAGACACAATGGAATGTATCTTTTCCACACGGCTTCAATATCCTGTGAGGAAGAGTATACCACATTCTCAAAGGTACGTAGAAAGTGCTCATCCGACTCAAAAGCCTCTTCGTTAGGAAAGGGTCTATGTGAGTTGGCTAGTAACTGATATTTGGGCAAATCCCGGCGACTCAAAGAAAGGCCACTCGAAACAGCTCCAACGCTAGCACTAGAGGAAACATTTTGCTTTTGGAAGCCGGTGGGCTCTGCAGCTCCATCAATCTTCAACACCATAGACTTATATTCGTCTAAGCTGCGGATGCTCGATTTAATGCGCTCCACTTCTTGGAGTGCTCTATCGGCTGCGGCACTATCATTTAGGCTCCTAGCAGTGCCAAAAGCTCTCAACGTAGATGCCATTTCGTTTCGCAGCATAGCGAGGTTTTCTTCTACCATTCTGTAGTCTTGGCCAGGACTTGCAGCCGAGCTAACAGTTGATGCTTCACTAAGTATTTGATCAATCGACTCATCCATCTGGGCATCAGTCAATGTTCCAGCAGAAGGTCCAATAGTCAAAGAGGAGACATCAAGGTTGGTAATGTTTTCAAAGTTACCAGAGTTACCAGAGTTACCAGAGTTACCAGAGTTGTTCATCTTGTAGGATTTACCAAGCAATTAACGGAAAAAAATGTTGTGAGATGAAGAGAGAGTAGATATTCAATAAGAGAAAAGGTAAGAACACAGAGAAAGTCCGTTAGAACTTGTATAGGTTTTTATTTCTCCAAGAAAAATGTTGTCCTTCAATTGCTATAAAATGTCAAGGTATTTATACTTTTTCTTCTCGGTCAAAATATTGTTTTGGGTTAGCTTCTTGACTACGGATTGATTTGTTAGATCAGGAGTAATTAAGAGAAATGCCTTTAGAGGAAGTTGTTAGCTCAGCCAATAGTACATGATCTGACCTGAACTTGAATAAACTATTACATATTTGTCAAATGCCAATGCTAATGTATTTGTCAGCTCTAACTGTCACTTTATGAGGGCCATTAATAATAACAGAGTCACTAGGTTCATAATCTCTGACTATGAGGATGATGTAGTACTTCTAGTAGAATGAGTGAATGTCAGTGACTATAGATCCATTGCAATTGCCATAGATGTGATCTGGTCTTTTGCCATGATCATCATTTATTGATCTATGCATATGAGTTCATATATGTTCACAACACACGGGAGACAAAAGCACCAGAGAGACAAGGACATTCTTCACGCATGTTTGCAAAGCGACCAAGACGCCAACGCACCAAGCGACTACGAGAAGTACGAAGCATGGGCAGGTAAAGAATTGGATCCGGCTTAGACGTACAAGGACGACAAGCACGGAGAAGGACGGAACGACCACGAGCCGCATGTCGCACCATCTGGCGGTCAAATTGGCTCTGCCATTGTCGTCTAAAGTGAGTGCGAAGCTCAGCATTAGAGACAGGCTGTGGGTCCGGTAGTGAACGGTACAAGACATTCTGTTGAAGAAGCTTGACCAGGCGAGGGTACCGTAGTTGATCACGCAAAAGCACTATCAAGCAGTCATCAGGGAGGTATTGTACACGCAAAGCGAATTTGGTGACAAGGATGTTGTACCTATGATTCATGGCAGGAAGACAGGTGAGGTGTTTTGCAACTTGAAACCAAGAGCCACCAACAAACATACGGACCAGGCGATTCTGCAAATCATCTAGGTGTGTCATGTCTGCCGAAGCAAGACGGGATATAGCTAAACCATACTCTATCTTGGGACGAATAAAGCAGGCATACAGCCGAGAGGACAAAAGAAGGGAGAAACCATTGCGATGAACACCGACAGAGGTTAGCAGAGCCATGGTCTTGATGGCCTTAGCAGATCTCAAAGAGATGATGCCAGGTCCATGGATGCCTTTTTCTCGAAAGGGTACACCAAGATAGATGAACTCGTCCACGAGGGGCAGAGATTCGCCATACAATGTCAATCGAGGGCCATCACAAGGTGAGTTTAGAACTGCACACTTGGCCGGACTCCAACGATATCCAAGGGAGCAAGAATGCTCAGCAGCAAGGTTCAACATATGCTGGACTTGACTACGAGAGCCGAAGATCGCAACATCATCCGCAAAAAGAAGACAATTCAGAGGAATTGCAACCGACATACCAGGAGGACATACCAAAGTAGTACCAGCCGTAGCAGCAGAACGAAGGAGAGAAGGCAGAGAGTTGATGTACAAATAGTACAAGTGCGGAGAGAGAACATGTCGAGTCGAATTTGGTTACGAAGCACATTGCAAGTAATACACAACTCATGCAAGAACTGCCGCTAGAACTAGAAATGAAATTCCGAAAAGAAGCAAACGCAAAGAAAAGAAGAAGGTTCTCACCTAACATAAAACGAAGCAAAGAACGAAGAAAAAGAACCAAAAAGGATACTTAGCAATTATATTTAGCATATTATTTTATATTTCATGTCTTCAATTACTAATTACGTACTAGTACAAATAACTAGAAAACATATAAATAACCCACATAATCTAAAGTGTGGTGATCTGAGCACTTTCAATACAAAATATAATAAATAATCTTTCATCATATAAATGAATAATCACTTATAGCACTATACATTATAAATATAAAGTAAGCACTGTATAATGACAGTAAATAACGGTAACTGGGATAATATGGATATTTACAAATAAGGAAACCATAATTGTACCTTTTAGGTAACAAGGAGAATTAAAGGAGAATTTATATAATCAATTCCCAGGCACACGCTGTCAAGGTGTTAAGTAATCAATAATCAGTAATCATAATTAGTCAATAAATCAGGTAGTATAAAAGACAACCTGAAAAAGATATATTTTAGAACAATCAATTTATTTTTGTAATAAAGAAGTACTGAACAGTCTCACTGTATTTCTTTGTTTTCTTTCTATCTTCTATTCTATCTTCATTCACAACCCAAACATCACATAAAGAATAAAAGGTATTCAATTTTTGATTAGTGATAAAAACTACTTAGTTTAAATAATTTCCTTTTTGGGTCTACTTCTTTAGAATCAAGAGTTAAAGAGTAAACCTAAAATAGTATTTCTTGGTCACGTGATCTTATTGCAGCTATAAACATCCGTAACAAGACGCAAAAATTACAAACATGAGAAGTTGAATGTTCCTGCTGTCTGACTCGAAAATACTAAGAAAGTGGTGACGTAAGCAGCTATTCCGATCCGGGTTTGTCTGTGTCCGTGCCGTTTCTATACTCTGGGTGTACGTAGTAAAGTGGTGAAGCACCCTCTGAGTAATGGCTGTTCTTGTTCTGGGTGTTGTAACAGGTGTTGGTGATGATTCTGGTGCGTTCGTGGTGAACATGTGGATCTAAGGACCAACAAGAGTACTAGCAAGCAAAACAATAAGCCATCTCTCATTTCATACAGGTTATGTATTTTCTCAACAGTGATAATTCCCATTATTTTCTTATACTCTTTCTTATGCAAGCAAATCAAGACCTTTATTATCTTTACTTCCTTTTTTACCCGTTATCTGTCTGTACCTATCTATGTTCTTATCGTTGTATCTTAGTACATTATATTTCTACTATCTAATTCCGTTGAATTGTATAAAAGCTGAATGAGCAAAACCTAATAAAATTATCGAACTTTTCTGAAAAGGATATTTTTGAAGGAGATTACCTGAAAATCTGGTGCTATTACATTCGAAGTAGGTTCTTTACAGTCTTCCCTTGGTGCTCGTGTGTAATAAGTGATTAATCGGCTATCTTACTTCTAGAATATCTGTTTCAATTCTTCTATAAATTTACATATTATCACTGTCAAACAGAACCTGCTTCCTTGGCTCAGTCGGTAGAGCGTCAGTCTCATAATCTGAAGGTCGCCAGTTCGATCCTGGCAGGGAGCATTCAATTTGATGTGTGTTAAAATGGTATGTATCATTAGACGCTAAATCTTCTTTTTGCTTCATTTCCTTGGCGAAATATGAATTTTTGTGATGAATTTGTAAATAACAAGATGCATCCAACAGAGTCATGTAGGTAGCAAGTTATACAAAATGATCACTAGAATTTAGATCAATCAACCTGGGTCTCATTTATTCAAGTTCCAAAGAAATGATGGTGTTTTTCATAATGCAAATGATCAAGAAATTATCAGTTCGAAGTAAAGCAGACAAAAGTAAGTAAAGGAATATTATAGTAATATGTAGCAATAATTTTGCGGAACAAAGACGATGTTTTGTCAGTAACGATTAGGAGCAATCAAATGTAATGGGCATGATCTTACGGAGTCAATATTTCTCAAAGAATAGAACTCAATTAGGAACTATGAAGGCAACAAGAAGATATCATGATAGTTTTACAGGTCAAATCGATGAAATACAATAACAATACGGCAATAATAAAGGTTAAGCAGTGTGGTCTTACATAGTTTCTTGTGAAATTATTGATGTGTTCCTTGCGCTTAGTTAAATTTCTGTTACTACTATTGTTTTTTCTTTCGTTATGATGTTCCTCAAAATTATGATAGACATTCTCATTCCAAGAAGTAATTGACTTTGTGTAGATTGCTAGGTTTGAGGAAAAAATGAATTGAAATGTCTCATCAAAATTAAACAAGAGAAACTATATTTACCTTATTCATTGACTATAATATCTTACTGTTTTGGGGATACTTTGCATTTTACCAAATCATGGTTCTGGCCACTAGGGTATATTAACTTGACAACACTGTTTGTATTTGTTTATTAAGGTGCTCCAGCTATAATCTTTGACTATACATGGTATATGTAGGATCTGACTTGACTTCAGAAAAAAAAGATTATTTAGATTGAACAGCTATTTGTTGGATATCGCTTCAGAACAAAATCATCGTGTAACGTTTATGATGACATCCTTTACGTCATAAGTGATTAGACTTTTTGATGATCCTCCTGGCTGAAACAATTTCTTTTCTTTCTTTATGACAAGCAACGATATTGTTACCTCCAAAATATCAACACGCTCCAAAGTGGCACTTGCCACACTAATTAGCGTTTCTGTTTTAGGAAGTGTTTATTATAACAAATATTACCACAAAAAAGACAAAAAGGACAAGTTGGACTCAAAAGACAAGTTAATTGATGATAATTCACTTTACAATGATTTTGTTGCTTCATTACCCGAAGCAACCATGTTGATTGATAACACGCCTGATAATCTCTTGAACAAACTATTTACATCATCCTTTTATACTGAATATATGCCTTCTACATTTGAAGAACTCAAGACAAAGATGTCATCCTTGTATCCAGCGTTTGAACACCAATTGGAAGTAATTCGAGACATGTACAAGTCGTTCTGGGAATTCTTGTCTCTAGAAGAATTCAAGGCGATTGTACAAGAGTCCCTAAAAGAAGACGATGATCCTGAATTACATCCTGAAATTGAATGGGAAGCACATGTGAGAGAAGGACAAGAGCTATCGAGAGAAGAAACCGAGTTTGTCAAGAGACGAAAGCAGAAAATGCGAGCAGCATTTGCATTTTTTATCGGTGTGGATGAACATGAAGTCGAGATTGAGGATATACCCAACATTGGGATTGCATCCAGGTAATTATGAGTAATGCAGTCTACAAGAGTCTAACTCTGATAGTGGTGGTGGGTATCGTGCCATGGTGAGTTGCTCAGGTTATTTGCGTGCTATGGCCGAAACAGGGATTCTGGATTCTGTGCTTTATTTTTGCGGTGTTTCTGGCTCTACATGGACAATGTGTCAACTCTATAGTCCACTGACAGATGCATCCCTTGACACTTTGCAGGATCATCTCTCAAGTCGTATTCATACGCATATCGCCAACTTATCCAATTTCTTAACTGTATTAAACGCTTCTCGACATAACGCTAAGGTCATCTTACACGGTATCATCCAACGTTATCACCAACAAAACAATTCAATCAGCTTAGTCGACATTTTTGGTATGCTGCTAGGTGGTACACTCTTGGCAAAAAAGATTACTCTTGCACCACCCAACGAAGACAAGAGTACAAATGATACATATAGTGAGTTCATTGAGACTGATACACAAGAAGAGGACGGCGAAAACCATGTTCATTCAGGTACTATGCATGAACCTGACGGTGCTCGAGTAAAGCCTCGATTACTTAAGAAAAACGAAATCAAACTGTCAAAGCAAAGGGAATATTTCGAAGATGGATCATTGCCAATGCCTATTTATTGTGCTGTACGACACGAAATTCAAAAGGCCGGAGAAAATAAAGCAAACACCATTTCATCTAAGACAGAAGAAGAGACTGAGGAGAATAAAGAAGATAGTCAAGAGCATCAGGAACCAAAAGAAGAAGGAGAAGAAGGAGAGGTGGAAGAAAAAGAAGACTTATATCAATGGTTTGAATTTACGCCTTATGATATGGGAAGCGAAGAAATCAATGGTAAGCAAGCCTATATTATTGTCGTTTGCTAAGACCTTTATCTAGCTTGGATTCCAATCTGGGCATTTGGAAGAAAGTTCGCTGAAGGCAAGAGTGATCAACGTCTTCCAGAACAGAGTATTGGTATTCTTATGGGCATGTTTGGTTCTGCTTTTGTAGCCAGTCTTGCTCATTTCTACCAAGAGATTCGTTCTCTTTTACCACAAACAGCTGTGGAGAAAGCAGATGAGATTATTTACAAGTATCAATCATCTGTCTCTACTATTCATCCCATTTCTCCTGCATGCTTTCCCAATCCGTTCTATAAGATGTCCACTAAAGTACAAGACAAAGATGAGTTGAACGATAAAGAAGAGATATTGAGATCTGAAAGTCTCGTTGAATCTGAACAGATTGGATTAATGGACGCAGGCATGGATAATAACATTCCATTTTACCCATTGCTTCGAAAGGGAAGAGATATTGATATGATCATCGCAGTGGATTCAAGTGCTGATATTCAATATATGCCTTATTTTGATCGAGCCGAAGGCTATGTCAAGCGTCGTGGTATCCAAGGTTGGCCTAGAGGCGCTGGATGGCCTAAGAAAGAAGAAGAAAAAAACAATAATGTCTCTAATCCTGTCAAGGTAGACCATCATAAAACTAAGACATCATCGAACAGAGAACAAGAAGGGTCAGAAAAAGTCAAATCAAAATATGCTTTAGGCACCTGCACTGTATTCGAATCAAGTTCTTCAGAAACTACTCCTGATAAAAACGATACTGCTTCTACCACTACTACTTATCCTGAAAACACAAATCCAATCACACTTGTGTATTTCCCGCTGATCGTGAATGAAGACTATGATCCTGATTTTGATCCTCAACAAGCAGAATTCACAAGTACCTGGAATTTCAGTTATACCCGCGAACAAGTAGATAAACTCCATGGACTTGCTGAAGCAAACGTAAAGTCCAATTTAGAAAAAGTAAGGCAAGTTATTCGAAAGATATGGGAAAGAAAAAGACGAGAAAGACTCGCCAGACAGAATCATTAAATAAATAAGAAAAGATTTATTATTTACAATTATTGAGTGTGTTCCAATTGATGGAGATGTTCAACGTCTTTTGGACTGCCTTCGTTTTCGACTTTACGAATCATTTGAGGATAAAGATCCCAATCAGCTTGGTTAGTTGCTTGCTTTTGTTCTTGACACTTGATGTCGCTATCAATTTTTTGGCCTACTTTGCAATTCACACTGTCTCTGTATAAAGAAGGGTGTGTCATGGTATCAACATCTTGTCTTTCTTGGCTATTGGACATTTTCTTTGTTTTGTTTGGAATAAAAAGAAGAGAATTAAGCCAAAAGGTGTGATTTATAGGTTTGAAACTGTCGTCACATTACAGCATGAAAAATAAATTATAATTCCGAGTTAGCATTTCGTCATGTCATGTCATTTTATGAAGCAAATGAAATCATATCAGCCCACACATCCAACCAAAAAATCTTACAAAAAAGGAAATTTGGGCCTAAAGTCTTTTTACAGATAACATGCTTTACTAAAAAGATTGTGTTCGCTATAATCCTTGCAAACGATAGACTTGTCTATGTTTTTCTTTTCATTGTTAGGAAAAAGAAAAACATAGTTTATTTACATGAATCCATAATACACATACTAGATTAGAAGTGAATACTTTTGCTCTCTATAATTATCCTTCTTGGGTTTCTTTCTCTTTTGGCTAATGTGATCTTATTCCAAGAAATGATCAGATCAATTCAAGTACAATGCACTGTATTTCCGCCGTCAATTGGTCACTTTTTGAGTTTCAATTGGTCACTTTTCAGAACTTCAATTGGTCACTTGATAAATTTACAGTCGTTCCAACACCAGGGAGACGAGAATCCTGTGACATTGTCGTATGTCCTTTTATAAATGTCTTCCATGTAAAGATGTTTGGTACATACCGATCACAGAGTAATGTGGATACCACAACGAATATAGTGTTTCCTGTTGCTAGTTTTTCTTCTTTATTGCAACTATGCAAGGAATTCGCAGTTGGCGTAATCGGTAGATTAAATCATAGGAAGCAATGGATGCTGCATTGTTGTTTTGAGCAATTTCATCTGCTTCTTTCCAAGCCGATTCCTTGACGAAGATGGTGGTAGTTTTTGCTTTGGAACTGTCGTTCAGGTCAAAGGACATGACCCTTGGTCCGACTTCTGGGTTGAAAGGTGCATCTAAACGCAGACTTGAAGTGATTAATGCATTAAACGTTTTTGTTCCAATTACAAGTTTCGTGTCATCCGCATCCGTTGTTGTTGTGGGGCATACGTTTTTGTATTTTGTGTCTTTGGGAGGAATTGAGGTACACATTGATCCCCCCCGTTTTTTGTTCGAAATGATTCTCGATGAGCATCCAAAGTTCTTCTTCGACCAAACACCTCGACACAATTCACAAGCAGCGCTTTCCCAGTAGATTCATTTAATAAAATTGATCCTGCCAAAGCTCGGCTGCAAGCATACCTCATACTTTTGTGAATTGACCAATCTTGGTTTAAAAACATAGCCATATCGTTTGTAAGTTCAATATAGGTGCAATTCATGATGTGTTGTCGCAAATAAGGTGGTCCACTACTGATGGTACTGTAAAGGGATATGGGTGCTGTCTGGATCGTTTTCGCCCCTTCAAATGCGCTTTGTTTCGGAACTAAGGGGTACACTTTCATTCTGTCATTTTTGAAAGCATGTAGATTTTTTTCATGTGTAAGTGCATTGTATTCGACATCACCATCGTTGATCAATGCAATAGGCTGTAAATCATACGTGTCCATGATGGTTAGTAGACGTTTCTTTTCGCGATTGTCCCAATCTGCTGCTTGACAAGCATTCAGGAATGCATTATTGTAGTCACATTTATTCATCATAGTCAAATCCTCAGCAGAAAAGTCCGGCACAGGAATATGTAATTTTAGTAGGATGATGTTGTGATTTGCTTCGAACTCTTCATCACTGAATATTCCCTCTTCATTATTGTGACAACCCTCTCTTTTTCCCTTTGTGTTTACCTTGAACGACGAGACTAACAGATACAAGAGATAAACCAATAATTAACAACAGAAGATTGTAAAGACTATTGTAATTATAGAGAGATAGACACAAATAGAGAGATTATAACCTTAGGCACAGTTCCTTCAAAAGACAATGAAGATATATGTAAAAATAAAATTTAAGATAAAGATTAAAAAATATTTTGGCACAGGTTATTTGGCACAAAGTGTGCCAAACTTAAAGAGGTTCTTTCTTGAGACAAGTTTCAAATTTTGAAGCTGAATACCTGCAAAAGCCTTTCAGATCGCTAAAGCGAATATCGTTGCAAGCATCCGATATTCTACTAGTGAGTGTCTCGTTATCTAAAAGACGCTCTCTTTTCAACTTGCTCTTGACAATTGACCAAAATTGTTCAATTGGATTGAGTTCAGGAGCGTAAGGTGGAAGATAAACACAACCATAGCCACGACTCTCAATATACTTTCGGATGTCATTCGCTGTATGAATCGGAGCATTGTCCATTATAATATAATCACCTTTGAATTCTTTGTGCTTATCCAAAATGTCAAGGGTACAGGCAACAAAATTAAAATCATGGCCAGTAACCGTACCAACTGGTCTTCTCACTTGAATATTAACAACGCCAGAAGTTTCTGTTGCCTGAATTTTCTTTTTTTGTTCCTCTCGCTTTACTGCTTCGCGCTCAGGGGGTTTTAGATCTAAGTATTGATCAAAGTTGGTGACGTTGTCCAAAGGATATTGTTCTTCAAAGGCTCGTTTCCAAACTCATCAACAACATCGCCTCTTCCATTTTTATTTAAAATTAAAAGTGTGCTAAATCACATGAAAAAAGTGTGGCTGTTTCTACCATATCCCTCTTTAACTTGCCTTTATACGTATATTCTTTATGTATTCATCAAATCAAAAAAATACTTTGGAAAATCTACCTTTGGAACTGATAATAAGAATTGGAGATCTTCTCAATGAAAGAACGCGAACTGAGCTAGCACTCACAAGTAAATCACTATTTCAATCTTTTACAAACCCTAGCGACGAGTTACATACGTTAAATGATAGCATATCAACCATCAATTTATACAAGGTCAAGTACATGCTCTTTGAAAACAGGCACTACCAACAAAGACTTGTGAACCATGTCCTCAATCATGCACCAAATCTTGAAACTCTTTTTTTCGCTCATCGCAAAACATTCCATGTTAATTTCGTCCGAATGTTCCTCAATGTCAGAAAAGATAAACTGTTAGTTTACGTTGTACCTGAAGACTCAGTAGCTCGGTTTCAAACTTTAACTGAATATGAAGGTCTCAGTAATATCACTATCTCTTCGAATACAAATCCAAAGTTAGATGTCGCTGTTGATGCCATTATTACACCAGAGCACATCAATAGGCACATACAAACGATAAAACGTGACATGAAACGAAATCTTTTTTACACTGATAAAGAGAAGATAAAATTTAAAACGGAGCTCTCACACCAACTACCTCTCTTCTGCAATCAACTATTTCAGACCAAGGATTATACATTATTATCAACGGAAAGCTTTGATGTAAATCTAATGGATAAAGAAAATAAATTGGATTTATCCCAAGCCAAGCAACTGGTAAAGGAAGTGGGTCCTGCTTTTGTGGAGTCCGTTATAATATTACAAGAACACTGGTTTTTAGTAACTAGCTTTTCCGTATTTATCCACGATCCTAATCGTGTGGACGATTGCGCGGACAAATCAAGATTCCCCTACCAGAATAAGCCAGTGGCATTTGTTCAAAGAAAAACGAACTATGGAACGTCATCTTTTGAGCTTGTTTTTAGAATTGGCTACGTTGAAGTTTTGGCCAATAGCGGATTCATTGGTTCAACAAGTTCAAAAAAATTGATACCATTTGTCGGTTCAGCTCTACAGCAGTTGCCTGGCACAATTTCCACAAGTATTGAAACTTCAAAGACCAAACAGATCTTCATTAACAAAGCACAACAAAGCTATGAAACTGGAAATCGAATCATCAACCAGTACTACAAAGATACCTCAACTCTTCCATGGCAATTTTACAGCTCAAGGTTTAGTGAAAATGACTTCAAACCACTCAACCCATTGTACCTTGATACTAAACGGATTTGGCTTGATTCTGCTTCACTAGTCATCAGAACATATGTCTTGCAAAGCGTAGATATTGATGATATAAAAAAGGCTTTATATTTGATCAAACAAACAGACAAACCTGTAAAACTGAAGCGCTCCTATCAGTTGATCAAACAACACCTGACAGCAATTAAATCCCACAAGCAACTACAACGAATTCTTTGTGATAAAAGTAAAGAAGGAACTATCAGGATTAAAAAGGATCTAATTTGCATCTATAACGAAGTACTATCATCTGGTATTAAATCGGAAAATAAGAAGATTGTGGATATGGCTGTAAAGAAGTACCAATTTAAAAAAGTCGGTTTATTTGATTAATTGAAGAACGGCCACTGATGGTTTTTAAAAACCTTTTATGTCTCAAACACCTATTTATTACAAGATTCTACCTGCTTTAAAATATTCGTTAGTCTTTATGACTTCTTGAACATTACTTAACAATACAACGACCAAAGATTAAATATTTGAATCAAAACAAACTATATTATTTAATAAATAAAAGTCTTTATTTTTAATAATTTAAATACAAAAACCAATAATTTCTATATTTATAGCTTCTCTTAGTTCTCAACATAAAAAAGAAATGTTGATTAACAGGATCAACCACGAGAAGGTGGAAGCTTATATCTGATCCCAAAAAAAAAAAGAGGTATTAGGGCGAACCATGTATTAAAAGATCGTGGCAAATCAATTATACATTTTTATAAAAATAAAGTAACACCTTTTTTGCAAAATAACTTCCAACACCACATTATAATGCTCAGAGCTATGGTCTTAAGCTATACGGGCTGAATCGCGTACAACAAAGCACTGTGTATAACCCCTCCTTAGCCAAAGAAGAAAAGAAAAAAAGAAAAAAAAAATGGGGCCTGCTATTTGTACTAGTTTTATTTGCACTAGTTCCGGGATTTGAACATTCTGGTGACGTAGTAAGGATTTGTACTAGTGGTCTGGTATATTCATTAATTAATTAATAGGTTCTATTTAAGAAGTAATGAATACCAATGTTGACGAAACGAAGGCTGAAAATGTGATACATGCTCTCTGAGTCACGCTTTATTTTCCTTTTTTGATAATAATAATTTTTTTTCCCTATATCTTCTAAGCTAAGCTATGTACTATTCAATTTTTTTTTTTTTTTTGAGGGAGGGAAATGATAACTATAAATGATAATGCAATACTAATAAATTTGTTGGTTAACCGGAAAAGCGGTACCAGGGCCGGATATGTATCACATTTTCAGCCTTCGTTTCGTCAACATTGGTATTGGTTGTCGTACCTAAACGAATCCCAGTTGACTCCACTTCGGCTTCCAATGTGATACGTTTCTCCGGAGAAGAAAAAATTGAATTGCTGATTTTAGTGCTAGTTGCAGCTTGTGAGGACGGTTTGTAGTAAAAGTTTTCAAAGGTGTTTGAATTTAAACTCCAGTATTGCATGTTTCTTCACGTCTTGTATAGAGTGACCTAGTTCCACTGCCTTTGTACTTGCTGCTGCCCGCACAGAATGTGCTTGGTATTCTTTTGTGTCAATTCCCGCCAATTCCATGACTGATTTTATCCAGTTTGCCACAGTAGTTGGTTTTACTGAAGTGGGTGCTTGTGTCTTGGAATCAATGTACGCTAGGATTAAGGTATGATCTTCAGGTAAGTTTTGTCTCATACTAGCTGTCCTTGTAACGAATTTATCAGTCGTCTTGACCGGGCACAATTCTTCATTCTCAATGCTCCTCAATGTAATAGATTTTACTTGGCTTTCCTTTGGTGTTCTTGCATGAATACGAATATTTGAAGTCAATCCCTCTTGCTTAAAAGAAATATCACGATGTTGTAGTCAACCTATATCGGATTTTGGACGCCACATGGTTGCTATGCATAGTAATAAAATTGTTTTCAATTGCAGTTGATCAAGACTGAGATCGGCTGTTGGTGATAGATGTTTTTTAATGTAGTCTACTAGCATATGTACATCCCATGTTGTTGATTGTTGTTCCGTAGGGATTCGAACTTCCAAATTTCGTCTAGCTGCGAAAAATTCTTTGACTAATGGCTGTTCGGCGATTGGTGGTTTGTCACTATGGATTACGGAGAAAACTGAAGCGATTGATGATCTCAAAGTGTTCAAGTGTGTACTACTATAATCCTTGTAGGCTAATAAAAATTATACCACGGTTTGCTCATCGTATTTCAACGGTTCGTACAAAGGTTGTTGTTGTTGACACCATGAAATCCATAGTTTCCATCCATTGTCGTATATTTTGTGAGTTGATTGTCTAGTTTTCGCGTTCAAAAAACTGAGCATTTTCTCTGTCACACCATTCTGTAACCTGTAGTTGTTGATATTTGTTGCATAAGTCCTGAATTTGAATTGCTAGATCCTGTAGAATTATTGATGCTGTTGTAATTGTTGTGGTGCTGATAATTCCTTGATTTGTGGTACTTGTACACACTTTTGCGTTATTGTTGACTGGGAGGTCTCGTGGTTGTGTGGTCTGCTGATGTTGTACTGTTGTAGAAGGTTGGGCTCCCACGTCCCCTTCCTCCAAAGTAGTTTTTTGGTCCTCCTCGGCCAAAATAACCACGTCCTCCTCCTCTATTGCTGTTCCAACTTGAGGAATTTGAATATCCTCCTCGACCTCGTCCATTGGAAGGGTTGATGGTAGCTGCTCGAAGCACTCGTTGTTGATAGTTGGCTTCGTTGTACATGGCAATAAATTCGTCATCAAAAGCTTCTCGTTTGCTGCTCGAGTCTTTAGTTTCCAAGTGTTTAAGACTGGGGGGGGTAATTTAAGTGCTCTAATGGCGTAGTCTTTAGCGTCTTCATCATGCTGTCTACCTTGGAACCAGGCATGAGTCGCAAGTCTTCTGGCACTTTCGATGGCTTCGTCCAAAAGTTGGTGTGCTTCTGCTGTTGAAATTTCTCCAGCTTTAATAATTGAGAGTTGTTCGAAGATTTCAGTTGCTTCTCTTCCGTGTAATCTACTGATTTCTGCTCCTTTGTAGTGAGCGTTAACGACTTGAGTCGTGTCCACAGTGTAATGTTTGAGTTTTGGGATGAAGGATTTATTAATCTCTTCAGCGATAGTCCACTCGTCGTGGTGGTATTTGGTAACGTCGCGCTTGTAGCGTGTGATGTTTTGATAATAGAGAGTTATAGGATAAGATAATGTAGAGACAAAGGTAGATACTTTGAGACTGTTTTATACTATAAATTATTCTAGCATATTTATACATGAAGAGATGTCGGAGTAAGTAGTAGTAGAGTTCATGCAAATGACTGAGTCTCTATTGTCATAGACTACTTTAAATCAATTAAACAATGTAAATTATTGATCTCGGTTATACGTCTTGATCTATTAAAAGATACATTGTCTTATTCAGTACAAGAGGTTCTTTTATGTCTATTTCTGATGTAAATTGATTATGATATATTTTAGTATGTAATTGAAGACTTATTTAATGTCAGATTATCACAATAATATAATGGCCTTTGAATTCTTCGTGCTTATCCAAAATGTCAAGGGTGCAGGCAACAAAATTAAAATCATGGCCAGTAACCGTACCAACCGTCTTTTTGGCCTTCGAATTGTTTGCTTTTCTTTTCTTTGAAGGTGCTACTGGTCTTCTCACTTGAATATTAACAACGCCAAAAGGTGAAATAGCACCCAGAATCGTTGTTGTTTTAGCTCTTGTTGTTGGTTGAACAACTTCTGCACGAGTTCCTTTCTTTGAACAGGCTATCGTTCTTTTCAAGTTAATGTCAAATGCTGACTCGTCAACGAAAACGCAATTACTTTCGAAGTCCAGATCAGTTTCAATTCATCTCTGGACCCATTCGTAACGCTTGAGAATGCTTGAGGGTGAGTTCCTTTCTTCTGAATAAAAATGGGCTTTCTTAAATGACAAAGCACATTTCTCAGCCATGAATCTATGGATTGAAGTCTTAAAGACTTTCAAATCTTTAAATTCATTTATCAGACTCTCCATAGCCTGATCTAAGGTTGCTGAAGGGAAATCCATAAACTATTTCTCTAAGAATCGCTGGTGCTCTTCGTTGAAATTGCTTGGCCGACCTGTCTTAGCTTTGATTTTCTCTTTTCCATCACTCTGCTCCTTCTGATCTTTCCCAAACCAGTTGTAAGCAGTATGTCGAGCGATATTAAGCTGCGTGGCTGCTTTACCAGGTGTCAGGTCTTTTTCATAGACTAAGTAGAAGAATCGCTCCTTGGTATCGCTACTGTGATTAACATACGATCCTTTGCCAGAAGTTTCTGTTGCCTGAATTTTCTTTTTTTGTTCCTCTCGCTTTACTGCTTCGCGCTCAGGGGGTTTTAGATCTAAGTATTGATCAAAGTTGGTGACGTTGTCCAAAGGATATTGTTCTTCAAAGGCTCGTTTCCAAACTCATCAACAACATCGCCTCTTCCATTTTCATAATATACTTTCAACTTTTTTTTTAAAAAAAATGTGCCAAAACTTGAAGGTAGATGCATGAGAATGGCTTCTGATTTTCCAAAACAGAAGCACTATTTCTTTTTACAGTCTTCATAGTGATTCCACAGCATTGGCTGAAAAGAATGATTTTTAAGACTGCTAGAAATTCTAGAGATCCCAAATACATCAGCCTCCAGCATCAACGTGCTATTTTTTATATCATTTAACATGCACACCAAAAGCAATGTCGTTCTAGCTCACTTTCTGATTTTTTACTCCATGACAAAAGCGTTTCTATGCAAGCGCATTGATAACACATTCTTCTTCACTTATACTTCTTTGTCTTTGTCCAATAAAAGCTTTGTCATAAAACGCATGTTTAAAGTTATACAGGTATATAGAAAAAAATATTGGATATCTTTTAGTGGTTTTCGAAACCAAATAAAAATTGCATGCTTTCCATTCTTAAACAAGTTTCCCGAAGTATAATAGATGAGCACTGCAAACTGTGTAGCATAAAAGCTTAGGTTGTTTACTCAACAAAAAAAAAGAGAAAGGATTAATATTTGATACAGCCACTATTTGCATCAATCACAGCTTAGCATTGGTCGGTCATATTGTCGATCAAGCATGCAATAGTATGAATATAATGGGAAGATAGTATAACGCAAAGAAAAAAAACAAACAAACAACCCACTCCTTAATGATTATATTCTTTTTTATTCTTCAGAACAAGACTTGGTTAAATCTGAGTCTTGATGGATGGTTTTACACCACCATATCAGTAGCATTACACCTATTGATACAGACACATCAATGTTTCCTAGTCTACCATGATGCATGGCTCTAAGGGAAGTATTCAACTACCTCTTCATATCTGTGTCAGTATTTTACATAAACTGGTTTATGTATGTTACTAATTCATCTCCCTTCTATTTTCTGTTCTTTTTTATAATCTAGTGTAAGTAATAATATATATATTACTTATGTATCTCATGCTCTGCTTAATTTCTAGAATTTCACTTCCTCATAACAAATTTTTTTTCTAATAAAGTTTACAAGTTAAAATGTAGTATCAACCATACTCTGATTAACTAATACAATGTTTTACCCCACAACCCTTTTTAGATTGTCATTTTTCATGCCACATCTTAGAATACTAGTACTTTTTTGGAACACTACTTTCTTTTTTAGCTGGTTGTCTGAATTTGTTAATGATCTATATCCCTAGGATCACATAGGTTGTTCTTTTTAGTCTTAGGGACTATCTTCATTTCATTTAAATGAAAATATGCATAGCTAAGTCTTTGCTCTACAGAATGTAGAATGCACGTATCGAACCAAGGAGGAGTGAACATAATATAAATACAGGCTTTTCTGCAAAGTTCATTCAATTATTCACAAAACATGCAATTCAATCTCGCTTTGGCCTTTATCACTTTGGTCGTTCTTATTCAAGTAGCAATTACTGCCCCGCTAGGTGAAGATGATAAAAATAATGCGGTTCATGTTGCAGTTATTGCTCTTTACGGTGTCGGCAGAGGAGTGAGCGGTGCACTTGATGGCTTAATCGAACCTGAAGAAGTTGCTGAGAGTGCAGAAGGTGCTGGAAGAAAGGCAACTGGTCCCCTGAATAATGTATTGAATTAATAGAAATTTGTATTTTTTTTCTATTCTTTATAATAAAAAACGTCTTGTTGTACGCAATTCAATGTCATGGCCATTATTTCAGCTTTTTTGTTACATCAAAGCAATCCTTGACTTCTTTATGACAAGGAATTAAAAAAGAAAGACATCTTTTACTATTATAACAATAATAGGCTCTAGTTTCATGAGTATCAAACGGAGTAACTAGTTGTAAATGACGAACAATTTTGGTATGTAAGCCTCTGGAGTGGATATACCTAAACATTCAAACACATGTAATACGAAAGACAAATTCAATAAAGGCACTAGAGTGATACAGCAAAAATATAGAAACAGTAGACATGTTGTCATATAAGCCTATTGAGTGTACCAAAGATCTACAGATCGTAATGTTAACTTTAATCTATAGTTTTCTTAGTCAATATTAGCATTACAATTAAAAAATTCATTTCTTCTCACAATAGTATGCATCAGCCACGAAACATCACCTCTTTTTCAGTGTAATAACTCTCTTTAAGATATGCTTATAGTTTTTTTTATCGTGCTAGATACCCTACTATGCAACCCCATTTATCCAGCATATGATAGAATTAAAATTAGAAAATCAAAAGAAGGTTTATTTTAAACCTTATATGCTAATTATTTGATTAATTTTTATGCAGAATGTAATTACTAACCCATAAGAGGTTTAGTAAACGTGCCACCATATATGCACACTAATTATTTGTTTGAGGTGAAGGAAAATTTGCTAACACTATATATACACACTCTCTCAAAAAAAAAAAAAAAACTACCATTGCTAAAATCATTTTTATTCAAGAAAAATATCGATAATTCTGATTTAACACAAGATAGCACCCCTTTTTTTTTATCGCAAACAACAAATATTTTTTTCTCTTGTTTAATATATAAACGTGTATACTTGTTTCTTCTTCATTGCTTTCCTAATTTTATTTTTTATGTACGCAAAAATAATGAGTTATATAGTCTCAGGATGATTGCTATTTTTTTTTGTCATGGATTATCCATTTCTCTTAGTTATAATAGACAACAATTGTAGAAAATAATGAAGTTAGCATGCTTCTTTTAGAAGAAAAACAAAGATAAATTATTACAGCAAAAACTAACATTCTTTTCAAAACAAAAGGTAATCTAAAGCATTTGCCTCATGAATCCCAACTGATTTTGCCCAAGACACTTTCTCCATCAGCAAAAAATCTTAGCGTTAACAATACTACCATCAAGAACAAAAGAGATAAGGCCTTCGGACTTTATTAAAGCATCTTCAAATGCATCCTAATGCATGTATAGGCTCTAATCTTGATTAATGGCGTTAAATAAATGGAATGAGGGAACACAAATGTATATATACGAGAGTGGATAGCGAAACTAAAAATCAAGATTTATTCATACTGAGAATGAAATTAGTTGAGATGGCAGAAAGAGAGATAATTTGCTATGCATGATAATGGGTCCATTTGGCATTGACGGCACTGTAGTGAATGACAAAAACAGTAAAGTGGCGCAATTTTCTTCTAATTTTAGTACTTTTAGAAGACTAAATAAACCATCGTTACACAGACAATAGCTTGTTTTTACATGTGTGGAGAATGAATTTAATGCGAAAATACATAAACCTTAAATCAAAGTAAAATATATATGTATATATTTTACTCGATTGAATGAATTCATGATAATTTACTAAAAGGAAAAGGATTGCATGTTACTCAGGAAGATAGGCTCTAATAGGAAAAGAGAAAAAGGGTTTTTCCTGATCACAAGGTAAGACATGATTTTGTGAATTTGTGTTTACTCGTTTTAGTGGTTATGTTACAATTTCCTCCTAATTTTCATGTTCTACAACAATTTATATGGCAATAAAAGAATTATTTTTATTCTCATCTATTCTCTCTTTTTCTTCTTCTTACTTATATCAAAATGACGACTGAGGAAATAGATACACCCAATTGTAAAGGTTGTTTAAACAAGATTGACGAAGGTGCTGTTGTTTCGTTTGGTGACTCGTTATTTCATGTGAAATGGTACACCCAACAAAAAATTTTCTTGTTTCTGCTTTTTTTTCCTTATTCTTATGCTCTTTAGCTTCAACTGTGCCAAATGTGGACAAAGTGTAGATAATAAAGCAAATTTACTGTTGCTGGAAGACGGTAGACCTGTTTGCGATAACTGTTCATATAACTGTGCTGCTTGTCATAAAGCGATTCAGGATGAGGCCATCATGACAGGTATTCCATATACACTCGAGATAAACGCTCATTTCATTTGCTAGGCAGTAAAGCATATCATGGCAATTGCTTCCAATGTATAGCTTGTAAAAAGACAATTGAAGATTTGATTTTCACTCAAACCGCCAAGGTTCGCTCTTTGATTTTTTTATATAGCGCCATCTTAAGCTTGTTTATGTTAGGGCATTTATTGTACAGCATGTTATGATTTACGAAAAGCAGAAAAACAGAAAAGAAAAAATAAGGTACATATTCATAATCTATGCCCGAAATAACACCATAATAGTCCAAACCTATAGAAACGCAAGCCCTACCTACTCCTATACGTTCAAGAAGTAATTCACTCAAAAAATCAAAATTGACAGCAACAGAATCAACCACCAGTTTGTTCTCTGATTTTACACTTGATTTTTTTGATAACGAGTCAAGCGAATTGGCTAATTTATCAGATTCTCTTGGCGTCAATCTATCGTTGAATTTAGATCAAGATAAAAACACAACCACACAATCCAGATTAAATAGAGCATCTGAAATTCTGCAGTCTTCATTACGCTCATCAACAATCGTACAACCTAGTTCACCCTCATTCATTCCTCCTTCTTCTTCTGATATAAACAAACTCAAACAAGAGCTCGCAGAATCACAGTCTAGACTAAAGGAATTAGAAACGAGTTACAAATCATTACAGGTACACAAAATATTAAATTAGCCGTTTCCTGATACATAGTAGGATGCAAGTCAGCAAGCCCTGAATGAATTCAAAAGTCTTCAACAAGATTTTGCCCGTGAATCCAGTATTCAGAAGCAACAAGAATTGACAATTGTTTCTCTACTACAAAAGAATGGTGGCGTCTTGTCTAGAAAAGAAATAGATCGAGTAGCCATGCTGAGAGTAGAGCTGGAGCGTACTTGTGTAGAAATAATTAATTATCGAGACAAAATTGCCAGTTCAATTGATGAAAGGTAAATTAGCTTGTTATTGATTTTATTTAATGATTATCTTAGTCCTTTACTGGCTAATTATCAAAAGAGTCTCAAGACACAAATCAAATCACTTGTCCAAGAAAGGGATTTACTACAGACACAGACAAAAAGCCTAAGAGCAACAAGAGACCAAGTCATACACGATATAGTCAAACATAACGCACAAGAAGAATCAATTATTGTTACTTCACCCACTAGTGATTCTCCTCCTCTTTCACCTTCTCAATCAAGCGATAATGCCAGTTTGTTAAGCACACGTCCTCGCAAAGAATCCGATGCCAGTTCTATTTTGTGTAGAGTGTCTTCTCGAGGCAGTTTTATATCCGACCAAAAACCAACACTGCTACGACTTAAAAAGAAAGGAAGCGCCATGTTTAGTAGATGGAAAGAACCAAAGTCTAAACAAGAAGGCATTTATGGCAACAGTCTTTTCAACAGTAGTCTACAAAGCCTATCATCTGTTTCAACCCACGAAGGTGGATCATGGGGAAGATCGTCTGCTAAGGAGAAAGGATTTATAGACTCTTCTGCTTCTTTACATATGGTATCATCCAACAATAGTAGTATGAGTTTAAGTGAACATGCATTCCAGCCTATGTCATTTATTCGACCTGTCAAATGTGGTGTCTGTGGCGATAAGATTTGGAGTCGATCAGAATACCGTTGTGAATGCTGTGGATTTTGTTTACATACACGGTGCTTAAATAAAGCACCTCAACAGTGTCCAGGAAGCAACAGTACATTTGACCTCTCACTGGATATGCAGCCATCTGTAAGTTCTTCCAGTCTTCAGTCTAATATAGATACCAAAAAGTCACTTCCTGGTAAGTTTTCCATCTAGATTCCAGTGTCACTCATTATAAAAATAGAAAACAGCATGTTTGGTTGTGATCTTGTACAGCGTGTTCAACTTGAAAACCGGTCAACACCGCTTGTGGTTGAAGAGTGCATAAAAGAAGTAGAAAAACGAGGTCTAGATTTTGAAGGGATCTATAGAAAATCAGGGGGAGCAGCCCAGATTCGGGCCATTCAACTTGCGTTTGATCAAGGTGAGCATATCAATTTGAGTGATGAAGACGAATACAACGATATTGGTGCTATTACCAGTGTCCTTAAGCAATATTTCAGAGAACTACCAGATCCTTTGTTTACATTTGCACTTTACGATACGTTGATTGATATTTCTTGTAAGTAGATTGAAAATAATAAATCTGTTATAACCTTCTATTTATAGCAATGCGCCATGATGAGCATAAAATAGAAGCCATGAAGAACGCATTATCTAGACTTCCTAAGGAACACTACAATACCATTGCTATGCTGTTTAGACACCTTTATCGTGTCTTTCAACATGCAGACCAAAATCGAATGTCAATCAAAAACTTGGCCATGGTGTTTGCACCTACTTTGATGCGACATAATGACCCATCCAGAGATTTCCTTGATATTAGCTACAAGAATGCTACTATCGAATACATTCTCTTACATTTATCAGAGTTAATACCTGAACACTGATGTACTAATTTATTGTTGTATAATAAATTTTTTTATTTACATGTCTGCAAAAAATGCAGAAGTCTTGATAGTCTTCTTCTTTTCCGCTTTGTTCTTTTTCTGCGCCTTTTTTCTCTTTTTCGTCTTTTCCTCATCAGAATCTGTGCCCCAACCATCATCAGAGTCTGCTGGCGTATTGTTTTCAACAATCACTTGCTGCTTTTCTTGTTCTTTTTCGCCTTCTTGCTCTGTTTCTTCTTGGAAAAGGTGAGCAACATCCCAAAATTGTAATTTATCATCATGTCCGCTTGATATCAAATATTGTTTATCATGACTAAGCTTTAAGTTCTCAATTGGCATATCTTCACCATGATCTCCTAATGCACCATGGAACTCGTTGGGTAAAATAGTGACCAAACTAATAAGAATAAGTATATTACCACATAAAATTGCATGCTTACCGTATAATACCATCACTACTGCCTGTGCAAATACTGTCCTCATCTAATTTACAGATAGCATCAATTGAATTGGGATGACCAATGATACGGTCATTATAGTCACCCCAATCCCCCCAACTCCATAGACTCAATACACCATCTTGTGTACCCACCACTGCTTTTTTGCCATTCTACTCATCATAAGTATCCATTAGACAAGTTCCTCCCCCCCTTTTTTTTTACCTTGACAAGGGCAATAGACAATAATTCATCTTCAATTTGATCTGACATGGCAGCCACATTAGGTTTTCTAATATCCCAAGTAGACAGATATCCATCTCCACCTACAGCAATTAATGTTTTGTGATGTGGACTATAGACCATGTCAGAAATATAGTCTTCATGTTCTGAATAAGTCATAACAGGATCTTGTTTTCTGTTATCCCAAAGCTAAGTATGGATGTCAGTGAATAGATAGATATTATGCATGATACTTTACCTTGATAACACCTTGATCATCGCCTGTAGCCAACATATGTTCATCAAAACTCAAAAGAGCATTGATAGGAGATCTGCATTGATTGTAAGAGTCATATTGGAAATTTTTGCCTTACTTACTCGTGTGATTCTTCTCTGATCTTGATCATGGTACCTGTCTCTAAATCTAAAAGTTGAATTGATCGATCTCGAGAAATGCCATAAATATCTATAAGGCAATGAGTAAAAGGAATGATAACTATGGCCATGCTTACTTGATCCGTCATGATTAAATGCGACACCTCGACATGACTTTTTGAATGCTTTTGCATTCCATAACTGTTCATTCTTTTCTAACCCGTAGCGATGACTAGACATAATGAGTTGATCATACAAACGCAAAAACATACCATTGAATGCGCCCGTTGATCATGCCTGTAACAATAATGTTGTTACTAGGATGAAGATCGAGATGAAAAACATTGCTCTCAAGTTGAATAGGAGCAGGTTTATTCTCTCCAGGATTCATTGTCTTGAAAAGAAAAGAAAAAAGACAAAAAATTTTAGAGGCTTTGATACACTTTCTCTAGAAATCAAAACGAATAAAACTGAAGCTTAGTATGGGCACTAGTTTATCTTCAAAAAATCATCCTCTTTACTTGTCGTTTTAAGCATCTTGCTTTAAGAAAGACAGAAAAGAGAGATTTGTAAGCAAAAGAAGCATTAGTTAAACTTTGAGTACATTTATTATTTACAAGGACACACAGTTTCGTTGTCAACAGAAAAAAAGCAGTTTTATAATGCAGGACATAAAGTGGACCTAACCTATTCTTACTGTTGAATTGATTTTATCATGTCCTTTAGAGAAACGTATTGTTTATTGGTCTTCATGTACTACATCAATAGTTTTATAGCATTGGTATAAACAATTCTTCTTATCCTGCATACAAAGCCCTGAGTTCATATAAATAAAATGCCCCCCTTTTTTTTAATTATAGATGCTTCTTTGTATTTGCAGTCCCTTTTTTGTTTACAATCTCAAGTGTTTATATCCATTTCTCTCTCTCTCTCTCTCTCGTTTTTCTTCTGTTTGTATATCTTCATGGAATTCTTTGCCTTATAAAGTGCTTTAAAAAATACTCATACATCTAAAAGATAAAGAACAAAGACAATGTCAACTTAGTTGTCGTGGTTGGACAAAAGGCTTCACAAGCAGCTGCTTACACAAACATTCAAGTCGTCAGTCTTGTTCAATACCTTTGATTGCTACTCGCTTTATGTGCTTCATGTCCTTTTCCTGGAAAGTTTGTCAAAACGATTGACATCAGTTGCGATTTCAATTCGGACAACAATAAGAAATATTCCTTCGTCTTGATCGGTTATTGCCCAAGCTTAGAAGAAATAAACTCGTATCAAGCATGTAGTGATTTATTTAAAGCAATGAAACAAACACTTCAAGGAGGATTCTTGAAATACTTGCTCAACGTCGTTGTATGCGATAGCGTGTCACAGCCCAACACTACATTTTCAAATTACAGAATGATGGGCAGGTTGAGCAAATTCAAACAGTTGACATCATTATGCACAAGAGAGCATACAAACAAGAAAAGAAAGATCTGGGCTGCTATTGAAAAAAAAAAATTGTATTCGACATGGTTTCTTTTGTGAATAGATAAACTATCAGAGAATTGTCTTTTGAATTACTTGTATGGTCGTATTGAGGAGAAACGTTCTTCTCAGTCACGAAATATTAAAAAGACAAGTAAACGACTGTGTGTTTCTATTGGAGGCTATGTTGATGGTCCCAGAAATTTAGTCTTTGGACCCATTGCTCAATTCCAAAGTAAAGCAACACATCAATGTAGGATTAACACACTTTTTCTAGGAATATTGGATTCGTACAACAACAAGCAAGACATTCTGTTTGTCTATAGTCACTTTTTCAAGGCACAATGTATATACCAAACAGAAAACAAATAAACATCTTCTTTTTCACACGCACACATACACTAAGCAAACCAGGTCAATATTCATACCAAGGAGAACATCGTCTGCTAAAATCTTGCAACGTCATGACTCCTCTCCCCTCCTCTTTAAATGTCATCTCTCTCCAGTCATGATATGTCAAACAATAGCATTAGTCACTGAACAAAGTTTTGGTTCTTTTGTTTCGAGATAATACACTTTTTTTATTTTTCACAAGGGAGTTTCTGGCTTTCAATTTATGTCAATATGTCGTACCATCAATTACATGTGAAATCAAATGTAACCCTTGCTTATCTGTTTGATCTATGGAATCACAGCCCACTTTTTTTTTATTATTATTATAATTTATGCGATATATTTATTATTGACGAGCCTTGATGATATCACCAAATTCAGGCTTAAGAGAAGCACCACCGACCTACATACAACCAATCAGTATATCAACTACTATTTTATAACTCAAACTTACCAAGAAGCCATCAATGTCAGGCTTAGAAGCAAGGGTCTTGGCATTACCACCATTCACAGAACCACCATAGAGAATACGGGTTTCATCAGCAGCCTTTTGAGAGACGTTTTCAGCCAACCATTGACGGAGGAAAGCATGAACATCTTGAGCTTGTTCAGGAGTAGCGACCTTACCGGTACCAATAGCCCAGACAGGTTCATAAGCAACTACCACACGAGACCAGTCCTTGACATGGTCAGCAATAGCCTTCATTTGACGAGCCACAACATCGTTGGTAATGTTGGCTTCACGTTCATCTAACTTTTCACCAATACAGGCAATCACAGACACACCGGCATCTAAAGCAAAAGCAGTCTTTTGACCTACGATCTCGTCTGATTCGTGGAAGTATTCACGACGTTCAGAGTGACCGAGGATAACCCACTCAATACCCAAGTCCTTGAGCATCTGAGGAGAGAATTCACCAGTGAAAGCACCAGAAGGCTTAAGGTAAGCATTTTGAGCAGCTACCTTGATTTCCTTCTTTAATCCTTGGCTGACACGGTCAATGTAAAGAGCAGGAGGAGCAACCACAACCTCTGATAATAATGATATCAACAAACGCGTATCCATACAATGAAACTTACCAGTTTGAGCAGGAATTTCAAAACCATTCAACATGTCAACAAGTTGCTTCACTTGAGAAACAGAACCGTTCATCTTCCAGTTACCACCAATGAAAAAGTTACGAACCATCTTGAATACAAATAATAATCTAATGAAAAGAAGAAGAAGAAGAAGAAAGAGAAAAAAGTCGCGTTAAAACTAAACAAAAGACACGTCACTTTATAGATCCGCCAATCATTATCTTTGGATACACAAGTGGTACAGGCACACTTTTTCTTGCATGAATTTAAATCATCAGATAGAAATCAACTTGACAAATGTACTAAATAAAGTAATGACGTTGAAAGGGACTTTTATCATCATGAAACGTCATCATTTTTTTTTTAGTGTCATTTTAGTGTTGTCATACATTTTTATTATTATTATTAAGGATCGCCCAAAAGAATAAAAAAAAAAAAAGCAGGAACCAATAATTCATACATAAAAATGAAATCATGTATTTACACAAAAAAACGCCCTTTTGTTTATTTTTATTTACAGGTGATGAACAAAAGGATTTGAAAAGACATGAAAGCTATTTTGAAACCTGCCAAGTGCTTCTATGGCTTCAAATTCATCTTTTGTTAAATATACAGTTTCTTCTGATGGATTACAGAGATCAGCCACAGATAATCTTCTCCTTCTGGATTCAAATTCGAATTCGTCTTCATCTTCTGAACTACTGGATTCACATAGTTTCTTGTTTCTTTTCGACTTGTTTTTTGAATGTGATTTATGTGTTTGTGTGTGTTGCATCATATTATCGAATCGACTGAATGCTTTTCCACAGCCAGGAATAATACACACAAAGGGTTTTTCACCTGTATGTTTCCTTGCATGACGTGCAAGATGTTCACTTCGAGTAAAGACCATATTACAGTCACCATAGCCTGTACATTGAAATAACTTGTTTGACTTTTTTTTCTTGAATGCATTGTTGTCATAAAAAGAAAAAAATAAAATAAAAAAAGAAAAAAAAAAAAAAAAAGAGTGGGTTTTTATATATATATCACTAAAAACGCCATTAGACAAATAAAGATAAAAATTTATAACATCATCCAATTGATGAGAAAAAAAAAAAATAATTAAGGAGACAAAAAGGCACAAAATTAATCCATATCTTCCATAACAAAATCATCATGATAGCGCCTAAAATAACAATGTCAGTTTTACGTAGTATTATGTAATCCATTCTCTTCTTACTTTCCACTGTCATTATTATCATCATCATCAGTGATAATCTCTTCTTCTTCTTCTATAGGTGCATTCATACTATAATAACAACATAAGTAACAACATAAACACAATTCATATACTTTACCTTTCACTCTTACAGCTAAAGAATATCATTCTTTTTAGCTTACGATTAAAAAAGAAATAATTCATAGACCATCTATCATGAATGAATACCAACAAACAGTTGAATCCTGACTTACAAATAACCTTCTTCTTCATTCATAGGGTCATCATCTACATCTGGATTGTATGTATAGACATCACAATCCATTAATTGAACGATATCATCCAACACATCCCATAACCTACTTTGTTGAGTTATTCAGTAGGAATCAGCTTTTCACTTGCCTGTATCGATTCACAATCACATCGTTGCCTAAATTAAACAGTGTCGTATTGACAGAATTCATCACCATCTCTACTGAAGGAAGTTTCAGAAACTGGTCTGGTCTCACATCCTCAAAATCATGTTCAGGGAAAGCAGCATTCAACGTAGCCAACAAGTAAAAGAAGGTCTTGCGTGGTGCTGCTTCTGTTAAACGCCCAAAAGGAGATACAATATGTACCTCATCAGGCGAGATGGAGCCAGGAGCCAATAGTTCTGTATTGTATCTACTCTCTAATGTCTTGAATAACTTTTTATCTGTACCAGCAGACTTGCCTAAACCAAAATAAGCCTATTTGTGTATGTGTATATGTGTGTGTGTGTTCACTGTTTGACTTACACGAATAAGCTTCTACTCTGCCTGTTAATACACATTCAGATGTCTCCCATACAAATGCTGTATTTATCAGATCAAGGGAATCCACTTCAAGGAACTTCATAATAAAGAAAAGTGAGGGAAAAAACAAAAAAAAAAAGAAAAAGAGAGATTGGCATGTTTTGATGATATCATTGGTTCATGTATCACATGATACACATCTTTTGAATCGCCGCAATAACACACATCAAAAGAACAAAACGGTCTGTGCACTTTATTAAGTTGATGTAAAGAATTGATCAAGGGTAGTCTGCTTAGGATCCTCTTCTTCTTCTATAAATCCTTTCAGGTATTCTTTCAAGAATCCTTCACTGACTTCACCCTTCATATATCTTTGTAAAATAAAAGTGGGAATCGTAGCAAGGGATAGTTCAGGTCTGGAAATGACCACAACCACATCTTTCATCGTGTAATTGGTTGGTCTTTCAATCCTAATCACAGGTTCCTTAATCTTGGTGCCTAATTCATCATGTATATAAACAGGTCTCTTTCTATAAGCACGTTTGGGTTTATCTGTTGCCCTTTTTAATGGTGGTTCAATGGGTTTCTTGGATTTTTTTTTCATCACATAAGGTTTCGGATCTGGCTTGAATCTAGCCACCAAAGTAGCCAGGTTGTTGGGAGCATAATGACTTGTATGGTGTGGGGGTGTAAATGACATGGTGGGTACATGGTGATAATTATTCAGATCAATAGGTGCATCAGGCGTATGTCCTTGATTTAAATGGTTTGTAGTGGTGGATTCAGTATCTGTTACCATATACCCTAGGAACCATCAGATTCTATAGATAGAGTTGTTTCTCTTACCTCTTTTCTTGGGTATATGAGGAGCATGTAAAGCACTGTTTCGAACAGGAACTGGATTCACATAATCAACACCAATCAATCGTACTTTACACTCCTTTGCTTCTCGTGGCCATAAGTTTAAAGAGAGTTGCATCAGGTGTCTTACATCCGGATCGTTGTTCATCTTATTAAGCCATGGTTCACCATGAAGTGGGTGTTTATCTAAATTGGACATGAAGCTAAAGAATGTTTTACATCGAGCACGGAATTTGATATATCGAATCAACTTGTTTTTTGTCATGGGGAATGGGTCATCCGGATATTTAGACCTAGCAAAACTTTCATAGGCTTCACATTCAGGTGACATCAAGACATCCATTAGAATAAAGCACGTAAATATGCAAAATGAAAGAATAAAGAAAAAAAAAAAAGAGAGAGAGAATGGACAATGTGACTTGTCTATCGTGTAACTTCAAATCTTTAGTAGAAAGTAGTCAATCCCTCTCTGTTTATATAGGTTGCTTGAATTCATGTGCATTGTTTATTTTCAGTATGATCTTGTTAGATATATATATATATATTCAATGGACTATCAAAAGATATGATTGCTTTATTTGTCATAAAAGTATAACAGACACTACTATCAAGTTATTTGATTCTTTTTCATGGCTAGCTTTTCCAGTGGCATTCTACTGCTAAGGAATGCATTACGGATCACGTGATATAGGCCATTCAGAAAAATAAAAAAAAAAGCCACGTCAGAGCTTATTTAAAATTTTTTTTTTTCTCTTTTTTCCTTTTTTTTAATTGATATCACTGAAGGTGAATAAGGAATCATTAGAAAGCGTGATTACCCATTTATTTCAAATCTACTGAACTCATATTTAAGAGCATAAAACATAAGAGTTTATATCTATATCTATATCTATATATCTATATATATTTAAAAAAAGAGTATTATTTTGAATGACAGAGCCAAGCAACACTGAACCAGAGCATAATAAACCATCTGTGGTCGATGACTTTTTCTCAGCATTATTTGCCAATCAGAACACCAAACCATCTTCTCCTGTTAAACAACCCTCATCTCCTCCTGTTAGACAACCCGTATCTTATGATGACATGAGTCCTACTATGACGCAAGATGATACACTCGATGAGTTTGATGAGTACTCGTTACTTTCTAAACGCCGTACAAGACCCATCCATGAAGCACCAGCCCAGATACTGTCTAAAAAGGAGATTGATTGGAGTACAGTTAAACCTGAGTCTCGTATGTTGGTCCGTCAATTTCCCAAAAATGCAAATAAGCATGATATTCTCGAATATTTTAGTAAGTATGGTGAAGTCATTGAAGTCGTTCAGAAAGATTCGTTTGGTTTTGTACATTTTGAAGATCCTGAAGCCTGTGCTCGCGCTGTTGAATTAGAGAATGGAAATATCCTTCATGGTGTTACTTTAGGTTTGTGTGTGTGAGTGTGTATGATGAAGTATAGGATTAATCTTTTTTCTTTAGACCTTGAGATTTGTAAGCGAAAGCCTTATTTTGCTCGTGCCAAAGACAACGAAGACTCGCCTCCTAGTCACCGTGTTCATCGTCCCAGTCACTCACCCCCTCCCATGAATCGTCGCCCCATGAAACGAAGAACCAGTATCACACAACGACCTATGCGACCGAGACCCCATCCTTATGAAACATCCCCTCGACGCAACCACAAGAAACCATTGATTCCTTTTCGTACAGGCTATGCTGTCCCCACAGTCCAGATTATTGCTTGGGGCAACAATTTTCATCATTTCATGACGTATGTTGAGTCTGTCTTTCAGCAATATCAGATGCGTACTGCTTCTGCTGTTCTTTCTTATTCTACCGCAAATCGAAATGAAGTTGTCAAACAATTAGTGCTTGAAGGTGTAAAAGCCATTGTCATGATTGACCGTATGAATGAACCACACAACAGGATTTATCTTCAAGTATTTGCACCCAACGATCAAACGCATGGTGGTGTAAGATATGATGGTAAAAAAAAAAAAAAGAATGAATTTAACTGTAGAGTGTGATACTGACTGGATCCATAGAATATGATAGTATTACCCCTTTAGAAGCCATTCGTATCATTCAACGTACTTATCCTCAATCATTCAATGACACATATCAATCCCCTTCTTATCCCTCCTATCAGCCTACTCAACCACAGTATAATACGTTAGATGTCAATACACTTGCTACTCTTTACACTATGATTCAACCTTCACCTGCTGCTCCTGCACCTGTTGCTCCTGCACCTGTTGCTCCTGCACCTGTTGCTCCTGCACCTGTTCAACAGCAACCTACTATTCCTCAATTATTGGCTACATTAATGAACGGATTAAACCAACAACAAAATGTATCTTCAACCCCACCAGCACCAGCACCAGCACCAGCACCTCAGCCTGTTACTACTACGTCAACTCATGAGCCTAGTATTGCTGCTTTAATAAGCACCATAGCCAACAGTAACCCTGCTTTATTGGGTTCTGTAGCTGCCAACAATCCTGCTATTGCACAATTATTATATCAATTTACTCAACCCACTAATTCCAATGGTACTTCATTCACTCAAACTGACACAAAAAATCAACCTTCATGTAGTAAAATGTTGTAAAGCCATACCCTCTCTCTCTTTTTTTTCATTTGTTATTTAAAGTGTATATATACAATAAAAAAAAAAATACATAGAATACAAAAACAGTTTATTTTATTAGTTTTCATCTTCAACAACTTCAGTTTGGAGACCTAATAGAAACATCATCAGTCAATCAAAAAGTCGCTTCACAGATAGGAGTCAACCAAGGCAATGAGCAACTTGGGAAAACATATTGTTTTGACAACTCCAACCTCTTGCGCACACAAACTGGCCGGAAGCTTTTTTTTTTGTAAGACTTTTTTTTTCTTTAGATGAAAAACAAAAAGCCTCTCTTTTTCTTTTATCAAAAGCTACACGGAATCGCAGCGATGGCCCAAAAAAAAAAAAAAAAAAAACAACTTACCCTTGAAATCAGCAATAGGAACAAAAGTAACGTAAGAGTACAACTTTTCCTTGGCATCTTCGTCATCGTTACGCTTACGAGCAATACGGACACGGATACGGTGGTTGTTGTGCTTGACACCACGAGACCAGATAGCCTTGTTCAAAGAAGGGTCAAGACGAACGTCCTTGGTACCCATGGCCTTTTGAGCAAAAGCCTTGACGGCCTTGATAGCGTGAGGAGAACGCTTTCTCAAAGAACGACCAAAGACGTGCTTGTGCAAGTGAATGGTGTATTCACGAGTAACGACATCAGCAAGAGTGGAACGCTTTTGAGTGGTCTTTTGGTCCTTGGCCATCTATTGAAAACATCAATAACTGTGGATGGATGGATGGATGGATAGACCTACCTTTGTTAGATTGGGTGAATGAAGAAAAAAGAAAGAGCAGCGAAATAAAAAAAATTGAATGACCAGATATCGTGTGGATGAGAAATGTAAACTCCGCGAGTTTCTTAAAAGGGGTGAACGATGAAGAAAGCACACTTTGAGCCCAAAGAAAGGAACTCAGATCAAAGTATTAAGAAACGATATAACTGGGCAGTAAACATTAGAAATACTGATATGGATTACCAAAGTAATTGTATCTTTATTGATGAGCCTGCATCTCATATTAATTTAAGTCTTACTATGGCGTGGTCTCAAAAAGGTACTAGAGCAGTTGTTGTCCAACCAAAAACAAGAGCCAAAACTACAACGATCTTGAGTGCAATCTCTTCACACTGAATTATCAACACCAAAGTACGAATTCCTTATACGGAGTCTATAAAGAAGCGAAGAATCACTGGTGAGCCTAAGGTAAAGAAGACAGTTGGAACCGTTACAGGTCATTACTTTAATTTTATTCATGGTACTTTGGAGGTGTTGGATCGTCATGAACAGTTTAAAGGGCACTACCTTTTGATGGACAATGCGCCTATTCATAGCTCAGAGCAAATTAGACGTTTAATTGAAAATCGTGGGTATGGATGTGTCTATCTTCCGCCGTATTCACCAGAGCTCAACCCAATAGAACAATTTTGGTCTATTGTTAAAAGCAAAATCAAAAGACTCTTAACTCCAGAATAGTTAATGCATGTAACCAAGTCTACCTTGAGGATCTTCAAGGATTCTGCCGCTATTCAGATTTAAAGTTTGAAGTTTGTTTAAATAAAGAAGATGGCACACTTGTGCAAAAAGATTGTCCAGTCTTTTTTTTACAGTGTATATATGCATATTTCATCAACAACCCTATCTTAAAAATGACTTCAATGATCGACAGTACTGGTTACTAAAGGTTTAGCTATATTTTATTCGTTTTTGAATGCTTATGTTATGTATACATTTGATTTCATGTTTATATTTAAAGAATTTTAGCAATAATTTGCATAGGGGATATACATGATCAAACTGTAGAGAACTACTTCAGGACCTTCATCTTTGGATCCATTGATCCTCGGAGCCATGATACTGGTAGCGTGGGATTTACGGTAATGCCTTTTGACTTTTGAAGTTCCACCAATTCCAGCCTTTTTGCTATTGACAATACTCTTTCCTTTAATCGGTATAATATGGGTAAGGTACGCATCAAGTTAGTCATTTCGGTGAAATTGGTTACAAGGTTCACAGTGTCAATCTCGACAAACCGATAAATTCCATCGACCTTTATGTCCATCATATAAATCTCTAGAACCCCTCCTTTTAGAAGCAATCCGTATACTTCTGGTTCATTTACCCCGCTGTAAATCAACTTTTCCAACATTAATTTGAGTTCTCTACCGAGTTTTACATAATCAGATATAATTCCTCTATTTTGATTGGCCTTTGATTTTGCTTCGGTAGCAATAATGTTGTACTTGTTCTTCCAGAACTTGACAGATGCGCACCAATCTGGCTGATATGTTGAGCTTGACTCGAGACTCTTGTTTGCCCACTCTTGAATAAAACACTTGTCACATGAGAAGATCGATGCTAGCAAGTTGTGGAGGCAATTGTGTATAAAGGTGTCTTCATTGTCTAACGCTGTGTTCATTCCTGCCAAGGTAGTTATGGTCTTGTAAATAATGCTTCCATAAAGAATTGTTTCCATATCTTGTCCTTTTGTCTTCAAAATAGCTGACGATGCTAGTTCCATCATCTTGATCCAAGGAACAGCACTGTGCAATGTACTCAATTGTATGCATAACCCACTGATGATAGGTGAGATTTCTGGAAAGATTTCAAAGAGTTGTAGTGAGAGGTCTTGTACGACATCAAAGTGCACATCTTGACCCAAATATTTTGTAACAGACGAGGAGATATCGTTGGCAAAAGCATAGATATGATCTAATGATAACAATCGCATATCTGAAAGCGCATCCCCTTTATCATGCAATGATAACGAACTCCATCCGAATTGGCTTAACGCGTTGGAAATGTTAAAACCATTTACTAGCCAGCTTGGGTTTTTATCAATATTGAACTCTCGGCATATGTTTGTGCACAAATAAATATTTTTGCAAAGAGGATGATAGTCATTACTATGGAAGGAATCATCGTTTGATAGAGCATCTGAGTCTTCCTCCTGTTCTTCATTAGTGTGTGTCTTCCTACGCTTGCTTGTGGAGGGTTCTGCATCAACGCTAGAAATAAAATAACAGCCTGAATATTAAGATATTCAATTCTTATACTAACCTTAAATCATTGTATTCATCATCATCTTGTAGCCAAAAAAAAAAATTAATCACTTTTGTATAAGCATTCATTTATACAATCTGCTTACTTGCGATGCCGATAACAGCTCCTCATAATATTTCTCCCCGGCTTGATGTGTGATTAAAACAGTAGCGCGTTCCCCTTGTAGTCTGTTCTTTTTCTTCAGTTCGTTAACTTGAAATTTAGAGACTTTTGAAGCAAACTTTTTATCAAATAGAATGCGAATATGATTTTGCTTTAAATATTCAGTACATTTCGATACGTAGTGGCATAGATTTTTGTTATTGCTCCTTTTACTGTAAATTGATTCCAGAGATTGTAGAACGATGTTAAAAGCGGTGGTGCTACCAAGTGTATCTTGATATACATTGATAAGCTGGTCAATCAACTTGTCAAGATCAGACCATTTTATAGTTGGTAAATCTTCAAACAATTGATCGACCTTGAGTTTATCGCAATCTTCTTTAGTGATAGTGAAGTCTTTAATTTTTTTTTCTGGAGTGGGCTTCTTGATTGTTGTAGCTGCTGCTTTTCTTTTCTTCATGTTAAAAAACCTAGCGAAAAACACGAAAAAAACACGAAAAAAACACGAAAAAAACACGAAAAAAAACACGAAAAAAAACACGAAAAATTAGAAGTGACGCGTCATCAAAACAAAGCCTACGTGGCTTTTTCTAAGGCCCCTATAGTTGTGTTATTTTTTTTTGATAAACCTTTTTGTTCTTGTATACATTAATTAAAATTTTCAAAATACAAAATAGATGTGTGGACAGTTTAATGACAAGGGTCCATCTTAGTTTTGACAACTAACTGATCTTCCTGGTTGAGATAATTGTTCTATTTGCTTACCTTGCAATGATACCGTTTTATTACTGAAAGTGTATTTCATCGATAGCTTATATCCAGATGGTGAAGATAGCAAGTTTTTTCTTCAGTGACAAAGGCTTATCTTAAAGAAATACTTCAGAATAAAATACAAACTTGCAGGGAGGCATCGCAGGAACTCTTATAACGGTTTGATCGCGAAATACGACACAACATATTCAGCTACACTTATTTTGTACGATATCAATATGATAATTCAATGGTAAAAGCGATGTAAGTAATAACATCTAGACAAAATAATAATTATAAAAACAACGATGGCTTTTACTAATTCGTATTTTCTAAACATGTTAATGTCGTCAATGGTTGTAAACGTGGATATTCGGGCAAGTATGTGCGACAAGAAGGGTGTAGCTAAGTGAATACAATCGATCGCTAAGACCTGGGAGAAGCTGATGTAAGCCGCCAATAAGTCCGCCGGTCATTGTCTTCATGGCATTGAGTCTTGGCTATGGATGCATCACGGGGGCACCAGGCAGATTGTAGTGGCAAGTTCTACGTTTTTATGCTGATACAGTGTAAAAGCTTATGGGATGGCGGTTACAATTTGAAATCCTGAAATGCTGCGTGTATTTACGCTGTAATCGATCGCTAAGACCTGGGAGAAGCTGATGTAAGCCGCCAATAAGTCCGCCGGTCATTGTCTTCATGGCATTGAGTCTTGGCTATGGATGCATCACGGGGACACCAGGCAGATTGTAGTGGCAAGTTCTACGTTTTTATGCTGATACAGTGTAAAAGCTTATGGGATGGCGGTTACAATTTGAAATCCTGAAATGCTGCGTACACTTCTTAGCTGTACTTATTTTGTTGCTAATATGATGCTTTATGAGTGTATCATAACTTGACGCGTACCTTACCCATATTATACCGATTAAAGGAAAGAGTATTGTCAATAGCAAAAAGGCTGGAATTGGTGGAACTTCAAAAGTCAAAAGGCATTACCGTAAATCCCACGCTACCAGTATCATGGCTCCGAGGATCAATGGATCCAAAGATGAAGGTCCTGAAGTAGTTCTCTACAGTTTGATCATGTATATCCCCTATGCAAATTATTGCTAAAATTCTTTAAATATAAACATGAAATCAAATGTGTACATAACATAAGCATTCAAAAACGAATAAAATATAGCTAAACCTTTAGTAACCAGTACTGTCGATCATTGAAGTCATTTTTAAGATAGGGTTGTTGATGAAATATGCATATATACACTGTAAAAAAAAAACGGAGGTACGCAAATTGGAAAATAAGAATACGCATTGAATTTAAACCAAAAAAATTATGACTTAAGTTCGGTTTATAGACAGCTTTATTAAATTGTTAGTTATATAATTCTATGATAATAGTAATGGTTATTCATACTTGAGGGTTAAATTTAGTCTTTGTTAGTAATAATCAGGTTTTTGGGGGAAGAGAGAGAAATGGCCTTGTTACTCGAATCTTTGATATAAATTACCCTCGGTTACTGTCCTTGTTTTTAGTGCAATTTGGTTGGTTGGGTTTTTCAACAATTTCTGATGGGTCAAATCAGCATATTAACAAATCAGAGTACGCAAATTGGCGTCGTAAGCACTGTATTTGAACCTGAGCACAAATAAAATTTTAAGATGGTATAGTTCTTCCAGAAATTGTTGTCGCGCCAAGATGTCGCATTTTGTATATTTTGCACTATAATTTTTCAACGTTTGCAACATTACTTGGAAACACTGTACTAAAGCCTCATAAAGAAAATCTGAGTTTAAATTAATATTCTGATGCCAAAAACTAAATATCAAGAAATTTAGAAATTCAAGAGAAATGATGGACTAAAAGTGTTTAAAGATGAAGAAATACCAATAAATATGTTAATAAAACTAGTAGACGCAAATACCTTGCATCGAATGGTGTAAAGAAAGCAGCATGTTAGATAGCAAGATAGTGAGCTACCCCTCAAAAATGTTTCTACTGTTTTTGAGTTTTAGCGTACATTTTTTATAATACTTTTGTAACTTTAATGCTGTGAGGGTGTCTCATAGACCTGGAAAAGCAATCCGTACTAAGATATGTTATATCAAAAATGTATCTATCAATCATCAATCGGAAAGTAGTGCAAAATGAAAATTTGCAAAGAGAATCATAAGGCCATTCTGCTTTGAACTGATGGTTAGACATTTACCCCATAGGGCCTAGTCTTCAAAACCTTACAAATAAAATATAAACTTTTACCGAGAATCACAAGGGCAAATTGACGATTTTTTGACTTTTTCAAAACTTGCTCTATTTTTGCATCAATATGTTCTTTGATGTGTGCTCAAACATAGGAAACTCAAAAGAAGGGAATTAGATGGTCTACTTTGATAAGCAGCGGGCTTCCAATCTGCATGTGGTACTATTATTGTCTGTCAGATAGATTCAAACAAGAAAGGTAATGTATCGATTTCTGACTCACAAGATTCCCATTCGCTTACTTCTTCTATCCAAGGTTTTTCCTGCTCGCTTTCCTACTGCTGCCTGTATTTTGTGTGGTGATCAGGAGACTGTGTAGCATTTCTTCTTTTGCTGCCCCCAAAGAATTTCCGTTCTGGGATGCCTTGATCAGGGAATTTCTATGGCCAGGCACCTCTCTGGATCTAGTCTCTGATGTACTTGCATCTTTCAATTTTTTCGGATTCGGTCTCAAACCAACTGTCCTCTTTCAGTAGCCATGGTAACCTTGATCGGTCTCTCTGAAATCTGGAAGACCCATTGGACCTATACCATGCAGAACCAACCATTCCATTATCTCTCTGTTCTTCATAGCACTCGCTATCAAATTAAGCGTATAGCTGCTGAAAATGACCTTTCATCTTGAGAGGTCTTTTCTCGCAGTAGCTACTCTTTTTTCTCTTGATTTCTTTGTTTTTTTTTTTTTGAAATTGTAGTACCCTTTTTGTTTCTTTTAATCCTCTTATAATAAATAATTGTCGAGCACCACTTTTAGTGGGTCCCTCTCGAGACCACTAATATGTGCGGCAAATAAAATCATTAAAAAAAACAAGAAAGGTAGTTTATGTTGAATATTGTATCATAGGCTTGGTACCCAAAGAAGACACAAAGTGAGGAACAACCGCATCTTGAATGTGCAATGTGCCAAATGGCATCAAAAGTTATTTAAGAGCAACAAAATATGTATAGTTTTGATATATCGACTCTAGCATGCGATGAACAAGCTTTATTATTTTCTATATCCATTGAGAATCGTAAGTAAAAAGATATGTTTTTATATCGGAAGGAAGGAAAGGGCAAATAAGAGATTGTAGCAGGCGCTACTATGCCATTCAGGATACCCCCATAGCTATGCAAACATATCAGCTTAGAGAGGCAGCGTCATTTTGATCGAAGAGATCCGTAGCTTCAAACCAAAAGATAGTCAAGGCACTCCAAGCAGTTTTCCTTGGTCAACAATTTTCATTAAAGGATATAAAGAAAGACGAGAAAGAGAGAGAATAGAGCAAAAAAATAAATAAATAAAAAAGAACAAACTGTCGATCAAAAACAATATCCATTTGCCTGTTTATGATTGAGGGAAAGAAAGAACAACAGACCTATGAACAAAGAAAACAGTATGGAAACATTAAACGTCTTACTTTTTATTTGCATCACTTTTCTTTTTGGCTTTAGACACGAGAATGAAAGACAACAAAAGAACCAAAGAATTTATCTGTAGATTAGAAAAAGACAGAATAGCGGTTACATTTTACTTTGCTATAAAAACAAAACGTTTTATTGTTCTTTTATAGCTGTGTAACTTTATAAATAATGTGATCAGAGAAAAGGAGTTAAAAACAAAAATAAACACAAAAAGAGACAAGTACCTTTTTTTTCTTATTGGATTTATGGGCTGTTGCCTGTTGATCTATAAATTAATGGACGATTCAAAGTTATTCGTTGCAGTTTATAAAAGAGAACAATCCATGCATGAAGTCAAAAACACGTCACTGCATAAACAAAGAAGTATGTGGAGTACTTTTCTTTCATATGATAAAAACAGTCCTATTCAAAAAACTATAAAAAGGGGTTGTTTCTGAAAAATAATTCAGATTAACTTCTTCCGGGCCCATTGACATTATACTAGTTAGATGTGAATGTAAGCTCGGATCTGATCCTTTTGCCTAGAAAGGGGAGGGTAGGGATGGTGGAGACTGTTCGCAGTCGTTGGCGTAGACAAAGGGCCAACATATCCCTTTCCGGGTAACTGGAGATGATGATAACAACTAAGAAAATGAAAATATTATTTGACTTTTTATGCATGAAATAAAATGTTGGACTGCTTCATTATGTAATATCATTGTCTACATGGCTTGCATCTTTAGTAAATTCTTTTCAAGTGTAACAAACTATCAAATGAATATAGCAAAGCTACTCAAATTATTAGATGAAATATCTTTTTATACAAATGGTTTAATTCATGAATATCTTAAAGCATTCACTTGTCTATTAAAAAAGCGAATACTCTTTTACTATTGTATATTTGCCTAAAGACATGATCTTGCATTTTCTTCTTATAAAAGACAAAGACTTTTAGCTCTTCAATGGAAAGGTTAATTGTTGAGACATGCCTAAACCATAGCACTTCTATAGAGTCTTTCATGAAGCGTTCAGCCTATGGCACGAAAAATCTCTCGGAAATCGGACTTGAGGTAACCCCTTTGCAGAAATTTTTTTTCTCTTTTTTGTTTCTCTAAAGCTTAACCAAGTATGCCATCTTCAAAAGGTCGACACTGTTGCGGGTTCGTTCCACTTAAAACAGGTTCGAAACAAGTTTAAGATTTCTATAGAAAACTAACTTTTTGTTCTTTTTTTTAAAGGGGTATCACTTATCACTATTTTCGGTATTGTAAGTAGCAGTTGTCTTCTTTATGTTTTCTAAACCATCACTAGCTCAACAAGTTGTCTGGTTTTTATGGCATTTTGTCGCTTAATTATAGCGATATTACAGCAACATCAATTTATATCTATTCATTATTCGCTATTGGTGTTTTTTCATATGGTCTATATGGCCAATACAGCGTAATGTATACTTGAAAGAAAAATAATAGTAGCTAACAGTATATATATATATATATATATATATACACACACACACACATACATCTATATATCAGGATAATGTCCGTATTGTTCGTTGGTATACCATGTTCTTTTGGCTTGATTGTTTAGTCAGCTTGATTTCTACTATTTGGTTTGCAGTCAATTGGTTTGTCTATACAGACCACAGTTCACCTGAATTAGCGGACGATCCAGAAAAATCAGCAGAGCATGATCGCGCTTTTAAAATGGAAAGTCAAGTCAGTATTGCTGTCTTGATTGTTTTACGCTTAGCTCATGTAAGCATTGTATCTGTGTGATCTCTTTTTTTTTCTTAATTTTTGACCTAGTTTTACTTTGCTTATGTTGTCACTCGTTATTACAAGTTAATCAATCGATCTCATTATTCAAAATTGCCAACAGCAGAAACCATTGACTTGGAAGACACAAGTAGATCAAACGAACCATCACCAAAGCCTGCACAAGACTAAAGAAAACATAGAATATATCGTATACAATAAACAAAATCCATGTACAATCTAAACATCAGTTTTTTTTTTTTTTTTTTTTTGGTTGATAATCTTCTGTTGCACCTTTTTTGGAAGCTTAATCTTTTACAGTCAATAAGAACTCCGCTTAATGCCTGGCTTATGACTGTTGATCTCTCGCTTTCATCTCTACATCAATTTCCATTTTAGGACAAGTCAAGCGCTATATAATTCATGTCTTGCATTTTTGATTTTAATCTTCTTTTTTTTTCACGTATTTCTTATTTTTAGACACTTTACTGTACATATAACATGACTACTGACAATATCTCACTATGGAAGAATCGACTTCAAAACTTAACGGACTTACAGGTCCCTACAGATTATCCAAGGCCATTATCTGCTCGTACAATTGAAGAAGTCCAAACATTCGATCTCTCTGAACAGACTTTGATGAGCCTTGTTCAATTCTCCATGACATCTGCTCGTCCTACCGCTTTCTCTGTTATATTGGCTGCCTTTTCTGTTCTTCTTCAACGTTATACTGGCGATGAAGAATTCGCTATTGGTACTTCTTCTCCTAGTGGGAATCCTCTTTTACTACGTCTTCATGTGGATCCCACAACCACATTGAATAATGTTATTGAGATGGTCACAAAGGTAAAGTATACATCAAGGAGAATTTTTTTAAAAGTGGGGAAGCGTGCTTATACATGATATAGGTTGAGCAAGAAGCATTGAGCCAGGAAGTCCCTTTTGATCAACTGTCTGAAGCTGTATACGAAGGCACTGATCCTGAGAGTAGACGCCCTCTTTGTCGCGTTCGATTCTATAACCAAATTGATCAACCTTCTGAACAGCATTTGGCCAACACATCTGCTACTTCTGATCTGACTGTCTTTATTTCTTCTCCCGAACCAACAGCATCGCTTCGTTCTTCTGTGTTGCGTCCTGTCTCTATTTCTATTGTCTACAACCAGATCTTGTTCACTCCCAAGCGTATTCAATACATATTTTCTCAATTGGCTACTGTGATTGACACAGCTATCAAATCTCAAGAATTGCCAGTAGGTCAGATTCCTTTATCCGATGCTGGTTTGCCCGGATCACCACTTCCTGACCCTACTACTGATTTACATTGGTCACAATGGAGAGGTGCTATCACTGATATCTTTTCTGCTAATGCTCAGAAGCATCCAGATCGTACTTGTATTGTTGAGTCTTCAGATGATGCTGGCATTACTACATATAACTATCAACAAATTCATTATGCATCAAATACGGTAGCTCATTACTTGATTGCTAATGGTATTCAAAGAGAAGATGTGGTCATGATTTATGCTTACAGAGGCGTTGATCTTGTTGTTGCCATCATGGGTGTTCTCAAGGCTGGTGCCACTTTTAGTGTGATTGGTAAGTGTGTTGTGTATTGTCATACGTATCTCATCATCGGGCCATAGATCCTGCTTATCCTCCTACTCGTCAGGAAATCTACCTTTCTGTCGCCAAACCTCGCGGTTTAATTGTCTTGCAAGAAGCTGGAAAGATAGCTGATTCTGTCAGACAATACATCAAGAAGGAACAAGACATTATTTGTGAAATCCCCAATCTCAAGCTTGGCAAGGATGGTCGTTTATCAGGCAGTTTAGAAAACGAAACAGACCTGCTTGATAGCGTACGTCAAAAGGAATCTCAAGCGACAGGTGTTGTTATTGGTCCTGATAGTATTGGTACCTTGAGTTTCACAAGTGGTAGTACTGGTATTCCTAAAGGTGTCAGAGGTAGACACTTTTCCTTGACCCACTTTTATCCCTGGATGGCCGAAACCTTTGGTCTTTCTGAAAAGGACAAATTCACCATGCTTTCTGGTATTGCTCATGACCCTATCCAACGTGATATCTTTACTCCTCTTTTCTTGGGTGCTGAGTTACATATTCCTACCTCTGAAGACATTGGTATTCCTGGACGCCTTGCTGAATGGATGAACAATTCCCAAGTCACTGTAACTCACTTGACACCAGCCATGGGTCAACTCTTGTCTTCCCATGCTCAAGTTGAAATTCCATCTCTTATCAATGCCTTCTTTGTGGGTGATATCTTGACCAAGCGTGATGCTGCTCGTATTCAAAAGTACGCTCCCAATGTAGCTGTGATCAACATGTACGGTACTACAGAAACGCAACGTTCTGTTTCTCACTTTATTGTCCCTGCTCGCTCTTCTCATCCTGCTTTCTTGAGTATCCAAAAGGAAGTTATTGCTGCTGGTAAAGGTATGGTCAACGTACAGCTCTTGGTTGTCAACCGTCAAGATCGTACAAAGATGTGTGGTGTAGGTGAAATCGGTGAAATTTATGTCCGTGCACCTGGTCTCTCTGAAGGTTACCTCCGTTTGCCTGAAGCCACTGCTGAAAAGTTCATTCCCAACTGGTTTGTAGCTGAACCTCTTAAGGATGATGGTCAAGACGAGTCTTGTGTAGAAGGCGATGCCTGGAAAGAATTTTATCTGGGTAAGCGTGATCGTATGTATCGCTCTGGTGATTTGGGTCGTTACAGACCTGATGGTAATGTGGAGTGCACTGGTCGTGCTGATGATCAAGTCAAGATCCGTGGTTTCCGTATTGAATTAGGTGAAATTGACACCCATCTATCTCAACACCCTTACGTACGTGAAAATGTTACTTTGGTCCGTCGTGATAAAAATGAAGAACAAACCTTAGTTGCTTACTTTGTTCCCAACTTGACTGCTGCTGATGCCGAATTTGCTAGTGCTACTGAAGAAGAGGATGATGACCATGATACAAATGATATTCGTTCAAGCCATCATTTCCGTCGTTTGATCAAACATATTCGTGATTATTTGAAGCAAAAGCTCCCTACGTATGCTATTCCTGCTGTCTTTGTTCCTTTAGTCCGTATGCCATTGACACCCAATGGTAAAGTAGACAAGAACGCATTGCCTTTCCCTGATACAGCTCAATTCAACAAGGCTGCTCCTGTTTCCAACACCACAACAACGCTTCCTGAAATGACGCCCAATGAGGCTACTATTCATGCTATCTGGAAGAACCTCTTGCCTTCTTCTGATCCTGTGATTGGTGTTAATGAAAACTTTTTCGATATTGGTGGTCATTCATTAATTGCTACTCGTCTTATTTTCGAAATCAGACAAACATTCCAAGTTGATGCTCCCCTTGGTCTTGTCTATGCTGAACCTACCATTGCTGGTCTTGCTCGTGAAGTAGACAAGTTGCAAAATGGTCATATTATGAATGAACGTGACATTGAACAACACAAGGAGCAACAGGCTGAAAAGAAGGAAGAAGTAGACTATGCTGCTGATTTGGAACCTTTAGCCAAAGAATTCCTTCAAACATCTTATCCTTCTTTAGCTGCTCATGGCGAGGGCCGTACATTTGTTTTGACAGGTAGCACTGGTTTCTTGGGTGCTTTTATTCTTGACAAGCTCCTTGGTTATGCTGATACAAAGAAAGTAATCTGTGTTGTGCGTGCTAAAGATGCTGCTGGTGCCTTTGAACGTGTGAAGAAAGCCGCTGTTGATCACTTAGTATGGAAGGACGATTGGGAAAGTCGTATTGATGCTGTCTGTGGTGACTTGGCTAGTGATCGACTTGGGCTATCTGACGAAGATTGGAATCGCTGTATTTCCTCTGCAGATGCTGTTGTCCACAATGGTGCTCTTGTTCACTGGGTCTATCCTTACCAACAGCTCCGTGGTCCTAATGTGATTGGTACTCTTTGGGCTATGCGCTTGGCTTCTGAACACCACCAAAAGTCATTCCACTTTGTTTCTTCTACTTCTGTGCTCGATACACCTGTCTATCTCGAATCTGGCGCCCTTGTTTCTGAAGACAATAACCTTGAAGACAGTCGTGTTGGTCTTGAAAATGGTTATGGCCAAAGTAAATGGGTTTCTGAAAAGTTGATTTTGGAAGCTAGAAAGCGTGGTATGCCCGCTACAATCATTCGTCCAGGCTATATTTTGGGTGATTCTCGATCTGGTGTGACCAATACAGATGATTTCATCTGGCGCTTGATGAAGGGTTGTGTTGAACTTGGTTTCTTGCCTGCCATGTCCAACGACATCAACTGTTGCTCTGTTGATTACGTTGCTTCTGTTGTTGCCGGTGCCGCTTATCATGATCAAGAATCTACTGAACGTGGTGTTCTTCAAGTGACACATCCTGCTGGCTTCACTTACAACAGCATGTTTGGCTCTTTGCTTACTTATGGTTACCAAAGCCAGCAAACAGAATACATTGACTGGAGAAACAAGTTGATGGAATACACACTCAAGTCTCAAGACCATTCCCTTTTCCCTCTTCTTCACTTTGTACTTGATGATTTACCTACTTCTACTAAGAGTGCTCAATTAGATGACACCAATACTCAGGCTATTTTGGCATTAGATGGTGTCAAGCAGCCTTTGATGGGAGATGAATTGTTGGGTCTTTACCTTGCTTACTTGGTCAAGGTTGGATATATGCCTTCACCTGCTCCTGGTTATCGTGCCTTGCCTGACTTAAAGGCAGAAGTAACATTATTGGCCCGTAGTGGTGCTAAGCATTAAATCATACCTCTTTTTGTAAATATTGTTAAATAAACTGATCTAATTAAGTTGACACAAATCATACTGCTTAAAATCAACTGTAATTTTTTTTTTTTTTTTTTTTTTTTTTTTTTTTTTTTTTTCAATTAACTAGATGAACAAAAGACGTCAATTTCAGTATTCTTATCACTCCAACTAAAAATCTGCAAATAACGTGTATTTTTTTTTCGTATAAAGGACAATTATTATTTTCAAACAAAAAGGTATCAAGTAGACTGTACAACTTCTAATCCAGTATCCTTCTTTTCCAATTTTTCCAAGACACTTTCTTCTTGTTTTGTAGCATTATTCAACCAACTCAAATAGGCATTCCAAACGATACCCAAGCTACTGACAAATGGTAGGCGATATTGCAATGGCATCCATTTGAAATTAATAAACTGAACCGCTGGCCATACCTTATAATTAGCGATCAATGCTGGTATATACGCGTCTCTAAACTTCTCCTGGACTCCTTCCCATTTACCCGTTTCAGCCAGTCCCATCGTTGTAAAGAACAAGACAAGACCAGCAGGTGCAAACAATGCTTGATCTGTCACCATACGCTTGATAGCCATCATATTAGCCTGCTTTGTTACTGCCTTCGTTGCCACCTGCTTAACAGGCATAGGGAAAAATTTGTCTAGAAACATGTACCATTTTCCACCAAGAGGTGCCACACAGAAATTGTAGGCTGCAAATCGTAAAGTTCGAGTAAAGTCCCAATGATCTGTAATTGTCCATAGATTTCGGTGTGCTTTGACTTTATCGGGCAAAAATCGTTCATCAATATTGAATTTGTTGTAGAGTGATATACTTTGTGCTAAACTATCACTGATAATGCCGAGAATACCATTTGTTACACACAAGGTAAGTATAGGACGCTTGTTGTAGGATCTGTTGTAAAAAGCGTTTAAGGCTCTTAGGCTGTTCATAAAGTAAAATAAAGAAAGAAAAGTGATAAAATGTCTATTCCTTTTTTTTAATAATATTATTAAAACCCCCTCTCTCTATTTTTTTTTTTTTTTTACATCATTATTATTCTCCATTGTTTGTCAGTAAGCGAGAAAGAGACTATTGACGTCAATTTTATGCGCTTCCATTATAAAAGGCTAAGCGAAAACTTACGTCAATCGATTTGTAGATAATCAAGGAACCAGCAATGTATTTAATGGCTAATATTGTGTTTGGTCCAATATCTATGGTGAGTGTAACATGGTGAGATAGTTTTGTAAGTTGAGCAAGTGCTTTGCCAAGTTCAATAGAAAGTCTTATATTCGTATCATCCATGATCAAAGAATAAAAAAGAAAGAAAAAAGAAAAATACAACAGTCACTTCAGTATGGAGTGACATAGAGGTCAAAAGAAGGTCTGTGCTCTTTCACTAACATGTCTAATCGATGTATTGAAAAAAAAAATGTATTTTATTACAAGTTAGGCTCTTGAATGTGACTCATTCACGCCCATGACGCGTTGACGCATAGCGCATACTTCTGAAGCTAAGTTTGGGCTTATACTCTTCATTTTTGGTGATGGCATGAATTCTACTAAAGTGAGTACGAGGATAATCTTGTGTATCAGCACTTTTACCTGTAGGTGCAACCACAGTAGAGTGGAATTTGCTGAAGCCTTCTAACGCTTCATATTCATCGGATGTAATATCAACAGCCTGTTTGTCATAAACAGGTTTAGTCTTGTTTTCCTTTAAATCTTCTATCGGTAAACGCAAATCATCAATAGAAATTCTTCTCCTGACTTGAGGTTCTTTTGGTTGAGGAAACGAGCAAGAAACAGGTGAGATCAAAGGGGACTCAACTGATAGTGTAGAGGTTGATGATCTACGACGAGCAAGGTGCTGATCATAATATGAAGGGTAATGATTGCGCTTTAAAGGCCAGACATGTTGTTGTGGGGACAATGGATAGCCATAAGGAGGTGGAGGAGGAGGGGGATGGGGATATGAAATAGGATAAGGATTTGTGTTGTAAGGTGTAGAAATAGAAGCTCTTCTTGTTGGTAAAGGCAATGTACGACTATTAACCATAGAGGAGCCTTCCAAGGGATCAGGCATTGCTTCAGGCTTAAGAAGAGTAGGATTTCCTCGAGACATACGCTTTGTGGACTGAACTAGAGAAGAAGGTACGGGTTTCTTGTTTTTTTCATGGGTTTGTGTATGCTGCATCATATTATCAAATCTACTAAACATTCGATTGCAACCAGGCACAACGCATTTATAAGGTTTCTATAGGTATATGTATGAATAAAGGCTCATTGAGTGATTCAACTTACCTCTCCTGTGTGTTTCCTTTCATGTCTAGCTAAATGTTCACTTCTGGTAAAAACCATATCACAGTCACCATAGCCAGTACATTTAAATAGCTTTGGAGCGGATCTTGCACCACTTGTTCTTCTTTTGTTGGGCATAGAAAAAGAGTAAAAGGAATAGATAAAAAGAGAAAAAGAAATAATAGATCGGCTCTTTTTTTTTGTATCTTTCTCGAGTGAAACCTAACCTTAAATGCAAAAAAAAAAAAGAACCGTGTGGCGGCCAGGGCAAAAGTTTGAGACATATCAAGACATGACAACTGCATTAACTCACCTTTTGTCTTACCCATCAAAAAAAATTTTTTTACGTGTTACAAGGTACTACAAAAGTGTCAATGAAAACATGTTTATGACAGGAAAGAAACATACAGTGTAAACATGATAAATCCCTTTTTCATCTTGTCAAATACAACATGTTCTCCTTTTTTTATGATGAATTTGTATCACCTTATTTTGTCCCCGTCAACCACTCATAAACAAGTTACGCATGTGTCTTTACATCCTTGCTGAATATTCCATCAATAGTATCATGAGGCCAGATCAAAGGTGAAAAAAACCAGTAACAGCGATTGAATTCAAGCTTAATTCAAGCTCTTATAGGTTCAGTTTTGGATAGGAGAATAAAACAACCAATTCTTTTATTCTCAAGAAACTGTCTTTTTTTTTTTTTGTTGAGTAAACAAAGCATTACATATTGTTGTCTAATTACATAAAGTAGTACATTTGATCGCATTGGCCATGTAAAATGAATTAAAAAAAAAAGAAAAGCTGTGTTACTGAATCAAATGCAGTCTTACCAAGTTCCTTGGATACAAAACAGGGATTTCACATTAAAGTTTTCTATCCATTTCACTATTTCCCGAAAATTATTGGCTCATTTTAACAGTGCTTTCAACAAGCATTGTCAGCAGTTAATCAAAGTCGATGACATTGGCCAACCAAAGTTCAAATATGGAAGTTGTATTTTTAGAAACCATGCCACTTGTCGTCGCATACAGGAGCTGAATAATCGGATCATTGCTGTGTGAGTCCGTTGCCAAATAAGCTTGTGTGAAGAAAAGGAAGGTATTCAGTGGCAGATCAAGTAATATTTAAATTTCATTCACCATGGATACAGACGTATGTGGTGCAAGTAATAAACGCTCTATTGCCCAAAGCAGACGACTCATAGAGTGAATATATGGGCTGCTAGTCGGTTGGAAGGTACCTCGGAAATCTTTAGGTTGCTATCCAGTCACAGTAAAGATCACCACCAATAGTTTATTCCCATCTCGATCCTATAGTTTAGGCAGCGACAATTTACTCTATTAGGATTGGAGGATAGTTATAGAGTTCGCATGGGAGAAGTAGCACATCTGAATGACTCTCGTCTGTCCATTCCACAATACCAATGAGCAAGTAGCGCCTTGCTTATCATATCAATAAAGGGTTAATTATTTGAAATCTACCAGCTGCATTCATTTAAACCTGGAAAATGATGCTAACCAAAGAAATATTATCTTTGTTATGCGTTAAGAACCACACATCTCATATAGCACCTAGACAAAGCAGAATTGGATATATAGCAAACAAAAAGACCTGTTTTATCATTCATGCAAATAGACACATTACCTGGAACAAAGTACAGTACATGCGCTGCTTAAAAAAAGGAGATCGACACATTTCTCAGCTCTTTTTTTTTCCTTTCATTAGATGATATTCTACAATTTTGCATTCCTGTCAAGTTTATTTGTACTATCAACAGCTTATATTACAGATATTAAACTTATCTCTTGTGATATTGACCACGCGTGTGCCAACTACCCAGGCTATCGTAGAATCCCAACAGATCTCAACTTGGGTGTAAGTGGAGCAGATACTGTCTATCTTGACTATAAGCAAGATCCTCTAGAGGATCCCATAACAGAGTTAGCTATAGTTCAGGGCAACAATGATACACAGCTTCCTCACCTTGCCAAATGGACAAAACTCAAGGTAGACTTGAACCAACACGCAGGAGACGAGACTGCTTCTTTATGGCTTTATTACACAAAGGACAAGTCCATTTCGAAAAACCCAGTGACGTCTATTATTGTTAAGCAAGGCACAAGTCCATTAGTTTCAGCAGAATATAGACGCATTCCTGTTGATTTAAACAAAGATGTAGGCGGATATCATTTATACATGTACTATAGTCAAGATGGACCTAAAGGTATATAACAAAAGACAATCTAAATATATAAATATATAAATATATTGACAACCATAAAATATAGACCCAATTACAGCCATTACAGCTAAACAATGCTTCACAAGTAATTGCTATTTAGATGTAAAGCACATAGATAACAATGAACCGCTTTGACTGACAACATTGTAGGGTTGGGAGCGAGTAGAGAAAGATTTGAACAAAGGCATCATTGTTGGCATGAGTGTGTATTTGTTTTACAAAAGAAGTCGTACAGAAGATCCAGTCACAGAGTAAGCTAGATAAAAGAAAGAGTATGATATGTCTAACTATCTCTAGTGTGATAGTCTTGTTAAATGACCAAACACCCCCTGAAGGCTATACCAAAATTGATGTCAATTTGAATTCAATTCTTCGAGGTGATTCTATTCATGTATGGTACAGAACAACACCTTCTAATCCAGATGTACTTCGTGATGCTGTTCAAGATTTGAGCATTCAGTTTGGAAAGCATTCTGTCACTCCTTTTGGTTGGCACAAGATAGACGTGGATTTGAATAGTGAACATGAAGGTAAAGACGGGTTTGGTGAACCCACTTTTCTGTATGTCAAAAAGGGGTACACAGAATTACCTAAAATGGAGCCATTGGCATTTGATCAGAGTGGTAATTTCAAGATTGTTCAATTGGCTGATTTGCACTTTACGAATGAAGAAGGACACTGTGTTGATGTACCTGTCAATGTAAGACAAAAACATATTGAACAACGCGTTAAAATCAAACCAGATGGAATGCCATGGTGATCAAACTACTTTGGACTATATAGCAACGTTGTTAGATAAAGAAAAGCCAGATTTGGTTGTGTTTTCTGGAGACAATATCAATGGTGGAGGTAAATAAAATGGACAAGAGTTATAGTATATTAACTTTGACAAGGTGTGACTGATGCTAGAGCTGCTTCATTTAAATTTGCTGAACCTGTTATTCAAAGAAGAATTCCTTGGGTAAGCAATATAGACTAACAAACTCAAACTGAATTGGCTTGTTTTAGGCTACTGTATTTGGGAATCATGATGATGAAAATGATCTGACTCGAGATGAGCTGTTGGAAGTGATGAGAAGAATGCCTTATTCTTTAATAGAACGTGGTCCATTAGATATACCTGGTGTGGGTAATTATATCTTGAAGATCTATACAAATACAACTCAGGCTGCGTAAGTCAATATTTAACTATTCTATGACTCAAAAATCACTTCTTAGTACTCATGATTTTACACTGTATTTTTTGGATTCACATTCAGTGTCTCAAGAAGAAGAAGAGGGTTATGATTTTATTAAATTAGAACAGTTGGATTGGATTACTCAGTCTGCTTCTAAGTTTCGATCATTGCCTTCTAAACCTAATGCAGCTGCATTCTTTCATATTCCTATCTGGTAAATTTTGTGTCGTCAAATTCGACTTGAATTCACATTTTTGTAAACATAGGGAATACCATGAAGAAAGTAATACAGTTAAATTAGGAGATGCAAGGGAAAGTGTATCTAGTGCTCAAAAGAACAGCATTTCTGCTTTTGAGGCATTCAAGACAGGTAAAACGAAGAAAGAAAAATAGAACATTAAGCTAAAATTCAATAGCGGGCGATATTAAATTTACTTCTTGGTAAGTAACCAACATGAATTGAGATTTTGACTTTTTTTCTATCATAGTGGACATGATCATGTGAATGATTACTGTTTAGAAAGAGACGCTATTCACTTGTGTTATGGAGGTGGAGCTGGTATAGGTGGTTATGGCGCTGAACATTTAGGATGGCATCGTCGTGCTCGGATATATGATATCAATGAATATGGGTCTACCATAAGAACATGGAAGCGTGTCTTTTCTCAGGAACTACCCATGATTCATTTTCAAACTATTTTTTCTGCCTAATGCATAGACTTTATTCAATAAATCTTCTTACTATATTGATCATTTGAGTGACAGAAGGCATGAAACTATCACGATATCTTAAACCAGTGGCCATAACGACAGCAGCAGTTGCCACGGTAGTTGAAGCCATAGCTACATTCAACCAATAAGTCTGGCGGTGCCAACGTTCAATGGCTTTTGAATAAGGCAATGTCGAGAAGCTAACCATGGTATACAAGGGAATAATCAAACGAGGAAAAGTGTAGTGAATAGCACCTTCCAATTTCTTTCTGGCAAGGAAACGCATTGATGTCACAGCAGAGCGCATTTCATAGTGATTATACATGGCTAAGTCACAAATGGCATGAGCGTCCTTGACACGAGTCTTTGAATAGTCATCTAGGGCCCCTTTTAGACCTTTAATGCCTTGTTGAGTAACGATAGGCTTGATTTGATGTTGGTCCAGTACTTGATGAAGTACCTGTACATCTTGGAAGCCACAATTCATACCTTGGCCATAGAAGGGAACCATGGCATGAGCAGCATCACCAATCATCAAGGCTTTATCACCATAGTTGTGTGGGGAAGCCTTGATGGTAACCAAAGAACCCCGAGGGTTTTTGAAATAGTCTGATATCAAGGCATCTTCTCCAATAAGAGGAATAGCATCTTCAAAGTGCTCAGAAAAGAAATTCATCAGCTGATTTTGTGTTGCAACCTTTTCAAACATATCAAACGGCATAAAAAGTGTGCATGTGAATGAGAAATCAGGATTAGGAAGTGCAATCAGCATAAATGTATGTCTGGGCCAAATATGAAGATGATTAGGGTCTAATGCAAATGTTGGTTTTCCATCAGGTCCTTTAGCTGGAGGCATGGATAATTCACAATAGCCAGTATCGATGTATCGTTGCTCAAAGTCCATTCTTTTTTTTTTTTTTTTTTTTTTTTTTTTTTTTTTTGAAAAATATTGTTATTTCCGCTTGACCGTAATTAAAATAACTCACCTCATACGACGCATCATTTGAGATCTTGTCCGAGAATATGCTCCATCTGCACCTATAATAAGATCTACTTGATATTCCTTTTTCCCATCACTACAGAAGAGCATATATAAGCAAAGGCACATCATGTCGATAACTTGCCTAGTAGCGAATTCTAACATATTCTTGTCAAGATCCGCTTGCACAAGTCGATGCTCAAAATAAATAGTGACATTGTTCATTTTCTCGGCGGCATCCAATAACAATTCATTCAAGCGTGCTCTATCGACTGCATTGATGTGCTGATATACATATGCATAAGTGTCTTGGCTTTTATAACCACCAAATTACCTTTCCATTGACATCATATGCTTGCGACATTTGTTTTTTTCCAATATGAACCATTCTTGCCTTCATTGGTACAGAGGCTTCCAGGATAGTTTTCTCGATATCCAACCCAGTAGCTCGTAAAGCACTTAATCCTCGCTCAGACAATGCTAAATTGATAGACCTGCCTCTTCTACTTTCTCTGTGAATAGGCAATCTCATATCTAACATCATCATGGGAAATTAGACAGGGAGTTGCAAGATAATTTGATTCTATGTTTTTTATTTACCTGGTCGAAGTTCATAGAGATCTACTTTCCAACCTCTTTGAGCAAAGTATATAGCGTCAAGTGCACCAACTAGTCCACCACCTACAATACCAACCACAGCTTGTCTTTGTTCACTTGGCATTATTATAAAGAAAAAAAAGAAGAAAAAGAAAAAGAAAAAGAAGCGTGACTCAAGGTGACAGATAAAGCAACCCTTTTCGGAGCATAAATGGTCTCATCAGATAGCAATAGTCGCCCTTCTTAATTTATTTAAGCAGTAGGTTTTTGAGCATAAACAACAAACCATCCCCAACAACTCTTACTTCTTTAGCATATGCATCTATGCACATTTCAAAGCCCCTTCCTCTCCTAACAGAGGGCTCATTTGAATCATGAAAGGCTTGACACTAAAGTACAAACATCGTTGCGCTTCCCTAACACATTGTTAGTCAATCATGTATTGTGTATTGTACGACCTACCACATCAATGTATCCGTTTCTCCCCCATGATTGAAAGAAATGAAGAATTTTTTTGCCGTGATGTTTTTAAAGCCAATACGATCCAGTCTATCTAATCTATCTTTCAATATAAGTGTAATGTCATGTCTTAATCTGCGAGAATTCATAATTGACATAACTCTCACAGGAAGAAAAGGAAGGAACAAGAATTAAATAGCTCAGACTTTTGAACCGCGATATACATACAGGCAGTTTGCAAAGTATTCATAGCAGGGCCAGTTTGAGACAAACTACTGCTATCAACTAAAGTGAAACTTATATAAAATATCATTTTCCCTCATGTGCCTATATTACTTCTGCCAATTCAAGCTAGTTGCCTGGTTTCAAAGCTCGAAATAGTTCTTGTAAGGTCTAAAAAATTATTAGTTTAGGTTATTATATAGACTACATACGCTATTCCGATTATCATATATTAAACCAGTCAAAAGAAGTCGCTAATGGATATAATCGAACTTGTTATCTGGATATGGAATATGCTTGGCAATATTACCAACTACAAACTCAACATTTTCAGGATTGTCTTGCTTGAGTTCAACAGGAGAAATATCTATACCAGAAACATGGAATTAGGATACGTTTGACTCATTTCCAGAGTCCATATAGCAGGACTACAGCCTGAATCAAATACATGAACGCCTTTTTGAAGCATTTCTTCAACAGGAGCATGGAATCTACTGTTCAAACGTAAACTTTAGTAACCGCTGTTTATTTTTTGAAGAGCAAGTGAAATCCCCTTGTGCTGTATATAAAGACGATAGTTTTCTAGAGTAAAATTGAAAAACAAGTCTTTTAAGGGATTGTTTACCGTCGTCGTCTTCGGGCAGCATGTAGACAACATCAGTTTGTGTGATATATCTTCTACCACCTTTATACTCGTAATTGACATCATTTATTGGCTCTTTTGGTGCTATAGCTTTTCCGATAGTCATTTCGTTCTGTTGGAAGAAGAATAAAGCAAAACAAAGGTCCATTTTTTTTTATAAATAAAGGCATGAACAATTAAACGATATTCAAATATTTATGCAGCCTAAAAATAGTTGACACTGTTTGCATAAAATTCACATGTAATCGAACAATGTTTTGTTTTGTTACAAAGTCTATCTTGAAGCATACATAAAAAAGGGGGATGCTTTGTGTACCTAAATTTCTCCGAGTTATCAAAATCATATTTGTGAAAAAAAAGAAGACGAACCAAGCAAGCAAAGCCAAAAATAAGAAAAAAAAGACGATACATATTATTCTATTTAAGATGATTAAAAAGGATTTTTTTTTAAAAAGAAGGGGAAAGATGACAAACACTTAATTATATATTAAAAGAAGGCTCTCTTAATAATAAACATTCTTTTCTCTCTCTTTTTTTGAATTTTTTTCTCTTTTCGATTTATAACTTTAATATGATGCAATCACTACCATTGTTTGGCTCCCCTCTTGTTACTGCCTTGGCTCGTTCGAGTTTCACAACGTCTTCTGGTCTTTCTGTTCCCGGTATTTTAGCAAGATGTTATCAAGAAATTGAACAAAAAGGCAAGACATATAAGGAAAAAATTCCCTTTCTAATCTCTCTCTCTCTCTCTCTCTCTCTCTCTTTCTTTCTATTAGGCCTCGATGTAGAAGGCCTGTTTCGTAAATCAGGCTCTACTGCAACCATTAATGAACTGCAATTACAATTTGAAGAGAGTCAAAATCCTTTTTTAGTCAAGTTTCCATCAACAATCACAAGTCATTCGCTTACCGGATTATTTAAACGCTACTTACAACAATTAGCTGAACCTGTAATTCCTCGACAATATCAGTCCATGTTCTTGGATGTGTTTGGTAACACCCCATAGAAGCATATAAATAATGGACTCATTTCATGAATTAGATCAGGAAAGATATTCTAAAGAGACTCTGAAAAGACGGCTAAAAGAAGTGTGCAAAAAACTACCTCATGAGCACCTACATTTATTGCAATTCTTGATTGAAGTAACTGATAAAGTCCAACAACATCAAGAAAAAAACCAAATGTCAATTGAATCTCTAGCAATTATTTTTGCTCCCACCTGCATTCGATTGGATGGTGTGTCTCAATTCATGCTGGGAGATAATGCAGCATTGACGGAAAGTAAGTATTGTCAATCTTATAATTCTCTGCCGGTTTTTTTGGACAAGCATCATTTGATCCAAAAAGCACGGCAGTTATTGTGGGGGACACTACGAAAAAAACAACAACAACAACAGCAGCAGCAGCAACAACAACAGCAGCAGTATAAATCATATCAACCTAGTGACAATACACCTCCTATGACAAAAAAGAAAAAGAAGCGCTATTCTTCTTCTTCTTCCATGTTTTCTGATTCTTTAAAGTACAAGCCAAATGAATTACTTCAGCTAGAGCTTGTCAAAGAAAGCAATACTTGGATCAAGATATTTGAGTTTATGATGACACACCCTGAAGTTTTTACGACTTTAACTAATCCTCTCAAGTCTCAACAATACAAACATCGCAAACTATCTTTAAAAGAGCATAAAAACACTACTATACCACTTGTCATAGAAGATAAAGAGGTGAGTTCAACTTGGTTTGTTAACCTTACTCTCATCTTTTTTTTTTTTTTTTTTTTTTTTTTTTTTTTTTGGAATTAGAATGCATTCAATCGACAAGAAATAGACTTACAGCAACAACAACAACAAGAGAAATTGAGAATTGATGTGAGTACTTTGGAATTCAAAGAATCGCGCGAATTAGTCCAAACGTTTGAAAGTTTTGGATTTTCTTCACCTAAAGTAGACTTTTTATCAACTCCTAAAATGATGATTCGAAAAGTTAAAGAAGAATCTGTCAAAGCAGTGTCTCCTGTTGAAAGCTTTATTGATACGCCTCATTCGAAATACATTCGAACCCTCCAGAACTGGAAACTAAGAGAAGAAGAAAACCGGAATATCATTGTGCCTCAAGAAGTCATGATGTCCCACAAGTTCAAAAGAAACATCAAATCAAATCTTCAATCTACTCGGACACCTCAAGCTTCTGATTGGGTCAAAGCAATTCAAGGTGGTGTCTTTTCAGTCGATCTGAATGAAAAAGCACAACCTTTGTTTCACCAAGACCATAAAACAACTTTGAACTACTAATTTAATACTATTTCCTACACTTTATTCAAAATAAATATAATGCGACCATAGATGCCAATTTAAAAGAGAACCAACATATACAAAATAAAAAGCGAGTAAATGCTTCACTTATGTATTGAAATAGTACAGATAAACTGAAGCTTATTAAACAAAAACCATTATTTTGATGCAAAAAAGAATTCTTGTTATTAATTTACAATGTTTGGATGTTTTCAAGAGGTTTCTTATAGCACCAGAACAAATCAGTATCATGACGATACATAATATCTTGGTCAGATCCTCTGGGAGGTAAATCAAATTTGTCTAAAGTAGTCTCTATTTGTTTATGCAGAGCATCTGCTTCTTGTTGATCCAAGACAGCAATGTAACTCTTGCTTAAAATACGAGACCAGATCTGTTCGCGCTTGACGAGGAAATCATTTTTGAATTGCTTATGTTGTAATGGTAAAGTATATAATGACTTGGCTTCTTCTGTCTCAAACACATTTCTCCATGCTCCTTTTCTGTATTGAGGAGCACCAGCATCATACTTTTCATATAATCTAATACATTTGTCAGTAACTAAGTGTGACTTGTCCAACTTACTTTCGAATGCTGGCTACCCAGTCTGAACGCTCTTGACTTTCCATGTTCCAGATCAATACAAAAGCACCTCCTGGCTTCAAGACACGATGAATTTCATTTAAGCTCTTGAGATCATCAAACCAATGAAAACATTGAGCCAATACAATCATGTCTTGAGATTCAGACTCAACAGGAATAGACCAAGAAGTACCCTTTAAGGAAGTAGCTTGAGGTACTAAGGATTCCAGTTTAAGGCGCATATTGTCTACAGGTTCCACAGCAGTAACATCAAATCCACAAGTATCGACCAATAGTTTTGTCATAATACCCGTACCGGCGCCTAGATCCAATACCTTGAGTGGTTTTGTTGAGTTAGGCAACAGAGTCGAAATAAACGCAAGTGCTTCTTGAGGATAACTAGGTCTTGCTTTGGCTTTCAAAAAATAATTAATGATCATGAAACCTAAGAGTCAACTTACCATAGCTATCAGCTTGAGCTTGAAAGCCTTGAGCAGCAGTTTGATGAGGATTCATGTTTGACATGGTAGAATATAGAAAGAAATCGAATGGTTTATATACAAAAGAAAAAAAAGTATGACAAAAGGGTAAATTTTACCAAGAGGCCATTTTTTAGGATACATTTACTTTATTTAGAACCAAATCCTCGGACGGGCCGTTACTTTTTTTTTTCAGTCGCCATCTCATTCAATCATTCCTGAAATAAAATAACTCGAGTCATTTTGTTAAAACTTTCTTTATTGATTAGCCGCCTATGATGATTCTGTTTTATGCATTTTTCATTGGGAAATACTTTGTTCACGCCAGAAAAAAAAACTTTGTATGCAAATGTATTGATTTTGACAAAAGAGTAACTACAGTTTATTTAAAAAGATCAAAGAGACAAAAAGGTTGGCCTATTAAAAGTATTTTATCCGTTGACCGCATTCACAATAAACAGTTGTAAATAGTCACACAGTGCTATCAAACAAGCTGTGTCATTCATGTAAATTATTTTTAGTCGGCTTTTAGTCAAATGCCTTACTGGAACTGCCTGCCTCCCGAACTTCTTGGAAAAATATTTGTTTATTTAGACAGTACGAGCGCAATACAATGCCAACTTACTTGTCGTAGCTGGACAAGAGCCTCTCAACTAGCCATATATTGTAAAGTTGCTCTTCGCAACACTGATCAAATCGCGTCTTTTGTACACACTATTACCAACTCATCTTTTCTCGGGAATCACGTAAAAAAACTCAATATCAACAACGATTTTGATACAATATCAAGCAATGTTTCTTATTTTACTGACCTGATCAATTATTGTCCCAATTTGGAAGAGCTTACGGTGCTATGTACTTATCAGCTTTTTTGGGAAAGACTGTTACGAGAGCTCGAGGAAGGGAACCTGAAACATTTAGACACACTACAATACCCTATATATAGCCGTGAAATTGAAAGCTACAGCCGTGTAGTGTTGACTATGCGGAGTGTCATTAAGCAAGCAATCATATGTGATAGTCTATCATCTGGTGAAACACATTTCTATACAGATTCATTCAACATGCTTATTAGTAGACTGGGTGAATTCAAGCGAATCGAAAGATTGAAAGTCAGGAACCACACAAACATTTCATTACGTGAACTTGGTGAAATGCTCGATATTCGCTCTCGATTAGAAGTGCTAAGCATATTTATATGTCCAGATGAACCTCTTATTGCTTCAACGTCTTGCAAAAAACAAGATCAGCCAAAACAAATCGAGACTGTCACTAAACTTTGTCTAAGTCTGCCTTTATGCTCAGAAGACATATTTGTATATATCATGAGCAAATTTCCAAATGTCAAGCATTTGAGTATCGATGAACCCTTCTGCACTGAACCAGCTGAATTAGAAGATGAATATAGGCCAATGATTAGTCCTGAAGTCTTGAAGGCATTTACTGCCTACCTGAAAGCGATGAAGAGTTTCTACATCAACGATCTTTATCCTCAAAACATAAATGAAGTTATAGATTTCTGGCTTGCTCATTTGGTGGAGGGACGCTTGTATGTAAGTCTTACTTTTGAGAGTGAATTTATTGGAGACACATTAGACAGAATAAGTCTTGTGCCTGATTCTACGGGCGTTCCTGAAGTGAGTCTCACATCTCAAATTGGAGACTTTAATTTAAACTATTTACATGTCATTCGACATGTAGGAAGCAAAATCACTCGTTTGGAAATGGAAGACGAAACATATGGCTTACCTGTTTTTGTTTTTGATAACGAAAGATTCAAAAATGCGGTGCATGGATATTATTTGGATGATATATTTGATTCTTGTCACAACATGAAAGAATTAACACTCACAGGCATGACTATGATTGCTTTTAGTCCTGAGCCCAAGGTCAACAAGTCTATTGAGACCTTGAAGCTTCTGGGAGGAGAATGGTACATGTCCGCGGTCTTTCAACTATCGAATCGACTTCCAGCTTTGAAGCATGTAGAAGTTTACAACTCAATTATTGACGAAAATATGTCTATCATAATTGACATGGCTAACACTTCTTTTGAATCTTTATCTCTTGGAAGTGAGTTTTCTGATTATGACAACTATTTCTATTTAAAATTATCCTCAGTGAAAGGCGATGAGTATTATCGATGCAGCGAGACAGAAATTTCAGCGAGCAATGAAGCTACCTATAACAAATGGGTAAAAAGCCTGACAGTTTTGACTGTATACATACGGTGTAAAAGCCTTTATAAGCTAGAGATGCGTACTCATGGATTCAACAATTGGTATACAATATCATCACCATAATACATAAATAAAATATGAGATTACATACTCTGATTATCTAGTCAAATTGCTCATCTTGATCGATACATGGGCTTATGAAATAACAGGTTAAGAATACATGTATGTAGAAGCGAAGAATAATTTTTGTTCAAAGCCAAAATTTTGATAATCTGGTTGTCAAGTAATGACCCATCAAAGGTTGGTGTATTAAAGCTGTGGTTTGAGCATTTTTGCTCTGGATGCCATATAAAAAGTATTCGCAATTGATATTCTCAGAATATCTTATGTTACTTTGAGTGCCAAAGAGCATAAGGAAATAAAAGCACAGCATTCTATAGCGCAAATGTGGGGGTAAATGGATATAGGATACGTAATAAGGCTGTGCACGAAGATTGAAAGCGAAAGAAACCCCAATTCTTCCCGCCACATCTAAAATGGAGCTTTTGCTAGAAACTGCCTAAAGACGCAGTTATTGGACTTTGGTACAATAATGAGAGTTGTAGACATTTGCTTTCTAAGCTTTTTAATTTTAAAAGCGCACCAAGTTTGCAGCTAACTTCTAGAAGAAATAAGCAAATGTTTATAAATTTTTTGCTCATATCTCATCATTTTCATAGTACAGTCATAAAGCAAACACATTAACCAAAAACTAAAGTCTTTGACACACATTTTGACTATTTAAACTTGTTGATAGCTCTATTTTTCGTCCTATAGCATCAAAAAGAATATTAAGGGTTGTCAAATCGACGATTTTCATAAATATTACCCTTTCCTCAGACAGCATATTTTGGCGAAATTTCACAAACCAACCCCAAAAGTACCATAGATGCTAGTAATCATGACTTGTATGTATTTGGAGCATTTATGTGCGCATAAACAGGCTTTATACTATTTTTGCGTGAACATACAATTATGTGTGTTTTTCTATTCTTTGAATGCGATCATATCATTAGTTAAATTAAGGTATCAAGAGGATTTTCACATACTTTGCAATCGAATTAAATAACATACATTCATTTAAAAAGGTGCAATGTCTTTTGCAAAGAAGATTTAATGTGAAGCAAAAGGAAGATCGTTGATGCATCTAGAAAATGTAAGAAACTATTAAATTTGTAAGCGACGCATGTGTTTACTCATAACGCCCTTTTGGATACTATAAACAGTTAGTTATTTCTGATTTTTTTTTTGGTTGTTGATATTCAATTAGGTGCTGGTCCAGTGGGTTATTCAGCTTCAAAAGCAGCATAAGTTTGAGCCTGATTTGACAAGGATAACATATTCAATTCATTCTGTCAATGTCGTCAATATTTGTCAATCTATGGCATGAAGATCAAGAGGCATAGATATCCTTGTCAATGCTGTTTGACCTGTAAGTCGTTCCACAAAAGAAATAGACTAGGCTCATGGGTGTATTATGTAAGAGCTTTACTCAAACAGAAATGACCAGTCGGTTGAAAAAAGAAGCAGACAAAGATGCAAGAGAAGCCTTAAGCCGAGTGACTTTTTAAGAAAGATGGGGCCAACCAGAAGATGTAAAGACATGAATTGCATTCAATCGATGTGTATACCGAGTTTCATGTTAGATTGCAACTATGGTAGCCTATTTGGCCAGTCCTGATGCTTCCTTCATGACTGGACAAGATATCGGAGTAGATGGCGGACTTACTGCCTTGTTACCTTGTGCCCCTTTCTTAATAATTTAAAATAAACAAGTTTATTCCAATGCATGTCTATAGACATATGTATCGTAAGGAAAAGCCTTGAAGGCAGGTATCTTCTGGTCTGGTTGAACTTGAGTATCAGTAATGTACTCTAAAAATACAATATCTAAAAAGCGGTCAAACTTATACCCAGCATCATGAATATGGCCGACTTTTTTAAATCCAAACTTGGAGAACAAAATAACAGAGCCTTCGTTTTCGGCCGTGATACCGGCGATCAAGTTGCGGAACTTTAACTCTTTACCAATACGAAGCATTTCTGCTAATAATACAGAACCCAATCCTCTGCGTTGATGTGCCTGGTGAATATACAACGATATTTCAGTGGTTCTATAGAGATACGATTAGATATGATATGATTGAAATAATTACTTGCAAAATAAATGCAGTATGAGGTCTAAATCCGCCATAACAAGCATAGGCAATCGCTTTGTTGGTCTTCTTTTCTGCAGCCACAATGACAGGATATCCTTTTGATTTGAGTTCTTTAAACCATGTCAAACGGTTTTCAAGAGGAACTTGATCATACATGAACAAACAAGTCGAATTAAGAATCCGTTCATTGTATATCTCGAGCACTTGAGGCATATCAGACTCAGTAGCTGCACGGATAATGTATGATTCAAGCGGGTTTCCCATGATGTATATGAAGAGAGAGAGAGAAAAGGGGAGGAGGAAGGGTGTACAGTTTCTTATAAGTAAAAAAAACAACAGTCACTTTCTATCTGCCCTTTTTTGTGAGTTCTTTCTCTACTCCGAGTGATCAGGCTGTCAAAATCATACAAGTGAATGAGAACAAACTTGTGATTGCAGCTGCGATTGTACCTTTTTCTATTGCTGGTACCTTAATTCGTATTGGGCTCAATCGTCTACAAGATTACTTGGGAGCACCTGTGTTCAGTTTAGTTTATGCACAATGGATGGGTTGCTTTATTATGGGTATTGCCATTAAAAACAAAAACTTTTTATTACAATGGTAACAATGAAGAAGCGATGACAAACTGACTCATTTCCTCTCTTTATAAAAGAAAAGGTATCAGCCATTTCATCCTGCCATCACTTCAGGCCTTTGTGGATCTATCACTACATTCTCTTCCTGGCAACTCGGTATTTTTCAAGCATTTTCCAACTATCATGCTTATCCACATACACGCGGGAAAAATGTGTTGGCAGGATTGTCTGTATTCCTAGTGACCTTGGCCATGGCTATTAATGGCCTTGTCTTTGGACAGCATGTAGGTGAATTCGTGTCCAGTCGATATCATGCAACAGCGGTTGAACCAGTACCCCGAGGTTTTTCATTTGCTTACCTAAAGAAAAGAGATTATTTGACCCTACTGTTCGGCATATTATGTTGGGTGGGTGTTATTTTAGCAGCTATTTTTACACAACATCAAAAAGAAGTAGCACTTGCATGCGTATTTGCTCCTCTAGGTGCTTTGACCCGATGGTATCTCTCGTTTTATAATAACAAGCTGCCGCATTTTCCTCTAGGCACATGGGTGGCAAACGTATTTGGTACGATGATACTTGCTACTTTATCACTAGTACAGTCAGGTCCATCCATAAGTATGATTTCATGTAGTGTGATTGGAGCATTGGGTGATGGTTATTGTGGTTGTCTAACCACGATTTCTACATTTGTGGTATATATATATATCTTATGTTGTTTTGTTACATGCTTATTTTCTTAGGTTGAGTTGTGTATGTTACCAAGGAAATTTAGTTATCTGTATGGCACCATTTCTGTCGTCATTGCTCAGTGTACAATGTTTGTCATTTTAGATTCTTATATTTAGTCTCAAGGTGTAACTTTTTCATGTTTTTAATAATCAAATACAGTTGAAATCTATATATCTATTTAACAATAAAGAATAAGGTCTACATTCCTTTCTCTCTATTTGTTATCAAAGAAATGAAAGGTGGTTTTCTTATTGACTTGAGTTGTGTGCTCTCTCAAGCCTTGGCTTACAAAGACCAATGCACTTTTAACGTGTCTCTGGGCTTGAAATATCCAGTTTTTGACAAGCTTCATACTCACCTAAACACATTATTTTGAGAGAAAAAAACGCAAGGATTTGCTTTGACGATCTTTTTAAGTAATCTTTTTCAGACAGAATATATTTTATCATATAAAAGTTCTGCTGTAAAGCCTTTCAAAATGAGTCGATTCTTAAAATTTTAGACAACCTTACTTTTGAGTATGATCATCGAAATGAGAATCTATTCAAATACAGGTAGCCAACAAGGAGCTGTAGATCTGTTTTTGTACCTCCATCTTGTACTTATAATTAAACATCTATGCTGAAAAGCAATAAAGTCCTTTTCTTTAAACGGATTACTTTCATCATGCTCTACCCTAGCAAGTGAAAATTGACTGTCATGGCCAGAAAGAAGGATGCACCCGAAAAACTGATAGAGAAAGCATCCGTTGAGCCTATCGAGGAGGTAGAAGCTTAAGCATTAGAAGATTGGGAGCTTTGGAAAAATGCAATGAAAACTTCTTCTCTTGAGGATTTGAAGGATGATGGATCTAGAAGGAGAGGGGAGCCATTACTCCAAAAATTCAAGGTCAACCAAGTGGAGAAAAGTAGTTGATGCCAAAAAAAGTCAGCCCAAACTCTACTTTGTTCAATTTTGGTATCAATGTTCAAAAAGCGTGAAGAACAAAATAAAAAGAAGCTTTGCGCATCCTCAAAAGAAGCTAAAAATGATTGAAGAATCTTTTGAAAAGCTCAAGGCCCGTAACGCACCTCAAATGAACAAGAGGAAAGAAGGTTTTACACTTGAGTTCTACAATCACTTTAGACTTTTGTTGAAAAACGTTTAGAGGGTGCAAAAAAAAAAAGTGAGGCATCTCGAGGTATAGTCCAGCTTTTGTGGGCCAATAACTCAAAGAACTCTAGAGCTAAGAGTATTATAAGATGGGATAAAAAGCATTTGGAGAGTGGGGATCTTAGTGATCACAGCCAAGGCGTTCATATCAAGAGAGAATCTTTTCTCAGCGACAGCGATGTCAAGATTATGGTGCTTGATTACATCTAGAAAATGAAGCCAGGTGAGCGTTCTCTTGTGGCAATCAAACAATACATTGAAGATAATGTGATCCCTTCTGCCTTGGGTATGGAGAGATCAATGTCCATCTCAACTGTCAGCAAGCATCTTCATGAGTGGGGTTACTCCTTGGTAAAAAGAAAGGACTGTTCTTTGATGGGCACGAAAGAGATGATGTAGTGCAGTATCGAAAGCAATGGGCTGCTCGCATGATTGAGTACATGCGTAGATCTGAGGTTTACTCAGGAGACTATCAAAAACAGGTCTTAGAGTCAAGCTTGGATAAAAGCGAAGAGAAGATTATGTTTATGACTCATGACAAGTTCACTTTCTACGCAAATGACGATAAAGAAGACATTTGGAGTTTGGAGGGCGAGTCTTACATTCGTAAGAAAGGGCCTGGCTCTTCCATTATGGTCAGTGGGTTCCAGTGTCCATGTCACGGAACGATGAGGGTGGAAGGTTGGACTTCTCGTAAGCTGCTTAAAGCTGGAGAGAGCAGAGACGGATGGTGGACTCACAAAGACATGGTAGTCCAATTAAAGGACAATGCCATTAAGTTGTTTGAAAGCTTACATCCTAACTACCGAGCTGTGTTCCTTTTTGACAACAGTTCAAACCATGGAGCTTACAGTGAAGACGCATTGGTTGCAAATCGAATGACACTTAACGAGAAAGCCTGGCCTCTGACTAATAAGTATCAGTTCAGAGACACAACCGTCGAACTCTCGTCTGGTCAGCTTCTTCATCAATCCTTTTTCTACGAAAAGGAGTTTTCCACTCATGACGCAAAAGGTAGACCCAAAGTTAAGAAAGTTAGATACTTTAAAGGTAAAATAAGATAACAATACTACTGCTCATTTGTAAACTTTGATTACTCTAGGTATCAAAAAGATTCTTGAACATGGTCAATGGCTATGCGATCTTGAAGGTAAACAGCGGAATCTCCATTGTGGTCAATCTGAGGCTGGTACTCGATCCATGTGCTGTGCTCTGCACTTCTTAGAAAGCCGACCAGATTTTATGGCTCGAAAAACAGCTTTGCAAGTGGTAGTAGAAGCAGCTGGTCATATTTTTGAGCTATACCCCAAATACCATTGTGAATGCAATTGGATAGAAATGCATTGAGAGGTATAGCCAGACTTAAATGCGATTATTTGTTCGAGTGATTGAAAAAGAATATCTCTGCCTTTTCAGACAAAGCAGGTGATAGTGTTGAGATAAGAAGATACTTTCAGCGCTGCATGAACTACATAGAAGCATACAGTAAGCATGATGATGTCAGAGAAGTAGCCAAAGAAGTCCAAGCATTTGTATTTATCTTACAGAAAAGTTAGAATCCCAAAAGACTTGTAATAAAATGAAACTATTGTTTGTTAAAATGCTATTTCTTTCATATTTTTTTTAGGAAGACAAACTTGCCTTAGTCTTTGCTTCAAATCCCCTAAAGATCAGACTTTCTCTGAGAAGTCAATACTGAAACAGGCTTTCATTTTGGTCATTTCAAGTCCAAAGGCACGTTACTATTCTTACTCTTGTATCTAGATTTAGTAATGCGATTTATTGCCTTCTGCTTGTCAAAAAGCTCTCTTTTAGTTCGTCTTTTATTGTGTTACTATAGTTAGGACACACATCGCGTAATCTTTCTCGTGTAGTCTATCAAGCTTTTAATTTGATTTGTTCTGAGCATACTTTTTTTCTTTATGGACTTTTCGTCATGATGTTGCTTTTCATTAAACAATGCCTGTTCTTCAAGTAAACACAGTTCAATATTGAACAAATTAAGCTAAACTCATATTGATGACTCTGCACATATTCTGCTACTTGAGTGTCTTTTTATAAAATCATCAAACAAAATAATAGATTGATAAAATGAGCGGTTATTCAATTGGTAGTCATGTTCGCTAAAAGAGGCATGATGATACTTTTTTTTCTTCTTCTTTTTACTTCTTCATCCTTTTCATCTATTGTACATCTATACCATGACTGATACTTCTAGTCTTATGCAAGTCAATGAAGATACTTTCAAATTAACCAAAGCAAAAGGTATTCTTATTCTTGTCAATCATAGTATGGCTTATGCAATATAGGTGCATCCATGTCAACCACTTCAAGAAAAGGATCTACCATGACAGTCATCTTGGAACCTCATAACAGTTCATTTCAAACAAGAACACTCGAGCTAAAAGATAAAGCTAAAGTGCGTATTGGCAGACAGACATCAAGCAAAACTTTACCATCTGCTTTTAATGGTTATTTTGACTCGAAAGTATTATCGAGACAGCATGCTGAAATATGGTGTGAAAGATCCTCAGTAAGAACATAAAAAAAAAAAAATTAGGGAGTGGTCATATTAATTTAAACAAGGTTTTTATTAAAGATGTAAAGTCAAGTAATGGCACATTTGTGAATGGACAGCGATTATCAAACGAATGTGAAGAAAGTGAACCTAAAGAACTATACCATCAAGACCAAGTGGAATTTGGTATTGATATTTTTGGCGACAATGGATCAAGTAAGTGACCAACTAGAGTGTCGAGTGATTGATGGTCCATAGTCATGTATTATAAGGTTGCTTGTACTGTCCATATATTTCCCATGCCATTATCCCAGGTGGATACAGACATTATTAAGGAACTTGGTAACCATCATTCTGCTCAAGTATACCCAGAGACACATGCAAGTATAGACAAAGTTTGCTTTTTAATTTATTTATACTTTTATGTTATAGTCTTTAATAAGGAAAACATCAACTTCATCTATCAATACGACATCTGAATTGACAGTCGATAATACAGGAGTCGGTAATGGCACAGGGGGAGCAAAGAAATCTCGCAAGTTGGAGTCCATTTTACTTAAATTACAAGTAAGCAAAGCGAGTTTCATAGTTCTCGATATTTATAGAATTTAGAGTGAATTGGATAAATCAAAGCAAGTAGAGAATGAATTAAAGACGATTCGAGAAACAGTAACAGATCTTGATAAGATAGTGTTGAATCAAGATAAAGTTAAAAAATCAGACGAACTTGAACTTAAACTAGATCAAGCAGAAGCCACGATTCGATCCTTTGATAAGAAATATAAGCATCAAAACCAAGCTATTCAAACTGCTAAACAAGAACTACACAAGTTGGAAAAAGAACTAGAAAATAAGTGTCTTGAAAAAAAGCAATTAGAACAAGAGTTGATGAATGAAAGAATGCGAATTAAAGAACTACAGGAACAAATTCAAAAGGGTACTAACAATAAGTTTTGGAACGCATTTCAGGTAAATTAAAAAAAAAAAAGATTAAACTTATGTGTGTTATAACATAGGTTAAAAGCGTTCAATATGTATTTGCTGTTCTTGTGGGTGTTTTATCTACATTATTATATGTATTGTTTCATTGAATAGACACACATACACACACACACACATATATACGCACACACATACACATACACGCATACATACACACATTTATATATACATATATATATATATATACCACAACTGTTTTTATTCCCTCTCCTCCTCCTTCCTTTCTTCCTTCCATCTCCAATTAATACTAATACTAATAGAATTGTAATTATGAGGTATAGTTGTAATCTGTCCAATTTCCTCGATACCTTCCATAGTCATAAGGATAATTGTAACCATAATTTGTGCCATAGCGGATACGGTTAAACAGTGTTCGAAGCGTACTTGGTTTATAGGGTAAATAACTATTATAACCTGCATATCCACCATAATAAGCATTTTGAGGGAGAACAGGAGGAAGAGAAGGACTTATGTAGTTTGTGTTTGGATAATAGGCTGTATAAGGATTTACAACGCCATAATAACTATTTGCAGGATAGTTGGATATCATTTGTTGTTGACCATATACATTAGTAGGTGGGTAACCATATCCCCATAATTCATATAAGGATATTGTTGATAGGGATAAGCCACTAATGTTTATAATAAGTTATATATATTGTTCATGATATACTTACTGTAGAAAGAAACAAGAAAAAAAAATATAAAGAAAAAGAGAAAGAAAGAAAAGGAAAAAGAAGCACTTATTAGGTAGATCTTTCTCTCGACATGTCATCATATGATTTAAGTCTATTACAACAAATATCGTATCATCACGTGATCTTCTTTCTATTATGCAAAAGAAGGCAACTGTTGTGAATACAAACTCCTCTCAATTGCCTAAATGATCCAACTGTACTACTCTCAAATTGACAGCCTTAGAACAATGAGACTATCTTTCCATTGTTTATTCATACTTAGTATTATCGAAAAGAAAAAAAAAGATCCTTCTCTTCATTAAGAAGAGAGAGTCAATAGAGATTTTTATTTATATATTTTAAAAAAGCTAAAAAAAATCAATTGTAAATGCTACTTTAAAAAAAAAAGAAAAAAAAAAAAAGATAGGGTTAGTATTACTTTACTCTGTTGTGGCAGCAATAGTAGGCACATGGGTAGTATTAGCTGAAGTTGTTTCAGGAGGAGCCAAGACTTCTTGTTGTTGAATAATAGCAGCAGTAGCAGAAGTAGTCAACACAGACTGATCTTCATTCTCTGTTCGAACCCTTTTGTTGGATTCTGTCGTCTTTAACTTGGATAGTTGAGTAATATATATATATATATAAATGTATGTGTATTTCTTTTTACCTTCTCAAGTGGTCTTTTAACACCCTTTTGTCCTACAAGTTCAGGAGGCAGTTTTGATCTACATTAAAGAAAAAGAAAAGAGAGAATAGTGTATTAGTCTTCGTGGTATGTTTCTTGTTAAAGTGTATTATAAAATGAATGCAGCACCCTTTAATATGTGTTATACTGATCTTCATATGTTCTGGTTCATATTTATCCCATGCAGTGACTAAATGTGTAAATTCTCTTACTTGCCAAGAGATGTCTAATTTTTTCTTTTCGCCTGCTATATGCTTATGTGAGTATATAAACCATTTCTGTGTGTGTGTGTGTGTGTGTGTTACTTTACCAGCTTGAGTGTCAGTCTCAAAACCAATATAAAAAGTAGTCGTAAACAGACGCTTCAAATCTTTCTGGTTCTCTTCAGTCACCAAACCATTCTGCTTTAAAAGTTCTGTATGGTCTGTTTCTAAACTTCCTTCTTCTACTGTAAATGATCTTCCTGGCAAAAGCACTCCCTTTGTCACATTCTCTGCTTCTTGTGGTGTCAGACAATAATGTATTTTATCAATTCCTTTCACATAAGGATGAGCCAATGCAATCATCTCGACCATTTCTAGTTTCAACACCAACTGTCTCAATTTAGCCTCGACTAAACCAGACCACATCAATTGAGATTCTGCTGATTCAGAACACGATGTGACCTGTAAATAATACTTGTAAGACTGAAAGAAGTTGCTTTTGATAAACAAGTCCTTCCAGACAGATTCACCCTTGACAATCTTCTCAACCACATCCAAGCCCAGTTTGAATTCGTTCATCATGATGTGTCGTGTTGAGTCTGTCACGTTGTGGGTGGCACACATGGAGGGATAAGCAGGCGTAATGATAGGCATACGATGGCTTCGATCGGCAGGATAGAGTTTAGGGTTCCAGACTCGGACTTGAAGTGGACCATCTTCCAGAGGACGCAACAAGACAGGCTGAGGCCATTTCCAGCGTGACATGATGGCAAAGAATCGGTTCACAATCGAGGCTGCACAAGCATTCGGATACAGCTGACAGATACGGGCAATCAACATGGCCCAGGCAACACCACCTAAAAATCCCATCACATTGGAATAGATGCCTCTGTTTTTAGCCCATAATTTAATGGTACGAAGAGCAATACGAAATGTGCCTACATTAGGCACAAGGCGTAAAATATCGTCTGTCACTCGAGAACCGTTTAAACTTCGGACACATCGTTCGTCTAAGCTCTTGAGGATATTGTTGTCTGCTAATTCTAAATCATCGGGTACTCTTGCAATAGCCAATCTGGCACAAATAAAATCAATCTACATGCATGGTGAATATAAAGTATAGAACCAGAAATGGCATTTGTCACCTACAGGTATACCAGAGAAATGCATTTTAATCACCGGTACATACGCATCGGATACAGCAGCAATTTCAGTCACTTCAGGTCTTGCTTTCAACATGTCATACATGATGGTAAAAAAATGCTCTCTTTCTACATGCTTTGGAAATACACACAATGTATCAATATCAGCACCTATTTTAGATGGTTATCAGCATATAGAGTTCTCTGATTATTATTATTTTTTCATTATTACCTGCACCATGAACACCAAGACGATAACTACCATACGTAAAGATCTTGCCACCCGCTTCTTTGGCTAAGGAATCAGGAAAACTCTTCAATTTACTGACTTTGTAGACAAACTCTTTCACCATCTTGTCTAGTTTTCCAAGTACAACCACTCTATTGTCATGTTCATGAGTCGATCTTTCTTGTCTGCCATTTACCTTTTTTGTGCTTCTTGTTCACTTTCAAATAAACCAAAGTCTTTTAGTGTTTGTAACAAATCCTCTGTTAATTCAAGTTCTCTTTCAGTAGGTAAAGCAGTTGAAATGGGAGGCGTAACGCCATATTGACGAATAGGTTCTTGACTCATAGGATACACGTGGAGGAAGAAAAAAAAGAGAGAAGGAGAGAAAGAGAGAAAAAGGGATAAAGTGACTGTTGGTATAAAAATAATCCATTTGTCTATTTTAAGATCATTTATATTAACTTCATTTCTTTTCCCCCTTAAAAGATGAAGATTTGGACTTATTTAGTGACTATCAGTGTTCTTTCTACTACTGCTATTGCACAATACAGTGATAGTATTAGTGTTCAAGCAGTGGATGATTATGATGAGTAAGTTGTCATCTAGTTTCGAATTCGATTCATCTTGAGTGATAGTTTTGATGTTGGGTTCTCTGAAGTACTAGAAGGACCTCCTCCTTGTAATGGGTTCCCTGAGTATAGAAATATACCTGTCAATCAAGCATTTTATGTAGGTGCACATAATGCTGGTTCAGACCTACTTGAACACGGACATCAAAAGCGTGATATCCTTCGTATGCTTGAAGATGGTACATTATCAAATACAAGTAGTTATGTTTTTCTAACTGTGTACACTATAGGTATTCGTTTCTTAGATGTCCAACTATGTAAAGAGTAAGAGAAATCAAAGCAAGTAGGTATGCTTACATTTCATTAGCCAAGAGAGTCTTGTTGTCTGCTCAGATACCACTCTTTCCACAAACACCTTTCAAAACGTATTAGAAAAGGCATTCACATTTGCAAGAAATGAAGTAGAACAGTTCTTTATAGTTCATGTCAAATCAAACAATGTCAACACAAGAGAAATAGAGACAATCCTAGACCAAGTCTGTGAAGTCCATACGAATCAAACACAAGGCACAGATGAATTTGTGAAGGGAAAGGCAAGTGAAGAAACAAACAACAACAACAAAAATTGTATCTTATAGGATATTAGTGCCCTTTTGTCTATACTTATCGCCCTGAAAAAGGTCCCTGGAAATCCATGGGCGAAATAGTCAATTATGACCCCGAAATGGCTCAATGGGAAGGGGATGGTGAATTAGTGGGTGTAAGAACTAAGTTTATGTTGACTGTGTCTGATGATGTGATTCAACCCAGCGACTATGCATCTTCTTATGTTACACCTGTAAGTATCTATTTGTGTCTTTCTATTCATGCTTATGATAAACTAGGTCTTTTGGCGTTCATTAGATAATACCATAGATTCTTTAGATGGATTTAAACAAGGTCTTGCTCAACTATGCCGTGTGCCTGGTTATGGTATTGGCTTAGGTTCTTTTGGTGCCTTAAATAACAAGATCTATCATCCTGACTATCTTGAAGATGCTCTCTTGAACAGAGATGGATGTAACCTGAATGATTCACCTTTAAACACTTTCTTTACTCATATTCTAGTGGACCATTATGAAGACCAATTGCCTTATCTTAAAGAACTCGAGAGAAGAATGATGGATCTCAACTATGCTAAATGGACAGGCAATTACAGAATGATGACACCTTCTTTATTCAGAAAGAAAAAAGTTGAGCGTGATGAACTATAGATAAGGATGGTCTATGCTTATATACATCAGTCCTATTGTATTCAATAATAAATATTGTTACCAATCTCAATATGACTTAATCTTTGTGCGTGTGCTATAACTAAGGTGAGTGACATTCATACAGATATATACTTGCATTCTCTACGCCATTGTGTCTCACATTGAATACCCTGTTGACATCTTTCTCTGTGTACTAGACAAACCATAAGGCTAAATATGGATGTGTGTACTTACATTGATCCAATCCATTCTGAACAACGCCTTTCCAAAATGTATAAAATAAACCATTAGCAACAGTGACAGTACATGAATAACAAGCTCGTAAATGCTGTGAAGGTAAAATGCCTTCTTCTTGAATTCTGTAATAATATTCATCATCGTCCAATACACTTTGGTTGTCTTCACTCAATAATCGACGCGTATTATACAGTTGTAATCCTAAAGGCGTCATTCTTCTGATAATCGCTAAATAGAGGCAAAGCTTGCTTTAGTCTATTCCCTTCTATGTTACTTACGAATAAGACCATTTCCGTTATCTAAATCATTCAAGCATTCTTCCCATGCATTTTGCCATGAAATACCGTACTGTCCCAAATAGTCTGTTAATAGACCAATCTCTACTTTGTTCAAATGGCCTTCTTCTTTGGATTCAATGACTTCTAAATCGCTTATCCAAGTCTGAATCGAACTTAAATCTATTGTCTATCTTAATGACATCATGAGACACTGTATACAAACCACTCAAGACATAGAGTTGGGCTATCTTGGACCTATTGTCACATGTCCAATATTCACTACAGGCAACAATACCACAGAAACTACAGCATTGATTTAAAGCAGGTTCATTGTTCCCAAATCCTCTTGCAGGCATATATTTTAAACAGAATCCACAGAGAATATGACCAAATCCATCTTGTTGACTATCTGAGATTGGAATAGGGCATGTATAACCCGTTTGGTTGCCTTGGGTACAAGATAGACAAGGTGCCTTCCTATACTATGTAGATGAGTATTTGGACAGAAAGAGAAAAAAAGAGAGAGAGAGAGAGAGAGAGAGGATCATACACTATGAGGGATTGAAAAGAGGAACTAGATGAAGAAACCGAATAAGATGGTTGTGGATGATTTTCATTCGAATCCACAGTGAATGTTTCTTGTTCTTCAATACCTGCTTTATGCAGAATATCAATCAGATTTTGAAAAGTAAAGTTTTTGCAATAAGCGTTGGCTGTGGATCGACATACGGGGCAAATATAATGTGAGCTTTGTCTGGGTATATATTGGACACAATTTAAACAAAATGTGTGTAAACAAGGTATTAATGACTGTGGTTGGTCATACATATCCTGACAAAGGGCTGCATTAAAAAAAAAAAAAAAAAAAAAAAGAGCATGAGAAAAAAAAATAAGCAATATCAATTATTACTTGCCACAGGTAAGTTCATTTTTAAAAGCATCCTAAACAAAAGTAGTTAAATAAAAGAAATAAACTATTTGTCATATACCGTAATAGACGTTTTCCTTAAAGACATGAGTAAATAAAAAGAAAAGAAAAGAAAAGAAAAAAGAAAGAGAGATAAAAAAGGTTTATTTTACATATATATATATAAAAAGCCACACTGATCATGCCCTGAATAAGCTGCATATTCTGACTTTAAATTACAATTCATGCATCTACGGGGTTGATCCTAAAGTAAACAAGGACACAGTCTATATAGACTGACTTTTAGTCATATATCCATGCTATGGCTTACATGTTTATAAAATGCGTCTTCTAATTCTTTATTAAAAATCAGGAAATAAGCTTCTATAAGGATCTGTTTGACCAGTAATACCATACTGCTCTTGTGTCTCTGGATACTTGTCAAAATGACTAGCATCCCCTTCTCCTCGTATTTGAGGAACATAAGGTGCTCTGATTTGACGAGCTAAAATACGATTGAAATCAACTCCGGTAAACCAGCCGTGACGTTTGATATCATCACTTCCAGCCTTTAGATTACCATATCGTTTTGTCAAATCAGGCGTTAATAATCGTTTCAATAAATCTTTGGCATTTGTGTCAAAATAAGCTGGCCATTTAATTTTACAGGCCAAAATCTTTTCATAAAGTTTTAAATGATCGTCATCAAAAAATGGTGGATATCTTGTATAGGTTAGATACGAGTATACAGTCTTCTTAACTTACCCAGCCAACATTTCGTAAATCAAAACACCTAGACTCCACCAGTCAACAGCCTTTCCATAACCTTTGGACTGAATAATCTCGGGGGCTTATCATAGTCTGTTAAACGCAATCACTGTTAAGCGAAATACTTACCTAAATAATCAGGTGTACCACACAGTGTCCAAGTAATGTCTGGTACATATTTAGCAAACCCAAAATCAGTAATCTTGATATGTCCTTGAGCATCCAACAATAGGTTTTCAGGCTTCAGGTCACGATAGATCATGTCTTTGGAATGAAGGTATTCAATAGCCAAGATCACTTCAGCTGCATAAAACTTGGCTACATGATCTGGAAACCGTTGTGATCGTCTAAGGACAGAGAACAACTCGCCACCAGGCACATAATCCATCACCATATACAGATTATTACAGTCTTGGAAAGTGCCCCACATATTTACAAGGAAAGGATGAGCCACTGATTCCAAAATGTGTTTTTCGTTATTGGTGTGTTCTACTTGTTTTAATCGAATTACTTCTGTCTTTTTCAACACTTTCATCGCATAGTAACGAGCATTGACTTTAGACTGTATTAAATGAACACGACCAAAGGATCCAGTACCCAAAGTACGTGATATGTTGAAATCGTCCAATTTGAGTTTGGGACGATTGATTCGCTGGTGAATAATGGACTGATCATTATAGACAGCAACATAGGGTTGTCGAATAGCCGTGTTGGCAGCCGTGGTAGCACTCACAACAGCAGCAGCAGCAGTATTACCTGCGTTATTTGCATTGAATGGCTTTGGGTGCGTCAATTGAGAGAGTTGCATTTGTTGCGGTTTTTTATCTGAATTAGATTAAATTAATTCCATATTGGAGAGGTTTTTTTTCTAAGATAGACTTCTTACCTATTTTTTTTTTTAAAAAAAAGGTTAGAAGATGAGCTTTCAGAGTGACATATAAAGAGGTTTACCTTGTTTCTCGACTATTTTAGGCGTCTTTGTTTCTCTGTTGTCTTCTAACCAGGGAACTGTTCTCTTCTGCCCAGCATCTAAGCCAGTTGACATGTGGGGTTGAGGTTGAATAGGAGGCAAATAAACAGTGTCTTTTTGTTTCTTGTCTTGAGTGTTGTAATACGTAGACATGGCAACCGCTGAATAAAAAAAAAAGAAGAGAGGGAGAGAGGGAGAGAGGGAGAGAGGAAGAGAGAGAGAGAGAGAGAGAGTACACGCTTACAAGGGAAAATTTTTATTTAAGGAGGAGCTGACTGGGTGGTTAGTAGGGAGATTGAATACCACCAAGGTTTCATCTACTTGATTGTTAAACAAACAAAATCATGTTTACATAAGCAAGGTTTATTTTGTTTATTCTCTTTTCTCTTTTATTGTTTACTGGTTATGACTATTTAAAAAGACAGACTGTGTTTTCATTCTGCTTTTCTTTCTTTTTTGTTGTTGTTTAGATGAATGCATAATTTTAAATTAGATTTGAAACCTTGTTGAGCTTAAATCACCCCTTCCGCTTCATTGTGTAATATTAGTTTGGCCACAGCCATAATGAAGAAAGGGATGGCTATAAAAGGATGCACATACTCTACATAAGGGGCTATAATCCCATCAGAGAGTTTCAGACAACTGAGTATTCTAGCTTTTTTAGTATCAATGAGCTTACCTTTGGGTTTCATTCTTTTTCTTGTTGCATGATGGAAAATGACCTCAGAATGGAACAATTTTAGTAGACCAACAAATTATCAAGACGCTTAGTGTTGACTTATTTAGCTTTAAACAATAAAAAAATTATTTTGATCTACCTAAACAAACAAATGGGTTTTTCCATAAGACATAAATAGTTTCAAAGAAAGACTGTGTTTATATAGCATTGAGAGAGAGAAAGTACTGTTTCTTTATTGGGGAGAATGGTCTTATGGTGTGTAAGAAAAAAAAGATGACCAAATGAAAGAAACAAGAGAAGGGAGATGGATGAGTTTTTTTTAGACTGCTTCTACAGGAGTAGGAGTAGGAGGAGGTGCGACAATCGGACCGACAGGGCCAACAATCAAAGGATTAGAGGGTTGAGAAGGTACTTCGGGCAAGGGAGCGGCTGGAACCATAGGAGTAGAGGGCAGAGGTACCCACACCATGGGCATACCAGGCATCATGGGTTGAACAGGCATCATTGGCATACCAGAAGATATAGGTTGACCAGAAACAGAATCCAATCGGATGATGGGAGGAGTGGGAGGAGTAGGTGGAGAAGGTGGGGTAGCAGGTATACCAGGGAAGCCAGGGAAGCCAGGGAAGCCAGGGAAGCCGGGAAATCCAGTTACAGGTGGAGTAGGTGGAGTGGGTGGAGAAGGTGGAGTAGGAGGAACACCAGGGAAGCCAGGGAAACCGGGAAATCCAGTTACAGGAGGGGTAGGTGGAGTGGGTGGAGAAGGAGGAGTAGGAGGAACACCTGGAAGGCGTGTTCCGGGTGGAGTTGGAGGAGTAGGTGGTGTGGGTGGTGTAGGTGGAGCTGTTACTTGACGAGTACTAAGATCTCGTTTAGAGTACGAAGGCACACTTTATAAGGTTAGGTACTGCAGTGCTCGATACAGGCTAATACTTACCCAAACTTATTGTCCGCAACAGGATGAATTGAAGCACCTAAAGTACCTTGAACAAGAAAAGCGCAAGCTGTAGCAAAGAGAATACCGTATGTTTTCATTGGAATGGAATGACTAAGAACTTTGACTTTTTCAATGCTCTTTTATATGCTTTTGGCTTTGTTTTTCTGAACAGCCTCTATACATAATATGAATAAAATGACATATATTCTACAAAAGAGAAAACGTTGCATAGTTGTTATGCTAGAAATAGACAAATGACAAGTCCAAGAAAGTTGGTTTTCTTGGTCAAACACGATAAATTTTAGATCGTTTTAGCCCAAATTAGATAGAGTCTCGACTACTTTCTCTATTATGAAGCCTTGTTCTTTATGGCTATTAATTTATCATACTCGTGCACATAATGGTATATACATCGCTCTATAGTACTGATCTTTCTGTTTTTCGAAAAAAAAGTTGGTATTCTAGACAGAGATCATCTAAATGTCATAGATGTTTTTTTTTATTATTGATTTATACTTTTAACTCAATTTATGTATAGAACCATAGGGATTTATATTGTCAAAACAAATCATTTTGCGGATGTTAATAGAGAAACAGATTAATTGTTAAACATAATATTGCTCAAGAGGAACTGACTCTATGATTTTTTTGTAGTTTTTCACTATGTAAGAAAAGAAGCATAACAGTATTGCTTTACTTTATAGCCACTTCAAAGTAATTAAAAAAATATTTGATAAAAAAAAAGGGATGCCGTTTTTATTGTAAGGTTGTTTAACTTGTAAAGAAAGCATAAAGCTATGGTACCTTTACCTAATTGGTTCAAATAAACTATCCATTTTCATGAAGAAAAAAAATTGTTTGTAAGTATTTAGAAATACTTCTATAATTTGCTTTCAGTGTAGATGTGATGCTAATGATTATGAAAAAAGTAAAGCTCAAGTGGCGAAAACATTGTTTCTTTATTGAAAAAGAAAAGAAAGAGAACTATTTTATGGTATAGAAGGAGAAACAATGGAAACAGATGAGAGATCCTTTAAACAGGAGCTGACACAATAGGACCAACAGGACCAACGATTAAAGGGCCAGAAGGAAAAGCAGGAGGAATAACTGGTGTAGCAGGTGCTTGGGGCATAGGCATCATTGGAGTAATAGGCATCATTGGAGCAGTAGGCATCATTGGAGCAGTAGGCATCATTGGAGTAGTAGGCATCATTGGAGTAGTAGGCATCATTGGAGTAGTAGGCATCATTGGAGTAGTAGGCATCATTGGAGCAGGTGGGGCTGGTAACAACATGAAAGGAAATCCAGTAGGAGTAGGAGGGGTAGGAGGAGTGGGAATGTTTGATCCAGGTGGAGTTGGAGGAGTTGGAGGAGTAGGTGGAATAGCTGGGTAAGGCCACCACATCATAGGAACTCCAGAGGGAAGATTGGGAACTGCAGGTGCTAGAACTTGACGAGCACTTTTTATATTTGAAGAAAAAAAAGTGTCAGTAAACGCGTATCGTTTGCTCAAGATCAATTGACTTACACAAGAGATGGATGATTGTCTCTGCGATATTTGCCCTTGCCATAGCCCTTACCGTAGCCACCTCCATAGCCTTTGCCATAGCCGCCTCCATAGTCAAAGGATCCGATACGTCCTCTTCCAGGTGGAGTGGGTGGAGTGGGTGGGGTTGGAGGAGTAGGAGGAGTTCCGGGGAAGCCTGGGAATCCAGTGATTGGGGGAGTGGGAGGAGTAGGGGGAGTAGGGGGAGTTGGTGCTTGTCTTTCACTTTATTTAAAGAACAAAAGGAAGAGAAGTATAACAGAAGTATTAGAAGAGTTATAGCTTTTTACAGTCCATGACTTACACAAGGTTGATATCAGCAGAAGGTTCGACTGTGGAGCCCAAAGTACCTTGCAAAACAGAAGCGCAAGCTGCAGCAAAGAGAATACCGTATGTTTTCATTGTGAGAATGATGGTGGTGCAACAATTCGCTTTGACCTTCTTTTATATGTTTTGTCTTGCTCTCATCAGTCTCTTGAAATAGTATATCTACACAAACGCAGACACAAATACGTATAAGAGGATGCTTACATAGCTGGCTGTACTAAATATATACTACTGACAAGTCCAAGATTGTTGGCCTTCTGGGCAAAAATGATACATCTTTAATAGCCTAAAAATAGATACTGCTTAATATCAAGCGGTTTTTTTTACCCCATGCTTTGCTCTTGCTTTTCCCCTTCCCCTTTTTTTTTTTCTCTTTTTTTTTTGGCATGTTATTGTATACTTTGTCTCATATACAAATGGTTTTTCTTTTATTTCCTGCTTGATTAAAGAACAAAAGTCTAAAAATAGTTAAAATTTTGCATACGAAACTTTGATTTACTGCAATAGACAATAAATAAGTACATATACAATGATAATTTGTAATGATGTTCGTTAAAAAATATGGCTAATTGTTCTTGGTTCTCAACTACTTATTTCTATAAAGCCTAGAGCTTTCTTTAATGCAATACATCGCATCTCAGTTAGAGACAAATTACTTGCATGCGCACATTAGACTGATAAGAGTTGATTTTTTATTAGAATTGTACAGATAAACAGGATCATACATTTTGAGTATTTTTCAAATTTGTGTGTAGCGCTTTTCATACGGAACTTGGCATTCCTGACAATTTATATCTACCATACACAAGTATAACTCATTTGGTTTGCTTTCTACTGGTAATAACCAAGGAGTTTCACTTTTAGGGCATTGTTTGTCGCATGGGCACAATGGAATTATAACAATATTAGGCTGACCCTGAATGAGGCTAGCAAAGAGAAATTGATAATAAATAACACTATTTGATTGATTGCTACTACCTAATAGCTTGATTTAAAGTGTACTCGGAAAGCTGTTCATTGTCATCAAAACTGACTATGATATTTGCTAAGATTATTTGCAAAAATATTACTGTGAGAATCAATTTGAACATCTAGAAATAGTTCTAAAATGACAGCATACAAAAAGCTTTTCTTTTATAATTCTAGACAAGAATGATGAATTTCTTTTATTATTAGCTCGAGAATCAGTGTTAAGGCAGTTATACATAGAAATTAGCCCAGTTTTTTTCATCCGAACTTAGCAACAAAGGTATCATGATCCAAGAGCCAAGATGATACTTAAACGCGCTGAGTTTTTTGTTGATGACTTTTTGAAATTATTTTAAGGTAATATTAATCGCAGCTTGGTATTGGTTGGTCATATTCTCGATCAAGCGTGTAGTAGTATGAATGCAATGGTTTGAAGACTATCTCATTTTTAGTAACCTAATGTAAGTAACAATACAAATATTAATTATGTATCTCATGCTCTACTTAATTTTTAGAATTTAATTTTTATTTTTATTTTTCAATAAAGTGTATGAGTTGATATAGAGATGCATAGCTAGTCTGTTTTAGTTTTCATACTCATCGCAAGCAGCCATTGTCATTGCAGATTTTTGCTCTTGAAGAATACTGAGAGAACCAATCATTTATATCTTAAAAACAGATTATTTGTTGTTTAAAAAGAATTTTTCTATAAATTAAACTCATCTGGTTACATATAGAATCATGGTAGAGATAGAAGACCACTCATAGAATAATGAGTTTCATTACAGCAATTTTAATTGGCCTACATTTTTTGCCTACAGCGCAATATACATAGCATTGTTGGTCAACTTCAAAACTACTTACAAGAAACATCATAGTGAGCCAAAAGATAAACTTTTGTGATTAAATACTATTTTTTGGTTTGCAGATAGAGAGCAAAACAATTTATGTTGTGGAAGGCAATGGCCTTTTATTGATCATACAATAATACATGTTCATACAATACATTTATACGTCTCAAGATAGATATAGCGATATCTTCAAATGCATCGTTGAATCCTTATTTTGTATAGAGTAAAATTGAAGGTATAAGTCAGAAACATTAACATTATTTTAGATGCGAATTTGATTTAAGGATACAAACATAGGCTTTTTTTTTTCTTTATTAATGAGAAAAAGTTAGAAAATGATTACATGGAATGAAAATGATGACCAATCTGAGAAAAGGTAAAACAGTTGGGTCTACTTAGAGGTCAAGAAAATCTTAGTATCTGTAGCTGAAAGGCCAACCAAACCAAGGCCATCCTCCAGGCGGAGTGGGAGGAGTAGGAGGAGTGGGGGGAGTAGCAGGAATTCCAGGGAAGCCGTAGAAACCAGGATAGCCAGGGTAGCCAGGGAAACCGAATCCGGGAGGAGTGGGAGGAGTAGGGGGAGTAGGGGGAGTTGGTGCTTGTCTTTCACTTTACGTGTTCAAAAAGAAAAAAAGACGCATTAGAAAAGTTATAGCTTTTTACAGTCCATGACTTACACAAGGTTGATATCAGCAGAAGGTTCGACTGTGGAGCCCAAAGTACCTTGCAAAACAGAAGCGCAAGCTGCAGCAAAGAGAATACCGTATGTTTTCATTGTGAGAATGATGGTGGTGCAACAATTCGCTTTGACCTTCTTTTATATGTTTTGTCTTGCTCTCATCAGTCTCTTGAAATAGTATATCTACACAAACGCAGACACAAATACGTATAAGAGGATGCTTACATAGCTGGCTGTACTAAATATATACTACTGACAAGTCCAAGATTGTTGGCCTTCTTGGCTAAAAGTGATACATCTTTGGCTGTCATAGCCCAAAGCAGATGTTGTTTGGTCTTGAACACTTTTTTGTTTTTTACCTCGCACTCTGTCCACTTCTCCTCTTCTCCTTTTTTTTTCTCGTCTACTAGTCGTGCTTACTCAAGCTCAAATTCAACACTATATATAGAGACATGGACTCAGGTATATCATACACATCTTTGATTATTATACAGTAGGCCTGATCTATTCTAAGCTAACAGGCAGCCATATTGTGTCATGGCAGTAAGCTATACGTTATCTCAGAAAGTCATTGTAAGCTGTTTTCTTTGTAGTGAATGAACGAATCTGCTTTTATTAAATAATTCTGAATTACAGTGTTTTAGCTTTTTCACATCAGTATATAATGACGCTTCAGAAGCACTATAGTTTTTTATTTATACTTCCAACAAAATCAGAAAAGTTAAAGGATGGCTTTATAGCATATTAATAAACGTAGCGACATAGAAAAAAGCTGCAAGCTACCTATATTATTGATTAATGGTAGTTGAATGAATTATACCATAGTATCCTGCTATTGTTTCAAAAAAAATTAGTAAACAAATCAGAAAAGTTGAAAGAGTTAGCCATATAATAAGCAATAATCATTGTAGTTGAAGGAAGGGGCCATCATAAGAATGAGTAATAGAAGGCACAAGTTTTGCATATAGCAAGGAAGAAGCTGCAGGTTCAACTTGGCGAACACTTGTAGCATACAAAAAAAAAAGAAGAGAGAAAAACTTAATTATAAAAGTTCTTCAAGATACTAAGACTTACACAAGAAATTCCAGTTTTTTGTCCTTAAAAGGAACAGGCGTCTAGATTTTGAAAGAGCACTCTTGATTTCAACATAGGGAGAAGGGCCAGGAAAATCAAAGATGCAGTCTAGAGGTGGTGGTTGACGACCACTGTATAGATATAAAAACTATCAGACAAAATGAATCATATTTAGATCGATACGTACAATAGTTTTGTCTTTCTAGAAGAATAAATTGAATCACATAGATATAAAGCAAAAAATACAATAATAGCAAAACTAAATGTTTTTATTTATCAATATTGCTATAAGGCTTCATTCAAAATGGTTTTTTATATCCTTTTTGGCAAACTGTTCAACTAAGCTATACTTGTTTTTTTATTCATGTATATATATTCAGATAAACAAGACTCTTAATAATAAAGCAAAGCGCCTACAAAGGAATATATAAAAACAAGAACTTGTAAACAAACAACCAAAGACGTATAAACTTGTTAAATATACTTTCAAGACTACAACCTGCAATGACTTTCTGAGATAACGTATAGCTTACTGCCATGACACAATATGGCTGCCTGTTAGCTTAGAATAGATCAGGCCTACTGTATAATAATCAAAGATGTGTATGATATACCTGAGTCCATGTCTCTATATATAGTGTTGAATTTGAGCTTGAGTAAGCACGACTAGTAGACGAGAAAAAAAAAGGAGAAGAGGAGAAGTGGACAGAGTGCGAGGTAAAAAACAAAAAAGTGTTCAAGACCAAACAACATCTGCTTTGGGCTATGACAGCCAAAGATGTATCACTTTTAGCCAAGAAGGCCAACAATCTTGGACTTGTCAGTAGTATATATTTAGTACAGCCAGCTATGTAAGCATCCTCTTATACGTATTTGTGTCTGCGTTTGTGTAGATATACTATTTCAAGAGACTGATGAGAGCAAGACAAAACATATAAAAGAAGGTCAAAGCGAATTGTTGCACCACCATCATTCTCACAATGAAAACATACGGTATTCTCTTTGCTGCAGCTTGCGCTTCTGTTTTGCAAGGTACTTTGGGCTCCACAGTCGAACCTTCTGCTGATATCAACCTTGTGTAAGTCATGGACTGTAAAAAGCTATAACTTTTCTAATGCGTCTTTTTTTTCTTTTTGAACACGTAAAGTGAAAGACAAGCACCAACTCCCCCTACTCCCCCTACTCCTCCCACTCCCCCAATCACTGGATTCCCAGGCTTCCCCGGAACTCCTCCTACTCCTCCAACCCCACCCACTCCACCCACTCCACCTGGAAGAGGACGTATCGGATCCTTTGACTATGGAGGCGGCTATGGCAAAGGCTATGGAGGTGGCTACGGTAAGGGCTATGGAGGTGGCTATGGCAAAGGCTATGGAGGTGGCTACGGTAAGGGCTATGGCAAGGGCAAATATCGCAGAGACAATCATCCATCTCTTGTGTAAGTCAATTGATCTTGAGCAAACGATACGCGTTTACTGACACTTTTTTTTCCTCAAATATAAAAAGTGCTCGTCAACTTATTGTGCCAATTCCATCTAATTTTCCTTCTCAAGCTCCCGTAACCTGGTGGCCGTTCCCTGCTGTTCCACCTACTCCACCTACTCCTCCAAATCCGCCTGGATCTAATGCTCCTATTCCTCCCACTCCTCCTACTCCGCCTTCGCCTTTTGGTGTTCCATACGTGTGGATACCTTTACCTTCTGCTCCATTCATCCCCAATATCTAATAGTTTCTACTGATCCTTCAGTTAAAGCTGTCAAGAAGTCTAAATAAAGTACAATTTTATTATTTGTTCTGTACCCCTCTCTGCTTTCTTGGTTAATAGATGCATTTCATGCAAAAATTTTATTAGGCATTAACATGTAATTTTTTTTTAATCTAATCCAAAGATATAATAAGCAAGTTGAACAGCACCAAAAATGATCTTATAAAACTATTAGTACATCTTTTTGTCAAGCAATAATACTACTTACAGGTTGCCAAACAACCAAATAACGCACACCATCCAACAAGTTTAGATAAAGTTGTTGTTGAGTATCCCATCTAAACAGTGTTAGTATATTTATACTGCATTCATGTGCCTATTTTTTTTTCTTTACTTACGGGTTACGTTTGAATTCTTTTAGATCCACTTTTTCCTTACTTCAATTGACATGTATGAGTATACAAATACCACAGTAGAAATACACTTACCAGTAAGGACAAATGTCTTTTTTACCAATCATGACCCAACCACGAATACACTTTTCATGAAAGACATGTTTACAATTCAATTGGTGCACTGGATCATCAGCAAATAAGGGACGATTGGCAGGTTCATTAGCCAAGGGCACTTGACCCAAAGAAGCAGATGTAGCATGTCCACATACAGCACAAATGCCTTCACCTAAATACTTGTTGGGTAATCCTTCTTTTGAATAATAACCAATGGTAGCTGCCATTCTATCTGTGCAGATCTCAACAAAGTCTCTTCCAAGCACACTATAATACATGTTGACTATTCTGTCTATAAGAACACTCCACTTACCCAAAGTAAAGGCCATAACTTAACAACAGGACACCTACTTGAATCATGCTTGGATTCATTCCAAATAGTTCAGCAAGACCAAAGAATACAAACAAGACAATAATATAGCCACATAAACCAACCACAAAAGATACATTATAGACCACAGTAAACCACTTATATACCATACGAGGTGTCATGGCTTCCAAAGGCTTTCTTGTTGCTTTGTAAATGACTATCAAAAAGATATATAGATAAGAACAACAGACAATCGAGTATATTATCTTACCCAATCCGTTCAAGATAGAAAACAAGGTCCAAACAACAAGGAACCGAGGCCAACCAGCATAGAATCCAAACAACATGGGGAAAAAGTAAAGGCCACCTAAACTCACTGTCTGGTATGAAGAATAATGCCTCTTCTTCCACCAAAGAATAAGAAACTGTGAAGCAAATAAAGCAAACAACAAGATAAACGCCATTAGCTCATGTTGTGCTTGATGACCTATATTCTGTTAATTCATGACTTGATGCTGCGTCTTGTACCTTTGTGTTCTTTATTGTATGCGAGTTGTAATTTATAGCTAGTCAAGATAAGATCGCTGCGAAGCTTTCGATAACTTACTTTTCCAACTGTTCAGGAGTTAAATGACTTATTTGTTCATCTGTCAGTGATCCATCCAACCAAGCAGCTGAGAAGCTGATGTCTCGTTCTGGATTGTCCATAGAATGTTAAATAAAGAAAAGAGAAGAGCAAGAATGTTTATTTAAAATGCCGAATATGTGTTTACTTTCGACCACCAAAGATACCCCAAAATCCACTGGATGTCTTTTCAGTACGCTCGTCAATGGATTGTTCAGGGTATTTTATAAAGTTGGCTGCTAAATCGAAATAAAAGGGTTTACAGGCAACAGGTTGGAATGAAGGAGGAAAGTCAACAAGACGCTGAGGGGAAATGTGAGAGGGATAAGTTTCCAATTGGTTTATCAAGGCACCACTCGTTAAATCCTCCAGTGTTTCTGTTGTTTGTTCAGTTTCGCCATGTTCAAGGTACCAAGCAGCACGGGACTTCCAGCTACCAGACTGAATTGATTGCTCCAGTTCAGACAAGTCTTGTTCAGTCACTTTGAGAAGAGCATCTTGTGCAAACTGACGAATTTGAGAAAGACCTTGTTTAGCTTGAACAACATAGCTTTGTGCCTTTTGATACAAGGCTAAAGATTCGGGTGTCTTTTTCATGTTGCTATAGGCATGAGCAACATGAACACATCGACAGCCCTTATAGTACAGACTCAATACATTCAATTCACCATCAAATGCCATATCATCCTTGACATTAGGTAATTCCCACATGTATTCAATATTCTGTCAGTTTGTAAGTATCAAGCTGCGAGTTGGTGAGCGATTTACCTTTAGAATATCGTCATAGAGTTGAATGGCTTGTTGAGGTTTATCTGCTTGTGCAACAAGCTTGAGATTGCGTTGAATCAAACTACCGAATGCATGGTATTCAACAAAGGTAAACAAGAATTGCAAATCTTCAGTAGCCTTTGCAGATCTGGAGGAAGTGACCTTGGCAGTAGCTTCTTTGTCTTCTTTGACAGCCTTCTTGGCTAATTTCTCAGTTTCTGTCCAACTATTATTCTCTTGCGCCTTTTGGATAGCTTCAGCCAAGGCAGGATGCTTGATCTGAACTGTCTTTTCGCGCCATGTCAATGGTTGCTGTTGTCTTGATTCAGAAATAACTTGGTTCAATTGAGCATCCAAGGATGAGTCATGGTGTTCACTCACAAGTTTCTCGACATCTTGTTCCAATTGAAGTTTATATGCACAGAAACGAATGTTGGGATCAATTTCATCCATAGCAGCATAACATAAAGCTTCTTTTTCAGGTTGATTGTTTTGAGCAAATCGATTGTAAATAGTTCTTATTCAGAGTTAGCATGGCTCATCTTTTAGCTTCCTTACCTTGACTCAATAAATTGGCTCAAGGCTTCTTGCCATTGTTGTTGCTCAAAAAACAAATAGCCTTTCATACTTGAAGTATAGGCCTTAACATCCAACACAGTGTAATTGTCTACTTTTTGCTTTTGACACAATGCATACAATTGCTCGGCATGTTGACTGGCACGCTTTAAACGCTTGACAAGGTGATGGCGAGAACGAGTATCAATACTGTTGGCACTTTCTTGCTTGAGTTCCATAGCATATGCCCAAGCTCTTTCAGTTTCATAGATATAGAGATGAAGATAACGAGCATCATCGAATTTTTCAGGTAAAGCTTTGCGAGCATTGTTGGTTTTGTTGTTAGATTGTGTCAATTTCAAGATTTGACGAAGACGACGGACACGATTGGTACAGTACTCACTATCAACAGATGAGCATAAACAGACGCATAGATACAAACATACCGATAGCGTTGATAATCTTGGTGTCTAAGACCATAAGTCATACGTGCATCATTAATAAGATTCAAGACTATTAAATTTATTAGACAAAGGTCATCTTCCTTCGTGTTGAATATTTACCATCCACTACCATAGGTTCTTGAGTAGATGCGATCTCAATTGCTAAGGGAGTAAATATGAGTACTTAAAGACAACATGATCTGTAGATTTACATTGTGCCATTTTCAAATTGAAGAGAGAGAGAACGCGACAAGAAAAAAAAGTGAGGAAACAGGGACTCTCTTTAAAATATTGCGGATGTTAAATTCGAATCAAGATGAAGAAATCAAGCAATCCTTGACAGCAAACAATAGCCATTACCAAATACAATGCGTGGTTTATGTAAGGTTATAATTCTTTTATTGAGAGTAAATATAGTTTCTCTTCTTTTCGTTCCCAGGTAAAAAATGCGTTAATCTCTTATTTCCTAAGGCAGGTAAAGTCTATTTATACACGCATAAATACTTTGAATATCTTCAAACCGTGTTCACTAACATCCATGATACTTTTGGAGTTTATTTGAACCAAAAAGACATCTTGTGAACAACAAGCATTTTTAATTTTTGAATAAAGAGTACTACATGTGAAAATCATCAATTTAACAACCTTGAATCTTTTTTTTTACGCTACAAGACGAAAATGGAGCTATCGACAAGCTTAAATACTCAAAATGAGCGCCAAACACTCTAGTTTTGGTAAAAATGTCTGATTGCCAATTGTACTATAATAAAAGCGAGTAACTTTGAAAACATTTTTTTTTTTTTAGCAAAGTTGCTGTGTTATTTACATCAATAGACTCATAAAACAAGGATTTACAACCTTTGTTATTATGCCAATACCAGATAACTGCGTTTTTACACAGTTCAAAGTAAAAGTTTGACTATTTTCAATTCTCAACATCAAGCTTTTTTCAGTAAAAATTTAACTACTCAATTTTCAATAAAAACTATATGCTTCCGTCATTTTGACAAGAAAAATCACAATGACCTTAAAATAAAGTTTAGCAAACTTCAAGCCCGACAAGGGAAGGCGGGGTCCGCGAAGTCGAGAGAAGACAGATACACTTGCTCAATTTATGATATAACAGAATATTCAAAGCGTCTAAGCGTTCAAATAGATCAATTCTATTTTCAGTGAACCCTTTTAAGCATTTTTTCAAAGCTGTGAATCCTTGCTTGTTGCATAAAAATAATAATATCAAGAAGTACAAGCTATAAAAGCCATGCTTTTTAGAGAATGGCGTCTATCTCTCTTAAGCATCGTCATACCATTTTGGTTCCTAGCGCAAAAAAAAAAAAAGAAAAGGCACGTAAAAAAATCTCTTCATTTTGGTAAAATTTCATACCGTGTCAGACAAAATAAATGCTATCATGCCATGCTCTACAGGAGCACTCTTTATATTCATTCATCTTATCTATTTGGCAGGCTTTCATATCCTACTTTTGCCGGGAAAAAACTTGTATGTGTCATCAATTGAAGCACAGCAGGATAAATGTTCAAAATGTGCAGGCGCTTTTTCGGTAATAGTCACAATCAACACATAAAAAAAAGCACTTGCCATATTTTTTCTCATTTTTTTTCTTTATCCCTTGTTCTTAAGCTATGTATAGAACAATCAACCACTCAACTGTTCGTCAGCTGGGCCTACGCACAGTTGCCTTTCGACACGCTAGTCGTGCTCCGAAGCCAGATATTCGCCTTGTCCTGATCCGACCCAACGTAGCAGCACAACGAGGACTTCACTTGCACCGAGAACTACTACGTTCCGAGCCCAAATTGAAGGCAGCTATTGAAGAAAAAGAAACCATGACTTCTCGTGCTGCAGCTCTGGCAAAAGAACAACAAGCAAAAGCAGCAGCCGCAGGTATAGCAGCACCTGCTAGTTCAGCTATCAAGCCTAAAAAGACACTCTGGCAAAAAGTAAAGGAGGAAGCTGTGCATTATTGGCACGGAACACAATTATTAGGTCTTGAAATCCGTATTTCTTCTAAATTGACTTGGAAGTTATTGCATGGAGGCAAGCTCACCCGAAGAGAACATCGTCAAGTAAGTTGCTCGGTTAAAAGAAATGGAAAGAAATTGACATGATATAGTTGCGTCGTACCACATCTGATCTTGTCCGTCTTGTACCTTTCTTGTTCTTTATTGTAGTGCCCTTCATGGAACTTCTGTTGCCTGTGGCTCTCAAGTTGTTCCCCAATATGTTGCCTAGTACTTATGAAAGCAAGTCTCAAGAAGCAAGTATTAGAAAAAAAAAAGGGGAGGACAGTCTATTAACATTTTGTACAACAGGAAAAGAAAAGAATGGCATTGTTAAAGGTTCGTCTAGAGATGGCTAAATTCTTGCAAGAAACTATATCTGAGTCGGGCTTCCCCGGATCTGATCATGAAAAGGCTGCAAAGGAGTTTGCTGATTTCTTCAGAAAGGTAAAAAAAAAAAAAAAAAAAAAAAAAAAAAGAAAAAAAAAAAAAACTTCCTCGTTTGATGTTAGACAAGTATGTTAACCTAAAGTAGATTCGTATCACAGGTGAGCAAGCCTCTACAGAAGATTTGTTAAATGTAGCTAGACGTTTTGAAGACGAATTGACTTTGGACAACTTGTCTCGACCTCAACTTGTATCTATGTGTCGTTACATGAACATCAATGCTTTTGGCACAGATAACTTTTTGCGTTTCCAAATCAGAAACCGTATGCGTCAAATCAAGGCCGATGATAAGGTGATTCAACAAGAAGGTATTGATAGTTTAACTATTCAAGAACTTCAAAATGCCTGTGGTTCCCGTGGTATTCGCTCTGTAGGTACATCTCCTGGTCGTCTTAGAGATGAATTGGCTCAATGGCTTGATCTTCATGTGAACCACCATGTACCTGGTACCTTGTTGATCTTGTCCAGAGCTTTCAGTTACACGGATCGTCACATGACAACAGAAGAAGCCTTGAAGGCCACTTTCAACAGTTTGCCCGATAACTTGGTGAATGAAGCTGAGCTTCAAGTGTTGGAACAAATGGGTGCCAGTACTTATAAACAAAAGTTGGATGTCTTGGAACAACAACAAGAATTGATTGAAGATGAATCAGAACAAGAAGAAAAGGAAGAAAAGGCCCGCTTGGAAGCTGCTCAATTGGCTGAAGAAGAAGCACGTTTGGCTCAAGAAAACAAAGAAAAGGCTGAACAAAAGGATGTGTTTGTCTCTGATGAGCCTGCTGTTGCTGATGAGCCTATCAAGGAGGAATCCGAAGATGCACCTTTATCAAAGGAACAACAATCAGAACTTCAAGATGCATTAACCAAGTTGCGTACTAAGGTTGATGTTTTGGAAGAGCGTGCTCAACTCAACGAAATTAAGATTCAACACGAGGATTATAAAGAGGTAATACATAAGCAAAGAATTTCTATAACTGATGTCCTATATAGCTTATTGAAGAATTGAAGGATGCCACTAAACGTGAAGCTGATAAAGCCACATTGCGTATGGGCAAAAAATTGGAAAAGATGCTTGAGACCATTGACAAAGAGTTGGATGCCATGGAAAAGGCTTCCAATGCCAAGGAACAACCCAAAGAAGAAGACAAGAACTAGAATTAGAGTTATTTAATAAACACACATTTTGATTACCCTCATCAAGCCACTTTTGAATATGGTAAAAAAAGAGATGTTTGTCATACAAAAAGGGATAATACAAGTTCTATTTTTACACTCTATATTAAACTTAAAGGGCGGATAAACGACCTGGTGAAATCATGTATTCAAGCGTATATATTTAGAAAGGGTGGATTCTTTTTTTACAATGGTTCCACTGTTACTTGAGAAAAGGCGGTCGGACTGTAAAGGAAAACTGATCTAAAGAAGAGAAAATAGTAGGCATTCAAATCCGTGTATGAATGAAAAAAAGCATTGCATAGCCTTATGTTGTAGAAATTCACATATGTCTATATTGCTTATTTTACTTTGGTATGTGTAAGTGATTAGGAAGTATGAACGAGCATTTGGCTATCTTCATGTTTATATTCAGATGTATCAAAAACCAACACTATTGTCTAGCTTGTTTTATGACGCATGTCTTCATGGACCCCAACACAGTTTAGCGATTTATTTAATAGACATGTTCTCTATAAAAGGATCTTTATTATAAAAGAAATAACATGGTTGCGGACTATATGAACTACAATTGACTTTGTTACAAAAAGCAAGTATTCAGAAAAGCAGTCGATAAGATCCAAAATGGCTATATCAACTAACATCATTGATGGATCAGTAGATTTAATTTTGTCTATTACATAAAGAAAACTTTCGAGTGCATGTACCTTAATTTGTTGTGAGGTCAAATTGCCGGACCTGGAAATTAAGGAGATGCCTCGGGAAACCAATGACTGAGAAGCCTTCATGATCCTTTATACTTTGTAACAATCGGATAGACACAAGTGCTACCTTAAACCTTATAAAGGTTTGAAAATTACGCTTGATCTATTTTATTCTCTAAATTTGTACGAAAAGGTTGAATTTCTCAAATGGATAGTTCTAATCGAGGAGTTTATAAAGTCAAAAGGTATTACAGATCCCGATACAAAAGCACTATATATTAATAGCACCACATTATGGCTTGATACAACTGCAACTTTGTCCAACATTTCAGATTTGATAATGTGTGTAACCTGCACCAAGTTATAAATACGAATTTTACTATTTTCTTAGTTTTTCTTTTTTTTTTCTTATTTATTTTATTCTTTTACACAAGCAGCTGGATTTGCTTTATTCAACATGGTGACAGTAGACAAAATCGTAATTATCTCATCCATAGATTGTATGCATGTAATTTAACAATAAAGAAAAGGTTCGACGTATAACAGAAACTCGCTGGTCGAAAATGTACATTACAATGGCTTTACTTCAATGTTTATTCATTGTGGCGCTACAAGCATTTATTTGTTACGAAAACACAATACAGGCCAATCTGTTGCCTTCGTTTGATACAAGTGTGCTATCATCCACCACAACAGGTTCAGATACAATACCTGCTCGAGCCAGAGATCGATTGGGCCGTATCAAATGGGAGAACATTGCATTTATGGGCTTCCAAGCTTGGTTCTTTGGCATCGCTGTTGATGCAGTAAGTGAAGCCAGATTAACAAATTACATAAACTAATTTATATAGACGGTTTATCAAAACACAGCTGAGATTCTAATTTTGGCCGTCTTAAACGGCCTTTGTGCCATTTTAGGTGCACTTGAAATCGTGGATGGCAACAAATGGCTCACGTTGTTGAAAAAGACAGATTATTCAACTGCACCATTGGCTATTGCAGAAAAAATTGAAATTGCGTTATCTGCTACCATCTTACTTTTTGCTATCATCATGGGCTATCTTAGTTTTGCGATGTCCAAACAGTTTGGTTGGAACATCTATAAAAAGATTGGCGCAGATGTCCGAATCCAAAGTAAGTCAAATAGACATTCTACTGGTTTATTTAGTTTTGATAGAAATGTATCGCACGTTCCAGTTCTTTGTATTGGCTCTCAAAGTCAATATCTTTACCGGATTTATGGTGTCCTTGTTTTATCTGATCCAATTTGCCTTGAAGCAAAGTGATTCAAAGTGGAACATTTGGTTCCAATTAGTTTGCACAATTTTAATGCTTCCATTTCTTTATTTTGCACGTACTGCAGGTAGTACAGAAAGTATCCTCAGAATGTCTATCTTTCTTTGCTTTCAAGCTGTTGTCATTGTTCATTTTGTCTTGATCTTGAGAGATACAATGCAACCCAACAATAATTGGTATACTTGGATTGCTTTTAGTAAGTGTTGATATGTCATTTTGATCTGTGTTTAATCGTCTCTCGTAGTATGTGTGGGTATTGCTGTTGACTTGATCACCATTGTGCTTGGAATCATGACGATGAAAAACTTTAAAGGAGGACTTCAGCCTTATGTTCAACGAGGTGCCAAGGACAAAAAATACCATGATCTAGAACTCAACAAGACTAACACTAATGATACTTGGCAAATTGACGATAATTAGAAAATTTATATTGTTTAATACTTTATGCAAATATAGACCATTCATAATTACCCACCCTTTGATATATATATATAATAATAATAATAAATATTCCCTATCTACTTTGTTTCTTTTCTACAGAAAGTACTAGCATCGATGGGCACTTTGCCTTAATATTTTTTGCGATGTATCTCCCTTTTTCAACAAAAGACGTTTGCATAAAACGGAACTTGAACCACTGCACGGCAAAAGCTTTTATTTTATTATATTTTTTTCAAATAGATATCACAATAAATAATTAAGCAAAAGGAGGAAAGGCTTTAGCGGGGATAGCACCAGAAGGAGCAGGACTTTCAGTGGATGGTGAGTTCATGGCGCTGTTTGGGTTACTGACAGCTCCCTTCAAGGCCATCAATTGATTTGAGCGGAAGGTTTCATAATGAACCATAGCTGTTGTTTCAACCAAATCTTGCAAATGAGTTCTGGTCAAAAAGTTACGCAAATGGACAAATTCACAATGGTTCTCATCTTCAACAATCACTGTGCCCCATCTAGATTTACGACCAATGACTGCCTTTCCATCCACAACCACTTGTTTTTCTGAACCAACTATAGCAAAAGGCAAGAGTTCCTATCATGTATGAGTTTTACATAACAAATATAAAAAATAACTTACTCTAATACTAGTATTCAACATACGTTCTTCTTCGTCATAATCTTCGGTTGAATCATAGGGATATAAATCAATTTGATGGAATTCTAATGCTTCATTGATCTATAATAGATTAGTAACAAGTTGATAGCTTTATCGCCTACTCTTTTCTTGAATGCTGCACGCTCTTCAATAGTAAGTGAATCTGATTTTGCAATCACAGGCACAACATTGACAACTTCAACAAGCTTTTTGAGAACAATAACATCAATAGGTTTTAATCTATTTTAAAATTTTAATTAGTTTTGGTGTGACATATAAAAAAAAATACACTTACGAGTGACCAGAAGGTGTAATGAAATAAAGGCAACAATGAACACGGTTATCTTGAATGATTCTTTCACGCTGAGCAGTTAATTCTTTACGAAGATAGGCAGAGTGTTGATCTTTAATGTACTTGATAATAGGCTCCCAACTATGAAATATAAGCAAAAGAAAAAAAAGCATCGCCCTAAGATCCATACCAATCTTCATTATCCACTTGATCACCAAAGCCAGGTGTGTCCACAATATTGAGTCTGAGACGTACACCATTTTCCTGAATAACTTATTTGATGTAAGCTATCAATAATAATAATGATAAAATGAGTTACCATGAGATACAGATTCAATTCGAGTAGTTTGCTTTGTTAAATCTTCGACTTGTTGTCTGCCCTTACTGTCAATAAGATGAGAAGCGAATAGTGTGTTGACAAGTGTTGATTTTCCTAGACCAGTTTGACCTAATATATGTTAGATGAAGTCAAAAAGAAAAAGAAAGACATTACCAACAACCATCACATTGAACTGAAATCCTCGCTTGATTGACTTTTTTTCAATTTGTTGAGTAATAGTGTCAAAACCGACATAGCCATTTAAAGGTGTAGAATTCTAATTTATAAGTGACAGGTTGACATTATGCATGATTACCTCCTGAGCAACGGTTGTCATGGTAAAGAGATGAAGAGAAAGAGAGAGAAAGGTTACAGCGGGCTTTAGATGTTTTTTTTTTCTTTTGTTTTTATTTTTCAGGTTTGAAGCACGCTTTAGTTTGATCTGTTCATCATTATTATTCTTTTTTTTTTATATCTTTGATCAATGCATTTCTTACTTTTTGTTGTTGTTGTTGCTGCTGCTGTTGTTGTTGTTGTTGTTGTTGTTGTTGTTGTTGTGTTGTTGTTAAACTTTGAGCCTATCTTTCATGTCAAACATACATGCAGTGCTTCAAAAAGTGTAGCATTTCGAAACTCCGAGAAAGCAGAATAAAAAAAAAAGTGTTTTAAGCTTGGACCACGTTCTTCTCTTTCTGTTTTCACCATCAAATGCTGTAAGACATTATTTATTTTGTTTATTTTTTTTTTGTGTACCATTTGATATTACTCCCTCTTTTTTTTTTCTTTCTTTTATTTTCTTTGTATTCGAACAATCTCCGCTACGCTTATGACAAAAGAAAACAGCTCAACAACTGCTGTACAAGTAGGCAAGTCAAGTCTCTATAAAACATACCATGCTAACCCTGATAAAATAAAAAGCGCTAAGAATTCGACCTTTAACGAACCGTGATCGTGCTCAACCGCGGTTTGCTAATCTAGCGAACGACGACGTACTTAAGCTGTTTGACAAGACAGTCAAAGTAGTCTCCCAAAACAAATTGTTTACTTTTGATCATGTATTTGGCACAGACAGTACACAGGAAGAAATATTTTCTAATGTGGGTGATCATTTAATTCGCAAATTTATAGAAGGTAATTAAGGGGGGCTGAAGAGTTCATGCTATCCTTGTCATTGGTCGTATGTCTAAAAAAAATTTTATAGGCTACAATATTACAATTCTTGCCTATGTAATGCTATACTATGATAAGCAAAAGTTATTAATGTATTTATTCAGGGTCAAACATCTTCTGGAAAGACATATACCATGGGTACTGCTGCTAATGGTGCTGGCACAAATCCAGCTGATGAAGGCATTGTACCTAGATCCATGGCACTTTTATTTGACTTACTTCATCATAATAATCAAAATGAAAGACCGATTTCACCTACTTCTTCGGTCTCTTCTTCCACTACCACATCCAACAAAAGCAGTAGACTTCGACCCAAATCAAGGATTGGACGTAGTTCTCATGTGCCTCAAGTCAATCATTCACCCAAGACAAAGTTCACTGTCAAAGTGTCCTTTATTGAAATTTACAATGAAGATTTACACGATTTATTGAATTCAGCTCCGATGGAAGAACTGCCACCGATTACAATTCGTGAAGATACCAAAGGCAGGATTTATTGGACAGGCGTCAAGGAAGTTACTGTTCATAGTACAGACGATGTTCTCTAGTAAGTGCTATGATGTCATTTCAATAAAATCTCAATTGACCTTGATTTATAGCTATCTCGAGCAAGGTACCCAAAACAGAGCAACAGGTGCCACAGACATGAATGAAAAATCATCACGATCGCATGCTATTTTTTCAGTATCACTCAGACAAGAAAAATGGGTGCCTTCAGAAACCAAGAAAATGGCAAGACCTCAGAGTTCATTAAGTTTGCGTTCTTCAAAGCAACCTCAATTACCCCAAGAAGAAGGCGAATGGCTTATTACTACCTCTAAATTTCATTTTGTGGATTTAGCAGGCAGCGAAAGAGTAAGCTTTGTTTACTTAATCATGTCATGTATTTATTTTATTTCTAGTTAAAACGAACAGCTGCTGAAGGTGACCGTCGCAAAGAAGGTATCAATATCAATGCAGGTTTACTTGCCTTGGGCAATGTGATTTCTGCTTTAGGAGATCCTTCAAAAAAGAATGTCCATGTACCTTACCGTGATTCAAAATTGACTCGTCTTCTTCAAGACTCATTGGGTGGTAGTGCCACTACACTCATGATTGCATGTGCCAGTCCTGCAGAATATAATTTAGCAGAAACCATCAATACATTGCAATACGCTAACCGTGCTCGAAACATTAAAAATCGATCTGAAAAAAACCAAGTAGAAGAATGGATGACAACAGAAAATGTTGAACTCTTACGCTCCATTATCGGAAAACTCAAAAACGAACTAAACTATCTGAAAGCAAGCAACAAAATATCCTCCTCTTCCTCGCAGCCCCATGAAGATATGGACGATGCCATGTCTTCTACTTCTTCAGCTCATTCTATGGAAGAAATTTATCATGAACAACGCTTATTGATTGCAGATCTTCAGCGACAATTAGAAGAATTAGATGGTGAGGCCTCTGTTACAAGAGAACGAAATCGCATGGTTGAAAAGGAACTTCAGCGTGTGCGTCTGTTGGAAAGCATGGCACAGAACCAACAAGTTGATTTTCAACATTTAGTTGAACCTGTCATTGAAGAATACGAAAAAAGTGTGAGCAAATTAGAATCTCAATTGGCCATGACAAAAGCAGCACTTAATCATTCGGAAATGGGATATGAAGAACAACAGGCAAAAATCACACAATTGGAGGGCCTTATTCGTACACAAGAACAGACAATTAGCGAACTTCGATCACGTTTGACTAAACTGCTTGAACGCGAACAAAGTAACGAGAGTTATATTCATGAACTTGAAACAAAATTGCTCAAGAGCGCCAGCGAGACGCATAAAGATCAAGAAATGCTCAATGAATTAAAGACTCGTATTCTCAAATTTAAAGAGACAGATGAAAATACAGAACAGTACATTATCAACCTGGAACAACGTTTAGCTGCCAGTGATGCTGAAAAGGCGCGTTTGCAGCAATGCGTAGAAGACTTGGAAGCCAAGATTGAAGCAAAAGAACGCACCAATGTCGAACTGTTGAAGCGACTCTCAAAGACCAATGTGTCCAAAGAAAAAATGATTCAAGACGAACTCAATCAAGTGAATGTTAAATACGCTGAATTAGAAAAGGAACGAGATGTGCTTCAACAACAAATTGATCAGCTCCAAAAAGACCCAAGGCATAGTTACTCAGAAACAAGTCATGATAGTCAGTATGATGATGAATTTAGTCAACGCAGACTTTCGAGCTCTTCATCATTGACAAGTGCTGGTAAAAAAGCACGCAATAGCCGCAAGAGTTTTGCGGATGAGCCCGAAGTGTCTATGGCTGCTTTGATTCAAACAGAAGCACGTCTCAAAGAAGAAACCGAGAGAGCAGATCATTTACAGCATACACTCGATCGTTTACAATTTGATCATGAAGAGACTGTGAAAGAGCTTGACGAAGTATTGCAACGGTACCAAGAAACACTTGAACAACTCGAATTTGAACGTGACTCTATATCGAATAGAAAAAGTACTGATCTCAGTAATGAAATTGCACAAGCTACTAAAGAACAAGAAAAAGTAGCACTTGAGAACCAAATCAAGGATCTTGAGCATCGTGTGCAATCCTTGGCCAAGAAAATTGCTATTCAGGATTCTGAACTCGAAATTGCTCATAATACAATACAGAAATTAGAGCAAGAATTAGAGACAGTGCATAAACAAAGAGAAGAACAAGAAAATGATGACCAAGATCTCAAGGCACTTTTGGCACAAGAAAAAAAACAGGCATCTCATTGGCGAATTGTTCATAATGAGCTCAAGCAAGACATGGCCAAGCTCACAAGTGATTTAGACGGCAAGGAGCGATTCATTAGTCAACTGAAAGAAAAACTGGATGAAGATGGTACCAGCCGTGAAAGCCTTCAGACACAATTAGATCAAACAAGCCAACAAGCAACGGAATTACAAAAGCGATTAGCAGAAACAACGGCTTCTTTGGCTGTCTTAAAAGTGGCTCATGATGAACTTCAAAAGAAATTAGAACAAGAACAAGCCAAAAACAAACTAGTCCAAAACAACCAAAAACTTGAGTCTGAACTTGCTCATGCTCAGCATAACCTGGATACCAAAACAAATGAACTCAACACTTTATTAGCACAAGCAGTGTCTGATAAAGAAGCTGCTTTACTAAAATTGGCTGAGATGGAACAAGACCAGACCAGCAACATACAGATGGACGAATTAAAGCAGTCGTTTGAGACCACATTTGATGGCCTCAAAATCCAGATTTCGTCACTTGAAAAAGAATTAGCAGCATCAAAAGCATTGACTGAAGAGCTCAAAGCTGATCATCAAGTCCAAATCAACGAACTAACACTCAATTTTGAGAATGCGTCTCGGCAACTCTTGGAACAAATTGCTGAATTAGAGCATGAGCTGGAACAGTCAAAAGCAACCCATACCAAGGCTCTTTTAGATCACGACAGTGAGATGATGGAACTCTCTAAAAACTTTGAACATGTCACACGTGAAATGGAAGACCAAATATCTGAATTGGAAAGTGAATTAGAAGCCTCTAAGGACTTGCATCAAGAAATCCTCTCCAGTCATAATGAACGCATGCGCAATGTGACACAGTCTACACAAAAAGAACAGCAAGAGACGCAACAGAAATTAGAGCATCAAATTCAAGTACTTGAAGCTGAATTGGCTCAACTAAAACAATCTCAACAAAAACAACTGGCAAGCCACAGTACCAACATAGACCAAGTCAAGTCAGAATACCAACAGCAGTACGATACACTCAAAAAACAAAGAGATGAGATGCAACTTGAATTTGAAGCCATGAAAACAGGTCATGCTGACCAATTACGTCAAATGAAGATTGAACATGAACAAAATATGAATCATGGTCGAGCTACTTTAGAACAAGTTCAAAACAAACTGGACATGTTGGTAGCTGACAATGAAAAGTTGCAGAAAGAAAAGCAAACTTTAGAGACAGAAATCAAGGCATTACAACGAGAACTAGCGAATTCACCTTCCCCTGTTCCTCCTCCTCCACCTCAAGTCACTATTCATAAAAACAACAGCTCAGAACGTGTGGCTGAAAAAATTGCTCAATTAGAATCACAACTTCAAACTGCGTCACCCAAAAATCAAACCACATCTGTGAGTCTTCAACGACAACTAGATCGCCTTCAAGTTCAGCTAAAAGAAAGCAACGACATGGTTAAACAATTAGAGGCAGATGCCAATGAACATAGCACACATGAGGCAGAGTTACGCCGCTTACATGATGAAAAACAAGCACAGGTTGAACAACAAGCCTCACAAATGAAACAGCAGACAAAAGAGATAGAGTCACTCTCGGTTCAAATCAGACAACTCCAAGACAATAGCCGCATGACTGATCTTGAGAAACAAATGAAGCGTATACAAGAAGAAAATTCAGAATACACAGCACTTGCAGAAGAACTTGAAAAAGAAATCAACCGAGTGACAGAAGAGAAAGAAAGTTTGGCGGATGCCCTGGAGGAGAACCAAGAAGCACTTGAGGAATATCAGCAGAAATTAGAGCAAATCCAAGCCATGTTGGGCCTTTCAAACAAACATGACCTTGCAGGCGAATTAAAGCAGGTCATAGAAGAAAGATCGGCTATGTCAACTAAATTAGCTCAGATGGAAGCACAAGACCAGTCATCTGTGAACAATAAGATTGACGGATCGGGAGCTCTGTCACAAACTATGATTTCTAATGCCGATTATGAGCAGTTAAAGAAAGATTATCAAGAGCAAATGAAGCAAATGGTGTCTCGACAAGAATTAGAAGAACAAGAGCAAAAATACCAAGTGTCTGAGAAAGCAAGGAAGAAATTGGAAAAGCAACTGGAAGAACTTTTGGCTAAAAAGTCTTCCTTTCTGTGTTTCTAAAAAAGTTAGTATTCTTTATAATATATAATATTTTTTTTTTTTTGATTGACATAATATCATGTGTACAAAACGAGTAGAATGAGGAGCAAATATATACATAAATGTCGTTCTAGATGCACACACGTGGCTTTATATTGTACAGCATGATAAAGAAGTCTTATTTTTTTTCTTCTACATAATACTGTTCAGCTGATAGTGATATTCATGCAAATAGGGGAGAGCAAGTTCTTCTTATACTACTGGCACGAATTCAAGGAGTTGTCAACAATCCTTGGTAATAAGCCGCCAAAAAAAAGTTTTAAAGATAACACTTTGACCTGTTTAAACCTGCAAAACTTCTATTGTCAATATATATTCTCCCGCCTTTCATTACTCCTTTTTCTTATTCTTTGCTCCTATTTTTTAAGAGATAAAGAAAATCGATAAACAATACGCTATTGTTTTGTAAATAGTTAACAACAAATAGATGGACAGCTTTTTTAAATCAGCTGGTCCGTGCTTTTTTATCTCTATTATTTTTGCTTTCTTTCTTTTATAGTCCGGGACGCTAAACCGAAATGATCATCCGGTAAAGTATAACTCAAACAAAAAAGAAAAGAAGAAAAAGAAAGGGAGAGAGAGAGAAAAAAAGAAGAAGAGATTATCAGACCATTTGACGTCTATCGAGAAAGTGAGGGATGAAACGTTTAATGATAACTTCTTTTTTGCAACTTGTTCATGCTCCTATTTTCTGTATTTTATTTCACTTTTCTTTTTAGGCACAAGTAACACGAATAATTACTCCTCTTTATATAACCGTAGACTGGCCGCGTTTTTGTATACTTACAAAAGCTAATTGATTGTACTACTGCTGCTTACTTTATAGTTTAAGCAATCATCATGTGGGTCTAACATACATTTATATAACTCAAAATTCTTTCTTACTTTCTCTTTCCTCCCTCTCTCTCTCTCTTTCTCTTTCTTCCTCTATTATTACTATTACTTAAAAATGACTAGCAGATTTGAAAAGGTATAAATAGTAATAAGACATATGTATTCATTGTTTATAGTACACTGTCAAATCATTCTGCCCCTTGATCTTATATCACGATAATCCATCAGAGCAACTTTCTTTAGAATTAAGCGAAGATAAACAACACACAGCCATCGATCGTCATCGTGAAAAAATCACTGAAATGCTGGAACACAATGCACAATTCTGGACTGAAAAAACTGGCTTGGTGGAATTTGAAGCTGGTAATGTAATTTGTTTGTATAATGTGATACAGAAGAATCAGTGCACAGTAAAAAGACTAACATCAAATCATATAAACAGATTATTTAGATAAAGACATTAAAGTGTCACCCAGTACAAGCACAACATCTAATATTAGCTCGTCCAGCTCTAGTTCTGGTGACAGCATTGCCACCATTGACCATTCAACCTATCACACAAAATATATGGTTCGATCACCTATGACAGAGACACAAGGTCATTACTATTCTCTCACTGAAGAAGAACAAACAAAAACACCATTACAAAGAAAACAAGCAACAAGGTCAACAAAACCTCTTATGAATGATACGACTAAAAAGAGAAGAAGAGGCAACCTTCCAAAAGAAGTGACTGAATTCCTTCGTAAATGGCTCATTCAACACAAGAAACATCCTTATCCAGCTGAAAAAGAAAAGGCAGATTTAGCTCGTCATACAGGTCTTACTGTAAATCAAATCAGTAACTGGTTTATTAATGCTAGACGCCGTATTCTGCAGCCCATGCTAGAGTCAGAAAACCTTACTGCCCAAATGATGGCTTACCCTGAACTTATGCAAAACCATCATGAACCAGCAAGAAGAAGAAGACATGATTTCTACACATACCAGAGAGAATTTGTTCATTCACTGCGTAAGTGACAATCACATTCAAACATTATACTGATTTATTTGTGATAGCACACACTATGAATGACTCCATGCCTACTCCTCCTCTTCCTCCTCCTTCTCATTCACTTTATTCCTCATCACACATGCATTAAACCCCCCCAAAAAAATTACTTTTATTTGTATATGTATACACACTCATTCCCTTAATATTTTTTTTTAGCAAAAGAGAATACTTTCGTTTTCATTCTATGCTTATTCCTATATATGATGTATCATACTATGACGCACAAAATAACCAAGTTGCATAATAAATTGACAGATGACTAATCATAATATGGTTTAGTCAGATCTTAACACACACAGGCCATCAAATTGACTGACAGTGAAACCTCAATTATGTATTCTTTTCTTCGATAAGCATATCTTGTCATCTTTTAAGGAGATATCGTTTGTCCTACAGTTTAGGTGGGAAAAACGAACTTGATTCTCCTTTTTGTTCATAATGTGATATCCTTCCATTTACATTGCAGAAATACATATATAGCTGCAGATGGGGTTCTGTTGTAACACAGCATAGAGTTACACTTCCTCTTTCTCATTGGGATTTTTTAGTTCGTGTGTTACTCTTTAACAAATAAGATTGACATTCTTATTTACTAAAAATAAAAAGTCATCGGATCACTCAACAAAGGACCTAGACACTTTGAAGTAGTACAATGAAAGGAACAATAATAACAAAGAGACATGTCTCAAGGTCTGTGCGTATCTGAGCGCATAATAATAAACAATATCCTACTATCCTGCCTGTTGAAGTAGGTTATTTTATTCAGCTTTTTTTGATAGGCACTATTTTGAAGACCTTTTTTACAATATTTTTAACTTGGTCATGCTTTTTTGTAGTCTTATGACCAATTGATAGAGGTATTCGTTTCTCGATATAGGTTTTCATGGTCTTGCCAAACGATGACCTATGCTCTTGTATGCACGGGACTGGCTTATCAAGCAAAGGCACAAAGGTGTCAAAAGCAGTCTGAACATGACGATCTATTGTGTCATTAGAGAATATAGGTTCAAGATATTCCTCAGGTTCAGGATGTATTGCCCTATCTACCAGTCGAAACATCATAGGAGAAACCAGAGCATAGCAGGGATCCAGTTGAGATGAGAAAATAGACAAATAAGGCTCTTCCGAAAAGGGTTCTTGTACATACGTATTTTCCATCAGGGCATACAGTGCTTCTTGTGTATAAACCAACCAGTCTTGGTTGCGCCTTTGAACCTTATAAATTGAACGATTGTAAAACTTGGCCTTGGCGAGTGTCGTTTCTGACTTGAATAAACAGGTTGGTTTCTGGCTCGCATGTTCAATGATCAAACAAGTGAGGAAGTGACCTGCTTTTTCTGCCAGGATAGGACCACAATCCGTTGGTCCGAGTGTTACCTTTCCCATAGCTTCACCAAGCCGATAAGCACTCATGTCATTGTCATTTTTGTAACACATGACTTGAGTCAAAAAATCAATGATCTTGAGAAGTAAACAAATGGCATTTTTTGATAAATAAGGCATCAGTTCATTTAAGCTACATGCTGTGTTTTATATCAGTAAAGTATGTTTTGATCAAGAGACATGCTACTTGTATAGTTGATCTGTCGCCACACTTTTTTAGGCATAATACGCTCTTCACAACACCATAATACTTCTTGCATTAGTGTTGCCACAGAATGAATATCCACAGTAGAAAGATCAATCTCTGTGCTTTCTATTTTTTGAAGTGCTTTTAGTGTTAACATAGGGTTTGGTACTAGATATTTTGTTTGTTTGTTTGTTTGTGTGTTTGTATTAATTTATCACATGCATATTTTCTTATTTTACTTGCCAGTTTTACAAAAGATTTTGAACTCTGCTAAGCCTATTTTAAGTTTTAGTTGTCAACAAACGCATGATAACATGTACCTCTTTTGACTATTTCATCCATGCATAATTGGCTTATAGACATAGTAAATTGAATTGAACACATTTCGTCCCTAAAAAAAAAAGGAAAAGAAAGAAGGAGAAAAAAAAAGGGAATGAGACAAGCAAGTACCTTGTTTTGAATTCAAAAAAACTAGTTTTTGTTTGCTTTTGTTGAGGAAGAGGGTTTTTTTTTTATTTGATTTTTTCTGCAGTTTGAGACAGCTCCCACTTTTTTGGAATATATACTCAAAGGGAACTGGTCAGAGCAGCTTACTTTATTCTAAATTCTGCTTTATTTCAATTGGAGCTGTCTATCATGAGGCAAATGCTGTCCTTTATTACTGGTATTTATTTTTTTCATACCTTTTCGTTTAAGAGATAGTCCGTCTACTCCAAAGCTCATTCAAAAATAGTGAGCATTTTTGTAGATATATTGATTTCAAAACAATATTTGCTATAGACGTTTTCAATTCACGCGTATATAACAAATTGTAGTTTTGTTGATGTTTGTCATGTCTAAAGCTGTTTTTCATCTTGAAGGTGACAATTATTATATAAAGTCTTACTCATGCACATTCTATGCACCGAATGGCGTATAACCAAGTACGCATTTACTAGTCAGTATTGACTGAAAAGCACCTCTTTTGTGCTAATTATAGTGTACAATGACTTTTAAATACAGATCTGAAGCCAATGCTCAAATTAAGTCGCCTTTTTCACCTTAGCAAACTCGTTTTCTTTTCATCAGAAGTACCTAGACATAGTCTCACCTGATTTTGGTTGGTTCAGATTTTTTTTGTATTCAAAATATGTTTTTTTTAGTTACACATCACAGAGGGGGTGTAACGTGGATAGACTGAAAAGGTTGGATCAGACCTACATTGGGCCATTCCAAAAATTCTCGATCGAGTTTTGTTTTTTCATCTTCACGGACCTCTGTAGATTCCCCACCGGTCAAAAAATGAAGTTCACCCAAAAGCCAAGCCAATGACACTATTCGTTCCCTGGGCTCTAAAGAACATGTTTCAAATGAAAAAACAAACTGTTTTGATAGTCTAGTTGTCGAGTAATGGAGCATCAAAGAAAGTGCATTTAAGCTGTGATCTGAGCATTTTTGCTCTAGATGGTATATAGAATGTAATAAAGATTGACTTCTACAAACAATTTTATGCTACTTTGAGTGTTAAAGAGCATAGAGAACTAGAAAGTATGTATTTAGAGCATTCATGTGTGTATAAATAAACTTTAAGCTTCCTTTGTGTGGTCATACAAGTCTGTTCTTTCAATAGTCATCATTAATTTAGTCAATGACTTTTTGTCCTGAGAAGAGCCAATTCATACAAAACGTAAGGGACACTAATGACATACGATCAACTGGACGGAGTGTCTCCCTTTCTGATATTTTATGACAATGTAGCACGCCTAGAGTTGATATCTTATGCCAATCTCTAGAATAAATTGAATATTGCACAAGTAACAGCCAATCTGATGAATAGATTTAATCCTGGCATTGCTGCACTTTATAAGGATTGTCTAAGCTATGACACTGGTAATATTTAACTTAAAAGTGATAATTTCTTTGCATCCTTGATTCTAGTGTTGTATGAAGTATAAATAATGTGATATTTGATTGGTGGCATTAGCTGTAAATGTAACTCTTATGTCCTGACAAAGACATAATAATTTCAATGAAGGGCATATCTTTGGGGGGGATAAGCACAGACATTGTCAAAGACAAAAGCACCATGCGTTCATAAAAGCAGTCCATTATTGAACCAATCATATCATTTTAAATTGTTTGATTTGAACTGTGCAGATGACGTTCAAGTTTTTTTTTCCCTTCTCACCTTTTTTTTAATCAATGGCTTCACTTTCAAGGTAATCTATTGCTCTTCATCTGTGTTGACTAAATCCTTCATTAGTCTTTTACCAAAGCCTCGCCAAACACTGGCCAACAGCTCCACTTCAGCACCACAACTTGAAAAGCAATACAATCAACTTGTGACCAAAACAACACAGAGTCGCATTCCACCTTATGGTCAACGTCAACAGTTTCGACCTCGTGCTCCTGAAGACTTTGGCAATGGTGGTGCTTTTCCTGAAATCCATATTGCTCAATACCCTCTCAATATGGGTCGCAAAGACAACAAAGCAGCTGATCGTAAAGGAGGTGCATTAACCCTTCAAGTCGATGCCGATGGTAATGTCAAGTACGATGCGATTGCCAAACAAGGACACAGTGATGATCGTATTGTCCATACGTCTTACAAGGATTTGGTGCCTATCACTGAACGCAAAGACATGGATGCAGACAAACTAGTGATGGACAGACCTAGCGAAGAAGAAGTCATGAGTGTGGCAGAAAAGACGCGTTTAGCGCTAGAAAAGATTGTGAATGGCAAGATCAAGGCATCTCAACCCAAGAACGTTGTTTCCGGTGGCAATGGTACCAACAAAGATCCTACTTATATTCGTTATACACCTATTCAGAGTCAAAATAGTGATTCAGGTGCTAAGCAAAGAATCATTCGTATGGTCGACGCACCTAGAGATCCTATGGAGCCACCCAACCATTTACACAAAAAAGTGCCTCGTGGACCTCCTTCACCTCCAGCACCTGTGATGCACTCACCTCCTCGTAAATTGACAGCCAAAGAACAAGCTGAATGGGTCATTCCTCCCTGTGTCTCTAATTGGAAGAACACAAAGGGTTATACGATTCCTCTCGACAAACGTTTGGCTGCTGATGGCCGTGGTCTTCAGGAACTGACCATCAATGACAATTTTGCTAAATTTTCAGAAGCCTTGTATGCTGCTGATCGTCATGCAAGAGAAGAAGTCAGACAGAGAAACTTGATGCAACAGAAACTCGCTCAAAAGCAAAAGGAAGCAGAAGAAGACAAATTGAGACAATTGGCTCAAAAGGCACGTGAAGAACGAGCTGGGTTTAAGCCTAGTCATGCTGAACCACCTGCGGATGCCAATAGACCTTCTGCTTCTTCTCTTATGCCAGATTATGATTCTTCAGGCAGTGAATCAGGTTCAGATAAATCAGATAGTGATGAATCGCCTGTTCGACGCCGTGATGAAGACGAGAGTGATGAAGAAGGAGCAAGAGAACGTGATCGTCTAAGACATGATCGTCAAAAGCAAAGACAAAGAGAAATGCGTATGAGTAAGATGGGTACAGAAGCGAAAGCCAAACATCTTGCCCGGTAAGTTTTTTTCTTTCTATCTGTTGAACTTATATATCGATATAGTGAACAAGGCCGTGATATCTCTGAAAAGATTGCACTTGGTTTAGCCAAACCTAGTTTAAGTAAAGAAAGCATGTATGATGCAAGACTGTTCAATCAAACAGAAGGCCTTAGTTCTGGCTTTGGCAATGATGAATCTTATAATATCTATGACAAGCCATTGTTTAATCAATCATCATCATCTATCTACAGATACAGAGGAGAGAATACAGAATCAGAAGTATTGGGCAGCACAAATACAGAAGACCTTGAAAGATCAATTCGACAAGACAAATTTGGTGTTCGAAAGGGTTTCCAAGGCACAGAAGGAGGTGAAACTTCAGCTGGTCCTGTTGAATTTGAAAAAGAAACCATGGCCAAGCCCAAGACAGACAAAGATGTCTTTGGTTTAGATACCTTTTTGAACAAGGCAAAGAAGGGCAAAAGAGCGCGTGAAGATGACGACAACAGTGATGATGATGATGATGACAATAGACATAAGCGATAATTCATTCTTTTATTATTCAATAAAGCCATTACCACATAAATCGTTGTATTTGTCCTGGTTCATTTGGCCATGTAAATGGCTTGTAAATAAACAGATACATGGCAGCACTGTGTAAACTAGCATAAAGAACAAGTCCAATCAAAGTACGATAGGTTTGAACAGGAGGAGGAAGATGGATCATGTAGAACAAGAAGGGAAGAATGAAATAACGGAATTCAAGCAGAGGAGAAGGTACGAGTGTCAAGACAAGTGTGATCATGTAGCCCAAGACAAACAAGAAGCTATTGTATTGAGCTATTGAATGTAAGTCGAATTTCAAGCTGCCATCTTCCTTACCAAATACATGTACATTCAAGAATCCACTTGCCACATAGACAGGTGCTAACAAGTAACGAGCAGAAGCATGCCTCTTGTAAACATTCTTCCAAACATAAAAACTATAATGTCGATTATCACTCAACAGAAATGGATGTTCATAACTTAAACAAGTCAGTAATTGGATGATCCATGAAAGATATGCTTACGTGTAGTTGTGAATCAAATACAAAGACACCATGCCTGTCAAAATACCATAGACACATTGCTTCAGAGTCAATAGACTCTTGATAGAAGCCACTGAGAATGTCCAAGGAGCAGAAAAGAAAGACAGAAAGGATGTAAAATAAAAGAGTTGAGGGAAATGAAGACCTGCTATATGGTTTGATTTATCCCCCAAGACAATACCACTATTCCATACAAGAAATACAGCAAACAAGACAATCCCAAGCAAGAATGTCCATGTCTGATAGATCACTCTACGGTACTGATGTACTAGATGGACGACAAGGCTTGAGATAGATTGAAGCATATGAACTACATGATTAGTTTACTGTAATCTATACTGTTCATATACCTGGATGAGTTATGTCTGAACATAATGGATTGTACAGAGGATGGTCTTGTTGCTTTTTATCTTGTAATATGTCTATCACAGCGACCATCATACACAAACAGAGCCAGATCACATTGGTCTGTCTAAAACTCATTGACACAATACCCACCAAACCAGCTGCATGATAATATCGCTTCTTGACTGCTAAATAACACAGCAAGACAAAAAATGTGGATCCTGTGTCTGTATAATACACTGCATTATAAAAGAAGCCAACAGGGAACCATGCTAATGCAAGTGCATACAGTCTAGCGTGCCAATCATGGCCTGATTTGACAAGTTGAACAAGTACAACATAGAGGCCAATCGAGAACAAAATATTAGTGAAACGTAGCGTGTTTATGGTACAGAGATCAAGCTGGAATACTTGACCTACAAGGGCTATCAAGTTACTCATGAGATATCTATCCCAAACCAATGTCAGGCACATTCTTTATGCAATGTTAACCTACAATCCAGGAGGTGTGGTCAATTTGGGGTCCCACACAGCATAGTCACCTTGGCAATAATGTTGTGCCTGAGGAATATGGAATATTTCATCCTAATGCACTGTCTAAGCCAGTTCTATTGATAGTTATTTGCTTACCATGTAAGGCTCAGGAGCATTTTTGTTCACTAGGACTGATGTCGTGATCAAGAAAAACACATGAGCCAACAAGGACATCGTCAAAGAGAAGTTATTTGTTTGCCTATCAATGATACACACGTTTAAAAGTCCATTTTAAATCACAAAGACATTCCTGCTTTTCATTGGTTCAAAAGACAGGGAAATTACTCGAACTTTTAAACCTTTTTCTCTCTCATCTCTTTTTCTTTGTTCTCAATCGACATTAGAGAGAAACACTTGACGAAAAAGTTTTTTTTGTTTAACGGTACAACGCTTTCTTTTTTTTTTGTTGGTCATGGCTTCATCAAACGACTCTTTGGACACTTTACCTCCTTCTGCCCAGTTGGCTCTTTTGCACGCGCAAGCAGCAAACACTTCATCTACAGTTGAAGAAGATCCCTTTGTTCCCTCTCCTGATGATCCTGTTGTGACTGAAAACTATGCTTATGAACCCTTGATTGCCGGTGACTACCCTACTCCTATTGGTAAGCCTGTAGTGGTACCTCAGAAAAAGGAACCTACCAAAAAGAACTTGGACTTGAGTTCTGAATCCGCTTTCCCTTCTCTCTCTGCTTCTCCTCGTACACCTGTAGCTACTAGTGGCTGGTCTTCTGCTGCCAGTGCTCGTGTCAAGGCTCCTGGGTCTCCTCGTCCTATGGCTCCCCCTGCTTCTGGCCAGACTGCCAAGAAGGCTGCTTCCAGTATCACCAGCGTGATGAAATTACCTGCTCATCAACAAATTGCCAACATGGCTAACAAGCCTCTTGGTTTCAAGAGCAATGCTGATGTGATTCAGCAAGTGATCAAAAAGACAGGTACCAATATCATTGCTTCTACCAATCGTGCGGGTACCACGACTTTCCTTATTCAAGGTGCTCCTCAAGATGTGAATAAGGCAAAGCGAGAATTGGCTGCTGGTCTTGTTGTCAAGGTAAGCAAAAAACAAAAACGAAAACAAAAAGTGAGAGAATGTGTCATTGATTTTCTTTTAGCGTACGGTTGAGATTGCTGTTCCTTCTTCTACTCGTCGTTTTATTATTGGTGCTAAGGGTGCTACCTTGAAGCAAATTGAAGCTAAATCAAACACCCGTATCAACTTCCCTCGCAAAGAAGATGAAGAGACTTCATTCAGTGAAGAAAACACTGATGAATTGATTGATGTCACTATTGTGGGTGATTCCACTGGTATTGCGATTGCCAAAGAAGAGATCGAAAAGATCATTGGCGACAAGGTAATGGCGTAAAGTGGAAAAGTGTAAGCTGATTTCATGTTAGATTGCCAAATCTACCATCAAGGTGGATCATTTGGACAGCAAGTACTATCTTTTCCTTTGTGGCTCTGAAAACATCAACTTGAGAAAGATTGAAGATGAATTTGATGTCAAGGTTCAAGTACCCGCTGTGATTGTAGATGGTAATACAAACCGTGATACGGCCATTACTATCTCGGGTGACAAGGAAAGAATCCAACAGGCTAAACAAGCCTTGGAAGCCGTGTATGCTGATATTGAAAAGAGCAGTCGTACGATTGCTATCAGTATTCCCAAGCGCCAGCACAAGTATCTGTACGGTAAGAACGGTGAAATCCTCAAGGAAATTTGGGAAGAAGCAGGCTGTACGGTAGAACTGCCTCCTACAGAAGATCCTTCTGAAAATGTCACGATTCGTGGTCTGGATGCTGATCTTGTCAAGGGTTTGACTGTCGTGATGGAAAAGGCCCGTGCTGTCCATGTAAGTGTATTGGACTTGACTGAAAACTACAAGTCAAGCGGAAAGCACGCTCTTCAACACGCTCAAGCTGCTCTCAAGTACTTGTTGCACAAGAAGAGCCTTAAGCAGATTGAACACGAACACCACGTTCAAGTGGGTGTGCCTTCTCCTGCTGAACGCAAGACATCCGTCAGCCTTGAATTCGTCAGTAAGGTCGAAAAGGACGCTGCACTTGCTCAATTGGCTCTGGCCAACATGATCCGCGAATTGCCTCCTCAAGCCTTTGGTTCTGTGGATGTCGAGGCTTACCTTCATGCTTACTTGACCTCTCATCACAGTGCTGTCTTGGACCGTATTGAATCCACTCACCATGTAACCATCATGATCCCTGATGAAAAAGAAGATTCCAAGACCATCTCTCTTGTCTATCACGGCCCTGAACCTGCTGGTGCCAAAGAAGCATTGGATGCTGCTGCTGCTGAACTCCTCAAGGTAGCTGCTGATTCTTCTGACTATATTTCCAAATCGATCTCTATCCCTGCCGATCTCCACAACGCCCTTCGTGGTCCTCGCGGTACGACCTTGAATGCCATCCTTGGCGAATCAGAAGCAATCGTTCGCTTCGGTCCCAACGACAAGGTCGAAATCCGTGGCCTGACATCCCATGTCAACCAAGTGGTCCAGAAGCTTCAAAAAGCACAAACCATGGTGAGCCAAGAGGGATACGACAAGGCCCATACAGAAGAATTCTTTATTCCTTCCAACTTTTCTGCTCATATTATTGGTAAGGCTGGTATCCATATCAACAAGCTCAAGGATGACTTTGGTGTCAAGGTCGATATTGGAGAAAACACAGAAGAAAAGACAGCCAAGAAGAAGAGCAGCAGTTCTGTCAAGGTCGTGATCCAAGGTCCTCAACTGAACACAGAAGCTGCCAAGGAACGCATTCAGTCGCAAGTCTCGAGTTTGGCTGACCAAGTCACGCTTTCTTTGAAGGTGCCCAAGGCGTTCCATCGTTTCTTGATTGGTCCCAGTGGTCGTTATGTCAAGAAATTGGAAGACAAATACAGTGTGTTTATCAAGTTCCCCAAGACTGGTAACCGTGGTGATGAAAATCCCTCGACTCCTTCTAGCCCTGATGAAATCACCGTGCGTGGTGCCAAGAAGGATGCTCAATCTGCCAAGGAAGAATTGATAGAACTTTATGAATACGAAAAGGAAGAGCAGGCTCAACGTAAGGAAAGAGAACAAAAGCACAAGGAATACCAAGAAAAGAGAGCTGCTGAAGACAAGAGAAGAGCTGAAGAAAGAGCTGCTAGAGAAGCTAGAGATGCTGCTAAAGAAGCTGCTAGAGAAGCTAGAAAGCAACAACAACAAGAACTAGCTAACAAGAAGGAATAATGTATCATAGTACACCCCCAAAAAGAATTACTTTTTGTCATTACCCCTCCACCTTTTTATGTATTTAGAAAATAATAATAAAAAAAAAGATTTTGATATGACAATTGTATTAGCATGTAAAGAATATATAATTATGGTACAAGTGGTATATATATATATATATATATATAATGTAGATTTATCGGTGAATGGTCACTATATATAAAAGTCAATATCGTAGACACATTGAATTTTTCTTTTACCTGAATGAAAGGACTCAAATGGGTCTTCTTCATCTTCATCATCGTCATCTGTAATAGGTGGTGTAGATAAACCATCATCTGCGTGTAAATCAAAACTAGCACTTTCTTTCATTCGGTTGAAATGCACAGCCCTAATTGGCTTGTCTTTGTTGGGCTTAATGGGTGGTTTTATGTTACGCAAAAGGGCGAAATTGATCGACTTGAAGAACGAATGCGCTTTGACTTCACTTGCACCTGCATGAGCACCCAACCGCTTGTTTTCATTCTTGATTAAGAGTTTCTTGATGAATGATTTACAGTCTCCTGAAATACCAGGTCCACGAAAATAAGGATTGTTTGCATAATCTGGAAATTCAACAGGGCTGGTGAGAATGAGTTCAAATGTGTCATCGCGTGTCGGTCCTTTGAAAGGTGTATATCCACACTATGCCATACTATATCAGCTAATGTGTTTGCTTGACATGCGACTTACCACCATTTCATACACAAAGATGCCTAAAGCCCACCAGTCTACTGTACTTGTATGCCCGTTACCTCGAATGACTTCAGGAGCTAAGTATTCTTCAGTGCCTACAAAAGAATTCGTGCGAAGATTCAGACAAGACTGTGTATCCACCAAAGGTTTTCTCTATGCCACAAGTAAATAAACATAAAAAGACATTAGCATCCACCTACCGAGAAAGGCGAATTATGTCGAACAAGTGTAGGTAGTGACGCAGAAGGTGATTTAATAGAAAGATCAAAATCAGAAAGCATTAAGTGTCCAGATTCGTGCAATAAAATATCTAATCAATTAATTTACATTTTTCATTAACACTCATTACTTACTTTCTGGTTTCAAGTCCCGAAAGACGATCCCCATTAAATGCAGATATTCTAATGCTGCTACTGCTTCAGCCGCATAAAATTTAGCCTCCTCTTCTTTCAGGACTCTTCCCGGTCGGTGTTGTAAGGCTAAATAGGTTTTAATTCGTTTGTTGATCATGCCACTCTCTTACCTCGGAAGAATTCACCGCCCACACAAAACTCCATACAGAAATAAAGATAATTACTGCTTTGAAACGAATGGTATAAAGGCACAATAAAAGGATGATTGACAGTAGCCAAAATGGTTTGTTCAGCCATAGCTCTTTTGATTTTGTTGCGCTTGATCATTTCCTTTTTTGATAAAACTACTCGATTTATTTAATATAAAAAAAAAGGAGACATGTATATACATATATATATACATATATATACCTTTTAACGCATAGAGTTTTTCGGTTGATTTATGCTTCACAAGATAGACCTTGCCTACATCGCCTTTACCGAGCAACCGTATTTTTTCAAAATCGGTAGGTCCTACTTGAACTTGTTTTTTCTCAAGTGTGTATGAACTTGATTTAAAAGAAGGTTTTGGTGAAACAGGCATGGATTGAGTTGTTTGTTCTGTAGGTGTACTGATGCTATAGACACTCAATGCACTATTGCTGTTTAGACTGCTGTTGTAGCTCTTGAGACTTGTTTTATCGAAATAATCTGTGGTGCTGGGAACGGAAGACACTCTTCTTATGCTGTGTTGATAGTCTGGTTGTTCAACGTCAAGCGTTCTGTTGTTTATCTTGACTTTGGCTTGAAATATCTTGTCTGGTTGGTAACAAGGTGCGGGTGAAGAAGGAAGAGACATAGGAGAGAAATAAAAACAAAAAAGGATCTAAATAAAGAAACCATGATTTTAAACAGCCTCATCATGGCGTTGATTGGTCAGGAATTAATCGGTAGAATATTTATTTATTTTGTTTATTCATCATCATCAAAAGATAATAAACTTGTTTTAGACGCTTTGTTTTTCTTTTTCTTTTTTGGCTCTGTTTTCTTGATTTCCTCATCAATGATAGATTTTAATTTTCGTTTTGAAGAAGCAGAAGTTTCCCCTTTTCTTTTACGAAACAATAGTCGACCATGTTCATCCACTGCTGGTTGTTCTGGTTCTTCTGGTTCTTGCGGTTTTTCTGGTTCATCTTGATGTATTTCTATCATAATGTTAATTTTAGGAAAACACATGGAAATTTTACCTTTTCCATGACTGTCTAATTCGACTATTTGAGCGCCTTCTAGTTCATCGTAATCTTGATCGTCTTGTCCATCTTGATAGTTTTCGAACTTTTGAGTAGCTTTTTGTTGTTCTTGTTGCTTTCCTCTAAGACGTGCTAGAAAAGGTGCTTCTTTTTGAACATAACTTATACCATTTGATATTTGTTTAGGAGTAAGGTCTTTAGGTGGCATTTATTGAATTGAAAAAAAAAAAAAAAGGCGAAAGAAATGAAGGTAATAGTCACATTTAAGCAACAGCATGATAATGACTGAAAATGTCTTGTAAAAGCTACGTAAATCAATACAAACAAAGTGAATCAAGATGACTTACTTGATCAGAAGGAAACTGTGTCATGTAAATGGTATTTGTTAAATCTTCAATCTGGAGTTCTTTTAATAGAATGTAGAGTATATGTTTACAATGAGCACCTCTCATTTTATGATCATAGCATGTACAATCCAATTTAGGTCCAATTGTTGTCGTATATACCTGATGTCATATTTAGTCTATGGTATGCATCTGCTGTTCTCTTTACCTTGCCTGTGCTGCCTCTCACTAGTCAACATGTTAGTTCATGTCATAGCCGTCTCTTTGTTACCTTTGAATTCATGCTGATGTCTGTATTTTATCATTTCTGATGATAATACTCGAATGCATTCTTTAGAAACTCGCTTTAATCTTGTTTCTAATCCCTATAGACAAAGTCAACAACACATTTTGTTTAAGCAGAACATACGTTAGGCATTGTTGTCTGTGGTGGAGGAGATGGTGGTGGTGGTGTTGATGTCTGTGCAGGACTATAGTCTTGTTCTTTTACAAATTGATCTAGCATGTAGCTGATCTGTTGTTCCGTGTCTGTTGAAAGACTCCATTCAGAGAAACTTGAATCAGTAGATGATATGCTTGTCATAATAATAAAGAAAAGAAATAAAAAAATAAAAAAAAAAATAAAAAAATCGACTACGAAATCATATCAAGTCAAATGAAACCTTGCATATAAGGTAACTCAAACTACGCACTTGTTTTCTGGATAAAATGTGATATTCCACTTTGGTCTAAAAGGACAATAAAGTAATGCTGTATATGACAAAGACTTTGTTTTTCATTATTATGTATATTCTATTGAATAAAAAGCAATATTTAAAATCATAGTTGAAAGAGTTTATATCATTTAGAGTTTAGTTCGAATCATGGAACAAAAGGAAGATCACTTTTTTGTATACTTTGACTATTCAATCCCCGATTGATCTTATTTACTGCTTTCAGTGTCAAAGCCGAACTCGTTTCTTTTTTTTCTTTTTTAAATTATTCTTTTTAGTATGAGTGAGCGTGAACATTTACTTCCTCACCACGGTGAAGAAGAAGTTTTGACTTTCAAGTCTTCTTTCAAGCATACTTTCTATTCCTCCAAGATCAACGTGCTCCTCATCTTTGTTCCTGTTGCTTTAGCTTTCTCGGGGGCTTCTGATAGTGTTGTGTTTTCCTTGAACTTTATTGCCATTGTTCCCCTTGCTAAACTCTTGGGTTTCGGTAAGTAAATACATGATATTGTTCATGTTGGACTGATATCGACTGAATTAAGCTACTGAGGAAATTGCCTTGAGATCTGGTTCTGTTATTGGTTCTGTAAGTGTGTGTGTGAGCCTATTATGTCTAAACTCACGATATATAGTTATTGAATGCTACTTTTGGTAATGCTGTTGAACTTATTCTTGGTATGATTGCCTTGAAAGAAGGTTTGGTTCGTGTTGTTCAAGGTAAAAAGAAAAAAAAAAAAAAGAAAATGATAGATACTTAGATTGTTATTAGCTTCTATCTTGGGTTCCATCTTGTCCAACATTTTACTTGTAATTTATCATTATTGTTGTCTGGAACAAACTAGACTTACTTTCTTCTTGAATAGGTACTTGGTTGTTGTTTCTTGGCTGGTGGTATTGGTCGTGTTGAACAAACATTTAATGCTACAGGTAAGAATATATATATAGTATTCTACTTTACACACATACTGACATGACGTTATTTAGCTGCACAAACACACACTTCTCTTTTGGGTTTAACTGCTCTTTCCTTATTGATTCCTGCTGCCTTTAGTGCTACTGCTGCTCATTCTACTGAAGCTGATTCTGGTATTGTCTACCTTAGTCATGGTACTGCTATCATCTTGTTGATTGTCTATGTCTTGTATTTGGTCTTTCAACTCAAGACACATTCTGACTTGGTATGGAAAGAGAAAGAAGCTTTCTTGAGTTAACCTACCTTATTAGTTTGAAGATGAAGCTGATGAAGATGAAAAGCCTCATACAACTCTTGGTTTCTCTATTGCTCTGTAAGTCTGATGGTTATCATATTGATATACTAACTAAGGATGTTAGCTTATTGTTCATTGCTGGTTTGATTGCTATTCATGCTGAATATCTTGTTGGCGCGTAAGTTGAAGAGACGATATTGAATTCATATTGATGTGTTGTAGTATTGAAGGTGTTGTTGAAGCATGGGGATTAAACGAAACCTTTGTGGGTCTTATCATTCTTCCCATTGTGGGCAAGTAAGTATCTCTATAGATCTACAGTCTAGCTCACCTATCCTAGTGCTGCTGAACATGTGAGTTCAGTCACATTTGCCATGAAGAACAAGATGAACTTGTGTATTGGTATTGCTGTCTCTTCTTCTCTCCAAATTGGCCTCTTGGTCTCTCCTGTCTTGGTCTTGACTGGTTGGGCTATTGATGTGCCCATGACTTTCTTTTTCGAAATCTTTGAGACAGTTGTCTTGTTCTCAAGTGTCTTGGTTGTAAACTACCTTATTGGTGATGGTAAATCTAACTGGCTTGAAGGTGCTTTACTTTTGGCTTCTTATGCTATTGTAGCCTTAGCCTTTTATTATCATCCCATTGTTTAAACAACTTTATTATTGATTAAAACGTTTTTAGTCCATGAACTTGATCATTATTTTCATCAGCAAAACTAAAAAGTCTGCAAAACAACTTTGGCAGAGAGCATAGGTTTTTTTTACGTATTCTTTTAATGTCTTGAGAAAAGACTTGACTTGGATACCAAATTCAATAAGCTTAAATAGAACCTTTTCGAGCGTATCTATCATGAAGCCTTGTTCCTTTGAATGTACTTGATTTGAAGCGATTTTTTTGAAAGCGCATAAGATGTGTTCCAATAGGTCTTCTTCGTCGAAATGTACTGTGTTGACCATTGTAGATATAAAGAAAGAAAAGAAGTATGGCTTGTGTGATTTTATAGACAATACAGCTGATTAAATACAACTTGGATCATTTACTTCTACTCTACTCCACTTGGATCTATTTTTTATTTACAATTTCATAGAATAAACAAGCATTGGTTGAAATACCATCCCAGCCACGATTACCTGATGTTGTAATCATATATTTACAAGTAGGATCAATAGAGATATGTGAAATAGTACCTCCATGATGACCAGGCATGATATGGAATGGAATCACAGAAGATAGTTTAGAGGGTTGAGCAAAACCAGGTTCAGTATCAGGTCGAATGATGAAGTTGGATTCCACAGTGGTATCCCAAATACGGATATTATCATTAGAAGCACTGATAAATACATCAGTCAAAATAATGAGGTTGTATGAGACTACTTTACCATATGATGTGTTTACCATTAGGCATACTTTTCACACAAGAGACAGGACCTGAATTAGCAGGCATACGAAAGGATTGAATCCATGTCTGAGATCCAAAATCATATTCATCCACAGTACCATTTCTTCTTCCCATATAAATCTTGGATCCATCTGCACTCCAAGTAGCCTAGTAAGAAGAGGCATAAGTCATTGAGAGACATGACATGTCCTTTACTTACAGATAAACACCATGGAGGTGTTTTATCAGGTATTGGTAGTTTTCTAGCAGCCTGTGATGGTTCTCTTCTGTCCCATAAGAGACATTGACCATCGACACTTGTGGTCAACAGGGTATCTCCATTCTTTTTATTCCAATACACATCATCGCTGTATGGATAAAGTGGTTGGAATTCAGTTGAAGCAATTTGTGAATGGTGACCCTCATATGACCTAAGCACAGATCCTGTATGGAGGTCCCATTCAAGCACAGATTTATCCCAAGATCCACTGATGGCACCCGTCTCATCCGGTGTGATCACCAAGATGGAAACAGGCCCAGTGTGCTTCCGAAGCACATGATGGCATTTGCCTTCTTCATGCCGAACTGTGGTCAAATTAATGGACCCATTTTCACAACCTTGTAAGGCCCATAATGCTTCTGAGTGCATTGCTAGGCTATAGACAGGTGATAGTTTGGGTTCTGTTGGTCCGCGTGGGACAACTTGTGAAATATCTTCAAATTCATGCTTGACAGTTTGTTCTATTATATAAAAAATAAAGGTGAGATAATGGTATTCTCTCTCTTTTTTTTTTGTTTATTCTTTACCTGGTATTTCTTCATTCTCCCACCAAGAACTAAGAATACCTGAATAGACAACAGAATCTACATAATGATGGCGTTGTACTTGGGTCAGTGAGGTTTTACCATTCATGGAAGCAAAGAAATCCCATTTACGGATATAACCATCTTCAGAACCTGTTAAAACCCATCGATAACAAGTAGTGGTAGCCAAACTAAAGATAGGCGAAGGGTGTAGTGCAGCTACCTTATGCATAAACATCAATGATCATTTCCTTTTCTTTGTTTTACTTACCAGTGGCACACAGTCATATGAATCGCAAGTCAATAGTTGAGGATCAATACGTAAATTGAGTTGTCGTGTGTCTGATGACTGTTCAGATAAAGGAAAAGGTGTCAAAGGATCTATTTTTATGAAAAGAGAAAGAGAGGGGAAGTTAAGGAGACATAAGTAAAATAGTAATAATGATAATAATAACTTATACCTTCTACATCCATCATATCTCCACCTTCATCAGTTAACTGAGAAGTTACTTCATCTAACTCTAAATCTTCTTCATCCGATGACATCTTTCAAGAGAGAAACAGTTAAAGAATAAAAAGCATCGCGTACTTTTTATATATATATATATTAAAAAAAAGTCACCACCAATATCAACATGATCTGAAACAGAAAAAAATTGACGACACTATGATAAAAAGGGAGTTTGGGAATTCAGGGGCGTTTTCTCCCCTTAAAGTAAAGAATGATTATCAGCAGATGCTACGTAGCATTTCTACCCAGTCTCCCTCTTTTTTTTAAAAAAAAATCTCCTTTTCTTCTTCTTGTTCTTTCAATTCATCATGACAATCTTATTAGGAACTTTCGGTGCCTCTAAACAGCCATTGTGTCTGTATACAGTCAATAATCACCTGTATTTCAGTATAGAGGAAATCAATCATGTCTTTTTCAAGAATCAATTGACCTCAAAAACAAATTTAATTCAGTCTCTCTTTAAAGCACATGCTGAAGATTTCAACAAGACAAAGACAGGTCAAATTTATGTGATGAAGAATACAATGAAGCACATGGCCAGATTATTTAATGCCTATTGTCTGGCTGAATTATGCAAATTATCACTAGAAGAAATCTTGACTGAGCGTATTATTGAGCCACTATTGAATGCCATTGATGCTGTGCTTTGGATACCCTCAACAACCATGGTCAATACACCAGACCATTATCTTTGTCTTGAATCACTGGTTGGCAATGAATGGATCTTTACAAGTTATGAACCATCAAAAGAACCAACACCTATTCCTATGTAATCTCTAATAAGCATAAACTTACCTAATATTTTTATTCTAGGCAACCTAGTTCCAATACACTCTACCAATGGCTATCATTCAACTTGATAGACCAACAAAAATCACCTGAAATGATGCAGACACTCGTCTGTGTTGCAAAGACAAAGAAGCAACAACAGGCAATCATTGAAACAAGGCAACGAAAAGCTGCTTTTACAAAACCGCTTGCCATACATTCCAAAAAGCATAAATTAACACGATCACAACATAAAAAACATACTTCATACCCTAAAACATCACTGCCACCTAGTCCACCACCCAAAAAGAGAAAACTGCCTTTGAGTGGTTCTATACCCAACAAGAAGACAACTTACATCATGGACCATGGCAATGATAACCTGAATTTACTAGCAACACAAGCTACGCAGTTAAGAGGCTTACCCTTATCACCTGAAGTCTCTCCTTCCCACCCCCAATCAAACAAGAAAATTCATTAAGGCTGCCTTCTTTACAAACCATTTTAACAGAACTTCATCATCCTATTCGATTCTGATTTTACTCTTCTTTAATAAACATGTTTCTTTTGTGTGCTTAGTAGCCATAATCCACTCATTAACTGAAAGATAAACAGATGAGGAATGGATTGTGTTTGGACAAAAACACATACAATCAAACATCTCACTATTTCAGCTTGAATAGCCCATGGTTTACTGTCAAAGATCCAACCAAAGCATGTCAAGGTAGACAGAACATAAAAGGATACCATACATACTGCTGAAAAAGTATGTTCTTGAGAGCTTAAAAAGAGACCGTTGACAAAGACCAATACTATAAAATGAAGTGTCACATAGACCTGAATGCCCCAAGACACTTTGGGATCGTATTTCTCTGGTGGCATCTCTTGAGGCACCCATGGTATGTCTTGTATGAGACCAGTACGTGGCACACCTCTGTACCATCCAGGGCCATAGAACAAGACCTTGAGTTTATCGAATCCAGGTGTTGTCCAACATAGCTTGAAAAGATATATAAAATGATGACATTGGATAGTAAGAGGATCAAAGGTGTTGATTGGATGAGTCAGTCCGTAAGCAACAGGTTCGTGTGTTCTCTCTTGTTCAAATGTACCAAACAAGATATCCCAAATGATCAGTGTGTCAGCATAATTTTTGTCGATACAGTATGGGTTGCGGCCATGATGCACACGGTGCGCTGAAGGGGTATTGATGATATATTCAAGTGGACCCAAATGACCTATGACTTGTGTATGAATCCAGTATTGAAATAAAGTGTTAAACTGTCGATGAACAAGGTATAGCGAAGGAGGGAAAAACAAAGCACCAGGCAAGTCAAACAACCACAAACAATACACTTGAAAAAAACTCTGTCTTAGCGCAGTGGTTTGATTATAGTATTCAGAAGAGTGATGAACCTATTGTTTCTTGGTACAGATTCACTCCATGCGTCTTACTTTACAACATGCGTAGCCCAGAACAGATTGACTTCATGAGCAGCTCGATGAAACCAGTAATAGCCAAGATCTACAACTAAAAAACACGCTAGCCATACACTCAATTGATGTGGATCCAAGTCCATGATGCGATAATGATCATAGACATAAAGATAGGAGTAAAGCGAGATATTGTACATGAAGAATTTGCTTACTTGTTGCAACATGCTAGCCTATGAAATGATGCTGTGAGTATTCACCGTGATAGATGTTGTGCCTTACACCAATACTGCCAATGGTATCATTGACTGAGTAATGACTACTGTTCCATGCTCTGATCTTTTTAAGACCTTTTCCTTGATCCTTTAAGGCCAATGTCAAGAATTCCAAACTAATGGTCAAAATAAAGAATGGAATGGATTCAGCAATATAGTCTGGTACTTGCTGATAATCATCAAACATCGTTGATTTAGGCGACACTATATAAAAGAGACGACCTAGACCTCCCAAAAAGTAACTTGCCATTGTCAACAATAGTAGTAAAAAAAAAAAAGTAGAGGTGTTTATTGTATTTTTTTTTTATATAGAGTTTGATCGTTTGTGTGATTGTCAAATGTTAAGAAAATAGAAATAGGTAAAAAAAAATTTAATGTCATTATTTATTCCATTGGGTTTGTCTTGCCATCTTGGGGTTTTTTTGTACCTTCTGTACCATGATGATGATCGCTTTGGAATGTCTCTTTGACGTTTTCTTTGATATCATGTAAGTTTTCTTTGAATCCATCTAACATAGAAGGTTTGGTATCGACCTTAGGAGCGGCTTCTAATTCTTGTTGACGTTCTGTTTCTGTAGAACCGGTCACTCTTTGAGGAGGAGCAAGAGGGTTTAAGTTATCAGGAGGATAGGCAGTATTCATGGCTTCCATTGGAATTACTTTTAAGAGAAAACTATGCGATGTGTCTGTATTTATAGACATTTTCGAAGCATATGATGTCATAGGTGAAATGATGTCATACGGCGATCTGCTATATCAAGTACGTTATCATGAGCGACAACTTGGAAAAAAGACATTGAACATCAACAACCCTTGTTTCTTAAACACACATACGCATCAAAATTATCTTGGTGCAAATTGAAACAAAGTTTGAAGGTGAAAACATTTTGTCTATTTTTAGAAAAAAAATAAACATTATATCAATGCGTGAACAATAGCGCATCAAAGAATGGTGCATTGAAGCCCTCTTTTGAGCATTTTTGCTCGAAATGTGTTAGAAATAAATTTATAGAGAAGTATTATGACTACTTGGAGCACTAAAGAGCATGGAAGCATAGAAATATAGGCATTTCGTAGCGTAAATGTGGGGGTAAATGGACAGGAGATGTATAAAATGTGTTGCGCTGCTCGACATCCGTTGTCAGACCGTAAGGGGATGACACTAAATTTATATAGTTATAACAAAGTCATAAACAAAAAAAAAAAAAAACTACAAACAAAACTCTAAATGTATGTACAAGGGAGGAGGTCACTCGTGATCAGCTGCCCTCTTATATATTTGTAACAAGCGTAAATCAAATAAAACAATCTTTCTTTTGGTCCCCGATTTTTATATTTTGTAATTAGACTCCAAAGGATATGGTAGTTAAACTATAGTCAAGGAGTACATACAACATAGAGATCTCGAAGTGCAGAAAGGTATCAAAGAGACCTCACAACAAATGGCTGGTGTCGAGGATTGAAATGAAATGAATCCTAATTCTCCTTCCAGCCGGATGAAAAATCGAGTTTTTGCTGAGAATTGCATAAAGACGCTGCTGTTTGACTTTGGCGCAGTGACAAAAGTTTCAGATGTGTGCTTTGTCAGTCCACTAGTATAGACAGCACAGTAACTTTGCTGCTAAAATGTTTAGCAAATAGGTAAAAATGGTTTTGAGGTTTCTCACTCATATCTCATTATTTCTATAATACAATCAGCAAGCAAACGCATTTACCAAACACCAGAGCTTTTGGCACATGTTTTGAGTATTTAAGCTTGTCGATAGCCCTATTTTTCTTCTTGTAGGGTTAAATAGAAGATGAAGAGTTGTCAGGTTGAATATATTTTCATGAATAGCACCCTTTGGTTTTGAGAGATTTTTGGCTGCTTTTTACAAATCGCTTTTTACAAATCGCTTTTTTTTTTCTTTTTTTTTTCTTTTCTTTTTTTTTTTTTTTTTTTTTTTGTCTGGACCAACTCCAAAGGTATCTCATATGTTAGCAGGTATGTTTTGTAGGTATTTGGGGCATTCATGCGCCTATCAACAAGCTTTATATGACCAAGAAAGAGCAAAAGATTTGCATGAATTGTTGCTATTTTTTTTTTTTTTTTTTTTTTTTTTTTTTTTTTGGTTGCTCCTAACGTATTTATCTGTCTGGCATCTCTTTCACATGAACAAATAATACACTACCAAGCTGTCTATTTACATAAGCATGTTCTGCTAAAAAGACACTGGATCCATCGAATCAAAGAAAGGGAATGTTTACACATCAAGTAGCTTGATCCAATAAAAATACACGATTACTTTACGTGAGAAGAAGGAACAAGTGACTCGCTTTGTATTTGTCATAAAAGGGCGGCCATTGAAAGGATTTCCCAATCAACAAGCAAGTGTTTCTCTTCCCTTTTTTTTTCCTTATCTAAACACAAAACATGAATACCAATTTAGCAGACATTGTTGAAAAGATTGCAAGTCAAGGAAAGAATCCTGATGTCTCCTTTTTAAAAGATAATCCAGAAGCTCAAACAATGCTTCTTTTAGCCCTTTTATCTAGCTCCAATACTACTAACAATAATGATAAGACCAATAATCAGCAAACCAACAATAATAATCTCCCTACGCCAGTTACTTCTCCTACATCAGAAAATACTGAAAAAAGAAAGTTTGATACACTTGTAAATATATCTCCTTCTCCTTCTTCTAGCCCTACAAGCTGTAAGTTTTTTGTTTGTCAGTTAATGAAGGACTAATTTTCTTTTTATCAGTATCCAATAGTTCTAAACCAAAGCGAGTAGGTAGAAAACTAGTGACAAGTGAAGAAGAAGATGTAAGCATTTGATCTCTACAAATAACATGTGTTTATTCTCTCTATAGTCTGATAACCCTAAATCTAAAAGAAAAGCACAAAACCGAGCTGCACAAAGAGCTTTCAGAGAAAGAAAAGAAAATCATGTTCGAGTGTTGGAAGAAAGAGTCAAGGATCTTGAAAAACAGCTTGATTTACAAAACAATACATCTTTAGTTGTAGAAAACGAGCAACTGAAGAATATTGTGAAGCGTCTAAAAGATGAGAATGCTCGACTTTTGGGCCACACAGCCTCTTTTGACCTTCCACTATCAAGCCAGACACAAGATGGCGCAAGGCCGCAGAAAATTGTTCGATCTTCTTTTTCATCCAATAATAATTCGGATGCATCACCTGTGTCTCATTTCGATAGTCTAAGTAGCAATTATTCTACTAGTTCTAGATCAAATACACCACCTCCTTCTAGGCAACTTACCATTGATGATATTCTCGGTGTAGATCAATCTAGTCTGCCTTCCAATGCCTTGATTGATCACTCTGAACTCTTGGGCTTATCTGGTGATCAACTCAAGAGTAGTGATTATAGTACTCAATTGGACGACATTCTCAATCAACACAGATTTCCTTTTACCACAGATCCTTCTCAGTTTGATTTCTTCTATCCACTTCATACTCAAGATGCATTGGAACCCACACCAGAAAAGAAGAACATAGCTCAAACTTGGGACAAAATCTCTGAACATCCTCGCTTTGGTGAATTTGACATGGATTCACTTTGTGATGAAATGAAAAAGAAGGCTACTTGTGAAGAATACGATCATGATAAAGAATTGGAGAAATTAGTGAATGAAATTTATCCTGTTGAATAAAGTAAAAGTAGAAATACATTTATGAACTCATCAATGAAATTCCCATAAAGATACAGGCAAGCGATACATAAGGACTCAGTCGTTCGCCTACTCGAGCTGCCTTCCAAAATAAACCAAGCACACTAAAAGAAAAAAAAAATTCAGCAAAAGTTGAAATGTGTTTCAACTTACCCAGTCTTGTTCTTGTTCAACAAAGAAGGTGCTTGAGCTTTTACATATGTACAAGTGCAGATCAAGAGTAAAATAACAAGAAGTAACGATTGAAAGTTGAAGATGGCAGACTAATCAACTGTTAGTATATACTTTAAGAAAAGATTAGGTACCATTGTGTTGTATACGCGTAGAATAAAAAAGAACCAAAAAACAAATAATTTATTCCCTTCTTTTTATGTGACGTTTTTGTTAGATCAAGCATAGCTGTAAATCTGTATTTAACATTTGAATTGTCAACTCCAAGTCCTGTCTAGCATTATCATGCAGTTGTTTTACACTAGGAGACATTCTTCTGTTATAAAGAGGTGGTCTATTGAATCCAAATGATTAGCAAAAGAAATTATCTATATCCTATGTACCTTAAGTTATCTTTATCTCTATAATACTTTAACTGGCATAGATTTCGAACAATATCAAACTCAATGCCCTTACGTTGACTCGCAATGTGTAATAACTCAAGCGTATTTTTGACTATGATTCTATTCAGTGTTTTCCTTTATTCTAAATGACAGCCTAAATTACCTTTTACGTCTATTTCAGGATCATGTAAAAATCCTTTGTTTTCAAATCCTTCACGTATTAAGGATTGAGCATGCTTCTTATTAGGACCTTCTGTAGCAGCCTGACCAGCCCTTAAAAAACGACGGTACATGCTTCGTACATTGGGTCTATGTTGAGTAGAATAGCCTCGCTTTTGCATGTTAAATTGTTGTATACTGCTAAGTCCAATGGATCGACCTGTCAAACTAGCACTGGTAGCATGTTTGATTTCTACTTCTACATAGTCGCCCTTTTTAAGACCTTCTTGTTCATGTTGAATAAACACCTTATGTCCACCATCTGTTCTACCACTTAATTTTGTCTCGACTCCATATTTGACTTTTGGTCTTTCAGAATCAATCAAGACTAATTGCCGAGTACCGATTAAGCGCTGGTTCTTGAGGGACGCATGTTTGTGAAAGGTATTGACTATTTCTTGTAAACGACGAGCTTTGACAGATTCTTCTACATCGTCCTTGTATCGTCGATGAGCATGTGTTTTTTCACGCATACTATAAGCAAACATAAATGCTGTATCGTATTCAACTTGTTCCATCAAACGAACTGTATCGCGATGTTCCTCTTCTGTTTCTCCACAAAAGCCAGTAATAAAGTCACTACTGATCCAAACATCAGGTATAATGGTGCGCATCTCTTGTACAAGGTCCAGATAGGCTTCCCGTGTGTATCCACGACGCATACGTTCTAATACAGTGTTGCTGCCTGATTGAATAGGAAGATGGACTGAATTACAGATATTGGGTCGAGAAGCAATCAAATGGAGTAAATCTGTAGGAAAATCCTTGGGATGAGGAGAAGTGAATCGAATACGCATTTCTGGGTTAATTAGACTGACTTTGTCCAGCAATTCAGTGAATCTTCTACCACCATCTTTACGCTTATAAATTGTCTTGAAGCCAGCGTTACTAAGACTGGAACCAGCGTTGTTGCTGGTGACAAAATACTTTGATTCTGATTCATCTCGATAGGCTATAGACACAGTGAGCCTAGGATCATATAACTTCCTACTTACAATTGACATTTTGACCAAGCACAGTGACCTCTTTGACACCTTGATCATTCAAATATCGGACTTCATCCAAAATAGAATCAATAGGTCGACTTCTTTCATTTCCTCTTGTGAATGGCACAATACAGAAACTACACATATTATTACATCCTCGCATAATAGATACCCAACCAGAAGCATTGGTTGTATCCAGTCGCATTGGCATCACATCAGCGTATGTCTCATCTGCAGAAAGCATGACATTAGCAATACCGTCTGTATATTCTTCTTGTTCTGTTAATGAAATCAAGTGGGGAATAGAACGATAGCCATCTGGACCACATACAATATCCACAAGGCGATCTTCTTCTAATAGTTTTGTCTTGAGTCTCTCTGCCATACACTATACAATAGGTTAAAGACTTTTTATGCCATAGTTTCACTTACACCCAATACACCCACAATAGGTGGACTATCTACATTGATCTTTGTCTTGTAATGTCTTAGGTATTTGAGTCTGTCCCAAATACGGACTTCGGCATTGTCTCGAATGGCACACTAAGCATTGTTTCAATAAAACAATTGAACCAAATGTACTTACAGTCACAAGAAATACAACATTGGCTTCATCCAAATTATCTGTTCTTACAAATCCAGTTTTTGTCATGATAGAATTTAAGATTTCTGTATCATTTACATTCATCTATACGTATAGAATGAATACGTCTAATTTTTTTCTTATTTTGACGTTACCTGACAACCATAAACTTCGATAAAAAACTTTCTGCCTTGACCTAAATTTGCTGTAGTGTTTAAATAAGGAACTTGGTCAGGTTGTGTCAAAGAAGGATCGACGGGTTTGGGCTCTTGTTGAGACAAAAAGTCTTGAAAAGAAGGCGATCGGTTATCAAACACAAGTCTTCTTTTTCTTTTTGTCTCAACGGCGGCACTGGCAACTGTGGCTAAAGCACGACGTCTGAGCGTATGTTGTAAAATAGCTTTCGAGTATTGTTTAGCCAGAAAAGACATGAAAGGAAACACAAAGCAACTGTCAAACCCGGGGGGAATAATTTTTTAAAAAAAGGGGCCAAGGTGGCTTTGATAGCAGCCAATCAAATCTAGTATGGCTTTTCATGCGCATGATGGGAATCCACGATTATGAGAACGAGCACTTTGGCGAAAATGTTTGGCATCTCAATAAATGCAACGTAGTTTAATTAGTCGAAACCACAATGACTTGTTTTGTCTCGGTAAGAATTGAAACAATAGCAAACTAAGCTAGAGTAATATAAAAGCTATTAATTGCAACAATAAATGAACACGTCTTTTATTGTAAGGCTGTCAAAGAATGAAGCTTTTGGTGCAACACCACTTTTAGATATATATGAGCATACAAAAAGTAGACAATATATCTGATGTATAAATAGTCGAAATACACAAAAAGGAATTTAGTCAGCATGATTATAAAGACAATCATAGAAAAAAGTATTTATATCTCTTTAATTAGGATGCAGGAGGATCAAGAAATCTGCAAGTAGATACTAATTTTGTTTTTATTCTGTACTTTTTTTTTTTTTTGCTTTCGTGCCCATCTATACTATAAATTTAATCAAATATTCATTGAGCAAGCCACTGCCACAAAAATCAAGTCAGCTCGACTAAAATTTGGTTCATCATGCTCACCAGACTCGCCTGATTCGATGGACCCAGTGTCTTTTTAGCAGAACATGCTTATGTAAATAGACAGCTTGGTAGTGTATTATTTGTTCATGTGAAAGAGATGCCAGACAGATAAATACGTTAGGAGCAACCAAAAAAAAAAAAAAAAAAAAAAAAAAAAAAAATAGCAACAATTCATGCAAATCTTTTGCTCTTTCTTGGTCATATAAAGCTTGTTGATAGGCGCATGAATGCCCCAAATACCTACAAAACATACCTGCTAACATATGAGATACCTTTGGAGTTGTCCAGACAAAAAAAAAAAAAAAAAAAAAAAAGAAAAGAAAAAAAAAGAAAAAAAAAAGCGATTTGTAAAAAGCGATTTGTAAAAAGCAGCCAAAAATCTCTCAAAACCAAAGGGTGCTATTCATGAAAATATATTCAACCTGACAACTCTTCATCTTCTATTTAACCCTACAAGAAGAAAAATAGGGCTATCGACAAGCTTAAATACTCAAAACATGTGCCAAAAGCTCTGGTGTTTGGTAAATGCGTTTGCTTGCTGATTGTATTATAGAAATAATGAGATATGAGTGAGAAACCTCAAAACCATTTTTACCTATTGCTAAACATTTTAGCAGCAAAGTTACTGTGCTGTCTATACTAGTGGACTGACAAAGCACACATCTGAAACTTTTGTCACTGCGCCAAAGTCAAACAGCAGCGTCTTTATGCAATTCTCAGCAAAAACTCGATTTTTCATCCGGCTGGAAGGAGAATTAGGATTCATTTCATTTCAATCCTCGACACCAGCCATTTGTTGTGAGGTCTCTTTGATACCTTTCTGCACTTCGAGATCTCTATGTTGTATGTACTCCTTGACTATAGTTTAACTACCATATCCTTTGGAGTCTAATTACAAAATATAAAAATCGGGACCAAAAGAAAGATTGTTTTATTTGATTTACGCTTGTTACAAATATATAAGAGGGCAGCTGATCACGAGTGACCTCTTCCCTTGTACATACATTTAGAGTTTTGTTTGTAGTTTTTTTTTTTTTTTTTTTTTTTTTTTTTGTTTATGACTTGTTATAACTATATAAATTTAGTGTCATCCCCTTACGGTCTGACAACGGATGTCGAGCAGCGCAACACATTTTATACATCTCCTGTCCATTTACCCCACATTTACGCTACGAAATGCCTATATTTCTATGCTTCCATGTTTTTTTTCTTGGCACTCTAAATAGCATATAATACTTATATATGAGTCCTTTGTTAGCATAAGTTATATGACATCCAGAGCAAAAATGCTCAAAACACGGCTTAAACATGTCATTCTTTAATGCACCATTGCTCGTCAACTAGATTATTAACATTGCTCTTTTTTATTTAAAGCATGTCTTTTTTGTGCCAAAAACTGAATGGTACCATTATTTTGGCTATTGCGTGAAATTCATTTTTTAACTTATGAGGGATCCCAAGAGCTCTTGAAAATAAAAAAAAGTTGATCCAAAATTTTTAGAATGACCCAATATAGGTCCAAACCAACCAATGTGAGATAAAATTATATCCAGGTACTCTTAACCAAAATAAAACGAGTATGCTAAGACGAAAAAGTCGAATCGGTTTGAGAATTAACTTCAAGTCTGGATTCAAAGTTCATTGTGAACTGTAATCAGTACAAAGGGGACCTTTTTCAATAGATACCAAGTAGTAAATAAATAGTCATTCTAGCACTATTTGATTTGCAGAATATAGATAAGAAAACCGCACTACAACACTTGGAACTTTTGAGATCAAAAGAGCAGCTTTGGATATGACAAATGATAACTGTCATGCGAGAGAAAGGCTCAATGTTTCAAATATTGATTTCTTGCATATTAGGTGTGCTCTCTGCTTTGAAGATTATTTTTTCTCTGTTTATTAATACTTGAGAGCTTCAATCGTGTCTTGAACGGATTGGAAGAAAGGCTAGACATCAGGTACATAAAAGCAAAGCGTAGTATCATAGCGTATTAAAGACAGCATCACTGCTGTTTGGCATGTGAATTATACTCTAACTGATTCATACTGAAGATAAAAAACAGCAATAAGACAATGTAGTTGAGTGAATAAAGCCGTCATATAAGTGTATTCTACATTAGCCCTTATTCAGAAGTATTTGTGTTAATCACTGAAGACAAATAAATAGCGCACAAGCCTAAGATCTAGTCAAAGACATGTCTTGAATATGACATAAATTAGTCTATTATTGCATATAGGAAATGCTCTGTTATAACTTTTATTGATCAGAGAAGTAAGAAAAGCAAGTACTAAGCTCAGTAGACACCTGTAAAACACACAAACCCTTGTCTAATCAATAACATAATACCTGTAAAGTATAGACAAAAGAGGCCTTATCGTAGCTTCTTTGGAAAAGATGCAACGCAATACAATCAAACAAGAAGCAGAGACTAAAAGGAGAAACATATACACAAAAAAAGCATATTGTGAGTTCGATCAAGGTAACCAAGACCAAACAATTTTTTTTTCTTGTCTAGACAAGAATTGACCAGACTCTCAAACAGAGACAATAAGACTCAAAAAAAGGAAACATACACTGTGAAGACTTATCGAAACTTGAATAGATATACTTGAAACATCTAAGAGGGCTAGATCTAAGAGGAATGGTCTTGAAACAACAGGATATCATGATGGAGAATCTTGGGGACAGCTAGGAAGCCAACGTAAGTAGTACAAAACTTGTCATCATAGAGCGCACCAATCAAGCAGAGCACAAATAGAGAGACAGTCTTGAACCAGTAATACGCCTTGCTTAATCACTTTGTAGACACCTGGAAAAACAGCTTGAGTAGACCAGCCAACATCAGAGATAATAGTAGATCTGCCATTAGATCTACAGTCTACACTTTAAGGCAGTTTGTTTATTAAGAATATATATAAATTTAGCGAAATGTTCAACGTACCAGTTTTGGCTCATCATAAATTATGGTTGTCACAAGGCTTAAAATTTCCTTAGAAAAAAAAGGGTAATAGATAATGTAGTTAGTAATGAAATACAAAACAAGATGATTTCAGCAGAGTGATGGTCTTACAAAACAGTCTATTAAGTACAGATCCAGATAGAGATATGTCAATTGATGGTTACTCAGAAGACAATAATATTGTGTCAAACGATGATACTGATACTGATTTAAGAAAAAAAATATGAAAAGTCTAAAAGAAAGGAATTCAAAAGATAAAAGTAGCATTAATCAAAAAGATTTAATTAACAAATATATAAAGAATAACGACTTAGAAATTTTGTGAAAAACTTCAGCAGAAATTAATAATTACGCTACATCCAATAATGTTCTTATGTCCAACTATTTTTAAACAAATGCATACCCGCCTGACTTCGCCAATCAATTTTTATAGTGTTTGCTGCCCTGATTTCTCTGAAAGGTACACAGACAAGTGACTTTTATATTGTTTTCCTTTTTTCTTATAAAAAGCTTGACATAGTTCAACCATAGAGTAATTCCATTGACATATAAGTATTTTCAAATACAATTTTTAGAAAGAATTGCTTCAGAGTTTTATCACACATTTTTTGCTATTACTATATATTAACAAGAGAGATATCTAAAGCGATTATAGACCAACCAAAAAAGAATCTATTAACGCCAGGAAATTCTTAGAAATGTAATGAAAAAAAATCTAAAAAACAAACATAAAATTAAGATAAAATTAACAAAAAAAATGTTGTCAAAAAATTAAGAGGCGAGCACAATTTACAAAGAATTACATTGAACTAATAGTGATTTATCAGGATTGCGATATCGATTAATAGCAAGTGAAAAGGTACAATTAGGATAAGACCACTGTTTATTAAAAGGTAAAACACAAGATGTTTATAACAAAATGATTTACAATGTCAGACACATATGAGAGAATATAATAATAAATAACGGTCATAAGCCTAATTGCCACACTCCCAAATAATTTAATCATGTTGTATCTATTTCCATGAATGATACAATAAATACAATAAAATCAAAGGCAAGCCATTGCTACGAGTAGGGAAAAGTAAAAGAAGGATTACAGTCTTGTATGCACTTGCTTTTCATCAACAAATAGCTTTGAAGCAGCTGTAAAGCAATAAGCATTTGTTGTAGGGTGTAGTAGACATTGGAGGAGATGTTATCAAAGACAGATCTCTAGTATGTTTTCCAGACTTGCGAAAGGGCAACAACGACAATTTCAATGATTCTTAAGTTTGTCTTCTATGCTCAATCTATTCTGGAGAAGTCTAGTATAAGGATTTCTTGAATAGAATCCTCGACAGTGGTCGTAGGCCATATAAATTCGAAAATGAGATTGTTCCAGACAAACATCTTTGGTGGGCAATAGAACAGGAGATGTTGTTCACTTTCCAGATGAATTGAGCAAATGGTACAAAGAGGTGAGGGGAACTTCTCAGGAAGTATATAGTGAAGAAGTCGTCTTGTGAGTAGTTTGGAAACCAGGAATCGGTATATCATATTACGAGCAACTGGCAGCAGAGACCAGCTCCAGAAATCAGTCCAAAAGTTACTAGAGATAGCTTGTAGGCGCTCTGGAGCAGATGTAGCACTCTGGCAAGTTAACCGAGACTCCTTTGTCAATACCCGGATGATTGATCCAGTCAGGGTCACAAATTGGAAAGAGTTGACAAATGGAACAAAAGATAAAGGTGGTGAGAACGGTGAAGTAGGCAATACCTCTACAGTAGGAGGTTGGCAGTGTTTGACAAAGAAAGGAAAGAATTGGTACTTGTTACTTTCTAGCCCTCGGGTGATCTGAAAGTAGAATTTTTGAAGCTCTTGCGGAATATGATCCGGATGCTTCCAATGGATTAGCTTAAGATCGTGGTTGAAAAGCATAAATGCTTGAACTGGGATAAATTGAATCCTTTTCGGCAATAACGGAAGTCGTGGTCTTAAAGATTGTAAGACGACCTTCATCGGCAAACTAAGACATGCTTGGTGAGCTAGTGTCATCTGGTCAAAATCTCGAGGCAAGCAATCTATTGAGGCATAAAATAGATCAATTGTTGAAATACGTTTACCGCACCCAAAGTGAGAGGTTCTATTGTGTCTAGCCAAAGGAAAGAGCAAAGGAATAGCTACCTCATAATATCCGGAGATATTTTGGATGTGTCTTGTGAGTATACGATGCCAGTGTGCGTTGATAGAGCGATTCAACAGAGGAAAGACCCAGCGACTATAAAGCGCGTCTCTTTGCAATAACGGATCAAGGACCCTACACCACCATCTTCTTTCGGTAGAGTCCAAGTTGGCCAAGCAATTTTCGGAAAGATTTTGGAGTTTAGGAACTGCTGTGCTAAAGACCGGATTCGAGAAATCTCAGTCTTCGTGAACAGCGTTACCCGAAGAAGATACCAACATTTAGATAATATTAAGGTGCTAACTACCGTGGCCCGGCCTAGTACTGACAAGGAACGGGCAGAATGTATCAAGCAGGCAGATTTCATCTTTGCCAAAAAGGTCTCAAAATGATTTTGTCTTTGTGCAACTGACTGGATTAATGGAAAACCTAAGTACACAATAGGTTGTGCATCCATGGAAGGCTGAATGCACTGTATCTGTAGTGGTAGCAGATACCTATGCCAAAATAGCCAGGGGTTTGTACCAGATAAAGATAGAGCTTCAATCTTGTTAAAGTTGATTTTTGCATTTGATGCGCTACAATAGGTTGATATATGTCTTTGCAGTATTGCAAGATCATTTGGATCATGTATAAATACTAAAGCATCATCTGCGTAGCAAAGAATTTTAGTTTCTATAGGAGCAGAGGAGGAAGAGTCAGGCCTTGGTGTTTGTTGTCGAAACTGATATCCTTTGAACCCCCCATCTTGTATAATCGAGCGTAGAAATAGATCAAATGTCAAGTTATACAAAACTGGTGATAGTGGATCGCCTTGTTTTAATCCTCTCCGTTTCTTGATTTCTTTGGTAAAGAACCCATTAACATTGGTTTTGATCTTGTTTTTTGAGAACAATTTGTGTATTGTATCGGCAATCACTTCCGGGAACCCGTAGCCTATCAGCACTCTTCTAAGATATGTGAGGTGTACCCGATCATATGCTTTCTCTTGATCAAGTAAAAGCGCTAAATCATGGTCACTACTTCTGCCCTTAGTCGTATTTTGCTGTACTCTGGCTTGTGCGTCTTCCATAATGGTTTGGACTATCAATCCATTTTCTGCGATAAATTGCCCTGGTATAAAACCCAATTGAAATTGAGTAATCAATTGTGGAGCAATCATCATTATACGGCGGTTTAGTATCCTTGTAAAGATTTTATAGTCCGTGTTAGCCAGTGTGATTGGTCTATAGTTCTTCATGTCGGATAAATTGCCTTTCTTAGGTAGTAACACCATCAATGATTCATTCCAAGACATTGGAAGACTACCAGCTAGACTATCATTATATACATCCGTAATCAATGTGTGAAGACTAGGATGTTTCATGATAAGATTCAAAATTTCATATGGAAGACCATCGGTGCCAGGGCTACTTTGTCTTGGAGTTCGCTTGGACTCTTCAAATATTTTATTCATAGAAATACTCAGCATCATGGTGTCTCTTTGACTATCATTCAATTTCACATTTTCAGGAATTTTAGCAATCAATCTGTTCATAGCATGGTAATTGGGAGGGTCCGGGGTATATAAGTTAGAATAAAATTGTTGTACTATTTTCTCTTTAGCCTCTTGATCTCCACAAAGTTCACCACTGACAGGATCTCGTAGATCACCTACTGATTTTTGATGTGTTCGTACTTTGATCAACCTGTTTAGAAAGCCTGGAGACTTCTCGCCTTTTTCTCGCCAACGCTTTCCCGCTCTCAGAGCGTCTATTTCAGCAGCTTCCTCTTGCAAAGCTCCCAGTTGTTTCTTTACTATGGGTAGTGTCCAATCCACTATACCACGATGCTTCTGATGCCGAAGGATTTTGTTACGTTTACGTTGTAACCGTTTAATCTGTTTGTTTCTCCAATTGACTGTCTCCAATTGAAATGATTTGGTAAACAGTTTGACTTCAGCTTTAATCCAGTCCAATTTCTCTGAGCAGTGTAATGTTTTCTCTGATTCTGGAGTTGCAGAACTAGTGTATCCAAGAAAGCAGCTAATTGTTGTCTAAACTCTTTCTTTTTCGCTAAGTTTGGATTTGCCTTCCATGCACCTAGGCCTCTAGTGCTTGTAGCGAATTACAAAGAAAAAATAATATCAGAATATGTAATCAATTTGAACTTCGATAACAATTATGCCGACATGACAAGTATGTCATTTGTGTACTCAAAAAAAAAAATTAGAGAAAATAAAAACCACTGCTTTAAAATAAATGCGAAATATTTTCTGTAATGGCAAGAAGTAGAAAATAGGAGAATTTCTGATTTTCCTGTTCTAAATTAATAAAAAAAGCATGATTTTCAATTTTTCTGTTTAAATTAATAAACGAGTCTACCGGATGATAATTTCACTGTTTTGATTTAAGAAAGAGATTACTGCCTGGTAGATTTGTTTTTATTTTAAAACAGAAAAATTGGGAAACAAGCTTTTTTTTTTAATTTTGAACAGAAAAATTAGAAAATTTTACTTTTTTTTTTAAATTTTGAACAGAAAAATTAGAAAATTTTACTTTTTTATTCTTTGCACTGCAAAAAATATTTTTGATTTAATTTAGAAACCTAGTTTTTATTTATTTCTAAAAGATATTTTTTTTAGTACACAAATGGCATACTTGTAATTTCGGCATAACTGCTAATATTTCTGCTATTCTGAAAATGCTTTTTCTTTTTTCTGACCCAAGCATAAATTTTAGTGTTCAAAACCTCTTTCTAAAGATTGTAATAGCTCTACAAAAAAGCAGCTAGAGAGAAAAAAAAGCATGGAAAGACTTGTAGACCTCATGCCTTTGTGATCAGTGTGATGGGCTTGCAAAAAAGAAAAAGAAAAGCATTTTCAGAATAGCAGAAATATTAGCAGTTATGCCGAAATTACAAGTATGCCATTTGTGTACTAAAAAAAATATCTTTTAGAAATAAATAAAAACTAGGTTTCTAAATTAAATCAAAAATATTTTTTGCAGTGCAAAGAATAAAAAAGTAAAATTTTCTAATTTTTCTGCTCAAAATTTAAAAAAAAAAGTAAAATTTTCTAATTTTTCTGTTCAAAATTAAAAAAAAAAGCTTGTTTCCCAATTTTTCTGTTTTAAAATAAAAACAAATCTACCAGGCAGTAATCTCTTTCTTAAATCAAAACAGTGAAATTATCATCCGGTAGACTCGTTTATTAATTTAAACAGAAAAATTGAAAATCATGCTTTTTTTATTAATTTAGAACAGGAAAATCAGAAATTCTCCTATTTTCTACTTCTTGCCATTACAGAAAATATTTCGCATTTATTTTAAAGCAGTGGTTTTTATTTTTCTAATTTTTTTTTTTGAGTACACAAATGACATACTTGTCATGTCGGCATAATTGTTATCGAAGTTCAAATTGATTACATATTCTGATATTATTTTTTCTTTGTAATTCGCTACAAGCACTAGAGGCCTAGGTGCATGGAAGGCAAATCCAAACTTAGCGAAAAAGAAAGAGTTTAGACAACAATTAGCTGCTTTCTTGGATACACTAGTTCTGCAACTCCAGAATCAGAGAAAACATTACACTGCTCAGAGAAATTGGGACTGGATTAAAGCTGAAGTCAAACTGTTTACCAAATCATTTCAATTGGAGACAGTCAATTGGAGAAACAAACAGATTAAACGGTTACAACGTAAACGTAACAAAATCCTTCGGCATCAGAAGCATCGTGGTATAGTGGATTGGACACTACCCGTAGTAAAGAAACAATTGGGAGCTTTGCAAGAGGAAGCTGCTGAAATAGACGCTCTGAGAGCGGGAAAGCGTTGGCGAGAACAATGCCTTTTTTTCTTTTTTTCTTTTTTTTCTTTTAGTACCAGAAGAGTTAATACAATACAGGTTACCACGCGGTTACATACCAGATACAGATCAAATTAGCAGAATCGTAGCCCAGAATCAGTTTATTATTGATCTGATCACCACTTCGCTTCTGAGAGTTCCTTCAGGCACTTATAAGGCTGGCGACAATATGTTTATCGATGGCATAGAGTGTGAAGCTCTCTATATATCTCATTCATCAGATCTTGTAGACTTACCTCCTGTAGTAGCAGAAATACAACAAACAGTGACACGCGAGTTTATGTTTCGAGCCGTCCAGTACTGCCTGAATGTGTATAAGCGTTTCCACATTTTACCAATTTTATTCCTCGTCTGTACCTCGAAAACAAAGCCCAAAACTCTGAGAGACCTCTTCAAATCTGTCCAAAACAAGTCTAACCTCTTAGAAACACCTTGCTGCCACTTTGCAACTAGTTGCTTCATGCTGACCAAACAGAGTATCAATCCTTTTATTGACAATCACGATACCAAGAAATTGGATCCTTTGGTTGTCTTTGTCCATTTCTTGAGTTCTGGCCAGCAAAACATAATCATTATTGACCGATGGGACGACCCAATAATACAAAACTGTACTTTGTCACAATGGAAATGGTCAAAAATGACAGAAAAACAGAGAATGATAAAGTCGAAGCGTTACAAACGATTTGTCAAGCAACACAAAATCAATTTGAGAAAATAATGACGACCGTTTTCGACAACCCCAGCCGAGCGCATCAATACGCAGAAGCAGGACGGCACTATAACGCAAGTCTTAAGTACGACGCAATGAAGCAAGAATTAAACAATACACCTCCAGAAGCAACAACATCAATGTAGCTTCCTAAAGACTTTGACGGCGCTTCTAGTTCTATAAATTCCAAATACAAAGATTTGATTGCATTCATCGATGCTTGGAAGCAGAATAACAAAGGTCGAATGAATTGGTCTGCCTGTTGGGAAGATGGAAAGAAAAAAGGTCTGTTCAATGAGTACTCAAACACCCATAGCTTGAAGAATATATACCACAGAGCAAAAAATGATACCTAATCACCATTAGCACCGTTTATATGACAAATTAGTAATTAATGAAAAATTATCAGTCAGGATTATCCCAATGTTTTATCGTAAAAAAAAAATACAGTTTTCTCATATCCAAACTTTTTTTTGTGTGTGTTAATAACGATGTTGACGATGTTGACGATGTTGCAATCTGCATTTACTTTATCCTCTAAAGCTATGAGCTAAAGATATTTCTCTTCATCTAAATACTAGTTTGAGTGAATTCATCAACCGTTGACAAACGTAATGCAACAGGAATCTTGGAGTAAGAAATCATTTACAATTAAAAATAACTTTGTCTAATGAAAAAGGAAATTCTCTGAAATCAAAAGAAATACACCAGCTCTAGTTAGCTAATTCCAATAATTGTTTTTACCAAAGTAGACAAAAATAATGACATTTGTTTTCGAGAAAACGCCAAATTCCATACGTTTGACTATATCGTACACACAAAAATGTTTGGGTCAGAAATTGAATACAAAATTGGCTTTCAGTCGAAAAAGTGGTCGAGGGGTAGTAAAGCCGTCGTTTGTCAGAGATACGTAAGACTTTTACTATAACAATACATAGCGAGAAATGCCTCCATAGTGCTATAAAGTAGTGTAAAAGTATTAATTTTGCAATACGTATATAAAAAGTGTATGCTATCGTCCAAAAGCGAGAATACATTTTCCATCTTTTTCTCATCTTTTTCATGGCAACTTTATTGCACTTTTTACACCATTAAATGCGCCATACTAAGCTATATAGCTTTACTCAATGCGTCTCTTGATTATTCCTTATAAACTCTGACACTTTTAACCAAATTAATGACTTTTACTACCCAGGACAAGCAGAAACAGAGAAGAAAATGTTGGTGTTTGAAATATCCAGCCCTTCTCCTACAAGACATTTGATGCTTATCATGTCCAAAGATGCTCTCTTTGGACTCAAGAGCTTCCAAGGTTATGATAACTTCTACTTGTAAATACCTAAGCCATTGCTTAGAGGACATTTGTTACAAATGCCTGTCATTCTAGAGCCGAGATTTAACAGTTTCTCTCTTTTGATCTTGCTTTTACATACAACCCTTCAATAGAACTGTTAGTACACAGACAGTCTCTAAGCCAAAAAAAAAAAAAAAAAAATGAGGATCATTATTTCTTTTTGTGGCAAATACTTGCTTGTGATCAATAAGTAACGTTGCAGCAATGATTAGCTACAGAATTTAGGGCTGCTGATTTAATGATAGTCAATAAGCCTGTTTTTTTTTGTAACATGCAACAAGTGAAGGGCAGAGAAAAAAGAAAAAGAAAAGACGCGTTATCAATTATTTTAAAACTAGTGTATATACTTTATTGAATAAAAAGATAAAAAAGAAACTGGTACTTTAGCCAAATACTGTGAGTATTTGTTTCCAGGAACTAGGACGAGGACCTAAACCAGTTCAATTGAGTTCCCAAAAAGATGGTGCGCGTACGCACAAAGCCCCTCAGACCCCCACTATATAGTATTCACACTATCAAAAAAAATGGAATGCGTATCATTTTCAATAGAGAATGACGAACACTATATATAAAAAGCCATTACTCTGTCCGATAGTCGACCCTAAATGAATAGAGCTTGCCACAAATAGACAGATACCCCTTCAAAAGTGAAGCTTAACTTTAGAAAGACTACTCTAGCCATCAGACTAAAATAAGCCCCTCTAAAGGGCATTCACAAAAGAAAAGGCGAATGACTATCAATCCCAGTAACCTTCACTACCGCTTTCTAGCACTATCACAGTAGCAAACACCAAGACTGCTGCAATACCCTAATAGCCACACACACAAAGAAATGAGACTACCAAGATACCACGAATAGGGTTAAACTTATTACTATCCGATAGGTTCCCCTCCCTCCCCACAAGTGAGAAGAAGGTGCCAAGAAAAGATAGTAGCCTTCCAGCGTTGGGAATATTTGGACTTGGACTGCCAGTGCGCATAACTAAGATGGAATACCCCCTCGGACAGGACCATAAGCTAACCCTCTACACGCGTCTGTTTTACTCTCTATCAAATTCGGCAAAGACCCGTTTAGTGAAAAAAAGGCAGACTATCTTGACAGAGAATGCACTTGCACCCAGGCGATGAATCCCCCTAGATACGTTTGGTACATTATCCTGAAAGGACAGAAAACAAACACGCTGCAAAGAAAGCTGATAAGTTCCCTGACCATTATTCAGACTCAGTTATACTCAGTTAACTTTCTAAACCCCTGTTTTAAGGGCTTATTGAGGGCTTTAGAGGTATAGAGACTACATGATCGAATACAGAAACATATAATCTATGTTCTCCTAGTGTATTGAGTTGACACAGTAATAATAGCACTATTTTATATAGCAATCTTTTTTTCATATAGCTGCATAATCATGGATTTTGTTTGCCGCCAAGGCTTACAAAGTAGCAGTATCAGACATATACAGCTGTACCTGGATCTAGCAATACAGTTTGAGCTATTGGCAAACAGAAAAAGAATGCTGATCAAATTAGAGTGTGAGTCTGGTGCCCCAGATAAAAAGGAAATGGCATTTAAAATAGACAATCCTCCTTTTGTATGGTATTCATCATTTGCAATATCCAAAGCTACTCGCTTTGGCCTCAAAAATAGCATGTATTATAATATAGTTTGTTCGTGTGTATCTTATACGTCAAAAAATACTACAAAGAGTACCCCTCTAATAGTCAGTATCCACTGAAATGGGCCTCCTTTGTACTGATTACAGTGTGCCATCAACTTTGAATGCAGATCTGAGAGGAATGCTCAAATCAAGTCGACCTTTTCATCTTAGAAGACTCGCTTTCTTTTTTTTTTGGAAGTACTTACACATATCTTCAATTTTTTATATAATTATCATCTATCCTATCACTTATTTTTTTCTTTGGATTTTGTCTCAAGCATTACTCGAGAATTAGAAAAAGTAAGATAACTCAATATTACATTATCAATTATATCATATACTTATATCAATAAAGCTTTTACTATATTATCAACAAAATATAACAAACTAGTTAAATTCTATCTCAAGTCCATTACTTTTATTTAAGACTGTTTTTGCCAATAACTAAAGATGAATAGACAATGCGCAAGCACAAGATCTAGTCAACCACAAGCACTGACTGTAAAACAAGAAAAAGACAACTATTGCTTACATTAAAGACACCAGACAAAACCTTCTTCAGTCCAAAAAAAGAAAAGAAAAAAATAAAGAGACGTGTAGGAAGTACTTTGAGACCGTTTATAAATGTTTATTAAGGTAAAAGTTCGAGAGAAATTTTTTATATTCTAGGTTTATATATGATTTGGATTCTGTCCTTAGATGTAACCTGAGATAGAACTTGATGAGCTGAAAGTTATTAGATGGAATAAGAGTATTGGCTTTTTCAATAAAATATACTTTGCGAACCATCTTTACAGTTATTTATCATTCAAGATGAGATCTGTTTACTGGTTCCTGGATTATATGACTCTATTCCGTAGGAGTGTAAATGTTGATTCAGCTATATCATTGTTTAGAATGAACTCAGTTTTATTGCTATCAAACTATGACTAGCTGGCATAATAATAATAATATATGACAAATGCTCTTGTTATGAGAAAAGACTTATTTGTGATGGTATGGTTTATGATGTATATACTTTTTTTTTACTTAAAGTTATTTATTCCAGATCATCAACAATAGTTAGATTGACTTGTCTGTTATAATGTTTTTTTAACGAGGTTCATCTTATTTAAAGAAAAATTAAGTTTTCCATCTGCTCCAAGAAACTGGCCACGAAGGTATAGTCATTAAGTGTTCAATTGATATGGCCATATTGGTCACTAAACCTATCTAATAGTTGGTACCAGAAAAAGAAAGAGAAAGCAGCCTGAAATACTGAAAAAAATAAAAAGAGCAGCAAAACGTCAAAGAAATCAAGCTGAAGTTAATCCGGGGGTAATATGCAAGAAGTGTGAACTTCCCGGTCACTCTTCTGCTCATTTTACATTACGAGTAAGTCAAATACTATGCTTCAGAATCTTGGGCCAAATTACACTTTTTACGCTCGTAAATTACCTTTTCAAAATTGTGTCAAGGAAGAGTATCAAAACATATTGAAGCAGAAAATAACCTCGTGTTGTAGCGCTATAAGAGAGATAGTGTTTAGAGCCAAACTTTTTGTGAACTGGTATCTTTTGAAAACCCCAAATGAATCCGTATTTGATGGTATCTTTCGGCAACAGTTTGGGTATCCTGTTTGTCAACTGGTGAACAATAGAGAACCTAAAAACACCAAGCTTTTGCCACAATTTTTTTTACAAGAATGGGATAACTTCAAAACTGAAAATCCTAATGCCACTTTTAATGAAGATTCGATTGGAGGAGCTAGCCAGTGCATTACTGAGGCCTGCAAGGAGCTGGCAACCACCTACGAGAATGCAGTTGTAGAAAGACTTGAAAATATATTGAGAAGATTTTTGTAATACCAAATTCAAATTATGTTTGTTGTAAGAGCTAATAATCACATTCATTTACTCTAAATGCTTAAATATTATGTATATAGTCCATGGCTCCGAAGGACGTCGATAATATTGTTATAAAATATGGATATCAGTATGTATGCCAAGGTGAAGCGGTATGGCCTGAACAGAAATCACTTGAAGACCCTATGATCAAACGAAGAATCGATGAACAATGCCTGCCACTTAAAAACAAACTCAATGCTAGAGTTAGTATAAAATCATTAGCTGATAACCCTGGCTCTTTTGTTCCTCTGGTGTTTCATATACTGGCTGTCTTTGAAAGGGAACATCAATCCCATAAAGCGTTTGACGTTAGAAGACTTCCTTTACCAAGGCTGTTCAATGTATTCCCTTCACCATCATGCCATTGGCGATCAGTGACAATTTCGGTCAATGCATTAGCAGCATTTCTTCCTGGTGAACCACTCCCCAGAGGGTATAATGATCAGCTGCATTTATTTCACAAGGTATTTGATTTTAAACCGCTTAGAATTAAATCGTAAGTACATAGTAGTAAATATAATGATCATTCAAAATATATTTATTATTAGGATTGAATCTTTATTACTCACTGGATCAAATAAGAGGCTCTTTGGTAACCTGATCAGATCAGACAGTTTTTCTGTTAATTTCGTTTTTAACAAACGAACAATCAGAGGAAAACGTTTAACCAAGCAAATCAATCAAGTTGATCTGATCCTGGATGATTTTGAGCAGCATGAAGTTGACAGCCACTATTTACCAATAGCCGTAGATCCAGGAAGAAAAAGGGTCTTCACTGCATTTGCTGGTTCAAGTAGTAATATTAACGATTTCAGACAATGTTCCATCAAGGAATATTACTACTTGACAGGCTCTACAAAATTATCAGCAGAGCAAGAGAAGAAAAAGAAAGCATGCGGTATTAAGACGATTGAAACAAATATACCCACCAATAAGACTGCCAATGAATCACTGTATATGGAGTATGCCATTTATATGCTCGAAAACATTGGTCGTATTTTCAGTTTTTACAATCAAGAAACTGCAAAAGAAACCTTTTTCTTATACCAGGGTCGCCAACGAGCACCGGAGCAAATGGTAAAAATGTTGTTAGATGGTATCAAGAAATACAACAAGAAGTCAAGAGGAAATAAACTAAAAAGGGCAAAGAACAAAGGGAAGCGGAAGAAGAAGGGGAATAATTCCGGAAAGAAGGATAAAGAAAAGAGAAAAATGACACCGAAAACAACAGAAAAAAGGTAAAAAGTTACTTGGGCATGGCTATGATAATTTTATACTCATAAGTTTATGGTACTTAGAGAAAGCAATTTCTTTCAGTACAAACAGAAGGTACCACTGATAGTATTTGGTAGTGGCATGTTTGGGAAGGACCATGTGAAGATGAAAACAGTCCGGACTGGTGTCACTGGTCTTCTATACAGAACGTTGAAAAGAAGAGAGAGGACTGGTGACTTACTCGTTGTGGACATTGATGAATATTTGACGTCCTAAATATGTTCCAAATGTGAAAGTAGGACTTTGGGTGGTATTAGTGGTGCCCGCGGTAATAGTGTTCTCGTTTGCAAGACGTGCAGAACATTATGGCAGCGTGACATCAACGCTAGTTTGAATATGATGAACATTGCCAAGTCAATTTGGAAGGGTGAAGGCCGTGCAGAACGATTCAAGAGAAATTAAAAAAAACAACAATCGTCGTAATAAACACGGTATTTCCTTCAGGAATTAAGATTGTTACAGGTAAAGTCATCTAACATGCTATTGTACCTTCTCTAATAATTCTTCTCTTTCTGTTTAATTTCCATTTTTATTTCATAAGAGTATCTGGAAATTAATTTTGATTCGTTCAGAAAAAAACTAACATCGTCTGAATTCAAAGTAGAAATACTGTAATTGAATTTCGTCCAACAGCATCAAAAATTAAGCTTTGGTCATTTTTGGACATGTCGCATTTTTTAGTCCAAATCAACTTCAAAGGTACATTATATGTTAGTAAACATGGTTTGTAGTTATTTGAAGTATATATGCATGTATTAATAGACTTTTTGTTTCTTTATGAAATGCTCACAGCTACAATTCTTTCGAGATCACTATATACCGCCTTAAGAAGTAGACAGAGTGTTTCCCTCAAATGAAGAGAAAACGTGGCTTGATAGAACATTGTGTCACATGGAGGTAACTGAATTTCGGTGTACAAACCACTATTATCAGCCACCATGACTGAACAATTGGTTGATTTTTATATCGAGATGGTTCGAACAAAACCTTGTCAATGTAAGCTTCCCATCACCTAAAGTCATACTCTACTTATCTCTCATCCTCTGTTTAGATTGCAAAAAAAGACGAAGAAGATGTGTTAAAATAAACAAAGACTCTTGTGAATTTTGTATCCAATCAAACCAAGTGTGCATTCCTCAAGATCCCTTGTCCAAGAACTATAGTTCTGATGACTGGTGCTCTGATACAGAAGATGCGGCAGAAATCGAAACGCTTATTGAAGAAACAAAAACACTCGAACATCAGCTTCAGCAACTCGAACATCATGTAACTCATCAAAAAAGGCTTATGCAGTGCCAACCCCAATGGCAACTTGAATTTCACCATGGTAAGCTTCAGCTCAACTCAAACATCCATACTCTTGAAGAACTCTTTATGTTTGGAAAAGCAGCCATTCGCTATCTTTCGCCTTTTGGACATACGTTTCAAACTTCGTTTGAATGTAACCAAAGTGTCCACAGCTTTACTATGTTGGCATGGAAAGCAATGTCACAGTCGCAAACAGACATTCAGCAGCATCCCTTCAACAAAAGAGAGAAGGATACACCCCCTTGGAACCCACCCAACAGTCTGATTCGACCTATGGATTCAAAATACATGATCCCAAAACTTGTTGACAAATATTTCGCTTGTCTAGATATGATCATACCCATCTTGCATGAACCTTCTTTTCGAGAACATTACAGCAGTCTTCAAAATCCACTAGAGGATATCATTACATTGGCTATCTGCACTGCATCGTCTATTTCGACTTGTCAGCATGCTTTCCTCAATACACATGAAAGACGATACTTGGGTGAATACTTTTATCATCTCAGTATTGAAAAACTGATCGAGATATTCGATGACCCTGAACGACAACTAGAAACACTGATTACCATTAACCTGCTACAACCCTTTATGGTGGCTACATTACGGTCGAAAGAGATGCAGAGATGGAGCAATATAGCTCTTGTCATTAGTTCTACAATCACACCAAACAATGCACAGATGTACTCAAAACCACTCTTTGACCGAGATAGAGCTGAAAGAATCGAGCATGTCTTGATTACACGGAATATCTTTATGTCCAACTTTAGTCGGTTTAACATTGAATTCTTTTTGAACTTTAGGCGTTTGGATATAAAGCATTTTGATATTCGTTTCCAGGCCTTGCCTGACGAACCAGAAAATACAAAAATGCTTTTTGAACTTACCAACCATATTATGAAACTTACCTTGAGCTATACCGTCACCAAAATCCTTACTCAATTGTATGCGATGGCTACTGGAAACAAAGGAGAAATCAGTTTTGAAGAGATCATACAATACCAGCATGATGTCAATACATGGTGGCTCCACACACCAGATCACCTTAGGATAGGCAGTAATCTGTTTGGTATTACTCAAGACCTTATTCAAGCCACAACAGAAGTTCCTAAACTACTGTTTACTATGGTCATCACTTCACATACATTGGCACTACAAAGCTACATCATACAACTTGTGCCCAAAGACAAAGATCAAGCCATGTATCGAGTGATTGAAGAAAACATGTTTTCTTCCGTCTTGTATCTCTCGGACATTTCGCTTGCATTACTAAGGCGTTTAGCTATATCCAATGCTTGTTGTTATTGTAAGTAGTCTCTTTTGTTGATTGTTGTACTGATGTAGTTTTATTCTAGCACCTAAATTCATGCTTTTACTCATCATAGACTCACTTGTTACTTTATCCCAAGTGAAGAAACAAGACCAAAAGGCAGCCCATCTCATTAAAGCAAGAATCGATCTTTATATGAACGAACTCAAACTAAAGACCTCACCAGACCACCAGGTAACACCCAGCACTTCCCCTTACTCTATTGTATCCATAGCTCCCTCAAACACATTACCTTCGGCTACTGAACTGTACAAACACTATCCTTTACCTTTTGAAGCATTATCATTTGATCTCATTCAAGCTGCAACTTCTAAAGCGATGAAGAGCTACCATGTATTAAACCCTATTCTATAGCAAAATAAACATAATTATGCAATATCCTTTTAAAAAAAAAAGGGGGCCTTAAAGCCCACCGCCTTTAGAAAAAAAAAAAAAAAAAACTTTTTTTCTATTTCATATGGATCCTTATAGAAACAATCAATACAATTATAGACCAACATCCTATGGATTACCTCCTTCCACCACTTTTATACCGGCAACAAAACCACTCACAAGTGAAGAAAAACTCAATACGTTATTTGTAGGTGCTATTGTACCAGGCATTACCGATGAATGGATAGTTGCTTTACTCGAGGTAAACTGATGGAAATGTAGGCCATGCTACTGACAAAGTTAGATGTGTGGTAATTTAATGCATTGGAAACGTACCAAAGATCCTTCAGGTAAACCTAAAGGGTTTGGGTTTGCCACGTTTGCCGATACAGACAGTGTGTTGTGTGCCTTGCGTGTCTTGGGTGGCGAAACAACACCTGGTGTGACCCTCAAATCACTTGATGGATCACCAGTAGAGAAGAAACTGATTGTAAAAGCAGACGATACAGTACGTAAGCACCTGGACGATTATCAACGTCAACATCAACAGGCCAATAACCAAGCTTCTGATCAAGAGAGATACGACAAGGTCAAACAGCATCTCCAGACCATCTATGGTGAAGCGCGTGATGAGTCCGACGCTTTGGCAAAAGAACTAGCGTTTTATAAAGAACGTGCTGCTCAACAAGATGCCAAGCGGTTTTCGCGAGGTCCCACCGAACACAGCTACCCACAAGACACCTTGACCGATGAAGAAATCGAACGTCGACGTAAAGAAAAGCATGATCGGGATGTGGAAAATGCCTATCATCAACGCGAAAAGCGATTTGAACAACGCGAGATGGTCAAGATGCGAGAATACAAAAAAGACATGAAACGAGAGATTGAGTTGGAAGAACGAGAATCAAAAGACAAAGCGTATTGGTTAGATCGACTGGCTCATTGGGATGATCAAGTCGAGATGATGCGTGGTGAAGAACCTTATTATGCTGATCGATCGCGTTGGCGACGTATGCGCGATATTCAAAAGCGACGTGAAGAAGAACGCGATGAAGAAGATCGTCGACGTGAACTACAAGAAATCGAATTAGAGAAACAACGGTTAGAAGAAGAAGAAAAACGTAAAAAAGAAAGTCGGTTATTGCAGCGTGATGCTACGGATGATACCAAGATTGCTTTGAAGCCTACTAAGCTCAATTTCAATCTCAACATCAAGCGTAACACATTGGGTGGTGCTGATGATGAAGAAGAAGAAGAGGCGAAAAAGAAGCGTCGTGTGCTTGTGCCATTGGACTACAGTGGTATTGAAACCAATGTAGAAAATGATCATGAAGATTTGTCACCCGAAGAAAGGCAGCGCCGAGTAAAGGATTTGATTGATTCGATTCCTAGTTCACAAGCTGAATTATGGGAATATCATGTCAAATGGGATGAACTGACAGAGGAATTGATAGAGACCAAACTACACCCATTTGTATCTAAAAAAATTATGGATTTGCTTGGTATGGAAGAAGAAGACTTGGTGAATTATGTGCTTCAGTTTATTCGGGAGAAAAAAGGACCCAATGAACTTGTGTCTGAATTAGAAGGCGTAAGTAAACACATTGTATGTTTGTATATTGATGTTTGTTATAGGCTTTGGATGAAGATGCTCTTGTATTTGTCATGAAATTATGGAGAGCACTTATTTTTGAGACAGAAAGAAAATACAAACATCTCTAAACATGACTATGGGATGGGAGTAGTTTGGGTACAAGATCAGGTCGAATAGACAGTTCTATTAAGCCTATATAAGTAAAGAAAGAAAGAAAAAACCCCCAGTATTTATATCACTTACCATGTTCTGAAAAGTTAAACAAAGGTGGTAATTCCTTATTGTTCAACATCTTTGTGGTTGGTTTACGCAGTTCATCAAAATAAGGATGAGCCATGGCATCCATACAGGATAAGCGTGTATCTGGTGTGTACTGTAATAATTCAGACAGGAAATCAACAGCAGCCATGTCTGATTTCTTAAGTACTTTTGATAATGGATGTGGTTTGATTTGAGGAAAACGATGTTCTGTATAATGAGGATTCATGCTCAAGAGTTGCTTTTTGGTAGGTGTACCCAACACTTTGATGATTTCTACCAGTTGATCAACACCACTTTCACCAGGAAACAAAGGCTGATTAAGCATCAATTCTGCCATCACACAGCCTGTGGACCAAACGTCAATTGAGACAGTATAGTTTTGTGCTCCAAAGATAAGTTCAGGAGCACGATAATAACGAGAACAGATATAAGACACATTGGGTTCATCTGGCATTAACATTTTGGCACTATGTCTGATTAAGTATACTGCTATGGCTTATTTCTTACCTTCCAAAATCACATAGCTTCACAATGCCTGTAGTTGGATCCAAAAGCAAATTTTGAGGTTTAATATCACGGTGACAGATACCCATGGAATGAATATAAGCCAATGAACGTAAGATTTGGTATGTATACAACTTGACATACAGTGAGGGCATAGATTGTTTGGATTTAGCATAATGTCGTGTAGCCCTATAGAGTGTCTCAGGCACATATTCCAATACAAGATTCAAATAGAGCTCTTCTTTCTAATCAAATAAATAAGCTTCTCTTACTTGTTGCTTTTACCTTGCCATCACCTTGAGAATAGAAAAAGGCTTTCAAGGTGACAATGTTAGGATGTGTCACACTTTTCATAATGTGTAATTCACGATTCTAGAGGAGGGGGACATAAGTCAGTATAACATCATGAGCATATAATCACCTTGTATTGTTTATCTTGAAGCACTTTTTTAATAGCCACATCTTCACCTGTCTGTAACAACTTGGCTTGATAGACAACACCAAATGAACCGTTGCCTGCTACTTTATGTTTTGTGTAATGAAGTTGCAAGTCATGACCTGCTCCATCTTTTGCTGAGACTTTATATACTCTAAAAGAATCTTGTTTGATAGTCAGTCTACTGAATGCATCTGTCTATTTTTTTTTTTTTTTTTTTTTTTTTACTCGAACTATTACTCATGATAAAACAAGAAGAAAAGGTATATGTATGTGTGTGTGTATGTGTGAAATGCGTAACAATGTCATATGAATTCTTTTATTAGCCAATCAGACAAACTCTCTGCATAAACTAAGCATGAACAACAGCTGTATGTTTAATGGATCTATCATATCTAATAAGTACCATCTTCAACCAACATAACCTTACCTAGAGACATTATCAAACAAACGTTCAATATCAGGCGAACAACGAATGAATTCATGGTCCCAGAAGCGAGGATCTTTGATGAGTGTAATAAACGTAGCCAATAAACCCCAAGGATGAGGTCGATTGACAATCAAGCGTTCCAACAAGACACGCGTGACTTGTTCCTTGACAGGTTCAGGTTGATGAGAGAACAAGTAAAGTAAAGCGTTATGAAAGAAACAAGTGTGTTTGTTGGGATAACGTAAATGGTCTGCAATGGCACTCAGTACAATATAACGACCTAATATATAGGTAAGTATACATATATCCTATGGACTGGCTTTACCTTCAGACTCCAACAAAGACAAGAGATGTGTATAGGCAAGTAAAGCAGGACTAGCACTCATGTCTGTTGTCTGCTCCAAGGTACCAATATACAACACAAATGCACAGAGCATATCAGCATGGTTCTCTTTGTGCTTATGTCTCTCGATCTGTGCTTCTAATACCTTAAAGAATACGTCCGTGTCTTTGTTGGCCACAAACGCATCCGTGTGCTGCTTAAACCCATCGTGGGCCAAGATATCAGCATAACTTTGATCAAACAAAGGTGTCTCTAAACACTCTGGTAACTGATCCAATGTCAAGTCAGGCGTAAATGGATCAGGCAAATGCATGGTGCGAGGGAAAGCACTCAAGATCAAGTTGCGTAATTGAACACAGCTATGAGGAATGGCTTGAGCAAACAAAGTGTAATTGTGGCATAAAAATTCAGGGAAATCATGCAACAACACAACCAAGACACGTAAAGTACCGCGATAGAACATTTTTGTCGCATTGGGTAATCCTTGTCCTTTTAAGAGTGGACCCAAGAACTGGAGGAGAGCATGAATCAGCTTTTGGCATAAGCGAGTACCATGACTATCCTGAGTGATGAATAACTGAGGCAAGAAAGAACGGCATGAAATCAACTGAAGCCAACTGAATGCAAACCCAGGGAAATGGTTGGGTTGCAATGTATACAAAGCATCGCTAATGACGTTAATAAATATAGACATGAGTAGGTACTTACCTATAAGTAATCAAGGCATGGGCATCAATGGACTTTGTACGCATCTTGCTGATTTCGTTAAACAGGGAAGAAAACAACCTCAAGAATGGCTTTTGATTGAACCCAATACCGCGGTTTTCATGATGATGCGACAAGACCAAAATCATCACAGACAAAGCATCATTCAACAACTTGATCTTGGCCTTGTCGTTCTTTTCTTCGACTACCATGGCACAGATCAACCTGGTAAACGAATCAATCAAATGAATCATACGACGATGATGAAGTGTACTGACAGACCGCAAAGCCAGATAATGATTCACACACGTCTCTGTACACAACCTGAAAAAGAAGCATCGGTGATCTTGGTCTTCGGTCAATTGCATCACACGCTGAACCAGGGCAGTAAAGATCTCTTCTGTCGCCATGGGATGCTGGCATAACCGCACCCATTCAGCCAAGACCATACGCATCTCTAGACAATTGACTTTCTTGCTCATGTCAGGGTAGGGCTGTTGAATCGATTGAGCCAGATCATCTAACAGGCGAACCACACTAGGCAGTGCTTCATCGTTCTTGACCAAGGCTTGTAAAGCAGAGAGCGTCAAGACATGGTCATCCAAGAACGTAATTGGCTGTTGTGACAACAGACAGAGACGCATCAAACTGGCTGTGAATTCAATCACACTGTCCGCTTTCGCATGAATCAATTTTGCCAGTTGGACATCGTATTCTTCCAAAGGCAACAATTCATACCGAATCAACATTGAGACAGCAGGAGCATTGTATTTACGTTCATCATCTGCATAAATCAGCCAAGACAAGGTTTCTTTAGTCACTTCACCCGAGATTTCGAAAAGAGATTGGAGAAACATGGTATAGACTTCAAGTCCAAAGGTAGAGTTACTTTGATAGAGCATCAACACTACTTTTTCAACAAAGGTAATCAAGGTCTGTAAAGGATGAGGACTTTGGGAGACCATTAAGGGGATTTGACGAATCAAAAGACAGATATCGTGGTTAGGTGGCAATTGAGTCATGACAGTCATGTTGCATTGACGCACCATACGGTCTAATTCAAGCAGCATTTGTTCAAGCTTAGCATTCAATAGGCTCATGTTATTGGCCATGACTGGACTGGGGGACTCATTGCCCACAAAAGGTGGTGGTGGTGGTGGGGGTGGAGCTAACATAAGTGGCTGTTGAAGACGATGAATTTCAGGATGGAAATGAGCAGGAGAAAGCTGTTGTTGAAGTTGTTGCAAATGTTGCATTTGTTGCTGTTGTTGTTGCATTTGTTGCTGTTGTTGCATAGCAGCCAAAGAACGCTGATCAAAGTTCTCATACAACCGAAACTGTTCAGGAGATACACCACGCATGGGTTTCAGCATCTCAGGCAATGGAATCGAATGAGGAGCACCATTCAGGCTCAAGACATCAAAAAACGGTTGTGTTTGAGGCTGCTTGCGATAGGCCACACGGCTAGCATAAGCAGGTGCCAAAAGACGGTCCACATCTTCCAGTGCTTTTGTCTTGGCCAATTGATCAATAAAGACACATAACAGTTCAAGGTTTTCATTCGCTACTGTAGAAGCAATTTCTTCAGCCAAAGGTTCAGGAAGACCTCCCTTCTGAACCAAGTGAAGTGAGATGATCGAGATCATAGTGCTACACAAAGGTTCTTTACAACTCACGACAGTCAGACTACAAGCCAAGGGTTGGACCATGGCATGAGCAGCACGTTGAAGACGGAGATGATCAGGTTCAGTAGCAAAGTCCTTAAGGACCATTTCCTTAGTAGAGACAGCAGCAATATTGGCTGATGTCATCAAGATAGGAGGCACTACTTCTGTAAAGGCTTCAGAGATACCTGCATACACGGTGGATTTGATCAAAGGATGTTGGACCATCAGTTGACCCACAGCAGGGTTGATCTGAAGTTTGGCCAGGATAGGTGTGACATCAATCGGTAACGGAACAGGCTCTTCTGGCATTTTGATGGATTTTTGTGAAGTAGCAGGTGACGAAGCTACTTTCTCCATACCAGGAGGAGGAACTGCTGCTGCTGCTGCTGCTGCTGTGGTGGTGGTGGTTGTGGTTGTGGCGGTGGTGGTGGTGGTGGTACTGAGTTTATTTAGCACATTTGTAGGTTCAATTTCATTCAAGTCAAGATGTAAACCCTTAAACAACAATTCAATTTCAAACTTGAGGTTCAATTTGAGTCCTTCAGTCCAATAGAGTTCAGCCAGTACTTTCAAATGGCTCATCAACCAAGGGTTTGGCGGCTTAAAGATCTTACTATGAGCAGTATGTTGTAATACTTTACAGACAAGAGGAATAGCCACGACCAATTGTTGTTTCTCATAAGCAGAGACCAACAAGTCCTTCAAGGAGATATCCTTATGACGAATAGGCTTGTTTTTAGCCAGTGTCAATCGACCTAGCCAAGTACCCAAATTCTTGAGCAAGTTACGGTCTGAAGAGGAATGTGCAATACTGTCTGATCGAAGCAACAGGTGAATATTGGTATAGGTCTCCTCGACCACTGTCTCTGTCAAGCCAGTCAAGGCCAATTCATCCAAAAGACCTGCATACAATTCATGGTTGTTGGGCTCAATACTGACACGACGAACAACAAGGTAATGACTAAACCATCCCCAAGTGGATGTTTGCAACATTTGCTTTAATTCAGTCGCTTTACTCTTTGTGTTGCTGGCGGATAAGTTGTTGATCAAGAACGAAATACGCTCTTGGATCTTGTCAGCTGGGGTTTCGTATTGATGCGTGTTTTTGAGCAAGGTGGTGACATTGGGTGCTGCTTCTGCTGATCGTTCGGCTGTTGTCTCACTCAGTTTAGGTGACATGGTCTTGTCTTCAGGGTCCTTTTGAGCCAATTGTTTCAAAGTAGTGGCAATACTTTCCACAATGGCAGGATAACCACGCAATCCTTCAATCTTGGACAACAAGAGAGTATATTGAGGCCATTCATGCAATCGACTACGGAACTGAAGTAAGGCCTGAATACCGAAATTAAACATTTTGGATCCCACAGGGTGTTTGAGTGCATCCAAGACCAGTTTAAGGGTGACACGTAACTGAGCAAACGAAATCAAGTGTTGGTCAATCAATAAACCCAACAGTTCACCTGCAGCCATCAATTCATTTTCTGGATATTGACTAAAAAAGCGCGCTTCATCCAGCTTAAAATACTTTGTTAGACAAATCATCCTCATTCGAGTATTATCACCTTACCAGTGTATGTGTGGTACATGAAAAGAAATTCACTTGACGTTGATCATTCGACGTACGACAGGCTTTCAAAACAGAAGCAAATCGACTCGCGCTGATGTCTTTGGTGTATAAGCGTTCAAAATACAAGCGTACCATTTCTTCTACTTCATCTGAATAATGGCCTTCTGTCTCTGGTGGGTCTATTTTGACCTCATTGGTGGGACGATCGTTTAATTGAGGATACAGTTGCGTATAGAGTTGACTGAGTTTGGTCAATTTGGCTGTTTCAGCAGGAGGCAAAGGTCTATATTCTGGGATTAGGATATTCATCCCTGATTGTCATCACTTTACCTTTCAGATAAGACACGAAAGAAGATACGAATCACTTCCATTGAGAGCTGTAAAGTAGGAATCACATTAGCCCCTGATTGACGAGCCATTTCAATCGCGCATTTCTTCTCCAAGAAATCAACACAGGTACCAAAAAAAGCAAATCCATCTTTCACCAATCTCTCCATTAACCATTTCTCCAAATTCAGGTTTTGTCTACGTGCAGCAAGAGAAGCCAAATCCAATGTAAAGAAGGGCACATCTGTCTTGAGAATATGGACCACAATCTATTCTGATCATTAATCACAGCGTAAGATATCTTATGTATACCTTTGCTTCCTGAGCAATATCTAGGATACGAGAAATACAAGTAGGATCCTTTTTGTACATGTCAAAGAATCCTTCAAGTAACAAGTGAGGTTGAACATGCCAAAGTAATCGAATCACAAGTGCTGAATTAACATGACCAATAAAAAAGATGTTTAGTAGTTTAGGCAGTAAGGTACGGTGAAGTTCATTCTTCATGGGCTAATAAAAATGAGTATGGACCCCGCATCATTGACTTCCTATGTACCTGTATTTGAGCCAATCCAATCATCAATAATTCAGGTGCTTGAATAGCCAATCGATCCATCAACACTTTCACATCTTCGGATACCACCGTTCCAGCTAAATCCATAATGGCTTCTAGTAGACTCAAGCAATTCAGCTGTTGAGAAGCTAATTGAGTGGCTGCTTGTCGCATACTGACAGGTAAGACAGGCATCAATTCTTCAGGAATCACTCTTCTTCCTGTTTGACTCATGTCTAATAACTCGGGCAAAGCATAGACCATATAATACAATACGCTGAATTGGCCTCTGACATGCATCCAAGGTTGAAGAAAGATGTGCACTGGAAAAGGATCCTCCTATAGTATGTCAGCAATTATACATACACACGCCGTGTTCTGTCTTACCTTATGTACATATTGCCATGAAGATACAAGTATCTTTAAGCCTGTAGGATCATACAACATGAATTCTGCTTGGTCTAGTTTAGCCAACACAGTCAACCAATTCAACTGAGGATTCTAGTGTGATGTAAGTAACATCATCAACATACAACTCTTACCTTGGTCAAGGTAGCCTTCATAAAGTTGTCTAGGTTCCAAGTTTGTCCTTCTGTGCTGCCTTGGAGTTTAGCATGTGTACGGATGATCATAGCCAAGGCTTTTGAGACAGATTCTTCATTCACTTCGACACTTTCCATGACCTGCATAGCAGTGTTAATATTGGCTAAAGCGTGATAGCCTTCTTCAGTTAGTTTCTTGCTTAATAAAAGGCTTTCTGTGTTTGTCTTTTTCGACATGCTTGTAGAAAAGATACGCGACAAGAAAGAAAAAGAGAAAGAAAAAAAAAAAAGAGTAAATAAGGTCGACGTCACTTTTTTTTTTTTTTTTTTATTTATTTATCTATTTATTTATCTTAGCCGTCTTTTACAATCGCCACAAGGACACTAATATCGTCTAATTTTCCTCCCTAACACGATGAGTGCATAGATACGATGGATAAGCTTGATTTACCTTATAATAAAGTCCTTCATTAACAGCTCTTTTGCCAAATGGACTGTCTATGTTAAGTTTACTATGACTGACTGTTTTTGCTCGTTCAGCCAAAGCATCGGATATCTTTTGTGGTTCTGATCGCTTAAGTGATCTTACAATAGACAGTATTTCTTTATCAAACAAGTTATCAAATAAGCCATCTGAGCCCATAATAATAATATCTCCCTTTTCAACGGCTACTGTAAAGGACTAAAGAATGAATAAATTGCGTATAAAATGTAGCTTACTTGAGCATCGTTGGGTCTATCAGGCGAACTGGTCCCTAATTGGTATGGAAAATTGAATGCATGTTGCTGTTCTTCTGTACGAAAGATATAATTATTCTGACGAATGACTGAGATACCGCAGTCGCCAATATTGGCAATCCTTAATTCTTGGTGTCGTAAAATAGCCAGACAAGCTGTACATGAACCAATGATACCCTGATCTTATATGAGGCATAGAAAGTAATCGATAACTTACTTCTTTTTGCGCTTCCTGCATACTTTCTTCATAACTCTTTTGTAAAATACATACAGGATCAGCGTCTTCCATGGTATTCAATCTCTCTAGTTCAAGATAAGCATGGTGCATTAATTTTCTAGAATACAAAGCAGCATTGGCAGCTTAGAAAAAAAAAAAGAGGGTATTAGGCTGATTCGATAGGAGCACATCCATTTTACCTGATACACCAGACCATCCACCTACACCATCAGCTACACCTAAAGCATCGGACCGTCTAAAATAAGCATCTTCTCCAATCTGTATACTATAATAATGTTGGCTATTGTATTTATGTGTATCCGGGGTTGTGTAACGTTGTCTTTTAGCAAATCCAGAAGCACCATGGGCAAACACAAAAGAAGGTCTTGTATGAGGTTCAAACCATCGCTTAGGGTGTGTATAGATGGGATAGTAACGAGGCGTGGTTGTGTAAGCTAGATGTCTGGCTGTTTCTTTCTTGGTGGTTATAATACTGGGTGATGGTTTTGAGGGTGTAGGAGGGTCAACCACAGTAGGTAAATGACGAACAGAGGTAACAGAAGGTAAAGAGTGTTGATATAAAAGGGATTGTTGATGATGTGACCAATGTTTGGCTGTAGAAGATACAGTAAGCCAGGTTTTTGATTTCATACTATGTAAATATGGGAAAAAAGAAAAAAAGAGAGAGAGAATCCTGCAAACAAAGATTTAGATTCCGGCTATGTTATCTCCTTATTGGTAGAAAACGGAGACAAGACACTGCCAATGGATATAAAATAATGCATTTACGCTTTTTGGTTCATTATTTAGAGGTAGATTAAAAGTCTCTTGTTTACATTGTACCTGAAGCAACAGCGACTCGGCTTCATGATTAGGACACTTTTCTAGTAATCATAATAATAAAAAACCTTAAAAGACGCTTGTTCTCCAGAAGCAACTGTTTGAAATGTTTGGGCATATGACCAAGAAAAAAGGTAGAGAATAAAGAACTTTATTCTTTCAAACTAGAGATATATTTCAATAAAAGAACTCTAAAGGAAGAAGTGCTGTATACAAATAAAAGTCAAGGTGTTTTTATTTCCAAGGCAGATTTATATTTTGCTTACGGCTCTAATTTGAGGATATTTTCTCCCCAAGGTGATTACATTCCTGATGCATCTCTCTATATTATGTTGCTTACTTAAAAATGATGATGTAGGTGACACCTATATCTCAACGTATTCGTCAAAAAAAAAAAGACGATAGAGAATGAAGATAGATCATAGCAGCTCCAAACACAGTCGTTCATATTGTAGACTATTTTGAACAATAAAGAAAATGGGTTCCCTCCCCCCCCCCTCAATTTCGTTAAATTAGTTTGAATACAGTATATATATTCTGAAGAAAGTATAGGATTCCACTTATTTTGTCTATATAGATCAACTACACAACTGATAATAATGTGGCATATTGACTGCGGCAACAAAAAAAAAAAATTTTTTATTGAGATTCTTCCTTGTTGGATTTCTTGTTGGCACGACGCTCACGAAGAGCCTTGTTCTTAGCACGGAGAACATCAGCTTGTTCAGCAAGGGTCTTGGCACGCACCTTTTCAGCCTTAGCCTTATGGATGTGTTCCATCAAGACACGCTTGTTCTTGAAGCCATTACCCTTAGACTTGAGGTAAAGAGAGTGGTACAAGTGCTTGTCAATCTTACCAGCTTCTCTGTACTTGGCCAACAAACGACGAAGGACACGCATACGACGCATCCAGATGACTTGGGTACGCATACGAGCATCAGCAGTACCCTTTCTTTTACCATAACCCATGTGACGACCATTACGCTTAGCAGCAGCACGTTCAAGCACACGGAAACGGGATTGAGAGACTTGAGGCTTACGGATAATCAAACCATCCTTAACGAGCTTACGGATATTGGCACGGGAGTTGGCATTGGAGATTTCATTGACTTCATTGGGGTCTAACCAGATTTTACGTTGACCACACTTGAGGACAGAAGCAGCTAAACGCTTTTGAACGAGCAAACTAACCCTAAAGAAACAAGGAATCAGTCTTGAATTCTTGTCCGGCTCATGTCCGGTAAAAGGAGATACTTACATATTAAAAATTTAGAAAATTGAAAAGAGATAGAAACAAGCAACTCTGTCTGAAGGTCAAATTACATTTGAAAAAAGCCCGTCATTGCCTATTCTCAAAGTATGATTGGTTCCTTTGGTATTTCAAACATAGAAATACAGTCACCCCACCTGATCTGCATCCGTTTTGCATCCAACATCCATCCATCTAATGATTGGCTTGTTTTTTTTTATTATGCCCGGACAAGGATCTTTATTATGTAATATGATGGAATGCCACTTGACTTGTAATTTGATGAATGGATTGAGAACAATGAGTTGAACAAAATCGATACATGACAGGAATATTTGGATTACCCAACACAGGCTGCCAAATGACTTCCTCAACACAGGGTGAATGAAATAACAATTTACAGTTTTCACAATAATGAGCAACAGAGATGGTTTGGAAAGATAACAGGATATCTTCTGGTATTAAGCCATCAAGAGAAGAGGTATGAGAGGACTGGTTTAAAATAATGCGTGTACAGATTTCTTTAAGGCTTGTGAAATTCACTTGTTTCTGTTGGGACTGAAGATAAGGGTTGGGAAATAAAGATAAGGTTGTCAGTTTCTTTAAGCGTAATAATTCAGCAGGTATATATTTCTATGGTTGTGTTCATCAACATACATGTATTTTCTACTGAGTGACTTACCAAGTGATTGTTTCCCAAGGAGAGTTCAATCAGGTTTTCAAGTAAGGCAATATCAGGTGGAATTGTCTCCAAACAGTTGTTGCCTACAGTAGAGAGTGAGTTGATTGTCTAGATTGAAATAAACTTACGAAGACTGAGGACAGTTAGATTCTTGAGTCTGAATAACACAGGACTCAGTGTATGAATACGATTGTTGTATAAAAAGAGTTGTAAAGAAGCTGATTTTACAATGTCGTTGTGTAGTACAGTCACATAAGCAAGTTCACCAATTTCGTCTGGTATATCTTCCAGTTCAATATTGCTAATATCCACTTGTTCTATACCATTATCGACGACATTATCAATGGCTTTGCGTACTTTGGAGAGGGGCGTTTCGTTAGATTTCTTTTTTCGCCTAGTATCATTTGTATCCCAGCTCATTGAATTCATGCGACCTCGCTTTCTGTCTGAGAAATCATCCACATCGTCTTCACTAATACTACTTATGCTACTTATACTACTTGTATGTTCAATACAATACTTTTGTTGGTTGTATTTTTCAATCGATGGGACAATAGGAAACTCTTCTTTTTCTTGACGAGGAAATTGAGGTAAGTAATCTTCATCTTCAGAAGCATCTGTGTCTAACCAATCTACTTGATCATATTCATAGACTAAATTACAGTTCATTTTTTAAAAAAGGGAAAAGAAAGAGTATGTATGTGCGTACGAAAAAGAGAGAGAGAGAGAGAGAAACCCTTTTTCGCTTTTTTTTTAAAAAAAAAAAATAGTGTTCCCCTGCCATCCTATAACTTGAAAAGGAAAGTAAATGATGTCTTGTTAGACCCAATCAAAAGCGCCATTTCAATTTTATTATTAAGTTAGAATATGCATAATTATTATTATTTTATTTAAAAGGGTAAACCGCCACCACTGACACCACCTTGACCGCCCACAAGTCCTGTGGCTTTATCCGTAAGACCATTGGTTAAACCATCCGAGCCTTCAGAACCAAGTAAGCTTGATGTCTTACCGGTGGCTGCATCGGTTAAGCCACCTGCTGTGGATGTAATCGTGTCTGTAGCACCTGTTAATCCATTTGTCTCTTTGCCGCCCAAACCAGCGGTAATGCCATCCGCAAGAGGAGAGCCTTGGCCTGTTAAACCACCAGCAACACCTGTGACTGTATCCAGACCAGCCAAATGGCCCCCTAATGGAGCAGTTTGTTTAGGATGAGGTTTACCAGTAGCAGCTTGTTTGGTTTGACCAGGTACCTGCTTGCCTGCTTGTGGACCTTCTTCAGCAGCATCCTCTAAGGCTTCTTCTTGGTCACTTGTGATTCTTTTTTGAATACTGGCTTGAGTACGGTCATGGAAAGCATCTAAAGCCATTGTGCCTGCTTCATGAACCAAGGTTTGTGATGTTGCACTGACTGAATCCACTTCATGAACAGGAGCAGTGAGAGCCAATGGGGCAAGAACAGCTAAGAGTAAAAGAGAGACAGAACGCATGATGAATTGAGTTTTGTATGATTTAATCCTGTCTCTTTTTATACTCCTTGGGCAACTTGTTTTGATAATGCAAGGAGTATGAGAGATAGTGGATGCATCGTCTTCTCCTAAGCAAATACTTGTTTTTCTTGAGAGGGGAAGTGCATAAGGAGAACAAAATGATACAGAATGTTGTCATTACAGAATTCAAAAGACCTAGTTGCCTATCCCTTCTTTTTTCATGTCTCCTTTTGTTCTCCTTTCAAAAGTAGAAAACGATTTACCAAGGGATTTTGTAAACAACATCCTTTCATTGTTTTTTTTTTCTTTAGATTTAATGTCCGCTAGTCTCGCAGCGACAGAAGAGAGATGGACCTTTTTTTTTTCTTTTTCCCTTTTTTTCTTTGCTTGCTGTCTTTTCAACATGTCTGAACGTAAGGTCCTGAACAAATACTTTCCTCCCAACTTTGATCCCTCACAGATCCCTAGACAGTAAGTTGATTGGCATACTATTGTTTATTGAATGAATTAGAAAAAAGCCCAAGGATCTACAACACAAAGTACGTCTCATGTCGCCTTTTTCAATGCGATGTGAGAGTTGTGGTGAATACATCTACAAGGGTAAAAAGTTCAACGCTAGAAAAGAAACAGTAGAAGGAGAGACTTATTTGAACATCAAGATTTATCGATTTTATATAAGGTAGGCTCTTTTTTTTTTGAGAGTGTCTTTACCTACTCATCATGTTAGATGTCCACGTTGTTCAGCCGAGATTACGTTCAAGACAGATCCTAAAAACACAGACTACGTAGCAGAACATGGTGCCACACGTAACTTTGAACCTTGGCGTAACGATGAAGACAAAAAGTCTAGTTCTGAAGAAGAAGAAGATCCCATGAAATCACTCGAGAGTCGCACACTGGACTCGAAGCGAGAAATGGAAATCATGGATGCATTAGATGAAATCCGCACAAGAAATGCGCGCTCTGAACGTGTGGATGTGGATGAAGTCTTGAATCGATTCTCGACTGAAGATAAAGCAGAGATCAGTGAACGCATGAAAGTAGAGGAAGAAGAAGATGAAAAACAAGCCAAGGCAGTCTTTCAGAGTGGCGATGGAGAACAAGTGCGTAAACTCAAGCAGGCAGAACCAGACGCTATCAGTCTAGTGAATCATCAAGCCAAGGTAGATATACCTTCATTCAAACCCGCTACCATCATGATGAAAAAGAGAAAGCAACCGACAAGTCCATTAGTGACTGTCAAGAAAAAGAAACAAGACACCAATGGGTTGTCTTTACTGGCAGGTTATGATGCTTCTTCAAGTAGTGATTCTGAATAAAGTGTGTGGTTTATTATAATGAAATATACATGGAGCGTTTTTTACTTGAAGGATAAATGATCATAGCAGAACCAAATAAACCAGCTGCTAGTCCTAATGCAATGGTTAACATTTGCATAGGGAAATTGTCCTTTTCAAATCCATTAGCATGTAAAGCAGCATAAGCACCACGAACACCTATATTTACATCAGTGCTACCACTTCTTTGGCTTTAGTTTCTTACCTATACTACCAGGTACTAATAAAGTGACACCCACACACAATGAAGCCAAGGGAGGTTCTCCTGTCAATTTAAGTGCGATATTGGCATAAATACCAATAGCAAAAGCAGCCACTGCACCTACAATAGGACCTTCCAATACCTGCGTCAAAAAATACGATACAGAGAATGCAATACTACATGAAATCAATTGAGAGATCCATTGTTTTCGACAGGACCCATAAGACAGTGAAAGGGAAATACTCAAGATGGGCAAAAGCAAGAAATAAAACCAAGGAGAAAGTGTGGAAGATGGACAGACACTTTGTTCGGGTACATTGGGGTTCATGGCATGATATGCATTGGAACCTACTTGTAATCCATAGGCTAATTGAAAGGCATAAAAGACAGCATAGACAAGCCGAACAATGCCCGTGGTCACATGCCTTGCAGACAATTCAATCTATCTCAAAGAAATGAGCTTATGTGTGTATCCTCAAGATCTACGTACAACACCTATCGTCATTGTGTAACCAGGTAAAAGAATCAAAAGAGCAGACATAGCCACACTCACAAAACAACAATACTCATGTAAGGCTCGAGTGATCAAGGCTACCAAGACAGAAGCAGATATTTCAAACACTCGAGCATAAACAGGAAACTGAATAGACAACAGATAAAGAACAGCCACAAGAAACCCTAGCCCACCACTGATACTGGCATCAATCCAAGTGCCACCAAACATCATTGCAGACGCTGAGAAACTACTGAGGGTAAAAAAGATCAGTGTGGCATACACACCACACGTAGGGGGTGCTGTAGCCACATCATGCAGTTGTACCAGACAATGATCCAAGTCAACTTGACCTCGATAAAATTGGTTCATAATATCATGTATACTGGCTATTTTACCGTTATCGTATCCTTGAGGTGATTTGACCATGATAGATTCTGACTGGTTTTGTTCTGTAAAAGTGACCAAGACAGAGTCTGGTAAGAAACTAAAGGAAGCATCCAAAGATAACATCTGAGCTGTCAATTGAAGCATATCATCCTAAAGACCTATGATGATGATGCTTATTTTAATATTTACTTACCACTCGATGACAAGGACATCCACATTTCAGTAAAAGTCTGCCTAGCAATATCACCACACTCTTCTTTTTCTCATATAAAAGCGTACTGTCTTTATTGTAGTGCGTAGGTGTGATTTCATGCTCTTCGTTGGTATGTAAATGTTGTGGATTATCTCTGGATACCATAATATCTGCTCTTCGCATACTAATGGCTGTAGCAATACTATTGTCTCTTGTCAGATCACTACTTGTTGCTTGGTCTACCAAGTTATTCTCTAAATCAACCACATTGATCTGTGTATTTGTTCTCCATACAGAAGAAGGTCGAAATGGATCTGAGATTACTGCTACACTTGGTATGGTTGGAGACACTGGTTCTGTCAATGTAACTTGTGAAGCAATACTTGAATCTGAGTCATAGTTTATTCTTTTGTTAGTCGACATCCTAAAGAGAGAAAGAAAGAAAGGTACTGAAAACAACTTCGGTATTTTGACAGCTTTTAATTCGGATAAAGAAACAGACTGTATTTAATTATTTCCTTTTTTTTTTATTATTATTATTATTATTATTAAATTCATTAAAATATGGCAGGAAAAGCCTCTCCTACAAAAAAATCCATCCCTTCTAGTGCAAATAAAGATTTAAGTTGTTTACGTTGTAGAAAAAAGAAAGCCAAGTAAGCTCAACCAAGACAAGAAAAAAAAAAATAAACTTATAGAACAGATGCTCAAAAACTCGACCTACTTGTACTCGATGTGCACGATCCAACCAACCTGTATGTATGATCCCTTCCCCTCATTTTTTTTCTGTTTGTTTGTCATCACTCATACTGTCTCTTAGTGTGAATACCCAGATGCACCACCTAATCTCACCGATCTATCTCAAAAAGTATTGACACTGTATGATACGCTACGTGAATTAGAAGGTGAATTTCTAGAGAAATACATGCAAGAAGTAGATATACCTATATCCTCAAAACGACAAAAGCAACAAGACGATTTTACACCTTCTACAGAAGAACCAGCAGGATGGTCCATGTCCTTAAGTGAACATGGTCTCTCGTTGCATATTGTGGCACGCAATGGCCATGAATACAATGAATTTGCTAAATCACTCTCGCGTCAATTGGCTCGAGATTTTGGCCCTGAATTCCTACCTACCCCTTGGGACATGGAGGAAGATGATGAAGAAGAGGAATTAGACGAAGATGAATATCTAGTGACCATTCCTGTATGCTCAACGCAATGCTTATTTCCTTTGGTTCAACCCAAAAGACGCACGTCTATCATAACCAAAGAAGATACCCTTTCTCATATCATTCAATCTCAATTACCCACTATGCTTCAACATCTTATAGTAAGATACGCCTCTTTACAAGAGAGTGATGACCACTTATCCAAACTGATGCTACATCTTAAATTATATCTACCCCTTTCAAATGTGTATTGTCCTACTACACAAACAGTAGGGGACTTGCTTTCTACTGTGTTTATTATCACTGCCTATGTTGTCTCTGTTGCTCTCTTGCCTTCTTTACCTGGTCTTGTATGTCCTCCTTTACCTACTTGTGTCTGGCAAGATTGTGCCGACTATGCCACCAACTTATTAATGGACCTGATATTCGATCAAGGAGACCAACTATCGTCTTATCCAGTCATTCTATGCACTCTTTTATTAGCATGGATTCATACTGAGCTGGTCTCATCATCTTCACCCCAAGCACTGATTGGACTCGCTATTCGACTCCTGATACTTTCAGATTATGAACAAACAAGTCCATGGCAAGCCTTGATGGCTGCCTTGATTTACTTGGATGTTTATTCATCCTTATTTTATGCACATACACTTCAACAGAATGCCTTATGGCCTTCTTTTGAGAAACCCAAGGACAAAGAGACACAATGGATGTTGTTATTAGCCCAAGTGATTTCTTTGTTTTATCACCCATACACTAACCATATTCGCAAAGTAGATGTGGATGAAGTCTTGACTCTGGTGCGGGACATGGAGATCCAAGAACAGACACTGTCTGATCAAAAGCAGCCTATTCAAGTTGTGCATTACATGATCAAAATCCTCTTGTTTCGTCCTTTTTGTATGCATGGAGAACAGACATTGACGAAATCTACTTTTCTAGACTTGTCTACATCAGCAGCAGATGCACTGTCTCAATTACTGCTGAAAGAACACACTCCTTGGTCTAAAGGTGCCTTGTTACTTATTCAAGACGTGCTGGATCGTGTGTCTGCTGAGTTTCAAGACGGAGACACACAGGCACAACTAGATAGGATTAAAAGTCGACTATAAATGCAGAAACGATAAAAATTCCTTTTTATTATTATTATTTATAAATTCTATATGACAGAACAATCTGTATCAAAGCAAAAGCCCTTGTCTAGTTTCTTGAGAAAGTTATGGGCGTAAGTGGGTTTTTTGCTTTTATGTGTTGCTTAGATTGCTGTAGTATTATATCCGATCCAGTGCATGAAGATGATATGCATTGGGTTCATTCAGGTCAAGTCATGTGTATACCCAATGCGTCTTTATTCACACAGAAAATGTTACCAGCACTGTTTAATCACAACAACTTTCAAAGTTTTGTTCGTCAGTTGAATTGTAAGTGTATGTCATGTGAACTAGGTTGACATGATTAGTATATGGATTCAGAAAAGTGTTGACGGAAGAGACAAGAACAAATAAGACAGCATGGCATTTTAAACACCCAAATTTCCAAAGAGATTATCCTCATAAGTTACATGATATCAAGAGGCGGTCAAAGCATCGTCTTCTACCTCCTTTACCACCATCCCTACCCCTAAGGACGACACCAAGGCAATTATTACCCAAACAAACAAAAGACGGCAAGTGAATGTATTACCCATCTAAAAATGCTCATTGATTCTGACTCTAGAAAAAGCAATGGCAGAAGAAATACAACAATTAAGATTGAAATTAGAAGACATTGAACAAAAGCGACACGTATTATGGGAACAAACAGTCGCATTGAATACAATACAGTTGGAACAGCAAAAAGTAAGAATAAGACTTATGTTGATAACATACTTAGGTTGTGTAGAGTATAGAGACATTCTTGGATTTCATACATCAATTAGTAGAGAAAAGTAAGTTGTGTGTTCTGATTGTTATTCATCATTTCTTTATGCAGATCCTCGCTTATTAAATCATGGTAAGTATTGATTGTCTACACATAATTTAACCCTATAGGCATCAAACTACCTCAAGAATTACCCTCCATTTCTCATCTCATTTATCCTCCTTAATAGAACTTATTTGTTGTCATTATGATCTCAACTAAAATTCTCCATTGGAACATTTATTTAGATTGTAATGGCATTCGTATGACTATGACTGGCAATAAAATTTCTACAGTGTAATTTGTCTGATAGTGCATGATGAATGGAAATGGGTATAGATTCTTCTTGTTCTTCGTCTTCTTCTTCTTCTTCTTCGGACTGTCTTAAGGGCGAATGATGCTCATGATGTTGAATTGGCCTTGAAGAGAAGGCATTGTTTTCATCTTCTTCATCTTCAGCTGCCATCACGCGTCGATTCGTACGCCGAGTACGTGTGCTTAATACTTCTTCTGCTTTGGCTATCGTATTGCATAACAAAAGTCGTTCTCGCATACCATACTGAGGTTTAGATCTTTTATCATCACGGTCAAGTTTTTTACATCCAAGCGTATACGCTTTGTTTGCCATTTGTCGAGGTGATAATGTGGTAAATATAGTACAAGGTGCAGATCTTGAATTGGAACGCTTGGTAAACATATGTGACAAATCATTCAACGCTTTAGATCAAAAAGAAAAGAAAAAAGCGAAATCAAAAAAGATGCATTTTATAGATCATGTTGACGGGTAACTTCGGAACCATCAGCATATGAAAACTACGGGATTTGGTGTGAACTTTTTTTTTTTTTTTTTTTTTTTGCGCACTGTCAAAAATTTATTGTTATATCTAGTAGACGAAATGAATGTTATGTGTAGAATGAATTGAATAAAATAAAATATAAAATAAAAATGCATGAAATTTAAGAAGAGAAGAGCTTCTTTTCAAAAGAGTGAAGACCATGAACACCACCTTCCATTTGAGCAGCAGCAGTTCTCTTTTCAAAACGAACAACACCGTCATAAACAGCTTGCTTCATGTCAGCAACACTGGATTGACCAATGTCTTGAAGGGAGTGTTGAACACCAGTCACGAGGTATTGAATGAACTTGCGGACAGAACCTTTATCGACCACGTTACCAACAACACCTTGAGCCACCTTAACAGCATCACCTTCAGAGAAGTAACGCTTTGTGGCAGCATTACCGTCCTTACCACCAGACTTTTGAGACATGGCATCAATAGAACCCATACCACGGTAACGCTTAAGACGTTGGCCTTCGTGATAAAAGTATTCACCGGGAGTTTCAGTTGTACCGGCCAAGAGACCACCCATCATGACAGCACTGGCACCCAAAGCCAAAGCCTTGATAATATGACCTACGTTGGAGATACCACCATCAGCAATAGTAGGCACACCGAAGCGACGAGCAAATTCAGAGACACGGTAGACAGCAGTCGCTTGAGGACGACCACAGGCCATAACTTCTTGAGTGATACAGATAGAACCAGAACCCATACCGATACGAAGACCATCAGCACCAGCTTGGATCAAGTTGGCAGCTTGTTCACGAGTAACAACATTACCAGCAATGACTTCTAATTCCTTAAAGTTCTTCTTGATCCATTGAATCATTTCGATTTGGTAGACAGAGTTACCTTGAGAAGAGTCAAGGACAACAACATCAAGACCGGCTTCGGCCAAGAGAGCCAAACGGTCCTTGTCATCAGGACGAGTACCGATAGCAGCACCCACAAGGAGTTGCTTGGACTTGGCAACCTTAGAGGCATTAGGGTAGTTTTGGTTCTTGAGCAAATCGGAACGAGACAAGAGAGCGACAAGAGCACCGTCAGCATTGACAATAGGGAGCTTACCCTTCTTGGAAGAACACAAGATTTCGTTGGCTTCGGCAAGAGTAATACCTTCTTGACCAACAACGAGGTCAGTAGACATGACTTCCTTGACAGGAGTAGAGTCATCCTTGTGGAATTGAATGTCACGAGCAGTAACAATACCAACCAACTTGCTATGTAACTTGCCGTTTTCTATACACAACGTATGTTGTAAGCATCACATACAAGTACACACACACATATATATATATATACACACATACACACACATACACATACACACACATACACACATACACACACATACACACATACACACATACACACACATACACACATACACACACATACACACATACACACACAAATAAAACTTACCAGTAATGGGAATACCACAGAAACCAGAGTTAGCCTTGATTTCCTTGATATCACCAACAGTGTGTTCAGGAGACAAGACAACAGGATCATTAATGAAACCGTTTTCGAACTTCTTGACAGTACGAACCATGTTGGCTTGTTCTTCAGCAGTACAGTTGTGGTGAATGATACCGATACCACCCAAAAGCTACTTTTTGCTTAATTATCTCTCTCTCTCTCTCTCTCTCTCTCTTTTTTTTTGTACTTACTGCCATAGAAATAGCCATCTCAGCTTCAGTTACGGTATCCATAGGAGAAGACAAGAAAGGAGTCTTGAGTGTAATGTTCTTAGTAATCTTGGATTCCAAACTGGTCTTATCAGCAGAGAAGTTGATGAAACCAGGCAAGATCAAGAAATCATTGTAGGTCAAACCACCACTTAATTGTTCGTCCATCAAAGCCTCAACAGAGAGACCGTCGCGACGACCATATTCAGCCAAAGTGGCATTAGCAACAGAAGCATCAAGGAATTGAGTCATATTTATAAGAAGAAGGGTTTATTATATAAAAAAAATAAGAAGTGGGAGGGTTATAAGAACCCCCCTCCTTACAAGATAGAAAGTAGCAACTCTTTTTATACTATTTTGAGTGTGACTGGTGGTAAAATTTTTTTTAAATAGTTTTCTTGTTCAGATCATCTTGGTGTGACCGTCTACTGCAGACAGTTACCTTAATAAGATGTGAGTCGCTTGATTGGTATAGATTGTCCTCAAGATGAACTTTATGCATAGTATATTAAAAATGCTTTATCTGTCATTTAGCTCTTGCTGTTTTTTCTCTCTTTATAAGATGAAAGTAGAAAAAAAGCTATCTACAGTTGTGATGCAATACATCCTAGGCAAAAAAAAAAAACGTTCATCTTACTTGCAGAGACAATAATCTATTTTTTTTTATTTCTCAGTCATGTTTAGGACTGCTTTTTCGAGTCGATTTGTTTCAGCATGAAAGTATAAAGATGAAAGAATGATTTGAAAAAGAAAGAGAAACTTGAGCTATTTGTTTCTTGTTATTTTAGTCTCAATGCGATTATTTAGCCATTTTATTTGCTTTAGAAAATTGATTATAAAGTGTTTGTCCTCTAAGATTTTGGCATGAGGTGATGAATAATACGATGAATAGACAATGGACGTGGAAAGCGTTCTAGACTTATTCATTTAGAGAAAATAGGTTTTTTATTGTGACTCGATCGTTTGATTTTAGCGCATTAGGTATTCATTTACCATCCTTTTGTTCTCTACAGTATTTACTGCATTATATTCTCTTTTTCTGAAAGATTTAATCAGTTATCAATAGGAACTTGAAATGATAAGCTTGTCTATCGTATTTATGCTGTGGTACAGTATGTGCCTGATAGTACAGTAATACGATTATAGCACCTACTTTCACTCCAGTGCTCAATCGCACATACCCAGATACTCTTTATCTTACAAATCACTAGATAAAATCAAGACATCCTGTCTAATTTCTAAAAACCGCGGCCATGTTTGCGTGAATATATTCTTATTTGGACGACACTGCCTACTGCTGATTTACTTTTATCGAGAATTTAAGATAGCCTATAACTTCCACTCAGTGCCTATTTAATCTAATCATGAAAAAAAATGGCTTCTTTACTTGAATTGACGTTTGTGAGGATACATGATCCCTAATTTCGATTCTATCACTCAAGTTATAATTTTTACTTTAAGCTTTATTGGCTGTTAAGAGATAGTTGCAATTTAAAGAAGTATATATAAAAAGATTTAATTATAAACGATTGTATAAGTGTTTCTTGTCAATTAGAGAATTAAAAGAAGCACGAATGGATGTGAATATTGTGGCAGGACGAAAATGAATACCGTTGATCATCGTATTCCAATGAGCTTTCTATGTGTGGCCCATGCCTTGGAACACTACTTGCTGAGCATCTAATTCACTATTTTGAGTGTAAGTAATGCACTGGAAGTTCATAGAGCGAATTGCTTGTATAATATTATCAACGTATTACAGCGCAGCGGATTGCATATTTCTTCCATTTGTTCTCTAAGTAATTTAATTTATACATTAGAAAGAGTTTAATGTAAAAGGCCTAATTTTTTTTTCCAAATCATGCTTTAGTCTAAAAAAAAAATATTCAAAAAGCTTTGCTAATGATAGACTCACTATCAGAAATTGAAGATGACCAAGTGAAGAAATGGTTTGTGTCAGTGATACCTAGCCTTCAATAAAGTAATTCAGCCTCTCTTCAGGCCATAGAAAATATTGACACGAAGACTTCAAGCTTGCTTATCTAACAATGTAATCTTTCCTTGTAACAACGTTTCGTCTAATTCTTTTTTAAGACGTTTGTTTTCTTGCTTTTGATTTCTCATGTTCTTTGCTTGATACTCATTGTTGACTTGACAATAAGGTTTGGGTAAGTTCAAAAATAGTGTTTCTTTCTCAATACTAGATCTGTTTTTCTTAGGCCTTGTGATAATCATGGATGAGTGTATAAGGCTTTCATTAAAGGTGAATAGATATTGTATTCAAGCATAAAGACTAACTTTTCTTCATGCTAGATTGTCTAATGATGAATATGAATATATATTTGTCATGTATTTGGTAAGTTTATTATGGATATATATTGAAGACTAAGCTTTTGATTACACTTAGTGCGTGTGGTCAGGCTCGTTTCTTACAGCTAGCAAAAAAGATATATCATGTCGCTAACAAAGCTTTTAATTCTCTCTTTGATCTTTTAATATAACATGAGTTGCTATTTATTGATAATTTTTATGAATAACCATTTATTATTGATAAAATCTTATTTGACTATATCCTCCAATCCTATCTAAATACTAAAGTTATTTAAGTGAAGCTAAGCCATATTATTCATATTTTAAGTCTGATAATTGCCTAAATGAAACGCTATGAGTGGGTGATGCTGTCGGTTTTGACAAGTCCGACGGAAGAAATCTGTGAAGATTTGGCGGAAATCTTCCAATTTTGAGTGCATATTTCTTCCATAAATATCGGAAAATCTCTGCATAGATTGGAAGATTTCTTCCATTGCTTGCGCTGTAGCGATATAAAACTATAGACCGCGATATATCTACCACTAATGATGACAATACTACTACAAAAGAGAAAAACAAAGTACATTCAATCTTTTGAGCAAACATAGAATCAAAGCAAAAGAAGTCTTTTTTTTTTCATAGAACTTGTCAGGCTTTTAATTTGATAGATTTTTTCATCACTTTTAATACCTTTATATTTTTCTTATAGATTCTATCTATCCATATATGCAACTTTATACCTGTTAGAAGGCTCAATCTGCTTACCAATGCATGCATAACCCTAAGTTTCTTGCTATCATTTGGTGTACAACAAGCAACTTTATAATGCATCTGATAAGAAAATAACACAAAGGCCATTTGTTCATGCATCTCTTAAAGTGGCCAATCTCTTAAAGTGTCCAAGGCAACAGATTGATTGGCTAAGCCACCTAACTTCGAATATGGTATTTTTATTTCCAGAAAAATTTTTTTCTTTTTCAAACCCTTGTCTTTTATTTTTACATTGTTGTCAAAATAAAGACCATATTGCTCAGGGTAACCAAACTCTTGTCTAGCTAACCTATGGAGCTAAAAGAGTGCTACCTTCCAGCCGTGTAGCTGTATCTGTTCAGTGTTTTGCTTTTTTGGCGCTGTTTAGATATGACGTTGTACTAAGACCTGTGTAACCAAAAGCTGGGGACAATAGCGATTGTTTATACACGTACGTACTAATTGGCTGCAGAGATCAGGTTTTTGGGTTTACTGATTCTCAATACATAGATACTTGTACTCCGGGGTACTTGTATACACAAAGGGAAAAAAGAATGCGTAGTGTCCGCCTTCTATCGTAGCATTCATGCATACAAAGACAGAAGACTAGCCATCTTTTGTCTCAAGATTGGGTTTAGCGTTGCCTGATATTCTGTTCAAGAGAGTGATTAGCTCTTGTTCAGAAAAGAGATGCATTTGTTCAAGTCTGGTAAGCTTGTTCAAACTACTGCAAATACTTGTACTTTGGGGTACTTGTATACATAAAGAGAAAAAAGAAGGCATGGTATCACTTTCTAGGCTGAAACTGGTGTTTCTCTATCGACAAGGCTTTCTCTCAGGTGTCTCCAAGGTTACTCAGCAAGTCTCAAGGTCAATCAAGAATGGCTCTCATGGCTCAGTGGATATCTAGTAAGTATCTTCCAATGGTGTTAAAAGTATAATACACTAAAGTCCTTTTGTTTAGGTGTTTGCAAGGCTGGTCATCAAGGTCTGTTACTGGTCCAAGACTGACTCTCTCCCTGGTTCTACCCTGTTATGGTTAGCAAGCTCAAGATCCCTAGGTATACTCTACTTATGGTGGTGTCTAAGGTGTCTCCAAGGTTGGTCATCATGGTGTGTTACTGGTGCAAGACTGTCTCCCTTTGATTCTGGTTCTTTCAAGCGTTTCAAGGTATCTATTGAAGGACTCAACAGATCTTCGCAATGCCGTCTGCTTTCTTCAGCCTTGTCTGTTTGAGAGTCTGATCAGCTCTTGTGCAGGCAAGAAGAGGGTTTGGTTAGGCTTGATCATCCTAATCAAATCCACAATATGTTTGTGCTGTGTTTTTTTTTTACTAGTGTCTCCCCTCTCCTTCTAACTTGTACTTTTCTTTTTTGTTGTCTTTGTGTTGTATTTACAGATAGATTAGGTGCTTTTCTCCGTTTATGCTGTTCGTTTAGTTCGTGTTTTATCGTTTCCAAAGAAGCTATAAAAAGCCCTCTCTTGTGTATACTCTACAAGCATTGTGGTGTTGATTAGCCAAAGCTTTAGGTTTTTTTTCTTTTTGTCTTACTGTCATGCTCAATGTTGGTTTGATCTCCAGGCATTCCTCAAGCTTAGTGTTTGTTTCTCTTGTTTTTCTTTTCTTTTTTTGGACTGAAGAAGGTTTTGTCTGGTGTCTTTAATGTAAGTAATAGTTGTCTTTTTCTTGTTTTACAGTCAGTGCTTGTGGTTGACTAGATCTTGTGCTTGCGCATTGTCTATTCATCTTTAGTTATTGGCAAAAACAGTCTTAAATAAAATTAATGGATTAAATCCACTTGTATAACTGCTTTATCCACTCACATCTGTTGCTTTATTGTTGTCTTTTATTGTTAATACGAGTTGACTAAAGTATAGTTCACTTATTAAACTACAGTGATGTTCCTTTCGATACGCTATGACGCTATGTTTCGCTTCTACACATCTGCGCCTAGTCTTTGTAACAACTGGATCAAGACACAAATATGATTTTTAAATGTCAGTAAAGTGAAAAAAAAAAGGCAAGAAAAGCTATTATCGGGGTTTAGAACTATCCTACTATAAGACACCTACCGATAATTATACATAACATTGTTCTTTTTAGGGTCAGAAATGTTATGTTTCATAGTAGAACTTACTCGTGAGCAATCGATGCATCGAATGTTGGATGAACAAATACCTACTCACAAGTCAAAATTTACTGAAAAGGGGCTTCTTTTGTACAACAACCTTTGATTGCAAAATCCGGAGCACCACCCGAGAGTGACCAGATCAACGTACTAAAAGAAATCTTTAAACGAAAGGTGAAGGTTGTCAAAGTAAAGATTTTCATGAGTAATATCCTTTGGTCGAAAAACATATTTTGACCATTTTGGACATGTCGTATTTTTTGGTCCAAATCAACTCCAAAGGTATATCATATGTCAGTAAACATGGTCAGTATACTTTTAAAGAAAACTTCCATAAAATGGGTTCCCACCTCGCAAGATGAAGTCTACAAGCAGCTAAGAAAAAAAAACCTCACTTACCGTACCGAGGGAACATACTTTCTCAGCAAAAATTCTTTTGGTACTAATTTTCCTTAGAGACATCATCTGTGGTGTAGACTGTGATGAATCTGGCCTTACAAACAAGCAGACAACAAAATCACATTCCTTTTCTATTAGCAATGCTTCTTACCGGTAAGTTCTGTTTTTGCTCAAGCGTGATGCATTTAACTCATTCTGTATTGAAATAACAGTGTCCGTTCTAGTATGGCATGGATCAAGCAGAAAGAATCACAATGTAAAATAAACAGCCATATCCAAGCCTCATATGACCCACTCCAGACAAGAAATACATGTACAAACGAAAGTATCACGCAATTCTTGAACGCTACTTCCAGTGTTTATACAAAGTATTTTGCAAGCATAAATAGGTTGGCATATCTTATGCCATTTAGCATCGCACAATTACATGAAGGCATGGTGTCATAGAGAACGAAAAGGGTATAACTGCTCTAATCAACGAATGGCCAACAATTATGCTGCACCGTTGTTCTAGATCAAACCAAACCAAACCAAACCAAAAAAAAAAAAAAAAAAAAAAAAAAAAAAAAAAAAAAAAAAAAAGATGGAGGGTTCAAGCTGGCTTATGTTGCTCCTGCTCGGTCAAGAAGAAAGTTGAGAAGAGAACACAGGTGTCTACTTGCTGAAGGAGATTTAATATGACATGATGATCCACAAAGAACAATGGTCGCCTATGGCTCTACTGGCTTAAAAGGAAGCTATAAAGACAACACGCCTGTACCAGTAAAGGCAAGTAATCATTCCTTTACTCCTTTTATATCAGTGGAACTAACTGTATTATTTCATATACAGAAAGGACAGCGAGCTATTCCTGAACATGCCATTATAATTCCCGTAGATGAACCCAAAACGATCGTTACCTGCTGTTACTGTAATGGAAGGGTTGACAATGTCCGTCTATGCAACCACAGGTAAATAGGAAAAAGCGTACATTTGTCATTGACTTTAAGCTATGTAGCACGTATAAACAGAAAAAACATTGTTCAAGCAACTAAGGAAACAAGGCCTGCTGAAAAGCATTTTACTTGGAAGTGCTTTAATGATGACAATCACATCCTGCATCGTACAAATGAATGTCCTGACAGAGGATCAGGTAAGTAAGTTCTTTTTCAAGAATAACAGTCACTAAAGCCAATGTCATCTTTTTCGTGGCGTATTTACATAAAACTGCTCTCAAAGGGGGGGTATCCAAATGCGAGGCGCGCGCGCGAAATTGATTGATGTTTTTCTTTGTTCTATCTCTACAACAAAAAGGACAACCTTTTTGCTTATTTTTTTTATTCAGCATGGATACTTGTATTTAATTGGAAAAGATATAGACATATAACATGTATTCTATCTACAGAGTTTTATGATAATCTTTGGTAACCTAAATATCAAGTTTCTTTGATTAAAAAAAAAAAAAAAGTAAAATAAAGGAGTATGTCTAGTTGTAAATAGAACAAATAAAAAATATGGGATGAACATGATGATTTGATTTAGTACAGGTACTTCTGATGTAAACTGAAGACAACGCTTTAGCACATACTGGGGATTTTTTAAAAAGTCTGATTCATTCCTTTCTTTTTCTTTCTTGTAAAATAAACACAACCTATATACCCTCAACTTGGTTTTTTTTGTGCGTGTATATACATACTCCTTTTTTTTTTTCTGAGAAAACGATATAAAGAAAACAGTATGCAGTATTCTTTCTCTTTCTCTTCCTCTGTTTAATGCAGAAATCAACTTCTGAGCCTAATTGTGCCAATAAACCGTTGATTTCAAATCTAGTGTCTACAAAAAGACGTCAATCGACAGGCGTGTTATCAAAAAAGCCATCATGTATTTATCAAAAACAAGTAAAGAGACATGAACAAATTATGCATAAGCTGATTTAAATAATAGACGGTTTGGAGATCGCCTGGAGGTGCTTGTGAAATTCCAGATATTCTAGGCCATGCTTATCTAAAGCCTGATCTACCTGTGACATTTCATCTTAGACCACTTGAATTAGCGAAACAAATAACTAAGGTTTGTCCTGTCGATGTAGATCACGTGTTGAATTGTCATAGAAACCATGGTATCCTCCTAATCCTTATTACACAATTCCCCCTTTGCCACCCTTGACTCGGTCCAATAACAAACTAGAAAACAAGATCAGAACAATGGTTCCTAAACTACCGCTGTCATGTTCTGATCCTCATGAACGATATAACCAGTTTGAAGACATCGGAACAGGGTACATGCTTCTTAAGGAACTACTGTTTATCTAATTTGAGTTAAATAGTGTCAATGGTGCAGTTGTCAAGGCTAACTATATTATAAAGCAAGGCCAATGTGCTATCAAACGTTGCAAATTAGAGCCAGACATAGTCTATCGTGCAGCTATCTTGAGGGAGTTACGTATCATGTCTTATGGGCATCCTAACCTAATTAAAGTAAGAGAAATCTCACTTTGGCAAGACACTGTTTGGATCAGTATGGATTTGATGCGGTGTTCTGTCTTTGCTGTCTTGTGTCAACGTGATATTCCTGAAGCCCATACAGTCTATATTACTCGTGAAATCACAAGGGGATTAACTTATCTCCATGCCAAAGGCTATTTACACCGAGATATCAAGTGCGAAAATGTCTTGTTGGGTTGGGAAGGACAAGTCAAATTGGCTGATTTCGGATTGTCTGCTAAAATCAAATGTCAACCTAATGAGCGATTGGGTACCAATAAATGGTATATCTTGTTTTATATATGTATGCATTTATTAACTATCTCTTCTTTTTTTTTTTTTTTTTTGTAGGATGGCACCCGAAGTGATACGGCAACAGAATTACACAGAGAAAATAGACATGTGGTCTTTAGGCATAACCATAATTGAAATGATGGATCGTGTGCCTCCTCATTATGCCATTCAAGATGAATCACAATTATTTGATGTGATTGTGTCTGAACCAAGTCCTACATTTAGTTATAGTTATCCTAGCATGTATATGCAAGGACTTGTGGCTTGGTTGCTCGAGCAAGACGATACCCATCGACCTAGAGCCAATGATGTATTGCACGAAATTGACTTACATGTCCAAAGACTCCTATTGCCTTGTTCCTCTCGTTTTGAATTGGCTCATTTCTTAAATCAAGCACGCTTATGATAAAATAAATTAGCCATATGATTGGTGCATTTTGATCGGCATATCAATCCACAGTGTTTTTGACTTGACAACCCTTCAAAATGGCATAATCGTCATCCAATCAGAATTGAGTAATTTTAGGCAAATGATGGTCCGCAAAAAGCTTATTGCGCCATTTCATCAATTTTTTAGCTCAATCGATAAGCGTTTATAAACAACTGAGATATTTTTCACATTTTTTTTCTCCTCCAACTTCTTTTCTTACAAGGTGGAATGAATTGCACAACACCCACACCTTCTTATTGCTACCGTCATAACCCAGAATTGATCAAGTCAAGAAATAAAGATGAATTCGATATTATTCAGCTAGAAAAAGTAAGATAGAACAATGGTCACTCTAGTTTGACTTATGCCCTTTTCTTTAGGAATTAAGCACTCTCTCTTCAGAAGACCAACAAGCCATTCAACATATCTGGGCTCGCTATCAATCATCCAATAAACACCAGCGACTTTTGATCCTCAAGGGCATTCTCTATTCATCCTGCACACCTCAATTAAGTTTTATTTCCAACACCGTCAAACCTCTTTTGCGTGTTGATTTCACTACTGTCTTTCCAAGTGAAATCACGCAACGTATCTTTACCCTTCTGGATGCTTCTTCACTCTGTGCTGCTGCTCAAGTCAACAAACACTGGCGTCGATTAGCAGATGATGATCGTTTATGGCACCGCATGTGTGAACAACACATCAATAAGAAATGCACCAAGTGCGGATGGGGATTACCTCTTTTACAGAAACGTAAAGTAGTGCATGTCAAACGTGCCCGAGAACCTTGTGAATTGCCATCCCCAAAGCGAATGGATCGTCGTCCTTGGAAAGATGTCTATAGTGAGCGACTCGTGGTCGAACGTAACTGGAGACGCAACACATCCACACAACGCATTCTCGACAAACACCATACAGCCGGCATCAGTTGCTTACAGTTTTGTGAAGCACAGAATATCTTGGTGACTGGATCGTATGACAAGACAGCCATTGTGTGGCATTTAGAGACAGGTCAAGTTTTGCGTACACTCAAGGGCCATGCACGTTGTATTCGCACCTTACAGTTTGACGACACCAAACTAGTGACGGGTTCTATGGACAACACACTCCGTATTTGGAATTATCATACAGGTCAATGCATTCGTACTCTGGAAGGCCATACAGAAGGCGTGGTTCATTTGAATTTCAATTGCCGTATCTTGGCCAGTGGATCTGCTGATGCTACCATCAAAATCTGGAATTTTGAGACTGGAGAATGCTTTACGTTGACAGGTCATACCAAGATGGTCAATCATGTCAGTATTCAAAAGGACAGCTCTACCTTGGTCTCTAGTTCAGACGATGGCACAATCCGTATCTGGGACCTTGAAAAGCGTGCCTGTGCTCGTATTCTCAAGGGCCATATGGCACCTGTTCAAACAGCCATTCCTAGTATGCCTGGGTTCCTGCACACATTCAATAAACAGAAACGAATGATCCGGGCCATGACACCACCCACCAGTAGTGATGAGGAAGAAGACATCAAGAAACCTGTGAAAAAAGACCGCTCTCTTGAACAAGTGGTGATTTCTGGCTCTTTAGATAACACTATCAAGGTCTGGTCTCTTGAGTCTGGCGAATGTCTACAGACATTATTTGGTCATGTTCAAGGTATCTGGACATTAGCTTATGATAAACTCAGACTGGTGTCTGGCTCTCATGATGGCTCGCTTAAATTATGGGATATTCAAAGTGGATTGCCGATGCATTCATTGGATGGCCATCCTTCTGCTGTGACGGCTGTTGATCTTAGTGATACCAAAATTGTCAGTGCTGATAATCAAGGCCAAATCCGTATTTGGGATTTTGGTGTTCAATCTATACCCTCTTTTTAAAAAAAAAAAAAAAAAAAAAAAAAAAAGTCTCTGTAAATAATAAACATGTTTAATATCATCATTATTATATATTATTCTTGACCAAAACCCATTGTTTCTTCTACAGCCAATGTGAGTTTAGCAACCAGTGTTTCGTATGATTTATAAGGTGGCATATCAATACGGTTGAAACTAAACAGAGTAAGTCACACTCATGATATTGTTATATGTTAGCTTACCATGTATGTGCCTTGGGTAATTGTGTGACTTCGCCTGATTTCTCAATCGTGAATCGTCTTGGACCATCACTGCCTTGGAGATCTTTGAATCCATTGACAGGAATACGAGATGTACCTGTCGTGAATTGCAATAATCGTGACTTCTTTTCACTATCCCAGCTACGAATACATTTCCAGAACCATTGAATCACATCATCTTGTTCTGTGTAGCCTCTGTAATCTGTATGTTTCTTCCAATCATCTACATCAATCTCCGCAATACCACCAATCAACAGTTCTAATTCACGCTCATCAAACACATTGACTAGATCTTGAGGAATCAATTGATTGAAGCCCTCTTTAAATGCCTTGAATTGTTCCTCTACTCGCTTATGAATACGCCATTCTGTGATCAGGTTGACATATTCTTTCTTGTTCTCTTCTGTCACTTCAATATTCTGACCATTAGGAATCAAATCCACTGTGACAACTTCACCAAATCGATCATCGTCTGTTGAGAATGTGAGTTCCAAGACATCTGTAATGTCATTATTCAAGATCCAAGTCAGACTACGATAGAAGTCAGCATCCACGCTTTCCATATCAGCCACCAAGATCTTTTTGCTCAAGATCATCTTGTAGAACGAAACAATAAAGAATGCATCCAAGAAACGACGATGGAAGATAGACAAACCAACCACTCGACCAATAAATCTGAAATAGTTCAAATGTTCAGGATTAATGCCCGAATGAGGATTGATCTGCAATGTGTAGTTGTCATGAGCAGAGTATTCAAACAAGCAGTAGAATGGGTTAAACATTTCATGCGACAATAAAAAGAAGAATTCTCGAGATAGACCACCATAATCAAGACCATCTTCACCATCAAACTTGATCATCAAACGCTTCTTGAGATCAGCAGGTGCTTGTCGCATAATTTCAGCATAAGCATCTTCAAAAATATGGTCACGGCGCACCTTGATATGGCATTGGCCAGGCACAGGACGCAGAGCAGGCTGAGAACGGAAATAGATCAACTTGCGACGGAAATCACGCTTGTATTGAGGCACATTTTGATCCAGACTACTGGGTAAACGAGGATCATCCCAAGTGGTTGTCTTGGTATTATGGTCTACAAAGTAAACACGACCTGTGCTTGTCAGACGCATTTCCCAGCCAGAAGGCAAAGGACCCAATTGAGAAACAGGCTGAACTTGGACTTGAAGATTAGATCCTGGACCAATCGTACTGATGTATTGTTGACGACGAGGATCAACCCATGTAGTAGTACGGGTATTGTGGTCTACAAAATAAGGACGGCCTTCTGCACTAGTTCTCATTTCCCAACCAGGAGGCAAAGGACCTGATCCAGCCGATGTCATGTTGTTGTTGGGTACAGTCACACCTGCGGATGGTGTGGATGGTTGAGGTGTTGCTGTCTCCAAGGAAACGGAGCTGGTAGCAGCACTGTTGGGTCTGTCTTCAGGCAATCCACGGGCATGATGTTGAAGACGTTCCAAAGCAGTCTGATTTTGTTGGTCTTGAGCTGTTCTTGAAGAAGGTCGTTTCCATGTTGTTGAACGTGTGTTATGGTCTACATAATAAGGTCTGCCTAAATGATCGACACGTCTTTCCCATCCTGGAGGTAGATCACCAGTATTGTTATTTTCAGTCTGTGAAGATACATTGGTGTTGGATGTGTTGGCTGTATTTGTTGTTGTTGTTGTTGTTGCTGTTGTTGCTATTGTTGTAGTCGTATTATTATTGGCTGTATTTCCAGGAGCAAGGGTATCTGTGCCATTACGGATAGGAACGTTGACATTGGTAGAAAGATTAAGGATAAGTTTGCCATGCACAGCTTCATTTGTGTTGGATTTTTTCAATTCAAGCGTCAGCATTTCTATAAATGTAAGTATGACGTTGTTCTTATTTTGGCTATTTACCGTCACCTCCCACATCCAAGTCAAACACACTAGAGACTTGGACATTAATGACACCTAAAAAGCCTTGGTCCTTCTTTTTAAATTTCTTTTGGTCAAATACTTGTACTGCAATCACACTCTGGTTTGTTACTTTGCTATATAAACAGATAAACAAAAGAACATAGGATAATACACTCATTCACTCACAGGTCAAAACTTTCATTCCAATATGGATTCAATGTCTTTTTCATGACTGTCGTTGTATGTGTTTGCTCACCATCTACAGTAACAACCGCTACAGAAGGAAGGAAGGAAGAGGATATGATAAATACACTTTATTTATGTCTAAGAATATGATTACCAAAAGGGTCGGGCATTTTAAAAAACAAGTCCTTTTTTATCAACCCATCCGCTGCAATAACCGTAAGGCGAATGGTCCTTGTTGCTGCTGACATCCTTTTGTCTCTTTCAATAATAAAGTCAAAGAAAAAAAAAAGAAAGTGTGGTAAAAAGAAAGAAAAGAAAAAAAAAAAAGGAAAAAAAAAAAAGAAAGGAAAAAAGCTCGTGATATGAGCCTATGAATTGAATCTCCGCTATATATGGGGTAGCATGAGCCTATTGTTAGACACTATCGCATCATGTTGGTCATTAAGCAAAGATGAGTAATACTCAGTGTGATTGCTGTATGTAGAGCTCCCCCTCTTTTTTTTTGATACAGTGCAAGCATAAAAAAGAAAACGATACGTCACTGAAGGATAGGTTATTTGATTGGTGGAATTTAATTTCTCAATCATGACCTATAAAAGAGGGAGTCTATCTTTATTTCTTGGGCTTTTTCTTTTTTTCTTTTTTTATATATATTTTCTATTATGTCTAGTACTCCTTTTTATGAATTATACCGTCGCTCTAGGTAAACTATCAACACCTTGACTTGTTTCTATATCTCTTCTAAACTGTTGTCTATATAGTATTGGCATGGCTTTAACAGATTCACTAGATGAACTAATTCAGAGTGGGCATATTAATCCTCAACTCGCCATGCGCGTCTTGATGACCTTTGATAGAAGTATTTCAGAAGCACTTTCACAGATTGTCAGAAATAAGGCCAACATTAAGGTATAAGGCATGACAACAACACCAAAGAAAGCTTAATCAAAGTAGGGCCATTTACATACCTATCGTTTTTGTGATGAGGTTTGGACATTTATTGTTGAAAACCCTACATTCAAGTTTGATCAAGACAATGTCTCTGCTGACAAAGTCAAGATTGTTGCTTGTAATGCTAAAAAGCCAGGAGAACAATAATAATAAGAACAATGTAAATTCATCACATGTATACACATTTTGTAAATAAAAGTTAAAAAAAAGGAGATATGACTTTATTATTCTTTATTTTTCAAAGGGAATAGAGGAACTAAGAGAGAAATGTGAGTAAAGTTGATATATATATTGTATTTGATATATCAAAGACATGTATCAGTAACAAATGTTTACATCAATTATTATCAGGTAATGTAGATAAGAGTTGATTTTGGAAATCATCATTTTACATGCCTTGATAGTCCATCCATTACAAGAATAACTTACCATTTACAGTCGTGTACAGTCTTGCATGCGCAGTATATATACGCCATACAGCCAACGTGTATATGTTCCTTACCAATGAATAAATAAGACAAAAAAGAAGCAAAAGAAGAAAAAAAAAAAAAAGTAAAGAAAAAACAAAGCAGATCTTTGTGAAGGAAAAGGCTTTCTTAAATACGCGTAAAGAAGTGTAAAAAAAAATTTTTTAAAAATAATTCCGATCCGCACTTGACTTCCTCCACCGGACTTGACGCTCTAGCTGTATTCACTTGTTTAACAGCATCTATTAGGAATCCTCCTCTTCTCTTTAGTACTTGGTGTATTAAACATGGTAAGTACCTATTCATCCATCGATATCATATCTTTACTAACATGCTTCATATAGTCTCACAGGTGCGTCGATGCTAGATACCATTCTCAAAACGATATACTAACCATCTTGTAGAAAATACGAGGCTCCCCGTCACGGTCACTTGGGTTTTGGCCCCCGTAAGAGAACTAGATCTCATCGTGGTCGCGTTAAGGCTTTCCCTAAGGATGATGTCAAGAAGCCCGTCCACTTGACTGCCTTCATGGGTTACAAGGCTGGTATGACCCACATTGTGCGTGATCTTGAACGTCCTGGTTCCAAGATGCACAAGAAGGAAATCGTTGAAGCCGTCACTGTCATCGAAGCTCCCGCTATGGTTGTTGTTGGTGTTGTTGGTTACGTCGAAACTCCTCGTGGTCTCCGTACCCTCACTACTGTCTGGGCTGAACACCTTTCTGAAGAAGCCAAGCGTCGTTTCTACAAGAACTGGTACCGCTCCAAGAAGAAGGCCTTCACCAAGTATGCTCAAAAGTATGCTGAAGGTGCCAAGGACATCAACCGTGAACTCGAACGTATCAAGAAGTACTGTTCCGTTGTTCGTGTCATTGCTCACACTCAAATCTCCAAGGCCAAGTTGAACCAACGCAAGGCTCACTTGATGGAAATCCAATTGAACGGTGGTTCCATTGCTGACAAGGTTGACTTTGCTCGTGAACACTTTGAAAAGGAAGTCACTGTTGGCTCTGTCTTTGAACAAGATGAAATGATCGATATCATCGCTACCACCAAGGGTCACGGTTTCGAAGGTGTCACTCACCGTTGGGGTACCAAGAAGCTTCCTCGTAAGACTCACCGTGGTCTCCGTAAGGTTGCCTGTATTGGTGCCTGGCACCCTAGCAGAGTCATGTACTCTGTTGCTCGTGCTGGTCAACGTGGTTACCACCGTCGTACTGAAATCAACAAGAAGATTTACCGTATTGCCAAGGGTACTGATGCCAAGTCTGGTACTACTGAATACGATTTGACTGAAAAGTCCATCACTCCCATGGGTGGTTTCCCTCACTATGGTGAAGTCAACGAAGACTTCGTTATGATCAAGGGTTGTTGTGCTGGTTCCAAGAAGCGTGTTATCACTCTTCGTAAGTCCCTCACTGTCCACACCAAGCGTTCTGCTTTGGAAAAGGTCACTCTCAAGTTCATCGATACCTCTTCCAAGTTCGGTCACGGTCGCTTCCAAACTCCTGCCGAAAAGCACCAATTCATGGGTACTCTCAAGAAGGATATCTAAGTTTAATAATAATAATAATAAAAGAAAAACCATTTTTATTATATACAATCAAGTGGTTTTTGGAATGAAATCTTGCCAGCATTTAAGTCTTGACCACCGTATTTTTCCAATGCTTGCAATTCACGTCGAATGTATTGTACCACAAGAGCTAAATGAGTTGCATTGTTAGATGAGATGGCAAATAAGTTTCGCCATAAGGCAGCAGCCAAGACAGGATCATCTTTACACATGCCTTCATCATAAGCAACCACACCACCATGGAATTGAGCCAAAAGATCCTTAATATAAGTATTGATCACTTTTTGTTGTGTGATGCCATGTTCTCGGATTCTGGCTTCTGCATCTTCAAAGAATCGATTGACGAGTTCTTGAATATAGAGTTTGCCTTGTCCTTCTGCACGAAGATGAACCATGACCATCCACACATGCAACTGAGTTACTGCGAACCAAGATTGAAAATTGTCGGGTAAATTACATTCTGCCAACGAATTAAGTCAATCGTGTCCATCCTATCAAACGAGATTACCTTGAATATAAAAGCCTTTGTTCAGTTCCATTTGTTGAGCACACGTCTTGTAAAGATTGTGGCTGGCTTTAATGGCTGTGGATCCAGTAGAATAATAACCTAATACTTTGGCTAAACCATACACGAGTTTCTTGGTTGTGGCCGAGTATTTAGGCTGGCTTACTGTGGAATTGAATCGAGTGTGGAATACAGTCATAAGTGGCTATACGAAATGAATATTATGGGCAATCAAACTTCATATGTTTACCGTCAAAGCAAGTCGTGTTGCTGCTGTAGGGCCAACATGGCTTCTTATCTAAATACATAAGTATACATGTTAACACGCATCACAAAAGTTACTTGTCGAATGGTTGGTCCAACTGTTCTTTTTAAAGCAAAAGACATGATTTATCGAATAGGAAGAAAGAAAAAAATATATATAAAAAAAGAGACTTTTTATACATGGCCATAGGAAATTGATAGTCACTGAAATTAAATGTTTGACTCTTTTTTTTTTTTTTTGGTTAATACCCTGTTCGTCTTTTGCATAGTCAAGAAGGATGAAGCTTACTTTTTGTATCTTCAAAGAGTTCCAGTAGTCATGTAAAAGAAATCATCTTGTTACTGCTGTCCTTGTTTCTTAACAGCGGTTGTTTAATTCGATCTCTTTTTTTTTGTTTTATGCTGCAGACTTAAAATATTTCTGACATCGACTGCAAAACGCAAAGCGTCTAAAAAAGGCAAAAGATCCAACAAACTCTGATCGTTGGGGTTAGATATCCAAGTAGGTAAAGCAATGCCATTGTCTGAAACAAGTCAATATGAAGTATCTCCCCTATTCTATTCCCCTACCTTTACATAAATCAAATGCAATTGGACTGTTGTCTACTAGACATACTTTACAAAGATCTTTTTCTGCCAAAGTAATGTCTTTTAAGAAATTACCGTTTCTAAATACACAAGACTAAATACAAGTCAATGCTTACTCAACTCTCCTTTTTTTTTCTCTTTACTTCTCTAAAAAACCGTTGAGAAATCAAACAATCTTGATCTAGCCAGTCTATAATAGGATCAGCATATTCCCCCATAGAGGCTGTGTAAATCACCACTTTGTACCATTGGCTTATCTATAGGCTTAGTTAATAAGCAATCTTTGTCTATTCTACATTACTGTCTTCAAAAAGAAATCAACATGGGGTCGTTTATAGACTTTATATAGCACATTATGCTTATCTGATTGAACCTCAATATTTGTATGAATCACACTTGGATGGACTGGGCTATGTTCTGTACCCAATCGAACAGAATGAATCAGTGTTTCATCTAAATCCAGTATCAATGTCTTGTTCTTGTAATACTGAGAAGTCTTTTGCTGTGTTGTTCTTGTTGCTTTGGGTATAAAGAAGGTATACAAGAATTGACAAACAAACAAAACATAATAATGGACAAGACGATAGGCTTGTTTCTTGTCAATAGTCCATGATAACATAAAGAAAAAGAAAAAAAAAAAAAGAAACCCCCACGCGCTATTTATAATCATTTTAATACAATGCCTTTCACACAATTATTTGTTAGTAAAAGTAGAAGAATAGACTTTGAACTCACATTGCTGATTCAAGACTTGACGAATATACCTCTTGTGAGTGGACTATACTATATCAAATGGAGATTAAAGAACACAACACATACAAGTGGAACTACAGCAAGGTAAACAAATGAGTGAAATCATGTTGCCCAACAAACAGATGACTTTTATAGAGCACCCATTCGAGATCATTGTGTCTTTTGGGGTCATCCTATCAGTACCATGGCTCATTTGGTAGTATCTAAGCAACAAGTATTGAGTTCATGTGAATTTAGACTGGATGTCTATCAAGAATTAGGTGGTAAAGATACAGTGTCGATTGGTAGTTTGACTATCAATCTATCTGAATATGCAGGCTCAGGATTAACTTCAAGAAGATATCTCTTGGATGACTGTAAATTCAACTCGACACTTAAAGTAAGTGTATGCTTTCTTCTCTCTATCTGAATGTATATCTTAGTTGTCAATACAAGTGGATCAAAAATCAAATCCTCATTTAGAATATACCATGTAAGCATTACAAAGAACAAGTTGCTTTTGTAGGCTCATTATCTATAGTCCACCACTAAAGAAACAACAGATTTTTGCAGATATACCTTCTATGATTACTGAAAGGTCTGCTGTATTTGAAGAAAGATCATTAGGTAAAGTAATGGCTCGTTGTATATGCTGACTGAAATGATAGATACTATACAAGTAGCTAGTTTAAGCAACACACATCTTCAACAGCCTTCAACAGAGACTGGCATCAAGAAATCACAGTCTGCTGTGTCTTTGGTAATCTTGATTATATGAATTACATCTATTGACATTCTATCTTGCCAGCCTCGTTATTGTCGACAAGTAACACCATTTCATGACACGGATGATCCTTCTCCTACAGACTTGGTAGAAGAATTGTTTAAGCCAAAAAAGCCATGATTTTCTTTTGTTTTATTGAATAAACTTGTTCATTCATACCAACAAATGTTCTATACAGCTGTTTATTATTGGTGAAATCATGGAAATAAAGAGTATTCTCAGTGTTATAACCAGTGTTTTATTTATTTACAACATATAGAAATATGAAAAAGGTGAAGTAGGTGCTACTAGCTAAAGTAGGGAATGAATTACAACCTGAGAGCTACTGTAACATCAGTACCATCATTAATTAATTGTTTTGCATCAGTGATTGCCACCAGGTCCACCAGGTCCACCAGGATGACCAGGTCCACCAGGATGACCAGGTCCGCCAGGATGACCAGGTCCGCCAGGATGACCAGGTCCGCCAGGATGACCAGGTCCGCCAGGATGACCAGGTCCGCCAGGATGACCAGGTCCGCCAGGATGACCAGGTCCGCCAGGATGACCAGGTCCGCCAGGATGACCAGGTCCGCCAGGATGACCAGGTCCGCCAGGATGACCAGGTCCGCCAGGATGACCAGGTCCGCCAGGATGACCAGGTCCGCCGGGATGATGAGGATGATGAGGATGATGAGGATAATGAGGATGATGAGGATAATGAGGATGATGAGGTCTACCAGGTTTTCCGGGGTGATGAGGACGGCCAGGTCTACCAGGTCTACCAGGTCTACCATGATCACGATCCCAATCAGGACCATGACGCATGTCTTGAGGAGAAGCAGCGACCAAAGCGGAGAAGATAGCTAGAGCAAAAATACAGAGATACACAAGCTTCATAGTTGAATAGATTCTCAATGTCATGCAACTTGTGAAGATTTATAATTATTTTTTTTGCTTGCTTTTATATCAAAAAGTAAAATAACCTTCACAAAGGCTGAAACATGCCTATTGAAATTGACTGGTGTTGTTTAGATAATTGCATTGAAGTAATGAGCCTTTATGCATCGATTGAAACGCTTATATAATTAGAACTTACTTATTCAAGCGTTGTTTAAGCAGAGAGTTATGTCAAAATTGGACAATAAAAACGTTGGCTGATTTTGTTATTATTGTTCTGTGATATCATTCGATCTAGAATATAAAATGGTTTGCAATATTCACGCAAAAGATATTTGAAACCAAGTAAAAAGAAAAAAGAAAAATACCCTTGCATTGCACAGCCCATATTTTGACCTGATAAAAAAAAAAAAAAAACTAATTTCATAAATTGAACAATAATAATAATATATACGTTGTCTATTCGAAAAGAGAAACTAACTATACAGAAGCATGTTCATTTTGAACAAAGACAATGTCCTCTCAAGAATAAGCTACATATTCATTATTTTCAATGAAATCAGTAACAGCAGCATCAATTTTTTGCATGATTCTGATTTTTCTTTCCTTGGAGTCCCAGTTTTGAGAGGTTGAGGTTGAGTTTGAGGTGGAGTTTGAGGTGGAGTTTGACGAGAGTAATGAGTCATCTTAATAGATTGTATCAGGAGTCAAGTTGGTGGAAAGGAAAAGCAAATTGTCCTCTAGTGATATCAATTACCAGCTTGATTATTTCAAAATTTTAATTCACTGTTCTCTATGGAAATGCAAATACATGAGAAATAAATACTGCACAAAAGATCATACCACTAATGATATAACAGTAGCTAAATACTCGGTTATCGATGCTCCTCCTTGATCATTATTCGGGGTTGTAGCTTCTTTCAAAACCGAATGAAGTGTCACACTTGCAATGATTTTTGTACAGGTAATTTTCAAGTTGAGCTTGTTAAATTGGTACATTATAGCGATAATGTATTTGCTGCATTCTTCGTAGAGCAAGAAAGACATTCAATAAGCCGATGCTTGCATTCTTGGACTCATGGTCTTTTTTTGCATCTCGAAAAGTACTTTTGTTCGGTTTATCTTCAGAATAAAACGCATCGTCGAAGCCACTATTATGTGAAAATATAAAATCCAGTCTGACATTTTTCGTATTTGCATTTAGTAACCCCATTGCCTTCAGTGATTTTACAATAAGAGAATGGCATTCCGCTCTAAGAACAATAGTTAGTATATGCTTGAGTACCATCTATTAAAGCTCAGAAATAGAACGGATGAGATGAGAGCATTGCGCTCTTCATTCAATGTTATCATTTTATACCTTTTTGATTCATAGCCTGACTGTCTACAGAAAACAAAGTCAAACAGGTCTCCATAAGCCATCACTCGGCACCAGTTTTCATTGTGATCGCCTTTCAGCAAATCACGATACTACAAACTGCATCTAATATCCAAAATTAAAAGCTTCATTAGTATTTGAAAACCACTGAACCATTAATATCTACTTGTATAGCTAGTTTGATAAATGGAAGTTCCGATTCATAAGAAAACGACATTTACTGATATTTTTTAGAACTGTATATTCATCATTTTTCAGCAATATAGGTAGAACTAAACGGTATCGTTTGCATATATCATCAACTGAAGACTTGAGACATTTAGTTAAGAGTGATGTTTTCGTTAGGTCTAAAGCATTTTCTATACTACTATTGTAATGATAAGTATTTTTTTTTGGTAGTTATTTCTACTTACAAGTGTTCATTTAGTATCCCAATCCTATCCTCACAACTAATGACACGCAAGTCAGTGGCTCAAACACGCCTTCTTCTTTTTAGACTTGGTGGTTCTCCAGCATTAAGATCATTATTATCTAAACCTGTTCCGTTTTTGCTGATGTAGCCGTTTTCTTGGGTTTCCTGATATACTCTTTACTCTAAACTATCTTTGAATGCCTTTTTTAATTGCTACAAAAAAAGATGTTTTCAGCGTTATCGCATAAAGCTATCAGCAACTGTATTGACGGTACTCTTTTGATATTCGAGTTGATCATTGTTAAAGCAGGATTCGAGTCTATAACGAGTTTTACAGTCTTCAAAAGTGCTTTCGCTCTTTCTTTTGCAGCGCCACACATATTAGGATTGCTAACTTTTTCATCCTAAAAGATCAATAAAACATATTTAATTTTGTCCTTGGCCGAATCAGCTCTACTAAAGTGATAGCTTGAACTGATATGCGCAAGCATGTTTATATTAGATCATTTTTTTGATGGCAGTAAATCCATGTCGCTTTTAAGTACGTCGTAGTCAACTGAAATATAAACAAATTAGAAAACTTTCTCTCTAATCATTATTTCCTTGATTTACCATCTTCAAGAATCTGCTTCAACATTTTAAGCTAAACTATTAGTTGAATTAATGAGATCAATAAAGGATGTAGTCTTGATTTAAAGCACGCCATCTACCTATAGGGCATGTTCAAACCGAAATTCGCAGAATACCAGATAGAGAGGAGGTGGCTAAAGAATACTCCATCTATTCCAAAAAAGCAACCACTTTTTTATAAGTATACAATTTCTTAAAGAAGAGGAAGTAATTGTAGTTTTATAAAAAAAAAAAGAAGAGGGAAAACTATTTTCAACGGGTCATCTTATAACAATAAACAGATTTTGGTTATTTATCACACAAAGTAATTTATCAAATCAAAGTATAAATGATTTATTTGTGTGAAGAATATTGCATAGTAAAATGAAAATTAATAAAAAACTAATAACAGCTATATTGTCAAAGTGCTTCTTTTTGGAATGAAAAGAGTGTTCGCCATTGAAGAAACAAAAATACATTTATGCATTTTATATTTTTTAGGATCGCCCCTTCTCTAGCCATAGATATATGAACCATTCCCTCTCTATCCGGTACTGTGTGAATTTCGGTTTAAGTATATCTGATAAGGGTGATTTCTAAGACAAAGAGGGGATAGTGTATAAGAAATCTGCTTCTATAAAGGCATTATCTATATGCAGAATGCATCAATTAGACCAGCACTGACCAAATTCAAATTAGACAACGACTAAAGAGGAAAGAAAAGATGGTGTAGCCAAAACTCAACCGTATTAACAAAAAAAAAAATTAAGTTTCATTTAGTGACTAATCTTTAGAATTATCGAATGAAAGTATGTAGGTATTCAAGCTTCTACTACAGCTCTTTTTTACAAGTATAATTACTAAGCAAAGATGGTTGCATTTTGAGGTTGACATCAGAATGTTTTCCTTCTTCATTACCTATTGTATGAAAGTAGTGTAGTCAAAATGATTTCATTGCAAAGGTTTTTTTTTCTTTTTTATCAGCCAAGCAAGGTATACATGCGATGTGAAAGCCAATGTTGACGAAATTGCACAAAATCAAACATATGCAATTTGTAAAAAAAAATCGCTGAGATCTGAAGACCGAAAGGTTCCTAGTTTTATATTTTTGTTGACTTTGACATAGAGATCGCGGCTTTTATTCCAGACCAGCTAGTTATAGCGTCTATTTTTTTTTTTTCGAATTTTGAGTTTCAACATTGTACTGTGAACTCTCTTGGACGCTCAAATGAGTTTAAATTTTAAAGTTTGCATGAAAATGATTATGCAAATTGATAAGGAGCTCCTTTACGATTGTTAAAAATTGGCATTAGTTAAGTTTTATTGTATTACATTCACTTAACTTCTTTACTTTTTTATGAGTGTAATTCTAAAGTTTTTTTGCTTGAGGTATTCAAAAAAAAGTCCTTTTAAATTACAACAAGCATATGGGAACATTGTTGTTCGCTCAATGAAAGTCTTTTTTTATTATTATTATTTTTAGATTATTTATTATTACAGCAGTAAAATAAGTTGGTTTATTGGTAAGGGTTATTTTCTATTCAGAATATCGACTTTTTTTTATGAGGCTGAATAGCATCATTTTGTCTAGATCTTTTTACTGTACATAAAATCTAAGCTTGACTCTAACAACTATTTACTTGATCCAATAATAAATAATGCATGTTCTCACTCTTGAAATGTATAGGTACTGTTTAATAGCTGTTCTATATATATATTTTCAAATATGCATTCAACACATGGAATTCGTTTATGCAGTCAATAAGAGGCTTTGCGTTTTTTTTTTTGTTTGTAATAAAGAAAAATCTCAAGACAAGACCATTGAATGTAAATCGAGTTTTCTCAGTCATCCATAAATTTGATAAAAAATTTCCCAGAATGCTTGACCATAATTGATATAAAAAAGAACATGGAAAGATTGAATTTTTTGATAGAATAACAAGATGAAGCTTATCTATCTTTTGGCTCTTACTATTGGTGTCTTTGCTACCCTAATTGCTGCTGCTCCCCAAAACCGAGACCATGACCGCGACCGAGACCATGACCGCGACTGGGACCATGATCGCGACTGGGATCATGACCGCGACTGGGATCATGACTATCGTCATAGAAGACACGGAGATCATGACTACAAGAAGAGAGAAGTCAGTTCTTTTGTAAAGCGAGGTGATGATGATCATCATGGCGACCATGACTACAGACATGGACACCATGGCCACAGACATGGACACCATGACTGGGACTGGTACCACCGCCATCGACACGGCCACCATGGCTACAAAAAGAGAGACGACCATGACGACCATGACGATCATGACGACCACGACGACCATGACGACCATGACTGGGACCACGACGACGATCATCATTATTAGGAATTGTATCAGGTTATTAACTCAAATTCTATCAACTCAAATTCGTTCATATTTTTTTATTTTGTATATGTGTAAATAACAAATAAATAAAAAATTTCTGTCGTCTGTATCAACTAAAACTTTTTGAGTTGAGTAGTTCAAAATTCTATAAAAGTGCTTGGAGAAACAAGACAGAATTTACTTAATGTTCATATCAGTCGACTACAGGAGAAAATGCAAATTAATTGACTTGAGAGAAGAAATCAACACCTGTGATACTTGACTGATTTTCAAACACTCGCAGACCTAAGTTTTTGCCTCTACATATGGATTAAACTCTCTTTCTTTTGCCACATTTTAATAGCGCCTTATTTATTTTGCTACACCTATGTAGCCGGTAAATACAATTGGTATGGTAGATGTATGTAAGCCAAAAACGAAACGCAGAGAAGCTTTAATCTTGCATGAATCGTAGAATCCACAAAAACAAGTATCTGTCACTTTTTTTTTTTTTTTTTTTTTTTTTTTTTTTTTTTTTTTTTTACATAGCCTACTTCTTTTTCTCAGCGCGATATGTTTGTTTTTAGATAATATAAATAGAAAAAAGCAATAATGGATATGACCGTCTCTGGCATCAATTACAGCTTAGTATTGGTCGGTCATATTATGTAGTAGTATGAAAGTAATGGTTTGAAGCAATTATGCAATTGAGGATTATTCCACTACTTCCTCATATTTGTGTCAATATTTTACATAGACTGGTTCATATCTGTTATTAATTTGTCTCTCTTTTATCTCCCTTCCACTCTCTGCTCTTTCTTATAACCTAATGCAAGTAACAGTATGAATATCTCATGCACTGTTTAATTTGTAGAATTTAATTTTTGCTTGTTTAATATTTTATTTTCTCACAACGAGGGCTTCTTTTAGAAAAACGCGCTTACTTGGTACAAGCTTTTTTATTTGTCAGCATGGGTTTACCCTTACGTCAAGTTTAGTGGGTTTAGTAAGCATCTCCGTCTATATTAAAGCTAAAATCGAACTCCTCTCCTTTTTCTTTTTTTCTATATCTTTTTACAAAATGGTAAGTTAACTAGAGTGTTGGATAATAAACAAACGCGTCTAGACTATCTCTGTCGGTGACACTCTTCCTCAATGCAAACTTGCTTATGTTCCTTACGACCCTAACCTCAGTCCTACTGCTTGTCCTGCTCCTGTGCCTTACGATCTCGGCAAGGAACTCAAGGGCAAAAAGGCCATCATTTTTGCCATCCCTGGTGCTTTCACACCTACCTGTTCTGAACAACATGTCCCTGCCTATTTAGAAAAATACGATGAGTTGAAAAAGAAGGTGGATGTTATTATCTGTACTGCTGCTAATGATGGATTTGTGATGCATGCTTTTGGTAGACACTTGAATGTCAAGGACAAGATCATCATGGCTTCTGAAGGAGGATCTGATTTCTTTCAACAATTGGGTTTGACTTTGGATTTATCTAGTAGAGGCATGGGTGTTCGTTCAAAGCGTTTTGCTCTTGTTGTGGATGATCTTAAAGTCACCTATGTTGGTGTAGACGAACAAGGTCTTGATAAGTCTGGACCTGAGGCTGTCTTGAAGAGCTTGTAAATAAAAACAACAAATGATACATGTGTGTAAAAAAAAATAGTTTATTTTGAGTTTTACAAAGTTTCATGCCGTGTAACAATGGTAAGCAATGTGCGCCCATCTTTGGATACTTGAACACTTTTTCTTTGTACATTTCTGAGATGTCTTGAGGACGCTAGCATTTTTTTGTTTCCTTGTTCAGTTTGTATTGGATACTTTCTGGCTTGTAAAGGTTGTTCTTCATCTGCCAACATGGATATATCAATTTCGCATTTTTCTGGAGGAGCAATGAATCCTAAACTTTGCCTGAGTGCCTATTTCAATTTGTTTGATTTTGTACCTTCTTTCCATCTAAAATTCTCGGATAATTTAACGGGTTGAGGCAAATGGACAGGTATTTCAACTTTCTCAGCAGCAAAGCTCTGTAAAGCTTCTGAAGCAGTAGCCACATTAAAGCATTTTCGAATATCAAGACCTGCATTACCTAAACAGTCAGGCTGTTGCCCAAAGCATTGAGGACCTTTCATTTGCCCAAACTTCATCATGCTCTTTTCTGGATATTGACTACTGATAGAAGCTGAAGAAGACAAGTCAATGGAGTCTATATCATGATAACCGGAAGAAGAAGCACCGAACAAGGGCGATGAAATTCTCAATGTGGACTTGGAAGAGGGTTGGTCAAGTGTAGACATGGATAGTTTTTGAGTCATACGTGAGCCCCAATGAATTAAATTCTTTTTGATTGTGTGGAATTTAGTGCTGTTGCTGCTGATGGAAGACGCTTGGTCTTTTAGGTTATCTGAAATGGAGGTAACAGAGGACACACCTCGTGTATGAATTATGGAATCCATGGAGGAAACAGAGCTTGTTTCTTCAAGGATCTTGGTTGCCTGTTGTTGTTTTTGAAAATTATTTTGAGGAAATAAAGGCATTTGAGAAGTTTTTGTCTTTGTGTAATTGCCAGGTGGTGGATCCATCGAGATTGGATGAGCAATTGTTACTGGAATATCTGCAATCACATCAGAACTAATCTAAAAGTAAGTAAACTAGACAAATCAATTGTATTCTTTTCTTTTTTTTTTTTTTTTTTTTTTTTTTTTTACTTTTGTAAAGAGTAAATAGAGACATGGACAGAAAAGGATACTTGGATCAATGCTTGGTTCTGAATCGTAAACAAGTTTGGCTGAAAAAGTGGATAAGTCATTAAAGAAGAAAAAAAGAGCTCACTTACAGGCACATCAATTGTCATTGTGACGTGGTCTTTTGAATTGGGTTCTAATGGCCTCCACCATCCTAGACTTGCCAGCGAAGTATGCGAGACTATATTACAGATAGTATCATTGTCCATTACATCTTGCTTGCAAACCAATTGGAGTTTGATATCAGACACTGTATCAAACAAGGTATAATTATGCAATTTAAATGATAGATAAATAGGCGTGCCTGATATCCAAAGTGTGCGTGGCATAGACAGGTCAACAGAAACATGTCCATAAGTTGACCTGAGTACCTGTCTATCAGCTTCTAATAGGGATGAATAAAATATGGCTGATTCTCTCAGTGATTTTAATTTCATATTGGCGTAAACAAATACATTCTGTTTCTTTATGATTGGTTCTGATAATAATAACTCACTATAAAAGAATGGGATGAATAAGAGACAAAAAAAAAAAGAAGATTTTATACCTCTGCAAATAGTATTCAATTGAACCTTTTTTACTGACAAACGTTCCATTCAAGTCTGGAGGAATGGGAATCGAAAATGGTATACATAGCTTGTTTGCTTTGATATGATCATTGGGTCTCTTTTTCACTTTCATGTTGATGAATTCATTTGTCTTGTCTTGAACAGCTAATTTATACATATTAAGATAAGAAAATTCAACTGTACATACTTTCTGTGCCAATAAAATACAATTCCAATCTTGTCATGATATCTTGTAATTCTTCATTACTGTCTTGACTGTCCAATTCAATTACGACTGTGCCTGAAAGTTGAGCATTGGCAACAGCATACGGAGATTTGAGATAAATGTGTATATTTTCTTTTGTCAAACACTTTTTCCGGTCAAGAGAACTATTAACTTTAGGAAATGTTGTTGTAGTGGATGCAATACGTTTTGGAAGAGTGAGTTTTTTGATGATATAATGAGATAGCGAGTCTTGTTTCTTGACGAGGGTTGGTTTATTGGTAATTGGATTGACCTTGTTCTTTTTATGTGCAAGTATTTTAGGCAGTGTAGCACTGTACCATGTTTTAACTAGTTGTAAGCCATTGTCAGCCATCTTTCCAATTTTAAAGAAAAGAAAAAAGAAAGAGGTTGAAAATAATGCAAGAATTTTAAATGCTTTAAAAAACTCCGTTCAACACATACAATACTTCTTCAAACAATACATTCAAACTGTTAACCTAAGGTATATAAATCGTATTTGCTTGTATAGACTGTTTCCGGAAATTAAAGTTGGTGCCTATAAGTTGCATTTACAGGGATGTTGTCGTACCATTTTAAACATCTCTCGAAAGCAAAAAAAAAAAAAAGAGAGAAAAAAAAGCCTGAAATTTCCCCCTGAAAAAAATAAAGGGTAAATGGTTGAAAAAAGACATTGATCTACTTGTTGCTCTATCTTAACAAGGGAAAGAAAAAGAGCCAAATTGTCAATAAGATGGATCCTCTTTGCAATTAAACATTGTTTAGAAAACTTCACAGACTTCTTTTTCTTTATTTAAAAAATAACAAGGTTCTTGCTGAAGCAAAAGGTCCAAAGTAATGTATTTCCTTTTTCTGTTTATTTCCAGACATAGAATTTGAGTCCTCAAAACCAGTGCAAGAATATGAGATTTTTTATGGAGGAGTGTTTCTTCGTTTGACGTGATAACCAATATGCAGAAACGATCATAACTCCATAAAATAAACACGTTTACTATTCTTTGGTCTGATGCATACTTAGTCTCCCTCAAGAATAAAGCTCAGCACTCTAAAGTGATAGACATGCTTGCATCAAAATATCCGACGTACAAAACCAAACTGATGTCTTAAAAAGGAAACCCCGTTTCTTTTTTATGTTGTATGACAAGGAATTTCGCATAAATAATAATATTTTTTTTGTATTTATTTTTCTGTATCTAAAGGTAATTGAATATGTTGTCTTGATAAAAAGAAACCAAGCAAGACAAGGCTAGTTTCAATGGCAAACAAAACCACAATGACATATTTAAGTGAATATGAAAAGTAAAATAAAATACAATCTTCAGTTAAACACACACTTTGACCCACAAGATCAGTCGACATCACATCAAACATGATACTAAACATCCAACTAAGAGACAAACCAATAGGCATAAGGAATTGACACGCCATTTCAATCAAAGAAACAGTTTCTGTATGAGTCAATAAGACAAAAAGTGGACAAAAAATAGAGGCTTGAGCTGCTACCAATGTAGAAATCAAACGGCGGTCTGTAATGGTCTGAATCGTCCATGTATCTGTCTTGAGTTGGTCATCGTCAGTGATTTCTAAAGGAATTGAATTCCAACTGTAGAATACAAGTGAACCCACAACAATGGACACTGCTGTCACTAAAGCCATTAGACGAACGCAGTGTAAGATAGTGACAAGACGTGAGTATTGCATGTATAATGAGGAATTGAAAAGAAGAAAAAAAAAGGGAAAAAGAGCGTTTGTTTACATACTAATTCATTTATCAACCTTTTCTTTTTTCTACATTCCTATTTTTAAACTCAGTACGGGGTTTGGATGAAGTAAGGGCCCTCTACAGAGTCATCCTTTTTTCTTCTTTATTTTAACCATGAGCTCAGAAGAACGTCAAACAAGATATTGGTGTCATGTATGTAATGCAGAAGTTTCCATATATATGGCACCCGACCCTACTTGTCAACAATGTAATGAACAGTTTATTGAAGAGGTATATATACCAAACGCGTAGCTTATGACTAATAAACGACAGCTTCAATCTGACGACGATCCTCGAGCATTTCTTTCTGGTACAGATAACGAAGAAGCCAGAAACGGTCATGTTCATTTGCCTGGAGGAGGGGCAGCCCATTTCTTTTCTTATTCACCTTCTACTGGAAGACTTCGAAACCTAAACCAAGGTGACATGGGTGACGACATGTTTCAATATTTCACTCCACGTCGTCAACAAGAACAACACCAACAAACAGAGGAAGAAGAAGAAGAAAGAGGAGAAGGAGGAGGAGGAGGACCAAGACAGACAGATACAAATGAGACTCCTTCTCCTCTAGGCAACTTTGTTCAAAGTATATTGACAAACATGTTGGGTTCTCAAGTGGATATGGAAAACACAAATGAAAATGAGAATCGTCCCATGATCTTTTTGGGTAATATGGTAGATGGCAATATGCGATTTGAACCCATGCCTGGGAGAGATATGCCTGGAAGTATGCCTAGAAATAGCGAGAATGAAGATACAGAACAGAATGAGGGTGCAAATGGACAGGAATTTCGAGGCAATAGTATTGCAAGGTAAGTAGGACAAATGTATGCATCATACCGCATAACTCACTTTTATTGCTAGTATTCTCCAATTCTTGTCTGCCATGACAGGTGCTCCTATTGATGGTGGACTCGTAGGCAATCCCAATGACTATGTGTTTTCTCAAACTGCACTTGATAATATCATTACTCAATTGATGGAACAAACAAGTGGGTAAGTTGACACATTCATCTTTGGTCTGTACATAATCTCATCTGTTTAGTGCATCTGCACCTCCTCCTGCACCTGAACAAGTGATTGAAACACTCCCAAAACGACCATTGACAGACAAAGAAAAGAGTAAAGTCAATGTAAACGCATATAGTCTGTATACTTATTCTATTAGGTCAAGAAACAGATTGTGCAGTTTGTAAGGATCATTTTGAATTGGACGAACAAGTCATTGAGCTACCTTGTCAGCATATTTTTCATGATGACTGCATTAAGCCATGGCTAAAACTCAATGGAACATGTCCTGTTTGGTAAGTGTAAAGGCTGTATTGTATCTATCTACTCATGCAATCTAGTCGTCATTCAGTGTTACCTGAACAAGAATCCAACCAGAACCAAGGCGATAATAACCAAGGTGACAACAATGGTAACCAAGACAACAACAGTAGCCAAGACAACAACAGCAACGACAACAACAATACAGAACATACCCAACAAACAGACAATAACAACAATGATAGAGAAAATACCAATAATTCAACACCATCAACCACAACATTCACTTTTGTCAGTGGCAATTTCCCTGGTGCAAACAACAACAACAACAACAACAACAACAACAACAACAATTCATGGCCATTGAATCTATCCTCCACATTTCCTTGGGTTAATCAATTGAATCGATCTCAATCTAATTCACCTTCTACTACACAACATCATGAAGATGATCTTGACCTTGATTAAATAAAAATAAGCAGCGTTCATATTTAAATAAGTGTTTATTGTCAAACTACAAACCGAACTCGGGATTGAAGAGAAGTAAAGACAATCCAAGCAGACACCGCAATAATAAACAAACAAATCACAATAGAATAAACACAACCATAATTCACTGTAGTAGAAGAATTCAGTGTAGTCTATCCATGCACATAAGTAACAGAAATACAAAGTGGGATGACTTACTGCAAAAGAAGCACCGTAATGAGATAAAATGACCCAAATAACTTTAAGCCAACCTCGAATCTTTGGTAGTTCAGAAAACCCATCAAATGACACCATCATCCATGCCATATGCATCAATGAAAACAAGCTGGTAGTAATAGCAGAGATAAAATACAATGTTGCTCCAGGACAAGAAGGACACATCATCACACCAGGACCAATGGATTCTACTAACAATGATATATAGCCTACTAATGCACTCATCAGTGCATAACCATAACCAGAGACTATAGGTACACTTTAAATCAGTCTGGAGCTAAAACACGCACACTTTGTTACCAAAACTAAAGGCATGTCGATTAAAAGGAGATTTAGGATGAGCAGAGACTGTGTTGAGGCCATGTTCAGCACGCGACAATAGTAAATAAAAGCTCCAACGAAACAACTCTTGAATAGCTACACTATATCCAATGCTGACAAAATGGAGTTGTTGTGTTGATTTAGCCAGGTACCAAATCACACTTGACAAAAGCAATGAAATCAAGCAAAAGAAAGCACTTGATCAAGATGAGTCTCTTATTAGGACAACTGATCTTCTTACCTTGACACCATTAACAAGACATATTGTGCATTAGGTGCAATATATAAAAAAAAGATGGAAAGAATAGGCCCATAAGCTAGAAACAAACAGCCAAAAAATGTCAATAGACTCATAAAAAAAAGAAAAAGGAAAAGAAAAAAGAAAAGAAAAAAGAAAAGGACAATCCAACAAGCAGAGCAAAGAAAGCACTGTATAGAGAAACTTTAGAAGTTGAAGTAATGGCTGTATTGGTCAAATAAAGGCACAAATAGCCATGTCATATTTTTTGTAAAATTAAACTTTTGTTACTTTGAGATCAAGACATAAGCTTGTTCTTTTCAACTGACTCTATGGTAGTTTGTCTTTATAAAGAATATTCCAGAATAAGCTGGTCTGTTCTTCTTTAAAGAGATATAGCTCTATAAAGTAGACCTGTCAAACTGTATAGCCAATCATTCAAAAGCGGACAATGATCCACCGAAAATAAAATAGATTCTTTCTATACTTTTCTTTTCTTTTTTACGTTATGGCTGACGACGGTGAATGGCATACTGTAACAAGTACTAAGGCAACTACGCTCACTCCTCCTCCCCCTCCCTCTCAACCCTCAAAGAATAACAATAGACGCAAATCCAAGCCCAAGATTCATGTACACAAAAAAGAAAAAAAACCAATCCCACCTCGTCCGAAGACGGTAACCAATCCTTTTCATTCCGGAGAAGACGATGACTCAGAAGAAGAAGAACAAGACGATGGACAAGTCGATCCTATTGATCTACCTGTACCTCCTTACCATACATCCATTGTCGTGTCTTGTCCTCTACCTTGTGAATCACCTGCTCCCTTTTTGGACACGACTTCACTTGTACAGCATTTGAGGACAAAGCATAAACTTGTCTTTAAAAACTTGCATCATATGTATATGGCTTTGGACACTTATTTATTACGTTGGGCGAATGAGTTTGGACAAAAGCCGATGGATGAATTTGCTTATTTAGATCAAGAAGGTAAGAAAAATACAATGACAAAATAGCTTATATGTCTTAGTCTACGTGATTGATCCCGAGAAATGTAGCTTGGATAAAGAAATTCGTGAAGATATGCAGCGTGCTAAATTGGTAAGTAGATAGAGCTGTTAACACCTACCAACGCTGTATTAGAATGAAGTTCTCAAGACGCAACAAAACGAACGTGAAACTGAATCCAAATTACCAAGAAAATGTCTGTTTTGTAAGATTATCTGTGAAAACAGAGCGGTTCTTTTCAAGCATATGTTTGCCGAACATAATTTCAATATTGGATTACCTGATAATTTGGTCAATGTGAATGAATTCTTGGATACATTGGAAGCAAAACTATCAAAGTAAGTCTAGAGAGACGAGGTATATCACTGACTTGATTAGTCTTCAATGTCTCTATTGTGAAAAGACATTCACAAGTCCAGCTGTGTTGCGCAAACATATGAGAAAGAAGAAGCACTTTAAGATTGCATCCAAGAACAGACAATACGATAGATTTTATGTGATTAACTACCTTGAACCTGGCAAAAACTGGGAAAGTTTTGAAAATGAGACATATGAAAGTGACGATGAAAAAAAGGACGAGTAAGTAATTGAGTTTTTGATGCTTGATTTAACTTTATCTGATGTTAGATCTTGGGCTGATTGGGAAGAAGATGTTCAAGAATCCACCATGTGTTTATTTGATACACAAGTATTAGCATCACCTAAGGAAGCACTTGAACACATGAGTGCAGTGCATGGATTTGACTTGACAAGTATCCGAAAATCAAAAGGTAAAGCCAATCCATGATTCAATATGTTATCTGATCAAAAAAGATAGGCTTGGATTTCTATCAAACCATTGTATTGATCAACTATATTCGCCATCAATCTTCTCTGGGTCATTGTTTCTCATGTGGAAGCAAAGGGTTTGACAGTGAGAATGACCTGACTGAGCATGTAGACAAAGAAGGCTGTATTGCTAAGTTTGTGCCTATGGATGCGCCTTTTTGGAAAGACCCTCGTTACTTGATTCCTACCTATGAGAATGATCCCTTATTGACTGGTTTTGAGCAAGACAATGAAGAGGACGAAGACGATGCGTTATCAGATGATGAAGCCAACAAGAAATACCTTCACCAAGTCATGGAAGAATCTTTGATCTTATCAGATAATCAAATTTTAAAATAATTTATTTTGCAATCACAATGATCAATGCTAAAATACAGCCTACGATTGAAATAATCAATAAAAAGCAACACATATTTCTTCTTGCATTCTTGTGATGATGATTAGCAATCACAAGCTCATCAGCTGCTTGTCGAGTGTTTTGTGCGATACTCAGCACATTACCATAAATGCTTTCTGTGCTCAATCAGTCAAGAGTATGGTTTGCTTTTACTTACGAATCCCGCTTTCTTGTTCATTCACTAACATGCCCATATCACGGAAAATTTCATTCAGTTCACCAATGCCTTGCTCAATATTCTGTATTTCATTTTCTCGATCATGAATCAAAAGTTCATTGTATTCTATTTCATGATCCAATGCTTCAATTTGAGCCTGTCTTTGTCCATTCAGTTGCTGTTGTTGTTCAATTTCCTCTTCCCTTGTTATATATATATATATATCAGCATAAAATCATTCAGGACGTCACTTACTCAACTTGGTTCTGAAGCATGACCGTTGTTGCCTTTGTCTTGTCAATAAATTCCCGTTGCTTACTTGCTGATGCCTTTTGTATGGTCTGGAAATGTGCAACGACTTTTTGAAAATCCTTGGACAACTTTTGTTGTTCTAGACGCCTTTGACGCTATCATATCGGGAATAAGCCTTCTTTATTCATCTTTTTGTGTGCTGAATATACAAACGCTTTTTGGGTCATTCAGATTGATGCTAGACAAACTCTTTAGGTCTAGAGTTGAATCCTTGATGAGATCGCGAGTGGCAAGGGTCACATCGTGTCTATGGAGGTAGAGATGAATCATAGGTACTTTGAGTTTGCTTTATTTTACAGGTTATTTCTCACTTCAACAGAGTCTCTGTTGGTACCGAGTAGGTTGACAAGTCTTTCAATACTTGCAATATTACCATTGATATGAAAGGTTTGTTGTGCAATGCGTTGTGCCAAGTCTTTAAACAAACGATCGTCATTGTCTAAAGTAGATGTTGTTAACAAGTCAAATAATATGTGTATGTGTTTTCTATATTACCAGTGTCTATATGAATAGGTCCATTAGGAAGACCTTGCTCCAAGTCGTTAAAGGACATAATATAAAGAAAGAGAAAATTTAGAAAGAACAATGGGAAACATAAATATCGATTTCCTTATTTGTAAATTATTGCATATGAGGTTTGTATGACAAAGAACAAAGTATATGCCTACTATAGAGCACAGTTATGCTTTGATTCATTTTTCCTTTAGAAGAAGTTGCTACAACATTCTATCTTTCTCATTCTATGAAAATAAGCATTTAAGCATATTCATCCATATATTAGAATCATACATACTAAATGACTTTTTGATTTCATATTTGGCACATTTAATATGCCTTTCTTTTTTAAGTACCAGACTTATTATACGAGTTTGGATTGTGAACTAACTTTCCTTACAACTCATTCTGAAAGAATTGATATGCATAATAACACCAAACATGTATTGGTAGCCTGCTGTAGATGCGAGTTTTGATTGAAATAAACCATCATTTCTGCCTTCTAACTTCCTTTTTTTTTGAGTTTTCTTCGTTTGAGCATACATCAAAGAACATATTTATGTAGAAATATGGCAAGTTTTGAAAAAGTCAAGAAATTACCATTTTGGCCTTATGATACCTCTACGAAATCTTCATTTTTCACTATTTTGCGACTAGTGATCAATAGAGACATTTTAGTAAGAATTGCTTCTCTAAGTCTATAAAACACACTCCAAGTGTTAGATTTGCAAAAGTACAATAGAAAATGTACGCTACAGCTCAAAAAACAGAAATCACGTTTTGAAGGATAGCTCACTATCTTTATACTAAGTATATTGCTTTCTTTACATCATTAGATGCGTCTTGACTATATCTACCAACTTTGTTAATACACTTTTTTGACATCTCTTTGTTTTTAGGTACTTTTAGTCCATTATTTCTCTTGAATGTCTAGATCTTATTTTTAGTTTGACATGATTAATTAAAACTCAGAAGCTCATCTTAAAAGTGTCACGCTTGAAGCAATCCACAGGGTTGTTGTGTCTACATGATATGCTTAGAACACACCGAGATACCTTTGTTGTTAAACAATGAAACGCAGCTTCCCTCATCTAGGGCTGCTACCCAAATATCTGTTTAGCTATTGTGAATGCGTGTGCCATATTTACCTCAGCTAAGCCATTGTTACATCGAATGTGTCTCTTGTCTTTAGCATTTTGAAGCTTATGATACTACAATCTTGTTTAAGCTGCATTCATTAAAGATCAAAGACCTGTGTCTTTTTTTTTAATTTGGTTTAGACTAGATAACAGTTTCAACATCAGATAAATCGATTTCCTTTCTTTTCTTTCCTATTCTCTGTAAAATGACTCGAAAAAATCCCTGTAAAAGTATGTATCTATTTTTTTTTGTTTGAAATAAGTGTACATGTTCTGATAGTTTAGTCCTTGTTAGACTGTAAACAACGGCATCGAAAGTGCGAAAGAGTGAATGATTTGGAGCCCTGCAAGCGTTGCATCCAGGCTAATCGGAAGTGCATACCTTCAACGCTTGTGTTTAGATCACAGGGCTCAGATGAGGAAGAGGATCTTGATGTGGAAGAATTGCAGATTCAGTTTTGTTCTACCTACAATCTTATCCGACAACTTGGAAATCAAGTTGAAACATTAGAAGCTGATCTTGCAAAACAAAAAGCATTGATAAAAAACGAACCTCAGTGGCATTTTGATATTGTGAATGGACAACTCCGGCTTCAGTCTGACATAAAGACTATTCGAGAACTACTACAATATCGCAAGGCTTTTATTCGGTACATATCACCCTTTGGAAACACATTTGACAAAAAACTTTTTTTTGATCCTGAAAAAACGACTTCCACTTTTCTCATCACTGTATTGGATATGTTTAGGACACAAGGGCGGCACCATTCGTCTTCAGATAGTGCAGCCATTGCTGAACATTTTGCAAAGGGGATCAGGCAATTTGTACATCCTCGCACCGTTGTTGGACAGCTTGTTGACGCCTATTTTTGCTGCTACACCGAAAGCATACCTATTTTACATGAGCCTTCTTTTCGAAAGCATTTCTCGAGACTCAAGGAACCACTGAATGATCCAGTCACTTTAGCCATTTGTGCTTCCACTTCTTTATTTACCTGTCATCATTCATTTTTCAATTCTCAAGAAAAGAGATACATTGGTGAATACTTTTACAAGCTGTGCATGGATGTGTTACTAGACATATTTGACGATCCTGACCGAGCATTAGAGACAATGACATCTATCAACTTGATTCAACCGTTTATGTTTACCACATTTCGATCTTATGAAAGTCAAAAATGGAATGCTATTGCTCTATTGATTGCTGGTCATCTTGGAAATGAATTACAAGCATGCTGTCAAAACGGGATTCACTTTGATGAAGCAACACGCATTCGACATGCTATCATTTATCGAAATGTGTGTATTGCAGCAGCAAATAGTTTTACTGTCGATTATAACAAAGCAGTGCATAAAGAGACATTACCCAATGTTGATAAACTACAGTTTGACGTTTTGCCTGATGAATCAAAAAAAGCCAGATATTTGATGCAGGTATCTTACCATTTATCTGGTTTAAAAAAAGATTCTTTATATCAATATGCAGTAAGACACACGAAAATGTTTAATTTGGGTGGAGAGAATGGCATCTCTTTCGAGGTGATCATCGAATTTGAAAACATGATTACTAAATGGTGGAAGGAGTTACCGAATGATTTGAAGATATGTAAAGAACCTTACAGTTTAACGCAAGAGGTTTTGGAGAGTTGTATCTGTTTCCCCAAAATATTTCTTGCCTATCATGTCTATACAATCATGCTGGAAATACAATGCTGCTTTATACATTCTGTCTATAGAAAAGACGGGGATAAAAACGATTTTACTTTTGTACTCAAGAGAGCCATGCACTTGTTCAAGTATTTAGCCATGTCATCCCTTTCACTTTTACGACAAATGAAGAAAATGGAGGATGTGTGCTACTGTAAGTCTATATGAATGTTGTTATAGAGTCCTAACATGGTCCCTCTATAGTTCCTTCTAAATTTCTGATTCGTTCAATTGATCGCTTCATGACAATTGCAAGAATCAAAGATAAAGACATTATGGATATGGCAAAGGATTTACTAAGACAACATATGAATGCAATAGCAGAATACACTTTACCAGACCATCATGTATCACTGAATGACTCACCTTATTCACTTATTTCAAATGTGCCAATCTCAAAACTGAAATTATCATTGAATGAATTGTATAAAGAATACCCTTTGACAGGCGATGCTATCATGTTTGATATTGTTCAAACAACTATTCACGATATTCTTCAATCGTGAAATTGTAAATAAATATATATTTAAATGGTAATGATTCTATAGTGCATACAAAGAATAATAATAATAAAAAAAGAGGATGGAAGTCTTTATTTTGCATAAAATGATAGTATTTTAACTATTAGTACCTCTATCTACAACTGTTCTTAGGACATCATATATCATGGCTTCACCTGGTATAGGGTAGTTTTTGTACAAGTCAGCCATGGATGGTGCTGTGTTTGGCGGGGCAAGTGAAAGGATGGTGAAAGGTGATCCAATGGGTGACACTTGGTGATCCTCAGAAATACCTATACTTAATTCGTACATATATTCTCGTAATTTGGCCTTTGCTGCCTCAACCATATCATTATCTGGCACTTGAAGAAGTAACAGTAAGGAGTCAATGGCACGAATAAGAACTTTGCTTGGGGCTATTTTGAGATAAGCTTACTTGAATACAACAAAATGACTTACAATAACAAAACTTGTCAATGCTTTCAATCTGTTTGGTCAAGTAGAGACACATATCAGCTGAATGCATGGCCATCATGATTGCTCTATTTCTAATAATCATGTATATATCTTCAAGATCCTTTTTGTGCTTTGGCTGTACAAAGACACCTTGTACACTCAGGGTAATGACATTCATAAAACAAGCCATCATAAGCTTGCGAACATCATAAGAAGATTGGATCATTTCCTTGTTGAAATTCGATGGTTCTTGGCAAATCTTGAGATGATCTGGTAAGTTATGCCACCATTCAAGAATTGTTTCCTCGTATCGTAAAATGTCTTCAAATGATAGTTCTACTGGATCACCTAATGCTAAATGCCTAGCTTGAGTGACTATTAGAATAAATGCAGGATTCAGGCATAATTCTATCAAATGGTTTGTCAATTCAATCCATTCTTTGATCTTTTGGGATTCATCAGGCAGCACATCATATTTTTCAGTAAGGATATTCCTGTCCTCACGCTTGTCATAGATGATAAAGTCAATCATTGTCATCAGGAATTCTGACAAAGTATAGTTTCGGTGAATCGTGGCTTGGTTGATACGAGTCATTCTGTCCAAGTGGGCCACATCTTTAGAATATGACTTGTTTTGGTTTCGAAGACTGTTGCCTAGCAAAAGAGCAACGGAGGCCCATTTCTTGCTTTCAGATATTCTCAGAGTGAGAAACCAAAACATTTGCAACAAATTGATGACCAATAGAGACTCAATTGCTTGACTAGGATCATCAAACATATCAATCAAGTATTCCATGCATAATTTATAGTAATATTCTCCCAAATAGCGTTTTTCTTGAGAACTTAGGAATGAATGCCTACAATGAGATACAGCTGAAGATGCGCATATGGCGAGTGTGATGGGATCTTTAAGCGGATCTTTTAGTTTTGAATAGTGCTCTCGATAAGATGGTTCATGCAAAATGGGTACTGTATCATTAAAGCAGAAAAAGTATCGATCCACAAGTCGTTGGATAGCTTCTCTAGGCTGCATGAAATGTATTGAATTATACTGTATGTATTGTGATGATTCCAATGGTTTTTTGTATTTAATCATATGTATTGCCACAGTCTGCATGGCTTCTTTAATAATACTGGGATTTATCATTTCAAACCGAAGTGTCTTTGAGTGAAATGCATCTCCAAATGGTGAAAGATATCGAATGACTGACTGTCCAAACAATACAAGCTCGTCTATACTTTTGATTTGTGATTTAAGTTGAAGTTGACCATCTGAATACTCTATGATCCATTGAGGCTCACTTTGCTTCTTCACAAGAGCTTGTTTTTCCTCTTCCATTGTCTGTATCTGCTTCTCTAGATCCAATACTTGTTGATAAATCGATACCATCTCTATTGTGTCTTGAAGTTCGGCTGTACATTTATCTTCTTCTTCTGAACTGTCACCTGCTAGTTGAGCCAGGTCTTGCGAAATGCACTTTCTTTTCATTTGTACACATCGTTTGCAGGGTTCAGATTCACTTGTCTTTTCACATTTCCTTCTTCTTTGTTTGCAATCTAAGTCCAGTAAGAATAACAATCCGAAAAGGTTATGAGCTTACAATGACAGGGGCTTTTTCGGACCATGTTGGACAGTTTATCGTTGCAGAAAAAAAAAATAGATAGAAATCGGTAAAGAAACAAAAAGAAGCAACTTGTATCTGTTCCACAAAATACCTTATCTGCTATAATAGAAGTCCATTAGTAACAATTACTTTTACGTTTCGTACTAACCTTTCTTTACACTATGACTCTGACTGCGTATCTTGGACTGCTATCACTTGGAAGCATTATACAAACACGTCATAGTGCCGAATGTCAACAAGAAGAACAGCAGGAACTTGAAGATCTTCGAGATATGGCACAATATATATCAGCAGCAGAAATAGATACAGTGGCCACTGTCAGTATACCTAACGCACCTTCAGAACGAAAAGGTACGCATAGGAAATGAAGATAGACAAGGGTTGATCCTAATGTCCTTAAAGTAGAGATGCGAGAAAACATCACAGGAGTAATGCTTGCGATTAGCACTATGGTAGCCAACTACTCTTTGTGCTTCCCGGTTGTTGCAGCAAGGCATCGTCTTCAGGCTTTGCCTACGCGATATAGCTACTATCGAGATACACCTTTGTTTGGTGCAAAGATGATCATATACACGTACAAGAATGGTGGTATACGCAGACTATACCCAGGATTTGGACTGGGACTAATAGGACAAACATTGAGTGCAAGCTACGAGTCAGGACTGAATCATGTCATAGCTTTTATGATGCCTCCAACAAGCAAGGCAAGTAAACCCATGAGCGTGATGGCTACATTGATCTCAAAAGCCCTCGCTATGGCTATTCATGTACCTCTTTACCCTCTGTATCGAAATGCTTTGATTCTACGAGTTCAGTCTGATTCAGACTTGACGAACATTGTGATACGCAATTCTCAAGATTTTATGCGTTTTTATAAGCGAGACCTTGAAGCTTTTTGGCCCTCGCATCCAAATAACCGACATGTCTTATCAGCACTTATACCCTCTTGTATCCTCAATGCGATGACGGAAAAACTACTTATCTACATTTATCGACGTATCTTTCAGTATTTTTCCTTCAATGATGATTCAAGCACCAATGTATCAAAGAAAAAGAAAGACGCTACCGTACTGCATACTTTTTATCCTGAAATTGCATGTGGCGTCATTAGCAGCATTATCACTCGAGCATTGAGCTATCCAATTGATACCATCATTTTCAAGCTGATGGTACAGCACAGTGGCGTACTCAAATCAGATACAACATACCATGGTTTCTTTGACTGTGTCAAAAGAACATGGCTTGAAGAAGGTGGCTGGAAAGCATTTTATCCCGGATGGGGGATTGGCATTTTGGAAATGGGTGTAGGTTATTTGATTCTTGAGGCTTCATGGTGGGCTTATTGTGCAACACAGTGGAAACTGACGACACTTGGGTCGAGCGATACACGTGCAGTCAGGAAAGCAAAAAAGTTACGAGAACGTTTGAGCAATTGAAGGGAATGGCTATATCTAAGCATACAAATAAAGTGTTGCTTTCTCTCGTATTTTTCTTGATAGGTTAAAAACTACAGTGTCTCCACTCCTAATTGTTTGTAGTGCATAAAACAATTTTTGTTGCCTCCGCATCGGCTCCAAATGTGGTAAATGCTCTCAGAGTCAGGCTTTATTTTCAGAAATAATATAAATAACTCCCTTTTCCCTTATATCTTTCAAAGTCGTGCACCATGGATTAAATTATGAGTGATATCAACCAAAATCCAAATATCAATGAAACCAATGAATACCTTACAACAGAGCAAGCCGTCGAACTGTTTAGACGATTGGAGATTGAAAGACAAACATAATGAGAAACACAATACTAAAATAATAATAATAATAATAATAATAATAATAATAATAATAATAATAATAAATAAAGGTTGATGGAGCGCGTAAAAGAAAGGCTGAACCCAAAAAGCCAGCTTTCAAAGGAACTGTTGCTGGACACTATATGGAGTCCATTCATTGTCTTATGAATGAAACGGATGTTTGCCGAAATGAAAGGGTTTTATATTATCGTGGATAATGCACTTATACATACATCTCAAGATATTGAGAAACTGATCAAGGCTAGAGGCTACAAGTGTATCTATCTCCCTCCCTATTCTTCTGAGCTAAATCTCATTGAACAATTCTGGTCTGTGTTGAAAGAAAAAGTCAAACAAAGCCAGTTCAATGATACTGAGGATTTAAAAACTAGAATAAGTGACACTTGTCTACATATAAGAGTTTCTACTCTTGTAAATATTATTCAGCACTCTGTTAACACTTTCGAAAAATGCCTAAATAAAAATGTTTTCATGTCCATCTTCATAAAAAAAAAAAGGTATTCATCATTGTGTTATATTTTTATTAGAGATGCACTCTGTAACACAAAGGCTACAAGGCAGCAACCTCACATGATATTTATTATATTTTAGTTTTTTTTTCTTTGAAAAAAGGAAGAGTATTCTAGACTTATCCAAGGACAGAACAACAATAATATCTTCTGCAGATACTAATATTGATAGTTTGAAGCAATAAGAAAAAGAAGCTCTTTTTCATAAGGTTGCACATACAGTTGTGCAAAATCTTGTTTGTAGAAGATAGACAGTAGTTCAAGAGTTTCAAGTAAAATCTTGTTTACCCAATAAATCAATTAAATTACCATTTTGAGTCAACCGACTCCTCAAAACTTTTTTTGGTTATTCTCTCTTGTTACTTTTTGGGGTCTAAATTAATATTCTTATTTCTATGATTGTTTTCTTTTCTCTACCTTTGTACTGCGCAGTTAGTTTGGGCGATTGTTACTTTTTAAATGCGTGTATTAATGACGTATGAAATAAACGAAAAAAAAAAGCGAAAAAAAAGAAAGAGAGAGAGAGAGAGAGAGAAAAAAAAGAGGGGAGGGGGAGATACGGAGATAATTTTATTCGAAAAAAGTTTGACTTTGATCTTAATGTTAAATTAGTGTAGCTTTGTTATAAACAGTTTCTATAAAAGTCAGGACTCTTTGAGAAGCTTATTGTTCAAAGAGAGTCGAACCAACAGCGTACAACAGAGCTTAGGTAAGTTGTTATTTCACTTGAGAGCAGCGCTTGCTTGTGACGTCAACCTTTTCACCTTTATAAAAGACTTCTCTCTTTTCTTCTTTTCTTAAAACCAATGAACAAAGAAAAAAGTTTTTTTTTCTCAAATACAATACAAGTCAAAGATAGGAATAAGTTGGATATGACATTCTTTTTTTTTCGAATCAATCCATTCTATCGAAAAAGTCGAATCGTTTTGTGAAAGATTGAAAAGAAAAATTCACCATTCTATTAGGCAATCTCAAAATAAGACTTATTCAATGAAAAACAATACATAAATTTTAGTTATGCTAGAAATTCCGGTTTTTACACACTGCTTTTATTCTTACTGCGCATTAACAGATATGCATATAAAATGACGTTTCCTTCCTCATTGGTGTGATCCGCAGCAGTGCAATTAAAATATTTATTGCTATAATTATATCCTGTAGTACAAGATTGACATTAAGTTTCTCAATCCCTCTCTAGGGTTATTTAAGGGAAAACATCAAGCATCACAATGGTAACACTGTAATATTGAGCATAGCTTTACATGTCAAAAGAATAACGGGAAAAGAAAACAAAAAGTGATGGTGTTACATTCAGCTAATTCTTGTTTTAGCATTCTCATGCATTCAAAATAAAAGCATTTTCATTGGTCAACATAGCAAAGGCATAATTCAACAAACGTAATACATTTTATCTAGGAACAATAAAAAAAGCTTATACACTGATCCGAAATCAAAAAAATAGCCCAGTTTTTTGTCATTCGAACTCAGTAACAAAGGTATCATGATCCAACAGCCCTTTAATATACCAAGATGATACTTAAACGCATTCAGTTTTTGTTGATGACTTGTTGAGATGTTTATTTCAAGATAATATAAGTAGAAAAAAATCAGTACTTGGTGATACAGCCTTTGGCTTGGTATTGGTTGGTCAAGTGTGTAGTAGTATGAATGTAACGAGAAGATAGTAGGGAAGGTATTCGCATCCGTGTAAGTATTTTACATATACTGGCTCATATATGTTACTAATTCATCTCTCTTCTATTCTCTGCTATCAATAAAGTGTATGTTATCTGTATCGTCACTTTATATGTTTCAATTATGCCAATAGAAACATCATTATTTTCTCTGATAGTTACTTATTCTTAGTTCAAGGAATTGTCCACCCAATCAAATAACCATTTTAATCAAAACAAAGCTAAATATATATAAATCAAAATACCTCGTTTGTGTACAATTTTCTTTTTCTTTTTTCTTCTCATTTCTTAATGCCCTCATTATCAAAACTTTTTAAATCAGCCAAATTTAAACTGACAGAAAAAAGACGAAAAAGCAATAGTGGAAGTAGTAGTAGCCAAAGTACAGGTGTCAAATCAGTTCGATTTTCAGATCTAAATCAAGACTCTATTTATTACACGCATAGTAGTTTAGAATATGATAGAAAATCCTTATCGACATATGCTAGTTGGGATGAACACCACTCAGAAGCAGATAGTCTGAAATCTGATTTCTTAGATGGTGAAGACGATATCGTAATGTTTGACGAAGAAGTGATGCGAAATACTAAAGTCAATAAAAAGCAAGGATACTACAGTATAGCTGCCCTTGTAAGCTATCGCTCCAACATATAATATGATACCTACTTATATATATATATATATATATATGTATTTGACAACAATTAATAAATAAGCTTTACTCAATCTGTCTTATCTCAAATGAACTTTTTGCCATAGTTGTACAGGATGAACTGCTGCATAAACTAGAGCCAGTAGCATTTCTAAGGCTTACTAAGCAGCAATCCTGGATACACTCTTGCTTCATACCAAATGAAATCCATAATCAAAACACACTGTTTACTTTGAAGGTCTCGAAATCTGATTGAAAAGAGTTTAACTTGCAAAATTATGTAAAGAACTGCACACGATCAGTAAATCCTTATCAGTGAAGTCAAGGCTTTTTTGTTCACACGCGATTCCTTCGATTTTTATTTTTCTGATAACTAACAGCACTGCGGTAATACTATATTTGTTGGGCTTCAGTAAAGGGGTTGAATTAACAATACTCATGTTCTGAACAATACTTGAGTTTTACATTGTTAACAATCAATCAAATAGATTAACCTGTCTTTTGCAAGGGGGAAGCTAAGCAGTTTGGTAACAAAAAGAAGGTGTCTTGTTTACTATTTCTCGCAGGCCAATATCAATCATAAATTAGTGTTTTGAAGTAAAATTCATGAAAAATAAAAGTAGGCATACCAGCCATCAACTAAATGAGTAGGGTTACCTATCTTTTGTGGCTTTATCGTCTTGTTTGTTTGTATTCTCTGCTGCAAATAACTCTAGATCTACACGAGTATGTTTTAACACTCTTTTGGTTTTAAAAGGTATATCCTTGATGATAGTCCTGTAAGTTCGGGCCATTACTGTATGTATCAGATCTTGCACAGAAAGAGCATTTCTCTGACAGTATTCGGCAGAATGAATGAGAAAAGTGATTGGTAAAGACCCGTCTACACTAAAGGTTCATTATAAGAGATGTTTAAATTTACTCATGACTGTGAAAGCGCAAAGATAGCATTACAAGAGTTGGAATAGCCATCATTCTACTTGACTTTATGTCTAAAAAAAGCCAACATGTATTTAACTCTCCAGTTATTTTTGGTGTCAGTAAACCCTTAGGTTGATATCTTATTTAGGGTTTGAGGTTTTCGAACCCAATAGACTGCAAAACTGACACTACACTGCACCTGTTGACTTGGTCGAAATTGATGGAGCACTGATCTTCCCTACCATTGCCTTCTAATTAAGGAAATGTTACAGAATTAATGTATAAAGCTAACGATTATCTTTGAACTTACGGTCAAAATTAAAAAAGCCTATTGATGACCATGGAAATAAACCTTTTTCAATTAATGATTGAAGAAGGAGCTGTTTTTTCGCGTATGAAGCCTTGGATCAAAAGTTTCAACTCTAGTATCTGGAACTGCTAGTTAGTTACGACAAGCAGCTCCTGCTTCAGGAGAATGCTCATACATGAGTCGAGTCAAGTCATTGGAAGAAGGCCCCTCTTATCAATGGCTTTGAGCACTGGCCAGCTCAAATTCCTGATTCGAGCCCCATCAAAGACTTGTAATAGGCTCTCGAGAGGATAATGCAAAACAGAAAGACTGGTATCGGCAACACTGTTGAATTAAAGGTAGTGCTTGTTCACAAATGGAAAAAAAATCAACCTTGATCTTTTTGAATGTTTGGTGTCCAGCATGATGCCAAGCAGTTTTCAATGCTCATATTAGCAACATAAAACATTGATGGCACTCTTTAATATCCTTTTGAATTAGCCATGTTAAGCGAACCGACAATTAGACGTGCAAATACATTATTGAACAAGAGCTTCTGTTTTCATCCCTTTTTTCACGGGGTTTAAAATAAAGCTTGGGTGAACTTTTACCTTTTGGGACTGTATAACATTTTCGTTTATTTTTCGCACGGTACATGCATTATAAATACCACCTAAATCCTGTTGATTCTTAGAAAACTGCTTTTTCTCACACTCTTTTTTAGAAACAAATGCTTTCATCTTTCTTGAGAAATTCTTCTTCTACTATCCAAAGGTAAGAGAAAAATGCAAGCCAATACCAGTTTCTCATTTATGATTAGAACTACGCCTTATGCTCGTAGAGCTTTTAGTACCCAGTTCCCCGCTTTGCAAAGAGTTTCTGGTGTAGAAACAGTCAAGAATTACATTAATGGTAAATTTACAGAATCCAAGACAGACAAATGGATTGAACTCTATAATCCTGTAAGTATTAATGTCTAATCTTAGCTCTATATACTGAATCCTCTTAGGCTACTCAAGATTTGATCGGTTATGTTCCTGAAACCACTCAAGATGAGTTAAATGAAGCTACTGAATCAGCTGCTGTTGCTGCTCGTGAATGGAGAAAGACAACTGTCCTTGCTCGTCAAAAAGTAATGATGGACTTGCAATACTTGATTCGTCAAAACCAAGATGCTATTGCCGAAAATATTGTTCAAGAACAAGGCAAGACATTCGCAGATGCTAAAGGTGATGTCTTCCGTGGTCTTCAAGTCGTTGATCAAGCTTGCTCTCTTACTAGTTTATTGATGGGTGAGAAATTGACAGTCGCAAAAGATATGGAAACATGTAAGTCCAAGATAAGACAAGAGCTTGTGTAACTTAACTCTATTGTGATAGACATGTACCGTGAACCTTTGGGCGTTGTAGCCGGTATCTGCCCTTTCAACTTCCCTGCCATGATTCCTCTCTGGATGTTCCCTTTGGCTATTGCTGCAGGTAACTCTATTATCATGAAGCCTTCTGAACGTGATCCTGGCGCCATGATGATGTTAGCCAAATTGGCCGCTGAAGCTGGTGTGCCTAATGGTGTCCTTAATGTTGTCCACGGTGCTGTTGATTGTGTCAACTATATTTGTGATGAGCCTCATATCAAGGCCATCTCCTTTGTTGGTTCTGATCATGCTGGTAAACACATCTATACCCGTGGTAATGCCAATGGTAAGCGTGTTCAAGCCAACTTGGGTGCCAAGAATCATGCCGTTTTGGTTCCTGATGCAAACAAGCAAGCTGCTTTAAATTCTATTGCTGGTGCTGCTTTTGGTGCTGCTGGTCAGCGTTGTATGGCCTTGAGCACCCTTATTTGTGTTGGCGAAACCAAAGATTGGTTGCCTGAATTAGCTGAACGTGCTCGTCAACTCAAGGTTGGCTATGGTATGGACCCTGACACAGACGTTGGTCCCTTAATCACTGTTCAATCCAAGAAGCGTGTTGAGCGCTTAATTCAAAGCGGTGTTGATGAAGGTGCTGAATTGCTTTTGGATGGTCGTGGTGTTGTCGTCAAGGGTTATGAAAAGGGTAATTTTGTTGGCCCCACTTTGTTGTCCAAAGTCAAGACAGACATGGAGTGCTACCGTGAAGAAATTTTTGGTCCTGTTCTTGTATGTCTTCAAGTCGATACTTTAGACGAAGCTATTGAATTGATCAACAACAATCCTTATGGTAATGGTACTGCCATCTTTACTAACTCTGGTCCTACTGCTCGTAAGTTTGAGCACGAGATTGATGTTGGCCAAGTAGGTATCAATGTACCTATTCCTGTTCCTGTTCCTCCTTTCTCTTTCACCGGTAGTCGTGGTTCTATTTTGGGTGACATGAACTTTTACGGCAAGAGTGGTATCTTGTTCTACACTAAGCCCAAGACTATCACTTCCTTATGGAAAGAAAGTGATGCTGAACATACCCGTGCCTCAGTTTCTATGCCTACTTTACACTAACTCTCCTGCAATGAGTTTTATAGAATTGAATAAAAAAAAGCGTTTTAGCTTGAGATTACGCTATAGCGATAAAGACACAGATTATTATAACGTACTAAGAAAAATGGAATTCCTTCAAATAATGTTTTTCTGCCAATCCTATCATTGCTTAATGACTCATCTCTGTGTTTAGTCATAATTCAGAAAAACCTAAATCGTCTTCTACAAATAACTACAGAAAGCTTATTTCTTGACATCTGAATATTGGTTAACAAGCATTCTTGGATGAGATTTAGAGAGAAAAAAGGAATGACAGGAGGCATGTATACTTTCACTCTTGAACAGTGTAAACACAAACTTTAAATCGAAATACTGTCATTTATTAAAGATCCACTCATGTCATAATTTATGTGACACTTCTATCGGAAAGAATGAATTGAAAAGGGGTTGACGATTAGGGGATCAAAGTAAAAGAAGAAGGAGCAGAAGAAAGAGGGAGACGGAGAGGAGGAGATCTCTCTGAGCATTTGCACGTTTTTAATTACCTTGCTCTTGTTTGCTACTTTTTCAGGTGGCGGTCTTTTTTTCTCTTTTCTTGTCTTTTCTTCCTACATGAAAGCTGTAAATCCATATAGACCCTTTTTTTTTATGATATGGTTATAAAAACAGGTCTACTTCATAACAAGAAATGTATTTGTTCAGCACATCCCTTATAGTCCTCCCTTTCTTTCCTTTTCTTTCTCTTTTTTTTTATCGCTTTCTTTTCATTCTCTTTCTCTTTCTTTTTCTCTTTTTATTTGATTATACACATAAAAAAAGGACTCCCTTTAGAGTTTTGAACCCATGGAAGCTCCAACATCCGTAGTTAGCATACAGCAACCTGATGAACAGCCATTTATACCAAAGACAATATCTAATCCTATAGGACATCTTGCTACCTCAGAACGAATACCTACAACCACATGGGGACCTTTTACAATAGTTGTTGTTGTTTCTCTTGTATTGCTTACATGCTTTATCTTGAACTGTAATCGAATTCGGCGCAGAGTAGACGAGACAAGAATGAACAGACTAGGAAGGACAGGGTCCTTTTCATTTGAAAGTAGACACAAGCAGTTACAAGAAGCTGATCTAGAATGGAACAGTCATCCGCCTATTGTCTATACACAAGAAAAACTCACTTCACCAGAATCAACCTATGCTAGCAGTAATATCATCAGCAGCAGCAAAAGCAGCACCCATTCTGCACATTCGGGATGGTCCTCTAATAACTCGACCATTGCACAATCTCATCATTATCATGACATAAACTTTATAAAAAATCAACCTCCCAGTGTTCAACTAAGATTGACTTTGGAAAATGCATCTAGGAATTCACTGTCAACGTATATGAATCCTAAAAGACCAGTCATGGTACATCCTCATGAATCAGAATATTCAAGAAATGATATATCACCCGTGTCGTCGCCATTATCGTCGTCATCTGTACCCACTGTTTTTCAAAAGAGCAGTAATTCATCAAGCTGTGGCACTCTCTCATAGACATAAACAAATAAAAATAAAAAGACAAAGCTTTGGTATGCTTCTTTATCTTTTTTATAATCCCTATATATCTCCTGTTCTTTATCCCTTTATATGTCACTGGTTTTCTTCTTTTTTTATCCATCCCTTTAATAAAGAATCCTATCGATTGTAGTCTGGGCTTTGTACATTTTTTTAAGCTTTTTTAAAGGGGGCATTATTTCTACTCCTACATGTTGGACGATCACTGACACAATTTTATAGGTATATTAAAATAGCTGTTGTCCAAGATATTATTCAAGTTTCAATTAAATTAATAATTGTATTCAGGAACGTATAAAGATCTCGATATACTCATGAGAACCTTCTTTTTTTTTTTTTTTTTTTTTTTTTTTTTTGTTCTTGGTAACTTTGAAGGAATTTTTTTTTCTTCCTTTGCTTTGAGTATCCCAAAAGTAAGAAAATTCATTTAAAAAGTTTAAACAAGACATGGATTCATGCAAACTATGTTATTATTATTATTATTATTATTATTATTATTGTTATTATTAAAAAGGTACGAACTAAAACATGGTGATAGCATCAGCAAAATTAAAACTATCTACAACTACTCGAATATAATCATTCACATGAGTCAAATTGACAGCAGAAGGATCAGCACCTGGAGCACCTTCATCATTCATAATAAGTCTTTCTTCATCAATCGTAACAACAGGCTTATTCTTTCGATTACGGACAATCACAGCACCTCGACTGGTAGCTTCAATATCATCTGACTTGAGCTCCTTGATCTTGTTTTGTGCAATACCATATTCGTCTTCAGGAATCCAGATCACAGGCTCAGAAGCGTATGTACTAGGATGCATATAGGCTTCTGTTTCATACAATTCCTTGGCAATCTGGACAATACGTTTAGCGTCCTTTTTAACGATTTCCTTGTCTTTGCCTTGTTCTTCAAATAACAAGTTAAGCAAATGTTTACGGGCTTGATAGGCCTCTGTAGGTACATGATCTTGAGATAAAGAAGTATCATTGGTAAGCAAAGGACTGATCTTGCTGGTTTTGTAGTTGTGTCCACTGGTGGTACTAGTGTTGCTCTGTACAGCTACTTTACTATGATCGCTCTCATCATCGTCATTATCTGAAGCCACCTGAAGTTTATCATCATGTCGAACATCATCATGTTTTTTATGATCAATCTTTTCATCTTCAAAGGTAGAAACAGGCAAGTATTTGAATAGGGGTTTGAAGGCACGGTCATAGTAATACAAGGCAAAGCAAGTCAATATCAAAGCAACAATCATCAAAGCCATCTGACCACGAGCGCCGCTACGAATAGCAAACAGACCAATCAAAGTCAATTGAGAAAGCAATAAACCAATGTAAATATGACGAATGGCTCTTGGGAAAGCACGGCCAGCAGCCTCATACGAGAGTTCATAGACATACAAGAACTGGTAGAGATACACAAAGTATTGGAAAATAAAGAACAGACACACAAAAGGCAAGATCAAAGGAGAAATAACACCATATTCAAGACCGAGAATGAAGATCACAGTCTGACTAGGAATCAAAGTACCCAAGTTGATGTTGGGACATGTCTTTTTTCTGTTGTAAATATCGCGAGGTGTTGTGTTGAAAATAGGCATGATGAATGATAAGATGAAAGGCACTAATTGAAGAATAGTTTGGCCAGATTGGTTTGTAGCCTGAAGCATGACAAATGTAATAAAGAAAGTAGAAGCCTTAGGTAAGTTTTCAGAAAGAATGTCGATGATACCAAAAGGATTTTGTGCAAGATTAGCGAGTTGTTCAGCCATGGTCATCACACCAGCAGAAACAGTAGAGATCAAGACAACATCAATCAACTGGAAAAAGAAAAACTTGTGAAGCAAAGAAAGTTCAACAAAAGATCGTTGAGGAATACCTTCCTTGGTTGACAAGATAGTAAAAATGATAGGTACCAAAGAAATCAAGATAGACAAGGCGACAGCAGGAAGAATACCTTGAATGATACCGACAGCAGTAGGGCCTAAGTTGTTAATACCTGCAAGGAAGGGGAAAGCTTTGGATAATGTCTGGATGTTGGCAATAGCTTGAACAAACACAACAGGTGCAGCCCAAAAGATAATGATAGCTGTAGTGATAGCAAAACTAACGAAACGACGAATCATTCGTTCATGAGAACGAATACTGGTGTTTTCCCAAATGATGTCAGAGGGAGCGACTTGAACATAACGAGGAGCCATTTTCATTGGGTTTTTGTGGAGTAACGATTGAGCAGCCATATGCGCAGCTACTTGTTCATTGAATTCAATAAAAGCAGAATTAACTTGATCCAGGGTAGGTGCGTCATTTTGTTTCTCACCCAAGGTCTTATTGAGCTCGCTGATCTTTTTATGGTAAAACTCGATTGAATCGACTTTTTTTCCAAAACAAGGCAAAGGGATCGGTAAAGGACTATCGCGATGCTTGGGACGAAGTTGTTTAGGAATATCAGATTCTGTTAAACCTTCTTCCATTACTCTGTTCTTTGACTCCAACTTGAGACGATGTTTGTATGTAGCCAAGACAGCCTTAGTGATGCTTGCTTCTAAACCAAGCGCCGATTTTTGGCGTTCTTGCACAAGGTCAGGAAGATCGTCTGTTTTTCTATGTTAAAATGTTAATGATAATAAGCATGTTTATCTTTACTATTTACCTATTAAGCCAAATTCGCTTTACCCCACCAGGGAAACGATTAAAGATTTTCTCTAGATCTTCAATATTGTTGATGTTTTTAGGAATTGAAGGAACAAAGACAGTACGGGCAGCAATCGTGTTTGCATATTCGGGACTCAGTAAAAATTTTCTTCTCAATCGAATATAGATCTTAGTTTCGCGAAAAGTGTAGTACCAAACCAAACCTTATAAAAAAAGAATTAATATAAAACATAACAAATATCAACTTACAAGTCAAAATACAGGCCAGTAAACAATGAGCCCAAGTACGACTATCGTCAGTCACGTTACCCATTGTCAAGTAGTTGAGACCATAAAGATCGCCTTGATTGATCGTGTTGATTGGGAACAAGATAGGGATGGCCACTAAAGAATAAAGGGAAAAGGTAACCATACCCATTCTAAGAAACTTGAGTACCATGAATCGATCAAGACCCATTGATTTAATCAGATCGTCGTCTGATATCTTGAATAACGCCAATATCCACCTGCCAAACCCGTTAGGCAAAGGAGGAGGTCGTCTCCTAAATAAATCATTAATTCAATTGCAAGCGTTATTATTGTTTTGATATGTACTCTTTTCTGATAGCATATGATCTGGGTGCATATGTTTGAGGCCGTCTAGTTCTTAAAAGAACAAATGCGCTAAAAAAACCAACGCCTAAAGCAGCATTGAACCATAAAGCAGAAATAAATGTGCTTGCTGAGCTGTCAGCTCTATTGATAGTTTTGAATTAGTTATACAAAAGACTAAGCTGAGTATTATTTTACCCTTGTTGTGAAGCTTGTGTGTCACTCATTCTGTATTAAAACAGATAGTGAAAAAGAAGAAGAAACTAAAACAAAAAAAAAATTCTTGTTTAAAATATAATGGCAAGTTCCATTTTTGAAATAGTGCGTCGTGTAACTAAAATCAACTTGATCACTTTGATGCTTAAATTCATGCTGTAATTTATTCGTCATATAAAATATACACACACATACACACACACACACACGCTATACATACTTTATAACAGATATAATAATAATGACACCTATACTCAGATTAATTTATGTAAACCTTTCAATATCTTGGTATAAGTGTAACATAAAAAACAAATGATTGGCTTATTACTTTAAGTCTCATCCGACAATGTTACTTTATAAAGACTATTATCTTGCGATTATTCCAAAATGAATGTTCAAGCCGTTATAATTTTTTTATTTTATTTTATTAAAGTTCATATTTATGTGCAAGTGCTTTCCATTGTTGCTGCATTTCGTCTTCAAATTTCAGTGGTGATGTTGCTGTCTATACATGATTTAAATGGGTCCAGTCTAATTAGTTATGAATCACGTACTTTTGATATGACATTGAGTGTCATAAAATCAGTTTCGCCTTGACGATCGTCATGGACATCATCATTGAGGTCTTCAATAATACTAAAAGAGCTGCCGGCGCTGCTATCACTGCCCAATGAAGATATCGTGTTGACGTGTCTGTTGCTTTCGACTGAGTTCATGTAGAATGACTTTCTCGGATCTTTTGTGGTGGAAGGTAAATGAAGCATATTCAATTGCTATTCAACAGGTTAGTATAGAGCAGTATTTAGTATGACTTACGATATCAAGAGGTAGTTCTTTTTGATCATATGTATATTCAGTATCCTGGGGCAAGTGACCACTGGAAGAAGATAAAGACGAGTTGAGTGTGGCCAAAGAAGAAGCTTGTGATTCACTCTTGTAATACTGTTCGCTCCATGAAGCATAATGAACAGAGGCACGGTTACTCGTTGCGGAATACGAAGCTGATTTCGACTTTTTGATCATTTTTGAAGGTGATACCGATCTTGAGCGACTAGTACTACCATTGCTATGGAATAGCTTCCCGATAGAAGGAATACTCGATGTTCTTGATATTGATTTTGATCTAGACCGCTGTTGCTGTTGAGAATTATTTAGGACTGATTGCTGAACCTTGACAATAGTTTGTGTTAAATATTCATTTGATTGTTTTAGACATTGGTTTAAATAGAGCACTATGATAATAAAATGAGCTATTTAATTGTGTAGTACAAATATACTTACGGTTATTCCAAAATATGCTTTCAAAGTCGATGGTTGGATCCGTATGCGTCGTACTGGAAGAGAAGCGTAACTTGCTACAGATATTGAACCGGAACCCCTTCATTTCTTCTGGCTGAACAAGACCAATGACCCATGGGTGGTACAGTGATGATTGAGAAGGAAACAATGTCTCTAATTGGATTTGGTCATTGTCTACATAGATAAGGGCAAAGTCGTTCTTGTATTTTGCATCTAGATAGCTTTCTTGGCTATAGTAAATGTTGCAAAAGGTAAAAGTACCTTTCCAGAGCTTGTGATACACTTTGTTTTCGGGCACATCGTATTGCTTCATCAAAGCTCTTGTCTTTTGGTAGACTGTTCTAAACTCCACTGACTTCTCGACATATTCAGTCCTTTTCAGGCGAGAAGACATTTCATCTTTTTGAGGTATCACTGAATAAAGCCTAGGACCTTTATAAAAATACTTTTCAAATGATGTGAGATTTGACATTTCATCTCTATGTATCTCAGGTATGTTAGTAGCAGAGAGAATGAAAGACCCTGGACGTTCTATAAATAATAATAAAAAAAGACATGAGATACACTCGTTTAAACATAACACAAAGTTACCTGGAACACCTTCAAACATTTCAATACTTTCGATGTCTGCCCATCCCTTGAATCTCAACTGATGTTTATCAGCCCGGTTGTCTTTGTTATTACCCGAGAACAAGGAAGTAGGTGACATGGGGTTTGAATATTCTAATATCTGTTGAATATCAATCCCTTTAGCGTCAATGGAAGACCGACTGGCTACAAGGATCTTGTCTGTAAATAAAAAGATAGTAACAGCACGCGTAGGCTTATTTGTCACTCGATGGATCTCAATGGCATCTAGGTGAGCAATAAAAGACCTCTTTTGATTGATCAAAGAGCACTATGCATAAATAAATGTAAGCATTTTTGTGATACGCGCGTCATTTTTTTTTTTTTTTGTATTACAGGTGAGTCCTTAATGGATTGATACAGATTCAGAAACATGGTGGCTGTCTTGGTTGGGTCATCGTCTGCCATGGTAGCAATTTCCCTTGCTTTTTCACAAGCAGCCTTTAGTCCTTGGTAGTCATGATGATCTTCAGGTGTTAATTGTAAAATGTCTCGAAGCATCATGGAATATCGACTGATACGTTGCACAGGTTCAACCAAGATGTCCTGAAGTCTCTTGCGCTTAAAGTCTGCATGATCTTTGACCTTGACCAAGAATCGCCTGTAGTTTTGATTGACTTTGAACTCTTTAGCGTGTAATTTTTGTGCTTCAGCTTGTTCGAGTAAATACTTTCTATAACATTCGAATTTAATTATCTGAAAATGAAATTAGTAACCAAAATGCCTAAATATAATCATTACGTGTTTTGAGCATAATTCACCGAAATTATCATTCATAGAGTCCAGGTCTGCCAAGAAGTCTTTATTGACAATGGCTATTTGGTCTATATTCAAGAAAATCTTTTGGCATTTGAATGTGTTGAGAATAGCAGTCTTTTGATTCATGTTGGCTCGAAGGGGTCTAACAACATGCTTTACAATGGTCTGCAATGTGTCAACATACGATCTTTCTGTTTTGATGAATTCTTGAATTCGAAAATGTCTTTTTTCGTCATTTCTTATAAATTTCTTTTCGAGAAGTATTAATTTCTGATAGATGTCATTTCATCATTACCTTGGTTATCAATGTATCCTGAATAGGTTCTTGTGTCTCTTGAATAAACGACCTTTGCTTGTCAAGTTTTGTGCCTATAATGTTCAAAAACTGCTCCAATTGAATTTGTTGACCTGGAATTTCATTGGATTAGATAATCAGACCACGTTTCTTTTCTATTCTATTTTTTTTTACATCATATTACTTTGTGTTCTGTTTTCTGATGGTACAATCAAGTCTATATTTTGACACTTTTGTATGTTTTTAGTTTAGGCTTCATTTTAAGGTATTTTACCAATGGCTTTGTTGTTTGTCGAGTAATTTTATCATAAAATTCTAAGCTATGATTGATTTCTTCTTTGGGTTCAGGTATATATGTTTCCTTTATCAGTTTCCATTGATGAGGGTAGCCTTCTTCCATTTTTTGAAGTTTTGTCTTTAGTTCCTGAAATAATAAAAAGTTAGAAAAAAAAAAAGAAAGGGAAACAAGAGATAGAAAGAGGGAGGGAGAGAAACACGTAGTAGTTTGAAATTTACTTTTAAATAGTTGGACATGGTATACGCAGATAAAAAGAAAGAGAAAAGAGAAAAGAGAAAAAAAAAAGAGAGAGAATTTATTTTATTTTTGTTATTGTTGTATTCACCAAAAATAGAGAACTGTACAACTTTATTGTGACAAACACACGTTTTTATTGTCAGCATTGGTTACACTTTTGTTTAAGGTATATCATGGTAATCACCACTTTGTTCCATTTCAACGCCAAATTGTTCATAAGTGACTTTGTAACGAAGTCTCAAGGGTTCCTGTAGAATTTCAGCATGCATTTCCCTTGAAGCTATTTTACCTGGTGGGGATTCTCTACAGTGACAAGTTGAGAGACAGCCTTGTCTGATTTAGGGGGAATAAAATCAGAAGAAATAGGGCCTAATTTCAAATGCATTGATTTAGGTGCTGCTAACAACAAGGTCATTTTCTCCATAGGTGCAGTAGATTTGTTTGAATAAAAAGCCTTCATTCTCCATACACTACCCATTTCATAGATATCTAAATAGATACCCAATCCATTCTTGTTCAATAAATCAACTAGCATGTATCTATTAGTCTTAAACATGCATATGTTTTTACTTGCTTTTTCGTATCATTTGATCAGAAGAAATAGTTGCTTTGTCACCAAAAATATCACTTAATTCGTCTACTGGATTCTTTTGAATTTGTGCATGTCCAACTGAGGGTGAAGAGGAAGTGGAAATGTCGTCTAGATCAATCAAGCTAATAGCAGGTGGTGGCATATCTGACAGACTGTTTGTCTCACTCTTGAATTTGCCACTCACATCATATTCAGTATCATATCGACCATGCTTAATATCTTGGTATTTTAACAAGACACCTTTGATAGTTGATTTGACTTCAGTTAATTCTTCAATCTTTTCACTGTCTTGTTCTTCTTTAAGCATATTCTTGATCTTTGGTAAAGCACTTTCACAGGCATTTTTTAGTTCGTCCATTGTGCCACCTTCGTCTGTTGTGTCTCCTTCTTTTAGGTTGGATAGCATTTCATATAATAATCGTGCTTTATTCTGAATTTTATGTAATTCTTCTGCAAACTTGTCCTTGAAATTCGTTTGATGCTTTTGATCCTGTTTTTTTTTTTTTTTTTTTTTTTTTTTTTTTTTTTTAATATTATGTACACATATACATTAAAACTTACATAACCAGTCATGATCTTCATTAGCTTATTGGCTTCGACTAAATCTTGTGGTCTTCCTCTTCGAATCAACTCTTGTAATTTCTAGTCTTCTTTAGTCTCATTTTTTATTACAATCATATACTTACTGCTGATTTATCAATACGGTCTTCTTCTTCTAATTCTTGTGTGGATTTCAAAGTCTATTTATTAGTAATGAGTCACACGTGTATCATTTAATACCTCTATAGGTGCCAAAGCGGCGATTGAGGAATCACGAAGTTCAGGAAATTGATAACCTAGACCCATTTGTTAGCATAACTAATAATTTTTTTTTTTTAGTTACCTTTGAACTTGAGTAATCGATACATATCTTTAATATGAGTCATATCTTCTTTATAGCGAGATAGTTCTACTAATGCTATTTTCCACTCTTTGATAAGGTATAGAATGCGATCAATGACAGGATTAGCCATACATGGCTGCATTGGTGCAAAATCAAAGTGATTCCATTGATTCTCAGGTGCTGATTGAACTGGATTAGGAGCATATCGAGTAGGGGGTCGTTCAGGGAATCTTCTTACAAGCGCATTCAAAAACTCTTTAGATGCAATCTGAAGATGAAATGGATATCCACAATTCTTGACACAATTATCCAATAACTAACACAACTAAGAAACAATAAAAAAAAAGAATGTCATAAACTTACTGTTAATGCAAGCATGGCTTGGTTTGTCTTTGTACTATTGACCAATTTGACAATAGTTTGAGCAGCTATACGAGGACTATAGAGTAGATATCAGTATTCATCTTGAGGTTGACTATACTCACGCGTTGCCTTGTTTCTTATTGATGGTCTCACAAATCTCGATATTCAAAGCCAAGTTGGGATCATACCGAGAAGGACTACATGCTCTTTCTAATGGACAGTTAGATGTGAAGAGTGTTTATTTTCCTACCAACTAAACTAGGCAAAGCACTCATCTTGAACTAACAAAAAAAAAAAAAAAAAAAAAAAAAACACACACACACACACACAAAAAAAAAAAAAGAGTGTCGGATATTCAAAGATGTAATGATGCAATATGATTCGCTTAATTGATCTTTTTCTCTCTCTCTTTCTTTTTCTTTTTGCACTATGGATGAGTATTATGACAGTATTGATTTACACATAAGATGGTCAGATAGACAAGACTTGATATTACGTGTATCTACACTTGATAGTATTTCGACTATTAAAGACAAGGTATATACTGCTTATTTTTACAGTAGAACTTATCCATCTAGATTCGACAATCTTCTGACAGTACAGGAGATAAATACATTCGACTTATTCATAGTGGCAGAGTGCTTGAAGATAACAAGACATTAAGAGAATATGGTATTGGCAAAATAGTAAGAGCAGACTCCAAAGCCAAACTGGAACCACCAGCACCTGTCTATTTCCATTGTTCCTTATCAGATTATATACCTAATACACAAAATGTAAGACTAAGATGATAGACTAACATTTAGCTTACTAACTTCATATAGAACCAACCTCAAATGACACCTCCTACTGGGTTTGATCGTCTAAGAGAATCGGGTTTCACAGAAGAAGACATTCGAAATATCAGAACACAATTCCACCGACTGCATGGTACTTCTTTTGACGATAACGTACCTACAGAAGAAGCAAGAAATCTAGAAGAACAATGGATGGATAACACAGGGGAGACATTGCCTGACGGAAGTAAGTAGACATAGAGTCCTGTGTTCAATATGACTTATTTAGTTCTTTAGCCATTCAGGGCACATACAAAGAAATGATGTGGGGACTTGTTCTCGGGTTTTTCTTGGGTATTATCTGCTTATTCTGGTTCCGTGAGTCTGTGTTTTCGAGGAGACATCAAATGGGTATTGTTGCTGGTATTTTGATCAACATTTCATTTGGCGTATTACATGTTTACTATTAAAATACTTTATATCCATTGCTTTTCTCATTTATGCAGAACCGTTATAAACAGTCACTGCCAGGGTGGCTTTATTCTAACCCTCCATTTTTGCCATTTTCTTTTTTTTCTTTTCTTTACACTGTATAATCATGCCTCGTTCAGCTTGGAAGGGTCCTTTTTTTGTTGCATTTCCTGGTTTGAAGCAAGCCGTTCAAAATGGTACTCCTATTGCCACACAAGGTAAACACTCGCAATGAAACGAATGAGCTTACTCATTTTCATCAATAGCTCGTAGTTGTACTATTTTACCATCTTTTGTTGGACTCAAATTCCTTGTGCACAACGGCAAAGACTACTTGCCAGTTCATGTTACTGAAGAAATGATTGGACACAAGTTAGGCGAATTTGCTTTCACTAGAAAGCGTTTCAGCTATCGTTTCACTAAGGCCAAATAGACACTTTCTTGCATCATTTATTTATACACACCTATCACCATCTTGCCACAATAAAACTATTTTCTCTCTCCCCTGTTTAATAACAACCAGGTATAATCTTCCAGCGACCATCAGGGAAAGTTTGATTGTATTTCGATCCAAAATGAGTATGATACCAAGTATTTGTTTCGCTTGCCACAATGGATAGATTGACAATGGTCCATACGAATCCACAGAGAATAATGTAGTTTTGGAAGCCATAGAGAATACAAAGTGAGAGATAGATCAGGATATCTGCAAAATAATGAGGTGTCACGATATATTCAAACCAATCTCCTCTTGGGATAGTATACGTGGTGTCTGTATGCTTGCGTAATGAAGCCAAGATAACATGGCAGTGGTATTGGTGATAAGACGCATAGGTAAACAAGAGAATGGCCGTGATGGCTGGTATTGTATGGCTTTTGACATGATCTGGGTGTATTTGCCACAGATCAAAAGCAGAAGATGCACCTTCTAACCAGGTACCAAGCACCATAGCTCCATAAAAGCCTATGCCTGCCAAGTAATGAGATACATGCATGGTGGCTGTCTTGGAAGGCTTTTCTATCCAAAAGGATTCATAGACGCGTCTTGATAAATGAATTGTCATGAGCATGAGGCCTAGTACGCATTGTTGACGTGATACATGTTGACTTGCTATAGGAATGTCATAGTGTTGTAAGCTCATCACTAAGAATAAGGGTCGCTTGTAGTATGTCCATGCTATTAATTCAATGATAGAGATAACAGCAGTCAACAAACCAACAACATAAAAATGGCTAAAGTAATGCTTTGGAATAAGTAATCTAGACAAGTATGTTGCCCAATCAGTTGTTGGTTTACTGTCATTATGTAGATTCAGTTTTCCATACGATAAAACTGATGCTCTCAATTCACTTAACCTTTGAGCACAGATACTCAAGACGGTTAGTATGAACAGACATGTGCATATAAACACAATCAAGTACATAAAGAAGAAACGATTTTTAAATGTGAAAAGCAGTCGCATGACAAGGCAAATCTTTTTCTTTTTTGTTATTATTATTATTATTATTATGCTTTCGATTGCTAAACGAAGCTTCTCTTCATGTCGAGTTCTTCTTCATGAAAACCCTTTGGTATTCATTAGTGCATACAACAAATAAGTATTCACTCATAAATAGGGGTTACCTCGACACAAATCTCCCCCTACCATACCTAGAGCTCAACGTGGTCTACCAAAGAAAATGCCTATTGCTAATGTCAAGCATGTTGTGGTAGTTGCTTCTGGAAAAGGAGGTGTTGGCAAATCAACAACAGCAGGTAAAATAACTATCGATAGATATCAAGACACTGATTCAATCAGTCAATATTGCCCTGGCTGCTGCTGGCATGAAAAAAAGAGTAGGCATTCTAGATGCAGATATATTTGGTCCATCTGTACCTAAACTGATGAACTTGAAGGGTGAACCAGAACTGACAGAGAAAGGTAGAATAACATAAACACCAAAAAACCAAGCTATATTCACAGTGTCTTAGGTGATCGTTTAATACCATTGACAAACTATGGTGTCAAGTGTATGTCAATGGGATTTTTAGTAGATCAAGATGCACCTGTTGTTTGGAGAGGATTGATGGTCATGAAAGCACTTCAGCAATTACTGCATCAAGTAGAGTGGGGACCCTTGGATTTACTTGTGATTGATATGCCACCAGGCACAGGTGACGTTCAATTGACCATCAGTCAACAAGTGGTGGTAGATGGTATGCATACAACAATACATGCATAGACTGAACATAGTTAGGTGCTGTTATTATCTCTACACCTCAAGACATTGCTCTCATTGATGCCGTCAAAGGGACCAACATGTTTAAAAAAGTGAATGTACCTGTAAGTATATAGTATCATTATGATAGGCTTATCCCGAGCATAGATTCTCGGTATGGTACAAAACATGTCCCTGTTCATTTGTCCCAACTGTCATCATGAATCTCATATCTTTGGTCATGATGGTGCTGCTCGTATGGCTCAAGATTTACAGGTTCCTTTGTTAGGTGAAGTACCACTTCATGCTGATATCTGTACATTGTCAGATGCTGGCAAACCTATTGTTGTCTCCAAACCTGACAGTCCCTTTTCTACTCATTATCGCTCCATTACACAAAATATCTTTGATCGTTTGTCTGAAATCAAGCAATAAAATGTCCCATTCGTTTGTTTGTCCTTTATTAAAGTCTAGGTTATTTATTGTTCGTACTTGTGCTTGATATCTTCCCATTGTTTCTATTAAAAAGTGTAAGTCATTGAATTGCAAGGAACAGTGACTTACGCCCTTGTTAATGTTGTTCCAGATCTTTTCAGTGGCAGAATCGAAACCCATTTCAAAGACAAGGGCACCAGCAAAGATAGAGGTGACAAAGACAGAGTTCTTCTTGAAGATGGAGCTGTAGATTGTACGAGTCAAACCAGAAGCAGGAGCAGCAGGCATTTTAAATATAAGAGAGTGGGGAGTCGTTAAAAAAAAAAGAGGGAAAAAAAATCGAGTTTTGAATAATCAAGCAAGGGATATCAAAAACGTGACGTAGACATCGGAGATAGAATACAAGGTTCTCCAATGACAAGACATCCACTGTTTGTTGTTCAGGAACTATGCATAAGCTTCGAAAACGTTAAGTGATTTAATGTGTTTTGTTTCTCTAAACAATGCTTTTTCAAAGCTATTAGAATAGTGATATGCTTAGTCAATTATGCTTATTGAAATAGGCCTCTTTTGTATTGATTACAGTGTACAATGAACTTTGAATGCAAATTTGAAGGCAATGCTCAAGTGAATTCGTCTTTTTTGTCTTAGCAAACCCGCTTTCTTTTCCTCAGAAGTACCAAGTCATGGTCTTTCCTCATTTCGGTTGGATCAGACTTACATCAGGTCATTCCAAAAAATTTCTTGATGAACTTTTTTTATCGCAGACTTCCGTGGATCCCCATGGATCGAAAACATAATCACTAGACCAATGGTACCATTGGATTCCTGGGCTCGAAGAAATATGTTTCAAATGAAAAAACGGGACCTTTTAGTAGTCTGGATATCGAGCAATGGTCCATCAAAGATTGGTATGTTTAAGCTGTGTTTTGAGCATTTTTGCTCTAGATGTCATATAAAATGTGCTATTAATGGACTCCCAAAAGCTTATTATGCTAGTTGAAGTGCCAGAAAACATATAAAAATAGAAATTTAGGCATTTTGCAAAGTGAATGTGGAACAAATGGACAAAAGATGTATATGATGACTGGAATCGAAAATTGAAATAGAAGCAATTTGGTCCTTCCTGCCGCTTCTAAAATGGAGCTTTTGCTTAGAACTACATAAAGACACAGTTTTATGACTTTGGTATAGTGACAAAAGCTATAGATCTTGACTTTCTAAATCTATTGGTGTAGAAAACGTAGTAATTTTGCTCCTAAAATATTGTGCAAATAGGCACAAATGTTTACGCCTTTTTTTTTTTGCTCCTATCATGTAACAATTAGCAAGCAAATACGTTTGCATAATTTGATGAAATCAACGACGTATCTGTTGGAGAAATGCTTTAATCATCCATATACATTTATACACCTAACTCAAAGCATTTCTTCCTGTTTCTTGGCGCCTTTTAGACCATTTTTATGAATAACATCTCTACTTTGACTACCATGTTCATTGAATTGAATGTAATGCGTTACCATAAGTCATGGCACGCACTCACTATCTGATGCGTCTGTTGTAGTGCAATTCTCGATCAAATTGGCTAGGAAATGGTATTTTAATGATCCATACCAGATCTTCAATATCTTCTAGCCCTAGAACTGTGTATTTGAGGTTGGTTTGTTCTTCTTTTGAACATGTCTTGGCTCAAAATCTAACAGCTTGTCAAATATGGATTTTCACACAATCTCTTTTTTTTTTTTTTTTTTTGCTTGTTGTCCTATTAACGAGATGTGATCCAAGTTTAACTCAAGTTGCGTCGTTGCATTTTTCAGATAAAAGGCTTCTAGATAATATATCTTGGTACTTTGTAGAACTCAGAAACACTCTTACTAAACATATGCCTCTATTTACTCAAGTCCATTTATTATTACACCAAAGCATATCAAGATACTTGATCCAAAACTCTGGCAACTAAATCCAGGTAGTCAAGACTTGAACTACATATAAAAATGTATCCATCAAATAGAAATTTAAAGAGGGAGGGGGGATATTTAAAACAATGTCATTAAAGCAAAACAAGCATAAAAGAGACCCACAGGGTAAGCCACTAACAAGCGTTGCTCGTTTAGATGAAGTACGCTAGAGAACATGCCCGAACTAGAGTAAGTACACCAAAGGATACTAATGACAGTAAGTGCAGTGCCTATAGCATTATCTAGCTTGAGCACCACACTAAATCCACTCAACATGACCATAGGCAGTAGACAATAGCCCAATACACTGGCTGTTCTTGACCAATCAATACCATTTTCTGACATCAAGTTGAGAATAAGATAAATACTGACGACGCCCATGACACCAACACCATAAATATAACCAAAATGTGCCTTTCTGGATAATAGTAAAAATGTACCAAACAAAAATATAAATAAGAGTGGTCCTGCTAAGTCTGTATCGTCCATGATAGTATGAGGTACTGTTCTAAAGGGATTCAAAACAGCAAGACTCTAAATAGATACAATGAGTTCGCTTATACAAACGCGCATACGTACCTTCGTCTTGATATGTTCAAAGTTTAAACCGAGTTCTTCTAGTAATGGTGGTTCATCTGCAAACCCACCTGTTCCAAACGCGCTCCAGAAAGAACCAGAAGAACCAGTTGGATAGTCATAAGTAGAGCGCATATCGCCTGAAGGTGGGCTGCTATAATAGTTTGTATTGCTATATTGATCACCATAGCTTGAAGTATAAAACTGTAGACCATCTCCTCCTGCTCCTCCTGTTTGTGCATAGTATTGTGTATTGTCTTGACTGTTGTCAAACAGAACAGAGTGAACAGGTTGTCCAGAAGCCATATTGTATAAAGAAAAGCAAGAGAAATGTTTTTTTAAAAAAATATATAAAAATATTAAAAAAAAAAAAAATTATGACTTCACTCAGGGTTAACTAAATTATATGTAGAGACCAAATTCAAGTTGATGTTACAATAGATATCAAAAGGTATTGTAGAGTCCTGCTTTATACGTCACTAAACATACAATTCATTTTGATTGGCTATTTTATTGTTCAGATCAAAGTCATTTGCTGTGGTGTATCTTCTACAGTTGCATTCAGTTCAATACCATCATCATCAGCTATGATTTTATCTGCTAATTGTGATTTTTCAGTTGTAATATACACTGCTGGTTTCTCTCTATTGACTACTTTACTGTCAATCACAACTTGTTTAATACAGGAACCAGGTGCATCAAACATGGGATCAAGTAACAAGTTTTCCTTTAAGGAGTCATTATGTGCTAATAAGAGTCATAAACTTACCATAATTCTTCTTAGTCCTCTAGCACCTGTCTTCTTCTCTAATGCTTGTGTAGCCACTGTCTTTAATGCAGTATTACTAAATCTAAGACGTACATTGTTGAGTCTAAACAAGCCTTCGTACTGCTTTAATAATGAATTCTTGGGTTCCTTGAGTACACGAACAAGATCTTCTTCTTTCAGGTTATCTACAGAAGCCACAACAGGACATCTGCCCACAAATTCATTGATAAGACCATAACGAACAAGATCAGACGTTTCCACTTGATGTAAGGCATCTTTGCTTTCGTTTTCTCTGTCTGATTCTGATTTGATATGTGCACCAAAGCCAATGGACTACCATAATCTGTTAGACTCCTCTATTGTCTCATCATACAACTTACTCCTTTAGATAATCGATCACTGATAATCTTATCCAGACCAATAAAAGCACCACTTAGGATAAACAAAATATTGCTTGTGTCTACAGAATACGTTTCTCCTTTACTGGGTGATCCTAATGAACCACTATTGCCTGGTCTTTTATGGTTGCTTGAGCCTGATTTGTCTGTCACATTTACCACTGTGCCTTCAAGCATTCTTAACAGAGACTGTTCTTACGTTAGACACATTCAACACTCTATTATACTTACCTGTTGTACGCCTTCACCAGATACATCACGAGAAGCTGTATGACTATCTGATCTTTTAGAGATCTTATCTATTTCATCAATAAACACAATGCCAGTTTCTGCTTTCTTGACATCAAAATCACATGACTGAAGCAATCGCTGGATCACCAATTCAACATCCTCGCCCACATAGCCAGCCTGAGTAAACGGCGTGGCATCTGACATTGAAAATGGCACTTGTAACACTTGAGCCAACGTTCTTGCAAGCAACGTTTTGCCAGATCCTGTGGGACCAATCAACAACACGTTACTCTTGTCATGTACTGTTGAATCGTGTTCTTCTTGTTTTATAGAGGCCAATAGACCTTCTTGATTGGTTTTAGCAATAGACTCATTTGAATGTGCTTCTGTGGGTGGATTTAACCAAGCACGGGGGCGTTGGCCACCTATATAAGTTTAGTCATAACAATTGATTGCCTGATTTAATTTACCAAACGACACGCTTCTTTCATTCGCTGGATATTCAATATTCTGTATTGGTAATTGTGTGGAATAATAGTCGTATGGTAGAGTAGGGTGGTGGTGTTCAGCATGAATACGTTCTTCTGCCGTTGCTTCTGGTTGTGAATTTCTTTGCTCTTTTTTTGTTGTTGTTGTTGTTGTTGTTGTTGTTGTTGTTGTTGCTGTTGTTGCTGTTGTTGTTGTTGTTGTTGCTGAAGTTGCTGTAACTGTTGCTTTTGTTGTTGTATATATTGCCTTTTCATGTTTGCTCTAACTCTGTTATAATGGTTAAATATGGCTACGGCAAGTACTTTTTTAGCTCGCTCTTGACCAATAACGTATTCGTCCAAATGTTGAACAATCTAATATATATATATATAAGTAACTCATTTTTTCCTCCTCTCTTTTTCTAACTTACTGAGCGTGGATCGGAAAGCTGAACCAAGTCCAAATGGTAAAAAGTATCTTCTGGCAAATTGGTTGTCTTGAGTGGAGGTGGTGGAGGTGAAGTAAAACTACCATTATTACCACCCATAAGACCACCGCCACTATAGTCTGCGCTATGGTATAAACGTTTACTAGAGACAGTAATGCGAGCAAAGCAAGAAGCTTTTGTGATAGGTGTATAGATAACAGGAATTATTCTCATACTATATTGTAGAAAGAAGAAAAAGAAAAGAAAAAAAAGATGATGAATCCTTTTTTTTTTTGTACCAATCGTTGTGCATTATCTTCTTTGCTTAATTCAAATTCCGTATCTAACTTCTGAATAAACGAATTGCATGATAGTTTTATTTACAACATAATTTAAAAAGTAACATGGTTTCCTCTGGCACCACCACCATTGCCGCCGAATCCACCTCTACCACCACGAGGAGCACCGCCACGGCCACCGCCAAATCCACCTCTACCACCACGAGGAGCACCGCCACCACGGCCTATAGAATGCTTTTAGTCCATCTTTTTCTTTTCAATCCATGTGACTTACCACCTCGACTATTACCACCACCACGGGAAGCACCACCACGGCCGCCACCAAATCCGCCGCCGCCAAATCCGCCGCCAAATCCGCCTCTACCACCACGAGGAGCACCGCGGCCACCACCACCAAAGCCACCACGACCACCAGCAGGCTTTGATTTCTTTTCAACCTTGCCCTGAAGACCAGTAGGCTTAAAAGCTATGACAGAGATTAGATCATGCCAAAAAAAAAGAAGCCCGCTATTACCTTTTCCAGCAACCTTAGGTTTAGGTAAGAATCGATCCATAGGTAAAAGTTTGTCTAAAGCAATGTATACTTTATCATCCACTTTGAAATTAGAGGCAGTTTGTCCATCTTGCATTTTGACAGTAAAGAAAACTTCGTTCAAAGGACCGAGGATTTCATCAATTTTACCAATTTGTGTCTTGTCTTGAAGGTAAATGGGTGCATTGAAAAAGGGCACTTTAGCATTACTGAGTTTGCAGACCATTTCTCCTTCACAAGCACTCACAAAAGAACCAGCGACTAATAGGTTGTTAATATATATATATGTGTGTGTATGTGTCCATTCAATGTTTACCAACAACTTCAGAAGGAGGACCTTGGTTATTATTGAAACCACCGCGACCTAGATCATTTAGTATCATCGTCAACTAGATAATGTTCTTACCTCCACGGAAACCACCTCGTTGACCAAAACCCATATTAAGTTGAAGAAAAAGAATGAAAAATTTGACATTTGAAGAGCAGTCATTCAAACAGATCAACTCGATTTGATGCGGCGCATCAATTGTGCTTGTGGACGTCATCATGGGCATTTTCATTATTTTAAAATGATGAATTCGTTTCTTCTTTTTTTTTTTCTTTCTTTTCTTTTCTAAAGAATTAAATATGGGTTACAACGAATGGTCTGATGATGAAAATATATCTCGTAATCATGGTAGAGATAAGTTTCGTCATGAACGTAGTCTAGAGCGTGATAGATATGGTGAAGAGTATGACCGTTATGACCGAAAGAAGCGCGGTCGACGTAGTCCAACTCCTCCTGAAGGTATTATTATATAACAGAGGAACCTACACATACACACACATTTTTCTTTTTCTCTCTCTCTCTCTCTCTCTCTCTCTCTCTTTCTCTCTCTATCTCTCTCTCTATCTATCTATCTCTCTATTTCTCTTTTTATTCTTATTCTTTTATTACTTGTCTTGATCCAACCATCGTTATGTAGACCGTCGACACAAAAGAAGACCATCTTATTCACCTCCACCAATGAGAAGCTATCCTAGGAACAATAGAGACTACAGAAATGATCCAGAAACTGATCACTATATCCCCAACTATGAGCGTGATGGATATGTTCCTGGTCCTCGGTATGGCAGTAAGCCTGAAGCACCTGCTAATCATCCTTCTTCATTTGCTGGTAATAGCAATCCCAATATGAATGCAAATGGCTATTCCATGATGGGTAAAACAATTGAATGACGATAACCATGTATTCATCATGTTGTATAGATATGGTGAACCCTCAAATGATAAATCAAGGTTGGAGTGGGGGTAATGGCAATGGCAGTGTGGGAAGGTAGGTCAGAGTGTACCTCAACTTACGATTCACAATGCAATCGATAGGTTTCCCCTTGTCGATCCCGCACAATTGGACTATCTTGTTTCGTTCAAACAATTCTCAGAATACACGAAACGCACAAGCAACAGACGCATTGACGATGAAGACATGCAGAAACGATTTGCTCATTACAAGGAGAAGTTTGCTGCTCGTCAACTGGCTCAATTCTTCACGGCCAACAAGGATAAGGAATGGTTTCAAGAAAAATATCATCCTACTATTTCTCGTCCACGACAAGAGAATGTCAAGGAACGCAGACGTCGCTACTTGAATGAGTTTCTACAGGAATTGGAAAGCGGGCAGTATGATGATGTCTGCTTTGATAAAGATAGTTCACCTACTACACAAGAAGAAGAAAATGAACCTGCAGAACCTGTGGAGACAACTGAAGACGATACAAACGCCGAATTTGAATCCAGACTTGTCATCAAAACAGTACCCCCTACGATTGCAAGGGAGAAGATTTTAGAGGTAAGAACCATTCAAGAAAACATAAATAACTCTACGGATTAGATGTGTAGCAAAGTAGAGGGTTTTGATTATCTCGCACTTTCAGAACCTAGTCCAAACAAGAAATTCCATCGTATTGGATGGATCAACTTTAAGCCAGGCACAGATATCAAAAAGGCATTTGAGCAATTGGACAATCAAAAAGTGGATGATTTTCTTTTCCACTTGGCCATGAATCGCAAAAACACACCTCAGAATCGTGTGCCTCGTATTGCTCCTGACATTGCCAACACAACAGAGCGTTTACAGAAAGATTTAGAACAAGCCAAAGAGCTTGCTCTTGCTTTAGAGGCTTTGTTAGGTGAAGATATGCCAGAAGGCTTAAAGGCTGTGGAGTCGCGTGCTCAGACACTGACAGATGTGCAAGACCCAGTCAAAAAGACATTAGATATGATCATTGCTTACCTAAGACGTGTGCATATGTATTGTTACTATTGTGCTCTGGAATGCGATTCAGTTGAGGAATTATCAAGAAAGTGCTTTGAGCCACATTGTCGTACAACCACTACCTCTGCTGAAGATTCCACAACAGACCCCAAGCAAGCAGCTAAAAACGAAAGAGGAAGTAAGGCATTTATTTATTTTTTAAAAATCTATATATGGCGTGGTATTGATCGTGTTTAGTTCAACAATGGGCCAAGAATCTGGATCAGAAAATTTCTTTAAAGATTCATACGCCAGACGATCGTGAAATCAAACGTTTAGGTGGTCGTGTTTTACAAGCGTAAGTGATGTGCTGCATAAAGGATAGCGTCTTACATGTTATTGTTAGTGAACTTGATGAATTTGTGAAAGAACATGTACTAAAAGAACATGAATCCAAATTTAAATGTCAAGTGGGTGAATGTTCAAAAGCATTCAAGGGTTTTGATTATGTAGAAAAGCATATTCTTTCCAAGCACCCTGAAGAAATAGACCGTATCAAGGCTGAAGTTGAATATTACAATAGTTATGTGCTTGACCCTAATCACATTATGCCCAACACAACACCCAATGCCAATCAAACCAACATGATGTCACTGCAGTCTGTGCCCTTCCACCCTCAACAATTCATGCTGACTCCTCCCAATATGCGTATGCCACCTGCTGCAGCTATGGCTGGTACACCTTGGGATCAAATACCTCGCGTTGGCTTTGGTGGTGGTGCTGATACCTGGGGTGCTACTGGCAGAAGATCTCGTCCTGCAAGTAGCAGTGCTGCTTTGATGATGGATTTGGATGAGTCTATGCCTAAAGATCCTCGTCAAGTGAAGTCTTATGTTGACCTAGATGCTCCTGCTGAAGGCGATGCTAATATTTCATTCTATTAAGCATTCGTATTATATATATACAAAGAATAAATCCAATGTCTTTTTTTTATTATTATTATTAGTATTATTATTATTATATATACAGTTTTTAAAAATGTCTTGAATCACGACTGTGTCTGTTTTGTGCATCGTTTACAAGGCTGTTGATATTCCGGACTGGATCCCTTCTAGATGATGAAGATGAATTATCTCTACGTCGTTCTTCTTCTCGATATCGCCTCATTCTATCTTTGTCTGCAGCATGCTATTTGAAACAAAAGGTTAATGGGTTGTACACTATCAGATAATACTTGCATCCATCATGGCTTTTTCTCGAGCACTTATACTTTCAGGCCAGTTTCTGTGTTGTTCATGACGAGATTTCTACAAGACAATAAGTAAAAGACAACGCAACATCATCCACCCTTACTTGGACGCCGGGCCTCTTTCGGTTGATAAACAAGCTTGATTTGTTGTTATGGTTATCGTTTCCTCTCATGGAGTTGTATTCTGCCATAGAAACTTTCTTCTTTTGCATCGAGTTTGAAGGTGCAACAATAGGCACACCACGACCCGCTGCTTTTTTCTCCATACGCACTTTGTCTATAAATGATTTGTCTTCCATAACAACATCCTCATCAATAGTGCCTCTCTTTTTCGAATGCAAGAGCTCAAGAACAGGCGATGCTTTACGCTTTTCACCCACAGTCTCTGTCTCTGAACCCATATCATCCGGTAATGACTTTGGTCGAGCAATTTTGATAGGTCCTTTCTTTTGTGGTAGGGTGCGTTTTTTAGTGATAACAATATCTTTTTCGAAAATGTTGCTGGGTATCGATGTATTCTCCATTCTATGGCCAAAATAAGGGTATTTGCACTACATAGGTAAGCCTTATGGTGAATGACAGGATGTACTTACTTCAGTCATTAATTTTCGATGGGATGCGTCGCGTACAAGATCTCCCCAATATTCACTATTGGATAAAGAGCGAGCGTTGCCCAACACAAACAAAGAACATTTAGCACGAGTCAAGCCTACATTCATACGTCTCACATCCGCCAAGAAACCAATACCACGGCCTAAAAAAAAGTTATGAGTGCGACTCAATAACTTGAAGTAACTGACCTGATCCAGCTCTGACACATGAAAAGATGATGATTTCTTTTTCTTGACCTTGGAAACCATCTACAGTATTAAAATCAATTACATCAATGATACCATTGCCAAAACGATTGCGAAAGCATGATTTCAATTGACTGACTTGCTGTTTATAAGGTGTAATGACACCAATTTTAGAGGCAAACTAGTGAAGACATAAGACAACTAGGTTTGTGAGGGTCAATCTTACCTTGATGGTAGGGAATCGAGTGCACAACATATCAACAAGAGCAACAGCAGCATCTGCTTCTGCCACATTATAGATAGATTTGCCTCGGCCTACATTTTCCTGACCACGAGAGACATTGAAGAAATGATAAGGAGGAAATTCAGGCATTGTGTGCCATACAGCAGATGAAACAGTAGACATGTTGGGTCCATCTAACAGTCGAGACTGATAAAACATCTTGCTAGGAAATCGACTGATATCAGGGTGCATACGATATTGAATACTACACCAATGTCAATAAAAAATAAATAAATAAAAACATTACCTTAGAAGATTGACTTCTTTCTCCACAGTCTTTTCTAGTCTCATAAACAAACTTTGCTGATAATCATATTTTGCAGCCAATGTAGACATAACAGTAGGTGGCAATTGATTAGGATCTGTAAACAAAAAGAAAGAGTGAGTGTGTCTTTGATTAGGTTTTATACAGACATACCGCCCACAAGGATACATCGTTGCGTATCAAATTTTAAGGGAATCAAAGAACTGATTTCAATGGACTGAGCTGCTTCATCTACAATGACCGTCTCAAAAGAAACACCCATAGCCGTCAACATATCATGCCCGCTACCACTGAGTGTTGCACACACAACATCTGCATTAGCAAACACTTTTTGACGTGCACGGAGTCGTGAAATTTCCATTTCTCTGCCGTGATTCTTTTGATCTTGATATGTATCTTTCAATATGATTCTGGTCTTGACTAACTTGGCACCCAGTGCTTTTCTCTTGTCTCTCAAGATAGACATCTTGACCATATCACTTCCTGATTGTGTAATTTCACGATCCACATCATCCAGACTGATTTGAATGTTGCGAATATCTTGATGCAAGCTTTCTAATTTGGCTCCCCATTTTCCACCGGTGGCTGAATTACCGCCTGACTCATCCATTTCAGCTTCAATCAGTCGTTCCAAGATACGGTCCTTGACGCTAGCATTGACAGAGTCTGCTACACCAATTCTGACAATGTTAGGTGCACGCATACCATTGGAGGTCATGACGCCTTCTTTAAGTCGCTTGGCAATTTCGTCAACAGCAGCATTACTTGGAGCACATACAAGGAGTTTACCAGCACCGTAGGGTTGGTTTGAGCTGGTTGTGTTTGCGCGTTGGTCCAGCAAAGAAACAATTAATGACAAAATCGTCTTTGTCTTACCAGTACCAGGAGGACTATACATCAGAATGAGCATGAGTGAAATACCTATACTATTTACCCTTGAATGAGAGAAAACCCTCGCTTTTTCTGAATGGCAGAGATAATGGCAATTGACTGAGGCTCATTGACATCGTACCGCTCACAGTATTGTCGAATGGTTGCACTGCTGATAGTTGTCTGAGGTGATGGTTTAGGCTTAATAATGTCTTGACCTAAATCATAATATTCAAGGCCTTCTAATGCTGCGTATTCACGCATTGTCGTTGTCAAACTACTCAAAGGCGTTTACTTGTATGTTTTATCATGTTGCTGCCTACCTCATAATCTTGAGAATATTCCATGATGTCTTGGGAGACAAAGAGTTCAAGAGACTGATACGATCTGTAGTAAAATAGCATCTTACTACAACTTCACCCATATTTCTTTTTTGATTGATAGAAGTGACTTTACCCAAAAACGATTTGCCCTTCCAAGCAACTCGGTCATTGTCTGCAAAGAAATGAGGCCCAAAATGATTTGCAACGCAAACCAAGTCATCAGGTGTCAAGTTGTTCGTGATGACACTCATGGGCAAGCTAAATGTAATATCAACAAAATCATTGGTGTGGCAGCGACCTTCTACAATACAGCGATCCAGCACATCGTTCTGATTCAACTGTTCTTTAGCTCGCAACAATTGACACCATGTTTCTAAAATAAGTAGTGGTTCAAATGTAGAACGGTATTCTTGAAAAGTAGCAAACGTCGAAGGTACATTGTTGTACATAGCTTCATTTGTATTGGGTGGGATTTCTCTTGATTCAGTAATATCCCAAGAGAAGATTGCCTTGAATAAACGATCAATGCTGGGCGTTATCTTTTGTCGACGCTTCTGTTCTTGTACTTTGGCCTTGATTTTACGGTCCAAGTAGTCATTGGTAATAGGTGTCTCTAATAACTTGGTAGTACGCTTAGGTTTACTTTCAAACAATGCTTTGACACTAGCAGATTCCGCTTGAATTTGGTTATGTTTGCCTTGAACAGAAGGTCCTGAATCGCCCATATCATGAATTAAGTCCCATAAGCCAGAATCATCTTCTGTTTCTTCTTCTGATGAGGGTTCGGAATCAGATGAATTATCGCCACCATAGCGTTGTCGTACGACACCTGCTGCAGAAGGGGATTTAGCAGCAGCAATTAAACGACGTTCTGCTCGATGCTCTTCTCTCAAGCTTCGCATTTTGGAAGAGAAACCCATAGTGGGAGGACGCAATTTGCGCCCTCGGCTAGTAACAGCAAATGTAGGCATTTTGTTTTCAGGTGGATAGAAACGAGCTGTACTTGTTGTACGAGCAGGCTTAACCACAGTAGGCCGTGGTGCATCGGCTTCAATGTCCATGGGGTCATTTTTGTTGGTATGCAATGTATCTGTATTTGGTTCTTTGGGTTCAGGTTTAATAAACCATTCATCAGGCACTTGAGATAAATCTGTATCACCATACAACTTGTCAAAATCATCTTCATCGTCTGAAATTACTTGAGGTTCTGACGATGTAGCTGCAAAATATCTAGTAATCTTGGGAGTTGTTGTTGCAGGACGAGTAGGGCTTTGTAGAGTAACCTTGGAGAAACTCTGGTCTAAAGTGGTTTGTCGTTGCTTTGCTGATTTTGTTGATTTTGGTGGTTGTGGTGGTGGCTGTGGTGAAGGTTCTTTGATGGTCTGCCATTCTACATCTTCATCATCACTTTCGTCCTTCATAAAGATGAAATTGGTAGGTTCATGAGCACTTAATGCTGTGAATAACTTGGTGCGATCTTCATCGCTTAATTTGCTATCATTGACGCCTGTGGCTGCTGTCATTAATCGATCATAGGCTTCTACTGAAATCTTGGTTTCTGCTTTCTGTAATACCTTGAGGATATGAATAGTGAGTGGCACAAGCCTTGAGATCATGTCTTGCCGTGTCACATAGATCCAATGCGAAAGAGAATCTGTCATGGTATTGATATGATCATAAGCCAAAGTGATACGCTCTTGGTTTGTTGTTGCTTGAATTGCTTTTTCAAACAGTTGCTTCGAATTCATCAGGTTTCTGGCAATGTCGAGCACAGGCACTACCAAATTGACGACGGCTGAGGGTTTGTATTTAGTTGCCCAAACTAATCCTTTTTCTAAAATGACACTGACTGTACGCCAACAGATATCCCAAAATTCACTCAAGACGCCATCCTCATCCTGAACTTGATTTGAGAGGGTTGGAACGTATTCCATCAGGATTTCAAGCTGAATGGCTAGAAAGGAAGCAAGTGTAGGTACAGATCGAAAGACGTCTAACTGAGGTGCATTTGTCAAGGTTGTAAATTCTCTTAAAATCGAATTGAATTCTTCAATCACTTTAAATGGCTTGGATGCATAGAAAAAGTCGTGGTAAAGATCATAATCACTCATGACTCGGGGTTGTTGCTGTATAAAACTGGCTGCGTTTTCTTTGATTTCTGAATAAGGAGAACACAACAGATGAAGAATTGGCTTCATCATGCTGTCATTGTCTTGAAAAAAGAACTTTCTTATGTTCCAATCGACTTTGGAAAACACTTGAAGCATTTTGGCAACAGCATTACGAATGTGTGCTATTCTGCCAAGCACTTGTCTGCCTTCTGTTGATTCAGCCAAAAGACCAGGTATATCCATCGAGGCAACATTAGCATATGCTTTAAATAAAATAACGCCTAACCAAGGATACTGCTCAATGTTTCGATTCGAAAAGGCCTTGATGGAAATCCAAATCTTTTCATAAGGCGATTGTAGCTCTACGGGTGCTACATCTTCCTCTATAGAATCTTCGAGTTGATAGACTGCATTGAATGCTGCAATTAAGCAGCTTGAATCTCGATCAACGAGGTCTGATAAAACATCTCTAGCAACTTTGGGCATATGTTGCACCAGTGCAGGCAATGTGTTTTCGTCTTTGGCTGCAAATTCAATCATTTTGGTAATATATTCATTGATCTTGTTGACAGGCACAGAATTATCAGCTAAACATTGGTCAATGATTTGTAGACCTAGTTCAGCGCAATAAGCTCTGCTCATCACCCCCCATGTGTTCATTTGAAAGTAGCCAAATGTTGTATCCAGTATTTTGTCTGTAATGTCTTTTTCTACATGCGTATGTCGTAACGAAGACCAAAATGGATAGATCCATTCCAGCATACTTTTGATCTTAGCCATCAATTTATCATCTGGATATGGACTACCATCTCGCTGTAATATTTTGCCTGTATTGCCTTCTCGAGCAATCTTCATGGCTGTCTGGAACACAGTGTGCTCGCAAATTTGTTTGATGATATCGTAATAGGTGCTGCTCTTTTTTGATAATTTACCCCAAAATCCAACCTGCATCTTGAGTAACATGGCTGTCATTGTCTTGAGGATTTCTCCAAGCCATTCTGCTGAACTCGAGAGTTGGGCTTGAATTAAATCAGACATAGATGTACCCGATTCTTCAAGGCATTTGAGCAGCAGATCCGTCTGCGCCATCGCTGAAAACAGTCGAAATGCTTTCCAAAATTCACCCAAGTCCTGAGTGATTGTGAAATGACAAGCCTGGATAATATCTGTAAATTCGTCTTCTTTTGCAAATGATGTGAGCATGCCGAATATCAAATCTTTGACCTTGACATAATCCTGTTCAGACAAAACATAATGATCTGCTGTAATGAACTTTTCCAACAATTTTCTCGACCAAAATCGTACAACACGGTGGTGATAAAATGTCATACGAAAGATATGTGTGGCTGTCTCGGTGCCAAAAGTAGGAAAAGAGCCTGTTTGCTGAATCAGGTTGAACGTCTTACCGAACACTTCGTCTAGCGCGTTGTCTTGAAGTAACTGAGGTGCATAAATGACCTCGAGAATAGCACACATGATTTGACTTGTCATGCTAAACTTTGTCTGTGTCTGAAGGGCATATAAAACTCGATTGGTATCGAAGCGTTTGATGCCTTGAAAGAAATCTTCTACGGTGGCTACTGGAAATGTGTCTTCGTACCTAATTTTGCCAAACGTTAGCTTCCCAATTACTACGCAGCAAGCAAGTATTACTTTTTTCTTATGACGGGTTTCGATGTTTGATAGACTTCTACGCAGGTTGTACATGACTGAAGTTGGTTATTGAGCTTTTGTTTGTATTGTACAATAGGGTCATGATCAGGTAAAGAGAACAACCATAAAGACTCTTGTGCGATAGGCTGTGTTGTTTTAGTACACCACCAGTGATTAGCAGTAGGGGACAAAAGATATTTTAGAGCCACGTTAAAAAAGTCAGTTTCGATATCGGCGTCCCCTGGGTTGTTTTGCTTTCGTTCAAGCAAAGCCAATATCTCTTTTAACTGTGGATCTTGACTGCTCATAGTAACAAAAAAAAAAGAATAAAACAAAAAAAAGGAATGACAGGTAGAAAGCATAAACTCTTTCTAGTGACTCCCTTTTTTGATGAAAAAAAAAAAGTACGCGTTTTGGCACGCGTTTGATTTTTCAAGTATGACAAAGCAATGTATGACACTAAAATATAATGAGTAAAAGTTTATTTTCAATGCATGTATAAAAAAAAAAAAAAGGAAACAGAGAGAAACTTTAAAGTAAGAGTTTAACCAAGAGGTTTTTGCTGAGTGGTATCATAAACACGAATAATCTTGGTTTGATCATTATCATTTTGAGAGAAAGCATAACCACGGTTTCTCTTAAGACGTTGTATCCGACGCACTTTGTTCACAGCTTGTCTGAAACGATCCATACGTGGTCTATAATCTGGTAGATTGTATTTCTGAATTTCTTGAACAAAATGGTATGGAAGAGGACGATACATTCTCTTTGTACTATAGACTGTTGGTATATGTTATGGTTTACAATCGGATGACTTACTATTTCCAGATTAAATCACGCAAGTTACAGACAAATGGAACAAGCAAAACAAACAGCCAAAAGTTGACATTTCCCCAAAGCATAGGAACAATGCCATAATATTCAGGAAACAGATCAACAGAGACGGCTGGACCCAAAAATGCAACTACAGGTAAATAGATAAACCAAATGATCATGGAGCCTGGAATGGCAATGACAGTGTACTTTGTCCAAACGCTGGTTATCAGATTAGTTCATGCAACTAGAAAGATATAGTCACTTACTCTGTAATCAAAGCACCTTTCCATAAGATACAGCCAAGTACAGCAGTAAACACAGCTGTACCAGCCCACCATTGACCACCTACTTGACCATTTCTAAAAACACCGTCTGTGCTTAAACATCCAACACCCAAGAAGAATAAGATCTAATGCACGTCAATGACAAGAATAATGAATAAAGATGCTTACCAAAGAATGAAATACGGCATTAGCAAACCAACCCCAGAATTTCTTTTGGTTAAAGAATTCATTGGATTGGCCAAGCATATACATTTGAGGATACTTGTCCAACATTCTAGCAGACACAAATTGATCGAAAATACCAATGACCAAAGGAGGCAAAAAAGTAAAGATCACATTGAAGCAAGACATGGTCCAGGATTCATATAATGTTGAACCGGAGAACCCGTTATAAAATGCATACTATACCATGGTCAAAAGAACATATCAGAAAAGTTAATAGACTTACCCAAAACTGTGTCAAATACATGGCTACGTTCTTGTAGAAGTAGTAAAAGATCATTTTACTAAGACGTTGGTAGGCCCAAGCACCATGCACCAACAGCAACTTTTTCAAATATCTAAATTGAGAAATAGCAAAATCGGCACTACGAGCAGCTTGAAGACCTTCAACGCCACTGATACCAACACCCACATGAGCTGCTTGGATCATAGAGACATCATTGGCACCATCGCCAATAGCCAACAAGATGGACTTGTCATATTTCTTGACTAATTTGACAACCAAGGCCTTCTGAAGAGGAGACACACGACAGCAGATGACTGCTTTGCACAGCACAGTGAGGTCAAACAAGAGCTTTTCGATGTCTTTTTCAAGTGCAAATGTCAAGGCTTTTCCGTCAATAATAAAGGCTAAGGGCTATTATGATATGAGTCAATGAAAAATATGTCATACTATGTTACCTCTAATTCTTCACCACGCTCCATAGCACTCGTAATGTCTTTGAGTTTTGACTCTAAAAAGCTCTTGGTTTCCCAATGGTTCTCAACATTACAGATAATCAGACTCATTTCTTCATTCAAGAGTTTGCAAGAATAGCCAATATTGATAGCTGTTTCTTGTCTATCACCTGTCAATACCCACACATTGATACCTGCTTCTTGTAGAGTATGGATAGTATCAGGCACACCGTCTTGTAGTTTATCTTCAATGGCAGTTGCACCCAACAAGAACAAGTTTTGTTCGATCATTTCAGCAGCCTTGTCAAGTTCGTCTGCACGATTAACAAGTGTGGTAGCAGCCTTGTCGTAGATTTGAGACCAACGGGCATATTCGTCTTCGGGAATTTCACGCATAGCAATACAAAGTGTACGGAGACCTTCAGAAGCAAAGTCTTCGAGATGCAGCAAGGTATTTTCAACAAAAGGATTGTTGTCAGAGAGTCTTTCCAGAATGACAGTATCGGCACCTTTACAGTACAACTTCACTTTACCATCAGGGCCACGGATAATGGCAGACATTCTCTTACGAGTCGAGTTGAATTCACATACATTAAGTACTTGATATTCATAATCTTTTCCAAGTTGAGAGCAAATAATAGAATTAGGTTTACGAGTCTACAGAAGGATGTGAGTTGCGGTGTTAGGTACAATTGCTGATCACTTACATGAAATTTATAGTCCAGATCACTGGCGCCTTTGACTAAAGCACCTTCATCAGGAGAAGAGGCTTGATAAGTGATCTTGTCTGATCCTTCTTGTGTTTCGGGAATAACAGTGTGACAAGTTGCTAACAAGGCCAAGAATTCATTGATTACATTAGCTGTGGGATGCGACTTGAGATGTTCCTTCAGCTGAGTAAAATTGTATTGCAAAGTAGGATCATCCACACCATCTCTGGCTTGTTTGTCTGACTCAACTTTTTCAGCATAAGAGATACCGGCAATAGAACATTCACGGAATTGCATTTCATTGCAAGTTAAAGTACCTGTCTTGTCTGAGAACACAAATTTGACTTGGCCCAATTCTTCAATCAGACTGCTACTACGGGCAACAGCAGGTGTGTCTGTCTTGTCATAATACATATCGAGATCAGACTCAATCAAGAATGATTGTACAAATTTGACGATTTCCATGGTTACCATTAAACTGATAGGGATGAAACTGTTGAATAAAATCAAAAAGGTAAGGATATCATAGCCAAAAGATTGAGCAAGTGTATAATCAGAAGCAAGTTGCAAGTAGCCATTTACATAACTTTGTTTGTAGAGCTACGATGCGTTAGTCTGGTTGTCTTTGTTCAACTGTTCTGTTTACCGAGAAAACTAAACCACCAATAGCACAACAGACACTCATAACAACCAAAATGGCAAACAAATACAGGATATTGCGGTTTGTGATACGTGTGACATTAGATACTTTAGAAGGCTTTTTACTAAAATAACAGTCTAAGTTACTAATGTCTATCGAATCCAACCCACTTACCTTGAATTTAGCATCAGTTTTGTTTCATGACCTGTAAAGATAACAATACCGTATATCCATAAAGTGTTTCGAAGTTGAGCACCACGTAACAAGAGTTGAGTAGGATCCAAAGCAAAATCTCTTGATTTACCAACATCACTTAATGAGCTGGTTGAAAAGACACCATCATAATTGTATAAACGATTGTTGGGCTGTTCACTTCGAACAATGCCTTGTAATCGACTCATGTCTACTGGGTTCAGAATAGTGGCAGTCTGAGGAAGTGCCTGTTTGATCTTTAGGTTGACTTCACCATCCAGGTTACTGGTTTCAATGTAACAAAGACCTTCTGGTTCGGAACTACTGATCAAAATCAAATCTGCGGGGAAATTCTCACCACTTTCGATACGTAGGACATCTCCGACCTTGATATCACGCCAGGCTTTCTCTACAAACTGTGCTCCTTCCAACACTTTACATTTTCTGGCATTCAGTTCTGCATCAGATCGATGTACACCCTATATTGAAGTGAATATATACCAAACAAAGTCTATGTGCTTACCCAATCTTCAATGATCTCTTTAATAGCAGTAATAAACAAGACAATGACAAGAGGAGCCAACGTTGTGTATTTAGAAGTAGGTGAAATACCTGGAATTTGCTATACAAGCAGTGAGAACAACGACAACAACAAAAAAAAAGTGATTGTACCTGAATACCAGAAATAAACAAAAAGAAAAGATTAGCATATTTTGAAAACTCTTCATAAAGAAATTTGGGTAAAAAAGTAAGCGCTGTGTATTTTGCTGTAAAGACACGGTTATGAAGAAACTTTTGTTGGTCATTCAGCTCGGTATTGTTGACATGAATAATACGTTCTCCACCTTCTGTTGCAGCCCCAGAAGGTCCGTTTGATCTGCCCAATAAACTGTTGACTGTGTCCTTAAAACTCTTTCCTTTTTTGGCTGGTATGGGTTGTGGATGGGATGTGGCTCGGTGTAAAGGTATACTGCCATTTTCGTCTGCTGGTGTTGGCTGATGTTGAGTTGGGGTTCGACCTGCGATAGGGCCACGATTATTCAAGAGCTGTAAATTATCATCATCGTCTTGCACCATGGCCGCATCGTCATAAAAGGAGCCTATAAACAAGTTATTGATTTGCCCTGAAAAAAAAACTAACTTGCCTTCATCTAAAGCAAAAGATGAATCGCCTCGCTTGATCGGTTGTGGATGATGAGGAATATCAGGTTGAACATTAAGCGTGGTAGAAGAAGTAGAATTAGAGAACGGATTCGAGTGAGGGTAAGCAGGTTGTTCTTGCTGCAAGTCTATGAAAGGATCTTGTAGTGGTGATGGATAGTCGTACCGAGATTGGTTCATCCCAGATTCAAATGAGTCTTCAAACGGATTCTGACTATGATCGTTGCTATGGTTATGTGACGCCACTTTATTTAATTTTGATTGCTAGAAAACGAGTAAGATCAATCTCACTCACAGTAAAGAAAAGAGAAAAAAAAAAAGAGAAAAAAGGAAGCCAACTTTTTCTCTTCCCCTTTTTTTGTCAATTTTATTTTCGTGAAACCTTAAAAACAGGAACACAATAGCTAAAGAAAACGTTTATTTTTTTTCTACAGAAAAGCAGTGAAAATCATTAACATAGACAAGGTAAATACAAAGCCTGAAATAACAACAACAGGTGTCAATAGACCATAAAGAGACCAAAGTGATAAATTGAAACCAAAGAAAGATATGACTGTGCTCAGACTGGCTATCTGAATGTATTTTCGTGTTGTTGGATTTTGCTGCCAATTTTTGTATTCAGCTCCTTTGATCTGAAGTGTAATAAAAACCCCACAAATAGCGATAGCTGCTAAAGAAGCAATGTAGAACAAAATACCACTAAATCAAACGAAATAGCATGAATACATGTGTTTGTCTGTTGTTTATATACCAGTGCTCACTCAGGCTGGAATCAGAAGAAGCCGAAGCAAAAAACAAGACAGCAAAAGAAACAGCAAGCTGAGGCAAGGCTGAGATAATTTGTTGAATAGGGTGTTTGTTTATTCGTTTTGACTTGCTTGTATCTTGGGGTGCATGATATCTATGCATTGCTTAAAGAGAAAGAACAAAACGCGCTTTTTTATCGGAGACTAAAGCACACTGATAGGTATAGACAAACAAATGAGTTTTTAATTAGTTTAAAGTCCATTTTAAGGCAAATTACACTCTTTGTAAGACTACCGCGCATGCTTTTTTTCTTTTCTTTGAAATAGTAATTTAAAGAGTAAATTGATTCAGCTTCATTTGTTCTTTAATTCCCCTTTTGGTGGCAGTTTTTCTGACTTGGAAAAAAGTGGTTTTTATTGTTTAGCCTTTAAGAATAGCAAGGCAGGTGAGTCACTATAAGTTTTACACTTTCTTTCTTATCCTTCACTTAGACTAATTGCTTGTCTGGAAATCGAATCGTATACAATGTAGCTGTATTAAAATTAAGTTCTCCTGACTGTAGACTAATTTTACTGCATTTTTTCATTGTATTCTCTTAATCAAAATTATATATGATCACTACTTGACAATAAATGTAGATAATGATTCACATACAATAAATATGATGTCTTTTTTTTTCGCTTTTGTTTTTCTTACTTTAACTAAAGCATGAATCAAAATCGCTCCACTATTGTTTGTAATCGCTTTGAGGAATTCAAGCGAGTAAGTGTGATATAGATCATGCTTGATTTATAATAACTCATCCTATTGGGTAGCTTAGTTTGCAGAATGATGCTACATCCAGGTAAACTCGTATTTTTGTGATTTCTATGACCATTAAAACCAGAGGGAAAGTGTGCCACAGGAAAGCAATGTTGCTATATTACAGGTGGAAGAAACACATGAGCAAGAAGCAGTGAGTCGGAGTCTATCTGTGGATCACAATGATAAGTTTTTAACAAGCTCCTTTTCTAAAAGTGTAAGCAGAGAAACACTAAGCCGACTCCGTGGATTTAGCTAACTTGTCTCTTTTCAGGTGGAGTATGTCAGAGAACTGATTAGGAACATCAACAAAAATATAACAGATATTGAATCTATACATACATCTATCCTGTCCAGCATGACTTATCATTATTCAGCTGAAATCAATCAAAAATTAAAACAAAGAGTTCAACACACAAGCCATCTTAATAAAAAGGTTAGAGAATGTTTGAAAGGTATGAAATAGTATGCTTGACTATGCTACTCACTCTTTGTTCTAGCTCTAGAGATGGAACAAACCAATACGCATGATTCACAAGCGCAGGTAAAGTATAGTCAACCAAAAGACAATGTGTTTTAACTATTGATTAGTTGCAAGCACTCAAGGATAGTTTTATTCAGTCTATTCAAAGATATCAAGATATTACAAGAAAGTTTCAAAACAGACAAAAGAAACAGCTTGAAATACAATTTCTTATCATGAAGCCAGATGCGACTATCTATGAAGTTGAACAAGCCATTCTTTCTGATGCAGTTCCTGGTTTGTTCTCTCGATCTGTAAGGGGATTGAATATATGCTTCAAGCAAACTTATGTATAGACAATGTATAGCTTTTAAACAGGTCTAAAGATGCTAATAAGGTTTTGGAGCAAGTCTATATGCGTCATCAAGACATCAAGAGAATAGAGAATACAATCCAAGTAAGTATTTTTATACTGCTTTTTTCATGATCTAACAATGTATAGGAACTTTATCATTTGTTTTTGGATATGCAAACCATGGCTCAAACACAACAACCATCATCATTACATTCTGAAAAGGCACTGGAAGAACCTTCAAATGACTTGGAAAAGGGTGATAAACATATCTACGTTGCTGTACAAAGCAAAGAGACCTATAGAAAGGCAAGTAAAAATAAAAAATCAAGCCTGCTTTTTATGATGTGTATTTATATATATATATAGAAAATAGCTTATTTATTGTGTATATCTACTATTTTGTTGTTTCTTGTTGGTCTCTTGATTTGGTGGTGGTGTTCTCTTATTGTTAATACAAATAATAATTAATCAAGTTCAGGTACAATTAATTTGGAACTATACAAATCATAGTTCAATTTGATACAACACAAATGATGACAAACTTTTTTATAGACTAGTTGACTACTGCTTTTTTTTTGTTAGACACACTTTACAAGCGTATTGCTTATACACTGAATACAAACAAAACCGTACAAACATTTAAAGAAAAAAAAAAAGCTGAAGTAAAGATCGACTTACTTTAAAACTCAATTCATGATGACACACCAAAGCTTCTTTTTCTTTTTCTTTTTCCTTATCTTTTCTTTTTTTTTTTTTTTTTTCAAACAATGTCAGAGTCAAAAGCTGTTATTCTTGTTGGTGGTCCTTCCAGAGGCACTCGTTTCAGACCTCTTTCACTTAACTGCCCTAAACCTCTTTTCCCTGTTGCAGGTCGTCCCATTATCTCTCATCATCTTGATGCTTTGTCCAAAGTCAATGGCTTAAAAGAAGTCTTGATTATTGGTTTATTTGAAGATAAGGTCTTTGCTCCTTATATCGATAATGCAGCTATTGAATTTCCTCAACTGAAAATTCGGTAAGAGAAACAGGACTTTGTGTATGCATGGTTATTCATAGGTTTACGCGTCAGTTATCTTCATGAGTATCAAGCTTTAGGTACAGCAGGTGGCATTTATCATTTCAGAGATGAAATATTACGTGGACACACCAAGCAGTTCTTTGTGATGCATATTGATATCGCTTGTTCTTTCCCTTTGAATGAAATGGTTGAAGCTCATAAAGGTCATCGAAACATCTGTACTATGCTTGGTACTAAAGTAAGTAAACATATATTAGTTTCCTGTAGACTGATATTATTCGATCAGGTGCCTCATAGTGAAGCCACCAAGTATGGTAGTCTGATTGCTGATCCTCAGACCAACCAAGTACTTCACTATGTTGAAAAGCCAGACACGTTCATTTCTGATTTGATCTCTTGTGGTGTCTTTTTGTTTGACGTGACTGTGTTTGCTGAAATGAAAAAGGCCTTGGACAAGAAAGAAAGTCAAGAACAAGGTGACTTTTTCTCTTCTCATGATGAATTGCGTTTAGAACAAGATATTTTGAGACCTTTGACAGAAAACAACAATCTTTATGTTCATGTCACAAAGCAATTCTGGAGACAGATCAAGACAGCCGGGTAACATACATAGAATGATTGAGGAATGACGAAGCTTATGTTTTGATAGATCTGCTATTTCTGCCAATGCTCTTTATCTTGAAGCTGAGGCTCGTGAAGGTTCTGATCGTTTGGCTAAGAATGTGCCTGGTGGACCCGAAATCATTGGTGCTGTCTATATTCATCCTTCTGCTCATGTTGACCCCACAGCCAAAGTAAGTGAAGGAGAGAAAAATAACAAGACTCAATATATATATTAGCTCGGCCCTAATGTCTCTATTGGCCCTCGTGTGAACATTATGGGTGGTGTACGTGTCAAGGATTCAATTTTACTTGACAGTGTTCATGTGGGTGTAAGTAGGAAAAAAAAGAGAAGAAAATGATAAACTGAGCTAAATTCTCGGGATATATTTTATAGAAAGCCAGCTGTGTCCTTCATTCTATCATTGGCTGGAACAGTCGTATTGGTTCTTGGGCACGCGTGGAGGGTTGTCCAGTGCATGAAGAAGATAGTTCTATGATGAAGAATGGTGTCAAGAGTCAAAGCATTACTATCTTGGGTTAGTAAATGTAACTGAAACAATAGACTAATTTAGTCTCATAGGCAAAGATGTTTCTGTCATGGACGAAACTATTATCCGCAACTGTATTGTGTTGCCTCACAAAGAACTCAAGGCTTGTTTCCATAATGAAATTCTTATGTAGAAAAAGCGTCACAAATGTAATAAAATTTTTAGATGCTTTAAAGAGATTATCTTGCAGAAAAAGAAATAGGTGATACCACCCCGTCCCGCCCCGACTTTGTGTTTACTGTCTCTATTTCATCTCTAAACTTTATCGTATTTTCATTTACATGTTGTACTACACTTTATAAGATGAGCTTTTATGACAAATGCTCGTGCGACACTGAATAATGTTGAATGATTTTTTTTTATTTTTATTTTTATCATCTAAAAGGGGGGGGGAGGGGGAGGGTTGAGAAATAAAATTACAGTTTTTTGAAATATACTATGATACAGGAAAGGATATAATAATATACAGAGATTTAAGCAGAAGTGGCAGTACCAGTAGTGATGGAAACATCAGGAGAAACAGCCTTACCAGTGAGACGATCCTTGACTTCTTGCCACATCAATTGACGTTCAACAGCAACACCACCCAAGACAGAAGAGTTTTCTTGAGCACGACGAAGCAAATAAGGAATAACCTCATCAATCATACCGTAGGGCAAATACTTGTAAATGGCGTAACCATGACGACCCAAAGTATAAGAAATCTGATCTTGCATACCAAACAATTGGCCGAACAAGACAACACCAGAGCGAGGCATCACACTGTTCTTTTCCATTTCTTCAATGGTCAACATAATACTATCACGGTTATGACTGGCTACCATGAAAACAATGGGTGAATTGGTGATATTTACAGTTTCACCTGTCGTTTCTTGATGTTCCTTGAGTTTGTTTAAAAGGAATTTAACACCACCATTGTAAGAAGCATGTGTGTCTTCTAAAGTGTCACAAATGGGTGAAGTGTAGCCCATGTCTTCAGCGCGCTTACGTTCAGAGACCATGTAAGCACCACGAACCAACTTGGCAGCAAAAGTGAAGTCTTCGCGCATAGACAATTCAACATCTAATTCAAGTCTACCACGAGCTGATTTGGTATACATTTGATCTAAAAAAAATTTTTTTTAGCAAGATTGTAAATTTTCCTAGTCTATAAAACTTACAAGTGTTGTAAATAGTAGGTTGTTGACTTTGGTTTTCAGTGCGAGCATTGTATTTACGTTGAAGATTGACAGCAACATGGTCAATAGCATCTTGGAAGTAAGATTGTTCAGCATCTACCATGACACCGACCTTTAATTCTTTAGCTAAGCCAGCCACTTGTTCTAAGCGAGCAATCATACGATCATAAGCTTCAAGGTCTTCAGCAGTTAATAAGATACTCTTGGCATCATTAGAAGTAGTCTTCCACCAGACATCACGACCAGGACCTTGCAAATTGAACAGTTTTCTGAACTCAATGATGTCCAAAGTAGCTTGCTTGCTTTCTAAATGAGCAATGATAGACTCACGTTGCTTTTGTTGTTCTTGAGATTCAGCCATAGGCACAATCTTGTCAATCACTTGACGAACACCTTGAGCATTAATATGACCATTGTTTTGAAGTTCTAAAAAGCTTTGATCTAAAGCAGCCATGCTTTGGTTTAAGCGCAACAAGAGCTCAGGAGGCGAGAAGGCAGTAACCTTGACGGCCACCATCGCATTGTTTTTAGCACCTTGAGCGGCGGTTTCAATAGAAGCCTTGATCATCTTGGTGACAATATCTGCCTGTTGTTCATCACGAAAGTACTTGGACTGACCTTCTTGAGGTGCTTGGTTGTCCAGATGTAAATCAGCTTCAATTGACAAATCAAGAATACAATTGATACCCGATTCAGCAAGCTTATCCATACTCGAGACACATTCCTCAGGGGTCTCACCACCACAGAAATGACGGAAAAAAGTTTGTTTGACGAACCAATAGACGGGTGCTTGTAGATGAAGTTTTTCAGATGCAGCGATAAGATAAGGAGCAGCATCTACGAGCCAGGGCAAGGCACAGAGACGATAGACGAAAAGAGCCATGGCTAATTCTTCAGTGCTCTTGGCTTCAACGGCGATACGGTTCGTCTTGTCTTGTAATTCAGATAAAGTGATGGCAGGCGTAGATGTACCAGTGGTAGCAGCAGCAGTAGCAGCTTCAGCTTGAGCAATGCCTTGAGAGTACATGTACATGGCAGAAGTCAAAAGAACACTAGCGGAAATTGACTTGAAAGGCAAGCGAGACTTCACTTGTTGATGTTGAGTACTGAAATGTCTAGGAGTCAGACATGGTGGTCGAGCAGGAAGGGATTTAACTGCAGCAATGTTGAATGATGAACGCAATAAAGGAGCACGAGAAGCAATTCGGTACATATAAATTCAATGAGATATAGCAAGTTTAAAAAAAAAAAAAAAAGAAAAAAAGAGAGAGAAATACCTGATTTTATATATAATTTTTCTATCGTTTTCCACCAATAAATGGTTCGGAAAGCATTGGAAAATGTGGGGGGAAAACAAGAAGATCTCAGCTTCAATTTCCTTTCAATCTAAAGCGTGGCACGAAATAACTTTATTTGGCAACTTCCCACCGTTTGAACCAATCACGGACTGTGCTACTACTGTGCCAACTTTGTTTTGTTGACAGGCTTGTATTCTAAAAGGTCATTCTTACATGGTATAAAATAATGGATTTTTTTTATTTTTTTTCTCTTTTTTTTTCTCCCTCTCTCTTTTATTGTTTGTTTCTTTCTACTCTCTCTTTGTTGTCTAAAACTCATTTGTCGCCATATTCCGTGATAATCTAAAATTTATTTTCGGTAATTTGTACACCGCGCACTTTGGTTTGTTTTTTTCATTTTTTTCAGTCGCGCGTGGAATTGATGTCAGGGCGAGAACTTATTGTGTTTGGAAACAAGCTTTTAGGTTTGATTGTGTACTACGTTACACTTAAATTCAATCAATACAATTTTAATAAAACTGCTTCAAAATAAATACTGAGGAGAGAAAGAAAAAAAGATTCCTTATATGTGTGTACCATCTACGCCTATTTCCCAAAAAAAGAAAAAAAAAGTCCCGGGCAGAACCATGAATAAAAGATCATCGTGAGAATTTAGGATTCATAGCCCACTCTTTTCCTATCTTCGATAAAGGAATCGCACTTTCAATTGTACAGAAGATAAGAAAACAACAAGCCCCGCTCTTTATTGTTCATAAAAGTTTAAACGTATCAGCAAATCTTTTACAAATACATCTATGCCATGTCTGCCTTCATGCTTGATATAGAGTTCATTGAATATACTTTTGCGTGTTGTGTTCAGAATATTACCGAGTCTACCAGACCCTTTTTGTTCAAGTAAGGTCAAGACATGTAAAAAGACAGTCATGTTCTTTTGAAACTGCTCAAATATTTTGCGACATTTCATTTCAAGCTTATCTTCATGTTCAAGTGTGGTGGATCTATAGTCATCCAGAATTACACCAAACAAGATGATATCCTGTAAGACAGAGATCAGCACTTGCATAATACGTGTCTGACTCTGCTTTAGAAAACACTGAAACAAGATACAGTCTAATACATGTTCATGGTACTCTCTAAATGCTTGTGGTTCCATAATGACCGAGACATAATCCATCACCCGCCCTTGTCTAGGATGGCTGGACTGCATACCTTTAACATGTTGCATAAAGGGTGTCCATGTGCCTCGTATGACTGAATCATGAACATAACTCGACAAGCCACTGATGAACCGGTCAAACTGGAATCGGTATCGGAAAATCTTGTCACGCGTACTCGTACGGAACCAAGCCAGATGCCTTAATGGTTCATACATTCGTTTGGTTAATGTCTGTACCCGTACAAGTCGAAGTAGGAAACTGAACATGCGGTTGTATTTGGATAGAATAGAGGGCGTAATGACGATACCAAATGGATATTGTGTTTCATAGACTAAGTCTAAGAAATCCAATGCTTCAATGCCTTTCAAGAAAAAAAAAAATCATGAGCCAATGATCATGACATGTCTGTACTTACTATTTGGGTTTGTATCATCAGATGTCTGGCAATGAAAGCTAACAAGGTCATCCTGCTGATGCAAGGATGCTTCTAATAACACATCTCTTAATGCCATAGTGAGTGTAAATGTCTTGGGTGGCCAACTTTCTTTATCTATATCTATCTTGTCTGGACTGCAAAAGAAGACAGATTTGAGGCCATTCATGAATGTACCATCACCCAGCAAGAAATAACGATACAGGCAAGATAGATGGGATTCCAGTTTGAATTGACCAAGAAAGCAAGACATGAATGATGCATTTAATACTGGACACCATGCCTGTAATGGCCGAATATAGCTCTGTAAAGTAATGGTTTCTAAAGTGGGTATAAAGCATGACTGGTTGTCTTGATGGTATTGAAGAATGGCTTGAAGAGTAGATGAAAAACCATTGGAGAATGCATCATGTTCATTCAGGAGAGGAAGTGTGGGGATGGTGTCTTGCATTAGGGTATCATGATCTATCACTTGAGGTGGTCTAGGCATATCTAAAGGTGATTTGCCTGCATTGTACCTTTCAATAGCCTTCTTTATCTTGTCTAATTGTAGCATATACCTGTTCGAGTCAATGACTGGTGTGTGCATACTAAATGTTACCTATCGCTTTCAGAAGGAATCAATCTGTGTCTTAGAGAAAGAGAATCATCCAACTGAAAAATAGGGTGATTGGGTCTGGATATTTTCAACAAGTAAAGTGAAATGCCAGATCGAAGTAGATACAAGGCAAAATGCCGATGAATAAAATAAGGCAAGACAGTGTCCTCTTGAACCTAACTAGGTCAATATAGACACTTGTAGAATAAAGTAAAGATTTTTTTACCTGGTATTTGTTCAAAATATCTGTGGTATCTTCTCTCACTGAAATAAAGAATTCATGCCATGGGTCTTGTTGATCATAATCAGACCCATTTAGATGTAACCATGAACTCAACATGTTTAAGTAAGGTACACTGGTGTAACTTTGGAGGGTTAAGCAGATATCACGATATAAAGCAGAACTTCCATTGGATGCTAAATCGAATTGACTTGCTTCTTCATACAACAGATTCAGCAAGGCTGCACCAAAAGGTAAATTGAAACCTTGGCCTTGTATTTGACACAGTGTACATAGTCTTTCTAATACCATAGACAGATGCTCAATGTATTGATAGACTTTGAGGATCGTTGTCTCTTGAGAGAGTGTCTGGACAATGACATGTTGTATATAGACATGTAATTCAGCCAAGCAGCAACCAAAGGCTACTCCTGTAAGTCCATATTGCTTTGGTTGGGACTGAAGTTGATGCGCTACATGCTCAATGGACTTGAGTCGAGTACCAAACAACAAAATATGCTCAATGACAGGTTCAATGGCTGTACTACTGACACCTAGAATGCGAAGATGAGGTACTCGTTGCTTTAGCTTACCCTGTTCCCAACAAAAATACATGGAAGGCAACCCAACCATGGCTTGTACAATACTTTTGGCCAGATCGGTTTCATGAATGACTGTCGTATTCGATCGTTCTACCAGTGGTTCAAATAAACTAACAGGTGCTTCAGAGATAAAAGGCGTCCCGATCTTTCTTTTTGCGAGTTGTGTTTGGGCATAGGAAGGAAAATGCGTATTGTGTGTGTCCCATGAGTGAGTATTGAACATGGTGGGTGGTAGTATGCTTGTCATCCATACATCCTGTTCTTCTTCTTGTTCTGTTTCGCGTGTAGTCGTACTTGTTGCGGTACTGACAGACTTGTTGTCAGATGGATGGTGTTCAACATGATTTATGCCAAAAGGTAGATCAGGTAAAGGTTCTAAACGAAGTTCTTTGTCTTCCCAAGTAAAATCTATTTAAGTCTATTAATGCGATTAAAAAAAACAAGAAGCTTGATTCAAACCTACTTGAGATCAAGTCTGTATTGTTTTGCCATTGTCTAGTATTGAATGTATTTGAATCAGTTGAATGAAACATAATTTAAAAAAAAAAAAGGAAGAGAAAGTGTCTCTCCTTTTTTGCACAGTGCTGGTAATGCGGGGAATGAACTATGCAGATAAGTTATGGCCTGTTTTCTGCAGGAGAGGCGATTGTAAGCTCTTCTAGTACCTGTTCATCAGTCTCAATGTTTGCCTATATAACAAGAAAAGTAAAGAGGCTTGTTTTCAAAGCAAAGATAGCACTTTCATGGCTAAAATACCCTATTTTCGATGCTTCATATAACAGAACTCGCATTCTTTGTCATTCTAATGCTATCCTAGTATTGAATCATGTATCTAGAGTGTGATGGCTATCGAAAAATCACTTTCATAGCACTTTTTGTTTTTGAAAATGTTTTGAGTACCTTATGGACTGAATTTTGAATAAAATACAAGGGGTGGTTTAGAAATGCATTAGGATTAGCTCTTATCAACTTGATGTCTCAAGTAAAATGGTCTGTTTTAGCCTGTAGAACTTAAAAATGCTATCTATTAAAAGTATTGACGAGTAAACGCGTAAAATAGCCTGAATAGTGGTGTACATTTTTTATATGCTTTTCTTAGATCTAACGCTTGGAGCTATGGACTGTCATAGAAAAAGCTGCTTGTGTGAGGAGCTACAGATGGGTTTTTTTTTTTGTTTTTGATACAAAATCATAAGGGTATCATAAGCTCTGCTTTCTCTGAACTGATGGTTAGACATTTACCCTATAAGGCCCAGTCTTCATAACCATATAAATAAAATAAAAACTTTTGCCAGGGTATCATAAGGCATATTGGGCCAAATTTATTTTCATGTTTTAACTATTTAAACATGTTTCTTAATAATTACTGATGCTAGGGAACATATTTTGCGGGCTGGTATGAGTTTAACTGGTTCAAAAAGGAGCATAAATGACTGTGGTTACTAGTAGATTCGGATTATTTTCACTCTTTTCATCCTCTTTTCTAGGCTTATTTGGCCATTGACTGACATTTTTATCTTAAAACTTGTCATGTCACTTTTTTGAACGTAAATCAACTTGATGTTAAGGCATACAGTGCACCACCATAAGTCATGGCACGCACTCACTATCTGATGCGTCTGTTGTAGTGCAATTCTCGATCAAATTGGCTAGGAAATGGTATTTTAATGATCCATACCAGATCTTCAATATCTTCTAGCCCTAGAACTGTGTATTTGAGGTTGGTTTGTTCTTCTTTTGGACATGTCTTGGCTCAAAATCTAACAGCTTGTCAAATATGGATTTTCACACTCAATCTCTTTTTTTTTTTTTTTGCTTGTTGTCCTATTAATGAGATGTGATCCAAGTTTAACTCAAGTTGCGTCGTTGCATTTTTCAGATATAGGGCTTTTAGATAATATAGAATCATAAGCATAGCCACATTATTAACTTGCCATGATCAAAGATGATAAAAAAAGAAGGGAAAATGACTTGTTTATTTTTTATGTATGTAGCTCGTATAGATTATTCCTGGCCATCTTGACAATTTGTTTACGATCATCAAATGCTTTAGCGTACTTCAATATTGCATCACTTGCCTTGCAGCCAGTATAAGGCTAGCTTAAGTTTCAATTGCATAAAATCCTGCTGATGGCTTAAAAAATACAGTATAGGTGGTTTTTCATACTACTTGAGGTGATTCCTCTTATGGAATAATCGCAAACTATGACGAGAAACTTAACAGTAACCACACTTGGTTAGCAAGAATAAAGGTGACTTCTTCATAATTAATACAGATTTCTTATTATACCTTTCGTACACTTTAAAAAACAATGAATCAAGCAATAGAAGAGTAAAATTTTAAACACAAACAAATTTAAAGTGGCTCATGATTCAAACAGACATCAAACTTCTTGACCGAATATCTGCAGAAACCTTGTAAATCGCTCTGAAGTACACTGTTGCATGCGTCTCTTATGCGACTTGTCAAAATTTCATTCTCCAGGAGCGCTTCCCTCTTGAGTTTGCTTTTACAGACTGACCAGAATTTTTCGATCGAGTTGAGTTCAGGAGAATATGAACATGACTAACTAATATGTATGATAAGTGTGTACATCAAGCATTGCAAAGATGCAAAAGTGTCCATGATATCACATGCAAAAGTCGTCGTCAGACACACTTATTTGAAAAAAAGCCTCCAGTTATTCATAAAGGTATGGCCCATTGCCAATCAGAGTCCAATTTCTTTTATTTTAGTTTTTGCAAGTGAGCCAACAAGATTGACAAACATTAACAGGAAATACTTGTGAGGCAACTGTTTTTTGTTTGTCACAAAGTTGTTACATATGATAGGAATAGAGATGAAGTGTATATTTTGTCTAAGCATTAGTCATCCAGTTGGCCTCATAGAGTCAAGTTATCCAAAAAGCAATTCTTGATAATTTAAAAAAAGGCCAATTCGCGTTGAAAGAACTAGAGTTTCGTAACAGAAGTTTTGATGTGAACCTACAATCAACCCGTCAAAAGAGACAGCGTTCGATTTCTAGCGATGTTTGGCAGCACGGTACATCAACCCATTAACTGCTACTGACTGTAGGCCACACCAGGATATTCACACAGCAATATCAGACACATAGTAGCTAGATCTACCGCTTGCAACAAGACGCGTTGATGTCGCTCTTCTTGCCACAAGTTCAGTCTGATGTTGCGTTGGATGAAATTTAACCAGGATCTCTCAGCCCAGAACTACAAAAAGCATTATATTTTGAAATCATCAAGCTGTGTCCTTTGGAGTCTGATTATCTTGTATAAAAATGGGGATGAGAAAAAGTTTTTATTTATTTATTTTTAAATATATATGGGATGAAGAGATCATGAGACCTCCACACTCATACATATATTTTAGGGGATTTGAAACAAATATAATATTATCTCTTTCTTCATTCCTCAACAAAAAAATGTCAACCAATAAGCTAAATAAAGCAATCATGAAAAACGCGAAAATTAGAGAGCTCCTTGTTGTGAGATGAAGAGAGAATAGATATTAAATAAGAGAAAAGGCAAGAACACAGAGAAAGTCCGTTAGAACTTGTATAGATTTTTATTTCTCCAAGAAATGTTATCTTTCAATTGCCATAGATGTGATCTGGTTTTTTGCCATGATCATCATTTATTGATCTATGCATATGAATTCATATATGTTCACAACACTCCTTTATGCAGAGGCGCAAGAAAAGGCAATCAACGAACAGGTATAGTTATTCAACATAAATGTTATCCTAATAGAAACTCATTGGCAATCTCCGCACAGAGAAAAGCGTTGAAGGTAAGCTTTTAACAATTTTTTAAACTGATGACCTAGTTTCTCATCTACTTCTAAAAGAACAAGGAGCCAAAAGTGAAGCGCGTAAGTATTAATAGATCGAACACTAACTACTCTTGCTAATCCCCCTTTTCAGTTTGAAGATGTGAAACATTTATTCTATTCAATAAGCCATACAAAACCAAGGAATTCCAAGATGCTGTATTATAAAACGTAACTTCTTTTTTCTTAAAAAAAAAACTTTATATTCTAACACCTACATATGAAGCTTGTCAAAAAATCACATTCTGGACATATCAGACACAACCCGGGCTCACCACTAATGCTCTTAACAAACAACGTAAGAACTAATATCATTGAATCGTTCAAGGGTCCTGAGTTCGATGAAAGAGAACTTGAAAATGTAATGAAATTTGTGAAGGTAGGAATTTGAAAATAACTATTTGTGTAACGAACTTATCCTTTTTTAGAATATGAAAACATCAAATCGAGGACTAAAAACAGCTCTGAATCAATTGAAGTTAATTACAAAGAAAGATAGGGATACCACTACTTCCACTTCAATTTTAAAGTTTATGTAAGTATCTAAATGATTTGGCTGACTGCAGGTATATACTGATTTTATTACGAGAATAGATTGAAAAAGCATATTGAAGAAGCTCACCTTTTTGAGAGCCCCTTGATCAATTCGTTTTCTGAATGTGACTACGTGGTTAAGTTTTGGGGACCCTTAGTAGAAAAAGCCTTTAAAAACACCTCTATCATTCCTCATTGTTAATATATTAAATACTTTTTTTCTGTATTGCGTGACCTATGTCCTCATATAACAACTCTTTCTTTTAGGGGCGACACACTTCCTGGCTCTTTGCTCACTTTGGGCATCAAAATGAAAATGGACCTCCGCCTCATTGCCATTGACAAAAATCAATGTGAAAATCATGGGTATGGTGAGGTTGCCAAACAATGCTCAGTTCCAAAATATTTCAGAGATAAACGAAAGGCCGTTATTGCCTGTAAAGCATTGCTCAACTCGATTATTACTTCCAACGCAATTGACCAAGAAAAAGAAAGCATATTCATTCCATATCTCATAGTAATGGGCTTTGAAATGCATATATGTGTTGTACACCTCGAATCTGACCATTTCTATATCACCCAAAAAGTAAAAAGCATCGTCTTCCCTTCTAGACTAGCGGACCTTGGTGAAGAATCTATTGAATTGGCAAATGGTCTTTTGGATCTCGTTGTAAGTAAAAAATAGGTAAAAGATTGTTTGGAATATTGTTGACAATATCTTTGTAGGCGATGTGTGAAGCGATAAAGAAGCAAGCTTGTAGAGGAAAAAAAACGAAAATGTATGGACGATTGCATAGGTAGTGCCACAGTAAAACAAAGAGGATATGGTACCAGTAAGACTGTTTGGGACAATGTGGATGAACATGAGTTGGAAGACGAGATCAGCGATGATGAAGTTGACGACGATGAAGTTAATGATGAAAACGACGAGGAAGATAATGATGATGAAGGCAATAATGTTTAATCCTTTTTTTTACTCTTATATTTTTTCGTTATCTCTTTCTCTTACATATTCATATTACCATATGGTTTGTGCTTTTCTATTATACAATATCATGTACTTGGACACAAAATTGTTGTCCTGATTTATGTTCTATATAAAATGTTATGCAGAAAAATTAATATTGTACATATTATGATGATACACAATTCAGTCATTTAAAAAGTATGTATGTCAAGCCCTACATGTTCAAATTAATTTGATATGTACGTATCATTTTAGTCCATATCGTTACATACAACTGTGTGCCTAACTAGTACGTTTATGTACCTGGCAATAAATGTCTGCATTACTTTTATGTTCTAATTTGTAAAATGCACACTTATATACTTCCGTTTTGTTAGACTGATTTATTATATGGTAACCAAGGAAAACTATGTCAAGACTTTTTAGAATATCTTGAAGTCTATCAGCATTTGATACCGACCTAAAAAGGAATGCCAGACAAATATCAGCTAGCCGACATGTTAAAATTACCTGTCAAGAATTAGTAATTTCATTCGAATAAAGCCTTATACTTATTCGCTCCGATCATTTCTTTAATTACTAGACTATGGTTATTAATGAGCGTTAGGTGAGAGTTACATACTGTCAATTGTGATGTAAATGCTTTGATTCTATCTTTTTGTTCCTATGTATGGAGGAAGGTACACACAAAAGTAACCACGGCTTTCGATATAATTTTTTATATCTACATTTTTTGTGAATTGGGACGTTATCCATAACCAAATAACATCCTTTGAATTCCTCATATTGGCCTAAAATATCAACAGTACTAGCGACGAAGTTAAAATAATGTCCTGTAACAATGCCAACAGTGCTTTTCTTCTTTTCTTCTCTATCATTTTCAAGCTTTCTTTTTTAGAGGTGGCTGTTGCTACTTTAGGTATTCTAACCTTTACCGTTTACAACTCCATAGGGAGAGATAGCCCCTAATATTGTCGTCATCTTGGGCTTGGTTTTTGGTGTCTTCACAACAGCGCGAGTACCAACTTTAGACCAAGAAAAGCAGTGTTTCAGATTGATGTGAAATGCTGCTTCGTCAATGAAGACACAATTGGACTGATAATCAATTTCAGTATTATCTAAAAGATCTTTGACCCAATTTCATCTCTCTTCAATCTTACCAAGGCAGTTTCGATCTTCAGGGTAGTAATAAAACTTTTTACAGCTTATTCGACACTTTTCCTTCACAAAGATATGGAAGGCAGACTTTTTAATCTCAAGCCCATCAAATCGCTTGGTCAAAGTGTCCATCATTTGATCAAGGCTCATTCCTGTGTCATCCTTGTCAACCAAGTCAATGAAAAAATTGCGGTGGGCGTCTATTAATACAGGAGGTCTGCCCACAGGCCTTCCACCACCCTCGTTTCTTTTGCAAACAAGCTCATCTGGATTCTCAAGACTTTTTTTGTACCAGTAGTCGGCTGTACTAGCAGGCATTTTTAGCTGTCTAGCAGCTGCACGAACGGACAAGCCCTTATCATGTACGAGAGAAAAGAAGCGGTCCATCTCTGCACTTCTATAAGTTCGATATGTTCTCTTACTTACAATAGGCTCATCTTCTCTTGTGGGCTCCTCCTTCTTTACCCTTTCTTTAGCAGTTTTGTGAGGTTTTTCTGGGGGCTTCGTAATGGGATAATCTGGATCATCCACCTCCATCTGTAGAACCGTCACTTCATCCCCCTTATCATTGAAGGTTTTTCCCCTTTCGTCTTCATGTATGAACTGATCCATTTTATTGAAAAATAAAAAGCAGTGAAATGTACCAATTATTAACTAAACTTTTGCTTTAATTTTTATTTTGGTTAGTGTTTAAAAATACACTTTTTCACTGCTGAATTTTTACGAAAAGCTTCCGGAAAAGGTGTTCCATAATGCCTTGCGTGATTTATTTTGAAAATAACTATTTTGTCTTATTGAGTATGAGCAAATGTTTCATTATATTTCCTTTTTGAGAAGAAAATGTCATTTTTAGGTCAAGACGCTGCAATAAACCTTGACGCGCTTTTCCGGATAATTTGTTGATCTCTCTATCGTTTATTTCGATCTTGTGTAACACATATACTTGACAAAAGAAACGCAACAGCAATCTATCTTTTGATGTATCATCCAAATCAAATTATTCTGCCATATATGTTCCTCTTTAAGTTCTAGACTCTCTTTTAGATGAGCTACCATTGAATCAAGAAAAGTAAAATGTCCATCAATTCGTAACTGTTTATTGGGATAAAAAAATCGTACTACTTGAGTTTCCGGTCTAGCGCGCCTAAACAGACACGCAGAGTAATATGAAAGCACATATGATCTGATAATTTATGAACTCCATCTCGGCTTAAATACGACCGATTTGATTACTGCGAAAAAATCAAATGCTTCTTTATTTCTCGTTAAAAATACTGTTTATATCTCCAACTATTCTTCAATAAATCAAGTAAATATTGCTATTTATCAATGCAGAATCGATCTTGTTATACACGATTTAGCACGGCAACGGTACTGGATTTACCCGAGTGTCACATCTCGAGTAATCATTACCCAATCATAAAGGCAACTCTACAAATCAGAAAACAGTATAAAAAGTACAGATCAACTTCCTCTATCTTTTTCTTTCTTTTTTCTTAGAAAAATATTTCATAATGGAAAAGACCGAAATTCTAGAAAATAAAGCAACAGATGCAGATGGATCCAATACTTCAATTTCAACTGTTGAACAACCACAACCAAATACTAAACAAACAACAAACGAAAATGTAGTGAACAAAGAAGAGCATGACACAGAAGCGAGAAGCAAAAAGGAAAAAGTGGGCAGAATTCTCACATTTTTGGGTCTTCAAATCGCTTTGTTTTTAGCTGCTCTAGACAAGTAGGTAGAAAGGGAAAAAATTTTTTTTACTGATCTTTTCTATTTCGTAGTACCATTGTAGCTACAGCATTGCCTCGTATAGGTTCTGATTTCAATCAAATGTCAATTGTAGCTTGGGTAGCTACTGCCTATATCCTCACATTTGATGCATTTCGTAATATTTAAATAATTTAATACCTGCAGCTAACAAATTTTATAGAGCCCTTGTTTTCTAAATTTTCAGATATTTTTGGTCGTAAATGGATTTTACTGTTCGGTATCTCGATTTTTCTTTTAGGCTCTGTTTTATGTGGCGCTGCTAAAGTAAGTGGGCGTGATCATGAGAAATGAGATATCTAATCTCAATAGTCTATGATTATGTTGATTGTTGCACGAGCCATTGCCGGAATTGGTGCTGCTGGTATTTTTTCAATGGTAAGTTATACGCGCTTTAGAACATGTCATCTAAACTCATGAAATAGGTCTTTGTTATTTTCTCAGAGTTGGTACCTCTTGAAAAAAGAGGAAGTTATCAAGGGTAAACTATCTATAGCGTATGTGTGTGTGTTTTTTTTATTGATTTCAATATAGTATCATCAATGCTGTGTTTGCTCTGTCAAGTGTTTTTGGACCTTTGATTGGTGTAAAGTATTTTTAATGTGAGAAAATACCCGTATGACAGAATTTAACGTTCATGTTTTCGTCTATAGGGTTCTCTTACCGACTATGTTTCATGGAGATGGAATTTTTATATAAAGTAAGATCGTCTATGCTAATATCAAGATCTAATTTTTCTTTTAGTCTTCCTATTGGCGCTACTGCCATGGCAGTGTTGATTGTCTTTCTCAAAATGCCTACACCTAAAGATAAACTATCCGACAAGTTGAAACGAGTGGACTATGTAGGTGAGTAAAACAGAAGGTGTGTTGGAATCAAATATCTCACAACAAGTTAGGAACATTGATCGTCTTGGCTTTTGCTACACTTTTCTTGTTGGCACTTAATTTTGGTGGTCAGACTTTCCCTTGGAAATCAGCTGCTGTCATTGTACCTTTGGTTCTTTCAGTTCTTTTAGTTGGACTATTGATCTTGGTTGAAAAGAAGTTTGCCAAAGAGCCATTAATGCCTCCTCGATTATTCAAGAACCGTTCTGTTGTTAGTGTGTTGATTACAAATTGGTTTTTTGGTATGACCTTTTTCTCTGCAGTCTACTATCTTCCTGTTTATTTTCAAGTCGTGAGAAACGATTCTGCCATGTGGTCAGGTATCAGACTGATTCCTATGCAAATGGTTCTTTGTGTACTCTCCACTTTCTCTGGCCTGTTTATCTCCAAAACTGGTATCTATCGACCTCTGATTGTCTCTGGTATGACCTTCCTTACTTTATGGATTGGTCTCACAAGCCTTTACAGACAAGATACTCCTTGGTCTCAAGTGTACGGTATAACTATTGTTGGTTCCTTGGGTTTAGGAAGTCTTTTTTCTTCTACAATCATTGCTCTCCAAGCCTCTGTACCTCCTCAGGATATTGCTGTAGTAACAGGCCTTGGTAACTTTTCACGTATCCTAGGTGGTGCTTTGGGTGTTGCTATCTCATCAGCTGTACTCAACTCTCAATTGACACAAGAGCTCTTTAAATATTTACCAGAAGATCAAGCAATGGCAGTCATTCAGTCTTCGGAATATGTCAATCATGGTCTTCCTAAAGAATATTTGGATACCACATTAACTATCTATGTCGATGCTCTTCGGTTGATTTGGTGGGTACTTATTCCTATGTCTGGTATGGGCTTGATTGCATCTCTCTTTGTCAAGCATCATTCTACCCGTAGCCACCAAAAACTAAAAGAAGCCGAGTTAAAGAAGGAACAAGAAGCCCAGGCTCAAGAAGAAGATCTTGTTGTAGTACATGTTCCTGATGAAGAAAAAGAAGAAAAGAAAGAAGAGATAGAAGAGAAAGAACAGGTCAAAAAACCTGAAGTTGTATAAACTCTACTATTGTCATCAATTGATTTTACCCCTTAATCCTTTTCCATCAATATAATATTTCATAATTTAGAAGCAAGCACATTCATGCATCGTAATCATACACATAATAAATTTACTTTTTCATACAGGTCTATAAGTCTAAATGCGAGATCGAAGCCACTCTTCGGGATCTTCAACACCTACAAGATTCTGAGTCGTATGAAGAACAGATTCAAGTTCATCAACAAAAACAAGGCTGTTCATCAAGTATGCGCTGTAGCTAGGGAATGAAGGATTTGCAATGTCTTTGGCTTCAATCATAATCTTCTTTTCCAATAAATTAACAAATTTTTGTCTTGTCTCAATAGGATCAGCCATGTAGGGAGGTAAGGAAGTCTTGGCAGCAAGCGTAGACGATATTAGTTTTAAACATGTTAGAATAGAAGAAAGCTTAATGAAATAAGTTAATTCATGCAAAGCATAGTTTGTGCTTTCCACTTACATAATCTTTTCTTTCATTCATCAAAATAGAACGAATACTTCGTTTCCAATCAGGTCGAACTTCATGTAGACAATATCCCTTTTTTATGTTTAATATCGCGTAGATGATGTTTTGTGTATGTTTTTACCATATTCACTACCAGATCAGACATGTTGTCCATTTTCTCCACTAGTATTCGATAACTCTCAGAAGGATAATAGCCACGGAATGAAGGTTCATACGCTGTATGATGAAAAAGCGTATGCTCTTCAGCAACTTGTCTACGTAGTTCTATTGCCAATTTCCTAAACGATTTTTCAATGGCTGGAGTAGGCTGATGGCCTATTGGATGAATCACACTTGTTGATAGAATACCATAACATTTTCCGATATCACGGACAGTGCGTGCCAACCTCTTTCGAAGCTCTACACGACTTGTAGGTAAAAAAGGAATAGCAATCAAAATACCAGAAGCAGTAATACCAATGACAACAAGTAATAGTCGCTACCACAAAGACAGTAAGATAACTTAAAAATCAACCTGGACAATTTACCTTTCCTGCAACTGTGTAAACCTGATCATAATTTGGAACCTGTTCAATAACGTAGGTATATTCATATGCAATAACAATCAGCATAGTCACTTTACTCATTAATGCAATGACTCTGTATCTTTGAACAAAAAAGAATAAATGATAAAGTGGTATAAAGATTATAAAGCACAGAATAGCTAGACCATAAGGATTTCCTCGACTAATTTCCCAAACAACAATGCCCAGGATAGCGCCAACGACTGAACCTACAATTCTGTCAATGATCCTATTTGCAACAACGTTAAAACACGAATGCCAAGTATTGTTATTACTTGCCCAAAAATAAAAGCACCTGTCATTGGAAACATCCATAAAACCAAAGTGATCATTGCCCATTGACCCCGCCAGTCTTGATACCATGTAGCATCTTGAGCTCTCCATGCAGGAATAGCTAGCAAGACAACACCCACAGCTGTCTTGAATGCAAAGAAAGTTGTGGTGTCTGTCAACCACTTGCTTAAAAGATAGAGTCCGTAAAAGAATTTCTGTATTGAAGTCACTGGTGCAGATACATCAGGATCGCCTAAATTAGGCTTCTTTTTTGGATCAGGTTTTGCTTTAAAGATGGCATCCTCTTCATCATCTCTAGGTCTTCCATCTCCTCGAGTGGCAACACGAACCAAATCGTTTCCAGCATGTTGATTTTCATAATCTGTCTGATCTCCACCCACAGATGATTCTGCTTCTGAACTAGAAGTCAGCCATTTCTTTAGCGTTTGATGTGGAAGCCAAAATCTTGCTTTTGTTCGATTTCTTTCTATGTTTTCTACAGCTTCCAACAAAATTGCTGTTTTCGATGCGTGTTGATGCAGGTTGTAAAGATAGAGGAAGATGAGATAAAGAGGTCCATTTCGAGGAATATCCGATGCTTTCATATCCAAGAACTTAGAAAAGACCTGATTGCTTTTTGAGACCTCGTCCAACTTGGTAATTATTTGTCGTAATTGAGTGGATGTGATTATCTGCTCTTCTTGCTGTTGCTGCTGTTCTCCAACTTGTTTACTTTTAGGTTTAGATACCCAAATCCGAGGAAATGGCCACAATATACTGTTTAATGTAGTTCGAGGATGATAATGCAAGTTCCCAACTCGATTGGAGATTTGATTTGTTGCATCAACACATAGATTTGTCAATTCAATGCATACAGGTCGAATGCCTTCTATAGAGCTAGTGAAAGCATCCACAATAATATCATTGCTAAAGTTCTTGAAATACATGTTTTTGGTTTCTGTATTTATATAGTTGTCTTTCATAATTAAGCTGAGTCCAATACTATGAAGAGAAGGTCGCATATTGGTAATCAATTTACATAATTTGCTGCAATCAACATCTGAAATCCTAGAATAAGTGATCTCTCTTTTCACCGCACGTTTGGAATCAATCATGAGCAATATACCGTTTTGTAGACGAGCATTGAGAGAAGGAAGTGTAGCGTTACTTTTTTCAGATGAATTTGACAAAAACCCTTCAGAGTGTTCTTTAAAGAATGCATTGTAACCAGCCAATGTTTTTCGTGTGACCCCTAGGAAGTTATTTATACTGTCGTCTGGCCAAATAAAATAATCAACTGCTAAGGCAATTGCACCAGCAACACCGATGGGTCTCAAGAACATCCATGTCAGCTCAGGAACAAATGGAGCATATGAAGCAGAATATGTCATTGTAAAAGTTAGTACAATACAGGCATTTACAGCGGCAAAGTTAGCTATTTCAAGGGAATGATAAGTTTTTGAAAGGTATAGTTGACTAACCTTTAGGCACTTTTATTCGAACCAGGTTTACAATGAATGTGCCGATAAATAAAAAGACAGCCAAGATAGCACAAGCACCAGGTTGAATTGGATTAGGGTTCGACTTGCTACGGGCAAGGCTTGCGAGGAAAGTTCCCAAGAAACTCCAAGCTGCTGCTATTAATGCACCTAGTGTACCTAATATTACTGCTTCTGTTTGAATACCTATAGTTCTGACAGGAAAATAAAAGATGACAACGACTGCTATTAACAAACTGGTTCGTCCAAAAAGTTCTTGTGTTTCGTTTGCAAGAATAAATATGACTGCAACCAATAAGGCAAGTGATGCTTTGATTGTCTTTCTTAATTGTGGGAACGGAGGAATATATCGTTTAATTAGACTTGGTTTTGGCTCTGTCTGAGGCAAAGATGATGTAGGCTGCTCTTGGTCCGAGGGCCTTTTTTCGTTTAAATTTGAATGTGCTGATAGTGAGTTTGTATGCGAAATATGGGTATTAGAGAGCTGAAGATTGTTATCATTTTTCATTTTTTAACAAAGAAAAAAGATAAATCAGTTTTGACGTAATAGTACATTGAATAAAATGATCTCAATCGTTCCCATTTTGAGCTTAGTCCATGGTACAGTATTTCTGAAAAAATTATTCTGCTCTTTGAAATGGACTGCGAGCTGACTTTTTACCGCGAAGATGAAATTCTATTAAGATACAATGATTTTCATATAACGTACTTCTGTATAGTCATACAAGGATATTGTATGACGTTAGAGAAAGCAGATATTCTTAATAAAAACCGCGTTTTCAAAGAGCGATGATCAAAAGCAAGTTTCTTTGGGACCATTGTTTTTTTTTTTTTTTTTTTTTTTTTTTTTTTTTTTTTTTTTACCGGACCACCGTTTTTGTTTGGGTTATCAGGCAAGTTATAACTACTGGTACTTAAAAAAATGGTGGTTCCTAAGAAACTTGAAAAAAAAAAAAAAAAAAAAAAACAATTGCTCTACCTAATTTTATAGAAGTCGTGAACATTTGTAGCTTTGCCCATCTTTACTTTTATTAGGGGACTTATTCACTGTTTTGTGCCCCCCTCCAATAGTATCTTTGATATCCCTTTATAGGTTCTCATACACCATTTAAAGGATTGGATTGCACAAACATAAAGAAACTTTGCACAACAACTACACTTGCAAGTGTTTGATTTGGTGTCGTTATGGTGTTCATGGTCAGATTGTTCCCACTTTTGGAGTACTTCTGGAGAATAATCCACTATGTTCAAGTATTTAACAATTAATTTTGTTTCCAGATTAATGAAATAAGACTTTATATTTCATGCTTGAAACGGTAATTAATCCTATTATAGTTTTAGCCTGATTTACGGCTTGCGTATTTCAAACTACAAAAGCAAATCCATAAATGGGTTACAGTAACCGAGACATTCTCTTTTTTAGGGAGTAAATTGGTTTTTTATTGTTGTTTAGAAATGTTTATATGTATTAAAGTTGATTTACTAAAACTTCAATACCTTAGTGTTGTATCAGAATGAATGCTGGTGAAGCCATTCAGAGGGAAAAACTTCACTGATTTATTTTCATAAGGTATGAAATAACTCATCTATATCTAACGTATCTTTATATTTTTGAAGCTATATTAGTAACTGTTCTAGGAAAAGAGCTAAGGTGATGGTAACAATCTATTTGTGTATGATTAATAAAGTAATAGAGCTTCCTCTTTTAGAGGCTTTTCTGTTACTCTAATCTGACAAGGAAGAGATAATAGAGTCAACATATGGCCAAGACTGAAATCTTTATTAGGACAAACTTCATTTTTAGAAAAGATATATTTAGACTATGTTTATGAGAAACCAAAGTCATATTTACATAATACTCGCAAGAAGTCAACTGTTGATAAGAAATAGATTTGAATCCTTTTTTTTTGTCTCGTGCATTGGTTGATTTGAAGCAAAGATAGATTTTATTCATTGTCCGAAGGGAAGACATATATGTCTTCAGCTTCTGAGACACGAGAAGACAACTTCACCTCCGCAGTTTCTGCCAGCAGTTCTTCCAATTTTTTAATTTTTTCATGACCATCAAGGCCTTGTTCAATGGCTTTTTTGTTTTCTTCATGGTTTTTTTTTATGTCTTGCAATATTTTGTGGGAATTGTCAATGTTAATCTATTTTTTTTAAAAAAAAAGCATGCAGTTAATAAAGAAACCTTGATTTTCAACATTCATATACCTTGAGTTCCCACATTAAATTCGTGACATCCATGAAGTTTTCTTTTGAGCCAATATGGGTCAAAGACAGATTTGCACTTCTTACACGATTGAAGATATACAGCTCCTTTTGAACAAGGCCAAAAGACCAAAGGCGAAGTCTTTCTTCAGCAGCGTGTACAAAATACACCTTCAGCTTCTTAAAGATATCAGCATCAGCATATTCATAGCAGTAGGCCACTTTATGTAACATCGCAAGCAATCCATATGCAGCCTTGATATGGTCAGTGGTTTCGCGAGGGACGTCTTTCAAGCCAAATGGCCCGGTTGTCTCCAAAATCACAAGTTCCAGATCAAAATCCTTGTCGATAAGAATACCGTCTGCATTGTAGTAGTGAGATAATGAAAGACCTCGACGTTTCAGTTCATAATTGATGGCTTGAAGACGAGTTTCTCCAGGAATGAATTTGCAATACGGTGTCACCATCTTAATAGCGTCAAAAAATCTCCAAATTACTCTGAAATTATAAATTGATTCTTTTTCAGTGATTTCAGATGAATTATAAACTTGGCCGATACTTTGTAAAAAAAAAAATCAATATTCGTAACCAAAAGGTATCCAAAGTATAACTTACAATATAATGAAAAATTCATAGCAGAACGTAAGGGTAGGATCGTTTGTAACTTTAACGCGTAAAGAGTTTTTTAACAACAAAGTATGACATTTATCAATGCTGTCATTCTATTACAAAAGTTAATCGTAATACAGTTTTTTTTTTATCAACTTACCAACGAGTCAAACCACTCCTTGTAAGAAGAGTTAAATTTGGAAAAAACGTCTTGCTTGCTACTCTTTAATAACTGATTGGTAGCTTGTACTAAATCCTTTGGATATGTTGCTCGACTTTGATTGTTTCCTATGTTTTCACCAACTTGAATGATGCCCAAATACTCTAGGCTAGAGAAGAATCAGCATTATTCTTATTACTCACAAATTTCAACTCACCTATAATGGTTCATTGATACATCATCAGCCTCCTCTTGAAGGAACGTGTTAAGGAAACTGGCCCAAATCGTCCAGATATTCTTTTGAATTATCAATGACGTTTCAGATTTGGGTGAACTACTAGTTGATTCTTCCCCTTCGTTGGGCTTAGATTTTCAATTATGGAGTATTTAATATGTGAAAAAATACTGCGTATTCTACTTACTTTAGTACGGACCCTTTTAAACGATTGCGCCGTGCCAGCACCAGATGATTCGCCCCTTTCCTACATAACAATCATATTTGAGAATCGTACTTAACATTTGAGTTTGAGACAGCCTACCTCTTGATCAAAAAAACCGCGTCTTACGCGACTTTTATAATTCATTTCAGAAAGACTTTCCAATATCACATTTCGTCTATATTCCTGAGACTCAAAGAAAACATCGGCTTCCGTAGAGTTCAAAAACTATAATACGTGTTAATTCTTATGTCTCTCTTAATTCCTATGTGTGAACGTTTACATCTTGCCAATCTTTTTCAAGATCTTCTACTTGTGATATTATTTCTTTTTTCTTTTTCAAGTTTTTGATAGCTGCTCCCATAGTATTTTTGGCATCGTTACGATCATGGATTTCTCGGCCCTTTAAAAGACTTGGGAAAGACACTTTTTCATTGAGTAGTTTTTTAAGTGCTTCTGTTAACGATGACATTTTAAGATTGGTGATTGATTTTACAAAAAAAAAAAAAAAAAAAAAAAAAAGAAAAAAAATTTAAAATTGAATGCGCGGCTTTTGAGAAAAGAGGGGCTGGGAAAGAATTTTCTTTGGACCAAGAGAAATTTCTCTTAAGGTTGATATGGAAAGCAGCTTCGTCAATGAACACACAGTTGCTAGTGAAGTCCGTATCTGTTTTCATCTATCTCTTCACCCACTGATAGCGCTCTTCGATTTTTTCAGGGCTGTTTCTCTCGAAAGCTTGGGAACGAGCCTGCTTGAAGGTAATCTTACACTTATCCTTGACAAACTTGTTGAAACCGCTTTTACTGATATCGAGTTTGCCAAATTTTTTTGTCAATACGTCAAGCATGTCGTCCAATGTAACGGAATTTGTGTTCTCGTCTGTCCATTCGATCATGAAATCTCTGTGATCATCAGTTAAAATGGGCGGTCTGCCTACAGGTCTTCCACTGCCTGTAGCCCTTTGGATATACTCCTGAGGATCTTTGTTGTTCTTGGCTACCCAGCCTTGTGCTGTTCGAACATTAATGTTGAGGGCCAAGGCAGCAACACGAACACTCATTCCTTTTTCTTCGACAAGAAAAAAAAACCTTTCTTTTTCAGCATCCTTGTAGTGCTTATATGCTTTTGTTCTCGCAGGTGTTTGCTTCAGCTCTGCAGGTAACTCAGCTTTCTTTTCGATCCCTCTCTCGGGAGGCTTTAAATCTGTGTATCTATCGTAGTCTGTTACGCTTTCGACTGGATACATCTCGTTGTCAATTTCCATTTCAAACTCTACAACTTCGTTTCCTTCAATGTCATGTTGGTTTCCTAACCCGTCTTCAAAAATAATGTTATTCATTTTCGTAATAAAATGTTGAAAAAAAGAGCTGGAAAACTACGCCATTTTTTTCTGTTGAATATGCTAATTGTTTGTCGTGCCTATAACAATTCTTGTTGTCTTCGACTCGGACTCCAATGTGGTAACATGTTCCAAGAGCCGCGCTTCATTTTTCTTTTTAAGTAAATTTCAATAATATATATATAAAAGGCGAGCGTGCGATCGTGAAAGTGCCCAAAATAAGAGCAAAAACTACTACCATTTTGGGTGCCATCTCGCCTTTTGGTGTTGTTAACATTAATGTAAGAAGACCAAGAGCATTACCCTCATCAAAGAAAAGAAAAGCAGCAGGAGGTTCGAATGCAAAAGTGGCCAGTAACAATGGTACAGTTACTGGACATTACTTCAATTTCATCAGTTGTGTTTTGGATGTCATGGATCGTCATGAGGAATTCCGTGGCCATTATTTGATCATGGACAATGCTCCTATTCATAAGCATCAAGATATTCAGAATCTCATTGAGGGCCGAGGCTATAAGTGCGTGTACCTCCCCCCTTACTCGCCTGAGCTTAATCCCATTGAGCAATTCTGGTCGGTTTGCAAAAGCAAACTCAAGAGGGAACAGCTTTTGGAAGAGGAGACATTGACTTCGAGAATTGCAGTTGCTTGTAATAGAATTTTGTACAGTGATCTTAAAGGCTTCTGTAGATACTCTGCTGCCAAATTTGAAGATTGCCTTCAACGCAGACCTATTTAATAAACTCACGCATTTTGCGCATACACAAGCATGCTAAACTAGAGATATGTAGTTAAACATACTAATTTGTGGACTGTTGTTTTAACTAAAAGAATAATACCAACTTTATTTGTTTGTTAATAAGTTTGTAACTAATGATTGCAAATTATAATTAAAACTAACCAAGTGATGCTGGTAATAAAAGTGATAATTATAAAAGTAGTCTTGAGATAGTATGTGTGTTTTTTAAAAGTTTTAGAGAGAAATGGGGAGAAATGAAAGTGAACGAAAGAGTTGTAATTAAGAATGACACTCTTGGTTACACGTAAATTTATATAATGACAAAATAATAAAGGTGCAGATTGCAAAAGTTCAATATTCAGGTCATCACAAATCAATACTTTTTTGTTTCTATCCGTAGACTTTAGCTTAGTTATAGCCTTTCATCTTAAGCATGACACTGCTGCTGTATCGATGCAAAAGACTCTGTTCAAAAGAGGTGCTGGAAACAAGAGAAGCCAAACAGCAACTCAAGACAGCCTTCCTGCGTCACCCAACAGTGCCTCCTTACCATGAACCATAACAAGTTCACGCAATCCCAAACAGGATTGAAACAGTGCTAAGACTAAGTCATTACTCTACACTATTGATTTCGAAAATCGTAAAGATATCCAACCATTTTCCGTGTAGCTTTATATTTACGCACTCTATACCTTTTTCTCTTTAAAGCAGTCACTACTTTCGGACAGATAAAACACATACATTGGATTTTGAATACGTAGGTGGAAAAGAAAATGGGTTTACTAAGATGAAAAGCTAAATCCATTTTAGCATTGCCTTTAAGTTTGCATTCAAAGTTCGTGATACACTGTAATTAACATAAAAGGCCTCCTTTTTAATAGAGTTCGAATAGTAAGTGGATACTTATCTATATCCATTTTTTAACTTCCGACCATACTGTGTTTTGTGTGCATGATACCTTGATGCATTCAAAATGCACAAAGACAACGAGATAGCAAGCAAGCCTAGTAGCAAAAATTGTAGAGGAGGCGTGTTATTGTTTGAGGATGTAAAGAAAAAAGGTATTATGAAAATCAAATACAAAAGTTTGGCAAAAGCGTATAACACAGCTAAACGCTGATGTCTTTTGTTCAGTCACTCATCAATTACACAATACATGTGCTATATTTCTATTTTTCTATGTTTTTTGGCACTTCAAGCAGCATTCAACACTTTTTGTAAGTTCATAACTAGCAAGTTTTGTATGACCTCTAAAGCAAAAATACTCGAATCACAGCTTAAATGCACCATTTTTAATGTGTCATTACTTGATAATCAGACTATCAAAACAATTCATTTTTTTATTTGAATCATTTCTTTCAAGTCCAGCAATAGAGCGGTACCATTGGTTTGGCTGTTGGGTGATCTTTAAAGCAAAACTTCATGATAGTTTAAATAGACATAAGCAACATGCATTATGAATTCAAAGCTTTTTTTTTTAAGACCATGACGTGAAAAAAAGCATTTGTTTCTTATAGAATTCATATACATCGTGTAGGCCATCATCTCATACCAATCAACACTTGCTTAGCTTCTCTTTATCACAGCTTTTCTTGCTTATATACTCATACACTGATCATTTATGCCAAAACGTTGTTATAACAATCGATCGCAAGCTTACTTGTCCGCATAAAGCAGCTTTCTTTCTACTTGTTTATTTCAGTATATATATTTACATAAAGTTTTGTTGTTACAGTGTCCAATGCTTCTATTTCGTTTTTCTAAAAACCTTTGTTGATTAACCATTCCTTGATTTCATTGACATGATGACCCTTAATCACAACATGTTGAGTAGTGGCATTGACCTGAACAACAGCTTCAGGAAAATCAGTAGTAATATCCTTAGCCAAAGCATTAGAGTCACCTTGAATCTTACGGATGATGGTCAAGAGACGAGTACCACCATTCTTGTATTCGGAATAGACAGGAAGACCCTTGTTGGTGGTTCGTGAAACCGAATAAGCAGGTGTAGAGTAGAAGCGCTTGCTGTTTTGAAGAGAGATTTGTGAGAAGAGTCGCAACATTATCTAAAGAAGAGAAAAGGATTGAGTGGAAAGACCGAGAAATAATTTGTGCTTACAGTAACTAAGGACTTGTACAATAAAAAAAAAAAAAACCTGGCCATGTCAGTTGGAAAAAAAATATAAAAAGAGCAGTCAGTCGGGAATTGAATCCAATACCATAAAATGAAGCGTCTTGAACTAGACAACACTACATGCCTTCAGTATGCTTACCTCTATGTCAAAGGCACAAAGGTTCTGTGCAATCAAGCTCACACTGGCTTCATAGCTATTGTTTCTGTGCAAGAAATCAAAAGAAGTGTTTCATTTTTTGAAGGCCTTTTATCATATAAATACAATTGATAAGTTTCTAAACAAACTTGAGTGCCTGAATTACCAAAGACATAGTGTAAAAACATGCTTTAAGTGATATAGCCTACACCTCACCGAGAAAATCCAAGATTTGTTGCATTATCCATAAAAAAACGCCTTTTCGCATCAAGACGTGCTGTATTTCATTTGAATTTGACACGTCTCCGTTTTTCAATTTTTTTTTAGATTACCTTTTAGATCTGATCATGGTCAATACTTCAACTGCACTTGTGAGAGACAACTTTGACTCCATTTCAGAGGTAAAATGCGATCGAGCTTACAATAGATCGCTCTATTTACATAAGATAGGGTTGCTTCTTGGTATTACCAAAAAAGAGACAAAGCGCAACTCTTAGCCAGTCCACTACGCCAAAGAAAACCAAAACAAAAAGTAACTATAGACAACAAGGCGCATAAACTTATTTTTTCCATATCAGAATTACAAGCAGCTCATTACAGTAAAGAGGAAGAAGACCAACCTATATCATATAATGGATTTCAGCAGTTGTTTAATGGACAAGAGTCTTTGGAAACCATGCTCTATCGAAAACAATCCTTTGAAGCATATTGGTCAAAGATGGATCAAACCATCAATGTATGTCAGTAAAAAAAAAAGACACATAGCTTATGTTGTGATAGAATATTTTATTAGATATGAATCAACATGCTGTACAGAACATTTGTGATTTTGTTGACAAGGATCATAGTTTGAGTAATAGGTAACAACAGGCTTGAACATAGGTCATTGGCTTAACTCTCAATAGCTCTATACTATTACCTTTTCATGAAATCCCAACAGGTCTTGTTTTTGCTGGTATTAATACACCAGATCATGGCAAACAGTTTCAACATATTGCAGTCAAATTAAGCGAACCACCATCACCTAAAAATAATCGAAAAAAAGAGAATTTGGTTGTGCTATTGCAGTCCAAGGACTGTACTAATATTAAGACAATGATTAAGGCATTAATTGAAAAGTTTATGGAGACCAAGACTACTCCTAAGTCCAGTGCGACAATGATGGATACCCACATGGAAGAAGCAGAGAATGAAAGTGAGGAAGATGAAGATACAATTCAAGTAGACCAAGTAAGATAAAGAAACGTGAAGAATGAGTGACTTATGATACTTAGAGAACAAGCACAGGCTATAGTCTTACTGGACAGTCTAAAGCAAAGCCCAGTAAATGCTTGCCATACGATATGCGATTACTTGAAGGATGGTATAGAAACTTAGACCATAGTCCAAACTTGGTTATCGTTCTACAAGACTTTGAATCGTTTGAACCCAGTGTGCTACAGGACTTCTTTTCTATTTGCAGGTAATTATCAACTTGTACGACAAAAATACGTTGACATTTTGATAGCGAGTATCGACAACGCATCCCTATCATATGCATTGTAGGTATTGCAACATCAAGCGAAATTTTACATCAATCCCTTACAAAGGCGACCATTGGCTTATTGCGCATTGAGAAATTCAAGCTAGAATTGAGTGAAGTGTGGTTTAAACGAGTGTTAGAACAAGCAAGTAAAACGATAAGAAATAGGAACCGTAGGCTAATCGATATCCCTTATTTTTAGTTATTTCTCAATTCAACAGGTACTTTGAAATTTGGTGCTCGTCCATTCAAGTTCCTATTAGACCGCTTCTACTTGTATGACTTTTCTATCAGTAAAGTAACTGCAAGTTTAAAGGTAAATTCAATAGTCTGCGCACTGTTACTTATAAACTAGTATGCGCTTATGCATCATTTCTATGGCAATCCACTCTCTGTCTTCTTACCGCTTTTTGAACAAGACTCACAAGATACAAAAGAGACCATTCAAGACTGGCTGGACAGAGATATGCTTAGCGAACACCATGTTACACACATTCGTATGCTTAGCTCGTTTAGGAATTATATTGAATCACTTGTAGACACACAACCTAAAAAGGCACTTTGTCTCTTGGAAGATGACCATGTTTTGCTGACTGAGACACTTCCTGTACTTTTACATGACATCAAAACGTATCAACAGGAATTTAGATTAGGGTTTAACCTTGTTGTATTACTCCAAGCACAGTTCCCACGCTTTAGTAGCCTCCGCAAGTCAAGACATTTGCTTTTACTAGAATCCCTTGAAGCAAACACGCAAGAAATACCAAAAATGATTGCTCTCTTGACCAATCTAGTACGAAAAATGGATGAGACGCACACAAATGAATTGTTGGTTGAATTAAGAAAACTCGTCAATCAACACGATTATCAAAACATCAATCAAATTGCTTTGGAACAACTCTCAGTATGGGAGGCGCGTTACCAAAATTTAGTCGGCGCTGATGATTCTTATACAGCAAGAATGGAGAGAAAAGCAAAGCGATTAGAGGGTATGGTACTCCCTGAAGATGATGGGGGAGGAAGACATACAGAAACTGCCAAAAAGGTTCAAACACAGTCTATTGAGCACTTAAAAAGAAAGGGCACAGAAGCATCTAAGATCGCAATGAGTATTGCAGATTGGCTTGATAAGACACTCAGGTAAGATGATAAAAGACACGCTGATGACTAATGACCAAAATTAGCCATTACTTAAGACCATATACTACAGTGCCTTTATTTGAGCTTGTATATTATACAAATGTAGTATTACATGAAAAGGTAAGTACGACAATATAAATGCATAATATGCTCACAAAGGAGCTAGTCATTTGCACCTCAACCTAGAGCTTCCGTTCAAACAGCCTTGACACAACCACAACATTATATCAACTGCAGTTGTTGTAACACTGAAAAGACCGATCAGATTTTACCCTCAGAAGATGATGCCTGTATTCTCTACAAGCTTTACCTTGAATGTGGGCGCATGATCAATTTATACGATTGGTATATTGCCTTTGAATCCTTTGTTGAGCGAGAAAGTCGTCCCTCTAAGAAGACAATGATAAAAAACGAAGTTCAGTAAGTGATAGTGATACGATTCTGTAAATTTAATTAACTTTAATCTCCAGAGCGCGGTTTATTCGCTCAGTTGCTGAGCTTCAGTTTTTGGGTTTTATTAAACCAACGCAAAGAAAGACAGATCATGTTCTCCGATTGACGTGGTCAAACATTTAAGGGTTTATTTTATCTTTTTGACATGTGGTTATTGAGGCATTTATAACAAATAAAATATCTTTTTCCTATCTAAAAAGAGAGTAGGAGAAGAGAAAGGGTAAAAGAAATTATACGGGCCTACCCGAGTTCTCCGTCTCGAAAAATCTTTTATCAGATGAATACGAGTTGACGATCTTCTCAATGTTATGGTAAAAGATTAAACCGCGGGTCTACATAAAAAAAGTCACATGTTCATACTCGGCACAACTTTATGACTGCCGCCGGTCTATTTTTATTCTCTCTAATAAAAGCAACTTCTTGTGCAATGTGTGGGGACTGTCATTTGGTCTTGGATTTCTTTTGCCATGTCCCAAACATAGAAATCAATTAGGATTGCGTTTATCTTGAGGCTTGGGTCTATCTTGCTGATTCTTTCACGTACCAATTCAACTACCCAGATAGAATTGCCTCGAATTTCTACTTCATCATTAGATCCAGAAGGGAAGTAAATTCTTTTTTCGAGTTTTTCAACAAGTTCTGCAGAATAACGAAGCAAGCCCAATTGATATAATGCTTGAGGTACTCTGTAATCAGCGAACATAGTAACGGAGTCAATATCATCAAATTGACCATAGCTTGTGTTATCAAAACATGCCCTTGATCCAGACTTTTAGTAAACTATATGATTTCTGGATTCACATACCATAAGTCAGCTATCAAAATTTGTGCGCGCTTCAAAATATACACTATATAAATCAATATACACTCTTTGTCTTTTTCTTTACCTTTTCTTCCATGAAACTCATGTACATCATGAAAAGAACCAAAGTTTGTGATAATGATATCCAACAGTTTAGCAGCAGAATGCTCGGCCTGAATGATGCAATTCACAAAAGAACCATCAAATTTCTGCAAAAGATATGAGATACATATGACATCTTACAGAAACTTACTTCACACAAGACTTTACCAGCTTCCCTCATGACTCTGATTCTTTCAGACAACATCGGAGCTGGTTCTTTTGTATCAGACTTAAAAATCTCGGCTAGTTCACTATCCGAAGCCTTTTTCCCGTAATAGGCTGGATCAGTAATCGGTATTTCGTGATCCAATGCTGAAGAGAGCAATGATGAGAACTACGTTGAAAGTAAAATAAAGACACAAACCACGGTTGATAGCAGCACACAATGACCAATAACCAGTGTAAGCCTGGCCCTCGTAGTGAATTGCATATCGATCAGGATGTGGGGTTTTTTTATCAGAAACATCCAAATCACTCCAAAAAGAGAAATTAAGCAAATCAATCAGAAAAATCCTATGGTACGCTATTGTTAATTGTTTCATTTCATGTGTGTGTATACCAATCTACAGTGCGACAATCAGCTGTTTTAGGATGTAGTGGGTGTTCGTTCCAAGTCTTTGTACTATACTGTCTCTTTTTCATGTTATGCATAATCTTGCGTCTGTATCAGTAATTATAATTTGTTTTATATTGTACACATACTGTCTTGGCAGCACTGTCTATGTTCTCTTGAGGAATAGAGACATGTTGGCTATGCTTTAGAGCGCGTTAAAACAACGGAAAATTCATTTTTTTTCTTCATTTTTTTTTTTTTTTAGTCTACCTCTGCAATAAATTTAGCGCTTTCTAAGACTTTGTTTTCAGTGGAAGGCATAAGGGAAAAGACTTCAGAAAAAAAAAGAGCGCACTTGGGACTTGTCAAAAAAAAATTTTTTCTTTCAAAATTTTTTTTCATCATCGTGTACTTTTAATTTGGACTGGTAGTAATTCATTTGGATCAGTCAAACAAAAAATAAAAAAACTACATGTTTCAAACAAGGATTTATTCTCTATGAATACGCGGAATTCCAATTGAAATACTTCTCATTACAAAAAAAAAGAAGACGTAATAGCAAACTGCTTTTGAGCATATGTCATGTTTCTTTATTCTAAGGGCAAAGGCAACGTGAGCGCGGGAAGAAGGGAAAGTCGGTATAGAGTAGGAAAAAAAAATAACTTCAGACTTAACTCGCTCATGAATCATGAAAAGGCACCAATTGCTCTAAATCTAATAAACTGGAACTTTATAAAAAACAAGTATTGTCCAATCAAATAAAATAATAATCAATCAGGGCCCAGAGATAAGAACAAAATTGTTTAGTCTATGATTCCCGATTGGACAAACGGGTAATTTATCTGCCAAACCTATGTTTGGATTAAGCAATTCGCATCATGAATCAATTTACAATTTTAAATAGATGAGCTCATTGGTAAGCTTATTTCCTAAACAAGGAAGCAATGCTATCTTTACTTTCATTCATTTACAACAATGGTTCTACTCCTTTAAAAAAAAAGGATAAAATTTATAGCACAGACCATAATCAAAAAGTTGCACAAATTGACTACTAAAAACACTCTGTTTACATATATGAAATCATATAAAACAAACGAATATTAACGAATCAATTTCGGATGGGAAAAGGACGTGATACAATACGGGATAATAGTTACGGGGAATAGACTATCGATCGTTGTCATTGGATAATCTCCTTCATACATGCGCTGATTGAATTTAGAAGGAAAAGTATTGTAAAACGATGCAACATGTTTCGTCAATCGCTTACTGAAGGTCTTACAAATGGAAAAATAAAAACCCCCTGCTCGGATTGTTCCAAACGGCTACACCAACCAAATTCGATCTCAACTCATTCGAATATAAATATAAAGTAACTCATAGTCATTTGAATTTTTTCTTTTCTTCTTCTTCATTATCATTTCATTATACACACATAAATCACACATTTACCACTTTTTCAATTATTGAATCAATTATAGAATTGTATAACTTGAATTAGTTTACTACTTTTAATTTAATACACTTTTACATTTTACTTTTATTCCTCTATTATCATGGCTGACGAACAACCTCGCGCCAAGATCACTGGTGATTTCCACAACATCACTGTTGAAGAGCTCTACGATAAAGACAAATATGATCTTTCTACTATGGAACAACAAGATGTCATGCAACTTTTGCAGTATGTATATTAGTTATTTTGTGTATAGAATTGTGTATCACTTACCTATTTACGTTTAGGACACAGACTGGTGGTTTGACTACTGCTGAGGCCCAAAAGCGTACTGAGAAATTCGGTCCTAACAAGCTTGAGACTAAGGAAGTTAACCCTCTTATGATGTTCTTGGGTTTCATGTGGAATCCTCTTTCATGGGTCATGGAAGCTGCCGCTATTGTTGCCATTGCTCTTTCCAACGGTTTCGGTCAACCTCCTGATTACCCTGATTTCATTGGTATTGTTCTCTTGTTGCTTGCTAACGCTACTATTGGTTACTTGGAAGAACGTCAAGCTGGTAATGCTGTCAAGGCTTTGATGGCTTCTCTTGCCCCCGAATGTAAGGTTAGACGTGATGGTGAATGGAAGACCCTCGAAGCTGCTGAACTTGTTCCCGGTGATATTATTAGTATCAAGCTTGGTGACGTTATTCCCGCTGATGGTCGTTTGCTTTCTGTAAGTAAAAATGAGTTTTAATTAGTGGACTCTGAAATTGAAGATGTGAGACCCATGTTCTAACCATACTTGTTCTTGTTTCAAAATTGATAGGCTCACGGTGATGTTTCTATCGATCAAGCTGCTCTTACTGGTGAATCCTTGCCCGTCGGAAAAGAAGCTGGTGATGAAGTTTTCTCAGGTTCCACTGTTAAGCAAGGTGAAGCTGAAGCTGTTGTCATTGGTACTGGTACCAATACTTTCTTCGGCCGTGCTGCTAAACTTGTCGGTGAAGCCGGTGATGATGTCGGTCACTTGCAATCTATCTTGGCCAAGATTGGTAACTTCTGTTTAGTCACTATCTGTACTTTTATGGTTATTGTCATCATTGTCCAATACGCTGCTTTCCATTACGATTACAGACGTGGTATTGATAACATCCTTGTCTTGCTCATTGGTGGTATCCCCATTGCCATGCCTACTGTCCTTTCCGTTACCCTTGCTATTGGTGCCAAGCAACTTGCTGAACACAAGGCCATCGTTACCCGTATCACTGCTATTGAAGAAATGGCCGCTGTTACCATTTTGTGTTCCGACAAGACTGGTACCTTGACCTTGAACAAGCTTATTGTCGATAAGCCTACTATCAAGACTTACGGTCCCGAATACGACGGCGATTATGTCATTCGTCTTTGTGGTTACGCTTCTCGTCTCGAAAACCAAGATGCTATCGATTTCTGTATTGTCAACTCTTTGCCTGATCCCTCTAAGGCTCGTGAAGGTGTTGAAGAATTAGACTTCAAGCCCTTCAACCCTGTCATCAAGCGTACTGAAATTACCTACAGAGATATTGCTGAAAACAAAGTCTACCGTGTCACCAAGGGTATGTCTCACATGATTTTGGATCTCTGTTCTCGTGACAAGACCGATGCTACTATCAAGGCTCTTAACGACGATGTCGATGAATTCGCTCGTCGTGGTCTCCGTGCTCTTGCTGTTGCTATTGATGAAATCCCTAACGGTCAAGTTGATGGTGAAGGCATTGGTTTTAAGCTTGTTGGTCTCTTGCCTATTTACGATCCTCCTAGATCTGATACTAAGGAAACCATTGACCGCGCTTTGGCTCTTGGTGTTGCTGTTAAGATGATTACTGGTGATCAACTCGCTATTGGTAAGGAAACTGGTCGTCGTCTCGGTATGGGTGACAATATGTTCTTGTCCAAGACTTTGAAGGAAGGTCCTCCTCCTGGTTCTGGTTACACTGATGTTGACCAAATGGTTCTCCATGCTGATGGTTTCGCTGGTGTCTACCCTGAACACAAGTATGAAATTGTCGAACGTCTTCAAAACATGGGTTACATGGTTGCCATGACTGGTGATGGTGTTAACGATGCTCCTGCTCTTTCCAAGGCTAACGTCGGTGTTGCCGTCGCTGATGCTTCCGATGCTGCTCGTTCCGCTGCTGATATTGTCTTGACTGCTCCTGGTCTTTCTACCATTGTTGAAGCCATCATTGGTTCTCGTCAAATTTTCCAACGTATGCGTAACTATTCTATCTATACCTGTTCCGTTACCATTCGTGTTGTTGTTGGTTTCTCAATTCTTATCTGGGCCTTCCAATTCGATTTCCCTCCTTTCATGATTTTGATTATTGCTATTCTTAACGATGGTACTATCATGACTATTTCCAAGGATCGTGTTCGTCCTTCTCCTTTCCCTGATGCTTGGAACTTGAAGGAAATTTTCTCTTACGCTATTGTCTACGGTCTTTATCTCACTGCTTCCACTGTCGCCTTCGTTGCTGTTGCCATGAAGACTACCTTCTTCAGCACTAAATTTGGTGTCAAGCACTTTGATAATCCCAACGACTTTGTCCTTCACTCTGCTGTCTACCTCCAAGTCTCCACTATTTCTCAAGCTTTGATTTTCATCACCCGTTCTCGTGGTTGGTTCTTCACTGAACGTCCTTCTATCTTGCTTGTCTGCTCCTTCATTATTGCTCAATTGGTTGCTATGTTCATCGCTGTTTATGCTAACTGGGGCTTCACCCATATTGAAGGTTGTGGTTGGTCTTGGGCCGGTATTGTCTGGATTTGGAACTTTGTTTGGTTCGCTCCTATGGATCTTATCAAGTTCGCCATGCAACGTGTCTTTGAACCTAGAACTAACAACCCCGAAGATGCTAAGGCCGTCGCTTCTCGTCGTGCTTCTCAAATGTCTGGTACCTCTGGTCGTTTGTATGCCAACAGAACTCGTTCTTTGCGCTCCATGGAACGTCCTCAAAACTTTGCCAACAAGCTTATGGGTAAGAGTGGCAAGAGTATGAACGCCAAGGAATTGCGTCGTCTTTCTTCTGTGCAAACTTCTCATGCCGCACAAGTTTTGAACCAATAATTTATTCACTTAGAGTTTTTTCCCCCTTGTAATTTGTTAAATAAATGTACACTTAATTTTTTTTTGAATATAAAGTCTTGTGTGTGTGTGGGGGTATCTTCAAAGAACTAAACTATTCTTTGTGTATCGTAACACCCCCACGTGGAATTTTTGTTCATCAGACTAAAAAAAATTCCTCAAAAGGATTAAATTTAACCGTATTTGTAGCGGAGAAGTATATATCGTTTTTGGTTTGGTGCATCATGAAAAGGGGGACCCGAAGCTGAATAGTGTGGGATAATTTTTTTAGGCTATCATTTCAAGATTCCATACTTCCTGAGTATTAATTATAGCTTATTATATACTGTATAAAGAGACAAGTCCTTTATTGATTGAAAAGAAAAGGCATTTTCTAGGTAAAAGAGGTTCTTTGTGTACTGCTTGACGTATTGTGCAACGCTTTGGTGATTAAGTTCGTCATCCCCAAGTCTTCTAAGATGTTTATTTAGAAAGGAAGGAAGACTAGTTCGAAAAAGGATTTTTTTTACAGTCAGATATCTTTGCAAAAAATGTTCTGAAATACATTGGAAGTAAAAAAAAAAAAAAGGCATGCTAAAACAGTTTGTGGTTTCAATATAAACAACCATTACTTTATTCTTTCATGACCTTGATTTATTATCGTTAAAGAGAATTTGGTTTGCTTTTACAGAACTCAACATAGTGCTACAGAAAAAATGCTTTTTCTTGAAAAATTACTCATGAATGCTCTAGAAAGTCATAACTAAATGCGTATGCATGACCTGAGCTGACTGAGTCAATGTGTGGCTTGTGACGGCTTTTACTTTTGCGAATTGAATAGTGTCTTAATACAATAGCTTTTCAAATATTTTTCTTACTTTCCCTACAAGTTTATTATGCCACCCAAGAAGAAGCAAACCAGTTCCTTAGGTAGAGCTGTTATCAAGTCCCGTTTCCAAGGCCAAAAGGCTATTGCTATTGACGAAGGAAAACTGGTATGTCCTGTATAAAATACAATAACAAGTTGTTTATTCTTTACGTAGCATACAACAGATATCGAAAATGAACCTAAGTGGGTCAAAATGCAAAGTATTACTCAAGAAAATGATTTGGATGCTTTTTTGAGTACTGCTGCTCTTGCTGAAACAGACTTTACTGCTGGTAATACTCACACACCCGATCGTAAACCGAGAACTAACATAGTGTTTAGAGCGTCTTAACGTCAAAGTAATCCAAAATGATTATCAAAATCCCTTTTTACCTTCTGACCAAGAAGAAAGAAAACGTATTGAAAAGCAAGAAGCCAATCTGGATAAATTATCAGTACCTCGTCGACCTCACTGGGATAAATCCATGACAGCAGAACAAGTACAACGTAATGAAAGAGAAAGCTTTTTAGAATGGCGTCGTAGCATGGCTAGATTAGAAGATGAAGAAGGATTATTATTAACACCTTTTGAAAAGAACTTGGAAGTATGGCGTCAATTGTGGCGTGTGATTGAGCGATCCCAATTAATTGTTCAAATTGTGGATGCTCGTAACCCTATGTTGTTTCGATCTGCTGACCTTGAGAAGTATGTAAAGGAAGTTGACGATAACAAGGCCAATTTGTTATTGATCAACAAGGCTGATTTCTTGACAGAAAAGCAAAGAACACAATGGGCAGATTATTTTGATGCTCAAGGTATCAAATATACTTTCTTTTCTGCTGCGCTTGCTACTGAAAAATTACAACAAGAGGAAGAAGAAAGACAACGTCAAGAATTAGAAGCAAGTCTTCATGCTCATGAACAACAAAAGGAAGATGACTCAGATAAAGATGTAGTAGAAGAAACACAAGAGATCAAGGAAACAAAAGAAGAGCTTGAAGAAATTACAGAGCATTTGTCCAAGTCTTCACTAGACAAGAATGTTGGCGATGATCGTATTCGTATTCGTACAACGACTGATTTATTAGATTTGCTTATTGCTCATACACCTATTACTAAAGGTAGAATCCTATATGTGAATGTATCTAATATGTTTTATTAGGTGAAGATGGTGAAGTAGACAGAGTAACCATTGGTTTAGTGGGCTATCCTAATGTAGGTAAATCAAGTACTATCAATGCCATTATTGGTGAGAAGCGTGTCTCTGTATCATCTACACCTGGTAAAACAAAGCATTTCCAGACTATTCACTTGACATCTTCTCTTGTTCTTTGTGATTGCCCTGGTCTTGTGTTCCCTACTTTCTCAACCACTAAGGCTGATCAAGTCTGTAACGGTGTCTTGCCTATTGATCAATTGCGTGAATACAGTGGACCTTGTGGACTTGTTGCCCAACGTATTCCTAAAGCTGTCCTTGAAGCAACATACGGTATTCGTATCCGCACAGTACCTATTGAAGATGGTGGTACTGGTATTCCTACAAGTTCTGAATTATGTGCCACTTATGCTATTGCTCGTGGCTATGTTCGTTCTAGTCAAGGTAATCCCGATGAAGCCCGTGCTGCTAGATACATCTTGAAGGATTATGTGAATGTAAGTAACAAAAGATAATAGATGATACTGATCTTGAATTAGGGTAAACTCTTATACTGTCACCCTCCTCCCAATGTGGATGGAATAGAATTTAACAAAGAAATCAATGAAGCTGCCCTTAAAGTAGTCAAGAAACTAGCTCCTACCACACGTGTACCTGCCACTGCGTTAAATTATGTTGCTCCTGCTGATGGCACACCCAATCAATCCGGATCAAAGACAGCAGCTGTCGATAAAGCCTTCTTTGAAAAGCAATTCTCTCGGCCTCAAGTGAGCGGCAAGATGTCAGCCAACTCTTCTTTGACAGGTGGTCGTGTTACATTATATCCTCATCAACGTATACTTGCTGATGATGGTACAGCGATAAGCAGAAAAGAACGTATGGCCATGGTGCAAGCTAATCTTGGTGATGCCAATATTGGATCTAAAAAGCATAAGAAAGGAAAAAAGCATGTCAAAGTGAGAAGTGGTGCTGGGTACGATTACTTGTAAATTTCTGTAAAATAAATGCATATTCGTATGATATCTTTCTTCATGTAAATCGTATGAACAATAGGTTTTCTCTCACTATTCTAAAAAACAAATTTACATTTTATGAAAGCTGTCAATGGCATTCTAGAGAACAGAAGAGAGTATGTCAATGTCAAACGGCTATTGATACTTGTGGCGATACCACAGAGCATTCATCGCTTTCTTTAATTCGACGTATGAAGCTATTAAACACTTGAAAATTAGACGTGCAAGTAAAGTTACTGAGAGCTTCTTCTTTCTTTCAGGGGGTCTAAAATGAGTTTCCACTTTGAACCATGCAACATTTTAGTCGAAAAATAGTGTGACATTTTTTTCTTTTTCTTTTATTATTATTATTTTTTTTTTTTTATTTTTTGGCCAATATGTCAAACTTACAAACAAACCGTACCAACACCACTTGGATATATGGTGCTGCTGCTCTTTCTGTTCTTGCTTTAGGTTCTGGTATCGCATACTATTTAGTGGAAGACGACCGAAAAGTCAGACGCAGAAAAGCAGGTCGTCGTGCCGAACGCAACACGGTGCGTGTCTTGAACCAATACAAACAAGAAGCCGAAAAAATCGAGTCCCATATGCAACAAGTCGAGCAAGATATCCAAGACACGACGTGTGACGACAAGGCCTTTAAACAAAAAGAATACATTTTGGCTCACTCTAACGAACTCTTGTTGCAGTTAATGGAAAAAATCGATACAGTTCGACCTTTGACGGCTATTATGGGCACAGAAGCTGATCCTAATCCATTTGAGCGTGAGTTGGTGGCTGTTATCAAGTCTAAAAAGCGTAGTGTGATTGAGTATATCGAAACTTTGTTTCGTCGTTTGGATGTGACCAACGGTTTAGCAAAGAGGGAAGCCGAAAGAAGAGAAGGTGTGGCTCAAGAAAAGGCTAGACTTGAAAAAGAAGAAGCTGACCGAAAAGCAGAAGAAGAGAGACAGAGAGAAGAAGCCAGAAAGGAGAAAGAACGTCTTGCAAAGGAAGAACAAGAAAGAATTGCTCAAGAAGAAGCTTTGCGTAGAAAGGAAGAAGAAGAACAGCGTTTGGCACAAGAGACGCTTGCCAAGGAGATGGAAAAAGAAGTGTTCAAAGAGATGGCTGAAGAAGACAAGGTAGTCCTTGCCGAAGAAGAGTCTAAGAACAAGGTCGAAGAAGAGCTTAAAGACAAGACTGAAGAAAAGCTTGAAGACAAGACCGAAGAAGAGCTTAAAGATAATGTTAAGAAACAAGCAACCACTCAAGAAGAAATGATCTTGACTGCCATGAAAGAGGAAGCTGAACAAAATGATTTAGAAACCAAATAAACAACTTAGATCTGTGTACATTAGTTTATGGTCTATGAACTCTTTATTTATGATTCAAGCCAAACTGTAACAAGTATTAAGAAAAGAGGGGGGGTATCATATTATTTGCAGTTTAAAATTGGAGAGACCAAATACGCGTAGTGAAATCTTCTGAGCAAGTAGCAAACTAAATAGACTAAGTCATTGATCAAAATGAGGATATACCTTACCTGATCTGAAGAGTATTTATTCCAAGACACACCAGTAATCTTTTGTGAATGGCCTTCAAATAGATATGCATCTCGCTCAGGTTCTTCAATGTCCCATACAAAGCAGTTCTTTTCAAAAGAGCCAGACGCCAGAAATCTGTCATCAGGCGATAAACAAATCTTGACGTCAAATGTGCCCACTTTGTAATCTTGGTGAGTGAAATGAATAGCAGGTTTTGAAAGATCAGATAAATAATGCATGTAGATCTGATTATCCATACAAGCACTAAATAGCCTGGTGCCTGAATGATCAATCTTCATGTCTGTAACGCCGTTTAATTTGCCACTATCAGCTGTAAATGTAGTCGATGCTAATACATTGGGTGATTTTTTGGCACGTAAATCCCACAGCTTGATGGATCCATCTGAACTACCACTGGAAATAACCTTGGTTTCGTCTGTATGCATAAATAAAGCGCACGTCACGGATCGTATCACCAGTGGCTTTGGTCCATTCTTCTTCTTTCTCGATTGTTGATCTTGTCCTCGGTGTGCTTCAGTAACAGATATGGTAGGAGTATACACTTGAAAAGTAGACATGTCCGCTTGATGATATTAGTATTTCCAAAAACCATTCAGTATATCTTACTTGGTTTTTGTTTTTGTTGTTCTCTTGCATCCCAAATACGGTAAGAACCATCTTTTGAGCTGGTTACAATAAGGTCTATATCATTAGGATTCAATCACACATAAAAAAAAAAAAATAGTCAAACTCACTTGGATTAGTAGGGTGCCAATTAACTGATTTAATGATATCTTCATGACCTGAAAATTCAACTACTAATGATCTTGTTACTGGATCCCAAAGACGAACTGTACGATCATGAGAAGCAGTAGCAAGTGCAGTATCATCTTTACTCCATTTAATATCTGAAATAGCATGTTTATGACAGCTAAAGAACTGATGATAATCATAATTATTCACATCGTTGTCTTTGTCTGTGCGTAATAAAGAAACTCGACCTTCTTCATCAGCCACAGCCAACAGACGGCCATCTTCAGCTCGATGTGCGAAATCACAATACAGAGGCGTACAAAAACCACCTCCATCAGAATACACAAATTGATACACCATGTTGGAAGGACTTGTAAACAACGGTAATAAAGGTCTTGCAGATACTATACAAACTTAAGCATAAAAAGTTCAATCACGATCGTACCTTTGACTGTTCTACCGAAAATACGAGGATGTCCAAGTGAACGCTGTCGAATTGCTTGATAGACGCTATGTTGATAAGAAGTGCGATCTTGCTTGGTGGAACCATTTCGCTTTCTTTTTGGTGGAGATGATTGCATTGTGCGTATATAATTAAGCAATAAAAAAAAATAAAACAAACGCGTTGCAACTGTTCCTTTCATTTTTTTTCTTTTTTTGACGCGACTGTTTTAAAACCCAGCAGCAAATCGCTGACTGATCTCTTTTTTTTTTCTCTGGGATCTTCCAAATCCATCCGTTTTCAAAAACTGGTAGAAGGAGACTTTATTTCTTCTTGATGTCCTAATAAAGTTTATAGAAATATGTCTTGCGGATTCAATGATGTAAATAAAATAGCAAGTCTATAAGTAATACGCTGAGCAAATTGACCAAGCATGTTTTCTAGCTTCTGGGCCATATCAATCAAGTTTTTATATAAAGATTACAAGCAAAAACTACAGCTACATAACACAACTTTTGACGCATATTCTTCATATTTAACCATATCGATAGCTTCATTTTTCAGCTCACAAAGCTCAAAAGATACTCAGAATCGAAGATCGAATCTAAAGAGCCTCGATTACACCCCTTTGGTCCAACACGATTTTTGGCCATTTTGAACAGATCTATTTTTTTTTGGTTCAAAATCACTATAAATGATCTTTGTATCTTGCTAATTATAAATGTTGTATGGTTCTACTTTTGAAGCTACAAAAAAAACTTTTTTATGGCAGCGTATATACTCTGCCGTATCATCCCAACTTGCATGAATCATGTTCCTTTGTGACTTACAAATCGGAGCTGTAATCGCTTGGTAATCGTTACAAATGATTTGAAATCCAAAAGGACAGTATAAAAGCACCATGGTGAATCCTAGTTTGTTTTCATGAAGTTTATTTACATCCTTCAATTACTTTTTACTGCCATGTCTACAACTGTCTTGGAACAAACAATACAAAAAATCCCAAGAACAATCACCAAGTCTGTCCTTTCAAGAGAACAAATGGATGGTGAAGGTGCCCGTGTGTATCGTTCGATTGGCTCCTATGCTTTGCGTAACTTGGATCCATTTTTAATGCTGGATGAATTTGATGTGCATGCACCTGGTGGGTTCCCCGACCATGTAAGTTGTGATGTTCAATAGCTAGGACTAACAATAAGGTAGCCTCATCGTGGTTTTGAAACAGTGACTTATATGTTGGAAGGCGAATTCCTGCATGAAGATTTCAAGGGACACAAAGGCCGCATTGGTCCAGGTGACTTACAATGGATGTCTGCTGCCAAGGGTATTGTTCATGCTGAAGTCCCTGCTACTAACAGTCGTGCTCATGGTCTACAACTCTGGGTGAATCTGAGTAGTAAAGACAAGATGGCTGAACCCAACTATCAAGAATTTCCTAAAGAAAAAGTCATGCATGTGGAGCCTGAAGAAGGTGTGACGATCAAGGTGATTGCAGGTGAATCGTACGGTACCAAAAGTCCTATCATGACACGCACACCCACGATGTTTATCGATGTCAAGCTCAAAAAGGGCAAGAAGATGGAACAAGTGATTCCCAAACACTATGCGGGCTTTATCTATACCATTGCAGGCACGGCTGTGTTTGGTGGATCAGAGCATCGATCCGAGGCTCATCATACGTTGGTCTTGAGTCAGAATGAAGGTGATTTCATTCCTGTAGAATCTCTTTCTGATGATTGTCATTTTGTGGTAATTGCTGGTCAACCTATCAATGAACCCATTGTGCAACATGGTCCATTTGTCATGAACACACAACAAGAGATCTATCAAGCATTTGCAGATTATCAATACGGTAGAAATGGATTTGAAGGCGCTCCTGGTTGGACTTCCTCTATCCGAAGTCGCTGGGGTAGAAAATAAAAAATAAAAAAAGAATTTATATATACACAATAAAGAAGGTATCTTAATCTAGCATTGCTCTATCCAATTTTCTCTTTTTACGTACTTCAAACTTTTCTTTCTTGACTTGATCTGTATCACACCGAGGTCTTTCAAGCAGAGATTTATATTTTGTCAGTCGGGATTCTTTTCCACCACCCAGTACAATGGTAGCCACGCCAGCAGGGCTCATCACACCCCGTGCTTCAGCAAATGCACGCATTGTTCTAACGATTTGATCTTCCATCTTGACAGGGAATTCACCTACTTTTGTAAGATAGTATTGACACGTCAAACTACGAATCATCTGAACTGTCCATTCTTCACTGTAGTGCAGATAAGTACGATAGGAAGAAGGAAGCGGGTCATATACTGTATCTCGAAACGAATAAGTCCAATTCAGATCCTTGAATTCACAATCATAGAGGACTAAAGGCAAATCACTCGCCATCGGAAAATCTGGTTTTGAAGGCACTTTATCAATATCCAATAAATCGCGTATCACTTCAGGTGCTTCAAATCCTTGTCCGACCAAGAACAAGACAGACATCATGAACCGCACTTGATGCCATAAGAACGCTGTGCCCTTTAATGTCACTTGGTAGAATTCAGATCCTTCACTAATCCCTGCTGTTTGTGTGTGTTCGACAGGATCGATTTTCATGGAGATAATATGGCGCTCATAACTCAGGACGTTTTTGGATGGATCCATCTTGCAAAAGTTACGAAAATCATGATGTCCTTCAAAATAAGTACATGCTTGCTGCATTTTGTCGATCTGTAGTTTGTTGCGAGCAAAAAAATATTTGTACGTACGTGCTGTGCAATGAAATCGTGCACTGAAATCGTCAGGGACAGGCGCCCAAGCCAACACACGAATATCAGGTGGCAGCATACGGTTCAAGTTGTCAATATAGGGAAATTCTTGGTCAGGCGGTAAAAGATCAGGCGAAGGATCCGACTGAAGCTTTTTGGAGCGCACGTTGAGCGCAATCACTTGTCCTAACCCACTGACGCCCTTGTCTGTACGTCCACAACGACTATAATCGCTGGCTTCGATATCTTCAATCAATCGACATTTTAAGAGGGCTTTAAATAACATGTCTTCAATGGTGGGGATCTCTTCAGGTCTGCTTTGACTGGCATAACCGCAATAGTTCCAACCGAGATAGGCAACACGGAGAGCGATTTTTCGCTGTGTGTATTTTGACATATCAAAAGGTCTTTTTTCGGTAGTCTTGCGTTTTTTGTTTTTATGCTTTAATTCTATGTCATCATCTGTATTGCCGATAAGTTGAGATTCTAGTTCCTTGATACGTTCCAACAGTTGATCTCGGTTGAAATCGCTGTACTTGTCTTCCATGTTGCAAAAACTAGAGAGAAAAAAAAAAGAAAGAGAAAGAAAAATACAAGCCACCCTACCAAAGCCACCTTGCTCTTAAAAGATGCGCGCGCAAAAAAAAAATGCATTAATATCATGTCTAGTTTTGAAGAGAAGAGTGTGGCCTTCTGGCAATGGCTTGAAAAGAATGGCACGACATTAAACGGCAAGATCGCTATCAAGGACTATCGTTCAGAAAATGCAGGTCGTGGTGTCATTGCTACCAAAGACATCAAGGTAGTCAAAAAAAAAAGTAGTATGGAAATACTGATGTTTGTCAAGGAAGGAGAGCTCTTGTTTTCACTTCCTAGAACAATTCTTTTGTCTCAGTTGACAAGTACTTTACGTCATGTAGAAGGCATGGAGCAAGACATGAGTCAACTAACAGGCTGGAGTCCACTTATTTTATGTATGATGTATGAAAGTCAAAAGGAAGACTCTTTCTGGAAGCCTTATTTTGGTAATCCAACCTAACCAAATCAGCGTCACTCATGCGTATAGATGTTTTACCCAAGCATTTCACAACACCTATGTTTTGGGAAGAAAGTGACTTGAAGGCATTGGAAGGCACTGATATTCTTTGTATGTTTGTCAAGTAAGAATTCAAGTAGTAACTAATGATTGATTAGCCAAGATTGGTAAGGAAGAAGCCGAGGCTACTTTTGAGAATGAAATCAAACCATTGATAACAGTAAGATCCTCTGTGTTCTTGTGCTTTAATTCACTTTGATATAGAAATACGCAAACTTGTTTGATGCCACTGTTCATACTTTGGAGCTCTTTCATACCTGTGGTTCTTTGATTATGGCTTATAGTTTTAATGATGAACTTCAAAAGACAGTCGAGGAAGGGGGAGATAGCGAAGAAGAAGAAGAAGAAGAAGACAATGGCCTTATTTCAATGGTACCTATGGCTGATATGTTAAACCATAAAACAGGTTACAACAACGCTCGTTTGTTTCATGAGACAGACAGTCTTCAAATGAAGGCCATTAAGGACATTAAAGAAGGCGAGCAAATCTATAATACATATGGTGATTTATGTAATGCAGATTTGTTACGCAAATATGGTTTTACAGATGAAAAGAACGAATTTGATTTGGTCGAGATTGATGGTCCTTTGGTGGTTGAGATTTGTTGTCCCGACCAAGACAAAGCCATAGTGGATAGAAAGGTAATGTTGTGTGTCTATTGGTTCAACTGACGAACTCTGTTTAGATTGAATTCTTAATGGAAGAAGGTGCCTTGGACGAGTAAGTTCTTTCTTATAGAAAACAAGAGCCAAATTTTTTTTAAAAAAAAAAAGATGTTTTGTGATAGACACCACGCATGAAATCCCATTGGAGCTTATCGTGTCAGGTAAAATCGATAATTTATCTAAATCAAGCAAATTAATTCTTATTAGTGCACGTTTTATCTACGACATTGGATGAGTTTGAAAAGATGCAAGAAAAGCAAAAATTGCCAAGGCCAAAGTTGACTCAAGAAGCCAAGAAGAAGGTTCAAACGATACTTGAGAAAAGAATGGCTCGCTATCCAACCACACTGAAGGTAAATACTAGCCTATCTATCTTACTTGCTGACTTTATTAGGAGGATGAACTTGCATTGGAAACAACAGTCCAACTGAACAAGCGAAATGCTTTGATTGTACGTATCGGTGAAAAGAAGATCCTTCAAGGTGCCTTGGCTACTTTGGCCTCCATGCCTATCAAAAGACATACTGATATGCCTGAACAAAATACGAAAAAGAAACAAAAGAAATAATAATAATAAAATGGGCGTTTTAGATTACTTTTTATGTGAGGAGGTGGAGGTGGAGGAGGCTGATAGATAAAAGGGAAAATATGACCAAAAATAGGTATTTAATCTCATTTTTATTTTGTTTTTTTTTCCCTTTCTTTCTTTCTTTTCTTCATGATGATGCAAATATCTACCCTTAATAACATAGTGGATTTCCAACATGGCCTAGCAAAGAATGTGTGTTTGCGTGTACGACATAGTGTGGATAATTTGATTTATTTCACTGCATTTAACGTAAAGACATTGTTAGAATGCTCTAAAGAAAGACTCTATTATCAGCAAAAATTGTTGCCTACATTACCTGTCTTTATTAGGCATATCTTTCATCATTGTAAACTAACACCTACTATTTTGGTGGTTGCACTTATTTATCTTGAAAGGTTAAGAAATGGGTTACCACATCAATCAAAAGGAGGTAAGGATAACACCAAAATGAATAAAAGGCTCAATATCTGTTAGAATTCGATACACCTTACAAGATATTCATTGCAGCTGTCATCTTGGCTACAAAATTCATTGAAGACAAAAGCACAATTACTCAATCAATCTATCGACTTGTAGCTCCGCTCTATCACGCTAAAGAAATCAATGAGATGGAAAGAAGCTTTTTAGGTAAACTTACTTTGTCGTATAACCTATTAGCCGCTAACTTCTTTTTTTTTTCTTGTTTATTTTATAGGCGTAGTTAAGGTATATTGAAAAAAAAAAAGAGGGAGAGGGATATAATACAAAAGTAACTCATCTTTATTGTAGTATCAATTGTTTGTCAATCTTTCAGAAGTTTCCCAGTTTGTTGAGAATCACAAAGATAAACTTGAATTAGAGCTCGATATTCAATAACCAACATACCCCCTTTCTCTTTTGTAAATAACTTGTACACAAAAAAAAAACCTTATAGGCAATGTCTTTGCATAAATCATCCTAATAAATAAAAAAGTTGCGTACTGTTTCTAATGCGTTTTTTTTATTGGTTCAGTGAAGGAGATGCTGGAATACAAATCACACACAGAATAGAAAAAAAAATTGCTTTTTCTTTTTCTCGCTCTCTAATGTACATCACGAACTGGGAAGAGTTTCAAAAAGCAGCAGAAGATATATACACTGCTTCTCCTGAACAAGTAAGGACAACATCTGATTCTTTGCCCTAACTCTGTATTAGACACGTTATGTTCATACTTTTCACCGTTCTGATGGGGATCTCGTATTAAAAGTGACAGACGATAGAACTGTAATGAAGACTTATTGAATCTACAGTTTTACTTATGCATTAACACTAGAATGTCAAGTACAAAACAAACCAAATGACAGATTTAAAAAAGTTTATTCATTTAAACAACGAATTGATGTTAAAGATGATGAATAAGGAGAAGACAGGTATATACATATATATATAGAGATGTACGCGTCATTCTCAATTTATCTAGACCCTGACACAGTGATACCCGATGCTCCAGCAACAAAGAGCATTGTTCCTGAAGTAAAGACAGCCTCACCTAAACAAACACCAAAAGGAGGAAAGAAGGGCAAAAAGAGACGATAGAAGTTTACATTGTCATAATAAAAAAAGAAAAAGAGAAAGAGAATCACTTTTTATTTGTTTATTTATATTACTTATTGTTGGTAAGAAAAGACGTTCTTCAAGTCTATAGAACCATATTATTATCCCACATGTCTTTATGTTAATATACTTACAGCCATCTTCTTGAGAGAGACGGTTAAGAGCGTCATCAGATTCAGCTTCCTTACGGAGGAAACCACAGAAGGCATAGGTGGAGAAAGTGTTTTGGGCACGACCTTCAGCATCAACATCGGCAATGTTGATTTGGACAGAAGCATGGTCCTTGGCAGTGATAAGACGGTTGGTGGCAGAACTAGGGAAGCGTCAATAAACAAGTCAAAGCAAACAGAAAATACGCCCTTACCACTTGCGAGGAATGTAGAGGTCGATAACTTGGCCTTCAGAGTTCTCCATTTTGTTATATAGGTTCGAAAAAAGAAAGAACTCGTAAACACGTCTTTGCCCTCTTTACTAAAAACATTTTTTTTTCCCTAGTGTAGCCAAGCCACAGAGAGGAAATTTTTGAATGGCTGTTGGGATATTACTTCCCACTCCGACCATAAGCCAATACAATCAAAAACACACACTTTAAATAAAAAGGAACATGCATTGTTTTATTATGACTAACCCTTGATTTTGTATTTGCCATACTAAAAAGAATATGAGCCTATATTGTTTATAATGAAATGACAACTTACTGATTTTGCTGGATCAAATACTTCCCATCGACTGGCAGGAAAGATATGCTTATTTCTTTCATACCAAGCTCTTTCTACCACTTTACCTGCATGCGACTAAACATAGCATTAGATGTCAATTGATAGCTTGGGTCTTTTACCTCGTCTTTTTCTATTGTGGCATCATTCACAAATCGAATATCTTCATGGACATCAAAGTTAAACAATGGACCTGACTTGCCTCTTGCTTTGTTGATAATAAAGTCATAAAAAGTGAAGTGCTACACTTGAATGAGTCATAAAAAGGCAGAAATAGACTTACATGAGGAATAATCAAATCTTCCTTGACATACAGCAAATTGTCTGTATTGACACCACGTAATTGAGTGAATTGTTGACGACATGCTTCCAAGAATTGTTGAATAGAATCTCCCTTTTTACAAGTCACTACTTTACGATGTCCACTGCCATCCCAATAAGAATAAGTAATATCAATCTTTTCATCTAGACACATAAGAACAAGCCTGTTTACCATCTTACTTACTCTTGATTTCTTCTTGTTTTCTTAGCCATTCTTTTCTTAATTCCTCTCTCTCAATGCGTTCTTTTTCTTCTCTGTCTCTATCAGGCAAGAAACTTGTATCAATCGTAGGATCTTTAAGCATTCTTCTCTTTTTGGATACAGGTTCTACTTCTTTAGGTTCTTCTTTTTCTTCCTCGTCGTCTGCAAAAGACAGTTTAAGGAGTTGCTTCTTTTTCTTTTTCTTTTTCTTTTCGTCACTCATAGGTGCTGTCTTGGCTGCTTCTCTCTTTTGTTGTTCTTCTAGGTTTTCACGAATCTTTCGATAGTCTTTGAGTTCAGTCAAACCAATCGTGCTTGTCTTGAGTTGTGTTTCAATATCTGTCTTTGTCTTGACAAACTTGTCTGATCCAACACGCACTTCACTCATCTACTTTTATTGGGATAGACTAAGTACATATCATCCATCATCAAACACGTACTTTGGCATTTCTTTGACGTTCTTTTTCAGACTCTTCATAGATCTTTTGTCTTTGCTTTTCCAGCATAGACTGGCGTAAAACTTCACCTTTTGAATCCATAAGCGAAAAAAGAAAATTTTTATTTATTTGTTGAAATATTTACATATATAAAAAAAAAAAAAAAAAAAAAAAAAAAAAGCATACATGTACACACATAAAATCGTAAGTTCTTAAAACAAACGCTTGTTTTTACAGCTTTTAGATGCTTCAATAACGAGAGGAAATAGGTGGGGAGGTTCTTGTATGGCAATCAAAGTGTCTCGTGAAGTAGGCTGAGGTAATTGAAAGTAAGAATCCAAAGATAAAAAAGTAATAGGTGGTGTCAGAGGATCATGATGATAATCAACAGAAGACATACCAACATCTTCTTCAAAGGTAGGTGTGGTGGGCATAGGAGGATCATAATAATGGTGTGAATACGATTGATAATGTGTGTGATGTGGCCATGATTGTTGTTCTGTATTGGTTGTTCTTGTATGATAATAAGGTGAAGAAGAAGTTGAAGAGGAAGAGTCTTGAGGATGAATAGGTGAGAAATAATCGCTGCTTTTGCCTGAATGAGCGCCACCACTGCTACTACTGCTGCTACCGCTGGAACTAAACTGATCAAAGCGCCCATGTGTTGTATAAAAAGACCCTTTCTCGACCGTACTTAACTTTTCTCTTGCTTCAATCTGTGTCTTGAGTGTCTGGAGACTCAGGTGCAAATTGGGCAAGAGTGTCAAGATATCGAATGTCTGAAAGATGAGCGAACAGTAATAATAAAATGTCTTTTTCTGTTGGTCTTGATGTTCTAATCGACAATAGCTCAAGGACTGAAGTGAGAGTGTCAGACCATAAGAAATCAGACGGCTGCCCTGAATAGAAGCCAGTCTTGAGCGATGCATGTCATGAGCACAAAATTGGAAAGTGCGTTTACAGAGTTGGATGGATTTGGCGACCATGTCTGTCTGTTGATGAATGGACAACAACAAGTCAACAATATCATGAATCAAGCATAAATAATAGGTGAAAGAAGTCGATTGCTTGATTGCATCAAATGAGCGTTGAGGTGAATCCAACATGAACGAAATTGACTGTGGCACGGTTGATTTCCATGCATCAAGATCTTGTGTTAATTTGATCAATTCAGGACACTCCTTGGAGGTAAATAAAGAACTCTGATCTGAGATAAAGCCAATAGCACGCGAATACAATAAAGTCAGGTTGATAAAGTGAACCAGACTACAGGTTGTGTTTAATTCGACCTTGTCATAGTGCTCTGTTTCTGTCAAGATAGGTAAGCGTGAAGGTGTGTTGCAGTACTGGATCAATTCAGTCCATCGCTCATCTGCTCGACTGGTCATGGACACAATAATCAACAAGATCCAACCAGCCCGACATAGAAATTCATCCTGAATAGCCCATGTAGCTGTATTTTCTTTTAATTGCTGTTGTAGTTGTGGTATCATGGTCTGTATTTGCTTTAAATAGTCCAAGGCAACTGTGGTTAAGGGCATGCCTACAGGTGTCAATAATTCTTGATATTTGTAGAGTAGGAATAATGTCTGCAGGGTCATTAAAGTAGGTTCATAATTAAGTTGCATACAGGCATGTTGATAATAAGCATTGGCTAATGTTTCTGAGTCTTGATAGCGGGGTGTAAAATGGAGTGCGATAGAGATCACAGCCAATTTCAGGGAGACAGGAATTGCATTACTATCATATCTCAGGGCTTGCATGATAGAGTACCGATCCAGGACTGGATAATAAGGGTGCACATAGCAGAAATAGACATCAAACATTTCTTGTTCAAGGTGTTTGGAATAAGAGGGCATGTCATGTAGAACAGCATGTAACGAAGGGTGATTGTAAGTAATGGTAGCATGTTTTTCATAGCCACAATGTCCTTGAGGATCCAGAGAGAAAAATGGATTGGTGATATGATAATTGATCTGAGTTAGACTGGGCAGTAAAGGATCATGAGGCTGAAATGAGTGTGTCTTGATTGTCTTTTGTGGTTTGGATGGATTGACAGGCGAAAAAATACAGTTTTGATTTGATTTTTTACAGTTAGAACAGGTACCTGAACCCGGCACACCGAGATCACATCTAAAATTGGTAAATCGCATTATTCAGAATGAATAGCCTACCTACTTTGATTTACGTTTTCTGCAAAAATCACAGGCTCTAGCTACTTTGAGTTTCTTGTATCTGTCTGGGTCATTCATATCAACAAAATGATATTCAACAGTTTTCTTTTTACGTTGTTGTGACATATGAAAAAAAGAATGGAGACAAAAACAAAATAAAAAAAACAACAACAAAAAAGAAAAAAAAAAGAGAGAGAAAAGAAACTCTCATTATTTATATCTACCCTTATTTTATTTTATTTTTTTTGGGGACGACGATCAATCAGAAAATGCTTGAATTTTGGCTTAACAATGGAACGGCCCAGGTCGATTGAATTTAAAAGCCGATAGACCAACCACGATACAGCTCAGTCTGTAAAATTCCTGCAAAAAAAAAAAGTTTGTTTCTATGAATTCTCGATCTCAAAGAAGAATAAAAAAAAACAGCCCATTTTCTAGGGTTGGAGCCAGTCATCATATTGAATGTCAAAGTAGAATACAAATTACAGCAATGGATCGATCGAGAAAATAAAAAAAGACATGTTCTATATTTGGCTATGGCCGAATATTTTTGAATTTCTTTCTCCAACCTGCTTTATTTGGTAATTCAACCAGCCACAAGAACAAGAAAGAACATGGCGTTGATTGGTTCATGGAATTCACAAGGTAAAAAAGACTTTGCATGCAATAACTGATTTACCATAAAATTACTTTTTTTGTAAAAAAAGAGAATTTTAATTTGTTCTATGGACCACAGAAAAATGAGCTCTTGGTTCTTGTGTCTATAGACTGTGTAACTTGTTCTTTCTTTTTATAAAATCGAGCTATATAAATAAGCCCAAAGTGATCTTTTTTTTTTTTTTTTTGTATATACAAGCAAAATTTGTTATTTTTGAAAAATCGTACGAGTTTTGGGATACAACATGGCTCAAATGAACACACCCACCAATCAGAAGCAGTAATACTTGGATCATTTTCATGCTACTGCGAATCGATCAGAATCCACGGATAAGCATCCGATGCTTTATAACTTGACAACTTGGTCTCCTGAACAGATGCAAAAGCAAATAATTTCATAGTGTATGATATACCTGTTATTTTGATATCACACGACCTACTTTTTTTTTTTTTTTTTTTTTTTTTTTTTTTTTTTTTAATTTTTGCAAGTAGAAATAAACTCGCGTCAGTGCAATTCTTTTATTTGGAAAGCAGGGTACGAATTCTGGGGTTACCACTTTCTGTAAAATAAAATAAAAATCTCAAGTTGGAAATAATTGCATTGTCACCCAGACTACCAATTAAATACAGTGATACACATCCATTTTTTTGAAATCGATCAAGGCATATTTTTTTTTTTTTTTTTTTGCATATTCACAAAAATGACTTTATTGTGGCTTTTCTTTTTTGATCATGGCGTATACTCATCCATTAAGGTATACAAAACGCGTCTTGTATGGTGTCTAACTTGCTTAAGATACATTTAGAGTCTTGGATGAATGATACTTATCTTACCCAACTCTGGTAGAGTTTGGGTCAACATGTATCATATCATGTTTATTATGATCAACTGGGTATTCCTTATGCTTTGATTGATTTCAAAAGTCATGCAATAGCCCTTCAAACGGTATCTTTCAATGGTACTTTGATTCCCAACACTCCACTGTATTTTCAATTACAGCTCTAGTAAGTAACATATTGGCTGCCTTTCAACACTACCCTACGCTTTGTTCCACCAAGATTGTGATGGATACCACCACTGGTCTTTCAAGGAGATTCGGATTTATTGAATTCTCTGATGAACACACGCTTTTAAGGGCATTGAAAGAGATGCAGAATAATCGCATGATGCTTGATCCTATCTCTACTCCCATGGCGCGTTCAAAAAACAAGGCTAAATCAGCGGCATCTGAAATCACCACTGTGTTTTATCAATCGACTTCACCTTACTGTCTCAGAACAAGAGGTGCATGCTCATCTAATCAAATATGGGTCTATTGTTGCATTTAAAGTGGTGCCTAGCCGAGGATTTTCTATTGTTCAATACCCTCTACGGTCATTTGCAGACCAAAAAGTGGTGTTGAGTAAAGCACAGCTCAAATAAATCATTATTGGAAATCTATCGCTGATAAAAATCCTATAGTCGTCCTCTGCCTGTCTATACACTACCTATCGGCATACATGCAGTGAATCCCTTGTAGCCCATGGAAGTCCGTCTACAGAATAAGGCATTTTTATCCTTTCAAGAAGAAGCTTATGTAAGATGGACGAACGCTTTATCGGTCATTCAAAATGAATAAACATGCTATCTTTTTTAACTTTTTTCTTTTTTTTATTTTTTTATTTTCACTCATGAGTTCACCTTGTAGGTCTATTGTCTTGTCATCATGTCTATTGAACATGTTATAGATCATTCGTATAGTAACAACAGAAGCAGAAATGGCAGAAACAATAGTTTTGATAACAAACAAAACCAAAAACATGGTCGTAATGGGAAAGAGAATGTTTCCAAGACCATCAGTGTCAGCAAACTCCATCCACAGACACTACCTGATACACTGATGAACTACTTTAAACGATTTGGTGATTGTATAGAAGCGAGTCTGAATGAAGACGATGATGGCAACAGACTCCATGTGGCCACGATCATATTCAGGTGCGGTCTGGTCTATCATTCGCAACTAATGATGTTTGTAGAGATATACCCAAAGAACCTCATAAAATAGCAGGACAACACAGAATTGATGGCCGAATGACAACCGTTGAATTCATACGTAACAAAGCCTATGAGTACCAAGGTCCCAAGCATGATAAATCATATCTTCATGCTCATTCGTTTTCAATGGGCAATATGATTGCCAAAGATCATTTTGTAGAAGAATGGAGTACTGTAGCTTCCTATACTTCACCTATCAAATACTCACTGAATTATACCATGCGACGAGTCATTATTTTCTTTAGTCATCTCGACCAAGACTACAAAGTCGAATACAAGTTCAAAGATGTCTTTGGTAATATGGTAGTCGAAAGGGAGAAGGACACCACTATTTTCACCATTCCTCTTAGGCATCCTGGTACGTATTGGATGCAGAACAAAGACAGCGTATCCACCAGTGCTCGGTCGATCAAAAAGGGTCACAAATGGGAACGAGTGGCTCTCATTCCACGCACTAAAAACTACCATCGACAGAAATCCAAGACATCCATCTTGCCCATCACACCATCCGATGTGCTGGATTTAGGCAACTGGCTTGTATTCCGTGTTGTGTTTCGTCCTAGCTCAAGAGACGCCCGTATCTTTGAAGACAATCTACAACAAGCAGCCGATTATAACCTTGTGCCCAGAGATCTGAGTCAGGCCAAAGTATTCATTCGACAGACCCAAGGGAGCGACCTCCCTCAACCCTTTGGCCACAAAGAGCGTGTTGAATTTGGCTTTGATTTTGACGTCCTCTATCTGCTTGAATCCGCTATTTCACATCATTTTATCAACGAACGCAACTTGACGCGCGAGTTTCTGGAAAAGCTAAAAGAACTGCCTAAAGATGTCAGTAAAGGTATCCTTCAGCTCATCACCACCACAAAAGAACGCGTATGGGATCCAGATCGGTATTTTAGTGATGTATGGCAAAAGATGGGTATGAAAGTGATTGATAAGCGCACGACGCCGAGCCATTGTGCCTTGTTGCGTAAAGTGATCATCACACCCACCCAGTTCTACATCCAACCCCCGTCGCTGGAAACCACCAACCGTGTCGTCCGTCATTTTCGAGAACACACCGATCGTTTTATCCGTGTTCAATTCATGGACGAAGGCTTTACCAAAGTAGGTTCCAGCATCACAAGAGAAGGCGAAGAAAACCCTTCATCGCCTAAAGATTCGATCTATAATCGTATCTATGAAGTCTTGCGCCGAGGCATCCAAATCGGCAAAAGACGGTACGAATTTCTGGCCTTCTCAAGCTCGCAACTCCGAGAACAAGGCTGCTGGTTTTTTTCCCCTCCCAATTACGAACTGAATGCCAACAAGGTGCGTGAATGGATGGGCGTGTTTACACATGAAAAAGTCGTGGCAAAACATGCTGTGCGTATGGGCCAATGTTTCTCTTCCACCCGGCCTGTGTGTGTGTTGGACGAACAGGACGTGGAGTTTATTCCGGACATCAAGCGCAATGGATTTACGTTTTCGGATGGTGTGGGCAAGATCTCTTCTTCTTTAGCTGAACAAGTGGCGATCCAGATGGACCTGAGGACAGTGCCTAGTGCTTTCCAGTTCCGTCTGGGGGGTGCCAAAGGTGTCTTGACTGTCGATAATGCATTGGATAAAAAGCAAGTCAAAGTACAGCTACGACCGAGTCAGATCAAGTTTGAATCTAAGCATTTGACACTGGAAGTCATTCGTACCTCAACGTATATCCATGGCTATCTGAACCGTCAAGTGATCACGCTGTTGTCTGCCTTGGGCATCAAGGACGAGATCTTTATGCAGTTTTTTGATGAACAACTGAAAGATATCAACAAGTTGTTTGAACGACCCGAAGAAGCTGTTCAAGTGTTGTTGGGGAACGTGGATGAAGCAGGCACAGCCTTGACACTGGTGCCCATGATTCAAGCTGGTTTCTTGGAACGTGGTGATCCCTACATCAAAAACCTGCTGAACCTGTTTCGTGTCAGTATCCTAAAAGACCTGAAAAAGAAAGCCAAGATCATTGTGCCCAAGGGCGCTTATTTGCTCGGCGTCATGGACGAAACCAACACACTGGAAGAAGGCCAAGTGTTTATTCAGGTGAATGAACCTTCCAACACAGGGAGTGTGAATCGCAAGATCATCACTGGCAGAACGGTTATTTTCAGAAACCCTTGTTTCCATCCAGGTGATGTTCGTATTGTCGAAGCTGTGGATCACGAAAACCTGCGTCACTTACAAGACGTGATTGTGTTTTCGTCCAAGGGGTTTCGCGATATTCCAAGCATGTGTTCAGGTGGTGATCTGGATGGTGATGACTACACGGTTTATTGGGAAGAAAGACTGTTGCCTCAAAGGAGTTTTCCTCCTATGGACTACACCGCTGCTCCTCCAAAGACTGTGTCGGACGAAGTCAAGATTCGTGACATTCTCAAGTTTTTTGTGAACTATATCAATAACGATAATCTCGGTCAAATTGCGAATGCTCACTTGGCCACAGCAGATCAGTCTGCAAATGGTGCTCGAGACGGTAAATGTATTCGTCTGGCTCAACTTCATTCGGCTGCTGTTGATTTCCCCAAGACAGGTATCCCTGCTAAAATGGAAGATGATCTCAAAGTCAAGCGGTTCCCTGATTTCATGGACAAGAAAGACAAAGAGAGCTATCCATCTCGGAAAGTCTTGGGCCGTATTTATCGTGCGATTGATAAATCAGACTATAAAAACTATCAGTCCAGTATGACAGCCGAAACGACGTACGATACAAGACTACGTGTACCTGATATGGAACTTTATATTGCAGAAGCAAGAGAACTAAGACAGAAATATAATCGAAATCTGATAGCCTTAATGAACCAGTATGGTGTACAGACAGAAGCCGAGATTTGTTCAGGCTATGTGATCAAATGGCTCAAGAAAGGCAAGAGTAAGTCTAATTATGAACATCACAACTATACCGTCAAGGCAGTTAAGTCCTTCAAGACCACATGGAAAAAAGATTTTGAAAGAGAGTTTTTGGATGCCAGTAAATCGATTGATCCCTCTAAACAGCACTTATTGGAAGCCAAAGCAGCTGCTTGGTACTATGTCACATATCATACAGAAGAGCGCATGCGAGATATGTCTTTGGAAGGAGGGTTCCTTAGTTTTCCCTGGTGCATCTTTGAGCATATCTGTGCTATTGCCACCAAAAATGTAGACCAAGGCTATGATTTTGATGCACTTGCTCCTGTTCCTGAAGAAGCGATTCAAAAAGGAAAACTCAGGCTACAAACCATGAGAAATGAAATTGCTATACTTGAAGAATCGGATGATGAAGATGAAGACGACGATGTGGATTATAAAGAAGACTCGGACGATGTTTCCTCGGATGATGAAGTGCTTAATCTCAATAGTTATGCCCACAATACCTTTATGGATCAATACAACCAAAACCAAGACCATGATTCGGCACCTTCTATCAATACCTCATCCAGAAAACAAGAAGCCATAATCAGTCTACCACCCAGCACATCTGCTTTACCTGCCGATATTAGTCAAGACGACTTGCTAGAAGCTCTTTTAGGACAAATTATCCAATAAAAAGCCGGCATTACAGTCACGACAACGCGCTTTTTCGTTTTTTTTTTTTTTTTTTTTTTTTTTTTTTTTGTACTTCTTTCATGAAAAGGCAGCAAAATAAATCGCAAAACACACTGTTCAGTTATTTTACAGCAGTCAAAGAACCAACAAAAAAAGAGTCTTTGTCTTCTCTCATTGCAAGGACAACCTTGACAAGCACGTTGCCATCCGCTGATCAAACACAAACAACTCGATCGGCTACTATTGATCTAACCAAAGAGAATGACGATGATGATCTCATTATCCTTCCCCAACAAGCAAATCCTGCCTCTCCCTTTAGCAGTCAAGGATCAGGACGTTTGGACTATCTCTATACAGAAGAAATGAAAAACACCTCTAAATACAATCGAAAAGGCTGGTCTGTCAAATCAAAAGAACTCGGTCCTCAGAAATCAAGTCAGGATCCCAACATTGAATATGAAAAGCCTTCTTCACAAAAGTTTGATCGCATTGTGCTACAAAAGCCTCGCATCACTGCTAAACCTTGTTATGATTGGATTGGACCGAACGATGTACAGCCTTATGGTTCAAAGCATCCTTATGGCAGCGTAAAAAAAGATGAGTTACCGATCACTCATATTACAACAAAAAGAGATTGGGATAGTTCATTTGGATCGAATGCTGCATTGGATCCATGGATGCCACCTTCTAAAAAGAGTTATTCAAATTCGTTCAGTGATAAGAAAAGCAGCGTCACTCGTTACTTTGGCAAGGTACCCGATCATCCCAGTCCCAAGAAAAAGAACACGTATATACGCCATGACTCAAGTACCCCCATGCATCAGCTTACTTCTAATACCCACTCTGAATACAGACCCCCTTTATCGCCTGAACAACAACGTGTGTTTGATATGGTCGTCAAAGAAGGTCAAAGCTTGTTTTTCACAGGTTCTGCTGGTACAGGCAAATCTGTCTTGTTAAGAGCCATTATTGATACTCTAAGGACGAAATATGGTAGCCAATTGGCCGTGACCGCATCAACAGGTATTGCTGCTTGTAACATCAATGGATGTACCTTACACAGGTAAGATTCCATGCACAATCATAGCTTGTTGACTCTATGTAGCTTTGGAGGGATTGGTTTAGGCAAAGAAAGTATAGCAGAACTCGTCTTGAAGATCTTGGCGAACAAGAGAGCCAAAGAACGATGGCAAGAGACACAAGTATTGATTATTGATGAAAGTAAGTAACATATACATGTTGGCTTGATATTCATTCACTGAGTCAGTCTCCATGGTGGATGCTGAACTGTTTGACAAGTTGGATGGTATTGCAAGAGAGGTTCGAAGGATTCCAAAACCATTTGGTGGTATGCAAATTGTAGTGACGGGTGATTTCTTTCAGTTGCCTCCTGTCAATCCAGACAGAGCATCCAAATTTGCTTTTGAAGCAAAAGCATGGCGCGATGCTGTCACACAAACAGTGATGTTGACTCAAGTATTTCGACAAAAAGACGGAAGTAAGTGATACTTGACACAGATCACATATAGACTCAATCCCTTCTTAGCCTTTGTAAGGATACTGAATGAGATGAGATTGGGTAAATTATCAGAAGAAGCGATTCGTATATTCAAATCTTTGTCAAGGACACCTAAAGGCGATACAGATATTGAACCCACAGAACTGTTTGTATATCTCTTTCTACTTCTTATACTGACTTGAATAGATACCCACTCCGTCAAGAAGTAGATGGATCCAACAAGAGAAGATTAGATGAACTCAAGGGCAAAGTAACAGAATTTAAAGCGATTGACAGAGGTGATCCACGCAAAATTGCTTCTTGCATTGCACCTACAGTCATTCAGTTGAAACTCCATGCTCAAGTTATGCTGCTTAAAAATATTGACTCTGATCTTGTGAATGGCTCACTTGGTATTGTGGTTGGCTTTGTAGGCAGAGGAAACTATACAAGCAAGAAGATGTGTGAGAAATTAAGGACACCTCAACGTCAAAAGGAAGTCATGATGTTTTCTGGTCGTACAGATACTGAACTTGATATGGAGGTTCCCTATCCTATTGTCAAGTTTGCTGAAGGACGCGAAATGCTATTGGAGCATGAATCATGGACTGTTCAATTACCAGGTAAGAAAATACAAGAGATAATAGACTTATACAACACACAAAGGTGGTAGAGAAGAAGCTTCGCGGTCACAAATTCCATTGATGTTGGCTTGGGCTATTTCGATCCACAAGAGTCAAGGACAAACACTCGACCGTGTTAAGGTAGATTTAGGTAAAGTGTTTGAAAAGGGTCAAGCTTATGTGGCTCTTTCTCGAGCTACGAATTTAGAAAGACTCCAAATCTTGAATTTCGATCCCTCTAAAGTCATGGCTCACCCGACTGTCACTCGTTTCTACCAAACATTAAAGACAATTCATGCCTAAGATTTTTATTTAAATGCTGGCTATTTTTAATACACGAACACAGGCATCTACAGTATCTATTGACTGATCAATAGCGTGACAGCAACTTTCGAATGCATGCTTCCAAGAAGCGTCTTCTAATAAAATATCTGCTAATGATTTGATCAACACTAAAGAAAGCATATAACATTGTGCAGCATTCAGTGCAACCATAGAAGCATCTGATAATCGAAATGTCTTGATGACATTCACAATATCATCTTCCAAGTTCTCTTTAATGTCTAATTGTGCTCTCAGTGTGCTATAACTAACATAAAGATCAGTCCATAGTCACTCTATGATGACTTACGTGTCAAAAATTCGCTCACTAAAGATTTGTCCTCGTAAATAGACTGCTTCGTCTACTAAATCATTCTCTTTTAATAGAGGTGCAATGTCAATACGCTGCTTATTGTGTTGGAGTTCATGCAGATAAGTACGTGTTGCCTTTGTTGTCATATGGTCCAACATGGTCCAAATAGTACCAAACAGAGACAGTTCAGGTCCCTTCTTTTTCTTTTTGATAGGCTTCTTGGGGTTTTGTGTAGTTACTTTGATGACGTTGGTATCTTTTGGTTCCTCTTTTGTGGGTGTTTGTTGAGCAGACGCTTTCTTTGTTGGCTCTTGTTTATCCTGAATAGGTTCTGTTAGTTCTTGTTTATCCTGAATGGGTTCTATTGTTGACTGTTTATCCATGTCCATGTCTTTCAGCATCATCATGGTCTCAAACATAGCATCATGATCTTCTGGATCTTCTGGAGGTTGTGTCTTGTCTTTTACTTCTTCTGACTTGTTCTTCTTTTTCAAGACCAAAGTAGTGGGTTTGTTTTCATTCTTTTTGATTTCAATACGATAACCTTCAATGGAGTCATAGACACCAGCATCCAAAGGTACTGTAGAAGGTGGTGCCACTGTTGTCTTTTCAACAATCTGTAATGTGCCTTGTGTATCCTTTGGCACTGTGCCTAATAAATGCTGTACATAGTCCTGTCGAATCTCCTGACTTGATTTGACTTGCTTTGTTTTTTTCTTTTCTTGCTGAATAGCCGTTCTAAACAAGATGAATACAGATGTTATGCATAATCATACTTACTTGAAATCTTGCTCTTTTGTAATGACATGGGCTTTAGGAATCACATGCAAATCTCGAAACCATACAGGTTCTTCTGATAATTGCATCATGTAATACTTGGACTTTTGATAGCATCCTTCAGAACAATAGTTTGCAAGTTCAGATTGATCGTATACTTTGCGTTGAGATAAAGAAATCTTGTATTTTTGAAGTGCTTCTGTCTGAGGTGACTCTCCACATAAAGGATAACCACACCATGCTTGTACAGCACGCTCTTCTACAATCTCCTCATAGGTCTTTGGTTGTAAATAAGTGACTGCGCGTTGGAGTGTATGTGCTGATATTTTAGAGTGTGAAAAGAGTTTTTCTTGCCATACAAACACAAGTTTTTCTGTCTTGTTACGTTGTTCTGCACTCTCTTTTACAAGCTTTTGTTTGGGTGTGAGTTGTTTCTTTTTACGGCGAATGATTCTTTTTTTAGGTGGAGTTGTAGTGGGTTCAGTCATAATGAAAGAAAGAAAGAAAGAAAAAGAAAGAATTCGGTTACCGAAGTTCTTCCTCTTTATTTTTTTTTATTTTTTTTTGCCCTTGTCCATTTGCTTTCTTTTGTTTATGCAACGCATACGTTTATTCAGTCGCCAACATCTTCCAGCTGTTCGTATTTATACTCGCACTTTAGCGACGACTCGTGTGTCAAGTAGATCAGAAACAGGTAAAAAGAAGAAGAAGATAAAGAGTTAACCCATGCCAGATCACACTAAAAAAAAGCTATATGATACACATATACCTATTTCCAATATTGAAAGAACTGTGCTCACTATTGGATCAGCCTTTGCTGCTTTAAACAATCCTTTGCGTGGAGGTAAATGCATCCATTGTTTCTGTTCTTATTCACATTGTATAAGATATGGTAGCTGCACTTGGAGAAACAACAGGCCGTCTTTTTCTAGCCCGTATGAGGGATCAAATGCTCAGTTCGCCTGTCGGTAGACGCATCTTACGCGAACGCCCTAGCATCAATACACGCACCATCGATTTCGACAAACTAAAGCAAACGTGTGTCCCTGGTACATTTGGTCATACGTATATCCATTGGCTTGAAGATCAAGGCGTGACACCTGATACACGCTGTGATGTGCATTATGTGGATGATGAGGAACTTGCCTATGTCATTAAACGGTATAGAGAGATCCATGATTTCTTTCATACCCTGACAGGCTTAGGTGTGACAGTAGAAGAAGAGATTGCATTGAAATGGTTTGAATGGGCACAAACAGGATTGCCTATGACTATGTTGGCTTCTGTCTTTGGTCCTTTAAGCATGTCGAGTGTCGAGCGTAAACGATTGTATGCAGACTATGTTCCATGGGCATTACAATGTGGTGCTTCATGTACACCTTTAATGAATGTGTATTATGAAGAACACTTTTATACACCTTTAGATGAATTTCGTCAACAACTGGGTGTTGTCTTGCCACCCAAATAAATAAAAAAAAAAATCGTTCCATTTTAAGCAGCCAATCGTATCTCATTTATGCAACAATGTGTTTCAGTCGTCAGTCCACTTTTCCTTTTTTTTATGCGAGTATTTAATCCACTTTTTTTTTTTTTCTTATTTTCTTTATTCTTTTATCATCATGTTTATTAAATCAATTACTTCAAGAACTGCTTCTCGTATGACGAAACGATTCACAGCCTATCAAACAGGTAGTGAAGGTGCCACTGCTCAATCTGGTTCTTTTGGTCAAAAGGAAAAAGCCATTGAAAATCAATGGGCTCGTGCACATGTAAGTATTTACAATAACAAGAAAGTGATATTCATCATTACTAGGATGCTGAAAAACTCAAGATTCTTCGTGAAGCTTTAGCCAAACAAGAAAAAGAAACGGCTCACTTAAAAAAGAATATTGAAGACTTGGCAAAGAAGCATACATCTTAAGATATGGGTGAGAAAATAAATAACAATAAAAAAAAGCACCGAAACAATTCTTTTATTTTTTATTTTATTTTATTTTTTTTTTTTAAAGGACTCTAAGCAGTCATGTAAGTGTTGATATCAACTTCTTCAGGAAGAGATTGAATGTTGATTTCGAATCTGCTTTGCACAGAATTCAACACTTCAGTGTCTTTTTCATCAGAGACAAAAGTAATACCTAAACCCTTTGTACCAAAACGACCAGCACGACCCACACGGTGCAAGTAAGAATCAGCACTGTCAGGCATATCATAATTGATGACAATATTGACACGTTCAATATCAATACCACGACCAAAGATATCTGTGGCTACCATGATACGCTTTTCAAAGTCCTTGAATGACTTGTAACGCTTAATACGCTCTTCTTGACTCATTTGTGAGTGAATACAGATACTGGGGAAATTACAGTCAGACAAGATACGGTTAAGTTCATTGGCACGGGCAACAGAGCGAACAAAGATGCAGACTTGGTTGAATTCTAATGTATCCAACAAATCATTGAGTTTACGGTTCTTTTCTTTCTCTTCCAACTTGATGTAGAACTGTTGAAGACCGTGTAATGTCAATTTGGCTTCATCATCGACATAGATTTCTAATGGATTTTGCATGAATTTCTTACAGACAGGACGCATTTCTTTAGCAAGTGTGGCAGAGAACATCATGACTTGTTTGTGGTGAGGAGTAGCACGGAAAATGTCTTGTACATCACGACGCATATCTAATTGTTCCAGCATTTTATCACATTCATCTAAAACAAAGTGCTTGACAGAGTTTAAAGGCAAGTGCTTGTCACGCACCAAGGCCAAAACACGACCAGGTGTACCCACAAGGATATGAGGACATCTAGCCTTATCTTTAAGGATTTCAACATCCTTTGTCATAGGCACACCACCATAGAATACTTCAGTACGAATATCAGGCAAGTACTTGCTGAAACGAGCATATTCGTTCTTGATCTGGAAAGCCAATTCACGCGTATGACACAGGACAATCACAGAGACTTCACCATTCACAGGTTCAATTTGTTGAAGGGTAGCAAGCACAAAGACAGCAGTCTTACCCATACCAGACTTGGCTTGACAGAGAACATCCATACCGAGAATAGCTTGAGGAATACATTCTTGCTGGACTATGGACTTTTTTTTTAATATACGGTGGATGGTGCTTGTGAATTACCTTCAGAAGGGTGTTCAAAACCACAGTCAACGATACTTCTCAAGAGTTCAGGCTTCAATAAGAAATCACGGAAACCAGTCGAGTGAATACCAACATAGGAACCTTTTTTGTCTTTTTTATCGTCTTCCCCATTTGTTTCAGGTTCATTGGTTGTGGGCTTTTGATCAACTAAATGTTCATCTTCTTCTTCGTAATCAATAAGATCATCGTTATGTTCAACAGAGGCCATTATTCTTTTTTTGTGTGTGTGTGTGTGTGTGTGTGTTTTAATGAAACGCGTCATTTTGTGTAAGTAACTTGGTCAATACATGATGCGTTATATTATTTACCTTGGTTTTGTTTGAAAGGGGTTTTTTTTTAAAAAAAAAAAAAAGAAAAGAAAAGAAAGAAAGAAAAAGCCAAAAGAGCCGTTAAATTACATTAGACGCATGACGTTGCTTGTTGGGTCAGTGAGGAGTTTAAAAATCTATTTAAAGTAATCTGAACTGTGTGTATTATTGGACTATTGAGCATATCATTAAGTTATTTTCAACAGAGTAATGTTATTTGAGCTACTGCTTCGACACAGTTTTAGGGTCTTAGATAGACAGAAGACACTACTTGTACTTCTTTATAGATTTCAATTAACATAATTGTTCAAAAGGTCTGTAGCAGCAAGAAACACACATTTTAGATAAAGTGCATAAATGTACATGGATGATTGGGAAGAGAGAGAGGAACATTCAATACTCAACGTGTGTGCGGACCTCTTTTTTGAAGAATTTCACATCATTCAAGGGTATATAAAGAAGATGTTTGGGTTATTTACTATTATCAGATACTATTTACAAATAAAAAAAATACAAGCAATCAAATGTCTATAATCCTCCGTCGTCTGAAGTAGAATCATTATTCTCTTCGTCGTCTTCATCATCGTCATCAGAGGCTATCAAAGGCCCTCTAGCCAAATCAGCTATAATTTGCTTTCTCCATCGCTCTGTTCGATCTCTTTGTCTCAATAATCTGTTCATTTGGTTGTTTTGTTTCTCGGCCTTGGATTCAATCTGAACAATATGTTGCTTAAGCCTTTCAATTTCTTTCTCTAGTGCTTGAAACTTGCTTTCTTGTGTCTTACAGTTTGAGCAAGAAGACAATGGTGGTAAAGAAGGTAATAAAGAAGTTTTCACAAGTGTTGCTGTTGTAGATTGTACAGGAGAATGGGGCACCAATGACTTTGTGTGTAACGGTTTGTTGGTTATCTTGGGTGATGGTATAATAATTCGTACAGGTGAAGAGGGTGAACTAGAAGATGATGCCAGTTCATCTTCTTCGTCTGCAAACTCTTCCTCTTCCTCTTCCTCTTCTTCTTGTTTTTCTTGTTTTGTATCTTGTCTATGATCATGCTCCATATCGCTTTCATCTCCGTCGCTGTATTCTTCTTTATTCATTGAATCTTCCATTGTCATATCTTCTTCTTCTTCTTCTTCTTCTTCTGATTCACTTTGGTTGGGTCTAAGATATTTTTGTGCATTTTCAATCATTTGAGTACTATTTTGACTATGATCTCGCATGCGTTTCCGACTTCCTGCCAGCAAGATAGGTATACGGTGTTCTTGATCTGTACTCTCATCCAATTCTTCCTCATCTGACTTGGTATTTGAATTAACAACTGTATCTTTCTTTTTATAATTTCCCATTGTCAAACAACCCGAGTATTTCCCATTAGGTGAATGAAAGTCATACTTATTACCAAGTAAATAGTCAAAATAACAATCGATTTTGTAACGATGCATCCAACGCTTAACACGCTGTGCAAATTGAGGACGACCTGTCATGTCTTGTAAACCCAACTGACCCACTAATTGAGACCAATTTTTGATCTATAAACCATGAATGCATTGAATTTTTTTTTAATATATAGTTATGTACCTCTCGTCTATGCAACTTAAGTACAAGTTGATAGATATCCCAAGTAGAATAAGTGATATCGGCAGTCTTGGGAACCGAGCAAAACTTGCGTTTAGCATAGACCAAACTCTCGATACCATCTCCTATATAACTCTCATCATGGCTCAGGACAAATTGAATATAACCTTCTGCAATATTTGCTGCTGTCACATTATCGCCATGGATGGTCAATTTGTTTCTTGTGGGGGTGTTGATTGTTTGTTCGGGAACTCTCGTAGACTTCACCTTATTTCCATTGTTGCTAGAAATTTCAATTGTAGCCGAACTTGGCGTACTGATCATGGAAGAAGGAGAGCTTGGGGTCCCCATGGGAATCATATGTGCTGATTTTACTGTGGCTATCGTTTCCTCGCTCTTTTTATCCTCCATAGGCTTTGTGGAAGGCAAATTAAATGACTGAAAAGCACCTTTATTTGCAAAAGTAGTGGGATTAGGTTGAAAAGCTGGTTTTTTATGCATAAATGATACATGCGTTGACGTTGTTTCCTGAGTTGAGTCGATAAGTCCATTATTATCGCTATTGAAAAAGACGTTATTGTTCATCCAGTCCGTCTAGATGAAGCAACATTAGTAAGCAGTAACTAGAGTCTCTTTACTCACATTGGACATAAATAGAAAAGAAGGCTGGTCCTGTCTATTGAAGCTAGAGAAGACATGAGATGGTGAAGATGGGTCAATGACTGTTTGTGGGAACAAGCTGTTATTTGAAGGCGTGGTTGTTTGAGTACTCAATCTTGAAGAAAGTGCGTTGGCTGCCTTATTCTCTCCAGCAGTTCTATGGACGAGATCAGACAAGTTCATAATAGCAGTGTTCAAGAAATAAAATACAATGACCAAAAATGGCAGAGGAAAATTATACTGTTGCTCATCGTGCCAATATGATTTGATTGCTTCTTACTTTGCATCTATTCAAAGTCAGCGAAAATACACACACATACACACACACACACACACACATATACATAGGCAATTGGAGAATATCTTATCAATGATACAGGAAAGATAAAGGTTCTAGCTTTTTTCTTAATATTATTATGATAAACATACTTTTGACAAATTTCTGAATGCAATGGTTCACATCATTTGGTTCTGAACAATGTTTCTATGACCTTAAGCATACGAGGGTCTACCTTGAGTAGCACTCGATGTTCGCAAAATTCAAGTTTTTCCTTTTCGGTCATTTAAAAAATAATTTTAATAAGTTGATCTGAACAATCAAACGTCAAACTATCTCTTTTCTTTCTTTCTCTCTTTCTTAATACAATGAACATTCATTCTTATTGTTTAGAATCAAGCTACTCTCAAGCCATTGAGGGGTTTCCAGAACTGGAAATTGCTCAATTTAAGCCTATTGTTGGCCATCAACATGATGCATTGCATGTCTTGCTAACAAGTTCAAAGAAAGATTTGATCTCAAATGCTTCAAAATATATTCTACAGAACAATCCAGTCAAAGTAAGCATTCATCTAACTGTTCGAGAGATTAAAGAACCATTAGTCCATCTTGACAATTGATTCAGTCAACATGAAAGCACTCTTTCATACGGAAATTAAAGTATCATTAACTCGGATCGCACAGCAATACAACATCAAGATCAAAGTAAATAGTTCTAGTCTTTCTTCAAACCCCAAGATATGTTTGTTGGGATCCATTGATGCCATTGAGTCTGCCCGTATCCGTGTTCTTGTGATGTTGGATCAATTGGTATGTATGTATATACATACATAGGCTTACTTATTGACACTTTATAGTCTGGCTTACATGTTGAGAAATTAGATCAGATCCCTTACTATCTTCACAACCTCATTGCTGGCAGAAAACATGTCCAACTACAGTCAATTATGGAAGAAACATCCACCAACATTTACTTACAATCACCATTCAGTCATGTTTGTACCGAGAAAGAGATGCAACAGGGTATTGTCTATTTGACTGGCGAGTCGATGCCCGGATTAAACAGAGCCAGAGATCTTTTAGTTAAACTATCCGCACAAAAAGTAAGATCATAATTCAATTTCTGAAGCTTATTTTGTACAGCTTAAATCCTTATATCATAAAGACTCAACCATGGATACACGAAAGATTGACTGGATATTGTTATACAAGCGATCTCAATTAAGAAAAATTATGATAGATAATGGTAGTATTTGTTTGATTTGAAAGAAAAAAAAAAACAAATATTTAAATTCTCCTACTTTTTAGGATCCTTCTTTTCTTTTCCGGCACTAGGGGCAGGCAGTAACTTTGTTTCTATTTATGCCGAGAATAGAGTTAATGTTGAGCGATCTATTCGTTTATTAAATTATTTGGTATATACTATGTAAAAAAAAAAAAAAAAAAAAAAAAAAAAAAAAGAACATAGAAAAAAAGAACATTGAAAAAAAAAAAGATTAAAGCTAACACTTTTCTTTTTGTTAGATATCCACTCTTTATGAGGCTTCGTTTGATTTAACTGGAAGTTTAAAAAACATTGATTTATCTGCTTGTTTATCTCAAATATCTCAAGAAACCAATGCTTATGTTACTTTTGATGCTGAGAATCACAAGATTAGCCTGTTTGGTATAGAAAAGCAAGTCAAAAGTGCTTACCAATCACTTGCTGAATTACACTTTTTTAAGGTATTAGACGCACAAGAAAATCCAAAACTTATTTTCGTTTTGATAGGAAAAGCATACATTTGCTACTTTCTGTTTGGAACTAGCGACTGACCAACTTGAATTTATCAGTGGAAAAAAGAACGGCAAGATCAATAAGATCATGAAGACCTGCACTGTCAATATCCGGTTTAAAGCAACCAACGAATACAACTCATGCATCATTGTCGAAAGTTCCAATCATGCCAACGCCTTTGAAGGGCTTACCTTACTCCAAGACGAATTACCAGCAGAGACCTCCTTTTATGTGCCTGAAATTTATCATCGCCGCATCATTGGCGTAGCTGGCAAAAATATTCAAAAAGTCATGAAAAAGTACGGTGTCTATGTTAAGTTCTCTGGTGCAGAAGAGTTTTCTTCTTTGGGTGGATACTTTGAAAACGAAGACAATGTCGTTGCTCGTACGCCCATGAAGAACCAGATAAATCTGGAGAACCTGAAACAGACTGTCACTGAATTCATTGGGTTTCAAAGAGACAGAGATTTTGTCAGTACATGGGTGAATGTTCCATATGCTATGCAAAGAACAATCTTACATCAATTTGGTAGTCAATTGCGAGAAATGTGTCGCACAAACAATGCAAAGATGTGGTGGCCGGAACGTCTTGGTACAAACCAAGTAGTGATTTATGGACCTCAAACACAATTACCTACTATCGCTTCATTTTTATCTTCAGTTGTCAAGATGGAAGAGCATGTAGTCATTGCTCACACAAATGACCTTGAGGCGTTTTTGCTAGACAAATCTTCTGGCAAAATTCGAAAAAATATAGCCAAAGTAACCAGTTCTGTTTCTTTAGAGGATATTGCGATCTTGGACCAGTTTAACCATAGAGACGAATGGCTTGAATTTGCTTGGATAAAGGATACTAAAGACAAGATCATCGTACTTCGTTTGTCCTACTGTCCTTCATCTAAGGAAGATTTAAAGAAAGCAAAAGAGGCGATTCAAGACATGATTGAATCCAAGCATTTGCCATTTACAGAGCCTGTTTTTACTGACAAACCATGCACTCAAACAAAAGGTGAACTATTCTATTTCTTTATGTAACTGACACACATCCAATTCTAGAATCGAATCAGTCACCAAAAGACGCAGTAGTAAAGAAAGACGCATCAACATGTTTGTCATCAGCAGATATGGAGCCTATACATCATCCACTTGACATGCCAGTGATGAAATCGTTCTCAGTTGCTTCAAACTCATTACTATCAGCACCTTTCCCAAGTGGAAAGAACATCTGGTCATCGCCTGAAACACAACCGAACAATGTAAGCTATTTATTCTATCAATCCCTATTTACTCATTTAGATGATTTTACCAACGATACACATGAGACCAATTGAGTTGTATCATTCGTTCTCTATACCCCATCAACAACATATGTTTAGCCATACTATGGGACCTTTGTTTCAGCAATCAGAACAACCAAAGAGAACTAGATCCAGTGTACCTACAATTGGTACAAAACATCATAGCCAACAACAGCATCACCATAATTCATGGCCCGATATATTCTCAGGCAGTCGCGATCTCTTTGATACATTGCCTTCCCGGAGAGCATCCTCAGCAAATGCAACACAATATGCATTTGAGCATTATCCAAATACGAGTACATCGCTTTCTTTTCATCAACAAAACAACAGTAAGTTGGATCAAACAAAAGCCATTATTTATCGCGTTTATTAGTGTATCATTCACCTTTTGTCTATCCCAATGCTACAATAGCTTCCAATACATCTCAATTTCAACGCCGCCGTCAAGATTCCTTGGGATTCAAAATTTAGGGTTCCATCAATCTATACCCCATTCATTTATTGTGTAATTAAACTCCCCATTAAATGGGAAAAGAGAAATTTTTATTGTGTTATCCGAATAAAGAGCTGTCAAAATGCCTGACTCTCAAAAGAAAACCCAGTTACCAAAAATAAGAGACAGATAGAAGGACAGGAAGTTCTTTTTCTCTTTACTTTGCTCTTGTATTCTTTAGAGTTCTTTCTTTCAACTTAGTGTCATTTTTTAAAGAAAAACATCTCACGCCAAGGTAAATCATTTCCCCTATTTTCCAATTATGGTCAATTACCTGAATCTATTACTAAATGCTTTCCCACTTGATTTCTGTACTTTAAAAGGACGTTTTTTTTTTTGGTTTTTTTCTGTTTTATATAGCAATGACCATCTTTCAATCGACCAGACAGCCAATCTCTATTCCTGATATTGACATTTATTCCTTCTTATTCAGTCCAAACCAATTCAATAGAACACGCTCTCCTGATCGTCCCTTATTAATTGATGGTGTGACTGGTAAAACATTATCATTCAAGCAAGTCAGAGCATTGACAAGCAAGATTGCACTTGGATGGAAAGAAAATATTGGATTAAGCAAAGGCGATGTCGTTGCTGTATTTGCACCAAATCAATATGATCATGCTGTTCTTTATTTCTCTTTACTGGCTGCTCAATGTATTGTTAGTCCTGGGTAAGTCATATCTATTGATATTCGGTCTCTCATTTTTCGCTTTTTATGCAGTAATCCAAGTTACACAGAAGGTAAATACTTAAAGAAACACTTGTTAACTCATGCCTTCTCGTCCCATATAGCTGAATTTAGCCATCAAATACAAAAATCAGAAGCAAAAGCCATTGTGACAATACCTGCACTTCTTCCTGTTCTACGAAAAGTCGCTAAAAAAGCAAAGATCCCAGAAAATCGAATCTTTTTATTTGGTAATCAGACCGTTGGCCATGCTCTTCCCTTTACTTTGATTGCTTCAGACCATCACAGCCTTATTCAACTTCCTATCGCCAATATGAACCCAGCAGAGGACTTGGCTTTCATTTGTTTTTCGAGCGGAACGACAGGTGTTGCCAAAGGTGTGATGCTCACCCATCGTAACTTTGTATCGCAAATACTCACTGTCTCTGACTTTGAAGGGACAGACAACAATCAAGAAGACGACCTCTTGATTGGATTTCTGCCCTTTTATCATATTTTTGGATTGACAACGCTTGTTCTTCGTGCTTTTTACTCTAATACACCTGTGGTTGTTGTGCCCAAATATAACCTTGAGACAGTCTGTCGATTGATTGAGAAATACAGGATTACAATTGCACCTATTGTGCCTCCAGTCGGTAAGACTTCATGTTGAAAGCAACGCATGCTCACTCTATCGATAGCTGTTCAATTAGCCAAGAATGATGTCGTATTGAAATACAATTTATCCTCACTTAGAATGATCACAAGCGGTGCAGCACCACTAGGTATTGAGCACATTGAAGCGCTTCATTTACGTGTCAAGGCACCTGTCAGACAAGGGTAGGTTAATTGTCTCTAGAACATGTTGCAAACTCACGTCATGCGGTAGTTATGGTCTCACTGAAACTACAGCAGGCTGTATGTATCAAAAGATCGGCAAAAGCCCTGCAGGTGCTTCTGGTGTATTAGTTGCCAATATGGAATGCAAACTAGTGGATCAAGAAGGCAATGGTAACACACCCATCACGTGTTTAGAGTACTCAATGTATCTGTTAGAAGTCGGTCCTGATCAGCCTGGTGAAATTCTTTTTAGAGGACCTATGGTCATGAAAGGCTACTTGAATGATGACAAAGCCAATGCAGAAACATTTACAAAAGATGACTGGATGAGAACAGGCGATGTGGCTATATACGACTCAAAGTCGGGCGAGTTTTATATCATTGATCGCATCAAAGAACTGATCAAATACAAAGGATACCAAGTGGCACCAGCAGGTAGTGTATGTCATAAGAAATGAGACATTCATCTCTATGTTGTAGAACTCGAAGCGTTGTTGATGAGCCATAAAAGTGTGGCGGATTGTTGTGTGGTTGGTGTGTATGATCCTATCCAAGCAACTGAGCTGCCAAGAGCTTACATTGTGCTTCAGCCTTCTGTACTTGATAATCAGTCTACTTTAAAAATGATGTCCGAGTTTGTGGATGGTCAAGTTGTGAGCTACAAAAGACTAAGGGGTGGAATTCGATTTATTGATCAGGTGCCCAAGAGTGCAAGTGGCAAAATCCTCAGGAGACAAGTTAGAGAATGGGTAAAAAAAGAGCAACAACAGGAACATGAACGCGCTCGTATCTAATAAAAATAAATGCTTTAATTACAAGACGGTCTTTGTGACGGTTGAATGTCATGTCCCCAAACAATAGAGCTCCGAAAAAAGTATAAAAGAAAAGCAAAACGAGACTTGAAGTTCTTTATACTTACCTGGGTCGTGTATCTGGGATCAAGAATACCAGATATACAGCGAGAATGGTTGTCATTGCACAGCGACGGCTATTTTTGCTGCGAACATCCTTCGGGACGTCTCGAGATCAAAATTTTTGTTTGGGGGGAATACGTGGTTCGCCGCGCGTTCCCCTGCCTTGTCTAAAGAAAATGAAAAATTACCTAGAAAGTCTTTATCTCCTAGTTCGCACGAGCACGTGATGAATATGTTTTTTCCACGGTCTAATCTAGATGACATTTCTAATTTGTCTTTTCTCTCTCTCTTTTTTTCATTTCTCAATAAATGTCATTTGTTGTATCAGCTGTAAGCAGACTTGCCTTAAAGAACCACGTGAAGGTAAACAATGTATAATACAGCATTGTTTATTTATCGTCAAAATTGAATAGGGACAATTCAGGGGTATCTCTTCGGCTGTAAGCAAATGATCATCGTATCTATAATTAGCTAACACAGAATAGGTGGAAGGTGTCAAGAAGTTGGGTATTATTGGCTCGGGACAAATGGGTCTTGGTATTGCCTATGTTGCTGCCAATGTTACTCGTCTTCCTGTTGTACTTATGGACATCAACCAAGCACAAACAGAGAAAGGCATGCAGTTTTTTGGTAACTAGAATGCTTATGCCGAGAACTTTTAACAAACTATAACAGACAAACTTCTCGCTAAGGATGTCTCTAAAAACAAAATAACTGCTGAACATGCCAAAATCACGCGTGAATTGGTCTCCACCACCAACAGTCTCTCTAATTTGAGTGATGTTGATTTTGTGATTGAAGCTGCTTCTGAAAATCTCAATATCAAATCTGCCATTTTCCGTGATTTGGACCAAGTATGTAAGGCAGATAGTATTTTGGCTACCAATACTAGTTCTATCAGCATTACAAAGATTGCAGCTGCTACTAAGCGTGCTGAACAAGTGATTGGTATGCACTTTATGAACCCTGTGCCTGTCATGAAACTTGTAGAAATCATTCCTGGTTTGGCTACTCATAATCAAGTGCTTCAGACCACGCGAGATTTGGCTAGTGCTATGGGCAAGACGACTACTGTAGTTCAAGACATTCCTGGTTTTGTTGCTAATCGTCTTTTGATGCCTTATATCAATGAAGCAGTCATGCTCTTGGAATGCGTAAGTAACCTACAACATGAATCATTCAACTGACATCATGATAGGGAGCTGCTAGTGCCGAAGACATTGATACTACTATGAAGCTTGGCACAAACATGCCAATGGGTCCCTTAACTTTGGCTGACTTCATTGGATTAGATACTTGTCTTTCTATCATGAAAGTACTTTATGAAAACACAGGTGACTCCAAGTATCGCCCAAGTGTTTTGCTTCAAAAATACGTGGATGCTGGTTGGATGGGCAAAAAGAGTGGAAGAGGCATCTATAGTTACTAATAAATTGACTGATTTAAATTCAGCTAGTGATTAGCATCTACCTAATAATAACAATCCTATTCTTTTGGTTTACGTGTATAAACGACTTACTCCTTCCTTTTAATTGAACTTTATTTTTATTTCCCTTTTTTCTTTCTTTCTTTCTTTCTTTCATCTATATCTATATATATAAATACCTTCCTTTGTATAAAATTATTATTATGCAGCACCAAAAAGACCGACACTATCTTCACTCTTTAAGGTAAATAAGAGAGAAATAACAAGATGAGTTACTAAGCTGATCGTAGAGACTTGTGTGAAGTAGCTGAAGAAGGAGACTCAGCATTGGCCGAAGAGTACAACCAAGGATATGTAAACCATGTATTGAATACAGTGTCTTTTAACAAATCGATGGAAGCAAGCGGGCGTTCTATTGTGCCTGTGGGCCGTATACGTGCTGGAACGATGCCTTCCTTAGCCATGAAGCCTATGCCACCACCAGTGCTTCCATCTAATTCGTTATGCTTTTTGAATAACAGACATCGATCTGGCTCCTTAACACTGCCAAATACATATAATTATTGGCGAAATATTGCGGAACCTTCTTCAGAATTACCACAGGGCGATGATATTGCTCGAACATTAAGGTCGTTGGGTCTAGATGATGATAAGGAAGACTCAGAAATTCATGGAAGTCCATTATCATCCACTTCAGCCAGCTTAAATACACCTTCTTCAAGAACTACATCAACCCCTTCACCGAATATATTACCACAAAAAACAAGCTTAAGGAGTCGATCTTATTCCGTCAATAATACATCCACATATCAAAAACATTCAGCCCCATTTGTGAATGGTATGTATACACCATCAACACCATCAACACCATCAACACCACCACCACCACCACCATCAACTTCAACAGAATCCTTACCCACCAGTCGACCTAGGGCATCTAGTACGGGTAAAATGGACTATCATGCTCGAATGGGACTGTCTTCATTATGGAAAATGCAATTGGATACCTTACATGATGATTTAGCCGATTCTCCTTCTGCAGAACCTTCGCTTTCTTTGGGTGATTCTGAGTTATTAGCCAATATGCTTCATCATAATCCTGGCTATCAAGCAGATATAGAGGTAAGAAATACATTGTCATGATAGACACTAATGCCTTTGTTAGAGTAATCAAGCCAACAGTTTTATTCCTATTCCAACTAGATCTGTATCTACATCAACCATGGCTAATTCTCAGCTAAATGTGTCTCGCTCGTTATGGATTGGAAATATGGATGGCTCAATCACCATGGACGATTTGACTAGCTTATTTTCTTTCTATGGTCCTATTGAAAGCATACGTTTATTGTTAGAAAAAGAATGCGCCTTTATTAATTTCTTTCATGTTGAAGACGCTGTTCGTGCTAAAGAAGATGTCTTGACTAATTTAGGGGGAAGAATAGGGTCTTGTATCATCCGTATTGGGTATGGAAGAGCAGAAAATACATTGACTCCTTTTTCTATGCATTCACCAGCAACAACGCTTATAGAACAACCTGTTGTCTCTCAACCTACTCGAGCTCTTTGTAAGTTAAAAAAAAAGGATGTATTCGCATAAACTGACGTATGTCAAGGGCTAGGCAACTTACCTTCAGGTGCTACACAATCTGTTTTACAGAACATCTTTTGTTCGTTCGGGACCATTGAGTTCATTCGAGTATTGACTCAAAAGAATTGTGCCTTTGTGAATTTCGAAACAGTTAAGAGTGCAAGTACTGCTCGTGATGCTCTCCTGCAACACGAATTGAGCGTAAAAGAGCTTTGGGGTATTCGATTAGGTTTTGCCAAGGTGCCTTTAAGTAGTAGCAGCACAAAGACAAAACCATCTGTTTCTTACGTTGACACCTCGCTTGAAGATGAAAATATCAATCAAGAGATATGGATCATGATGAAGGAATTAGGAGCTAATGAGAATGCAAAAAGCATTGTTAAAGGTAATTCAGTTTTTTTTTTGACGTTGCTCATGCATAGTAGCCTTTCAATCGTTCTCATATCATGAATCGATCCCTTCTGTGCCTGAATTTGGATTGAAAAGGAAACATGATACAGTCAAGCTGAGAGAAATAAGAAAAAAACTAGACACGTTTACGACAAAAGAAGACACTAAATACGCTGATGCGATTGCTTTAGATTGTATGAACGAAATTGCAGAAATATGCAGTGGTATGTTATATAAACCATGACTCTCACTCAATTTATGCATAGATTACATTGGAAATACTGTTGTTCAAAGGCTGTTTGAAAAGTGTTCCGAGAATTTAAAGACCATCATGCTTGAGACAATAGCGCCACATTTGGCTGCTTTGGGTGTTCACAAAAATGGCACTTGGGCAGCACAAAAAATCATTGATTCCTTAACAACGCCAAAGCAGGTAAAACCAAATGATATGTCCTCCATACATACTAACGTCCCTAGTTTCAAATGGTATTTTCTCATATTCAACCTTATGTACCGCCTTTGTTACTCGATCAATTTGGAAACTATGTGGTTCAGTGTTGTCTGAGACTTGAAGGAGATACTCAATTCATTGTCAATGCTATGGTTGAAAAATGTTTTCATATTGCTCAAGGAAGATTTGGTGCAAGAGCTATTCGAGGTATTCTTGAGGGCGATTTGATGAACCCTTTTCAAAAGGTAAGTTGCACATATGTTTCTTTCGTTGATTTTAATGATGTAGATATTCGTTTCTGCTGCTTTATTACAAAATGCAGTGTTACTTGCTACACACTCTAATGGAGCCCTTTTAATATCTTGGTTTATGGATTGTCGGTTGATGGAGAATAGACATAAATTGCTGGCATCACAGCTCTCATTTAATTTAGCCCAAGTAGCAACTCACAAACTTGGTTCCCAAATATTACTCAGGTTGGTAAACCAGAACATAGAGATTAAAGCCAAGCAATACATCTTAAATGAGTTACATAATCAAGAGACTCTGAAAGAGATTGTATCAGACCATACGCGCGGCTTGAGCTTTGTACTTAAGGTGTTGTCGAGTGAATATACAACAGTAGAAGAGAAAGCAGATCTGAAAGCAGCAGTGTGTCCCATATTAAAGCAACTTCAAGGTGCTGAATTTAGAAAAGCATTGGTTGAAATCAGTGCTTTAAAATCGGTGAAGACAGTTCAATGATATGCTTCTCTTTTTCTCCTTTTTTTAATTTGGCCGCATAGACATTCTCCTTTGTATTTCCCTATTGAAAGAGTGACGTTATTTGGATCACAAAAATAAATGCCTCCTACCATCCTTTTAAAGTGTAGTCTCCACTGCTTAAACGCAGATGTGAACCGTGGATAGGTAGACGACGCTGCTTATGCTTTCTCTTTTTTTTTCTGATACATATAAACTTCAATGCACAGTCAGTTAAGAAAAAAGTGACATTTTAGATTGTAATCCTCATTCGCTTTGCTTCTACCTAACCAGTACGCCTTCATTTTCACATATTGTATTAACAAACTCTTATAATACACAATGATATCTAATTGTTTTTTTTTATTAAGGTATCAGTGGCTGATAGAGCCCCCAAGTGCATCAATCATCTTTTAATTCCTTATGTTTCTTACTCAGGAAGGGCTTTTTTGCTGCTACCCTTTTTTTAAAGCTCATCTCATATGCAGCTCCTTCGAGATCAGCCACTTATTGCACTTGACAGGCAACTGAGTTTGGATTTGCTCGAGTGAAGTGGTTCTATCACACTTCACTATATTTGCGAGGTGTCTTTTGTCTCTATCGCTAAAGGGCTTTGGTCTTCCAGAGCCTTCTTTTATCTCAAAGGTGCCGCATTCTCTGAATGTTTTGATTACTTTGTGCACAGTTGTAGAGGAATTTTAAGACTGTTAAAAATTTGTCTTATAATAAACTGGCTTCTCCAGCGGTCAATAATAACAGCTTTTGTTTCGTTCGATAAGTGATGCATTCAAGATATGGATTTGAAATGAGATTAGTAAAAGAGATGAGCATTACACGATACTGTTCAATAATTTATTACGATTTGATTATCGGAGACTAATTTCAACTTTCTGCTGACGTCATTAAATTCCAATTCCTTCAGTATCCCTAGTTAGCCCATTATGCATGAATATCTCTTTTATGTAGAAACTATAAAGAATACACACTCAAACAGCAACAAATCAACATAAGAGAGTATTCTACTTGAAGAAGACCAGCACCACAGACATCAAGACTTTTCATACTTGGTATTTGTTTTGTTGTTTGACTTAATTGAACTCTGCAACTGTTTTATTTTACTAGATTCAATACAGCATCCAGGTCATGGTATATATTATGGTACCTTCTGTTACCATCATTTCGCAACGGATCATTGTAACAGAGCAAAGAAACATAAAGTATACTATAATACGGTGATATAGCTGCTCATCGCCCATGCCTTCCCTATACGGACGCATGGCTATAGGTTGTTGAATAGCACTCTGTGTCCAACTTATAGAAGAGAATAGCATAGCTAGTCTTGGCTGAGATCAATCAGTGCGACGCACTCTCGTCAAAACTAATCACTGTTCGTTTCGATCGTTCGTCCGTGTCTCTGCAGCCACATGGCTACGACGGGTTGAATACTACGTCCTTGTGCGTAGCCCATAGTCGTAGAGGAACCTTTTTCAGGTGGTTGATACATGAAAAAAGCGGGTATACCTGTAGTTGGGCATACTATAATACGGTGATATAGCTGCTCATCGCCCATGCCTTCCCTATACGGACGCATGGCTATAGGTTGTTGAATAGCACTCTGTGTCCAACTTATAGAAGAGAATAGCATAGCTAGTCTTGGCTGAGATCAATCAGTGCGACGCACTCTCGTCAAAACTAATCACTGTTCGTTTCGATCGTTCGTCCGTGTCTCTGCAGCCACATGGCTACGACGGGTTGAATACTACGTCCTTGTGCGTAGCCCATAGTCGTAGAGGAACCTTTTTCAGGTGATTGATACATGAAAAAAGCAAGCATCTTTATGTTTATTAGACCATCTTCAATCACTTTTTTAGCACTTTAGAATCAAAGGCAGGGCTTTATGATATGTAAAATTAAGTTAAAGACAAATTTTTCTATGTGTCCTATATCTATAGATATGATAAAACAATGGGTTGCTCTTCACTTAAGCCAGACCGAGACATACCGTCTATCAAACCTGTATGTCGTATTTAATAAAGAATACTTGTGAAGTCAATCAGACTAAAGATATTGATTTAATTTGTTTCAACTTTGCGATATTTGTGCTTTCAGAGAAGCCTAATTCCATTGTCTTTATCTCACTCTGACTCGAGCCCGAGAGACGATTTATAGTATTGATTAGTGCCTTTATTCAGTTACTTCTTACAGTTGGGGAAGTCAAAAAAAAAAAAACAATGAAGGTGATCCTTCAGTCCAACTTTAAATAAGAAAGTTCGCGTAAAAAGACCGTCGCGACTAATCTTTGCGAACTTGCTTCTTTTCCTTAATGCCTAATCAGAAAATATGAGTTGCGATTACTTTGAAACTACCAACTGTGAGGATTGGACTCTTGATGCTGCTTTCAGATCTTACATGACAGTGTTCCAATCAAGTCGTATCTGTCTAAATAAAATGTCTGAAAAGTTGAGATCTTTTGCTAAATCACCAAACTGCAGCACAAAGGCCAGGAAGAAGGCAAAGGCACTCGAGAGAAATTTCAATGTAAGTTTATAGATATGGCCTCTGCTTCTGCATTACGGTTTACTTGTATTAAAAGTGTGATCAATAGACGTTCAAGAAATCAATCTTTGACAAGGTAAAATTTCTCGATCTACACTGTCACTCCGAATTCTGTACTGGCAGCACAATTGCTATTATGGCTAAACTCTTTCTTTTCTAGACCTCCATTCAGCAACAAACAGCCTCACAAAGTACCATAATAATTCGTCATAACACGGTACATGGTGTTCAAAACATTGCTAGTACAATCTCTCAAAAAAAGCAAAAGAAAAGAAAGATTTCTTATGTTGAGGAAAAAAAGCAAGAAGACAAAGAGCAGGTGCAAGAAGATGACGAAGAGGTAGAAAAAGAGATGGGAATAGGACTTCATAACCCAAATGAAGCTGATCAAGAAGCTTTATTAGACATTGAGAGGGAAGAAGCTTTGGTAACTACAAATCTTGTATGTAGTTTGCGTACAAAGAGACTAAGGCCTTTATTTAAAATATGAAAGGCGCAGATGATGAATGCAGAAGCAGAAGATTCGTTTGAAAGTATCGATCTCCATCCGCAGAGACAGTACTGGTCTTCATATCTTGAAGGCAATGGTCAAATAGATTGGAGTAGAGCCGATCAAAGTGAACCCTTGGCTAATGAGGTATCTGAGATTGCTGGAGAACTTGAGAAATATCGTAAAAAATCAGTGATTGGCGCAAAGTACCACAAAAACCTGAGCGATCATAGGATCCTGTAAGTAGGCTCAGCTTTTATTCTTTATCGTGGTATTACTGAAATGTCCATTGAATAGATCCCTCTCCTTTATTTTTCCCTTCGTTCATCGGGAAGTAGGCCGGGACCTTTGTGTATGTGTTGATGGTGTAGATTGTGATATCTACTGCTCTGCTTTGCCGATCGTTAAACATCAGCATTATAGTCTGGTTGCTGACGCTTTGGATGATCTACAAGAGGTAGCCATAAAACTTTTTCGAACGTTTCTATTTCTACTTTCTTCTGTTTACCTGTACTGACAGCAACGAAATTGTAACTCTTCTAGCTTGACGACTTTTGTAGAGAACAATCTATCCAAAAGCACATTCCTGCCTTGATAAGAAACGTCTTGTACAATTTTCACAATCAGTTGAGACAGTGGACAGTTTCTGCTGCTATGACCGAGAATGAATTTGCCGAACAAGCCATCTTTACTTTGGTTCTGCCTCTTTTTCAGTACAAATCTGATTATTCGATCTCCAAGTAAGTTTACAATGTGCGGCGATTACGCTATGCATCAAAAAAAGCAAGCTGAAGACAAACTTTTCTATGTGTCCTATATTTATAGGTATGACAAAACAATGGATTGCTCTTCACTTAAGCCAGACTTGCTTGTAAAGCTCAATATAGCAGTAAATTGCCAGGTCGATTTCTTTACCGTCGAAATCAAGAAGCCTAACGGCAATTTATGTAATCAGTACGAGTCAGACTTTGTAAAGATTCATCGTGAAATGAAGCTTTTGATAGATAAGCAAGTGGATCTCGGAGTGAATGACCCAGTATGTTATTCAATCCTTGTTGAAGGTAAGTTTTTTTTAGATAGTTTGGTAGGAAAGAAGAGATTTTTTCCACGCCGCTCTTATTTTTGACTGATGTCTGAGAATGCTCTGCTCATTTAAAGGCTACGATATCTCTGTTCTTCAGATGAAGTTGGAGTACGATGGAGAATACAGATCAAAACTTATGGGTAAATGTCGCACTATCAGGGACCGAGATGACTTGTCGCTGCTTGGGCGCTCTACAAATCTGTTGCTTTTGTTAGATGTAAATTCCATTGAAGTAAATCACAATAATGTAAAATACTTATAATGCTACCTCTAAAATATAGGAGAAGCTAAGAGAGCTAAGTCAAACAATTAAAAAACAAGGAAGCAAGAAGAAGATTTTGTCGCTGAAAGACAAGTTCAGACGCCCATCTTTTGACAAAGTTACTAAGTTTTGTCAAAAATAAAAAACCACTTAATGTTGGGATTTTAGTACTTAAAAAATAAAAAGATCAAGTAGTTCTCAGTCTTTGGTGTTTTATTACTCAGTTCTAACGAGTTGTAATATTTTAAACGCTGGTGGATAACTGAATCTAGCTCAATAAGACGAAATATAGGCTTTTGTTAATTAACCATCTCGGCCTAGCAGACTGGTAAAAATCGGTTTATGCCAACAGATTTAACCAAACAAAAATTTGGTTGAGATTTGATAAAAAGTAAAGGAACAATTACCAAACTTTTTTTGTTCATATCACCAAAATCTGATTCACCAAACAAACTTTTTATTTGGTTCAGCTATTAGTTAGCTACTTATTTAAACAAAGATCCGTTTGGTTATGTAAAAAGCAATGGTTGGTATAACTCGTCTTTTATTCGTTTACATCAGCAGTATTTGGTGCCTTACATATTGGATTATAATAATAAAAAAATGTTATTATATACATTTATCTCAATACTTTACTTAATTAACACATCTTATTATAACATAGTATAGTATATAACTATATAATAGATAGGCTTGTAAACATTTACTCCGATAATGGATTATGCTAAATACTTGACGCTCATATTTAGTCATAAGCCATAGTCATGTTAATCCAAAGTAGCTCAATTGAAAATACATCATTCTTTAAGAAGCATCAATCTAGCTACAACATATATTTTTGCATAAAAAAAAAAATAATCAAAATACCCACAAACTGCGTTTATTAACATAGACTGTGCTTTTGGTATTGGTTTGAAAAAAAAAAGCGATTTGTGAAAAACGAGCTTTTTGGCTACTAATCCAAAAGGTCCCATTCATGAGAATTGTCTTTGAAAACTTTTAATCAAATCATGGTTCTTTCGCTTAATTATCAGAATGATAACCGTAGGACCTCCCCGCAAGGCGGTTTAACGTTGGATTTTAGTCACAATTCAGGCAATCAATTACTTTCTTATCAGTCCTTTAAAGACGCTCTTAAAGCTCAAAAACGACATATCTTTGAAGTGTCACAAAATGTTGAGAATGGTGGTTTCAAACCTCTCAAAGCCTATTCAACTTTTGTGGAAGCCAAAGAACGAAACTCCATTGTAATCGACTGTGTTCAATTTTTGGGCATGGAATTTAAAGACAAGTCTTTACTCAAAATATTGCGCGGACAATTTCCTAAATGCCTTGGCCTCAAATCTAGAGTAATTGGTAAGAACAAAAGAAAGACTATAGAGCTTGGCTTCTCGACTGAAAACGCATGTAGAGACGCTCTCCTTAAAGAATTTTTAGTGAATGGAAAGAAAATTGAACTGAACAAGACCCTTGACCATTTTGCAATGGTAACCAACATTGGTATTTCTGAAATTCCTCTTATGGGAAAAGAAGTATTGAAGACAGCATTGATCAATACCTTTGAACGCTTTGGCGATATTTTGAACATTGGTGTCTCTAAATGCGCTGACTCCGATTGGTTCACTGGTCGCGGTTTTGCTACACTTAATAGGAATAAATCAAAAGAAGTAACATATACAGCTGAGCTCGGCCCCTCAAGTGGAACTTGTAAGTTTTCCAAAAGTATTACTGAACGTCGTTTGGTCTCAAATGAAGCATATTTGCGCTGACTGTCATACGGACGAACACATCAAACTTGACTACCCCAAAGAGTCAGAAAGCTATGTTTCCGCTGCAAGATCCCTAACCACTTGCAAGCGAAACGCTCTACGGCACCTTGAAATCGTGATCTCAAAACAAACAAAACAGGAAAGTCTGGACCTGAAGAGGAGTCAGATATGACAGCTGGCTCTAAAAGTAACAATGCTGCAGGAATTAGACGAGAAATCAATTTGCTCGAACTACTCAAGAATGATCCAAAGCCGCAGGCAGTAGAAAGTGAAGCGACTATTATGGAAGAAGTAGTAGATTTGGAGAACAGAAGCGTAATGATGAGTAGATGCACCAGCGAATCGAGCCAGCTTATGAAGGAAACTGTACCCATCAAGTCAGTTTCTATACCAAGGAGCTCCAGAAGTCAACAAACTAAAAAGCTAGATGATATTATCACCCGAAGACACTCAGTCAGCTCAACTATTAAAGAGAAAAGTAAACTAAACATGACAATTACAAAGCGCAACTTGGAAGACGCTTCCTTTCCTGAAACAAGATAATCTTTGACTCCAAATACAAAAAGACTCTGCAAAAACATTGAAAGTGAAATTGTTACTCAAATGTCTTCTCCTTTTCCTAACAATGATGGGGAGAAAATGGATGAGCTGGACTAAAAGCTTAAAAAAAGATGAATACATTCAAACACTTACACATTAAATTAGGTTCTGTCAACTGCAGAAACACTAACCAACAAACCACAGACGATTTTATTGCTTTACTGAAGAGCAAGAAATTGAATGTGCTTCTATGTCAAGAAACCAATATACCAACTCTCACCTTTGAAGAAACCATAAACAATATGAAATTCAAGTTCAACTATCATCAAGCAATTTGGACAAAACATTGCTCAATAATCAACTTCAACAATGCTCTAAATCTAGAGGAAATCAAAGTATCTAAAGATGGAAGAACGATACTAGCTAAGCTAACAACGGTTGACAACTCTACTCCGCCTGTATACATCATGAACCTATATGCACAATCAGGCCTAAAAACTGAACAGATGACTGAGAGAAACAATTTTTTTAAAACAATAATCAATCTACTACTCAAGACGCCCGAGATGATTCCCGACCTAATCATGGCTGGTGATTTTAATTTTAGTTTTGATAGCGCAAGCAAACACTCTACAATAACAAAAGCCAAGTCTCAACAACTGATTGAGTTCATAACGGGTCATATAAAAGACTGCATAAATCAACAAGGCGAGCGATACGATTATGCTTGCATCCAAAAGCGAACCGACAAGGTATCTTTATCAACCATTGACCACATATTTGCGGGACTCAACACTTTCAAGCAAATCTCAGATGGTGAGGTGGAATTCCTGAGTGACAAACACACAGACCATGCACTACTAAAGAAAACTCTGACTGTTGAGCTACAGAACAATGGAAAAGGCATATGGAGAGGCAATCCCTATCTTGCCAAAAATGAAAGATATACTAACAAACTGAAAAGTGAACTTGACAAATATATACAACACAAGTTAGACCCGGCAATGTCAGCACAAGACAAATGGGACTCAATCAAAAACACGGTTAAAAAAGTAACAGCCAACTTCTGCCGTCACCATAACCAGTGGAGAGAAAGGAAATTAAAAGAATTGAATGAAAAACGAAACAAATTGCTACGACTCTATGGTCAAGACCCTGTATGTTTGAATGCACTACTACCTCCAGTCCAGAGCCAAATCACCAAATTACAGGAAGAAAAAAGCAATACAGATAGACTCAGAGCCGGTCAGAGATGGATGGAAAACAACGAAAAGTCCCCATCCTACATCAAAAATACTATTAAGCGGCGACAAAAGAAAAGACAATGGGCATTTTGAAACATCCAGCCACTAGTAATGAATGTACAGTCAATAAATCCAAGCTAGAAGCTGCCTAAACGTTCTACTCCAAGTTGTATACAGAAGAGAGAATTGACATAAACAGTTTAGAAGCTATGACGAACCAAATTAACAAAGTCGTGTCTAAAGAAGAAAGCGACAACTTGATTGAAGAGATTTACTATGAAGACATCATACTAGGTACACAAAAAAGCCCATGTAAACGTAGTCGAGGGTTGGATGGAATCCCATATGAGATACTCAATATCATTGTTAACCAACCAAGCTGTCGAAATATCATAACACAAGTCTACAATGATGCTATCAAAAGGAGGTTTAGGACTATTGAACTTGTTTGCCCAACAAAAATCTTTACAGATGAGATACATCGAGGCTTTGCTCAACTATGAGTAATTCAAACGAATCCCAAGGTGTCTGTATGATATGATGGTATAAGTTCTTCAAGTCGAAACGAATAACTCAAGCCTCAAATCTATTATGCTTTTCTCTGAGTCTAGACATAAAATATCCCTGAACAAAGACGGTGCATTTAAATTGATTTTTGAAACAATGGATGTTTTGACCAAGCTCTGTAGACCAAAAGACGAAGCTCAAATATCATTGCCAGCAATTGATTGTATGACCCTATCACTTTCAGCTGTTTGCAAAGACTGGGAAGACAACGCTGAGCTGAAATTTCTCGGCAGTCCAACCGCAAAGAAAAGCCTAATTCAACACTTTTTTAATCTTGACTTAGCAACCAACCGGATTACCTTCAAAAGCAAACCCCAATGCAATAAACCAGTAATACTAGCAAAATGGAAGAGACACACTTCCAGCAACACACTACAGTTCAGGAAGTTCTTTCTACGTCATATCGAACAAAATATCGAAGAAGAGACTCAACACTGCGTAGGCTTTAAGAAGTATCTGAAGGAGTTAAAATACGAAAGCATTGAAATTCTGTCCCTAAACAACCAAGGTGTCAAAAGAATAATGCTAGAGAACATTCCATTACAAATGCCAAGCGACTTCAATGCTAATATCAAGTCCTGTCAATGGAAACAATTCCATAAGATATCAATACATTAATCCGCAAGGAACATCTGGTTCAAAATGATACACAACAGAATCCCTAGCAGGCAATTCCTATTCCAAAGAAGAATAAAAGACATCGAAAATGATCAATGCATCAGTGGTAATGAAATAGAAGATGCCAAACACCTACTGATCTCTTGCGGTAATAAGGCAATGATTTGGCAAAATATATTCAATAAGTTCCTTGAAATTGTTACAGATAAAATATTCCAAGATCTTAAAAATCTCACACTGTCAAGATACCTCATTTACAACTTAGATGTCAAGATCAATATATTCGACTTTTTTGCAACAATTATCAGATCAATCTGGGGCAGCCATTTCCATGGAGTGCCTTTTGACCCTGAAGAAATTTCCAGAAAGATTACCAAAGAAATATTAAAGATCTCAAAAATGAAGAAGAAAGCTGATTAATAGTTAATACAAAATGACAATTATATGGCTAGCCACTTCACTCTGTGTACATTTGACCATCCCCCCAATGGTTCTGTTTTTATAAATAAAATCTCATTCAATTTTAAACTGGAAATAATGCGTGGCACAAGAGAGTATGTATCATCTTATTCGCTTTCTCTTCACTAACTGAGGATTCTATGCATCACTGTCTGACGACTATCTCTATCAAAGCCCGCTTTTGATGGCATGAAGAATGTTGACGTCATCCAAATATGTGTATAAATTTTCTTTTTCCCCTACTCTTTTTCTTTTTTTTCTTTAGTTTAACCTATTATCATGTACGGCGAATGACGGCATCCAATACTTTTGACCCTGACCCTGCCTTTTGATGGCCTTCTGCGATTGGGAAGGTTATCCCTCAGTCTCTAGGTCACACATGAGTACTAACAGTAGTTTGAATCTCATCAGAGGAGAGCTACAACCTTTACTTGTGTCTGGTGGTATGCGCCTGCCCATTGTTGCTTTGGCCGCCCCTAGATGTTATGCGAGGATACTGTTTGTTGTTTTTCTTGCCTGTGTTTTCTTGTTTAGTTTAAATCATAGATTAAAACGCTGGCTTTGTTTTGGATGGTTAAGTGCAGTCATCGGTGGTCTTTGACCCGTATCCCGTAGTAGGTAAACTCTCTTTCCTTGTCTGTCCTATACTTGCTATTAGCGATAAAACGCGTTGTATTAGCGACCGTCGAGGGCTTAGCGACCAGCTATAGTGCTTTGGCACGTGCCTTATTCGCCTTTTCTATGAAGAGGTGGACATGACCCTTTTGCCGGCGTTGTTTTACGCAATACAATGAGTTTGGCTTTCTAACCGAAAGTTAGTTGGTAGTAAGGTTGTTGACGTTGAGGACTTGGAGGGACTTCCACGACGCCAAAGCAGGTCTACGCCCTGTGGAAGATGGATACAATCTGACAAAGATTGTTGAACCAAGACTTTGGCATATTTCAAATAAACAATGTTTAACCGCAATATATAAACAAAAGTTACAACAGTCATATCGGAAACAAACAATCAATGTCATTCAAATAAACAGGTCAGACCAACATGGAACCCGTTTTCATGTTGCTCCTTTAAAGAAAGTGATTTTATAAAGAAAATTCAAATCATTGCATAATGGTTACACTAGCTCATTAATACACTTTATTTTTATTACCTTTTAGCCACTTGCAGAAGCTTATTCTTAAATTATGTGTTCTAGATACGGCAGCCCTGTTCTTGCAACCAATGTATCTCATTGAGATTTTCTTAAAAAGGCAATCAAGGTCTCTTCTTGATCCCACCTTTGTTCCTCAAAGGCCCTTTTTTTTTTCTTCTTCTTCCTCTTCCTTTTCTTTTCACTACTGCTTTTTTTTTATTAAAAAAAAGTTATAAAATCTTTCTTCCCCTCCCCCCTCTCTCGTATCATTTGAAATGTCAACATTAATAGAAACTGAATCTACTTTACTCAAGTCACCTTCAGTACCTTGTCTCTTACAAGACACTTTAACTTTTAACAGTAACTCATCTCAACGTCAGTCAACAGATTCCGAGAGTATCAAGACGACAAATGCCTCTTTTATTGAACAAACTCCGCCAACATTGGAAGAACAGCATATGGTCTTGAACCATGTCATTGAGATAGTCAACCTGGAAGATCAAACAATAAACATCCTTCCAGAAAAAAAGAACCTGATAAAGAAACTACAAAAAAAGCCTTCTGTACTTTCAAACAAATCAGCACGTGCAGCAAGCATCATCAAACAGAAATTTACACAGCCAGTAGCAGAATTGATTGTACCACAAGCCTCTAAATCGACTTCCTCGACGCATTCTTCTGCTAGTAGTGTCAACAGACTCTCCAATCAACATGTAGATACCTTTGTTACTTTCTTACGCACATCAGCCACCACTACCTATAAAAAAATGACTATATCAAGCACAGATTTGGTTCGATCCAGAAGTAAAAGAGCTTGGACTACCCCAGTCAATAGTCATAGCGACAGTACACTGAAAAAGTCACCATCTTTCTATCAACTCGATCCAACTAGCTTGCTATCCAATCCCACTAAACCAAAGAGACACACCAAGACGACAGAAACATGTCCTACTCAAACAGATTTATCGTTTGTCAATGTGTTGTATGAAACTATGGTCAATGGTGGTTATTTAACACCTACTTTATATGTGCCTATGAACTTGTGGTAAGTCATTGCTTACAAAAAGAAGTGTTGGTTAATAATACGATGGCTAGGTATCAGCCCAATGTTCGCATTCCAGCCATGGATGCAAAAATTGCAGCGTGTGAATCTCTCTTGAATGTATTAGAACAAATGGAGAAAATAGACAATTTTGATGACAAAGAGGCTATTGAACATAACTTGGCTTTACTTGAAAAAACACTTCTAGTCACAAGCAAAACGATGAAACGAAAGCTAGGTGGTCTGAGTCAAGGTGCAAGCAGTAAGATCAACCGTGCTAGTTCTGTCAAAGCACCTCCCTCCATCAAGAAAGTAACAAAATTATATAACTTTGACGATAATCATACCATGAGCGATCTACTCAGTACATCACCACCACCGGCTAAATCTTTAGAATCGATTATGGAAGGCGCTGCTGCTAGTCTCAAGAATTCACCACAAGCCATCACAGCCTGGAGTTCGAAATTAACCAAATCAGTAGAGAAAATTAATCAGCGCAATCAAAATAACAATGAAGCCTATATCAAGTCGCTTATTCAGTTATTTTCTATGGCCAATATCTTGGGTAAGTTACATCTCTCTCTTTTTTTTTTTTTCTAACCCATTCTTATAGAGACATGGCGACAAAAACTAGAAGCCAATGATACATCAGACGAATGTTATCAGTCCATGTGTATACACATCAACAAATGCATTGAACTACTTGTAACTACCATATGTAGTTTTGTATTAAAAGACTATGAGCTCTTGCTTGATAAATGGCTTCATCAAAGCACAGAATGGCTATCAGCATAATAAATTTATTCATTTATCCATAGTTGACACCAGTACATCTCATAGAGTGATCTACTTGGACATTTAAACGATCAGGTCTGAAATCCATCGTGGCCATGCTATTAGGAGGGAGAACACGATGCAGTTTAGGCAAATCTTGAGTACGCACATACTAAATACAGCGTTTAATATTTATGTCACTGCGCAAAAAAAGAAAAAAACTTTTCTTACCTCTCCTTCAGAAAGAGTTGTTTCTACATCATCTTTAAGAATCACTTTACCAACTAACTTATCACGCCAACCATCGCAATCATTAGGTTGGTTCTTGGAAGCATCAACGAGTTTAGAAAAGGGAGTAGACATGTTTGAATGAAAAAGAAAAAAAAAAAAGGAAACTTTGGATTAAAATGTAGATTTATAAAAACGCATTTTGCAGGATGTGTAACATGTAACTACGCCGCGTCATCGAATTAGATGATGGACTGTTTTAACTCAAGTTTATTCCTTTTATGATTCTATTGCATGATATCCTTTCTTGATTCATGCTGTACAAGACTGTGACTGTTCTCTTCCTTGGTTGGATGTCATCAGGCCCCAAAAAAGGTCCGACTAAATTTTTCATTTTCGGAAACATCCTCAGGCCATGATTCACTATCACATTACAGGGTCCCTCTTTTCTTTTTCAAGTGCTGTTGAGGCAAATATGACAGTTAGACATTTTGCTCTGTCAAGATCTGTTATTCTAGACGTCCTTCGTGCTATTGTCTCGAGACCTATATCTCCCACAGCACTCGCTAGACAACGTCCTCAACCCCTGATCTTGACTAGCAAGACACTTTGGTTGGGTTCATGCCAACGCGCTTACTCAACACAAGCACTCTTACTCGATCCAAAAAACGATACACAAGAAGAAAAGAAAGACAGATATCACTATTTTACTAAAAAACTACCCAATGGTACAAAAAAACTTGTCAAGGGCTTCACACTCAAAGAAAAGAAAGAAAAACCAAAGCATTTGATGGACTACAACAAGCGTATGATGTACGCCATTCTCGAGAATCGAGTCAACAAGGCTGTTCAACTGTTGCGTGACATGGAAAATAACCATATCAAACCTGATCTGTCTTCATACACCATCATTATCAATGGCTATAGTACTCAAGGTGATATGTTTAGAGCCAAAAAATGGATGAAGCGAATGATGCAGAATGGCATTGAACCAGATGCCTATGTTTATACCAGTCTCATTGATGGTTATATGCGAGAAGCCAATGTAGACAAAGCAGAGACCACATTTCGATCCATGATGAGTCGCAACATTCAACCTACACTTGTGACTTACAATATTCTAATGCATCATTCAGTACGACAACTGAATATGGAATCTGCATTACGGTTCTGGAGTAACTTGTTAGAAGCAGGCTTAAAGTCAGATGTATACACATTTGCTATTGTTCTGCATGGGCTAGGTGATGAAGGACGTGTAGATGAAGCATGGCGAATCTTCAATCGAATGCAACAAGAAGAGATTGATGTAAATGAAGTAGTGGCAACAACACTGATGGGCATGCATGTAAAGCAACATGACAATGAATATGCTGTCGATCTATTTCACAAGTTTTTCAAGACAAAGCCTCTTAAACCAACACACCACACTCGCAATGTGCTATTGAATGCAGTGATTGCTAACGCTGATACTGACACCATCAAGAAATACTATGGACAATACAAAGAACATTTGGCTCAAAAAGACAGAACAGGGACACCTTTATTTATAGGTGCCAATGTATACACTTATACCACTTTTATGCGTGCCTTTCTTCGTCGCAATGATCTCTCTATGGTCAGCCAAGTCTACAAAGACATGGCAGAACAACACATACAGCCAACACTTGTCACTTATGCCACTCTTATGTTGGCTCATGCTTATGTACCTGACCCCGAATCATGCTCCCGTATCTTAAATAGCTTAAAATCATCAGGCATCAAGTTAAATGCTGTCCTTTATACCATTGTCATGCGGGCCTATGCCAAAGCTGGTCGATGGGAACAAGTCAGACAGACATATGAGCTTATGAAACAGGATAAGGTAGAACCAACCAAGTTAACCATGGAAGTATTACGTTATGGAAGACATAATGCTGATAAATAAAATTGTACATATTTAAACTTCTGGAAACTTTAAACATATTAAGATTTTAGCAGTCATAAAAGTAAAAATGAAATACTTGATTTAACTATCAATGCAGTTATCTTTGTTGAGTAGGCTTGTGTCTATCTTCAGCAGCGACTATCTTTGCTTCAGGTAGTGCTTGAAACTCGGGTTCTTCTTGCATGACAACAAAAGATGATAGTAACCAAACTTTGTGTTAAGACTTATCTGCAACATAGCTTTCATTACTTCAACTATAGTCTAGACTAAGATAAAAAGTTTCCTAAACCTAAGCAGATTCAGAATATAAACGCAATGGAGTATAAACTATTTATAGTGACACAAGTATCCATGCATAAAATAACATGTATTGTGTGTTATAGAATCTTTCATTGGAAACTACACCCAAAAACGCAGAAAAAAAAAAGAAGAAGGGGAAACTATGACGATAGCTTTAGTTAATAGATCTACAATGAGGCAATCAACAGGCCTGTATACTTTTAGTGCTCTTGTTCTATCATTGCTCTCATCAAAAATAAATCAAGGTTGACATATCGTTCAGTTTCTCTTTACTCTGATCAATGCAAATGAATACATCATAGCTACATGTAGAGCCTTGTTTGTGCGTTCACATAGTAGAGGCCTATGCTTTGTGCACTTTGTGTCAAGGCGTTCTACTTTATAGCTAGGTGCTTTATAGTGTGGTTAACACGCTTAAAGCTGTCCTTGAACTCCAACATCGGTTTTTTAATTCTGTTGAAAAAAGTGACGCAAATGAACCGGGGTAAGATATAGGCAGATTTTCCTTCCCCTTTTTTATTTTTTCTTCTTTTCATCTTATAAAGAGAAAATGGCCATTATCCGTGCTCTTGCCTCGGGCTCTCGCAACGCCCTTCAAAAGGTCAATGCCACCAACCTCTCTCAAGCTGCCATGAAGCCTCTTGCTGTCAAGGGTAAACGATCTTGTCTTTTTTCATATACTGACTTTATTGTATAGCTCGTGCTTATGCTACTGAAGCTGGCTCTGCTGGTCAAATTCGGTAAAGAAACAACCTCTTCACAGTAACATAGAAACTAACACCAACACTCTAGTTCCGTCATTGGTGCCGTTGTCGATGTCCAATTTGATCAAGACAATTTGCCTGCCATTTTGAACGCTCTTGAAGTCAAGGATCACGCTGGAGGTCGTCTTGTTCTTGAAGTCGCTCAACACTTGGGTGAAAACACTGTTCGTACTATTGCTATGGATGGTACTGAAGGTAAGACAATGTCATTCTGTATGAATTTTATGTTTGACATATATATATATATTTGTAGGTCTTGTTCGTGGTCAAAAGGTTGTTGACACTGGTGCTCCTATTACCATCCCCGTCGGTAAGGAAGTCCTTGGTCGTATCATCAACGTTATTGGTGAACCCATTGATGAACGTGGTCCTATCAACACCAAGGCTCACCGTCCTATTCACGCTGAAGCTCCCGAATTCGTTGATCAATCTCCTACTCCCGAAATCCTCGAAACTGGTATCAAGGTTGTCGACTTGTTGGCTCCTTATGCTCGTGGTGGTAAGATTGGTCTTTTCGGTGGTGCTGGTGTCGGTAAGACTGTCTTGATTCAAGAATTGATCAACAACATTGCCAAGGCTCACGGTGGTTACTCCATCTTCTGTGGTGTCGGTGAACGTACTCGTGAAGGTAACGATCTTTACCATGAAATGATTGAAACTGGTGTCATTCAATTGGAAGGTGATTCCAAGTGTGCTCTTGTTTTCGGTCAAATGAACGAACCCCCAGGAGCCCGTGCCCGTGTTGCCTTGACTGGTTTGACCATTGCTGAATACTTCCGTGATAACGAAGGTCAAGATGTGTTGCTCTTCATTGATAACATTTTCCGTTTCACTCAAGCTGGTTCTGAAGTATCTGCTCTTTTGGGTCGTATCCCCTCTGCTGTCGGTTACCAACCCACTCTTTCCACTGATATGGGTGGTATGCAAGAACGTATTACTACCACCAAGAACGGTTCCATTACCTCCGTCCAAGCTGTCTATGTCCCTGCTGATGATTTGACCGATCCTGCTCCTGCTACCACTTTTGCTCACTTGGATGCCACCACTGTGTTGTCTCGTTCAATTGCTGAATTGGGTATTTACCCTGCTGTCGATCCTCTTGACTCCAAGTCTCGTATCCTTGATCCCCGTATTGTCGGTGAAGAACACTACAAGGTTGCCACTGAAGTTCAACAAATCCTTCAAAACTACAAGTCTCTTCAAGATATCATTGCTATTTTGGGTATGGATGAATTGTCTGAAGAAGATAAGCTCGTTGTCGAACGTGCCCGTAAGATCCAACGTTTCTTGTCTCAACCTTTTGCTGTCGCTCAAGTCTTCACTGGTTATGAAGGTCGTCTTGTCAAGCTCACTGACACTATCCGTTCTTTCCAAGAAATCTTGAACGGTAAGCACGATAGCTTGCCTGAATCTGCTTTCTACATGCAAGGTGATATCAGCGATGTTCAAAAGCGTGCTGAAGAAATTGCTAAGGAAATGGGTTCTCAATAAGCAACAAACAATTCCAAATGTATGAAAATAAAAAATATATATACACACACACACACACATATAGAAAACATGACGCTTGATTATTATCATTATTATTATTTTCTCTCTCTTGTTTTTATTTTTATGCATAAAGTGTTTGGCAAGAAACAAAAGAAGAAGATAGGTGATTTAAAAATTCCTATTCCAATGCTGAATGATCCTTCTTTCCTGGACATGACAGAATCACAGATAGCAACCCTTCTTTGTCATTCTACTCAGCCTAAGCAAATGGTTCCCCGTCGATCTGTCAGCTCACCTCCTTCTTTACTGATGATGCCTAAACCAATACATCGTCTTCCTCCTTCTACTCGATCTTTGTGGGGAAATCTTGAGCATGAAAAGACGCAAATTGAAGAAAAAGAAGCGCCACATCACACGACAAACAAAGGTAACATTAGATTTATGTTTCTGTGAATCATCAAATGACACACACACACACACACACATCATTTAGAACAAAAGTCTATATCGGAATCCTCTTTTTTAACAGCTTCTTCTTCTTCTTCTTTAATTATGGCATCCTTTGACAATAAAGCCAAGGAAACAGATCGTTATCGGCCAAATGCTTCATTGGTCGGATCAACAAGTGCCGACATAACAAAGGACAAGGTCGTACAAGACTACTCCAAAAGTGCAGATGAAAACAATGACCCAACTTTTCTTTCTTCTTCTTCTTTTTGTCAAGACACGATGGATATACAATCGATGACTGAGCTTATTCAGTCTCAAATGAAGAAAATGGCTTTGAATGAGGACCTGCTTGAACTCAAACGGACAGTGGACCGTATACAACAAGAGCGTGCTTCTGACTTGGAAGAACATGTAACAAGAATCAAAGAACAAAAGAAACGAGAGAAAGAAATTCTGGACCAAATCAACATGACAAATCAGCGGCTTGAGATGGCTATTGCTGGGAAACTGTTTCATCAGCCAGAAAGTGATGCTGAGAACAAGACACCTACACTCAAGCCTTCTCATTCTACACAAAAGGAGCAAAGAAAAAATCGTTATCATCGTCCTAGACCATATCCTTCTTCTCATCACCGTCCGTCTTTTTATGAACAACAAGATGTCAATCCTTATTTCCCTGATAATATGAATCCATTAGCATTTGATGATTTTTTACCACCACCTTTGCCTTACCTTCAACAACAAGAAGAATACTTGCCTTATGATCCTCGCTATGAATTCATGATGATGAGAAATGGTATACCACCACCTTTGGAATTCATGATGGAAGCACCCCTTGATCCTTCTTCTTCCTCACAATTTCGCAAGAACAGAAATAGATCCAAGTCACTTGAAAGTAAATGGCCACCACACGAAATGATGTTTGATTCTGACCCGTCCTTTTATCATCAAGAGATGCGGCCTTTTGTTCCTAGTGACAGTATGCCTCCCACACCACGCTCTCGGTCAAGAAAGTCGTCTTTACATAGTGCAAAAAGCAACCTTTCAGATCATGAAAATGATGCAATGCCGTGTCATAAAATGGGTGTGGAATTGCATGATAATCCTGTCCCTTCTAATCCAAGTACAATTGGTGAATCAAGTAAGGTTCACAAAGATGAAAATGCAACACAGGAAGACAACCAGACGAAACAGAAGCATCGGTTTACATTTCCTCGACTGAATCCTTCAGGTCGTTCAAGAGTCAGTGATACATGGAAAATGAAACGCCATGGAAATCAACAAGGACAAGAACAAGAAGAAGAAGAAGAAGAAGAAAGAAGAGGAGCTATCCCTCCATCTTCCTTTATGTATCCTCATGGTCATGGGTTTCCTCCTCCTCCTTTGTTTGAAAACAGATCAACAAAAAATGAACGAAGGAAAATGAACCCACCTTATGGTGCTTATCATAATTTACCACCTAGAAATGGTTATTTACCACATCAGAAAGTGTCTCCAGATGGTAGAATGTTTATAGATGAACCATCTTTTGGTAACACAAGAGGACCACAGTGGAGCACGGTCATGATAGACTCACAGCAACAACAAACGCCCATTGATTTTACAGCGAATCCAAGGCGATTCCCTCCTTCTTCTCAACAGGCGCAACCTACTTTTATTTCTCTTTATCCTACAGACAGAATTTATATGTAATAATAATAATAATAAAAAAAAAGAGTTCAACACATATTTATTGTACATAAAACGACAAGTATACATAAGTTTAGTAATAGCCTCCACCACGTCCACGACCACCACCATAGCCTCCACCTCGTCCACGACCACCTCTATTGTTATTGTAGCCTTGGTTATAGTTGCCATAGCCACCACCATTATTGTACTGGTTACCATAACCACCATAGCCATTATTGTTTTGATGATATCCTCTTGATTGTTGTTGTTGTTGTTGTTGTTGTTGTTGATAATAGCCTTGTGGGTTATAGCCATAACTATTGTTGTTGTTATAGCGTTGATTGCCATATCCACCACCATTGTATTGATCATGGTAACCATAAGACTGTGTACCTGGGAAGCGAGATCCATCATCAAAACCATGGTTATAACCAGCACCATAGCCTTGCTGACCATTATAGCTACCACGTCCACGACGAGGGCGTTGGTTGTTACTATATCAAAATAAGTATATAATGTATGATTGAATTTAAACTTACTATTCACGATAATCTTCCATATGGTTTATTTGTGAGGTCCAGCCACGGTTACTGTTATAACGTTGACGATTATCAATCTTTTCAAACGTAGCCAACTGAATATCTTCATAAGCCAATGTATCGCCAATCTTGACACCCTTTAATAACTGTGTAGAGAACTTGAATCCATCAGGGAAGATGGGTAGTGAATAAGTGACGCTGATGGACTTGTCATTAGCGATATCAGGTAAATCAAAATCAGGTAAAGGTGTACGCAATGTACTACGAGGAATGCATTCTGCATCTCTATCGACTAACCCAGTCAAGCCGTCTGTGAGACGAGCATCCAACTTGAGCTTTTCATTGTTGGTTCGTTTTGTGTAGACAGTACTGATGGCATTATAGGCTTTGTGTGCTTCACTGACATAGAGAACAGAGGGTCCTTCAGAATTGCGTTGGACTTCTTCCTCATTGAGTTGATCATAAACCGTGTTCATGGCCTCCAAGAGACGAGGTGTGTCAATGAACGGCAGTTTGACAACACCTTGCCATTCCCATTTCTTGCCGTCCATGTCCACTTCAAATTGAGTAGGATAGTAGTCAATGATAGGCGAATCACTTTCTGTCATAAGATGATGGAAGGGTTTGGGAATATGATCTTTACTGGCAGCTGGTAATACGCCCATCAATTGTTCAAAGGGTTTCAGAGGTGCACTTTGTTCAAACTTGATATCAAAGCTGTCAATGTTGACAAAATCAGATGCCATAGGGGCATAGTAATAAGGATAATACCAAGACCAAGAAACACAGCCAACATAGTAGTATTTAAACACCCAAATCAGGCCTTCGCAATACGATTTGACTACTTGTCTAATCTCATCTCTTTCATTCAAAGTCAAGTTGAACTTGGTTGAATAATATCTTTCCTTCCAACCTGCTTCCCAAAGTCGAACTTCATCATCAGGCTCACGTTGACGAGCAGCTTCTTCTTTTTCTTTCTTCTCGTCAGCCACTCTTTTTAAGATGGCTTTACCAGCAGCTTCAGCATCAGAAGCACTTGTAAAAGCATCACTTTCAGATTCATCTTCCATATCATCATCATCATCATCTTCTTCTTCTTCTTCCTCATCTAATTCTGCTTCATCACGCTTTCTCTTTGTAGTTTGTTTCTCTGATGCATCGACAGGAGGAGGGTTGCCTGATAATTCAGCTCGTAGTGCTGCAGCTGCGTTAATGTTGGCCAGTCGAATCTGAGCTCGGTTAGCCACCACATCAGCATTGGACATGCCTGCATTAGGATTGTTGACAGGAGCAGCTGTCATGTCGCCAAAATTAGGTCCATTAGGATTAAACATCTTCGTCTCCTGAGCACGTCTATCATTCTCTAATCTTCTTCTCTTTGCGCCCTTGGCTCTTCTTTCTTCTGTCTGTTTTCTTTCAGCGAAAATGTTGTCTTCCATCTTGCCTAGCTCGGTCACCAACATTTGAACACGCTTTAGATCAACATCGCCATTGTGTGTCATGTAACCACCCATCATAGGCATCGTACTCTTCCACAACAAACTCAAGGTACTGATAGCTCCTTCTCTGATTTCCAAGGACGGTAAATGAGGCAAGAAATCATTGCCTACAAAGAAACACATAAACACCCAATCATCAATGGCTCTTTCCATGTCCCAAGGGATGCCAGGAATATTGAACTTGAGAGCATGTTCCAAATACTCTCTTAGTACATTCACATGTAAAAAGACGTACGGTTTCGGCGGTGCATTCTTTGCTTCTTCTTTTCGCATGGCTTCAATCGCTTCATCAGACACTTGGCATTGAGGAGCAGAGTGTCCTGGTTGATGACACTTGTAACAAAGGCCCTTCTTTTTCTTATCTTCAAAGACATCTTCACGCAGCACTTTGAAATGAGGTTCGTGTGTAGCCAAGGCCAACATGATCAAATCGGCATCTAAACCGTACATGACATGAGACGTATTTGGGTTGTGTTCAGGACGCATTCTCTGAACACGAATAAATTCCATGACTTTGTGTTCACCTTCACCTGGAACAGTAGCATCGGATAAAATGACTTTCAGATTCTTCCAAAGAGGGTCTGAGTTTTGTTTTGATGCGATGTAGTAACGTAAACAGTTGGCTAAATGAGCCATAAATGGTGTACCTGGTGTAATACAGTTGGAGTCAAAGTGTTTTTTCTTTTCCGGTAATTGGTGTGCTTGACCAATAGCTGGATAACAAAAATAGGGTTAACTGCGGTATCAAAAAAAAAAAAAAAGCTATACCTTCTAATTCTTTCTCAACACGTTCATTGGCTTCTCTTTCTACTTGAGCAAGTTGAGCAGCACGGAAACGACGAGAACGTTGTTGGTTCATTTTAGCGCGAGGAGCAACACCGTCTATCTAAGGTGTCAAAACCTTCCTTTGATTTGATATGATATTTACCAATAGCCATGTAAAGTAGTTTACGAGGACGGACCATATTTACAATACGATCTGTGTATTCAAAAATAGCAATCATCATTTCATCTTCTGTTGCTGGTGCAGGCTAGGAGAGGTATATGAGCCATAGAAACATGCTATAGACGTAATTTACCTTGTCTTGAGGATGACAGCAAGGATGAATAATACCATTCATATCTAAATAAAGATTGTCATATTCTTGTCCGTTAGGATTAGGCTTTGTTGTGTCGACAGGCAATATTATGCCGTTGACTTCTTTAGGGTGTTCTTCAATCACAGTTGTAGCAACCTTTGGAAACTTGTCTGAGAGCCATCTATATCCATCATTAGCTTTTGCTTTTCAGTGTGTTTGTCTACCTAAAAAATGCTGGAACCCCCATAGTAATACAAGTAAAGAAAAAGAAAATAAAAAAAAATACTTGAAAAAAAAAAGAAACCGTTTTACAGTCGGCAATTGTTAGTCACACAACAGTCCTTTAAGCCGAGTCAATGTATTGGATTTTTATGCAGACATCCATTATTTTATTAGAGTTGAAAGTAGTACTGTTGAGAATGATTCGAGCTTTGCGATAACCATAAAATACCAGCACTACATAAGCACATAAGAAAAGGGAAGTATACTAAGAGCACAAACCTCAACATGATTAAAAAGCATTGAACAACATCTGTAATACCTAAATAAGTATTGAAGAAATCTAAGCTGTCATTATAAATATATTTCGTCACCAAGACAGCCTAACCATAGACTTAGTCTCTGTTTAGATAATGCATAAACTGGATACTCACAACAGAGCCTGAAAATCCACCTGCCATCATAGCGAAACCCTATGCATTATGAATTGTCACGTCATGTTTACTGATAGACAAGCTTACAAAGAACAGAAATAGCCTTGCTCTCCATATATATTCATCGTCAACCAAGTTTCCTTTTAATGCTTCTTTGTCAATCAAATTGACACTGCATGAAACAAAAAGAATGAGACAGAATATATAATGTATATCGATTTACATGATCATGCCAAAGGTCGTAATAATACCCGGTACCCAATCCTCTATACCAGGCGCTATTTGTCTATTCTGCAGATTCCAAAGTACAGACAGACCATCAATAAATACCCACCAACCCAAAGCAAACTAACAGCGTTATTCATTTATCTTTGTCTATATCAATATTACTAGCATGCCAGCAAAGTATACACCAGCTTGTCTTGACTTATTGCCCAAGTTGAAGCAACAAAACAATCGGCTGCAGATAAAGACGTCGCGATTGTCATTGCCATAGTTCATTTTGCAAAGAATTAAAGACGATACGCAATAAACAAAGGCACGCATACACAGCCCGAACCTAATGCTGGGCTTGAAAATTAGATGGGCGTAAAAAAAAAAAAGTGCATAAGAATCAACTGGATGTCTGAATGCGTTTTTTCGTTTAAGTTTTGCATAACAGATAATCAGTTATCTCTTAGGATGCAATGATTAACTTGTGTTATCTAAATCATGATAAAAAATTAGTCCTTCTTTTCATAAATGCAAACCCTTTGCTGTCGACGATAAATAGCTCAATTTTCTTTTTCTAATTTAACCACTAGCAAATCAAATCTAAGAAGAATGGCTGTAAACATATAATATACGTATATATGTCTCAATTTCCGTCATAATCAAAGTAGAGATACCAACCAAAGAAACAGTTCAAGAGACATGCAGCAACAAGAAGATTTATGGTTTGAATTAGGTGCTTGAATGTATATTAATGATTGGGAAAGAGGATTTTCTCAAGACAAGATGCGACTAATTTCATTAGATCATGCAAATGACATTGTGTCTCTTACTGTAGAGGAAAACGAGCCATTGAATTGGAGGTATGAAAGTGTAGTAATCTGTACCTTATAAATCATGCATCATAAATTCGAAAGACAAATTCCATTGGTTTGACTATATTTTAAGGATATTCTACTTTGTTTCAGGGTATAAAAAACTATTTGTGCTTATCATATCCAACAAAGAAAATAACCTATTGTATAATGCAACCATATAGAAAAGTTGCTCGAGACCCTTTTTATAGATCATCCTACTATAGTTATAGTTTTATATAAAAGCGACTCAAGACAACAGTAACAAGTCTTATTGAAGGCATTTTAGCAATTCATTTTATGTCAATTTCAATTTATCAAAATGATTAGGGAACTTGAAAACCCTTCATTTTCGCCCAGATTCAATCTGATAGGCTTTGGTGACTTGAAAATTATTTACGTCATCTTTTTTTGTAGGTGAAATAAGGTGGACCTTATGGAGTAACAAAAAAAAAAAAAAAAAAAAAAAAACTCTTTCCCTTCTTACTTCAACATACTTGTTTTCTTGTTAAGTCTATAACAAGTTTCTAACTTATGTCTCACGGACCTCCTCGCGCATATTCTTCGCATAATTATTCCGCTATATCACCGAATACAATGGCTCGACAACAAGTCATGAACAGTCCACAGTCGTTTCAACAGACTGTTTCTGATAGTCCACCTACAACTCTAGGCCAAATATCAAGCAATAAAAACACAAACAATAGCGCATCCAACAGTCCAGGTCATAGCGGAGGCAGAATAACAGCAGGATCAACACAAGAAACGCTTTATTGTGATAGTTGCCAGACCTTTCGACACATTTCTTTTTTTCCTGAGAGAGATTATAAGTATAATGTATGTAATATATGTCGATCACGCGAAATGCAGAAGAGAAAGCAACAAATGGAAAGATTTGAAATGTATGAGGAACAACAGAGAAATATAAAACAAGCAAGATATATCCAATATAATGCTCCTTCTCCTTCCTCCACTAACTCCTCTCAGCAGCAAATACATTCACCCACTCCTATCAATTTAAATGGGAATACGAATAACAGCAATAATAACAGTAGTAGTGGCAATAGTAGTAGTAACAGTGCAGGAGCCAATGCAGGTAAATGTCAGCCTTTGTTAGGTTGTATACTGATAACACTTGTTATAGGACACATTGCGAATAACAACAATAGTAAACAGTCATTCACACCTCCGAACAATCTATCACAAATGCAACCTAGCTTACAATCGCAGACAACAACACCTCTTTCTTTACCTTCACAGCAACAGCAGCAGTCAAAACGCGATGGTTTATTGCATCGACTGGAGAAGTCAAAAACACCTGATCAAAACAAAATACCTTCTTCATCAACTATCATTACAACTACGTCAAAAAGAGCTAGGGAATCCGCCCCCAAAACGCCATTGCAAATACCATTACCACTACCTCGTCCTCATCATAAACTTACATCTACAGTGGCCGAGCGAGCTACTCAAAATGTGATTAGTTTGGAAGAATTTGTACGAGAATTAGGACAAGAAACAGAGTTTGATAGAAATCATTACCATGTCGACATTCGTCCTTTATTAGAGAGTTTAGGAAGCAATGCAGGATTCACACAACTTGGTCGGGCAGTTTGTGAGCGCGTATTGGAAGGCACAAAATTTAATTTCAGGTAAAGAATAACACCAAACGCCAATTTGACCTATTCTTTTTTAGCTTGAAAGATCGTAGACGTTCTACCAAAAACCCAGATACCTTATCCACATTACGATACTATTGTTCTCAGAGATCAGATACAGCAAGACCACGAAAGACAGAAAGTACAAAAGGACAAACTAGATATGATTGCGCTGGCGCATTAACCGTTATCATTGATTTAATAAAGCAAGCTGCTCATGTGACTGTGATCCATAAACATCCACATCCTCCCTTTGTACCTCAGCATCAGCATCACCAGCAACAGCAGCCAAAACCCGCGAGTCAACGTCAACGTCAGGCCCAAGCGTCGTCACTGGCACAGCCATCTATGCAGCCTTCTAATATGCCTCAATTAGTTTCTCATATTCAACATCAACAACATTCTCCTCAACAACAACAGCAACTTCCTCAACACACTATTCATCATCCTGCTCAACAGCATTCTCCCCAACAGCACCAGCAACTTCTCCAGCATTCTGTTCATCATCCTGTTCGACCACATCATGTACAAGCTCATCCCCAAGTGCATCCTCAAATACGTCCTCTGGTGCATCCTCAGACACATTCTCAAATATATCCTCAAATACGTCCACAAATGCACTCACATCAACAACACCATTTATATCATCAACCATCGTTGCCTCCCCCAAATCTACAGCAACAGCAACAGCAACAGCAACAGCAACAGCAACAGCAACAGCAACAGCAACAGCAACAGCAACAGCAACAACAGCAACAGCAACAACAGCAACAAGCCGCTCAGCAACAAGCCGCTCAGCAACAAGCCGCTCAGCAACAAGCCGTTCAGCACCAGCACCAGCAACAACAACAACAACAACAACAACAACAACAACAGACTGCTGCTGCTATTCGCTTGATGCATCAACAAGAAGCTAAAAAAATTGAACAGCAATTTGAAATCTTACGGAGAAAAGTAGCTGATATTGGCCAACTATTGGAGTCACAACAGCAATACTGCAATAAAGAGTTTCTCCAGACAGCGACAGATGCGTTATCTGGTGCTGACGAGATGCTCAGGGCCTGCAAAGCCTTAGAGAATTCTAATATGACATTACAGCCTAACAAATATACCGCACATTATAATAAAAAAGGAGAACATTCTGTATAATAAAGTATTCATATCACCGGGGAAACGAACCTATATACTCCGCATGAACATGACATATTTACTGTCCTCTCTTTCGCTGTTTTTGGTTAGCCGGAGAATTTAAGCGGTGTTATTGATTGAGGAGATTTGACCAAAAACAGACGATACGTTTCACCATAAATCCCTTGCTTTAACATATAAAAGGAGCATTGTCTTGCTTAATTCTCTCGTTTGTTTTCTCATAATTATTATTATTTATTATAAAAATGTCTGCTCCACTTCCTGTTCTCCCTGAATTTTCTCTTAAAGGCAAGGTCGCCATTGTTACTGGTGGTGGAAGGTAGGTTTACATTTAGCATCAATAATGCAGATAATAACGCGTCCAAACAGAGGCTTGGGCTTAGAAATGAGTAAGGCTCTCGCTGAATCGGGTGCCAATGTTGCTATTATGTACGTCTCCAGTGACAAGACCAAGGATATTGCTGCTGATATTGGCAAGAAATTCAATGTTAAGTGTGAAGCTTACAAGGCTCCTATCACTGATGCTGAAGAAGTCAAGAAGGTTATTGAGCAAATCTACAAGGACTTTGGTGCCATCGATGTCTTTGTTGCCAATGCTGGTATTAACACTGGTGGTGCTTCTGAAGTAAGCTTGTTTTTCTTGTTTGAATATTGTGTATACTCATTGTTTTATGTAGACCTTTGATTTGAATGAATGGCGAAAGGTGATGGATGTTAATGTCAATGGTGTCTTCTACGGTATCCAAGCTGCCTCTAAATACATGCTCGAAAAGGGTAAGGGCAGTATCATCATTACTTCTTCTATGTCTGGTGCTGTTGCCAACCGTCCTCAATTGCAATGTGTCTATAACACTTCCAAGGGTGCTACTACCATGATGGCCAAGTGCTTAGCTACTGAATGGGCTCAAAAGGGTATCCGTGTGAATGCTCTCTGTCCTGGTTACATGAGAACTGAATTATTAGATAAAACTTTCAAGGATGATCCTGAATGGGAAAAGATCTGGACTGATATGACTCCTATGGGCCGTATTGGCGACGCTAAGGAATTGAGAGGTGCTATTGTCTTCTTGGCCAGTGATGCTAGTTCATATGTTACTGGTACTGAATTGTTTGTTGATGGTGGCTACACTGCTGTCTAAAAAAAAAAACCTTGTTAAATATTTTTTGTGTATATTTCAATAAATCATTTCAAACTTTTACGTGTGTATAAATCAGATTTCCATGAATTATGACATAATATCTAAACTGTAACACATCTCCGTTTGAAACAAACTCATTAGAGAAACTGTCGAGAATACTACACTTTACGCGTTTCTATTCTGTTTTGATCGGGACTACAAAAATTAGTGCATAAAGAGACGGAGATAAAGTAAATATTGACATCACTTTGGTGTTTTACGCGTCTATTGATTATGTAGATAAGCAATGTCATTAATTAATCTACTTTGATCTGACAGTAGAGCGGACTTGCCTTTTTTAGTTTTGATAATTGGAGAGCGTCTAATCTATGGACGAAAAGATGATATAAGGCACGCATATGCAATTACGCAATAGCTTTTAATTCGATTCTAGTAGATTCTACATGGTAACTAAAAACATATCTATGCCAAAAAGAAAAGAGAAGGAAAATATTTATGCCTGATACCTTAGCATGCAACTCTATATTGTATACTGTGAATGCTCTAGTATAAGACGATTGTTCCTTTTGTTATATCATAGGATTGTAATATCATTTATTTGTCAGGGGTAAAACTTTATGAATTTTAAGGAACTTGCTTTATGGATTGAATAGTATTTACATATAAAAAGCAAGCTAAATGATAGAATGTTCAATAAAATAGAATGAAAAAGAAATAACGAAAGAAAAAGGGAGGGAGGGGTATATAATAAGAATGTTTCTATTTTACAAGTCTTCGTCTCGCAACATGTCTAAATCATTTTGTGAGATTACTTGGCCTGTGCAAACTTTAAAAAAAAACTTACCTGACCAAATACTACGATTAATTGAGTCCATAAGTCCATCAGACATTTCTGTAGACATATCGATATTTCCGTCTATTAATAACCAATTCTGTCGAGATGCAGGACTGAGTTGTGGAGGTAATGGAGAATAAGGAGATAAGGCACCAGAAAACGAGCTTCGTCCTCCGCTTTCTGTATTTGGTGATGAAGGTATACTGCTTGTGCCTGGTGCTACAATCAATGAATAAGCAGGGCTAGTGTAAGAGGGATCTAATGGATTCTCTGTAGAAAAAGTGGACATAGGAGAGACAGGGATACTGGTAGTGCCAGCACTAGCAGGAGATGAAATGTCTGTATTTGCTGATACATTGTCAATTACAATGCGAGGAACTAGATGGCTTTAGTATTACCAAATTCAATAGCAATAGTATTTACCTGGTGGTGATTTCTTTTTATGATCTTTAGGCAAATTAAAGTAATTGATAGAACCATCAAACACATGGCTATTAGGTGATTTGAATTCGAAATGACTAGCAGTAGTTACACCAAGTTTCTTTACTTCGTCCTCGTCGTGCTTCTTCCATAATTCTTTGACAAATCGTCTTTTTTGGATCTGAGAGAAAAAAAAGCCAGCTGCTTTTTCAAGATAGTATTCTTGTGTTAACTGATCGATTTTTTCCAGTCGAGCAATGAGTGGGTCCAGGCTAGATGTAGTGTAAGCAAACACTACCTGTCAATTCAGATACTTACGTTAATGAAGTAGAGATATCGATAAAGCGATAGGACATGATTGTCAACACACTTGCGAATGGTATGCCTTTGGGCGTTTCTGATCGAAGAATTTCCTATAGACAAAGTCAATATAGCCTGCTGAATATGTCAGAAACTTACCTTGTAATAAATGTTATATTCCATTCGTCTCTTTCTTACTTCTCCTTTGTTCATTTTGCTCAAACATCGATTGATTTCGTGGATATTGAACTCTTGTTCAGCAAGAGCACTGCTGTATCCACTCTTGCCGCCTGGTGATTTAGGACTGGCTTGAGCAGAATCAAGAGGATGAATTTGTTTTTCGTTTGGAATACCTAATTTGGCAGCCTTCATGATATTGTCCAAGCTCATATCTTCGTCGTAGATTCTGAATCGAAACCTTCCTGTAAACTTGCGAAGTAACTTTGCTACGTCGTCTTTTTGAATATACCCAGTTCCTTTTGCATCAATGTCTGCCCAAGCATGTTTGAACCTAGATAGCAAGATTAGTTATTTTCGTATTTTGAAAAGACTCGATATTCAATTTCTTACATCCTCAAGTCGGTTTTAGTGATTTGAGTGAACCGAGTTCTGGTTTCATATGCATATTCAAAATTACTGATAATAACCTAAAAAAAAAAGGAACATGTCAACCATACGTACGAATATAAATATCATGATCTTACAGCAGTAAACAAATTCAGAAAAATGTGCGTACAGATGATATAAAAGATGTTGAATAAAAAGTAAGCCCAAAATGGCGATCCACAATCATCTTCGAAGTAGTTACTGGAACTATTGCAATTAGGGTATTGGACAGTGTAATCCATAATAATGGCATTCTAAATTACGTTATTTTAAAGGTTAAATATAACAAACTTCCTTACCCACGCTTCACCTGTTGTAGCACGAACGAGTAATAAGAGGGCATTACCATAGTCTCTGAAATTAGAGTGTGCTGTACCATAGACACCGTATTTCGTCAGACCAAAGAACTCCATAAATAACATGGCAAACAGACACATAGCAACCATAAATACAGCAGAAACTTGAATGATGGAAGGTAAAGATTTTCTACATATAAGATGATGAGTATAAAATGTGAAATTGAAATCCATCTTACTCAATCGTATGATATAGGGTTTGTAATGCATCTATGCCTTCACCTAGACGAAAAGCAGCCAAGACTAGACAGTATCTTTCAACACGCAAAGTCCATAAATCAGGCATAGCAAATCGAAATATTAAAAGGATCAAAGCACTTATTGCAATAATAAAATCAAACCAGTTCCATTTACTCTGAATCCACTATTAAAAGAAAAGGGTTTAAACATAACGTATCACTACATGAATGTCATTTACCTTTTTCCATCCTAAACCGATTAATTTGATAGCACATTCAACAGCGTAAATGACAGTGAATCCTAAATATGCATAGTCTATAACAAATAAGTTTAGAGAGATTATGCAGTCATTGTGTTTACCTTGCAAATCTGCTAACCAGTCAGGTTCGTTTTGAAATTCACTGGCAATAGTAATAATATTAAGACCAATAATAAACATCATCAGTCGATTAAACTTTCCATGTTTCTGGATCACAATATCATAACAAAATTGTCTTATTTTAGACGTTGGACGAAACACTTTGATGGTTGGCTTCACATTAGCAAGCAATCTCTGAAGATCACTGTATTGTCTTTGAGCAGTGGTAAGTGTTGTAATACCATTTCTTTCTTTAAACTTTTCAATAATAACCTACAAAACGAGATGAATTTACAGTAAATTTATGTCATCTTACTTACACCAACAAATAATTGCATTGTTCCTTGTGATATGATCATAAAAATGATATAAAAAATGCCGTGATATACCTTATTGGAATCCCAATTAAACGAAGGCTGCAAATTGACACCATCAGGTATACTCATAGCACTAAACATCGAATCTACCCAGCCTTCGGTGGAAGTGAGCGAGAACAAATGTTGCAATGCACTAGGGAAATCATCATAACTAATAAATCCATTTTGCGGATTTTGCCATACACGAGGAATCCAAATATTAACATCAACCCCGTCATCTTCACTAATGTTGACCTGGAATTCGCCAATACATTCACCTCGTGTAGCGACACTATCATCGTTACATAACCACATAAGTCCACCAAAAATATTAAGACCATAGACAGAGAATGGAATCAAGACCAGAAAAGTAAATATCAAAGCATCAAACATGAGTGGAAACGAATAAAACAGGGCGACAAAGATATCTCTTACACCATTAAAGTACCGGATCAGACGCAGGATACGCAAACTTCGAAATGTACTGAGACCACGGGGTGTATCTTCAGAAGACATAAAGATAGTAAAAATATTGAGCAAGATGACACTTAAATCAAGTTGATTCCAATAATTCCTTAGGTAGGCATTAGGTGTAAGCAAGAGTCCATCAGCAATGATACGAATACTGACTTCCACAAGAAAGACGATACTAAGTGCAACTTCAATGTTATCATAGACATCAGCTTTGGAATTGTCTCTTCGTAATAAACGAGTAGAAGGCTCGTCTAAAATGACCATAAGGATACTAACCAAGACACAGGCCATAACAATCCAGTTAAAAAGGTTCTGCTTTTCTGCTTGACCGTCATTGTTAGATCCTACAAGTTTTTTGCACCAATGTCGAATTCGACTTCTTTCGGAAAACAGAAACAATGAATTGACGACGGGCATATCCTCCCTTTGAGCTTCACGGTTTTCTTCAGCTGCAATTGTATCATAATCCATCAGTGTTTCTTCTGTGTCTTGCATAAAAGGATTGCTAACTACAATCAATATAACGACTAGCATTTTAATTGATGTGCACTTACATGGGTACAGCTTTGATACTGGAATGCTTATTCAAAAAGGGAATACGTTGTCTGATTTTTGAAAATAGAGTCAGTACCTTTTTCTCTACCCAGGAAAGTTGTCGATTGACTTCTGTGTTCTTTCTGTTCTTGGGCAAATCAGTCAAGAGTTCAGTCAAGTCTGATTTCGACAAAGGTGCAGTCAAATTGGCTGGTAACTGAGAGACCTGAACATGCTTGTTTTCATTAAAGTAATAAAAAGGTCGAAATAACTTCAACAAAATTGTTTCTGTCTTGTCAATGTCTTTAAACCGATGTCGTTGAATAAAGTCCTTAATTTGGTAATGACGGATATAATCATCACTCAGTTCAAAGTTCTCAAGCACGACAGCAATGTAAAGGCCAGACATAATATATCGACCAAAAGCAAAATAGATGGAGAGTGCAATAGCTGCATATATTGATCCGCTGTCGGTTTGACTTACCATTGCATTATACAAAATGTCCTAGAAAACAAATCCATGAGGCGACGATATGAAGAACAAATATGTTACTTACTGTCCAAGTCTCACTGGTATAGATCACAATCAAAGAAATAAACGATTCCCAAAAAGTGTCAAATCGATTGTCTGTGTCTGCCTTACTAACTATGTCGTCGAAATCGCCTCCAAACATTTGCATAAATACAGTAGCACATAGTGCTGTTGCTAAAATAAGGAAAACCATGACATTGAAGACACTTTCGCCAGTACCAAGAGCTCTAAGCTATCAATCAATGTAAGTGTCAAGCAAGTTTTGAAGAAAAAACATACCAAAAGTCTGCGGACACGGGGAATACAAATAAATAGACGGTAGAATCGTAAGATCTGAAATATAGTCAGGTATTTGTATGCGAATGAATCTTGGATCATCGGCAATTGAATTACACAAGTGCAAATCACTAAAAACAAGTCAAAGACATTTGTTTTAGATGACCAGAAACTCATCCAGCTCGCTGCTCCAATCATACGAAGGAGGATTTCAATAGCAAAAATGAGTGTGAATGCTGTTTCAGCATTATCTATCAGTGTATGAGCACATATTATTTTCATGTACACTTGTCTTACCAATAAGATCAAGGGTAGCTTGACTTGCATGAAACGATCTTAGACACATAAAAATCATGTCCAGCAAGACCAAGAAGCCACCAAAATAAAAAAAGGCCCTGTTTTTTACGAGCCGAACAATCCACCATCGCATCTTGACACGAGTAACACCTTTACCTAGATCTTCTGGAGCATTATCAAACGTCCACATGGTTTCATCATCAAGTCCTTCAGCATCGCGCAAAATGGGATAACCCTTTTTCTTTGCTGTAAAAGCACTCACTGCATTTTCTGCTCTTACTCTACCAAAGGCCGAAGTGATTACCGCTATAAAAGGCATAAGTCAGAAAACAAACTGACTTTCTGAAGATATACTTTACCAAATAATAAGAATGTCAGGACAAATGCAACGATGTAAACACCTAGACAATAATACAATGCTGATACTGTTGAGTCTGCATCTTGACTGATATACATCATATCTGTCCATAACTCGAGCGAAACAAATGTATAGACACTAAGAAGCGAAGTGAAGATAGTATCGTAATTGACATATCCAGAGCTAGGATTATTGCCAGAATATTCTAAGCATGTTTGACCTGCAGCACATATATAACCATGATAACCAGGATAGCTTGTTTCTTGTGTCTCTGGGTTATAAGCGCCTACAATGACTGAGTTGTTCAAATAGCCTGAACAGTATTTAGGCGGCTCTACAAGTTGTACTGTTCAAATGTGAGTACAATATGAATATGATGAATATACTTACAGATATTTTCAGCATTTGTATAGTAACAACGTCTTGAAAAGACACCATTGAATGAGATAAGACCAATTAAGGCAAATAAAATGGTAAAGAAAAAGATAAGTCCAGTGACAGCTAATAAAAGATCCCAACTCGTCTCCAAAGACTTGAGAATGACAGCTGTGCCAGGAAGAATAGACAACAATCGAACAGGTCGCATAGCACTGAGTGATTTAAATAGAGACAGGTTTGGGTATTCATATGCCATCAGAATGATATCCACCCAATGAGAGACAATAGAGATAGCATCAAACCAATTACCAAAACTGTTAAGATAAGCATAATGATTTCGAACATATATTGTATTTGTGTCTTTGTCTTCTTCTTCTGCATGCTGATATTCTGATGCGTATTTGAGATGGCTACTATCATAAGGAGATTTAATGGGGTCAATATAACTCCCTTTAAGTGTGTTTGCCACTGATGGTTTGCGCTTAAGTATTCTATTCAAGTTAAAACTTGATTTCTCTAGTGTTGGCTTTCTGGGTGGTATAATTAAACCATAAGCAATAATTTTGCATAATGCTTCAATGCTATGGATATGAATGTTAGTTTTGTTTCATAAATCTGTATATTTACCTATAAATAATTTGTATAAAAAGAATTGGATAATGAGTCCATTGTCCACTAAATATATTCTTTTGTTCGCTTGAAGTAATTGGTACACAAGCAAGTAGAAACCAATGAATGATCATAAGAAAAAGGATAAAGGTTTCCACATATCTGGGTTTATGGTTAATAATTTTATAGTTATTTTTGGTGTTATTTACCTTTTTCGGATAAGGCTCCAAACAAATATACGAAAAGGATTTCTTGGCCCAAATAGACACAGTGAATGACCTTGAAGAGGATTAGGTATGGTATAATTAAGGGATGAAGGTATATTATGTGAAGGTATAGGTGTTTCTTCTGTTGTTTTGTTGGTTGGTTTCTTTTCCAATACGATAGAATCCTGATCAAACTCGGACTTTTCATCCAGACTCGAAGCAAAAGAAAGCCATGAATATCTATTCTTGCTGCTCTGTTTTAAAGAACAAGCTGAATTTGCATTGACTTCAGGCGAAGTTGATTCTATGATTTTTTCGTTTGTTTCAGCAGCAGCAGCAGCAGCAGTAGCAGCAGCAGAAGCTATATCCATGACAGCTGGCGAATGAGGCTGTTCTTCTTGTGATTTGAAATCGAATACTTCATTATTGGATACTTGTTCAGATTCGGGTGCTCTTGAATTGACAACTCTGTTGGCTGCTTGATATAGTATGTCTAATAAATAATATTTACTTTTAGCATCGCTCTTCTGTATCGATTGCTCTGGTCGTTCGAAATGCTGTGCTCGATGATATTGTTGATTATTGCGATCCATATAGCGATGATTGGCACTGTAAGCACGCACAGACGCACTGTTATGTATCGAAGATCCACTAACTGAAGTACCTGTGATTGTTTTGATGGGCTGCTGGCGTTTTTCTCTACCTCCTTTTGATGAACCAGAGATAGTAGACTTGAATACATCTAAATCATAGCTCCATTCACTTGCTATAGGACTGAATGCCGTGCTGGATTTTTCGGGAACATTTCGGCTAGGATTATTAGGTGTTGTTATACCCAAGCCTGCAGTGACTCTCTCGTCTACGGCACTGTTTGCTGAATAGAAATCGGTTGAAGGTTTCTGCTGAAGACGCTTTAGTCTCTCCTTTTGTAATAAAAGACGATCGAGTTTGTTTTTTCTTTGCAATAAGTCCTTTGTGAGTGGCAAAGGTGTAGGCGGTGGTATCGCACTTTGCTGTTGTTTATTTGGTGAAGGTGGCGATAGGGTATAAGGCGAAGCTGCAACGTCAGTCTTGTCATCCTCAATCGTACTTAGCTGCGAAGTATTTTGTGCAGGTTCAGTTAAGACAATTTGCGGTATTGAAGTGATAGATATCTCACTTTGAGCGGTGGGCGGCTTTCTCTCATTCTTTTTTTTATCAGACACACTATCTGAAGTCGCCATAATAAACGATCAAACAAATACTGAAACAAAAACAAAAAGAGAATCAGAAAAGCCGTACCAATGTGTGACTGATGTGCTTTTCTGTTACACATGAAAGCATTAAGCTTTAACCGAATTTGTGTTACGAAGTAGGTATTTTCTTGCATTGCTGTTTAAAAACATGGCATGAGAAAAGGATTCAATACACGGAAGTTATGTTATGTCATGAAATTTGAGAATTGTGAATTGTGGCTCGAAAGCTAGAATAAAGAAGAGGTTTTGACTGGCATTAAACCATCTTGTATTAAACATCGGCTGAATAGAGCGATCTTAGGGCGCTAGAGAGCACGTTTTCTCGGCCTAAGCTTTTTATCTGAGAACAAGTTCCCAAAAACCGCAAAAACGGATCATCGGGTTTTGTTCTTGGCACAGATTAAAAGAGAGAGAGACGGCTTTACAGCGTTTGTTGTTAATTAAAATAAATCATAATAACTGGCATAGAGAGATAAAATACCTGCTGCTCTGATCAACTATAAAAAAACAATATAGACGACATAAAGTGAGTTGAATTTTTTGAATTTCATCTTGCAAGGCGACAAAACTTGAACAAGACTTCATTGATCAGCTTTCAAAAAAAGAAACTGGTTCCCTCTCAGTATACTATAGAATAACATATTTATTTTTAGTAATTTCTATTTTATCAAAATCCAAGCGTTGCAATTGGAACAAAAATGGTATAAAAGCTATTGTGTCAAGCTCTAACCTGAGATGATTCAAATTAAAAGTTATTGGCATAGACATTGTATCATTTCTTTAGCTCTTTCAAAGCTCGATCAAATGAAAGAAGACCTATTTTCAATCAATCCTATATCGGTTGAAGCATTAAAGATTAAAGTGCTTATTATACTAAAATAGCTACATACCAAACATAAGGAGGATAATTAAGATGCTCAGCCAGTATAAAATATACAAACTATATATGTATCCTATAGATTGTTTGAAAGCTTGACATTGGAAAGATACAATGGTGCAACTAAAATTGTATTTGGACTACATCTTGTCAAGAGATTAATAGCTAAGACATAATATAGGCTGTTAAGATGCAAGATTGACATGTTCTTTTTTGAACTATAGTATGTCTAAAATTAGAACATGTCAACTTCAAAAATAAAGCCTTAGGATTAAAGACCATTCACAGCTTGATATGCGTCACTAAATGGTTATTTGCAAGTCCATTCTTTCGAGAAATATAACGCTATACACATAAAAATTAGTTATCTTGAGTCGCCTTGCCTTAGGATAGTCAATAAATTTTGCATCAAAAGTAAAAAATGATCTGTAGTTGAATAGAGGAGAACCGCAATACTTCTTAGTAAAATATAAAAACAACAAATAATAGCAATGATGAGCAAGGAACAGTAGAAGATATGTGTTTCTTATTTCCTCTTTTTTTATTGCAAAATTTATCATTGCTCAGAAACGGGTGGATTTGACACACAAACATACAATTTGAGTTGACATTAATGTTGTTAAATTTTTTGAAGATTTATTGATTGATTTATGTAAAAGGGATTTTTGAGCATGCGACTCAATTTGGGCTTAAGTTTCTTGGACTCACTCAGCTCATAAGAATGAATGTATAAAGTTCTCTTAAAAAAAACTTAAGAAAACAAGGTCAAAAGGATATGTGATGAAAAAGCGCAGATTTTGTGGTTCTGTGGAAATTTGCCTGTAAACTGAAAAGAAAGGGAGATAGCTGATAGTCAAAGAGTCGAGTCAGAAGTGGAGAATAAGCAATAGAGTAAAAGCGTTTTGGTATTAGGTAATTTGAGCATACGATGAAAATTTGTTTTCAGATGTTGAAGCTCATATTATCCAAAATAGCTAGGATAAATTGATGTTGGAAGATAGGGAAGTTGTTTGGAAAGAACAGAGGACGAGAGTTTGTGCTATTATGCGATAAAGATGTATTTCAGTCTAGACAATAACTGAGAAATGAATGTCTTTCAAGAGAGCAAACCATTTGACAATACGAGTGACAAGAAACAGTCGAGAAAAAAAGGCTGTGAGGATCAATAGAGGATAGCAATACCATAGCTAAGTGAACTTTATTAGTACCTGCTTGTACTAAGTCTTTATGCTACTTTTTCTTTTTGGCTTTGAGAGCAATTTTGAGATAGGAGAAGATGTCTTTCTATGAGATGACTGTATCAGATAGAGTATACTCTGTGGCGCCTTTCTCAGATACGGCAATAACGCGTTTAGTGGGGATCCATCTACAGCCTTAAGTGACATTATATTAACACATTGACTAGGGGATGACTGAAAAAATGCTCTTAGTGTAAATTATAACAGTTTTGTCTTCAGAAAGTAAACAATTGAATTGGCTTAATCGACAAGAAAAAATATTCCAAAACTTATAAACATTAGAACTCTTTAATGGATTTACAAGGAAACATAGGTGTGTTTAAACTTCGATGGTATTTATACCAACTTACAAATATGCCACTTGTGTACTCAAAAAAATATTCCTTAAAAAAAATAAAAACTACTTTTCAAAATAAAACAAAAATATTTATCTAAAACAAAAAAAAAAATGAAAAATAGGCTTTTTTTTATTAATTTTAAGCAAAAAAATCAAAAATTTTCTACTTTTTATGTTTTTTTTTCATTACAAAAAAATAAACGAGTCTACCAGGCAGTAATATCCTTTTTGAACTAAAACAACAGAATCATCATCCGGTAGACTCGTTTATTTATCTAAAACAAAAAAAATGAAAATTAGGCTTTTTTATTAATTTTAAGCAGAAAAACTACAAATTTTCTACTTTTTTATTTCTTGTCATTGCAGAAAATGTTTTTGATTTATTTTAGAGTAATGGTTTTAGTTTTAAATAATTATTTTTTAGAAAATATTTTTTTGAGTACACAAATGGCATATTTGTAATTTCGGCATAACTGTTAATATTTTTATTAATTTTGAAAAGGCACTGATCACGAAGGCCTGAGATCTAAGAGCCTTTGCATAATTTCTCCATCGATCTAGCTATCTTTCTCGTAGAGTTATCGCAATCTTTAGAAAGTGGCTCTGAACACCAAAATTTATGCTCGGGCCAGAAAAATAGAACAAGAAAGGTATGGTTCAGCATCTAAACTTATTCAGCCAGCGCATGATACTTTTCTCCAAGATATTAGTTTCTATTTTTTATTTGAAATCGGGCTCACAAGTCAGCTATAACCTTTCTTTGAATAAATTTTAGCATACTCTAATCAAGCAAGCGGCAGCTAAAGATCCTATTTGGAAAGCAGCTGTCAGACATCAACAGCGCCTTTACATCCCAAATGACAACTCCAGCAATCTGAGCTTTGTCTTGAACACTTTTTCTTATCAATTTTTGACCAGGTTCCCTGATGAAGCAAAGTGATTACGACAGCCATAGTAAGCATAGAAATCGTAGTACCCGTAGTAGCCATGGCAATCATACACCACAGCGTCAGCGGTTGCATTTTCCTCCACCACTTATGCTGTAGTGCTAACTCTACGAGAAAGATAGCTAGATCGATGGAGAAATTATGCAAAGGCTCTTAGATCTCAGGCCTTCGTGATCAGTGCCTTTTCAAAATTAATAAAAATATTAACAGTTATGCCGAAATTACAAATATGCCATTTGTGTACTCAAAAAAATATTTTCTAAAAAATAATTATTTAAAACTAAAACCATTACTCTAAAATAAATCAAAAACATTTTCTGCAATGACAAGAAATAAAAAAAGTAGAAAATTTGTAGTTTTTCTGCTTAAAATTAATAAAAAAGCCTAATTTTCATTTTTTTTTGTTTTAGATAAATAAACGAGTCTACCGGATGATGATTCTGTTGTTTTAGTTCAAAAAGGATATTACTGCCTGGTAGACTCGTTTATTTTTTTGTAATGAAAAAAAAACATAAAAAGTAGAAAATTTTTGATTTTTTTGCTTAAAATTAATAAAAAAAAAGCCTATTTTTCATTTTTTTTTTTTGTTTTAGATAAATATTTTTGTTTTATTTTGAAAAGTAGTTTTTATTTTTTTTAAGGAATATTTTTTTGAGTACACAAGTGGCATATTTGTAAGTTGGTATAAATACCATCGAAGTTTAAACACACCTATGTTTCCTTGTAAATCCATTATATTCATGGAAGTTCCTGACATCTATGGCTGTTGCCGTGATCTTTTTATGGTTTTAGCTTTACTTTTTGTATAGATGTCACAAACTTTAGTAGTCCCGTAACTTTCCATATTTTTTATTTATGCTGGTGTTAGCCATACACGCTTCACTGTTGACGAGTCGCTCAAATGGTCTCAATTCATGAGAAAGGAAACCCAACTAGTCTGACTACTATTTCCAAAAAAAAATCTTAAAGCATGCATCAAAAAACTTTTCTAAAGCCAATTATCGTCTTTAGGAACTGCTCAAAGTGGCTTTAGAGAATGCAAAAGCACCTTTGACCAAACTCTTTGTCTTTCTGAAATTTGTAAACTATTTCTCCACAAATGCATTCAAGGATACCCGCTTTGTACTTTATTGGTGCACCAAATGGACCTCTATGCATTCGCTTCTATCCCAAATCATCTCTACGTAACATGTCATTACAAACAATATACTCCTTTCAATATCTAACTAAATGTTTCCATTTCTTCTCTGGTTACAGAACCACGCTCAGACACACGATCATATCAATAATCTTCTCTCTATTCCTTTTTTGCCCTTGTTCTTTTAAGATGTTTTTAGCCTAGTATAGCCATCCTGATGAATCAATTGAGTCCGAGCAGTCAAAGGCCACATTAAACCATGTGTTCAAAAGGACTTTTTCTATAAAATTAATAAATCAACAAACTTTGAGCATGAATTCGGCAAAATTAAGATCAATGCACGAGTGTACTATCTGTGTCAACAGAAAAACACCTGGAAAACAATTGTTTTTAGGCTAAAAGAAAAATACACTCTCACCACAGCGTTTTTCTTCCATCGATGAAAAAAATCCTTCATATTTGATGGAAGATTTCTGCATTCAATGAAGGACTTCTTCCATCGTTTACGCTTTAGTGTCTTTAATTTTAAAAGAATTAGATCAAATTAAGAAAGAATAATAAAAGTAAAGAAAAATAAAAAAAAAAATCATAGGAACTGCACACCTGTTTGTCATTCCAAAAAAGCGGTATAGAGTCTTGCTAGAGATGTTGTGTACAACCACAGCAGTAGGAGCTACTTTTAGAAACTATTAGAACAAGAGTAGGAGAGAAAGAGAGAGAAAGCTATATGAGATCGAAACATGGCTATGAAACATTTTTTTTTGTATTGAATGAAATTTTATTAATAAAAATAAAAACATTGAAGGATGGTCAAGTGTACACAGAGTGAAGTGACTTGCCATATAATTATCTTTTGTATTGTCTATTAAGCAGTTTTGTTCTTCATTTTTGATATCTTGAGTATTTCTTTGGTGATTCTTTTGGAAATTCTTTCAGGGTCAAAGGACACTCCATGGAAATGTTGTTGGAAATGACCGCCCCAGATTGATCTGATAATTGTCGCAAAGAAGTCAAATATATTGATCTTGACATCTAAGTTGTAAATGAGGTATCTTGATAGTGTGAGATTTTTAAGATCTTGGAATATTTTATCTGAATCAATTTCGATTGGGTAGCCAAGGAACTTGTTGAATATATCTTGCCAAATCATTGCCTTATTACCACAAGAGATCAGTAGGTGTTTGGCATCTTCTATTTCATTGCAACTGACACATCGATCATTTTCGATGTCTTTTATTTTTCTTTGGAATAGGAATTCTCTGCTTGGGATTCTGCTGTGTATCATTTTGAACCAGATGTTCCTCACGGATTGATGCATTGGTGCCTTATAGAATTGTTTCCATTGACGGGACTTGATGTTGGCATTGAAGTCGCTTGGCATTTGCAATGGAATGTTTTCCAGCATTATTCTTCTGACGCCTTGGTTGTTCAGGGACAAAATTTCACTGTTTTCATATTGTAGCTCCTTCAGATACTTCTTAAAGCCCACGCAGTGCTGAGTCTTTCCTATGGTATTTTGTTCGATATGTCGCAGAAAGAATTGCTTGAACTGTAATGTATTGCAGGAAGTGTATCTCTTCAATTTTGCTAGTATTACTGGTCTATTACAATGGAGTTTGCTTTTGAAGGCAATACGGTTGGTTGTTAAGTCAAGGTTAAAAAAAATGTTGAACTAGGCTTTTCTTTGCGGTTGGACTGCCAATGAATTTCAGCTCAGCGTTGTCTTCCCAGTCTTTGAAAACAGCTGAAAGTGGTAGGGTCATACAATCGATAGCTGATAATGATATTTGGGCTTCGTCTTTTGGTCTACAGAATTTTGTCAAAACATCCATTGTTTCAAAGATCGGTCTAAGTGCACCCTCCTTGTTCACAGATGTTTTGTATCTAGAGTCGGGGAAGAGCACAATGGATTCAAGGCTTGGGTTATTTGTTTCAACTTGAAGAATGTATACCATCATATTATACAGGTACTTTGGGATTCGTTTGAATTGCTCATAGTTGAGCAGAGCTTCAATATATCTCATCTGTAGAGATCCTTGTTGGGCAAACGAGTTTAACTGTCCCAGACCTCCTTCAGCCTTAGGCAGGTAAAAGACATCCTTCTTGATTTGCAGTTTCTTCTCATCGACTGTATATTGGTAAATGATTGAGTTCAAGGTCGAAAGTACAGCTTTGGGTAGTAGTGTCAATCTGAGCACATGCCATAGTTTGGAGAGTATTATTGTGTTGGCTATATTTGCCCTACCGTACATAGAGATATTTCTTGTTTTGAAAAAGGCCACTTGAGCTCTAATTCTTCCAGTCATTTCGGCCACAAACACATTTCTCTGTTGTTTTGTTACGTAAATTGGGTATCCAGGGTATTTGATATAATCAGCACTGTTGTAGTCGTACCATTTCATACGTTGTTGGATGTACGTTTTCAATCTTACCCCAAAATATCCATTCATTTTATCTCCATGTAGTGGAAAGGCTTGGGACTTTTCGTAGTTAATCTTGGAGTTTGACGCTTGACTATATGTCTTGAGACATTCTTCCGTTTGCATATACTCCGATCTAGATTTGACAAATATGATAATATCATCTGCATAGGCTAAGACCTTGACAGGTGGTGGAGGAGTGAGTTGAACTGTTCTTTGATCTGCTGGTTTGGTAGCTTGAATTGGATATCCTGAGATACTGTCATTGTTAATAATTGTTAGCAGGAATGGCTCAATGGCAAAGTTGAAAAGTATTGGTGATATAGAGTCTCCTTGTCTTAGTCCTCTTCGCTGTTTCACTGGATTTGATAGAAACCCATTCATGTTGATGAAGATTTCATTGTCAAAGAAAAGGTTCTGTATGCATCTAACAAATTCGTTAGGAAAGCCAAACTTCAATAGTACTTGTGTAAGATAGTATGGATGAACTCTGTCATAAGCTTTGTTATTATCAAGCATCACTCCAACGTATTCTTCAAATTCTTGGTTGTTTCCTGCTCTGGTCATTTTGGCATTGTCGATCATCATTCTAAGAGCTAAACCTTGGTCTCCAATAAAACGTCCTGGCATAAATCCAGTTTGGAATTTGGTGATAAGCCGATTGGCGATTTCCATTATTCTTGCATTCATTAGCCTAGTGAAAACTTTACAGTCTGTATTTATCAGCGTGATTGGTCTCCAGTTTCCTAAGTCTGATAAGTCCCCTTTTTTTGGTAGCAATACAGCACACGCTTGCTGCCATGATCTTGGAAATTTTCCTAGCTTGATAGCATCATTGTAGACTTGTGTTATGATATCTCGACAGCTTGGTTGGTTAACGATGATATTGAGTATCTCATATGGGATGCCATCTAGCCCTGGGCTACTTTTACGTGAACTTCTTTGTATACCTAGTATGATGTCTTCATAGTAAATCTCTTCAATCAATCTGTCGCTCTCTTCTTTAGACACGACTTTGTTAATTTGGTTCGTCATAGATTCTAAACTGTTTATGTCAATTCTCTCTTCTGTATACAACTTGGAGTAGAACGATTGGACAGCTTCTAGCTTGGAGTTAGTGTCTGTACATTCATTACCAGTGGCTGGATGTTTCAAAATGCCCATTGTCTTTTTCTCTTGTCGCCGCTTGATAGTGCTTTTGATGTAGGATGGAGACTTTTCGTTGTTTTTCATCCATCTCTGACCGGCTCTGAGTCTATCTGTATTGCTTTTCTCTTCCTGTAGTTTGGTGATTTGACTCTGGACTGGAGGTAGTAGTGCATTCAAACATACAGGGTCTTGACCATAGAGTCGTAGCAACTTGTTTCGTTCTCCATTCAGTTCTTTCAACCTCTTTTCTCTCCACTGGTTATGGTGACGGCAGAAGTTGACTGTTACTTCCTTAACCATATTTTTAATTGAATCCCACTTGTCTTGTGCTGACATTGCCGGGTCTAACTTATGTTGTATATATTTGTCAAGTTCACTTTTCAGTTTGTTAGTATATCTTTCATTTTTGGCAAGATAGGGATTGCCTCTCTATATGCCTTTCCCATTGTTCTGTAGCTCAATAGTCAGAGTTTTCTTTAGTAGTGCATGGTCTGTGTGTTTGTCACTCAGGAATTCTACTTCGCCATCGGACATTTGCTTGAAAGTGTTGAGTCCTGCAAATATGTAGTCAATGGTTGATAAAGATGCCTTGTCGCTTCGCTTTTGGATGCAAGTATAGTCGTATCGCTCGCCTTGTTGATTTATGCAGTCTTTCATATGACCCTTGATGAATTCGATCAGTTGTTGAGGTTTAGCTTTTGTTCTTGTAGAGTGTTTGCTTGCGCTATCAAAACTAAAATTAAAATCACCAGCCATGATTAGGTCGGGAATCATCTCGGGCGTCTTGAGTAGTAGATTGACTATTGTTTTAAAAAAAATTGTTTCTCTCAGTCATCTGTTCAGTTTTTAGGCCTGATTGTGCATATAGGTTCATGATGTATACAGGCGGAGTAGAGTTGTCAACCGTTGTTAGCTTAGCTAGTATCGTTCTTCCATCTTTAGATACTTTGATTTCCTCTAGATTTAGAGCATTGTTGAAGTTGATTATTGAGCAATGTTTTGTCCAAATTGCTTGATGATAGTTGAACTTGAATTTCATATTGTTTATGGTTTCTTCAAAGGTGAGAGTTGGTATATTGGTTTCTTGACATAGAAGCACATTCAATTTCTTGCTCTTCAGTAAAGCAATAAAATCGTCTGTGGTTTGTTGATTAGTGTTCATATGTAAGTTTCTGCAGTTGGCAGAATCTATTTTAATGTGTAAGTGTTTGTATGTATTCATTTTTTTTTTGTATAAATATATTTTTTTTAACTCTTTTTTTTAACTCTTTTTTTTTACTTCTTTTTTTTTTTACTTCTTTTTTTTTTTTTTTTTAAGAACCAATTATTAGTCCAGCTCATTCATTTTCTCCCCACCATTTTCAGGAGAAGGAGAAGACGTTTGAGTGACAGTTTCACTTTCTATGTTTTTGTTGAGTCTTTTAGTATTTGGAGTCAAAGATTCTCTTGTTTCAGGAGAGAGAGCGTCTTCCAAATTACGCTTTGTAATTGACCTGTTTAGTTTGCTTTTCTCTTTACTAGTCAAACTGACTGAGTGTCTGAGAGTGATGATATCGTCTAGCTTTTTGGTTTGTTGACTTCTGGAACTTCTTGGTGTAGAGACTGACCTGGTGGGAACGGCTTCCTTCATAGGCTGGCTTGGTTCGCTAGTACATCTACTCATCATTACATTTCTGTTCTCCAAGTCTACTACTTCTTCCATAATAGTCGTTTCACTTTCTACTGCCTGTGGCTTTGTATCATTCTTGAGTAAATCGAGCAAGTTGATTTCCCGTCTAGTTCCTGCAGCGTTGGTGGTTATAAAGTCAGATGTCATACTTGACTCCTCTTCAGGTACAGACTTTCCAATTTTGGACATTCCTGCTTGTTTGTTTGCTTTGGGTTCACGATTCCAAGGTGCCGTAGAGCGTTTCGCTTGCAAGTGGTTAGGGATCTTGCAGCGGAAACATAGCTTTCTGACTCTTTGGGGCAGTCAAGTTTGATGTGTTCGTCCGTATGACAGTCAGCGCAAATATGCTTCATTTGAGACCAAACGATGTTCAGTAATACTCCTGGGGAACCTACAAGTTCCACTTGGGGAGTGAGCTCAGCTGCATACGTTGCTTCTTTTAATTTATCCCTATTGAGTGTAGTAAAACCGCGACCGGTGAACCAATCGGAGTCAGCGCACTTGGAGATTCCAATATTCAAAATGTCGCCAAAGCGTTCAAAGGTATTGATCAATGCTGTCTTCAATACTTCTTCTTCCATGAGGGGAATTTCAGATATACCAATGTTGATTACCATTGCAGAATGGTCAAGGGTCTTGTTCAGTTCAATTTTCTTTCCATTCACTACAAATTCTTTAAGGAGAGCGTCTCTACATGCGTTTTCAGTCGAGAAACCAAGCTCTATAGCCTTTCTTTTGTTCTTGCCAATTACTCTAGATTTGAGGCCAAGGCATTTAGGAAATTGTCCGCGCAATATTTTGAGTAAAGACTTGTCTTTAAATTCCATGCCCAAAAATTGGGCGCAGTCGATTACAATTGAGTTTCGTTCTTTAGCTTCCACAAAGGTTGAATAGGCGTTGAGAGGTTTAAAACTACCATTCTCAACATTTGGTGACACTTTAAAGATGTGTCGTTTTTGAGCTTTAAGTGCGTCTTTAAAAGATTGATAAGAGAATAGTTGATTGCTTGGATTATGGCTAGAGTCCAACGTTGAACCGCCTTGTGGGGAGGTCCTACGGTTATCACTCTGCTAATTAAGCGAAAGAGCCATGTCTTCGTGGCTATAAAACATATACTTTAAATCCTTTCAATTCGTAATGTCTTTCAAGTATTCGCGACACGTAAGATTTCTCTGTTCCTGCTGCACCAGACACAAAAGCAAATGAGTTTGTTTCCAATTTGTAAATGATTTAGTTGTAAACAATCTTCTGGGTACTATTGGCATTTCGTAACGTGGTTATCAATTCATTTTAGCAGGCTTCTAAACCTCTTTCTACATTAACTACATCACCTAAAAATTGTATATTCACTCTTCTGTAAAATTTAATTCCTCCTTAATTTACAGGTAGATTGATCAAGTGTTCATAATAATCTACAAGTGGATGTTATTTAAAGATACATTTTAATTGCATTCATTTGCCTTTCCAAGGTCCATAAATAGATAGCTCTTTTTTAAAAGTAATCGAGAAGATTGCTTTTTTTATAACAATCTGCTGATAGTAAAAGTTTTTTTCCATTCATTCTATTTAGTTGAACGTTCTCTAAAGAAAGTGGTTTACCATCTATCAACTGATATAACTTTTTACCGCAATGAACATAGTCAGGCAAAGGTATTAGATAAAAAATTTGATGAGCAAACTTGGTCATAAGAGCACTTTTTTCTGCATAGTTTCTTTCGTAAGATCTAAAGAATTCTGGTATGGTTAATTGAGAAGCATCGTCGCGTTTCTCATAGATTCCTAAAGATGTCAAGAATTAGTCTACTAGTACGTTTTATATTCTTTTTGTTTGATACATTACTAACATAAGTTTTTGAATAAATCTCTTTTAAATCAGAGTCTAGCTCTTTGATATCATTTCTTAATTTTTCTGTATCTTGACCAAGTAAATTCGTATTGAGAAACAATACACTTCTAAAATTGCTATGTTTACGCCATCCCAACAGCACCAACAATTCTCATAGCATAATGCTCTCTTTTTGACACATACGATGTTCTTTTGTAATAGCCTTGGTTTTGCAATTATGTATTTTTGAGAACAGCCTTTGCCTTTTAATCATCTTCTGCTAAGTATTTTACGAGATATCTAACAGCTTGTGGTCCATCGTTGTATTGAATATCCATGCTTGTTCTGAATATGCTAGCAGATACGGATTATATACAGTGGCCAAAAATTTTCTAAAATTACAACCAGCTTATGATATCAGAAAATATTATATTGAACGAAGTAAATATCTAATAATATTGTATAAAATTTATATGTTCCTCTATAAAACTATATCTGTGGGGTAGAAATTATTATTTTATGTAAGATAATTTTTGGTCACTGTGTATGTTTACAATCATTGAAACTAGTCTTGCTTTTATCGTGACAATTTCTATCAAATAAGGAAAGTGGTAATCTTTATTCGTTTAGAATATTTACAGAGGGAAGGTATCATATTAAATTGAAGGGTAATTCACCATCGCCTTTCGCGCCATCAATGCGCTCCAAGACAGGTAAAATCTTTTCCCATATCGCAGTACCTTTCTTATAGAACTCAACATGGCAATCTGTGTACGCCAACAAACCTTGTTTTAATTCCACCATTCTTGTCTTTTGAAAGATATCATATTCCTTCATGACTTGATTCGAGAAAGCACTGGACTCATCATTTGCTCTAGCTACTTCCTCCTGTAACTATATATCATTGTTTAGATAAATCTCATACGTAATTTTTTTGTACCTCTTTGATTCGTATCTCAAGTCGCTTCAGTTTATCGCGCTTTGCTTTCTCCATATTAACACCACGTACTTCATTCAGCTTGTCGGTCACATAGTCTGTAATATACATGCCGCCTACACCTACACCACGATCATTGAATTTGCGACCAGGAAACTGTGTTCTTTCACGAAGTAATTCTGTTTGTTGTAAATACACAGACAGTTCTTCAAAATCCAATTGTTTCTGATCTCTTGCTTTCAAAACATCCTACTGGATGTTAGCAAAATGTGTACTATGCATTCAGCATACCTTGGCTGCATAGCAATAAGCCAGTAATTCATGAATTTCGTTCAAGAATTGAAGTTCTTCTTTTTCTGTCATTTCTTTCATGGCTTTAGAATATGCTCTTGAAGCTTCGGCAAATTGAGAAAGTGAATATGTGATATTTGTCTCTAGGGCAGAGAGGCCTTGAACGCTGTTTGCAAAACTAATATAATCATTCTGTAGATCTAAATTTGATTTGTTAGAAAACTATATACAATTTTGTGTTTCTTATACCTTGTTGTCTTTTATTGATCCGCATATAAAGTCTTTCTACTGTATTCAGATCTTCTTCCAATCGATTGATATTTTCTTTCATAGATTCAAATCGCTCATCTGGCTTCTTTAGTTTTGCGAATGCATTGACTAGTGTATCACTGATAGAGTCAAGTAAAGAAGATGAAGTTGGGATATGTGCCATTTGAGCTCGTTTATCGGTTCTCTAGTGTATACGAATCAGTCTCTTTCTCTCTCTTTGCTATAGTTGCTTACAAAATCATTGGATTCTAAAAAGATACGAGTAGATTGTGACTTCTGTAACAAAGGGTGTCTTGCTATTCTGTCTAGGAACCACTGCAAACTGATAAAAAAGATAAGTATTGCTTATTAATACTCTACATGTAATCCAACCTCAACAATCGTCTCGAGATAAATTCCGAACTAAATCTATCGCCTTTGATGTATTCTAATTTGTATAAGTATGACCAAACATAAGTGCATGTATCTTTATGTACCTAAGCGATGCTTTTCTGGTAAAGGAGGAATAATACAAGCAGGATGTTCTAGACTTAGCGCTCTATGTAACCAAAGAAAGTCTTGGTATCGGCGTCTGACTGGTCTTGGATTGGTTGAGTTAAATGTTTCTACTTCTGTCTACAACAAGTTAGTATTGGTAGGCAAATGCCTATACATACCTTGGTAGTCAAAAGATACATAATAAAAGCTCCTTGAGGATCATGATGCTTCTGAGGATCACTGATAGCAATGGTCATTGGAAGTACTTCCACAGTCTCCATAGTAACTGGCTTTGACTTAGGAGCTACAAAAGGTGCCTTTGGTTGTGGAGAAGGTGTATTATTGGTGACTATAAATGAGTCAGACGAGTCAAGAATAGGCGAAGAGGAAGGGATAATGGGAGGAAGAGAATTCGCTGTACTCTCAGTCGCTATAGGCGCAGTAGCAGTAGTAGTAGTAGTATTAGTAGTAGTAGTAGTAGTAGTAGTAGTAGTAGTAGTATCATAAGGGTAAAAGCCATTCTAATATCAAATAAATTAATAAAATAAAATAAAATATAGATTAAAGAAAGAATACCTCTTCACTATATCGAGACAGTGGGTCGTCAAAGTCAAGATGAGGTGTTGAGACGTCAGTTGTTGCGTGCACATCCCACTTTATATAATCTTCGTTCATGTTTTTTTTTGTCAATTACTGCAAATAAAGAAAGAAATGAAATGAAATAGCGCTATCTGCTCTCTTTTTTTATACTCAAGTCACAAGGCAGCTCGACACTATGTCATTTTATGGCGCATAAATATCTCTTTTTTTTTATGTAAATTGATAGACACTCTTCTTCAAAGAATGTGGCAGTTGTAATTCGTGTAATTAGATAAAATAACTAGTTTTATTATAGCAAGTGGTTTTTTTATTTTACAGTTTAAAACCATTCGTGTAGGCTAGCATTAATAGCCAGTAATATTGCCGTATTCTAGTCATGTTGAATGTGTGCATAAACATATTAAAAGACAGAAGAAAGGAGAAGAGAGAGTTATAGAGTAAGAATAATAAGTAAAATACTAAAAATGAAGAATGCATGTGTGCAAGATACGTGCGTACTACTAGAAATAACCTTGGTGTCTGTTGTTATATTGCTGGAGTTGCTTGTTACTGAGGAATCAGATCCTACTGCACTAGCAACACCAATCCGGTTCTGATCAATGTCATATACTTGAAAAAAGCTTCTTAATACAGACTGTCCGAGGAAGATGGATTTACTTGTAGGTACAATACCAACCATACATATGGAAGCTGTCGCCATTGAATTTGCGTCAAGTGGGAAAATAAGATCAGAAATAGGTACATTCAAGACGACAGGGTTGTCTGATACTTGATTGCTTGTTGATAACATAAATTGAACTGTAATGTTTTCTTGAGCAAGAGAGCAATTGACTTGAAAGTAATTATTGTTTGCGTCATAAGCTAGATTATGATTGCCAAAAGCTGCTTCAAATAAAGGCTCAATGACTTGTGTAGGAAGGTAAGTTAAGGTAGTGCCTGTGTCAAATACGAAATTGGTGGTAGATTCAAACGTGAGGCTTAATTTCTTGGCACCTGAGCTTGAGACGCCCAGACCTTGGCCGTAAGTTTGCCAATATCCATAATCTGCTTGTGTGCCTTGTTTTGTTGTTTTTGAGACGGGTACATAAATTAAAGCGCCCTTGTATTTTGTTGTATCAATACCACCAAATATAACTTGACCAGCATTACCTGTTGCATCGGAGCTGTTGAGGAAGATGGAAAATACATGCTGAGAAATCTTCTGTTGTTCTTTCAAGCTAAAAAAGAAAGGCATGTATTCTTTTTGAGTAGATGCTGTAATAAGAGGATATGCGAGTCCAAAAATACCATTCATACGATGTTCTTGACTGTAGGTGGTCAAATTATCTGTTGAGCCTGCAGTAGGAGTATAAGACTCACCCGTAAGTGTTTGTAATTGTGTTAATATGTTCTTTGTAGTATTGACAATGCCAAATTGTTGATTTTGTATAGTAGCACCACCAATAGTGATAATATCTTGTGCATAAAGGCCGCTGGCAGAACCAACTCCATAAGTAATGTTAAAGTTCTGACCTAATGATTTGAATGTACTTGAATTGGACTCAACAAATTTGGCAAAAGGGCAGAAAGAAGAAGGGCATTTTGATCCAGGTACCCATAAATCAGCACTAACATTTCATGAATATGAGCTTTAAATTGAAACCATAATTACCTTCCAGTATCAAGAGCAAGCTCAAATGTTTGAGGTGGTGTACCAACTTCAATTCTTACTAAATAAATCGAACCATTGTCATTGTAAACGTTTGTATTAAATTCATCTCTTTTGTACAATTCATGTTGTGTCCTCTTCTGAATGATGGGAAGACGAATGAGTTTAGCCTCTTCTTGTGAGTTGGCAATAGCAATCAGAGATGCTACAATTATTATAAAGAGCTTCATGAAAAGAGAAAAAGAGAACAAGAAAATCCAAGTTTTCTCTAAATTTGTTACTGTAAGCCAATCCAAGGTACCACAGCTTTATTGTGCTTAATTAATAGTAGTACAAAGAAAGGTCAAGCACAACATTGGCCTTATTGTCATATGTTACCTCGTGTTTAAGCTATATATTATTGTATATGTGGAATATAGTTGTATAGAATTTATGCAAGTGATTCAATTCATTCATTGCTGTCATTAAATGTATCTTTATGCACCGCACTCTTCTTTATGTCTATCAATGGTTAGAACGAGCAGCACTACATTAATGCATATGCTGTTTCGCATATCAAAGTTTGCAGCCTCAATTATACGTGCTATCTCTTACTGCCATCAGAAATTAGATCTGAGATTTAAGTGCGATACATGGCTTGTTATCGCTATCCAATCATCTTCCTAGAATCTCCTATGTCAGAATGGGTAAACCACTTGGGATTGACTCACAAGCAAATCTATTTGACATTGAGTTTTTTTGCATTTTTCAATTTCTCTTTTTCTTTTGTCTTTTTAATACAAAAAACTCCCCACTCTTTTTTACACTTTTTCTTTCTCTTCTCTACATTAAATCATGGCTTCAAGACTTCTCACAAGAGCAAAGCCTCTTACTACACATACTTTGTAAGTTTTATTTTTTTTGATATGCTGAGACTCATTTATATCTAGTCGCGATGCTGCCAAAGTTGCACCCATCGGTCTCCGATCTTATGCTTCTGATAACAAGAAACTGAACAAGTTTAGTTCTGTTATTACTCAACCCAAGAGTCAAGGTGCCTCTCAAGCCATGTGTAAGTTTATTTCCATGCAAAAGTAAATATCGTTGACACTGTAAATCATAGTGTATGCTACTGGTTTAACTGACGAAGATATGAATAAGGCCCAAGTCGGTATTTCTAGTGTGTAAGTTTATAAAAAGGTACAAAACCATGTCTTAACAAGTATGTTTTTCTTTTAGCTGGTACGAAGGTAATCCTTGTAACATGCACCTTTTGGATTTAGCTGGCGAAGTCAAGAAGGGTGTTAAGGAAGCTGGTCTTATTGGTTACCGCTTCAACACTATTGGTGTCAGTGATGGTATCTCCATGGGTACTCGTGGTATGAGTTTCTCTCTTCAGTCTAGAGATTTGATTGCTGACAGTATCGAAACTGTCATGGGTGGCCAATGGTACGACGCCAATATCTCTATTCCTGGTTGTGACAAGAACATGCCTGGTGTCTTAATGGCCATGGGTCGTGTAAACCGTCCTTCATTGATGGTCTATGGTGGTGCTATTCAGCCTGGTCAAGGCTGTGGTGGTGGCAAGTTAGATATTGTTTCTGCTTTCCAAGCTTATGGTGAGTATGTTGCAGGCTCCATTAATGAAGATCAACGTTACGATATCATTCGTCATGCTTGTCCTGGTCCCGGTGCTTGTGGTGGTAGTAAGTGATCTGAAATAACCCAAAAAAAAAGGCGCATACTAATCTATTTTAAAGTGTACACTGCTAACACAATGGCCTCTGCTGCTGAAGCTATGGGTATGACTTTGCCTTACTCCTCATCTACTCCTGCTACCTACCCTGAAAAGATTGCTGAATGTCATAATGCTGGTCATGCCATTCGCAACTTATTAGAAAAGGATATTAAGCCTCGCGATATCATGACTCGTGCTGCATTTGAAAACGCCATGGTTCTTACTATGGCTCTTGGTGGTAGTACCAACGTTGTTCTTCACTTGATTGCTATTGCAAAGAGTGTTGGTGTCAAGTTAACTTTGGATGATTTCCAAGTTGCCAGTGATAAGACACCCTTCTTGGCTGACTTGAAGCCCAGTGGTAAATATGTCATGGAAGATATTCATACTATCGGTGGTATTCCTGCTGTTCTCAAGTACTTGATGCAAGAAGGTCTTGTTGACGGTAATGTTTTGACTGTCACTGGTAAATCTCTTGAAGAGAACTTGCACTCTCTCCCTGGTCTTCCTCATGGCCAAGATATCATTCGTCCTCTCTCAAACCCCATCAAACCCTCTGGCCACTTGCAAGTTCTCCGCGGTAACTTGGCTCCTGAAGGTTCTGTTGCCAAAATTACTGGTAAAGAAGGTCTGCAATTCACTGGCAAGGCCCGTGTCTTTGACGGTGAAGAAAAGTTCATTACTGCTCTCGAAAATAATGAATTCAAGAAGGGTGAAAAGACAGTTGTTGTCATCAGAAATGAAGGTCCTAAGGGTGGTCCTGGTATGCGTGAAATGTTGAAACCTTCTTCAGCCATCATGGGTGCTGGTTTAGGTCAAGACGTTGCACTTTTGACTGATGGTCGTTTCTCTGGTGGATCTCACGGTTTCATCATTGGTCACGTTTGTCCTGAAGCTTATGTTGGTGGTCCTATTGGTTTAGTCAAGGATGGTGATGAAATCACTATTGACGCTGAATCTCGTGAAATGAACATGAATGTTTCTGACGAAGAACTTGCTGAACGTAAGAAGAACTTTGTTCCTCTTCCTCCTAAATATACCAGAGGTACTCTTGCTCGTTATGTCATGACTGTCAAGAGTGCTAGTGAAGGTGCTGTCACTGATGAATTATAATTATATTAAAATAAACTAAAAAAAAAGTTGTGTATTATATGAAAGATCAATTATGTTGTCGTCTGGTTTAGAAGAAAATAAACGTATGTTGCTGTACAAAAGAAGCTTCATACGATCTAATGCAAGTAGGATAGAGAAGAATCCAAATAATACAGTGCATAGTATGTAGGAATTGTGCCTAATTTAAACTTCCTAATTCAGCTTGCTGCTTGGCATAAAAGGAACACTCATGCTTTGCTAAAAATAAGCTTATTGTTCAACATCCTAAGCCTTTAAGCATATAATCTATTGAATCTTAATCAGCCATTTAATCCTTGGCATATCAATTCATTGTATTTGTGCTTGTATGCCTCGTGCAAAGAAAAAATAAATATAGATATTCATGCCAACTTTGATCTACAATTGTTATAAATAAATCAATAGATCAGAAACTTGTCTTTGCTATGCCTTGGACATGCTTCAATCTCCTCTTTCAGAGTTTTTAGTGTCTGTAGCTTTTTAGCCCCTGTGTTCATCTCAAATGCAATTTTTATGTATACGCTATATAATTCAAAGCAAAGAATGTTTTTCTGTTCGTACAGAAAAAGATCGTCTACAGAATTAAGGCGGCGACTAGAGAAATCGCTTGGCAACAACTAAACAAAAACAGAATCTCATCATTGGCTGCGTCTTGAGAAGACAAGATGCATTCAGAAATAACGTTTTTTTTTTTTTTGCCAAGATAATTTTAATTATACGTTTTTTTTTATTAAATCTTTCTTTTCTTCTTTTCTTTTCTCTTCTTTCTCTCCCTCCTTCTTTTTCTTTTTATTATGCAAACATCACTTGAAATGGATAACGAAATTTACTTTTGTCGTTGGACAAATTGTTCAGCGTCATTTGATGATCCAGAGCACCTTTATGTTCATTTAACAAATGACCACGTCGGCAGAAAATCAACCGGAAATCTCTGTCTCACTTGTCATTGGGAAAAATGCGATGTGAGCGTCATTAAAAGAGACCATATCACTAGCCACTTAAGAGTACATGTACCTTTAAAACCACACCGTTGTCAGGCAAGTTTATTTGATTATCTCTATCATTTTCTAACTCAACACCTAGTTTTGTAGTAAATCTTTTAAGCGCCCTCAAGATTTGAAAAAGCATGAAAAGATTCACAGCGAACAACATATTTCTTCGCTTCGATGCCACCATAGAGCACAGCATCATAACCACCATCCTTTGACACCACCTAATAGTCATCCAAGTAGAGATGTCTCACCTGTATTATCTGACCAACATCCTATCTCACCTCCATCAAGCACTTATTCTGACGACAATTGGATGTTCAATGGTGTCTCTCCATCACAGCCTACACCTTATGTTACACAGCCCATGGAGAACAGTTTTAGTCCTGATCATGTTATCAATGACTTATTTTTCCCTATGGACATGGATGCAAAATACGATGCAAATATTGAGAACAGTCTTAATCAGATTCAGCAATTGATGGACGCAGGTGCTATCACACAATCTAGCTTTAATTTGAATATCAATAATGAACAACAACTGTCTGATGTGAATGACTGGCTTACTCGTCTTTCCCATAGCATTGCTACCACCACTGCTCCTGTTGCAAACGCATATGCTCCATTGTCTAATTTTGCCCCTGTCGCACAAGAAAGTTATACGCAATATCCTGTTGTTCCTTCACAAGATAGAATGTACCCTACATCATGCGAAGAAAATGAACTTTATGTTCGATCCCAACCTATGCCTCAACCTGTTGTACCTAGTCAGAATATTGATGCATTTAATCCCAACTATCTTGCTTTCCATTCAAACCAAATGCCACCATATCCTCAACAAAGCTATAATGTAGGAGTAACAGGCCAACGCCAACATTATGCTGCTGTACCCGACGTATCAAACCACTATTTCCAACCCGAACTTAGAACAGCTATGAACTTTACCAAGGCACCACACAATGCTGAAACTGAAAAAGAAGAAAAGACAGATTCCTTTAAGCCAACTAAAACTGTCAATTATGATGAAAAGAAACAAATGGCTACTCTTATCAACAGTTTTTCAAGTGTTGATGGTCAACCCAAAAAACCACAAACAAAGCAAGAAGAGTTAGAAAGCACAGAAACATCGAAACCAGACATACTTGTTAGAGACTTGATAACAAGTGACCTTTCTAAGCTTTCTTTGAATGACACAAAACAAGCGGTTGAGAAAACAAAAGATACTTTATATCCCACAGTATCCATGGCTAATCAAAAACACTTATTGCTCCTAAAGAAGCTATCGACTTGGATGAACGAAAACTATCGTAAATCCCATACAATGCCTAATGCAGCCAAAATGGAAAAAGTAGTTCACGAATAAAGCCATTTGTCATTCTGAATATACCAAAATTAGAGAAAATGTAAAGTTGACTTTTAAAATTCATCACCACCCTTTATTGAGCTTGTGCATGAGTAGCGTAGTGCAAAAAAAAAAATTAAGACTATAAATTCGAGAATTATGTTTTGTTTACTTCTTCTTTTCTCCTTTGATTATGAACCCCGGTAAGCCTCAGGCTTCTCATTTCAATTCAGAAAGACTAATTTGATTAGACGCCCTTCCTCTTGCTGCAGCTGGTGTAGGTGGCTTATTAGCCAGCATGTATCTTGATGCTAAGTTCTTGCTAAGCAAAGACTTTCATCAAATTAGTGCTGGCGCTGTTGGTTTTTATTAGTAAGTATGGGAATCCTTATCTGCTCGATTCTTATTCTGCCAGTCAAAAAAAATGGACACACCAGGATAAACTTCACTACTATTTCCGATTCAAAGAGAAGGCTAAGGAAAATCCTAATGGGATATTTATTATATTTGAAGGAAAAGAATATACGTTCCGTCAGATTGAGAAGTGTAAATAGCAAAAACGGTTTTAAAAGATTTGTACTAATCATTCCTTTTATAGCTTCAAACCGTTTGGTAAGAATAAATTCTACAAAAAAATTAAACAGCATTATGTAATCATGATCTGTTTAGGCGCATTGGTTAATGGCCAATAATATAAAGAAGAATGGTAAGTAGGAATTGTGCTGTACAAGCGAGATTGATTTGTCTACAGATATTGTTTGCATGATGCATCAAAACCATCCTACTTTTTTTATTACGTTGTTGGCTATCAGTAAGATTGGTGCTGTTCCTTCGTTGATCAACACCAATTTGGCTGACGCCTCATTGCTTCATTGCATCAAGATAGCAGATACAAAAATGTTTATCTTTGATCCTGTTTATGAGGCTCAAGTAGCCAGTGTTTTGCAAGGATGCCAAGAAATGAATGTCAATTTGATTGCTTATGGTGAAGCTACAGAAGAAAGTGAATTTGGACCTCTTTCATTTGGTTCTGTACTTACACCTAGTGTGTTGTCACAGTTTTCAGATGCTGATACAAGCGAAAGGCCTCTTCGTGGTATCAAGTTCTCAGATCCTGCTTATTTGATCTACACTAGTGGTACGACTGGTATGCCTAAAGTAAGTTAGTTTTCTCAAAATCTTTATCTTTAATGTTTCTCTTCTTAGGCTGCTATCAGTCAACATTCTCGTGTTTGTTGTAAGTAGTTCTTATGTATATATAGACTTAATTAGCTCTTTTTTATGTAGTCGGCATGGTTATGTTTTCTCGCTGTGCCAACTTCAAAAAGGGAGACAGAGTGTATTGTGTCTTGCCCTTGTACCATAGTTCAGGATGTAAGTTATGCAAAACTTAACAGAAAGAGTGTACTGATTTTGATACTAGTGATTGTATCAGCATCTTCTACTTTGTTTGCTGGAGGTACCATTGTATTAGGTCGAAAATTCTCTGCAAAACGCTTTTGGAATGATTGCGTTGACTACAAAGTAGACAGTTTTACGGTAAGCATATACACGAGTCACACACGTATAACAAAAATATATAGTATATTGGTGAATTCTGTAGATATTTACTTAGTCAGCCACCTCATCCTGAAGAACGAAATCATAAAGTGAGAATGGTCTATGGTAATGGTATGAGACCTGATGTTTGGGAAAAGTTCAGAGAACGATTTGCTATCCCAATGATTTGCGAATTTTATGCAGCTACAGAAGGTAAAAAAAAAAAAAAAAAAAAAAAAAAGTGTTCAACTTGAGCAGAGCTAAGCTTTTCTATATAGCTCCTGCAGGTTTGTTCAATGTGAATACAGGTGAAATGGGTGCTGGTGCTATTGGTTTGCGTGGTAGACTTTTCAGAACACTTAGAAAAGAAGCTCAACTTATCAAGATTGATCCCATTACCGAAGAGCCCGCAAGAGATAAAAATGGTTTTTGTATTAAGGTTTGTAATTTTTATGGTTACTATAGCAATCTAACGGATTTAAATGCATTTAGTCTCCCTATGACGAACAAGGCGAATTGATTGTACGCATATCCACAGATGGTCCTATCCAATTTGATGGTTATTACAAGAACAAATCTGCTACTGACAAGAAGATTTTGACCAATGTTTTTGAAAAAGGCGATATGTAAGTTTATTGATAATTAGAAAATTGTAATAACTTACACAAACATTATTTAGGTATTTCCGTAGTGGCGACTTATTGAGACTAGATAGAGACGGTTACTATTACTTTGGTGATCGTATCGGTGATACTTTCCGTTGGAAATCTGAAAATGTAGCCACTACAGAAGTAGCTCAAGCATTAGGTAGCTATTCAGGAATCCATGAGGCCAATGTATACGGTGTACTTGTTCCTAACCATGATGGTCGTGCTGGTATGGCAGCTATTGTTTTGAAAGAAGGTACAACTATTGATTTCGGTGATCTTTACCAATACCTTCGCAAGAAGTTGCCTAAATACGCCATTCCCCTTTTCCTTCGTTTCGTGCCTGCTATGGAGATTACAGGCACATTTAAACAACAAAAGGTTGAGTTCCGTAATCAAGGTATTGACCTTTCAAAGATTCCTGAGTCTGAGCCTGTTTATTGGTTGAAGGGAGAGGTTTATGTTCCTTTTACGATTGAAGATTATGCAAAGGTGGACGTTGGTAAAGTCAAATTGTAATAAATTAAACTTTTTATTTTTGTTTTGATGCAAATCACATAATTTTTTTTTTATTTAATCGATCTTTTTTTGTTTGGTATGAGATAGATGTTCATGGCTAATCATTGTTTAATAAAGTGAAAAAAAAAAAAATAGTGTCATATCAGATTTTAGTTTTGCTTTTGAAATGGCAATAGATATCGTGACAACTAAATCATTAAAGTTTGTAGAGAAGTTGCGAAATGGCTTTGTTGGAAAGTGCTTTTTTGCCGATATTAAATCGTTGTAAACAGTTATCGCCAATACTTATGCTTAACATTTCAAATAATTAACTAATTATATATTTCTTGACAGGTATTGTCTTTAGCTTTTACTGATCTAAGGTGTCAAACAAAGCACCCTTTCTTTTTAACCACCATGCATAAATTGAAAAGTTTTTTTATGTCTGTTTATGTAAAGAATACGAACGAATGCGTTTTCTTTGTCTCATAGGTTAAGCGATAGATCCAACTTAAAGAAAAGGAGTGCTGTCAATCAAAGAAACCTCCTTTTCTCTTTTAGAAAGCGAACTCTTTAAATAGACCTTTGACAACGATTATCTTTTTTTTTCTATGTACAATTTGTAATAATGAATTTTTATTTTTTGCTTGTTAGTGTAGTCATTATTCAATCTTGTTTTGCTTTAGAAATACCCATTTTACGTGTACCTATAAAGAAATCATCTTCTCTAAAAAGATACAATCAATTTAGAGCACCTATCACACTAGCGGATTCACATTCTTATTACTCTATTGACGTTAAAATTGGTACGCCACCTCAAATAATTCCTGTACTTTTGGACACTGGAAGGTAAACTAAAAAAAAAGGAGGAAACCTTTATATTAATCTTTTTTTTTTTTTTCTAGTGCTGATTTATGGGTCAATGGAAAAGACTGTCCTTCCAAAGTCTGCAAATCAAAAAAATTCAATGAAAAGAAATCTACATCATTCAAAAAGACAAAGAGGCCCTTTGAGATTCAGTATGCGATAGGACATGCCGACGGATACCTTGCTCAAGATAAAGTTTCGATTAATCAGGCCACTACAAGGCTCCAAGAGTTTGGCTATGTGACAAATGTATATGATATTGAAGGCACAATTGGCACGTTAGGTCTAGGATTCCCTTCCCTGGCAAAAGCATATAAGGGTTACTCGCCTTTTCTTATAAGCCTTTATGACCAAGGAACCATTCAAAGACGTATGTTCTCTATATACCTCAACAACAAAAATACATTATCGGGTGAGATTATTTTTGGTGGTGTTGATAATCGAATGCATAAAGGTGACTTGCACTACATGTCAATTACAAAGAGCGGTACACATCAGGACAAAGGCTATGAGTTCTGGCAAGTACAAGGGCTGGGTATAGGAATACAAAAGAGGTTCAAGTCAAAGAACTTGTTTAGTATTGATCTACTAGAGAAATTACGGCTCCAACGAGGCTATATTCAAAAGCCAGTTTTTGATTACAAGTTTAAGAAGAATGAAAAGTCGGATTTTATTCTTGATACTGGCACTACATACACTTATTTACCGCAAAGTTTGACCGAACAGATTGTAGAGACAGCATTCAGGGCCTCTGATGTATCATACAACCAGGATAGTAAGCAATACAAAGTGTCATGCAGAAGGAGATATTATTTTGATACTATCATTCAGTTCAAAATGTCTCCCGGCTCGGTACGAGATTCTCAGCACATCGTTCTCAATCTTCCCCTCTCTGATCTGATTCGTCCAAAGGATGGAAATTCTACTACATCTGCTACATACTGTGTCTTTGGCATTGCCCCTATTATTAACTCTGAAAAGCCTTCTGTCATACTTGGTTTGAGCACTTTAAAAAATACTTACGCGGTGTTTGATATGGACAATGCAAGAGTAGGAATAGCTAGTACGAGAGAATCCAGGGCTTTTGTATCACGGGAAAGGGCTCAACAAACTCTGTTTAATGTTTTGAAATGATCTTCCTTATTTGTCAGGCTAACATCAAGGAGTAAGCATTCTTTCAAACAATCCTCCTCCTTTTTTTTTTTTTACTAACATCAAGGTTTGGCTGTGCTGCAATAGATGCAGAAAAAAGGAGGGGCTTTGTTTCCTAAATTAGAGAACAGGAAAAACACTTGGCACTCTTCTTTATAAGCCAATTTAAAATTGACCATTCCTGCCTAGAATTCTAATGTTAATAAAAGGAGAGTTTATTAAAGCGTGTAACCATGTGAAGTTGTTCTTTTTCTTTTGCTACAAAGGGCCTAAGTTCTATCCTCTATGCTATCATGAGTCGTAATTCGCGACAGTATCTACATGGATACTGTCTGCCTCAATTCATAATTTTGCCATTGGAGATTCGTAATACTCGGCCAGAGTGGAGACAATTGATTGAACTCGCTGAACCTCTTTTTGAGAAGCACCGTTATGAAGAGCACCATGAGCATGTCCCACAAGCTGCAATGGTACATTCTGAATCATCAAACCTGCTACAGTAACCAAACTAGTCTCTTTGGCATTAAGAACAGACGTTTCTCCCAATGTAGGACCATAGAGTTGGTAAAGAGCAGTCTGTGCTAAATCAGGATGTGAAGTATACATGTTTTTTATCACTTTCTCTGTATGACGATCATAAATGATCCCAAACAAGGATCTTCCTCTTTCTCTTTCATTTTGTACATCAGACCAAGAGTCTTCTTTTCTACATTTATTTGAATTAATTCTTCTTTGTCATACGATATGCATACCTCAAAGGCTTTTTTGGTAATAATTCTCTTACTGCTTCTGGAGTAACTTGTGCCAATTCATGCAATGTATTGATTGTCTACTTGCCCTGCGTCAGTATATAGACTTCATACATGTACGTTCTACTTTAGGGAAGCCAATAATAATATAGCTTTTCAAGATAGCTTCTCTTAACTTGAGTACAATTTGTGCTAATAAAGCATTCTTTTCCTTGTTTGGCTGATTGCATACTCTTGTCGAAAGAATCGAGTAGACGTGGGCAATGTCCTGGGGTTTGTTAACCGAGCTCATGACAACTGCCTATAAGGAAGTTTAATAAAAGCCTGGTTGCTATAGCAATAACGTACAGCAACAAGATACCATATATCGTTGAGCGCGTCTTTTTCGTATTCAATTTTTTCTAATATAGTTCTGATATCTGTCATATGAGCTATAGACCTGTTAGTACAATACAATACTAACATTTTCTTTACGTCTTCTTATGTCACGAAAAAACAATAAAGCAAAAAGGAAAAGCGTATAAATTTATTATAATTTGATTATATCGTTTGTGATACAATTGTTGTTGTTGTCCTTTTTTTTTTTGTGCACTTGCGGTAAAAAGTAGAAAAAAAAAAACTATCTCCTTCTTCTTTTCCTTTTTTTCTCTTATTTTTTTCCTCTCTATTGATTTTCCTTTTTTTTCTATGGACCAAGAAGAATATATCGATTTAGATAAAGTATTGGTAGACGATGAACTACGCTCTCTTGTCTCTACTTGTGAATACAATCACAAGTTTAGAATAAGCCTCAAGAGTATGGACGAACGAAAGACAGAACGTTTTAGACGGTCTCTTGTCACTCCACTCTCTAAATATAACACAGACTGGCGTACGACCACAAACAAAAGCCCAAATGATTCATGTGCTGAGAGTGTAGCTTTGTTTAAAAATTTAGCAAATAACAATGGTAAATTTTGTTCTTGCATATACAACCCATCTTATGAACCTTATAGAAGATCATATTGATTTTGTGTCTAGTGATCTTAAAGACTTTATGAGCTCTTATGATATGGACGATCTCTTGTCACGGCCGAATAGCCGAGTACCTGCCTTATCTCATCAAAAGGATGTGTTAACGAGGCAAGCAATTGGAAAAAATCATGTAACTTTCTCTAATGCTCGTATATAGCTCTCGCTTGAATAATCATAATCAAGCAACCACTTTACGTCACACCAACAATTCTCATATGGTTCCACATAAGTCTAGCATCATTAATCTCAGTGAAACAATCCCCCGCAAACATTCCTTCGATTCAGGACAACGTAAATTATCTTCACCTTCGATTCCAGTCATCTCTGACACGTCTGAAACGCAAGAGATCAACAATAATGCAAAAAATCAACAATTCCATCGCCTGCTTCATAAAAGGCGCAGTGTCGATTCAGATGCACTCAAAAAAATGAAGCAAGCTGATCGTGATACAAAACTTAAGAAGCCTATTGTTCTTGTTGATAAACAAAAGTCCATAAAACATGTTTCATCAACTGCTATTCCAACTCCTAAAGCCAATAGAAAAAGTCTTTTGCAACAATCAGACAAAAGGCGCTGGAGTAGTTATATACCAGATGACATGGATTTGAAAAAATCACCTCTTATTTCGCCTAAACAAGGACCCGTTAATACATCAAGACGAACAAACAATGAGACCTTGAATAGACAAAAGCCATTCAATAGTCATCTTGTGTCCCCTCAAGTTCGTATACAAAGAAAGTCGTTATCAGACGAAACGAGATATCAACCAAAAGATAGTTATTTATCAGAGAGTGCAGAACGTCATTTCATTAGCAATAATGATATACCTCAACGAGAAGAGAAGAAAAGAACGAATGATATTTTAGAGAAAACAGCTGTTGATCCAGCGCTAAGACGTGCGAACAGACTCAATGCACTTGCCACTGCCAATCGTCAGCGATTTTCCTTAGACCAACGTCGTCTTAGCCTAAATCGTCATTCTGGCCATTATGTTCGTCAGACAGAAAATGAGGAACAACCCTCTCGACGAACAAAACCAACGCCGTCAGAACCTCCTGCTATCATCACAAGTAATGGTGCTAGTTACCGTCTCATCAGCGACAATAAGCCATCTTATATGCCTGTTCCTGTGACACGGTATCGCAAGCACAGCAACGGCTCTAAATATGCAAGCGTCCCTGAAGACGAAGGTCTTTCATTTGATGCGCCTAATAAGGAAGTTCGCTTTTCCCATGCAAATGTCATTATTTCTCATCCTGACGATGTTCATATTGTGGCTTCTCGAAGTAGTGGTGGTTTATCGAATTCTACTGCATCTTCCTCGCATTCAGGTGATCTGTACTATGATCCTCCTACACCTCCTGTCAATAGAACCACCGCTATGGCGCAGAAGAGACGTTCTATGCCTATGGTGAATGTATCTCTCATTGATGAACAAGTGCGCAAGACAGAGCATCGCTATAGTAGCTACCTAGCCCGCACAAAAAAGAACGAAGAGGAAGAGGAAGAAGAAATGAATTTACAGCCAGAACCTCATTATATAAGATCGCGTGCCATTTCAACAGGGGAAGGCGAGGACTATGCTTTCCGAAAGAAACTTGGCGACCATAGTCTTCGTAGACCATCACAACGTGAAGAGTTAGTGACGGAAGGATACATTCCTCGTCGACGTGTTCTTTCAGAAGATAACAAAAGCCAAAGACGTGTCTCTATTGTCTCTTCAAATGATTCATCTCTTGTTAAGACAGCGCCTATTCAAAGAGAATATGAACGAAGCATAGTAAGTCATCTTGTAAATGTATCATGACATTGATCTCTTGTTTAGCCACAGTATCGACACACAGTAGAAGATCCACCTAGACGTCTGCAACGTGGGACGAGTACTGAGAATGTCACAGAGTCTGCAAGAAAAGTTTTAGCTTTTGTTCAGCAACGCAGGAATCTTAAACATGCAAATCAACAAGCGATCTTAAACAGACGCAGTCTCAACCTTTAGTTCTCTTTCTCAGAGAATACTATTTTTGCATTGTATAAACAAGACATTCATCCTTAGGTTTGGTGTACGCAATTGATGGATAAATTAAAAAAAAGTTTATTTGTATACATCATACTTGTACAAAAAAGAAATAATAAAATTGCATTCATATATAATCATATTTGTTAAGGAGAAGCATCATACGGGATTACTATAGATACCCGGTAGTATATTGCTCAAGGGTAGAAATGGTATTACGTTTTCAAATAACACATGAAAGATGCAATTGAGTGTTGAATTGAAGAAGCTGTTTCCTTTTCCTTTCGCAACTTTACCATATAAAGCTAAAGCACAGTCTGATGTACAGCACAAATAATTACACAGCATATCGAAGGGCAGATCGGATTATAGGTACACGGACCAGCATATTCTGACATTTCTTGAATACCCTGATCCCATGTTCTAGACACAAAAATACGAAACGGAGTATTTCTTCAGTTGAAATCACGAACCACTTTGTGATTTCAAGCAAAGAAAATATCAATGCTATATGTATTTTTTATCGCTATATGCAATTGCTTGTTTCTCTCATTAAAAAAAGAAGACAAATGTTTATGTTGTAGATCAGATAAGACTAAATGAGTAAAAGATTTTTGTAACAAAAATTCTAATATATAATTATGTCTACAGAAAAAAAAATTTTTTTTCTTTCAGTACTAGTATTAAGCTGTTGTCAAAAAGTTGTCTTAGTCATTCTCAATTACTACAAAGAAAAAAAGAAAAGGCTCAATAGCCGTTCATTATCTCAGAATAAATTGTCCAAATCTAATTATAAAAATTATATCAGATTGACTTTCTGATCAAATATAATTGGCCATGTTCCTTTTGCTTGTGAAGAAAAAGAAAAAGGATTTTGATAAATAGAGTCTGAATGATAATCAACGCTTACTTTGAATCAATAAATATATAGTTTGAGTTTTGACTTATACATTTTTATGACATGTGAAAAGCTTATTTCGAAAACAGTTTTTTGATATACTTTTGATAATAAAAAAAAAAAGAAAAACGCGCTTTTAGAGAAAGAAATCTCCATGGCATTAATCCATACTTGAAGCCGCGTTTCCTGTTAGCCGACATTCATAACAGAAAAAAAAGAGAACCTCCTCGATCCTATCAATTTAAATTCAACGTGTTGAACAATAAAAAGATTGTCGTGCACAACTGGGAAGGGTAGAAGCTTAGTGGATATGTCTTGGAGAAATTTATAAGACTCTGAGACAAGGCAAATCAAACAAGCGAAGACGATCAGGGGAAGTTTACTGCACCTGTGCACGGAACTTGAATTATTCTCGGCAAGCTACAAGTATAAAAAGAAGTAATTAATAGATCTGTTAATCAGGTTATTTCTCTCTTTTATTATCGTTTGCTGCAGGATCAGCCTCATTATCACTTAGACATATTCCTTTCGCTGTGCGATCAACGTTAGATATCATTTTTAGAAAATATGCGTTTTACATCTCTAGTTACCATCACTGCCTTTTATTTTGCTGGACTCATTCAGGCACTTCCTATTCAGTCCCGTGATATCTCTTCTCTTAATGGTGCTACCTATACTGCTCGTAACTCGGATGGCTCTTGTCAATCTGCTGGTCAAGTCCTTGCATCTGTGAAATTGATGAAAGCAAGTGGTATCAGTAACATCCGTACTTACGCTCAAGAATGTAATCAACTTCCCAATATTCTGAATGCTATTGAATCTGTAGGTGGAGGCATGACTGTATTGGCTGCTGTCTGGATTGATGGCACTTCCAACGACGATAAGGAAATCAGCACACTTAAATCTGTTTTGAGCAGTACATCTAACCTTGGTGCTATTCGTGGTATTTTAGTGGGTAATGAAGTCTTATTCAATGGCATCATGTCTTCTTCTGAATTAGTCAACAAGGTGAACAAGGTTAAGGCAATTGCCAAGGGCATTCAAGTTGGCTCTGTTGAAGTCGACTCTACTTATTCTTCTGATCTCGTATCTGCCTCTGAAATTGTTTGTGCTAATATCCATCCTTATTTCTCTTCTGTCAGTATTAATGATGCGTTGGATAACGTGTCCACTCGATACAATAATTTTAAAAAGATTGCTCATGGTAAACAAGTCTATATCACTGAAACTGGCTGGCCCAGTAGTGGCTCACCCTCTGGTGATGCTGTTCCTAGTCTTGCTAATACACAAAAGTTTGCTGCTGCTATATCTGGAAGCTCTCTTCCCTATTACTTTTTCGAATGGCAAGATTCTAACTGGAAGTCCTCTGGTGTTGAGTCTCATTTTGGTCTTTTGTATGCTAATGGCAAAACCAAGTTTTCTATTTAATTTTGTAAAACACAATAAAGCATTTAAATTTGAAGTATAGAGAAAAGCAATTGAATAGGATATCATATGAAAATACCTTTCTTGAAAGAAAAACTCTAGACCTTATTGAACGAATACAATAGTACATTACAAAAAGTAGATCATATTAACTATAAATAATACTTACATTACTTTTGTACAACACTTGTACTATCTTGTTGGTTTGGCAAAATGATAAAAAAATCTTACTTTGTTCCATGATCCCTCTCTCTTCTTTTTCTTTACCAAAATATTGATCTCCTATACTTAAAAACCCAAAGAAATGCATTTTCTGTTTATCCAAAAATCATTGTTGAGTTTGATCGCTCTTTCTTACTGCTTGGTTTATGCACAACTTGGTCCAGTTGTACTTTCTCCAGCGCAAAATGGCACTATCCCCGCAGGTGGAAAGATAGACATTGTATATCAATATCAAAATATTGGCACAGGTAATTACTCTGTAGACATTCAATTGTGGCAAGATGGAGCAGTATCCATTCCTATTTCAGATGTAGCCAAGAATCATGAAATCAAACCAGGAAATTCAACTGGTGCGAAAGTCAATTTCTACCTGAACGATACATTTACTTGGAATGTGCCTCATGGCCTTAATAGTACTTTTTGGCTCACGGTGACTGAGTCAGCTCAAACTTCATTCTATAAAAAAGGTGTGTCTCTTCGATCTCGTCCAGTAATGCTTCATACAAGTGCTGGATCTGTGGTTTCCAGTCCTGTTTCTATCGTTGTTTTGCTTGGTATCTCATGGATAGGTATAATGCTTTCTTAGTTTAATAGTAATAAAAAAAAAGTCTAATATAGATGGCTATCGTTAAACAAGGCATAGTTGCTTTCTTATTTTATTTTCTTTCTAATGATACTTCTAAAGATTCATTTTAACCCAATAGATCAGCAAAGACACTATAAAAACCATGGATTAGATATCATAAATGAAGTGATGTTACATACTCTTTCTTTTCTGGCTTCTTTGCAGGCGCAGCATTATCGGAGGAAAAGAATTGACTTCCTTGAGGTTGTTGAGGTTGTTGTTGAGGTTGAACGGGAGTAGCAAATGAACCCCACACATTATTATTAGCATAAGGTTGTTGAGCAAACTGTTGTTGAGCAAATTGTTGTTGAGAGTATTGTGGTTGTTGGGGAGCACTAAAGTTTAAACCTGCCATTTGGTTTTGGAAATTTCCGCCACCAAAAAACTGCTGTTGTTGCTGTTGCTGAGGAGAAGGAGATGCAGCTGACATATTATTGTATAATGAAAGAATAGAGGACTTGAAGTCATTTAGTTTTTTATCTTGACTCTGTTGTTGAGGGGGGCTACTGTAGTAACAGGAGCAGCAGTAGCAACAGGCGTACTATCAAAAAAGAAATCAGCACCTTGAAGTTGAGCAGTAGCAGACTGTTTGGCTGTTTGATGGCCAGTAACAGGGGAAGCAGAAGGAGAGCCTAGAAATGCATCCAAGTTGGCAAATTCTGATTGCTTAGGTTTCTCTTGCTTTTGAATTGCAGGAGACTGACGCACAGAAGAAGTAGTTGATGAAGGAGAAGAGACCTAAATACACACACATATATATATTTAAATATTAATTAAATATGCAGACGTGTAATTCGTGCTTACTTGAGTGACACTGTCTTCATCGCCGCCCAATGTACTGGGATCAGGGATAGGTCCCTTCATGGCCCATCGCTTTTGCTCGTATTTAGCACGAATCCACATTTCCATGTTGCCTTCTGGAGGCTTCTTGTCTCTCAAATTAGCCTCCCAATATCTATGACAGACTCAGTAAAGTCCCCCCCCTTTATGTTGTTATCTAGACTTACTTGTTGGCACGCTCGTTTCCCCAACGAACCATATTCTCTACTTGGTCTTGAACCCAAGTATCCAAGTCAACAGACTTGACTAATGTATGCATAAGTTATTATCGATCGACTATCATGTTGCTTACCTTTACTAATATGAACACCGAGAGAACGATGAATACCAGAGCAACGAATACAGACAAAGATGCCCAAGTTCCAAGAGGCCCAGCGAGCATCTGAATGAAAAGATGAGAATAAGATGACAACTCTTCCTTTTTTTTTGGTTTACCTTTCTTTTTGCAATCAGCACAATATTTATTAGGTGTCTTTTGTAAAAGGGCCTTTAGTATTTTGGCGTGCTTTTCGTTAGTAGCTTTGTCTGCAGTTCTAGCGTGACGAGTAGACATGATATTAAGAGGGAAAAATAGGTTAAAATTCCAATTCTAATTTCAGCATAAAAGACATTTTTTTTTTTTTATTTGATTATTCACAACTACCATATTATCTAACAGTTCTTTAATGCCAAATGGGTGCTTATGTACGAAAACAAAGAAAGAATAAAAAAAGAGAGGAGGAAGTTCAGGGTATTAAACAAGATATGATACAAATAAATTCAATAAATAAGAAGACGGCTATTTCTTTGCAGTCCACCACTTGCTCAATTTTTCGCCAACATAGCGACCTGTTTTGACAGAGCCAGCAGTAAAGATACCCTTAATACTTTGAGTGATGGCTGTTCTAGCAATAATCTCTGTAAGACCTGTGGTAATAAACATTAGTCATCGCCTTTTTTTTTTTTGAGTGTCCACTTACTCTTTTCAATATATGCATTTAATGCTTCAGATTGAGCCACTTGCTCATACAGAGTAGTCTTATCTTCTGGGACAGCAATGTTGTTTCTAGCAGCATGTTGCATATGTTGGCTAATCACTTTATCATACAAGGTCTTGGGGAGTTTTTTGACCATCAAACCACGGAATCTGGGATTATCACTTTGTTGAAGTCTACCATCATTCAAGATGGCTACATTAGGCAAATCATCCAACAAGCCAAAATAGAGTCTATGAAAGTTTTCCATTTGCGAACTGACAATGTTTCTTACTTTGTTGGGATTTTCACCAACAATCATTCTGAAGTCACCCTTATAGCTAATACCAGCAATACGAATAAAGAGCTCTTCTTCAGTGAATGTTTCTGGTAATGTCAAGAGAGCCACACGAACAGCTTCTGTCAAGTTGACTTGATTAGCCAGACGAACACGAGGATCATCGCGCAAAATTTTGACAGGTTTATGCATACGACCGGCCAAATAAAGTGTTTCCCAATCAATCAAATCCTTACACAGCTTATCGATTGACACAACACCGTATTTGATATTCATGCCATTCACTTCAACGTAGGGGTTAAAGTAGACGCCTGCACCTACTTTTTCTTGCAAAAAGCTAACTGCACTGGAACCGAGTCGGCGCATACCAGAATAATGATGAGGGTTTTGCTGAATATTCAAGTCGTGCCAGTGACCTGGATGACTGACACCAAAAATAAAGTCAACCATAGGCTTCTTTTGATCATCGTATCCTGCTTGACGGAAGACACCACTGCCATAAGCAACAGCGTATCTTACAGGGGCATTAAAAGTAGAAACAACTGCCTTGAGCTGTTGCTTTAGTTCTTCATTGATACTAATGTATTGATTTGTACCAAAATCAGGAGAGTCTGGAATGTTTGTAGGGTGAAATTGATGCTGACGCAAACGTTCAAGCTTGACACGAGTTTCATCTGAGAACAGGTTTTTCTTGATGGGCTTTGTTTCCTTTTCTGTCTTTTTTTGCATGGAAGGTGGAAGAGACATGTCAGAGTTATAGTTGTTTGTTTCCAAAGACATGCTGCGTATCAACATGTTACGTTGAGGGAGTCTAGTAGTTCTAGTAAGAGTAGTCTATATATTTACATTAACTCTTGTTTTATTTCTCTTTGTATGAGGATATTCACCTTGAGCATCATCATTATTTATATAAAAAAATAGAAATAGAAAAGAAAAGAAAAGAGTTAATTAACACCGAGGGTTGATATTTATACAGTATATGACTGTCCTTTTTTTCTATTTCGAGATCCACTCTTTCCGAAAGCGTGAATTCAATTTAAGTGTGTGTGTGTGTATCTATACTTGAGTCTTGTTTGATTGGTTACTGGAGATTAAAAATGCTTTCTCTTTTGGCAAACAAAAGGGAGAAATACCTTTTTTCATTTTTTTCTCTCTCTTTTGACGATGGTCAACAGTACAAACACTGCAGTCAATAACAGTGGTTTTACGAGCTTCTGGAAGCTAAAATGGAGAACTTCTAGAGACCCAAAACTGAACATTAAACAACGACTTCCAAACTCTGTAGACGATATCGAGAGAGACTGGGTTAGACATAGTGCACTAAAATTGGCTTTTGAGGGGTAAAGTCGAGTATTGTGTTATTTTTCGAATACTCATACCATATTAGTGATTTTAAGGCACCTATTCAGCGATTGCTTCAAGCGGGTGGGAGCGAAGTATTAGACGTTGGGTAAGAGCAAAAAAAAAAAAAAAAAAAAAAAGTTTGGTAAATTAATTCTTTCTCAGATGCGGTGCAGGATTTTGGACAAATGTAAGTGTCTATGTGAATGGATTATTTGTTGATGTTTGTAGGACATGGCTGCACAATTTCCAATTTCTTATTTTACTGGTATTGATATCGATAAAAATGTACTACCAACAAGGTAATCCAAGTGGATAACTAGTATATATATATATATATTCATACTCTCTTTTAGCCCACTTAGCAAAAATGTATTGTATCAACGTATTGATTTGATCGAACTACCTTTACCTTATGAAGATGCTACTTATGACTATATATTTATTCGTTCCATGGTAGACACGCTTCCTGATAGTTTATGGGATGATATCTTGAAAGAACTAGTGCGAGTCATGAAAAAAGGAGCCTACATAGAGTGTGTAGAAGCTTATGATAACCTATTTGATACCGGGCCTGCCATGGCCACCTTAAATCAACTCGTACAGTACAGTGTACAACAAGCACCTCAATCACCTACTATTTATTCATACAACAATAACCGTAATTCAACTATCTCTATATTATCATCCGCATCCGCATCTACTATTACTACGACTACCACAGCAAGCACAACAGTAGCGCCTGCATCTAATCCTTGGCCTAATAGAATAGCCAGCTTGAGCCAATTGACAGGTATGCAGATACATCATACACATACACCTGTCGGACTCTATGGTGGCCCTATTGGCGCATTATTGTTAGAGTATTGGGAGAGAATCATAAAGAGTCTTAGAAGAGAATGGATCACAAGCAAACTGATTGCAGAAGACGAATTAGAAAGGACAATAGAAACCATGAGGGATGAAGTAAATGAATACAACACATACATGTCCTGGTATTCTGTTGTTGCTCAAAAGAAAGGTTACAATGGTCCTACTATTCAATTTGATGATGTGGATGACTTTGATACTGTTCATACTACTATATATTAATAATAAAGCTAAACTAAAAACCACCAAGGGCGTCAGCACCAGACTTGACAGCATCTGCCAGTCCACGAGAGATAATTAAACGTTGGATCTGTGCAGTGCCTTCATAGATTTGGAAAATTTTGGCATCACGCATCAATTTTTCGACAGGGTAATCTGTATTGAAACCATTACCTCCAAAGATTTGAACAGCATCAGTGGCACATTTGTTGGCTACATCACCTGCATAAGCTTTAGCAATACTAGCATGCCATGTGTTTCGCTCGCCGTGATCACGCATAAAGGCAGAGCGATAGACCATCATTCGAGCACTTTCAATACCGATAGCCATGTCTGCCAACATGAATGAAACAGCTTGATGATTAAAAATGGGTTTGCCCATAGTCTTGCGTTCTAAAGAATAGCGTGTTGCTTCTTCCAAAGCACGTCGAGCGAGACCCACAGCACCAGAAGCAACAAGAGGACGAGTGATATCAAATGCTTTCATGGCAATCTTGAACCCTTGGCCTTCAGAACCCAAGACATTTTCAGCTGGAACAACTACATCTTCAAAGGTAACACCACGAGTATCCGAGGCTCGTTGACCCATATTGATTTCTTTACGGCCCAATGTAATACCAGGCGTATCGGCATCTACAATAAAACCAGTGAATGCATTACCAGCATTTGCATTAGCATCTGTTCTTGCAAGCACAAAGAACCAATTGGCATGACCTGCATTTGTGATCCACATTTTTTGTCCATTCAACACCCAATTACCATCGGATTTCTTTACGGCAGATGTAGATAAACCAGCCACATCAGAACCGGCACCAGGCTCAGTTACGCCATAAGAAGCCATTAGGGGTGCTTCCGTCATACGCCCTAAATACTTTGCCTTTTGAGCATCACTACCCGCAACCACAAGAGGCGCTTCAGCAAGATTATTGGCTTCAATAGCCGTCTGGATACCTGTGCAACCAAAAGCCAATTCTTCAGAAATAATAGCGCTATCCAAGACACCCAGATTCATGCCGCCATATTTGGCATCAACGTGGGTGTTGACCAAACCTAGTTCCCATGCTTTCTTGATAATCTCTGTAGGGTATTTTCCTGTTCGGTCGTGCTCAGCAGCTACTGGGATGATTTCTTCGCGTGTAAATTTGCGAGCCATTTGTTGAATTGATTTCTGCTCTTCCGTCAAGGTAAAACTCATGCCTAAAGGCGCAGCTTCAGCAGAGTAATAACGTACACAGGGACGTACAATTTTAGCAACAGAACGTAGCATGTTGATAGGAAAATAAGAAAAAGAAAAGGAGGTGAGAGGAGGCATGTTTCTTTATATACACAACTCCGCATTCATGTGAAAAGCATATAGGCATGTGATCATCCTTTATGTATTGTTTGAGTTGTGAAGATATGTCACTATATAAACGAGTGTTACTTTAAAAAGTAATGCCTGTATTTGTCGAGGCGCTTTTTTTATTATCACTTTCAAAATTACACAACACCTTGCTTCTCTCCTGAGTCTATTTTCAAGAAACATGCGCAAGGTTTTCATACTTGGGTAAAGATAAACTGAGAGAAAACGATTGCCCATAGAAAAAGTTTAAACTGCGCTTGCAAAACATTCGAACTGCAAACTTAGAGAGGTTCTTTATTCAAGCCGACTTGTAGCTTTGAGTCAGAGTATCGACATAATCTACAAAGATAGTCCAAACAGACACTGTTGTAAGCTTCAGCTATTTTCAAAATCAAAGTTTTGTCCTTCAACGGCTTCTCTCTTTCTACCTTGTCTTTAACCACAGACTGAAATTGCTCAATAGGATTAAGCTCAGAGGAATATAGTGGAAGGTACACACATCCATATCCTTGACTGACAATCAGCTTTTCAATCTGGTCCGAGACGTGCATAGGAGCATTATCCATAACAAGATAATGACTTTTGAACTGCTCATGTTGATCAAATGCAATCCAGAGTATCAAAAATATAGTTAAAGTAGTGGCCAAGAACAGTTCTTGCTGTCTTTTCTTTTTTTGTCTTTGCTTTCTCTTAGCTTCTGGTACTGTTGTGTCAGACAAAGAAATACAATCAGAAGTAAATGGATTAGAGAGATTCAATCTGGATCTATGTAATCCTGGAAAGCGAGAAGAGAGAGAGAGAGAGAGAGAGAGAGAGAGAGAATTTTTTATTATCAAGCTTGTGTGTCTAATCAATATGAAGTGAGCTAAATGAGTTACAATGTGGTTGTTATGCTAACTCATCGACATAAGCCAATAACTACTTGTGTTTTGTATAAAGTCTTTTAGATGTGATGTAATGAGATGGGAGGAGGTTTGGGGAGGGAGGGGAGAAGGGAGGATTGTCCCTTCACCGAGTAGAGCTTAGGATAAGACAGCACTCATAAGATTAGCTCAAGCTAGCATTCATATAATTAGTCTAAACCAGCTCCCAGAAGTGTTCCTTACTCAGCAAGGAATGACTCTCACAGGCTCTGCCGATCGGCCATTTTGACAACAACAACAAAAAAATGAGACAAACGAAGGCATAAATTGTAAGACTCTTGACATGCTTCCGTAATTATATAGTGTAATAACACTTGACTTTATATGTGTTATAGTTGGCATAGAAAGGAAGAGAAAGATATGAATTAGCACACTAGGAAACTCGAAGCTGCCTAAAAAATTAGAAAAGATGAAGGCTATCAAAGCTGAGATTGTTGTTGACAAAAGTTGTAATCAGTGCGAATACACCAAACATAGTGACGAAAAGAAGGAACTCTTTATTCAGCTACTTTGCAACAAAATCTATAAGGTTCCTGAAGCCGCAAAGGGACTAGATATACCCAAATGTACGAGTTGCTACTGGTTTAAAAAGGTAGGAGACGCAACTGAGAAAAGGTTTCTACAGTCAAAGCTAATTCAAGAAAAAGAAGAAGAAGAAAGCCGGGTGACAAAAAGTACTTGATGATGACCACAAACGCTTTTTACTTCAGAAATACAGCGAGGAGATTAGAACAACAGTGAGCGAAGCAACGAAAAGCCTTATTAGCTAGTTGAAGGCCTGGAAATCGCAAAGACCGATGTTCATGATTTTATGGCGAATGATTGTGTCTTGACAATCAAGAAGGCTCAGAATGAGCCTGAAGAAAGAAACTCTTCTGCCAGCATTGAAGTGTGCTTCAAATGGGTGACCAATTTGAAGAATACGGATATCGACTTCCAAAGCAACCGCATATCTATTGATGAGTCATTCTTCTGCATCAACTTGAGCCGCATTATGACTTAGTCTACTAGGAGAACTTGAACTATTGTTGTTTAGCCAAGACGAGAGCTAGGACATTGACGATTTTGGGTGCGATGTCTTTACAGGGTGTTATTAACAAGAAGGTCAGGATATCCTACGAGCAAAGTTTTTTTAGAAAAAAGAAAGAAAGATTAAAGGCGAGTCAATGACAAAAAAAGAAAAGACAGCAAGAACTGTTCTTGGCCACTACTTTAACTATATTTTTGATACTCTGGATTGCATTTGATCAACATGAGCAGTTCAAAAGTCATTATCTTGTTATGGATAATGCTCCTATGCACGTCTCGGACCAGATTGAAAAGCTGATTGTCAGTCAAGGATATGGATGTGTGTACCTTCCACTATATTCCTCTGAGCTTAATCCTATTGAGCAATTTCAGTCTGTGGTTAAAGACAAGGTAGAAAGAGAGAAGCCGTTGAAGGACAAAACTTTGATTTTGAAAATAGCTGAAGCTTACAACAGTGTCTGTTTGGACTATCTTTGTAGATTATGTCGATACTCTGACTCAAAGCTACAAGTCGGCTTGAATAAAGAACCTCTCTAAGTTTGCAGTTCGAATGTTTTGCAAGCGCAGTTTAAACTTTTTCTATGGGCAATCGTTTTCTCAATGTGCAATCTATTTCCGGAAATGGTGCTATTGCAACGTATTTTGAACATTAATTAATTAGATTTCAATCACGAGCATAAACTTGATTGAAATTCGTATTCAAAGATTGGTCAAAGTTGACAGAAATTTCTTTTTTTTTTTAGTAAATTTTATTTATGGCCTGAACAAATAGAAAGCCGAGTTTGATGCACTCGAGTCACACCTTTACAAAGCCTTGAAGAAAAAAAGAGAGAAAATTCTCAAACAGACTATATGATGAAAGTCTGTTTTGCCGCTTGTTATGAGTGAATACACATTTCATTTTCCGAATGGTATTTTATAAATATAAAAATTTTTACTCCCTTTTTCTCCTTCTTCTTTACACACATTTTCTTTTTTCTATAAAAAAAGTAACCCCATACACTCAACTTCTTTTTATCCCCAAAGGAGCTTTTTCTTGTCTTGATTTTTTTTATTCAAAAGGAAAAGAACAATAAAAGGCTTTACGTATCACATTTCTTTTTTTTTATTATTTCAACTCTTGCTAAACCTTTAAAAAACCCCTTTTACCCTTTCTTCTGTTTGTTTTAGGTGTTTTAACAGGTAAGTGAAAAAAATAAAAAAACCTGATGTGATAAGGAAGCTAAATTCTTTATGTTTAGCGAAACACCTGCAAAGGAATAAAGTAACAGCACTGGATAAACACACAGTAATTCTTCTTTACGCTTCAAGCACCATCTTTTCCAAGGCCACCAAAGAAAAGAATATAGAGCCCTTTAGTAGTAGTAATAATAGTAATAGTAATAGTATAAAATTGAGTCCATGATTATCGCAAGTGCAGCTAAAAAGGAAATACCAATTCCTCTACAACCCATGACATCTACAGTTTCTTCAAACACAAACACAAACAACAACACTGCAGACAACTCTAATGGCACAAACAAACGAACCCTCCGTGAAAATGTTGAAGAAATTGACCTTGTCACAATCAATAGTCGTCATCCAGGTAAAGACAAAGAAAACGACAACATTGTGTACTAACATCATTTAGGACAAAATGACTTCATTGCTCAAGTATTTGGACAGACAAGCGTATTCAATGCTCAAGTTGAAGAAACATTGACCATCACCACCAAGCAAACTGGACATGCTGGGAAATGTATGAAAAGTCTTACTTGTGAATCATTTATTCACAATGATGTCGTCTTTCTTAGTTCTCCTTTTGTTGGTAATCATGCTGGCCTATTAAACTGGGCTGATGGTGAATTTCAATCTTGGTAAGTGTGGTCAGTATAGAAATGGTTGATGAATTGACATGCAATAGTATTACGCACTTGATTGAACTTGCTGAAGAAAAGACAGGATGTCACGCTTTAGTTGTCTGGATTGATAAACACCAGTACAAAGACTCTTTAAGCACGATTTTACGTGCTTTTATGTATCTTGGCTTTGAGATGGTAGTTCCTGGTGTGTATGGCCAAGAACCCGGCTATGTTCTTGTTGGCTATGAATTTTAATCAATAAAGCTTATCTTCTCACGCACAAATGGAAAAATTAAACTCATATGCACTCGGCAAAACATTTGAACGAATCAGACATCATTTTGGATTTGAGCGAGAAAGAACCCATGGTTTGCATTTATAAACAATTTCATTAGACAAGTTTCAATCTCAAGTGAGGTTGACTCAGATCTTCCCTTATTGTCAAAAAAAAAGTATATATAGAGTGACGGATTGAGATAATGATGTCTTTATTCATTTTTTTTATACATACATACAATGAAATTCCAAGTTCTCTTTGCTGTTATCCTTGCCTTGCTCTGCTCTACTGTGGTTTCTTTGAATCTTCCTTACAAGGACATGTCTGACCAAGAAATTGCAAACTTGTATGTTTCCAAAATGAATGATGCCTCATTCAGTATTGAAAATCGTAAGTTTCTCACTTTATGAACTATTGAATATGGTGCTGACATATTAAATAGAAATTTTCTATCCCAGAAATAATGTTACTTGGTATGTTGGTGAAAACGTCAATGTGACATTCAAGAAAGATACTCCTTCCGACCAAACTGTTTCCATTTTTTTCTTCAACCGTTCACCTCTTTTGGCTGGCGGTCCTCTTTCTACCAAGGTCTTCCCTTTTGATGTGCCTGAAAACGCTCTCTCTCCTCCCGGAGGAACTTCCCTGTTGTTGGCTGTCAGAAGAAAGAACTTTTATTTGCAAACTGTCGACTCTGTAGTTGTTCGAGTGCTTCCTCGAAGAAATGCTTAATTTGCTAGATTGTATGTGTCTATCCTTGTATTATAATCGACCATCTCTCTACTTATGTAAATACATTTGATTTTAACCTAGTTTGAATAAAAAAAAATTTCTTGTCTCAAGCCTAAAAATATGTTCAAGTGAAACTGGACCATTGGATTGAGACTTGATCCACACGCTTTTATCTTGAAAAAAAGACGATTTGTTCCGGAGAATATCATACCATCAAGTTTTTTTTCCTCGCCACTTCTCTCTTATTCTATATAGAGCTAGTGATCATTTTATTCCCTGTATCTATGTAGACTAGCGTGCGAATGAATTTAAAGAAACAGATGCATAATTGATCTAAATCAGTTACTTGATCTTGAGCAAAATCAAGTCATATTTATGTGTTATTTTAATTGATTGTGCCAAAAGATTAGTTTAGTTTTACCAACAAGAAAAAAAATCTATTTAGCATTATACCTCTTTTTTTTATTATTATTATTATTTACTTGAATTTTAGTGCTTGAAAAATATTTTCATGATGAGTAACCATCGTCATGTTTTCCCAAGTCTCCTTTTTTCTTTTCAATCTCTTGCCATGCTGTAGTGTGCATGGTGAATGGTTGTGTGTTGTTCGGTGTGTAACAATCGAGTTGTCGCCAATCAAATAAAATTTATGTTTGCATAAACCATTCATTATCTAGATCTACCATCAGAACATATTTTTGAAAGAAAAAAGCTTTTATGAATATTTTTTTTATGTAGTACTGAAATGCCATATCAATTGATCTGCACCTTAGCTCTAGTATGTTTCTCATAAACTAATAGCAACTTTTTACATCATGTACTCGTATACATACTAAAAGGCACGTATCAATAATTATCCATACCTAAAAAAGACCCCCCGAGCAGTTGTCCGTGCACTGTACAACCAAGAATATCATTATGTGTGGAATACTACAGCAATGCCTAAAAATAATTTGAAACAAAACAAATCAACATAAAAAAGGACAAACAAGGAGAGACACTTGAAAGAGAACACATTGGTTTAGTTGTTGAATGTTGTCGAGCAGTATACTAGCAAAATTGATTTTTGAATCTTAAAAAAAGATAATGCCCCCCTTTTTTTTATTGTTTAAAGTATATCAGAGATAGACGCAGGTACGCAATGAAGCAATAGTGAGCTAAAGTAGCTTGGTTATTTTGAGACGTCATTATACACTATATTTTGCATAAAAATATTAATTTAGCACTAGCTTTATAGTGAAACGATGTCGTTTTCTTCACCTTTAGATACTCATTATATGCTATAACAGTGTCCTTAGCATATGCTGTGCTTCTGGCGTTGTTTTGGGCGAGATAGCAAACATGGCCACAATGACCATTTTGTCAAAGGGGATAACCTATATGACTTAATTGAATCCCTGACATTTTGCTCTGAATCGTTATTGTGGCGTGAGAAATGGTGCCACCGACATGTTTCAGCATTCAAAAGAAGAGGGAAAAGCTCAAAAATAAAAAACCCGATTGTTTTTGCAATTGTGCCTTATAAATGACCCGATACAGGCAAAAAAAAACGGCGAAAAAAAGAATGCATCATAGTTTTTTATCTTATAGCAAAACATACTAAAATTTATATGCCATTCGATGCAAAATGCAAAAAAGTATAATTTTTGTTATGACAGCAAAAAGAAATAGCTGTATTTCTTTACAATTTTGGTGAAAAAACTATTTTATGGATCAAAACGACACATTCCAAAAGCTCTTGAAAAACAATTTAATCTCCGATAATACCTTTTTTAGTGATTTAGCCGCCTCCATTTGAAGGTCTAAACTAGTCTTTCTCATTGACAACACCTTTCTTTTCTATTTTTCTTTCTTTTTTTTAAAAGAGTTGAGAATTTGCAAAAAATTGGAATGCAATTGTAGGGAAAGAAGCTTTACGACTTTTAATGTAACTGATACACTTTCGGAAAGACGCCAAGACTTTTACAATTGCATTCACTTTTTACATATGTGCGACCTACATTTCCACTTGGTGCAACTTTACATTGTAATTTGTTGACACTCGTTAGGATGAGAATCATCTGATTTTAGTTTGGACTCCAAACTTCAAAAAAAAATATGACACTTACAAGAATTGTTAATGATTTTAGATAGACTTAACAAAAAAAAAAAAAAAAGCTTGTGATTATGACGTTAGGATTTCGTGCCATCATTCTTTTTTTTTGTAACATGACGTCTTTCTCTACTACACAATGATCTCAAATACCAAGACGTGTTTATCGTAAGCTTGGAAAAAAGTAACATTATATAGTAAATTATTTTATTTGAATGGTACAAGAATAATTATTGAGGAGGAACAGCGCCATATTGACCTTGGTTTGTCACATAAGCTTGTTCTCTGAATCGACCTGAGTCTCTTTCCTTAACAAGAAGATAGAAAGCATGGATATGACCAGGAAGATAACCCAAGATGGTCAAACAACTAGTCATTATCAATACAATGTCATGTCATCCCCCACTATACTTACACGTTGATCCAGAAATCAGCACCACAACCTCTCATGAAGAAGACACCAAGAGGAGGGAGAAGCACGATGATAAGAATAAGACAGCAGATACCAATCATTTTTTTGTTGTTGTTGTATAAAGAATAAAAAAAAGAGAGCAGTAATTAAGCGATGAAAACTTTTTTATATGCGCGCAGGATTTTTTTATTCAGGTTCGAAAACAGTTGAAACAAAAAAGGAAATAGTGTGCGATTATCCTTTTTATTGAAGAAATAAAGTTGTGATTGGCTTTAAAGCAACCTGTTGATAATCACAGTAAGACAGAGGATCAAGAACTAATATACACATATAAAAATCTTCATGTCATACAACAAAAGCAGACAACGTTAAATGAAGCCCATCTTTAATAAGTAGTTAAAAATTGACAGACTTTGACAGACATTGGATCAGACACTGGATCAGACACTGGATCAGACACCAAGAAAACTCGGAGATAGGAGCCGTTATGAAATGTATTTTATTTTCTCTATATGGGTTAAAAACGAGGAGGAAAAAAGACTTCCTTCAGATTATGAATGATCCCCTTGTCATAAATATTGTCAACTTCTTCTAAACTTTCCACTCTTTTTTCTTTGGCTTCTTCTTGGTCGTTTTTCTTGTTTCTTTTTGTGACATAATTTTTCTCTTTTAAAGTAGTAGAATATGATTTAACTGGTACCATCTTGTATAATTCTCCTCTGACAATAGAGTCCTCTACAAGTTCCCATTTAAAGGCTTCGTTGGTTGTCACGCCTCTTGCAGCTAAATACAATCTATACTCATAAGCACACACATGCAGTCTCTATAGGATACACTTACTGGTATAAGAAAAAAATAAATACCACGGCGGAAACAACAGCACCTAAAATACCAATGGCTCCTAATATCCTATCATGATGAAGTACATACTGTGTACGACAATAATGAGATCATATAGACACATCTAGTTGTACTTACCAAAAGAGCTCTTGGAAAAGTAATTAATGATTTTTGGCCTGTCTTTGCATGATGCACATAGGCTTTATCTAATCCCCATTCAACAATAAAACCTCGATAGACTTGGAAACACAGATACGCACCATATGCACTGAATTCCACCAATGTAAACAAGAACAAGAAAAAGTAACGTTGATTGTTCTCTCCCACACATTGGTTCACCCAGGCACAATGATGGTCTAATCTGCCTACACATGCTTTACACATTGAGCAATGTTTTGAGCGAGCAGGTCTATATCACTCAAGATGAGTTTTTCTCTTTCGATTCTCTTGTGTGTCTTACTTTAACAGGTCACAAGTAGTACATTTCTTTGGTTTGTAGATCAAACCGTCATAAGGGTAATAGTCCAAATGTTTTTGCAAATTATCGGGTGTGATGATGCCTGGATCAGAAGTGCAGGCAACGTAATAACTTGCATAAATAGACACGATCTGAGCTGGAATCAACACACTACCCAAATGTCAATCAAACATCATTTCTCATTGAGCATGTACTTTACTAGTGGATGTTACTTAGATATGGACCAGGTATATGAGGTAATGCTTTGTACAGAAACCCCGAAATGGAAGAAAAAGACAAAGCAACAAAAAGGATCTGCCCTCTTTTGTTTAATATGTATTCATAAGTCAATGAATTACCTGTAGAAATGGATTACGACTTTCACAACAGTAAATCCAAGTTCTGCTTATTCGGTTTATGTTTGTTTGTCCTATTGTATGTAACAAGGTCCAACTACAAATGAAAGATCAACACTTTTTTTTTAGATCGAAATAATTACTGTAATGTTCTTGGTAATTTCTCAGTTAAACCACGGTTGAATTTCCCGATCATGCCATGCCTGTTATTATGCTATCAATACAGGTACAAGTAACTCATCTACCTTAGTGATGGTGATTCACCAAACAACAAGACAAACACAACAAAAGCAAACAAACTAAAAAACACGCAAAGAAACAGAACCAGATCCTATTTTCATAGTATTAATCAATTGCTTGTTCTCTCATCAGCCCATTACCATCATAAAACAAAAAAAAAAAAAAGGATAGGGTAGTACATGAAATTTCTTTCTCTTATTCTCTTGCACATGATTTTTATTATTAAAAGACGTCTTGAAGCTTTTATAAAATATTCTATATCAATACTTGTTGTGTTGAATTTCTTAATGCATAAACTGTTCCAAACATATCAAACAAATTCAAGGGAAGCTACCCATTTATGTCACCCATAAAAATTTGCTCGATTTTATGACCGTTATACTTACCGAGGAGGTGCATAATAGATCCTTTTCTACAATCTTTGGTCAGTATGATTCTTAGACAAAGTAGCACATCTGAAATCGGGAGAGGATAAGTGCAGCTATGGTTTATAGCAAGAGTGAAAGGAGGGAAAGCAGTCAAAGAAGGTAGCTTTTATTCTCCGCCTAGAGCCAACGTCGAGTCTTGAGTCTCGCAAACGCAGTTATCAGGGCCCTGTAGTAAATTTTTTTTTTATTTATTTATTCATCATGTTTTTACGCACTTCAACACGTCTTTTAGCAACACAACAAGTGAGATCGTATGCCACTAAAAAGAAGCTCTCTCTCAGATACAACCCCGATGCCGTTGAATTAGAACAGGCTGTCAGTATTTTGAAAGCTTTTGAAGTAGGCAACCCAAACCATCAAATCGAAGCCCACGTCCAATGCAAGATTGAAAAATCAACACCTCTCATTCGTGGGTCACTTGTTTTACCCAAGAGCATCAAACAAGAAGCCACGATCTTGGTTTTCGCTACTGGAAAAAAGGCTGAGGAAGCTAAAGCAGCTGGTGCTCACTTTGTAGGCGGGGAGGAGTTGATTGAAAAAGTACAAGCAGGTGAACTCAAGTTTGACAAGTGTATTGCTACACCTCAAATGTTCCCTTCTGTCACTAAAATTGCCCGTATTTTGGGTCCCAAGGGTTTGATGCCTACTGTTAAAAAGGGTAAGTAGAGTGGAATAAGAAAGGTAGGATTGACAGCATGACAATTAGGTACTGTGACTGATGATATCTCCAACACGGTTCGTACATCAAAGAGTTCTTTTGATTTTAAGGCAGATAAGCACGGTGTTTTGCATACCGGTAAGTCAAGGTAGTTATGGAAACAACCTTTCTTAATTTGAATTAGGTATTGGCAAAGTTAAATTTGAATCCAATGACATTGAAGCAAATCTTAAAGCCATTCTCGAAGAATTACGAGTGTTTGGTAAAGCCAACAACTTGAAGGGTAAGCTCAATGCGCATCGATAGTGTCTCATGTCTTTTCTATAGCTTTTGTTCAAAACGTTGTGCTTTCTTCTACCCGTGGTCCTGGTATTGTGATTGCAAATGGATCATCACTTTAGACTTGTAATAAAATTTAATTTTCACACAAACATAACATTCACAAGCAATTCAAGTGGCGCTAATATGCTTCTGTCAGCATAAAAAGAATAAGACCCCTTTTTCTTCTTGTTTTTTTTCTTTATATGTTTACACAGTTTCGTACAGAAGGATTCAATGGATACTCGGTAATAAATAAGGTTTACCTTAACTTTGTTTGACCTTTGTCTAGACGCGTTGGAGTCCCTTTTTCGAGAATAAACTTGCCATCGCAACCTCCTCTAACTTTGGTCTGGTAGGTAACGGTAGGCTTTTTATTATGGCCTTGGCTGGTGATGGTATGGTCGTCGAAAGAGCGTGAGTATCGTATAAGAATAGAAAGACCCTACTTACATGAATAGTTATGATACTCAAGATGGTTTATTTGATGTTGCCTGGAGTGAAGTCAATGAAAATCAATTGGTCGTATCAAGTGGAGATGGTTCTATCAAATTATGGGATACAACATTAGCAGTATGTATATATATATTTTCTATTTCAGAATGGCTTATATGATTAGGACTTTCCTATTCAAAATTGGCATGAACATCAGCGAGAAGTGTTCTCAGTAGACTGGAATTTGATCACAAAAGATGTATTCTCAAGTGGATCTTGGGATCATACTGTCAAGATTGTAAGTCACTAAAGAAGAAAGTAACCCTGACTGACTTCTCTTTTAGTGGAATCCTCAATCGCCAAGATCATTACAGACATATACTGAACACACCCATTGTGTCTATAGTACAGCATGGTCGCCTTATAATCCAACATGTCTTGCTTCTGCATCAGGCGATCAAACAGTCAAGATTTGGGACACACATAGCCCACGCTCTGTCCAGACTATCCGTGCACATCATAATGAAATCCTCTCGCTTGATTGGAACAAATATCAAGACCATATGCTTGCTACAGGCTCAGTCGACAAGACAATCAAAGTGTGGGATCTACGTCGTCCTGACCGAGAAGTCATTTGTCTTCCTGGCCATGAATATGCTGTTCGTCGTGTGCGTTGGTCTCCACATCGACCCAACATCATTGGCAGTGCTGCCTATGATATGAGCGTCCGTTTCTGGGATACAGCAGCACCCCTTGGTCAAAACCTGATTCATGTTCATGATGCACATACAGAATTCGTGCTCGGTCTTGATTTCAATCTCTATGTAGAAGGGCAGGTGGCTACCTGTGCATGGGATGAAAGAGTCAATGTGTTTATGCCTCCTCCACTCTTAAGGCGATAAAAATAAAATAAAATAGGTTTTCAAGAAAAGCGATTTATTATCATAAGGAGGAAGGGTATACAGATGAATACAAGATTCGTTCCAGCGAAAATTAGGCTTCATAAATCGAGGAAGTGGGTGTATTCAAAGGTTTTCTTGCAGTATAAATAATCCAATCAATAGAACATCGTTGTTCACTGAATTCTTCCATCGCTGCCTCGAATACCTTGTCATATTCTTGTTCGGAAACAGCCAATTCATGAATCCACCAAGACTTCATTGACTTAAAGAGACCTTTGATCAAAAATTTATTCAGAAATCCCTTTTCTTTTTCAACTGGATAGATAGAATATGAGTAAGGAAACAAGGACAAGAAAACAAACCTTCAGTATCAGGCCATTCACCAATAGGAATAGACACTGTTTTTTGTTCAATATCCACAAATCCAGCAGAAGCAATGAGCTCCTTTAAATGTTTTGCTTGCTTAGGATTGACACCTACTGAATTAGAAGCCACTTTATACCATTCATTCACAAGAGCCAAAACTGGTCCAGGATCACGTATTCTGAAATCTATTGTTATATTATTAATTAAATTTATATATATATATAGTTTACATCTACTTGCCGTATTCTACTAATTCAATATATCCTCCTGGTTTTAAAACTCTTAATTGTTCTTGAAAAAGAAACGACCAGCGTTCGTGTGGTAAAATGGACGTTGTATCACGTTGATAAATAATGTCCAGATAATTGTTTGGTAATGACAAATGAGTTGTTAAATCACCATATTTATAGACAATGTTGGTAGAATTGTTGTTCTTCATTCGTTTATCTTCAGTCACAAATGTGTCTAGACCAATAATTTTAGCATTGGGAAATTCAGAAGTCATGTCTAATGTCCAGAAACCTGCTCCACAAGCAGCGTCGAGTATCACGATTGGTTTATCTTTGGGTACTGGAACATGAATATTGCCTTGAAGAATATGCTTCAATACAAAATGCTATTTTCTTTTGTGTTAGATGATGAATGAATGAATGAATGAAACATCAAAGTAGGTACCTGTCTTAATTGCCTATATAAAAAAAAACAAGACAAAAATATCAGTCTATGCGTGTGTTGTCTTTTGTGTTTAATTTACCTATTGTATTCTTTTTCATCATTATTATAAGACCAGAATGATTTAAGATCATTTGTTATGTTAGGATTGAATTTGGCAGGCTCAAACACAATATCGCTGTCTTTCTTGGAAAGTCCACTTTTAAAGGAGGAAAACGAGCTACCTGTTGTTCGTTTCTTTTTTATATACTCATTCTCAGGAATGAGTTTCAGGTGCTGTTCTTCTGATCCAACTGAAGTTCTTGGAGAGGATTTCATTTCTTCTTCTTCTTCTTCTTCAAAGCAACAAGAAGATGAAGATGAAGTCATGCTTGTGTTCTCATTGGCTGTAGTTCGTGTTGTTAGTGTATTGAAACTTTTTCTCCAAGAAGACCGATGGGTAGGGATAGAAATGATAGCAGATAGGGAAGATACAGGTGAAATATGATCTGAAAGTACCACTTGATGTTTGACCAGATTGACAGGTGGTGATGATGATAGTTGTTTGAGTTTTGGTTCGATTTCTCTTGTTTTTAATGAAGGTAGTTTCCGTCGTCTCTTTGTCTTTTCATGTTGCTTTAAAGAAAGACGAGTAGAGTTTTCTCTACTTGTCGTTGCACCCATTATAAATAAATAAATAAATGAAAAAAAAGAAGAGGAAAAAGCAATGGTTCATGCTTGTGATCATCTCTTTTTTATACTCATAAAAAAAATAGAGTTCGTCATCCTGTGACCAGACCGTCACATTTGTTATAAGCCAAAAGTCTGTGAATTTAATAAAAAAAAAATCAAGGGTTCTTTTGCCATTGTTTTTCTCTGGTTGTCAAAGAAAAAGGGAAATGTATATATCTTTTTTGTTTCAGTGTAACAATAGGCTTTAATACCTTTTATCAAAAAATAGAATTAATTTAAATATAGTGGTGTACCTAGCTAAGGATAGAATATGTCTCGGGACTGGCCGATAAGATGTCCAGACATGCATTGTCTGCTTTTGTGTAACCTTGTTCATTCTTTTTTTTTTTAGCATTCATAAAAATAAAAAAGTGATATGATATTCAGTTTGAATGAATATAGACATGTCTTATTGTTTCTTAGATGTGATGTGCTTTTGAAGATATAAATATAAGTCAATATATGGGGGTTACGCTTTGCAAGAGTTGATACTCATAACAAGATCTAATAATCTCGATTATTGTTCAGGTAAAGATCTAGAGATTACTAAATCTAGAAGGTGTCTCAGAAACCATGACATTGTCCCCTTCTCCTCCCTTCTCTCAAGTTATGACGTATTCTCCATACATGTGCATTATGATCTTCAGCATGATTCCTGTAAACAAAACACAAAAAGAGTTCTTATATTAGAGTTCTCATGTCAAGTTATCTACAAAAAAAAAGTGCTGTCCATATCAGTTCAAATACAAAAAGAGTGTCGTTTTATACAAACTTCTTTTTTCTGCAACACTTATCCTTAACCAAATAAGCAAATAGCTTTGAATAAAAGTTACATATTGTCTTTGGGTGAATATTGTAAGTGGGTATAAGTTTAAACTCCACACACAAATCTGCATAAAAAATTAAATTGCACTTTAGTATTGTGTAAAAATCATGAGTGAGATAGTAAGTAGAAAAAAAGAGAGAAATAAATATCCTTGATTCCCCCAAAGATAATTACACATGTCACCTTCTTGCTTTAGATCAAGGCGATAACAACTGATTGATACGATAAGTAATACCACGAAAGATTTTGAGTAGCAAAAAAGGAAACTTAGATTTCTGGGTGGTTTTATTGGATGAAATGATGGAGAGTCCCCCCATGCTTTCAATATTTGCAAAAGGTACTTTTGAGGTGATTCCATTCTGATCGTTCGTTGATTGCAGACTCTATCATGATAATATCCTAATCTGCTTGTTCACCAGCGGCTCTTTGTCTGTCTCTTAACAAATGGTACAAGGCATTTTCAGAATCAGAGTCATACTGCTGCTCTAGAGTCTCCTCAAAATCGCTTTCAATCTGATCATCTGAGTCTTCCTCTTGCTGATCCTCCTCCTCCTGGCCATTGTCTTCTGCTTCACCAAGAAAGTCAGAGACTCGATCTTGACGAACATTGTGTTATTCTATACGATGTCTCTTCACGTTGTCGCTTCTAGTGATGTTTTGGTAGTAGGCTGGCTAGACATTACGCTAAAAACATTGTTTTTAGGCTGAGTGGGTCGAACAATTCGTTGTCTTTTTTGAGGCCTTTGCGTTTCGATTTAACCAGGTTGATTTATTGGAAAGAAAAAGAATATTGTTGTAGCGTATTTTTTTTAAAGGAAATGTTTGTTGATTGTCATATTAAACTTTAGTAAGCATGTTTTATCAATATATCACAACCAGTTTGCTTATATAGCATCATGGCTGTACTTATTTGTGCTTGAATAATAAACTTACTGAAAGGCAAATAAACTATTTCCTAATGCTTATCTACTTTTTATTTATTCAAGTTTAGCTTATAGAGCTTTTGTTTATTCAGATAATGAAAAATTAATATGAAGACTCAACTTGTAAGTAATATACAAAAAAAAAAATCATACTACTGGAGATATTGAGATACTAACAATATTTTTTGAACTTCTGTAGTGTGCCTTTCTACCACAGAATAAACATCAAGAGCAATGCAAGTACGATTTCATATTCTAAAATAGTTTATTGTTAAAGCTCTTTTGATATAGATCTTGCTTTTCCTGCAAGACTCAATGGCTATACGATGCTTCATTGATATTAGGTCACGATAACTGGCTAGTGCAAGGCTCTGGATACTAGACTAGAGTAGAGGGCAAGAAAAGCAGGGCGGATGAGCAGTGACCATTAAAGTATGGCTGCTCGTCTACCTGGCTTCCTAGGCCATTCTGCCTTAGCATAACATCCAGAGCATTGCACTAGCCAAACTAGCTAATATATTTTTTTTTTGATCCAAAAAACCATATTATTCTAAAAGCCTATTTTGCATCTCCAATTTTTAAAACCCCCCTCTGAGCCCTCCCCCCACTTTTTCAAAAAGGAAACCTAGGCTCTTCATTACACAATATCGCTCTTTTCATCGGAATTTCATAAGAAATCCATGGTGGTGTATTGAATATCACTTTATAGTCTAATTTAGGATATTCATAGGAAGCAAACAGACGAGTAAAAGTGTCTTCACAGAGTGTTTTTTTTTGTTCATGATATGATTATGAAATAAACAGTGTCTATGTGTTTTTATGCAAGTGATAGCCACGTTTTTATTTATTTATTCTGAGGCTCAATTTTTTTTCTAATCGATGGCATTCATCGATTGTATTAAAAAAAAAATAACATGATACACGCTGATTTTTGTATGATAACTGCACACGGAGTTTGATTCATATAGAAGGCGCTTTTTTCATAACAAAATGAAAGGAGGCAATAATTGCATCATGCCTACTTCAAAACGCCTAGAGAGAAGAGAGAGAAAAAAAGGCTCAGTGGGTTCCGGGTGCTTGTAGAAAAAGACTTAGTATTTACCCACTTTTATTCTAGTTTTTCCCGTATGTCACGTAGTACAATCAGCATAGGTTTTGGCTATTAAAAAATTGGGATACACAGAGAATTTGAAAACATGGAGATTTATAGATAGTTGATTATAGACCTTTTCTCTCGTATGATCAATTGGAGATTGAAATGAACTAAATAAAACCCCTGTGGAAGAGTCTCAATTTGCGGAACTGGTATTTTATAGTCAAAACGCGTATTTCTTTTATCTTTTTTTTCTCTTTTTCTTTCATACTTTATCTTTTATTATGTTTGCCGAAAAGAAGTCTTCTCACTCTCCTATTGAACTCCCCATGCAATGGGTTGCCAACATGGACGTTGATGTTCAACCCAAGGCTGCCCGTAAGACCTCCATCATCTGTACTATCGGCCCCAAGACCAACAATGTTGAAAAGCTCACTGAATTAATTGATGCTGGTATGAACATTGTTCGTATGAACTTCTCTCACGGTGACTATGACTACCACAAGTCTGTCCTTGATAACGCTCGTGCTGCTGCTGCTAGTAAGTGTCTTTTTTAAAATAGATATAGGATTTACTAAAGATAAAAAATTTTCCTTTCAGACCGTCCCGACAAAGTGATTGCTATTGCCCTCGATACCAAGGGTCCTGAAATCCGTACAGGTATGATGGCTAATGATGTTGAAGTTCCTGTCACCAAGGGTCACGAAATGAACTTCACTACTGACGAAAAGTACTTGAACGCTTGTGATGGTGAAAACATGTACATTGACTACAAGAACTTGCCCAAGGTCATTGAAGTCGGTAAGAACATTTACGTTGATGACGGTGTTCTCTCCTTCAAGGTTATCTCTAAGGGTGACGACTTTGTTCGTGTTCAAGCCTTAAACAACGGTAAACTTTGCTCCAAGAAGGGTGTCAACCTTCCCAAGACTGCTGTTGATCTTCCTGCTCTTTCTGAAAAGGACAAGAACGATCTTCGTTTTGGTGTCGAAAACGGTGTTGATATGATCTTTGCCTCTTTCATTCGTCGTGCTCAAGATGTCAAGGACATCCGTCGCGTTCTTGGCGAAAAGGGTAAGAACATCAAGATCATTGTCAAGATTGAAAACCACCAAGGTATCATCAACTTTGATGAAATCCTTGCTGAAACGGATGGTGTCATGATTGCCCGTGGTGATATGGGTATTGAAATCCCTTGTGAACGTGTCTTTGTTGCTCAAAAGATGATGATTGCCAAGTGTAACTTGGTTGGTAAGCCCGTTGCTTGTGCCACCCAAATGCTTGAATCCATGACCTACAACCCTCGTCCTACGCGTGCCGAAGTGTCTGATGTTGCTAACGCTGTTCTTGACGGTGCTGATCTTGTCATGCTTTCTGGTGAAACCGCCAAGGGTTCTTACCCCGTTGAAGCCGTTCAAACTGTAAGTAGATAGTCATGAGGTCCTATTTTTCAGAAGCTCATTAACACCCATATAGATGTCTACCACCTGTAGCTTAGCTGAAAGCGTCCTCTGTTACGCTCCTCTTTTCAACCAAATCCGTGGTTTGACTCCCTGGCCCACTGACACCACGGAGACTGTTGCATGTGCTGCTGTCTCTGCTGCTGCTGAACAAAACGCTGGTGCTATCATTGTCCTCTCCAAGTCTGGTCACTCTGCTCGTCTTGCTTCCAAGTACAGACCTGCTCAACCCATCATTCTTGTCACCCGTGAAGAACAAACTGCTCGTCAATCTCACCTTCACCGTGGTGTCTTCCCCTTCGTCTACACCAATGATGTTGCTGCCAAGTGGGATGAAGATGTTGAGTCTCGTATCAAGTGGGGTATTCAACAAGGTAAGAACTCTGGTCTTATCAAGTCGAACGATCCTGTTGTCGTTGTCCAAGGCTGGAAGGGTGGTTTGGGTAACACCAACACCTTGCGTGTACTCATTGCTCCTTAAATTTTAACCATGATTCATCATGAGAAAAATCTTGTAATTATTTTGGACCAACTGGATGACTGAGTCAATGAACCAGTCTATTCAGGGCGGAAATGTAGTAATAAAACCTTGTAATTTTTTATTCATGCAATGTCTTTCTATAAACATTACTTTAAGCTATTCACAAAAAAAAAAAAAAAGTCAGGCTACTGTTTAGTATATTACTTTTCAATGACATCTTATAGCATAAATCAATTTCTTGACGGGTTTACAAATAACGATTGTGACTCTTTATTTGTGACCGCGTCTCAATACAAAAAAAAACCCTTCAATTATTTTTTTTTTTCTTCGAGATCTTTGGACTACTTGATCAGACACATATATACATATATACATACAATGGCCCCTGCTGCTACAAAGTCAAAGAAATCACCTGTAAAGAAGATACAAAAGACAGTTGCTGAAAAGGCAACTGAAACTGGTTCTAAGAGAAAGCGTGTTTCTGTTGAAGCACCCAACAAGAAGAAGACACCTGCTGCTTCCAAGAAGACAGTAAAGAAGGAAGAAAGCAGCGATGATGAAGAAGAAGTTGTTGCTTCCAAGCAAGAAGAAGATGAAGAAGAAGAACTTACTGAAGAACAAGAAGAAGCCTTGAGAAAGGAAATTTTGGGTGACATTGCCAGTAGTAGCGAGGGTGAAGATTCTTCAGACGAAGAAGCTGATGGTATCGATAAAAATGAAAGCGTTGTTGCTTTGGACGGAAAGAAATTAAATGAAAGTAAGGCCGAAACAAAGGAAGCTTTTGATAAGAAGAAGGCAGCTAAATCAGCCAAGGTAAGATTTTACATCTCTCTTTTGCTTTTGAGTTTGGTATTAACAAACAATGGGTGAATATAGTCTACTAAGGCTGAGGAAGAAAAGGGTGTTATTTATCTTGGTCGTATTCCTCACGGTTTCTATGAAAAAGAAATGAGGGGTTACTTTAGTCAATTTGGTGACATTACTCGACTTCGTCTTTCTCGTAACAAGAAGACCGGCAAGCCTAAGCACTATGCTTTTATTGAATTCCAATCTCGCGAAGTTGCTGAAATTGTTGCAGAAACCATGGACAATTACCTCTTGTTTAGCCATATGCTCAAGTGTCAAGTTGTTCCTCCTGAGAAGGTCCATGAAAAGCTATTCAATGGTAGCAATGCAGTCTATAAGCCCTTCAACTACGAACTCCGTAACCGTCAAATTCACAATAAGAGAAAGACACCTGAACAATTAGAAGCTAAGCATAAACAACTTCAAAAGACTGAAAAGAAATTACGTGAGGCAATCAAGGATGCCGGTATTGACTATGATTTCCCTAGCTTCTCATAAATTTCCCCATCACTCATATCTTCATCCCATTCATTCTTATTAAGAGAAAGTTGTAATTAATCAGAATAAACAAATCTATCATGCCCTGATATCAAAAGTCACAAAACTCAAGTCACATGATCAAAAGGGCAAAAACCCAAATCAAATGATAATGAGAAGTGAATAACCTTCACGCAGTATTTTATCCTCTTTTCTTTTTCTTTTCTTTTACACAAGGGTTCTATGTCGGCCGAAATTAATTCCATATTCTATCAAGTAAGTCTCTCAAAAGAACAAGCAGAGCCATAAGACTAAACAATACTAGTCCATACAAAAAGATCTGAGAAAAGCAACCGTCAAGGAGATTGGGGAATGCATCAAGGCAGTCAACAGTACGCTACTTGCTCAAGCACGCATGTCAGTATCTGGAAGAAAGGATGAGCTTATTACACGAATGACCAAATATATCATCAGTTTGATTGCCAACAACAAGCGTGCTAATATCCAAAATGTGGTCCGTATTGTGAACGAAATAGTGCCTAAAAAGTAAGTGTATGTCTTGAATGAACGCGTCTAATGGCCATAAGGATTTTTTGGAGATTTGAAAATGATCGCATTTATTTCCATAGCCCGTCTGAACGATCCCGAGTTGCTTTTCATGAAAAGCGAGGTAATACAATTGAAAACATGGATTTCAAACCAAGTCCTTTTCTGAAGCCTATTGCAAGATTGACACATATCAAGGTCTGCCCTAGTAGGTTGAATGCCTTTCTTTGGCCTTGTCCATATTAAGACCCCTCTATAGTTGCAAACAAAGAGAGACAATCCAGAGTATTCCAATTCACTTTGGCAGACGATCACCGAGCCATGTTGGCTACTCCCAATGCTGTTGACGATCGACCTATTTACCAGATTCGTTTTTATTGTGCAAAATATACCAATACGACAACATCTAATCTACTGGTTGAATTCCCTAATATATGTGAACTCAAAGTGAATGGGAATGTGATTGGTGGTAGTGTAAGTCCCAAGAGCGTAGATATATATATAGAGAGAGAAAGAGAGAGAGAAAGAGTATATGTGTTTACTTGTGTTAGATACTACGATGCTTAAAGAACAAACCGGGCACAGTCAATCCTCCAGATTTGACCATCATGACACGAAAATCAGCATTGAATAATGTCGAGCTTGTGTATGTCAGCAGTGATACGCCCTTTATTGCCAGTGCCTATATTGTCGAAAGAACGCCTGTGATTACTTTGATCCAGACCTTAAGGCGAGAAAGAGTGCTGCCAAAAGAAAAAGTACTGGAAAGGCGTAAGTTTGATTCGACTGTTTGTTTCGGGTAACTCATCTTGCTTTGCCTAGTACAAGAGATTCAACAAGATACTGATATTATTATGGAATCAGAAACACTGTCTACCAAGGATCCTGTAAGTTAGATTGTGTCAATCATCTACTAACAGTGGTAGCTTGCTTTTACACGTATTGTGACACCTATTCGATCCAAAAACTGTCAACATTTACAATGTTTTGATGCCTATACATATCTTACCATGAATGAACAAACACCTACTTGGACATGTCCTGTATGCAACCGACAGATTGAGGATTGGGAGGATTTGATTGTAGACCAATACTTTAGTGAAATGTTGAAAAATACACCTAAACATATAGACAGTGTTCGTGTAGAACCCAATGGTCAAGTCACTATTATAGATGAAAACCCTGATTTAGCGCAAGAAGAAGACTCTGATGAAGATTCTGAATATGAGCAATTATTTCGAGAGAAAGCCAGTGTGCCACCTGAGGAAATACCTACGATTCTTCTTGATGACGATGAAGAAGAATTGCAGGCTAATCCAATTGCTGGCGATCAACAAGCACAAGAAAATATACCCACTGAACCACCAAGGAAGAAGCAAAAGTCTGATGTGATAGATTTGACAATAGACAGTGATGAAGAGAACGAAAATACACCCATACAGTTTGTGAGGTAAAGCATTTGTGTACATATAAATATATTGATACACATACACATACACATACATACAACAAGTAGAAAAACATATTTTTAATTTGAACATATATCTATGCTCAGTTTTCCACTAGATCAAGTGTCTGATGAAGCCCTTATTCTACCTCATTCTGGCACAATGCTTAATACTTACAAATACAATTGACATCTTTATTCTGAAGCACGTAAAGCCTTCTGTACTTCTAATCTTCTTTCTTCCAATAAAGACTCCAATTCACGCTTCTTTGATCGAACATCGTCCACAATACGGTTTAAACGACGCACAGCATCACGGGCAGCATCAATATCACGCTCTTGTTTACGCACCTTGTCCTCAATATCACTTTGATCTGTCAATTGGCGTAGTTTATAGTCATAAAGGGCTTGGAATTGATCACGAAGAGGACGGGAAGCAAAAGATTCATAGTCCTCACTTTCTTTAGCTTCTTTGGCCTTATGTTCTGCTTCTTTGACGCGTTCTTTTAGTTCAGCCAATTCTCTTCTTAGCATATCTTCTTCATCGTATTTTGTTGCCTTTGTTCCTTTGCTACTTAAAGAAGTACTGGCAGCACCCAATCGATTGACATAGCTATCAGCTAATTTAGCACTGCTAGTCATGGACTGGCTGGTACCTTTGCGTGCACCTGTACCAGAGCCAGGGCGCTCTCCAAAGTCAGCTGCATATTCACCAGCAAATGCAGCATGAAGATCTGGAGGTAATTCTTTAGGGATACGAATGCCTTTTGTACGTTGATTCAAGACATGATAAAACATCAAGCATTGATCTTGAGTAAGAGCATTTGTATGATTTACATCAATAAGTGTCCTATGATGCTTGTAAGTAAAAGAAGAATTGATACTCTTCGATCTCACCATGCATTTGTTAGATCAGTACGAGTAAGACCCAATGTGTTGTAAAAGTCTTCCATTTGACTGACTATAGAGCAAGTTAAACAACATTTTGGGATTGTTCTCTTACATTTCACTTTGCCAGTATCATTGGCATATTTAGCATAGATGTTCTGATATGATGTCATTTCGTCCGTCGTCATATCCCAACTGAATTCAGGTTCGGCTTGTTGACCATAAAAGCCTGTAGGTTGAGGTTGTTGATATCCAGTGGGTTGAGGTTGTTGATATCCAGTGGGTTGAGGTTGTTGGTAGCCTGTGGGTTGAGGTTGTTGGTAGCCTGTGGGTTGAGGTTGTTGATAACCAGTGGGTTGATATCCTGTAGGTTGTGTTTGTCCATAATACCCAGTAGGTTGTGGTTGTTGATATCCAGTAGGTTGGTACTGTTGTTGTTGAGGTAAAAGGTGAGTTTTGTTAGAAGGAATCAAAGAAGATGGAAGAGAAACAGGTGGATCAACACCATTAATACAGTCAAAAGTCAAGTGCATGGCAATACAGAACTCTTCAAAGTCAAGATTACCATCTTTATCAATATCAGAAAGGTCCCTAACATAGTTTTGTCAGTAAGATGAGCATACGTAGTGCATACATACCAAATACGCTCTAAACGGTTAGGAGGTAAATTGGAGTTCAATAAAACATCGCGAGCAATAGCACCTAACATGATGTGAGTTCAATGTGTTCATCTTGTTCTTATGCTTACCTGACATGAAGCCGTTGACTTGGCCTCTTGCTTGAAAGATTTCGGCATATTTTTGCCTTTCAGCTTGTGTAATTGCACTCATAGTTATTTTCTAATTGAAAAAGAAAGTGAAGAGAAAAAGAGAGCCAAGGACAATAATTATACAGCACACGGTCACAATTTCCTTTCATGGACAAGACATGTTTCTTTTTTTTTTGGATACAGAGGATAAAAAAAGCTTAAATCTGTTTATTATTTAAAAAATGTATATACACTAAAAAAAGTGCATTTAGTGACGACGAGAAGCAGCAACGGCAGTGGTGAGTTCTTCAATCTTCTTCTTGGCACGAACAAAAGTACCGAGCTACATGACATGTGAGTTGATGTTATTGATCTTACACAAAAACTTACCTTAGACTTGCAAAGCTTCTTGGCACGCTTATCCTTGGAGTTCTTGATCAATTCCATAAGACGACGTTCGTAGGGGGCGAAGCCAGCGACTTCACGGATGATGCCACGAACAAAAGTGGTGCGCTTGGAAGCAGCCTATTATTAAAAAAATAGTGTTAAACAACTTTCTCTTTCTTCTTCTTCTTTTCTCTCTCTCTCTCTCTCTCTCTCTCTCTTTTGTTGCAGAAGAAAAAAAAAAGAAAACAGTAGAACAGCAATGAGTCTCCAACATGTTCAATCGTGATCTTTTCCATGTCGAATCTTTCTCCATGCTGTTTTCTATTCGTCTTTTTTTTTTCTGTGCATCAATCCATCAATCCATATGATACATACACCAATCTTGTTAGAGGGCTTAGCCTTGAGTTCACGACGAGTGACGATGTGACCTTTGTTGATGCCAACAGCGATACCAGACTTGGATGCAACCATTGTATGTATAATGAAAGAGGGGGAGCAAACAAATCGAACGTCTTGCTGGTCACTTAGGGCTCACGCTCTTCTGCTGAAAGGCCCGATGGATTCACTTTTTGATTTCCGGAAGAGTCCGTTCCGGATGTACTGAATTTGAAAATTACCATCCTTCGCCTTCATTGCATGATTTTCATCTTACGAAAGCTTTTGGCTTATTAGATACTCTTTCATTGTTATACTATGCCAGATGGATATGTAAAAAGAAAAAAGAATTCACACACACATACACACACACATACATCTTAATTTGCTACTGATTAGTCTTTGAAAATCGATTCCGAGTAAAGTTGACTTGTGGAAACTGCATACATTTCATCTAAATTATGAATTTCAAACGAATACTAACAAACGGTTTGGTAGTACATAACAAATGCTTCAACAGTGAAAAAAGACAAATCTTTGTCTCATTTTTTCCATGGACAAATGAAAAGATCAATAAGCCTAGTTATATACGCAGGGTGCCTTGTATGTCAGTAAACATTGTTTCTATGCCAACTAGACTAGTTGTTTGAGCTATCCATTCATTTAAAGCGTTTAACTAAAAGAAATCTTAGATACAATGGACAATTCTTTATTATCCAAACTATAAAAAAAACACTTACATAATGTAAAAAAAAAAGAGTATAATGTCTTTTATTATTGAATATTCATACAATGTGAAAAAAAAATTGGTTCTTCTAACCAGTAAAAATCTTCATAAACAAATAAATACATGAACCAACAAAACGAATAGCAGATAAACCAGCCACAGACCAAAGAATAAAACCAAGGTAAGCAGTAGCTCTCTCTGTGTAAGTACCAAACCAACTCAGAATGTTTTGTCCACTGGTAATAATGACAACCAAAATTAAGTTGGACATAATCCAGGAAGTAACAAGAATGGTTCTGAAAGACTTGTAGTAATCTTCTTGCTTTGTCTTGGCGTCTCTCTTACTTACTTCGGGTATCACGACAGCCTTCAAATCAAGACAAGCTTCATCGTATTGTTCGTTCAAATCTTTTTGTTCAGTAGGAGCGGCCACTTCAACTTCGCTTTCACCGTCTTTGCCTTTGGATGATTTGACTACACCAAGATCGGTAGAAACACCGTTATCACCCTTGGTACCCCAAGATACATCATGTGTATTACAGAAAGCGTAGATGTTGAGTACGTTGGTATAACTAGGTGACATAAAGATATAAGGCACCAAGCTGGTAAAGATGTGCCAAGGATCCAAGAACAAAAGACTCGAGACAAGATACATGATATACGTGGAACAGAGAGAGATAATGACATTTCTGAAAGTACTTTGCTTGACCAGACCTAGGAATTCTTGGCTTACATTACCATTCGCGTCTTGAATAGCTTCTGAATAGGCTGTACTGACAGCAATGACAGTGATCCACAAGGTACAGAACATAATATAGGCCATCAAAAGAGCAAAGAAGACGATAATCATGGTATATGCCCACTTCAAACCCTGGGGTCTGTTACCCATAGCAATGATGATTTGAATGATAAGAAGCAGAATATAAATGTAGTTGAGAACAGTGTGAATGACATTACCGACATTGGAGCTGAAGGGTGCGTTGTTTACAGTAGTGATGGAGGTTGTCATAATATAAAAGACCAAGTAGAAGTTACCGATAGCAAACCAAGAGAAGATAAGATTGTACAATTGATACAAGTCGTTGAACATGAAGATCAACTTACGTAAAATGAAATGGTCTGAACTCCAGACCTTTCTCCAATGAACCATGGAATAAATACCAGCAAAGAAAGAACCATTAAGCCAACGACGACGTTGAGAAATAAATTCAGCAACGGTTTCGGGGACATCAGTTTCACCTGAAGCATTAGAAACATAATGAAGTACCCAAGCAGCGTCTTTTTTAGCCACAAGTTCATAACACAAGATACGATCTTCAGCAAGATACATGTTTGCAGTAAAAATATCGGCATCAGCACCGTGCATCTTTTCACCCAAGAAATACTTCTCAAGAGGACCTACACCATGAATATCATTCTGAAGGGCTGTGTAACGGTAAGCAGAGAAAGCACCGGGTAATACTGAAATGTGACCAAAGACAGATTCAAGTGGTTTATCCAAAATATTGGACATTTTGTACTCAAAGTTCTGAGAGGCGACAAGAGGGTTAAGCAGATACATGCCCTTTGGACCCAACATGGCCTTAATTTCACCACATGCACCAGCTACATTACGGTTGATATCGAATGCTTTCCAAAGGTGATAGATTGATCGTCCACCAGGTCTTGTACCAACATCAAGCAATACACACACATTGGGCTTTATAAGAGGACCAAAGGCTTGGAAGAACCAACGATGTGAGTTAATCTTCTTCTGATTCTTTTCCTTGAGACAGAATAGGATTTGAACTGGTACAACTCCTAATTCTGCTCCTCTAAAATTCATGTCCGCATCAATAGATAATTGTGTTGTATGCTATATAAAGAAATAGAGTATGTTTAGTGTAACGTTACTAATAATTAAAAATTTTATATATACCTCGTAAATATGAGCAGTTACTGGTTTGCCTTCGACAACGTTCTTGGCTAGACCGTCTTGATAGACACCCATGGCAGCCAATACAGAGAGTGTACGAGGATGGATCTTGGTACGACCATCGGAAACGACACAGACAACAACCTTCTTCCAGCCATTGGCACCCCAAGTCTTTGAACGATCACGAGAACAAAGGTGAGAAATGTTCTTCATAACACCATTCATTGTTCTACAGAACAAAACATCATCTTCCTACAGAAAAAACCAGTAAGAAAAAAAAAGAACTGAGTAATCACTATCTTACATTGTACATGGTCAAGACAATGAATAACTCGGTTTCTCTATGCAACAAGTTTTGACGCAATCGATAGTTTTCTTTCTGAAAATCAGAAGGATCACAGGTAGCAGCAGTGTATCTCATATGAGTGAATTCATGTTCATCTCTATATTTCACTCGTTGAAGGTATTTGTTTGGTACAGGGTTATCCAATACCAAATTACCACCCGTCAACTTTACTCTTCTCACTAAAGATAGATTGCTTTAGTAAACCACGTTTTACCTCCTTATCACTTTACCTGTTTTGTATCGTCTTGTTTGTCTTCTGGGTGCAATACCAAAGTCGCCAGGCCCGCCACCAATCATGTTGGAACGTGGAGTGGTGGGTGAAGAACCGTTTGATTGTAACAGAGGTCTTTGCATGCTGGGTGTACCAGGAATAGAAGTTTCGTAATAGTTGAGTGTGTTATCAGCGGGAAATCCAGGGCTACCACCACTATTATTACTATTGCTGTTGAACGAAGTCTGTTCCATTGAATATTCTTCGCCTGTATTAAATTTGGTTCTAGCAGGTGCTCTCGCTGATGGCAATGGACTATTGCTGTTGTTTTGAGGATTATCAAATTGATACATTTTGCTGGATTATTTCAAAATGTATGTGTATATAAATTCACCAATGTCTGAAGGAAGGAATTATGCAATTGTTTAAGGAAAGGAAAGAATCAGCAGCAGCCAAAAAAAAAGAGTGAGAGAGAGGTTGGTATAAAGGAAAAGAAAAAAAAGAAAAGGTTGAAAATAGAAAATAAAAGGTTATTTAAATATAAAAGCTTTTTTTTTTTCGAGGCAGTAATTAAAACTGAGTGGTACAAGGCATTTAAAAGGTTGAAATCGCACATACCTTTTTCTGCTGTTATATGTCTGGGTTATGGACATTTAAAGGTTATTATTACCAAAATTAATAAAAATATTCATTCACCATAAGCTGGTGCCCTAATATTAGATTTCATGTGTAACTTCCACGAGTTGCTCAGACTTTATTTGACTTGAACACATTTACAAAGTTTATTTAGTAGTAAGAATATGATTATAGTATGTTGAAGGCAGTTTTGACTATTAAGAAAAAGCATACAGACTATGATAAAGAGAGAAAAACAACACCACTTTTACTATGATAAAAAGAGAGGGGAGGGGAAATAGAATCAACATTTTCTTGCCAGAAAAGATGATAAAGAAAACGTGCTTTAGCAAAAATAAAGGCCGGCACTCATGGTGCCTGGATAGATCGACTCTCTTGTCTATCCATTCACCATGAACAAGAGATCAAAATGACATTTATGATTTTTTTTTTTTTTTTACAAAAGATTTATTTTGTGATGTCTCCCTCTTTCTTTTACTTTTGCTTATCAAGATTGAATTCTTACCAGTTTTGTTTAGCAAGTAGTACTACTATTGTTCTGAAAGCATGGATTTAAATCTCTGGTCACCGTACATACTTTTTCGTTTTTTATAGCTCATCAAACCATGTTACACGATGCATGGACAAAATACATTATAAGAAATCCCGCTTTTAAAAAAAAAGGTTTATCTATTTACAAACACTTGAGCATGACAATTTTTCGGATGATTGTTTGTCGCTTTACTTACTGAATCAGTACAATGCTACAAGTTATTAAGAAATAGATAATTCTTACAGCCTTGTTTCACCAGCTATGTATAGTCGCTGTGTCTCAATTTAATTTACTGAGTTTGTCTACCACAAACCTTATGTATTTATTCACTATATAGCAAAAAAAAAAAAAAATAATGAAGCTAACTCTTTTGTTATCATTTGGAGATAATTGCTTTTCAGCATACTATTTTTTTTCTTGTTTTTATACAAAGACCAACTGGTTTTATAGACAAGATCAATAAAATACACTTGAATAAGACAAACCCCTTGTCAATTTTCATAACTTGTTATCCCTGACAACAGTAGTGTCTGTTTTGTACTACAGCACAAGTGATTGCAGGCATCACAACACTTACCATAAAAGGTTCGCATTTTCATCCTAAAAAACAAAAGTAGTTGGACACGTTGTTAAAAAAGGCTTTTGTTCGGATGGAGACTGTCTCGACTATCTTTTGCCGATGAAGGGGGTATGCTCATGTATTTTCTCTGCTCAGCATTTTGAGACTAAATTTAGCTCCGAGATTTTTTGTTGTTTATAACTCGAAAAATGTTAGGAAGGGGGAGCGTTTATTTTGAATGAGAAGGAGTCGAGATAAAAATGGTATCTTATCAGCCATTTACTTGTGTGATCCTCATGGCAGATCAACTCAATGGCCTAGAATATTCTTGCGTTTATACGTAAAGTTTCTTTTTGCATAAAACAATAGTTTGATCAAATCAGATTTGAAACTGTGGGTTCGTCAGTAGATTCAAACTAGGGTTACACAATGCCTTGGTTTACAAAGCACTATCTTTTTTTTTTTCGTCATTTCTTCTTATTATTTATTTTATGTCGACAAGTATTCCTACAGTTCAAGCAGAAAACTATGTACGAGGTGTGTCTTTTGACACTATGACAGATCAGGATCAGCCTGATTATTCTTTCACATTACGAGGAAAGACGCAAGGATATCAACGAACAAGAAGAAGTAGAACATTTATGGTAGCTACAGACTTAGCACCCTATAGTGACTATGCTTTAGACTGGGCTATTGAGGTAATATATCTTAAACATAGACGCCTTTCTTATAGTATTGGATAGAATATCATAGACTCTGGTGACGAAATCATTGCCTTGAGTGTTCTCACGGTAGATATGAGTGGTAAGAACACAATACAAAGACACATGGGTTCTCATACCTCTATATAGAGAACAGACCTAATTTATCAGCCATGTTAAGAAACGAGGAACTAAAAGCTAAGGAAAGAGCTTCAGCTGTTATGACTAAGATCATGGCAGCAGGTAATCCTGATATGAAGGTAAAAAAAAAAAGAGATAGAGAAGGGATAATGCCAATATCTCATATGGAGTTATAGATCAGTGCAGTGATTGAATTCGTGATTGGAAAGGTTCAGGAAACAATTCAGAATATGGTGAGTTACGAGACAGCAAGACAAGCCATACTGATTTGTCACTAGATTTCTGTATATCAACCTTCTATGCTTATTGTTGGAACAAGAGGAATGTCTGAATTGAAGGGCATGTTTATCAATAGCGTATCAAAATATTGTTTACAACACTCTCCTGTTCCTGTGGTTGTGGTCCGTCCTGAAGATAAAGTAAAGAAACAATTAAAAAAGGTAGCCAAGAAGCCAAATCGTCTGAGTGGCATGTTTCGAATCAACAGTCATTCAAGTATTTCTAGCCTAAACTCTAAAGGCTCTGATTCGTCAGACAGCAGTTCTGAAGATGAAGAGGTTCCTGGGCTTGAGAAGAAAGTTCAGAGACTGTCTGTTTTTGATAAGATTGGTCGTAGATCAAGATCTGCTTCTCCAGCTAGACCACCTGTTCAAAAGAAGTAATGCGATATATACATAATAGGAGGTTTATTAAAGAAAAAGGATTGCAACATAATAAAAAAGAAAAGAGTGGGGGTATTAATTGACACGTTCAACTTGATTGACTTTGTACTTTTTGACAGCATCATTATCGCTGTCACTGCTTTGACTAGAAGTGTCATATTTGAAGTTGGATTGCTTGGTATCGTCAGCAGCAGTCTCGACTGGAAGACCATCCAATTGAGGATCATGCTCCAAACTTTTACCAGGACCATGGAACCATTTACGAGCACGAAAGTGATAGTACAAGACAGAAAGAATAATGACACCACCAAATACTACAATAGCATAGTTCATATTATCGGGCGTAACAGGATTTTCAGTAGGGCAGATAAATAGAACAGAGGTCAATAAGATCCAACATAGACTGATGACATTAATGACATCAGAAAAAGGACCTAAATGGAAAGGACCACGAACAAAGATCTTTCTTGCAACAAACACTTTGAGAGCAATAGGAATGAAATAGGCCATGGAAGAAGCAATGGTATTGACAGAAACGATAGCATTAAAGGCTGTTTCGTTAATGATGTACAAGATACCAACGACAATGGCAAATACAATGTTGAACCAAACAGCCCAGACAGGAGTCATTGTCTTTTGATTGATTTTGGCAAGATGGCTGGAGAATGGCATGGCACCGTCTCTGGCAAAAGCGTATACCATTCGAGAACTACCTAAAGTCAAAGCAGAACCAGAAAAGAACATGGCACCCATAATGATAGTCGTAAAGACAACTGTCCATCGATAGCCAACACCATCCAAAAAGACCTTGACCATAGTGGGACTGATATCCGTATCAATGATTTGCGATTGAAAGTCTTGTACACAAAAGTTGACAGAGAGCAAGAACATGAAACCAACAAGAGCTGCTGTTCCAATAGCATAAAGAATACCACGAGGAGCACTACGACCAGCGTCTTGAGTTTCATCAGACATGTGTGCAGCACTATCAAATCCAGAGAGGGTATATTGACATTGCAAGAGACCAATTAAAAACGCATAACCTCCAGAAGAAAAACCAGTTTCATTTTCGAAATAAGTAAACTAAAAGAGCAATTGAGTATATTTTCTTTTTTCAAATAAGTTTGACTTACCACCCATTTAGCATCAGGTTTGTTGGGTGTCAAGACAAGACCGACAACGACAATGATAAGAGTGCCAATAAGATGCCAATACAAAGAAGTTTGGTTAAAGAAGCCATTGTATTTGACACTTATAGAATTAATAAGGCCATGGACAACAGCAATTACAATAAAAATGCCATATTCCCAATAAATGGTAGGCTTATTAGTAGGGTCACTAATGTTAACAATAGATGAAATGAATTGTGCAAGACCAATATCAGCAGATGTAATTGCGACTACAAAAAAAAAAAATTAGAAAATGGGAAAGGAAGGCATTGTTTATGATAACATACCAGTCTATTAAGCAATGAATTAGTATATTGTTTATATAGTAAATCAACAAACTTACCAAGCCAAGCCAATTACACCAACCAGTCAACCAACACATAATGGGAACCCATTCGGGGGAGCAAGCTTAGATACCCAAATGTATAAACCACCAGTAATAGGATAAGCAGAACAGATTTCAGCCAATGAAAGGCCAACTCCAAAAGTAAAGACAGAAACGAGAATCCAACCCCATATAACGGAAACGGATCCACCAGCAGCCATAGCATCACCCCATAGCTAAAGTATGATTTTAGTTTCAATGCATGTATTTGCCCATTGTTTCTTACAGGAGTAAGACCAGAAAGAATGGAGCAACAGCCAAAAGCAATTGAGAAATTAGAGATTGTAGACATTGTCTTATTCATTTCCTATTCAGATTTTCTTAGTTATCTGATTTTAAATTGCATAGTTTAGTCTGTCTTTACTTGTTTGTAACCCATTGAATGCAAAAGTTCTTCTTCAGTTTGAAACTGATGTCTGTTTTCACCGGATTCATTCACCTCATTGTTGCTTAGGTTACGGTCCATGCCAACCATAGAATAATTAACTCTCGAAGTGCTGTAATTTTCGTATAAAAAAGGGGAGTTTATAAAAAGAAAGAGAGAAAAAAAAAAAGAAAAGATACTGTAGTTGTTTGATTTACTCTAGTATAGTTTGATGTAAAAAGGGAAACTAGATGACTTTTTTGTTCTGTTTTTTTATTTCCTAGCTTAATGTTATAGATCAAGCAAGAAAATACAAGTAAAAAAAATAGTCAATACGAGTAAAAAGAAAAGAATAAAAAAGGACCCTTTCTTTTTATACTTGTGTGCCAATGCTTTCTAGCGCTGCTTCAATGTTTTTTAGATACTATCCTATTCTTCATTTGTTCATTCTTACATGACTCCGCTTTTTGAGATTTGCCCTTTTTGTTGAGAATACAAAGATTTACAAAATCGGCAAAGGATACCATCGTGTCAAATTTTCCTACAAGCATAGAAATGCTTATTGTCCTATAAGATGCCTTCGCTGACAAATGCATCGTAGCACTAAGCCAAGATAATTATTTGTTATCATGTTTCCACACGCTCACGTTCATCATAGAGCAAAGAGTAACTCTTTTCTACCCCATATTTTCGATCTCCACCCAATTAAAATGATTATGTCTCACGCATATTCCATTTGTGGAGTCCTCTATGACTAATAAAATGCTTGATTTTTATTTCATTTCGCTTGTTTTGTACATTTTGATAAGAGTGTCTTTATCTGGAAAAATGATATGAATTTGATTAAAAAGAACTTAATTGAAGAGAAGAACTTTTATGTTCGAAAAGAGTTTTGAATTCAACTTATTGTTCTATAAGGTTCACATGTACTCCTCTTAAATAATATAGGCATGGGGGAAAAAATGACAATACGTGGGAATCGTCTGTTTCATTAGTAGTTTGTCGCTAAAATAAAGCTATAGAAGACGACTGTAAATTATCCGTATGATTCAATAATCTATGATGCAAGAACTCTTTGACTCTCTAGGCCTTAAAATCAAGAATAACAAAGGTACAAGTGTAAATCTTCAAACTTATATGCGCAGAATACTGTACTCATTTTATAGAGCTATTCCTCCTTGCAAGAATTTTCTTTGTGACATATTGTTAATGAATACAGAGTTACCATCAGATAAGAGTCCTAACTTGATGCGCGTATTATCCAATCAAGTCATGTCATACCAAGTGCTTGTTACATGTAAAAGACGATTCCGAAAAAATGGGTTAAAAAGAAATGATCGTGTTTGTTAGAGAAGAACAGCTTGTAAAAAATATGGCAATGTTTAAGTATAGAAAGCCTTTTTCTTTTGTTTTTGTACCCTTTGAAGGCTGCCAAAAAGATAAGATACCAAACTTTATTTTAGTCAAAAAGTAATCGGGAAAAAGTATCTTATCTCAGTACAACTTCAAACATGCAGCCTAACCAAGGAATGATACTACGAAAACTGTGTAAAAGTCATAAAATCTTTTTATGAAGAAGGTCTAGTACTCTGTTGTTTCCTATACTAAACTATCTATTGATTCAAACTTTATGTGTTCAAAAAAGTAATTGAATGCTTCTATTGAATATTGTTTGTAAGCGCAGAAACTGAAGAGTCTTTATTGGTGCAGTGTCCCTTTTGGGCAATTTCTTTAAGGTCTGTAAATAGTATCCTGTACATACATATACATCACATTTTCAGCTTCTTTCTTCACCAGCTTATTAAACAGTTCATAAATAAAGATCTTTATTTATACATCCACATACAACATTCTATTATCTATTCTAAAAAAGAGTCATTGCAATTGATTTAGGAGGTGGCTGCCTTTACTTCTTCTTCTTCTTTAAGGACATCGCTCCATACATTTTCGACATCTTCTTTCTTTACATCCTTAAACACAACTTGATAAACGTCTTGATAAGTATCGCAAGGAACACCAGTTAAACCTTCTTTGATGTATTCGGGTAATTCATCCCAATCGGCTTGGTTATCCTTAGGGAACAAAATAGTATCTACCTTGGAACGCTTGGCTGCAATCGTCTTTTCTTTCAAACCACCGATCTTTAATACTTTACCAGTAACGGTCAATTCACCTGTCATGGCAATATTTGAGCTGACAGGCTTGTTGAGAGCTAAAGAAAGTAAGGCAGTGGTCATGGTGACACCGGCAGAAGGTCCATCCTTTGGTACGGCACCAGCAGGGCAATGTAAGTGAACCTTAGCTTTATCGAAGAACTTGTTCTTGGGGAAATGCATAGCCATCAATGATTTGGCATAAGTGTAGGCAATGCTTGTAGATTCCTTCATGACATCGCCCAATTGACCAGTCTTTGAGAGATGGGGTGTAGATTTGGGACTAAGGGAGGATTCAAGAACGGATTCAATGTAAAGCGAAGAGCCACCCATACTTGTCCAGGCCAAGCCCATAACTACACCAGGAGGTGTTTGGTCATAAAGACGTTCAGCTTGGTAGACTTGAGGACCAACATAGTCTTTCAAATTATCGCTTGTGATATCGATAACAACATCCTTGGACACAATGAGAGGCTTTCTTGTCTCTTCTTTGACTACTGATGTCTCTTGAGTCTCTTCCTTCTTATCTGTCGCTTTGTCTTTTTCTTCTTGCTTAGGGGTTTCAGGTTCTTCTTCACCAACTTGTTTTATGACTTGGAAGGCAGCCTTTCTAAAGACCTTGTCAATGTGCTTCTTCAAGTTACGCACACCGCTTTCACGGCAGTAGCTCTTGATCAGTGTATCAATGGCTTCAGAAGTCAAGTTGACATTTACGTTTTCAAGACCAGCAGCCTTCTTTGCGGTAGGAGCCAAGTATTTCTCAGCAATAGCTGCCTTTTCTTCAGCAATGTAGCCAGATAATTGAATGACTTCCATACGATCCAAAAGTGGGCCAGGAATAGTATCAAGCACGTTAGCTGTGCAGACAAAGAGAACCTTGGACAAGTCTACGGGAACATCCATATAGTGATCCAAGAAGCTGCTATTCTGTTCAGGATCCAATAATTCCAGAAGTGCAGAGGATGGGTCGCCTTGATGTCCTTTGCCGAGCTTATCAATTTCATCAATCAAAATCAAGGGGTTTTCAGTCTGAACTTTCTTTAAAGCCTGAATCACTTTACCAGGCATAGCACCCACATAAGTGCGACGATGACCCTTGATTTCAGCTACATCCATCAAGCCACCCACAGAGAAGCGGAAAAATTCACGGTCAAGAGCACGGGCAATACTTTTGCCAATGGATGTCTTACCTACACCAGGGGGGCCGGAAAGACAGAGAATCTTTCCTTCAACAGTGCCTCTTAATTTACCGACAGCAATAAATTCCAAAATTCTATCCTTCACGTCCTTAAGACCATAATGATCTTCATCCAAAATACCAGTGGCACGCAACACATTGTAGTTTTCACGAGAGCGTTTTCCCCATGGAATTTGAGTAATCCAGTCCAAGTAATTGCGAGTAACGTTGAATTCTGAAGCGGCAGGCTCAAGGTGAGCGAGTTTGTTGATTTCCTATCTTGGGTGTCAGTAACTTCCATAAGCACATTTTTGTTTCTCACCTCGTCAAACACTTTCTTAACGGTAGCAGGCATGGCCAGTTTGCTGGCTTTTTCCTTAAAGCCCTCTACTAATTTGTCCTTGCCATCGCTTTCCAATCCCAATTCTTTCTTGATGCCTTTCAATTGTTCCATCAAGAAATATTCTCGTTGACGTTTAGCAATCTTGCTTTCAACATCCTTGGAGATCTTGTTTTGTAATTGAGCATTCATTAATTCCTTTTTGAGTACAACAAGCGACTTTTGAAGTCTTTCTTCTACTGGTAAAGTCTCCAATACTTCTTGAAGTTCTAGAGCCTCACCTGCAGATACAGCAGCAGCAAAGTCGGCCAATTTAGAAGGCTCGTCAAATACATTACCAGCAGACTGTGACATGGAGAAACTGGCAATCTGATCTCTGAATAATGGATTCAAAGAAGCAATTTCCTTGAATACAGACACAATTTCAGAAGTGACAGCACGGATGTAAGGGCTCTTTTTTGAAAATTCAGGCTCTACAAAATTATCAACGTTGACTAAAGAAACAGCATAATCATCAGCTAGGAATGAGGTAGCATATTGTGATTCTTTTGTATTGTTTTCAGCAGCAGCAGCAGCTTCTTCCTCAGACAAGAATTCTTTGGTACAAAAGTAAGTAATGAAAGTAAATTTAGCAATGCATACATACCTGATTTTTGAGCAACTGTTTTTTCTGGCTCGAATTCGGACTCTGCTTTCTTGACAGCCTGTTCACTCTCATTGACAGCAAGTTCTTTTTTTGACGTAACTTCTTCTACTGCAGCAATTGTGTGTTTTTCTTTGATTGGTAAAAGTTCATTGATCTTGATACGTCTGTGAGGATACAGAACTGCAGTTAGTCCTGTCTCTTCCTTTCCAGACGATGCAGGAAATACACTTGTAATTTGTGCAAATACACCCACTTTATGAACTTGATCAATATTGGTGATCGTGTCTACATCTAAACCTTCGTCCTTCAACAAGAATGCACCGACATAAGGTTGACCACGCTTCATCAATTCTTTAATAGCTGCAGTAACTGAAGGTTCTTTGATCACAACAGCTTTATAGAATCCAGGAAACAAAGGTCGACCAGCAATTGGAAGAGCCAATACTTGAGGATATACTTCGGGCACGGTTGGTTTCTGAAGCTGGTTATCCACTACATCCCAAGAATGATTCTTTCCTGATTTCCCATCATTCCCGCCATTATTACTTCCATGGCCTCCGCCTTCGCTACCACCAGCATCACTTCCTCCATTGCTTGGGGGTGGTGGTTGGTCCGAAGGGTTATCTTTTGGATCACGATCACGTAACTCGACTGTTGATAAAGAGGAAGCAGTGCGACGTAAGCCTGCTACGTTGCGAATAGGTTCAAGTCCAATGCAGACCGAGCGGTTCTTTTTTATGGCTCCAGCTACACCTTGGCCACCCCAGATAGATACGTTACCTTGACTGCGGCTTGTCGAGAAAGAACGCAAACTCAAGGGTTTTGTAGATGCAGGCGATTGTAGTTGAGACCAGATAGCCTGGTTTACTTTATTCCGAGGTATTGTTTTTGAGACGTGAATAAGAAAAGTATGATTCATACTTAAAAAGAGAAAAGAAAGAAAGAAGGGTGAGAATACAATAGAAAGATAGAGCAAACAGGATAAAATATATACACCCCACAAGTTATTATGTTATTGGAGCGATCTTTGAACTATGCTTTGAAGTGAAATCCAGTCATTAGTAATCAAAACTGCATACGCGTTAAATGTTCATCGTAGCAAAAGGAAAAAACGATCAGATAAGCAATGATTATATAATGTTTTATTGAATCTTTTGAAAGGAAACGTTGTTTTATGAATAGAAAATAAAAGTGTTGAACGGTATATTAAAAAAAACATGAACGATAAAATATATAAAAAATACTAGAGACTTTTTGTTTAAAAAAGTACTCAAAGAATGTGTTGAACATATACAAAAGGCGATTTCGTTGAAGGAAAAGCCAAGAATAATAGAAAAATGAAATAAAGAAATGTACAAAAAAAAATGGTAGGGGCTTTTTTTTATGTCGAAACATGCTTGATTTTATGATTCCTGTTGAGGAACAAGGATGGATCGTAAGATGGCACAACGACGCTCAAGCATACCCAAAAAACCATGCATTTGTTGGACGTTCATGCGACTAAGCAATGTTTTGAAGCGAGTATCATCAATTTCAGCCCATTCCTTTGATTGCACAGCAACTGGAGGAGTGGGAGGCAAAGCAGGGGCAGCAGGGAAAAGAGCAGGAGTAGTAGCTTCAGAGCCACGGGAGTTGGTGACTTTGCTAGGTCGTCTCTTTTGATCGCCCATACCTTCTTCTGATTCTGATTCTTCACGAGGACGCTTGGGAGAACCGACGGAACCATTTGTTGCTACACTGGATTGTCTACTTTCACGGCGAGCCTTTACAGCGCTAGCATGTACCCCACATGTCATACAAAATACCTCACCATTTTCATTCTTTGTCCAGGTAGGAGAATTGGTTTGGTGGCAGTGGGCGCATAGTTGTTGAGCATGACTCAAAAGAGGACGAAGCAAGTTGACAGCAGCCTCGGCAGTAGTAGTAGAGATGTTGGTGGTAGGAGAATTAAGAGGCGAGGTAATAGCGGAAGAAGTGATGGTGATAGGGGATGGTTGCTTGGAGGGTTGCTGTTGTTGCTTTTGGCGAACATGAAGAGGACGATGAGTACCGTATTGCTTAAAGTAAAGACCACAAGCATTACAAAGAGAATGAGCTCTGTCAGGGGTACGACGCCAGAGAGGAGTCTTGGTGACATGGCAGTTGTGACATTCTAATTGACGAGGAGGTCGATAAGTCTTGGGCTTGCTTAATGCTGAAGCATTGGTAGCGGGTCGAGGAGCAATACCAGCAACATCGATAGTAGCAGCAGGAGAAGTAGTATTAGCAACAGCAATACTATTGTCTTCTTCAAACTTGACAAATTGATCGAGATTTTCCAATGAAGTGTTACCAGTAGTGCTGTTCACATCGTTCTGTTGATACATGGCAGCGAGTGATTGGAGTACAGACATAGGAAGATTTTGCAAGACATTGGGATCAATTGAAAGGCCAGAGTTGTCATGAGTCATTTCAGGACTGTCAAGGGAATCTGCTGATGAAGCTGGAGAAGGGAAATTTGTTTCAATGACAGGCGAGAGCTGCTGATGGTCTTGAAGGAAACTGGATAAAAGATGATCTTTTCCAAAGATATCCGAGGAGGAAGACAAGAGCATGTAGTCGTCAGATTCAGTCATGATGATAACAAATATATAAATATAAACAATAAAAAAATATAAAATAAAAACGCTACTAGGTTAAGAGTAAACGTTTATATAAAAACAAAAATTAGATTTTTAGTTTTATAGGGGTTTGGAGAGAGTGGTGGGGTGGCTTTAGGATAACGCGTCTACCAATCTTCAATACAGAAAATCAAATATACAGTACGATAAAGAAAGGAAAAAGGGAAAAAGAGTTGCAGTTTAAGCACTCTTTTTATACAAACTTTTTTTAGAGTCGGGGGTATGAGTAACGTCCATGGATTGGAGTGCCGCTTCTATAATCAAGAACCATAACAAGTTAGGTTTCTCGAGACCAGTAATGGCAGTCAAGATAATCACTTTCTTTTTTGCTGTTTCTCCCCTTTTTTCAAGAGCAACTACATCATATGATAGTCAATAACTTATTTTCTTTTCTCTGGTCTTTTTTCATTCATTATTTAAACTGTAGTACATGAAGAAAAGTTTTTTTTGTACAACTTTGCCTTTTTTTTATGTATATTTAAGTTTATTGTGTATATGTATGGACATATATAAATGAAGACTATATATCAAGGAATAAACGGCCATGCTTTTAGAATATAGAAATCTAATAAATGATAGGCAATCCTATGTCTATTTCATTTTCTTTTGGTCAACAATGAGTCACAACTTGAAAAGTAAATGATTCACGACCAATAGTAGAAAAAAGTATCAAGTCCTGCAGCTTACGATTGGAGCTGCTAATCAATTCTCGATCCGCCTTGTTTGGTTTTCATAAGACATGTATGTATCTTATCGGTCCAATCGTAGTATTGTATTGCAAGTGGTACAAAGATATAACTAGTCTCAAGCGTCAATTAGTACCTTTTTAGAAAGATACCAATTCATGAAATATAGCCAGTAATGAGGACATATAATTCGTTCATAGATAAAGAAGAAGAGTGGTGGAATGTGCAAAAATTTGAAAAAGAAAACACCTTTTTTTTGTTTTGGGCTGCGTTAATGTGTGTAATCATAATAAGGTTGTGTTACTATCTCATGATACAATCTCGGGTGCTGTAGTTACATGCACGGGCATTTGTTGTTCATAGGGAAAGCTAGGTCTCAAGCAGACAACAGAATATCTCAAGTTTGCATATGTACATTCTTGTTTGAAAGAGACAATTGAATGAGATAGAGAAAAAGAGGCACTAAAACTCCATACGAGCGCGGAGAAAAGAAGTTCACGTTAAAGGGTTCCTTAAAAACCCTTTCTCGATCATGGAAAGAATTTGAAAATAGAGTTTTTTGTTATTGTAAAGCTCTTTTATATTAATACAATCTATGCTTTCTTTCCTTAAAAAATCAATTGCGGTAAATTAGCTCTCTTCTATACAAAATCATTTAGCAAGGGTTCCTGAAATTAGCTTTGACTGCAACTTTGTATGACCAATGAATAAGTTCCCCGTAACATTCAAGGTATGACAGGATCAGAGTTAAAGACTTGTTTATATTCTGATTAAACATGATTATGGAGCAAAGGCTTTTGGATTCTTGATCGCTCGTTTAAAGTTGAGTGGAGATTGTTCATGAGTCCCCGTGATCATTTTAAGAGTCTTTAGACTTTTTTGGTGAAAAAAAAATCAATCGCCTACTCGACTAGATCAAACAGCGCACAACAAGCCATACTGTCATTTGTTGGAGCCTATTGTACGTTATTGATTAGCATATAGTATATGTTTGGTTAATAATTTAATGTTGCTATTTGAAGAAAAGGGAACTCTTCTTCAATGCTTTATATCATTGCTCTAATAGTTTTCGATGTTGAAGCATCGAGAACAAAAGGCGACTAATTAAATATCATCAACATGATATACATCTTAGTACAAAGGTATTAGAAGAAACATGAATCTTTGCAAATTATAAACATGTTTCACTTGACATTAGATACAACGAGATTTTCCTTTTTTTTTATTTTGGGAGATGAAATATATAACAAGTGAAGGAAAAGAAAGAGAGGGGTATGCAGAGACTATGTATATGTATATGTCTAATTGTTCATGAGAGATTTCAAAGTTTCATAAGAAGGAAAGAAGATGCCACAGATACCAAACCACCAAACACTTCTAGGAATGGCACCTGCAAAGAAAGCATTGTATGTATCAATCGACTTTCTTACTGTACTAGCACCAGTACGAGACCAAGAGCGAGAAATCATAGATTTAGCCATTTCAATTACTGTTACTGATTGCACAGACTCTTGAGCAATCATACGTGTACGCAAGACATCCATAGGTGTAGTGAAATAACCGGCTAAGAAACCACTTACGCCACCATACACCACACTACGCATAGTGGGAATATCAGCTTCTAACTCTTCAAAAGCAGCACCTGCCACCACGCCTTTTTGTTTCATGCGATATTCTCTTGTCTTTTCAAGTGCTTCGCGTACTGAGCGGTGATGGAATGCCTTGAAGTTTTCATAAGATACTAGTAAAATGATCATGAATGGAGAATCACGAGCAGCAATAGCCCAAAATCCTCTAAATAAGCCCTTAGGACCTTCTTCCATTAAAGTTTGGCGGATGACAAAAGCTGCGTTGGGTTTTTGATTTAATGCTTTGTAGTGGTCGATTTGAAGCTTGGCTGTAATGACTTCACGAGGTACTTTGATGACACTGGAAGCCAAATCACCAAGAACGGCAGAAAGAGCGGTGACAGGGATGGTGAGTGCGTTTTTTTCTTTTGGTAACATTCTGGATTTACAATATTCGTAAGTGCTGAAACGGGCACCGCCTTGACCAGCAGCACCTAAAGCAGATACAAAAAAGCCTTTGCCGAGACTATGAAGAGTTGCTCTAGAGAAAATCACTTTACGCCAGTTGCCTGTATTATCTGCCTGAATTCTAGTCTTAATGGTGTCAAGGGGATGCATACAGGCATAAGAGAGAGAAAGGCCGATGGCTCCAGAAGTAAAATTAACTAAGGGAAATATGTTAATATATTTGTACCGATTTATGTTCTATATATTTACTTTTGAATTGTTCAGGTACTGAAGCCATTATATTTTCTGTGTTTTTTGGTAAAATGAAAAAGTATTGAAATAGAGAAGAAAGGAATGTTAGATATACATTATGAAGGGGTTTATATGTATAATCTAAACGCATACATAGATAACAGAGAAGTCCTGATTAGCCTTTCAATCAATGGTGACTCATGTTCTGTCCAATCATATTCCAGGCCAGCTTAATTGTGAATCCTGTAGGCAGATTGTCAAGTTAAGTCATGTTGATAATCCATTATGATTGGATCAATGAGTTTATTTTTTTTCAAATTAAAGAGCTTTTTTTCATGCGATAAATAACATAATCACCATCCGAAAATAAGTTCTTTTATATAGGCAGCAAAACCAGCATCAATTGCACTCTTGTCACGAACACTAATACCCGCCTTGCCACTTCCTAACCCATTCTTGCCTAAAGTGACAGTTGATTTCAAAATTCGGTCAGATTCATCAGCTGAAACAACCTTTGTGTATTTGATAGGTGCTTCTGGCATTGTTTCATCAAGAGTGACACCAATCAAATAATTCTTTGAAATAACAATGCCATTACTTTGAAGTGCAGCAGCAGCACATTCACTTCTATCGTAAGTGATGGTGATCCAATTGCCAGGTGTTTGTTCATATTTTTCAATTTTGCCATATCGTGTAAAGTGCTGAATGACGTTGCCGATCAAGTTAGCAGGGTATCCAAACACTCGAATTGTGCATGTATTTGTTTTTTGTTGTACTTCAGGTACACTATATGAAACAGTTAAAATAGACAACAGGACAAAGAAACATACATTGTCTGTGTTGATGTGGAGCCTAAATCATTTGCTTAGTAAAAAGCGGTTGGAAGTAGAGTTTTGCTTTACCTCTTGATTTCTTACTAATATTGCCATTACCAAAAATACCTCGGTTTGCATCTTCAGGTCCTAATGAAATTCTCCTAATTACTAAGATCAGATACTGGAAGGAATTTTGCATGAAATATCCATTTACTTTTTAGGTATTTCGAGCACTTTTTCTAACTTTTTTTCAGGAACTTTGTCTGTGGTCTATATAAGCAGTTGGTCACGGCTCTTTTTCTCTTTGAAATAGTCTAGTACCTCTGAAAGAATACGTGAAAGTCTTCTGTTACCATAGCCAATTGAAGTAGTATCAGGCTTTGTAACTTCCATTGGTGCGATAGCATTTCCTTTTTCATTTTCTGGTGTATGAACAAAGAAAGCAGGTGCACTACATGACACGTCATTCTCTGGAACTAAAGCCATTGAAAACAGTGTATTTGTATTATTATTTATAGTATTGTTATTTTCAACAGTAGACAAAGGCGCAGTTGCTGCTGTTTGGCCATTTTGAGAGTTATTAGGAAGCAACTCTGCAAACGAAGTTGCTCGAGAAAGAGGGCCAGCTGACATATTAGAGTTTTATGGCTTGACTAGTACGTATCAAGTCAAGAAAGAAGAATGATGGAAGAAAAAAAAGATGCTGTACAAACTGAAGTATGAAAACAAAAGTCACGTTAAAGCTTCCTTTTATGGTCGATACACAACCGCTTGATTTTGACAAATTTTACAAGAGCTAGTGTATAGCTATCTGGATTATTTCTGAATGTATCTTGAGGAATTTCGGTCTTACAGACATGTTTTTTTTTGCGACATTGTACACTAAGAGAAACTTTGCAAACGATGAAACAAATATATTTCGCTACCATTCGATAGTGGATTGAGAGTGACCGCTGAAACCTCGGGGACTTAAAACTGGACCTTAAAAGCATCAATATGGCCTTACTTTATTTCTTTCTCCCTTTCTATATATATATATAATGACCAACACTCAAAAGCTTCGTATTCTTTGTTTGCATGGCATGGTTCAAAATGCCTCTGTTTTCCGTAAAAAGACAGCTGTCATTAGAAAGAAACTTGATAAAATTGCTGATATGGGTAACTAGGATAGCAATTTGAGTAAAATAAGTAACAACATGCATATTTTGTATTAGTCTACGTCACTGCACCTCACTTAATCCTTGACCCAAAGTATACTTCGGAAGCACACCGTGCTGCTGCTGCTGACGAAAATGCCCCTGAAGGTAAAATAAAACAAAAAATAAACAAACAGTCGGTCTCTTAACACTTCCTTTTTTTTATGAAATCATATAGAGGAGAAACCATTTGGTTGGTGGCAACCTTATAGAGACCAACAAACTGAAGAAGGCTTTTATCAAGGCTTTAAAGAATCGATTGAACGTATCAAAGAAATAATGATTAAAGAAGTATGTTGCACAACAAAAAACAAGGGAGAGGCTAAATTACATTAGGGTCCTTTTGATGGTGTCTTTGGCTTTTCTCAAGGCGCCTGTCTTGCTGGTGTATTACTTACCTTGCTAGAGAACCGTGATGCAATGCCATCTTTGTTTGGCCCTGATTTCAAACATCCTAATTTCAAATTTGGCATCGTTGCAGCAGGCTTCAAACCTTCTCAACAAAGAGCTACTGAGAATATCTGGAGCCATAAAATTTCTACTCCTACGCTTCACATGATTGGTGAAGAAGATAGTCTAATTACTCCTGAACTTCAACAAACTCTTGTGGATCAATGTATTGACCCCGTTGTCCTTCGTCACTCTGGAGGGTAAGAATGGCTTTGTGTATCCATTGATTATATTAACCTGTTTGCATAGTCACGTTGTACCCTCGAATGCTGCTGCTAGAAATGAGACAGTTGCATTTGTATCCAAGTTCGTAAACTAGGTCTTTTCATTACCCTGTAGATGTACTTTTTTCATTTTAGACCATTAGAAAATAACATTATCATTGCCAAAGAGATAAAGAAAAAGGACTAGCACATAAAAAAAATGATCTGTCTTTTTGTATATCTTATTTTTTTTTTTTTTGACCCAGGTCAAAAGGAAGAAAAATATATGATCATAAAAGTGACATCAATGTGTTTCTTGATTCTTATCTTGCATTATTCATTTAAAATACCTGTTCTTTTTTTTTTTTTTTTTTTTTTTTTTTTTTTACTTTGTATACGACAGAATGCAATGCTATTTTGATGAAAAACCTTTAGACTTGATGTCACTTTATTCAGGTGATATCAAAACTTCTTTTACTATTGAACCCACAAGGCCAAAACGCCATCAAGTGAAAAACGCATGTGGTATGTCTTGTTTTCATTATGCATAAGCTAACACAATTATAGTCAATTGTCAAAAAGTTTGTAAGAAATGCGATGATGGTAGGCCATGTCAAAGATGTATCAAATACAACATTACAGATACATGTAGAAATTCGGCACGAAAAGAACGCCGAAAAGGTATCAAGAGAGGATCTTATGGTCGAAACAACAAACGAATACAACGGTATGCACATGATTCAAACAAAAAACCAGGCAACAGTCTAGCCATGCCCTTGTTTACTAACAACCATGAAATAACCAACACGCAGACAATAACTGTGATACCAGATAGCCATGCTATGAAGAATGTTACACCACCAACATCATCTTTTGCCATGGGAGAAGCATTTAATACTTTGCAAAATGAAATCATTTGGCCAACGTCCTTTCTTTATGACTTCCCATTACTTGAGCAGATACAACTACCTATGGAAAGTAAATTTAGCAATGACATGAATCTCTTAACTGTGAGAAACATTCAAGCCAATGCTATTGACACCATATTGCAGCCACAAATTGATTGTTTACTGAGCACAACCTCTCAACTAGAGAAAAGCAACCACAATATTTCAAATGTTGGTTTGCAACTGTATGGCAACCACGTATTACAATCACGAAATCTTTTGTGATACTGTTACTTGTTCTCACTTTTTTCATATATAGCCAAAAAGGAAAGACAAAAGCGTGACGGACACGTTGATTTCACCAACTTTCTGAAAGGGAAATGTACATTTTGCACTAAAGCGTATAGTATTCAATAAATATACACAAATACCGGGTTTCTTTTGAGCCGTCATACTGAAACAAATCTAGCCTCAAAGAAAACGAGTTTGCTAGTATGCTTACATAATAAGATATCATGTACAATAGTCCGCATTTATCGAACACAATAAAGATCGCTATTTTACCAAAAGGATTACTTTTCAATAAAAAAGAACCATTTCATTTGCCAAAAGAATTAGCTATTATGCGTCGATTTTCTTCACAATTGCATCTTTTTCTTTTATGTACATATTTCACTCTGCGACCGACTCACCTAGAACCCTATACGAACAAAGCATGATTTCTATTTTGCTGAGCCTGATCTTATTGTTTTCTTGTTGCTTATTTTGAACTGTTTGTTACTCAAAATTAAGGGAGATGCATGGGTTTATGTCTTTTGTTCGTTTTCTATTGTGATTTTCATGCATGTTATGTGTAACATTTTGTCTGCAAAATAAAAACTATCACCAAGCTTTTTTTATAGAAATATAAAATAACAAAGATTTTCATTTGAATGTACAAAGATATAGTTAGATGACCAAAAAACTGTGATGTGTTCTTATATAGCACTTTGTTTGTAGTTCGAAATGACATACCATTCTTCTCCAGACAAAAAAGGACTAATCCAGTTCTGTAGTACAAAGTTCGATGACTAGATTAGGTGTTCGGCTTCATATAAACATAGCGATACTTTGACATGACATGATTTTTTTTTGAATTTGTATCGATCTGACATTAATAAAAAGTTTATTATCAACGGTGTCATATACATAAAAATAAAAAAAGGGAGAAGAAGAAGGAGGAGGAAATCTTATTAATTTACAAAACGTTAAAATGAGTGAGTGGTGTTAAAGGAAAGAGAGGTGTTGTAAAGAACCATTTAGCTATAATAAAAAAGAACAATATCACTGCAAATTAAGATGAATAAGTAACATGAGAATACATTGGGTTTGCTGGATTCATAGAAGAACACTGGTATGGGTATTGTGGGTTTGGTTGAGCTTTACCCCATTGAGTTGTTGGGACAGATAAGGGATGGTTCATCTCAAATACTAGAATATAAGTTAGAACGATTATTCAATATTATTTTTTAAAATGGCTTACAGGCATAGGTCGATAAGTCATTATACATCATTTGTGCATTATGAGCTTGTTGAATGTCTTCATTGGATATATTGCTATCATTATCGTCTTCTTGTTGGGTAAACCTTGAGGATGAGGAAGAAGAAATAGAGGGCATCATATATTCTAAAGGACCAGCTACTGAAAGATCATTCTGATGACGATTCCAGTCCATTCCAACAGAATACATCACATTCAAGTTATCAGAAGAATAAGAAGCCATACGACTACCCATTTTAGTATCTGTACTAATGGAAGTAGCAGGTGTGGAGTTTGCAGGAAACTGTTGTTGACGAAGACCAGGAGGAAATGGGGCAGCGATGGGAGAAGAGGAAGACACGGGAGGAGTGATGATACCACTTTTTGATTTTTCTTGCTGAGCCATGCTGATTTGGCTCATTAGGCGCTTATTTTCATTTTGAAGTTGCATTATCTGATATTGATATCGATCTTCTTTTGACATGTTTTGCTTGACCCAATCAAGGGCCTTTTCAACAATTTGACCCTTAGATGGACGTCGATGATTTTGAAGATTAGGAAGGGCTTCGGCCAATTGTTGAAATTTGGAATTGAGACATTCACGACGAGCACGCTCAATAGCATTATGCTCAGCCCTCCTTTCAGCTTTGTTCAATGATGTTCGACGGCTACATGTCTGTGTGTTAGAATAAATAGACTTTTTGTATTTTATACAGTACCTTCTTGAGTTGTAGTTTCCAGGAGATTCTATATCTTCAGATTCTATTTGATCAATACACTCTTTCTCATCCATATGTGGAGAAGATTTGGTAGAAGTAGCGATTGAGATTCTTCTCTGTCTCGCTTCTTCATGAGCAGTAGCAGCAGTAGCAGCAGTGAGACACATATTAGTAGGGTATTCATTGAAGAGTAAAAGGAGCTCAGGATCACCTGTTGAAGGCTTTTGTCCTTGAGCTTGTTGACAATATGAATACATGATATACAAAAAAAGAGTGAATAATATAAGGTTAAGAGGTAATTGATGATAGAAAATATAAGGGAGAAAGAGAGAGAGCGAAAGAAAGGAAGAGATCGAGATGGGAAAATAATGGGTTTTTATACTGTTTTTTTTTTTTTTTTTTACCAATGCAATGAGGATATACTTTATCTCGCTCCCTTATTGTTGCTGGCTTGTAACTTTGATTCAAACATTATTAAAGTGGCGAAGCGAGGTAGGACCGACTTCCTTAAACTACTAGACTTCATAGACAACCTATAACACGGCTCTCTTTCACCTTGGTCACTCCGAAGGACCCATGACTATTTTTTGTTTGATTTGTTAAACAATGTATGTGATGCCTTTTACTAACAGAGTAAGTGTTACTAAACTAAGTTTATGAGCGTTTGATAATTCATGCAATTATTTATATAATCTTCTCGAAATTGTTCTATCTTTCTAGAGCTGTTTCTTTTTTTTTTCTCCGAATTTTATAAAGTTAATCTGGGAATCAATAGACAGAATTTACTATGGCCCGTTCATTGAGTATAAGGTGAAACCATTGACTGATTTAAACCCCAGCTCTTAAACATACAAGGAACTTATAAGGAACGTCTGTATGACAACGCGATAGCTTCGAACCAACTTTTGAAAAAAATCTACAGCTCTGTAGGAATCAAGAAGGCCGTTGTACGATCACGCGCCCGTGCATTTACTGACGAGGTTAATATGTGTGTGAAATCTAAAGTTCTTTACAACAAGTAACTTTTTGGACAATCTGTGGTTTTAAACTCCAAAATCCACACTTTTGGTTTTGGTTTAATGCTGATCTTTAGCACAACCTAATACTAAGTTCCATATTATATAATCTAGTTTTAAAATACACTGTAATTTGATGATCCTGATTCGGCTGAAATCTTTATAATTAATAATCATTGCAAGCACTTTAAAATAGGAAGGAAGATAGACTGTAAAAAAAAATAACTTTGCAAATACAATCTCAATAAAAAACGCATTTGATCAATTGTAGTTTAGACAAAAAAAAGGATAAAACCTCACCATTCAATCAAGCCATTTATTAGCGAGAGAGAAGGAGAAAAGAGATAAATTCTTGATCGATCTTTAAGCAAACTTCAGCCATCCAGGAAAAAGATGAAAAGTGCACTTTGTTTCTCCTCTCTCTCACAGAATCAACTAACTTACCCAGTAAACCGTTTGACCCCGCAGAACCGAACGATTTCTCTCCTAAATTCCAAAAGTAGCATTGAAACATGTCCAATAAGTTATATAGTGGTATTGATCTAGAACCCAACTTTTTTTTTATGCATTTTCTTATTTCCTTGATCAGGAAGAGGAAAAAACAATAATCCGAGAGAGCGGCAAATGTTAGTGTCAATAGAACCCTTTTATGATCGTCGTAATTTTATCAGCCTTATCAGAATTAGGGGGCATGACAATTACTTTTTAAAGAAAAAAAGCTCATTTGCTCTTCCTGAATTGTGTTGTTTTCTATATGCTATTTTCTATAGCTCTTTTCTTGCCGTTGTTTGTTGTTGCTGTTGATTTATAGAGTTGAAATACAGCTGACAAACAAAAGATATAAATAACAGTGAGAATAACTGTTTGTTTATCGGCAACTCATCCTTCTACTCTTCCCCATTTTAGATTTTTCTAAGTGAACGATAGAAATCTTATTTACTTGAATAATAAGCAACACAAAAATAAACAAAGCTTGTCTTGAAACTTTAACTTTCTTCTTCTATCATCCAAAGCTATTACCACGAATAGATTGTTTCTTTTCTATTTCTTTTTTAAATAAAAGGTTAATGAGGAATCGATAGAAAAGTGACGCTTTTGAATTTAACTTACAGTGTAACGATCAAATATTCATCAGAACGATCATGTAACGCAGATTTACTGATAGATCGCTTAAAACCTGTGAATAACATCTATAAAAATGTCTCCGTTTTTTAGGATCTATGATGTTCTGGCCAGTAGATGAGGACATCTGGCGGGAGAAAATTTGTACAAAAGATATGTAAGATCTGTATTAACTCAGTAAATTTGATATTTCTAAATTTTATCACAGACATAATGGGAACCTTATGATGCAAAGAAAATCAATAGCCATGCATAGATCTCTTCTAGCTTTGATATCCAACGTTGTCTTCTACAAATAGGTTTGCAAAATGCTTAAAATAAAAATTTGCCAATGAGTTGTTCATTACGTACATGAGCGTTAAAGCTGTAAGACTACCACATCTTAGCGTTCGATGTGGCTTACAAATGTTTGTTAAGTAGTAACAAACTCTTGGTTTATTTGTACAACATTGACAACTTAAGTACGTTTTCTGTTAGTTTCTATGCATATATATATAGCTATAAATTGCTTCATGTGTCCAACATGCGCAAAGTAATGAAGGAACCACATGTGTTTACTGATAACATTACGACTCCGTGGCCTTTGATTTATATACTACATGGCTTGTCAAACCAAAAAGTAAACATCAACTAAGGCTGTTTAATTGGCAGCACAGACCTATTTTTTTTTTTATAAATAACAAAATGACGTATAAATCACAGCTACACAAATGGTTTGTACGTGCAACATGAGTTACTTTTATAGGTGGTCGCACGATAACAACTGCATATTTAAAACTTTATTGTTTATCACTAAAATGTTGAGTATAGCAACTGTTTATCGTATTTTTGAGTTTGCTAAAGAGAAAGAAGTCATAGAAGCGTTTTGGTGTTCTGTTACACTTGATAAATATACCAACTAGAAAGACTAGTACGTGTTGAGTCAAGGATGGTTCTAGAAAGTAACAAGCTGCAATCAGAATAGTCTGATCTTTGATTTTCGCCGAGAAAAGAAGCCTTATGAAAGTAGAAAAGAAAAAAAAGAGAATCAATGCCGTTGATCATTATCTATGTTAATTCTAGACTCTTACCCTTTTCTAAATATTGGGCATTTAAATAGTAAACACACAGATTTTTCAGCTCTTCTTTCACACACTATTTATACAACAAATATAACAAACTCTCATTAGCATGAACTTAAAATTGGTTACTAAGTGCAAATATCCCAAAAAAAACAAGCCTTGAAAGAAAGAAAAAAGAAAAAAGAAAAACTACACTTTTTCACTTGGTCAGACTTTGAATTTATGAATAATCCTAGAATTCGTTTTTCTGCAAAGATCAGAATGTATTACAGAGGGCCATTTAAAAAAAAAGCCATCACAGCAATACAATGGCAAAGCCTCATTATCTTGACAGACACATTTTATACTATTGAAAAAAAAAAAAAAAAAAAAAAGACGGTTGATCAACTCTTTCAAAAATATATTGTCGCATTCTTGGCCATAGTATGCACTTTGATGTACTAATAAGCTGCTACATCGCTCACAAATTGTGATTTCGTAGAGAATAGAAGAGTGACAAGGATGTGTAGTTTGATACAAGATACCTAAAAAATAAAAAGTAAATTTAGAGGGTTTTTGGGACAGGGTAAGGATTCATTCTATTTATAGCTGGAACTGTAGACATCCAAGCAAGACTACGAGAGTTATATAGCATCACACACTTCTAATAAAAGTCTTACAACTTATACTTGTACTGCATCGAATATATCGTTTGTTACTTTTCTCATGAGGTATTACACTTTATTATTATATAGTAGAAAACAACGAAAGAAAGAAAGAGAGCACAGGCTACGTTTATGGTTCACAAAGGATTCTATAGTTTAATTATCAATAATATTTAGTTTAGCTAAGGATCGGCAGAAACTATAATGAATGAGCACTAGTTTGATTCTAACAATCACTTACATTGCCTACTATTACGCTTGGTAAATCGAAAATGTCACGCTTAATGGTAAAACAAAAAGTACAGGGAACTACTCTTTTTGTGGGGCTCATTAGGATGCATGAGCTGTAGACAGCAGAGTCTGTATTGTCAAATGCATGCAGAGCATATTTTTCCCAATACTCGACAGCAGAAGGATTACTCATTAACTAAACGTTCCGTGAGTACATTCTTACATGCATGAAAGTATCTACGTACTTCGTATATGTATGTCTTCTTGCTTAGTATTGCATCACGAGACCATTGTGTTAGCAATGAAAACTCTTTGCCTACTAATGCAATTTCACCTGTTCTTCTCCAGACTACAGTTGGTGTACCAGAATAACTAATCAGTTTTTCGTATTCCTAATTTGAGTCAACATCACACTCTTTTCAATTTGATATGTATATACTTACTAATAAGGTTCTCTGTAAACATTTTTCTGTAAATATTAAATCATCCTCGGTTAAGTTCATCATCGATGCTAACACTGAAGGTCTAAAAAGCGCAAGCGCCTTACTTATTCTCATTAATTCATCTCTTCCCATTCTATAAGTTGCGATGGATTAAATATAGGTGTAAATACATAGGCATATAACGACTCCTACATTAGTTTTTTTTTTGATTGATACTTTACTTTTGTCGTACATAGTTGATAAGATAATGGTAGCCATCAGCATAACTGAATGGTTTTATGGAATTGGAATAACATTGGCTGTAGTTACTTGTATTTTTTTGTAGAAATTGTTTCTTGTACGAGACAGGTGGGGTTGTCAGCACACTGTGAGACTTGGGACTATTCTCGACCTTGGTAACAGTGATTGTTGTAGGATCCATTTGTTGTTGTTGAGGAGAATAAAGAGTAGGATCACCTGTTAAGTAGGACACAGTGGAAGATGTGTACGACGATGCTGGCGGAGTTGTGTTTGCGTTATTTTGTAAAAGAGGGTTTGAACTATTACCGCTGCCATTGTTTGAGGATGAAGCAGGAGGGCTGCTTGCCCACACGCTATTTGTTAAGCTAGCTGAAGAAGGACTTTTTGTGTTGTTGTCTAAGAATTGAGGTGATCCAAGCATGTTGGAAAGGATTGAGTATTCTAAGTTGGTTGCATTTGATCCAAAGCCATAATTCAGGTTGTTGTTGGTGTCTAATCCAAGCAATTGGCTTGTATTAAACAAATTAGCTGAATTGATTTATTAGCTTTATGGCGCATCATAAAAAAAACCCACCTCCATTCAAAAAGGGTTGTTGTTGTGATAAATTGTTAAATGCACCGTTAATGAGTGAGCTTCTTTGTTGTGTGTATCTATTATCATTTGAAGTTGAGCTTATATTATCAACTTGTAATTATTTTTAATTGATCTAGACCAAATATACATAAACGATGCCTTCTTCACTTACTATCTGTATCTTGGAGGTACTTAGCTTTCTTTCTTGCGCCGTCTGTACAAGTGTTTGCCAGGTCTCGCTTAATACATCGCTGACAAGGTCTGGCTAAAAAAAGAAAAGAAAAGGGAGAATGAATTATTATGAGTCATTAAAAATGGAGTTTTTTTCTTTTTCTTTTTCTTTCTTTATTGATTTGATGAACGTATTACTTACAATCATCACAAGTTAAGTGTGCCTATGATTACGATCTGTTTGTGAGTCATATAATAGCAATGGTTTTTCTTTTTATACCTTTTGACAATGTATACATGCTCTAGCTGCTTTTTTTTTACGTTGACCAGGCTTTTGTTGTGTAGAAGTTGTAGGAGACATAAAGTACAAAAATAGGGCAAAAAGAAAGAAAAGCAAGAAAAAAGGGAAAGAAGGAAGAGAAGCATTGCGAATCTTAAAAAAAAAAATGAAAACTGCAATTATCAATTCGTTTCCCGAAAAAAATTCCGTCAAGATACTCTGTGCTTTTAAGCCATTTAAATGTTCGATATTAAAAGCGAGTAAAATCCTAATTGGCTAACTCGAACTCTCAGTAAAGAACAAAGTACTTAATAACTGCCTTTACGTGGTAATGGAATCTACCATGGACCGTAAAACTATCAAAAAGCTCTAGACTTTTTAGATTATATCAAAGAGAAAAGCGTTGCCGCTGTTAAAAAAAAAAAAAAAAAAAAAAAAAAAAAGAATAGTTTACTGTAATTAATTTACAAGACTTAATGTTTAGGTTGCTCTTCAACATGCGGTTGTGTCTCATCGAATTTACCAGGATCGCCGGGTCCTTCTTCTTCTTTTGAAGCAGGGTTTTCTTTGACCTCTTTGACTTCTTCAATAAAGATAACACCAAACTTTTGTCCTTTGTTGTAAGTGTATTGCCAGGCAAATGAAATAAGAAAAACAACACCGATAAAGACAATCAATACAATAACTTTTGTATTGATACTGTAGACAACACGATGATAGCGATTGCCATCCAAAATAGATTTAATACCAGCTAGATATCCTGTATGGGCCAAGAACTCTATACCAACAATAAAGCAACAAGAACCAGTAAATGCGAAAGTAAATAGTAAAACATATCGCTCTGCAAAAAAGGTAATAAATGACATAAACACAGGCAAAGCAACTAGGAACGCGGCTCTTGCGACCACCTGAGTGATCAAAAGATCAGATCGACAGCAGAGTATATACATAGCCAATGCAAATCCACCTAGAGCTAGGTTGAAAATATTTAGCATTCGATTTTATGTATATGGCTCCTACCCCCTACTAAATAAATAGAGACATTCCAGAAAATTGCATAGATAATGGCACCCAAGAGACCTATTCCGGCAGGAACAGCAATTATTGTGACATCGTTATTGACATAACCATAGTATGGCTGATTGTTGGTCATACCAACCCAAGTAATCAAACCAAAAGTTAAGAAACCACATACAGCTAATGTGATTCTAAATGATCGAAAACCAAAGACCATGAGGTAGAGGCCTAGCACAATTAAGATAGCACCTACAACACCATTTTGAGGCGTAATACCGTTACCACCATAAATTACCTCTATAGTGAATGTTAGTAATTTGTATGCAAATTATACTTTATTCTACCTGGATCTGAAGAAGCTGGTAAATTGGTTGGTGTGTGAGTAGCTGTTGAAGTAGCTGTTGTCGTTGTGGTCGTGGCTGTTGTTTTAGACCCTCCAGAATTGTGAAGATCAATTAAATCTCTTTTATCATTATTATAAGATTTAGTGGCAATATTTATCACATTGCCTTTGTTTATAATAGGTGATGCTGATGCAACAACAAGGAATGTTATTGATACGATCAGCAACAATGAATGTATAGAAAACTTCATTGGAAATACAATAGTAGAAAAAAAGAAAAGAAAAGTTGTACTCTTTCAACAAAGCTCCTTCTTTAACTATTGTTATGGTCTTTTTAAGTTAAATTCTATTTCAAGTCGACCTTCAACAACATCTTCCTAAAATAGTCATTGTTATGATTTACTTACATTTACACATTAGGCTTTGTGTAGTATATATTTTGTCATAATTAAACGTGTAGCAAACATACCGTATCATCCCACTATTTGATTGCCAAGGAAATTTTACACTATTGAAAACTATACTTGAGTTTTCTTTTAAAAAAAGAAAGGTATTGTGTTACCAATATTGTTTACAGATGACTCTTATACATTTTTATTTTTATTTTTCAGCCTTTATTATATAATGACTGCTGTCACAGCAGTAAGATCAATTAGACAGACAATCAATGGCGTAATATTATTTGATCAGATGAATCAAAGTTCTGTTTTTCTAGCAATTCAGACAGAAGAGTGTCTCGAAAGATTGGTGAGCGATACGAGGAGGCTCACACCGTCTCAAAATTAAAATGAGGAGGCGATGGTGTTATGGTCTGGGGGTGCTTTTGACCTGAGGGTTTTGGGCCTTTGGCAATTGTTGAAGAGGACTCCTTTAACTAGGATGTATATGTCAATATCTTGATCCAGACATTCCATGCTTGGTTAATGATGCTCACTGCAACTCAATGCAGCGATTTCATCGTGCAAGAAAATACTGCCACTTGTCGTACGGGCGCCTATGCTCGATGGTGGAAGAACATTCATCATATTAAGTGTTTTGAGCACTGGCCTGCTCAAAGTCCTGATCTGAGCCGCATCGAGCATATTTGGAGTGCCCTTGAAAAGTTTGTAGACAATAGACGGTTCGAGGCTCACAATATTGAAAACCCTAAGTCGATACTTCGACAAAAGTGATCAAGAACACGTTGCACGCTTGGTCAGAAGCATGAAAAGCCGATGCCAAACGGTGATTGATGCAAAAGATGATCACACCAAGTATTAGTTCTTTTTTTATATAAATGATCTAAACTTTTGTTCTACACAATTTACAGTGCTCATCGTTTATGCTTTAGGAGACTTCTTCAAGGATGAAAATTACGCAATTTTTCTGTCTTCAGAAATTCATTTAAAAAGGTACGAAAGCGAAATCTGTGTGATTAAAATCAGAGATACTGCCTTTAATTTTTATCTATGACTTCAATTCAAATTTATTGATAAACAAAATTTACTTTGCGAAAAGATAGATGCCCTGAGTTAGTCCTGTATTGTACTTTAATATATTGCTGTTTGTGAAATAGAAAACCCCTATTATTTCATGGGCTTGTCCCAAAATGTATTTTTATTTGCGCAACTATTCCCCGGTAGCGCAAAAAGGAAATCTCTCAATCTATTACGACAGCGAGGCTATGGATGCGCCAGAGTGTAATTCTAAGATATCTAGTAAGAAACATGTTGAATTACTATCGAGTATAGTCGATTAGTCAGCTAGAAGGCCAATGTCTGTAAATGAGAATTGTAAAGGTCTACTATTGAATATCAAACTCGTAGAGCTTTCTTCTACTGCTCTCATATGTTAGATGGATAATTGTCTGGAGTAAGATTAGGAATAATTCTCGAAAATTCTCAATTCTTCCTCTAGATCTTAATCCCTTAGTATTATGACCACTACACAACTATTCCTGAAGACGCGATATTACTTTTTGGAGACATTGTATCACGTCAGATAAACCTGGAAATGGGGAGACGCTGTATTTAAATATAGATAACAGACTAAAGCTTGATCTGAACACACTATTACTTTCCTTTTTTTTTGTTCAAAAAGAATTTGGCTCGAGATAGACCTTGTAAACAGAAGTATTTAGCTTGTAAGACAAAGCAAATGTCACATAATATCGCATCAAGTCTGCAGTGCTTCAAAGCGAACGGTGCTTGTATTGAAATCCTCTTTGTTCCACCAAGATAGATAATGTAGACAGTCACCGTGACCGCATAAATGCAACTATACCTTCAAAGAAGCAGAAGTATTTATCCAAGTATACCTTGAGGTATTTTCGTTCCTCTTCTTTTTTCTTTTCTCCCACTCTCACTTTATAATGGACGCATCAATAACAGACCATGAACCTGGAAAACTCGGGAAGTTTGCCTTAAGGTTCATGTCCGAGAATTCATTTGGTTACAAAATATTCTTTGGTCCGGATCCACATAAAGTTCGCTTTAAGGTTGTATTGTTACTGTCCTGCCTGTCCCTTTTACAAGCTGTGGTATGGGTAGCTGTAGTCATCGCTTTCCGCCCTTATCCTTCCATGATGGGTACAGGTGCCCTTGCCTATACACTGGGTCTACGACATGCTGTGGATGCTGGTAAGTTATAAATCATGTTGATCTATACCATACTAATAATGCTGTAGATCATATCTCTGCAATTGACAATGTGACTCGAAAGTTGCTGAACAACAATCAGCATCCTGTTTGTGTGGGCTTGTTTTTCTCCTTAGGGCATTCAACTGTTGTTTTTATCACATCCATCATCGTTGCTGCCACGGCAAATGCAGTGGCCAATAACATTGACGATTTCTCAGAAATCGGTGGTTTGATCGGTACCTCAGTTTCCATTGCATTTCTTGTCTTGATTGCTATTCTAAATTTGATTTGTATGATTGGTGTGATCAAAACTATGCGACAGGTGAAAAGAGAAGGTGTCTATACCGATATTGATGTTGAAGAGTACTTGAGTAACAGAGGAATATTGGGCCGTTTCTTTCGCCCTATATTCAAGTTCATCAATGCATCATGGAAAATGTACCCCTTAGGCTTCTTGTTTGGTTTGGGCTTCGATACAGCCTCTGAAATCACCTTGCTAGGTATCACAGCTGTTCAAGGTGCAAATGGAATGTCAATGTGGCTTATTATTTTGCTTCCAATTCTTTTTGCTTCAGGTAAAGCAAGCGTTGATAGGATTGACATATTCATTTCATTGATAGGCATGGCATTGATTGATTCACTGGACAGTATACTCATGCTTTTTACATACAAATGGGCTTACATTAACCCTGTCCGAAAACTCTTTTACAACTTGACTATCACATCTATTAGTGTCACTGTTGCTGTGATTGTGGCATTAATCGAATTGTTCTCATTGATTGGCGAACAGCTTGAACTGGATAATGGATGGTGGCAATTTTGGTATTTTCTTTCTGACAGTTTTGAGTGGATTGGTATCATTATTGTTGGTGTATTTATTGTTACTTGGGCTATCAGTGCCGTTGTTTATCGCCTCACAGGCTACAGAGATCTTGAAAAAGAATTTGATGAATACAAGCCTCATAAAATTAAGGAAATGATACCAAAACAAGGAAAAGCTAAAGATATAGAAGAAGGCATTTCTCCTGATAAGGACCAAATAGCCGTCGATTCACAATCAAAGGAGATTGAATCTTTTCAAGATCTGAAGAAATCATCGCTATGATCTTTACAAAATTATCTTCTATACACCAATACATGTAAATAAAAATCAATATTGCTCGAGACAATGAGTAATATTTGTATATAGCCAGTTTTTTTTGCGATTGATACGTTTGTTTTGGTATAGTTAGGCATGATCGGACAAAAGAAGCAACCCATCTTATTAGGTTCTCCACATCCGTGTATGAAACAATTACCTAAGTTTGTTAAATGATTGGTCGGTTTCCAAAATCCGAGGAAAATATCCCACTGACGTTGTCGAGCTTAAACCCGGAAGAAAAAAAAACAATAAGCATCTTTTTTTTTTGTATCTTTTCTCAAGCAACAAGATAATACTTTTGACAGAAAAAAAAACGGAATCTCGGTGAAAATATTCACACCTTACTCAAAATAAGTTTTTTTTTTTTTGGTTTCCAATGTTCAACATTGCACCGTACATTGCCAAAGTAAATATGCAAACATAATCTTATGTACATGGAAAATGCTTATTCCTGGCTAGTATGTGCGCTCCTTGCATGCAAACGACGAAAGCTTTCACGTCCCATACAGTCATACACAATTTGGAGTTGTATTAATGGTTGACGTAGTTGGTAAAGTATTTGACGTGTGACACACAAGTATGCTTAGACGCCTTTTTTGTATAGGATTTAGTTCGGTAAAGAAATTGGACGCATTAATATGTCTTTTTGTATTTAATTTCTGCATACAATAGTTAACAACGATGGCACAAGCTAAAGGTGATTCAGGTGCAGAAGCCATTGCCATGGAGATCGGAGCCTATATGGGAGAGGTAACACAACATGAATTTTCTCTTAATATAATTTTATGCGATTTAATAGTGCATCCAAATAATTGAGTTCTATGGTGGCGACGTTGTAAAGGCAAGTGAGTCACAAAAATAAAATTCTCTAAATCATGACTGATAGTTTCTCGGAGATGCTGTCTTAGTCTGCTTTCAATCAACCAATAATTCAAAAAGATACTCTGATGATCTAACAGGAAATGATGAAAATAATGAAGCATTTGAACGACAAAAGAGTTTACTTGTACGCAAAGGCATTGAATGCGGATTGCAGCTGCTTGCTCGACTTTCTCATTATCGAGTTTATCTGACAGCAGAAGAGAGGTCGAAACACCGAACGCCTAATGGTGATATCAGAAAAGAAATACAAAAACAAACCATATATGATGCTATGAACTCAAATTTTGAACATTCCAGCGATCCTGCGATTAGCGAATCTTCTGGTAGTGTGGAGCATGCCACAAAGAGGAACAAACCTACTACTTTTGAGGAAAACAATTTTCTCTCAATTGATAATTGGATGCCAGGATTTATGAAGCGAAGAAAGCACCTTAAAAATTCATCTCGAAGGAAAAGCGATGCCAGTGAGCTTTCAAATTCGAATAGTATGGACATAAACAACTGTATTGATTTAGAGCTACACATGTCGTTGTCCTGTGGAGATATTACAAATATCGTTCTGGGTAATTTGGATCCAGATGATCCGAAGTATGTTCAACATGGGGCTACATTTCTTCAAACAAGAGCTGCTGTAGGTTCCACAAATGACATTGCCGTCATACTAGATGAATTTTTTACACAGTACCAAGGACGCCTAGAATACACAATTGGCGGTGATGCAGTAGATGCTTTGGATGAAGCATTGTCCATAGCAAAGGCTGGAGAAATGAGTATTACACCTGCAGTGTATGATCTTGTGCAAAGACAATCCATGAATTTGACGTTTGAAAGAAGAAGGCGATTTTTTGTGATCAAAAATATTACCGAAGATCCACAGCCTTTGCGAAAGAACAATTCTACCCACCCCTCGCCACTTCGACATGGAACTATATCAACCAACCGAAAGAATAGCCCATTAATTAACACGAATGCAAAGTATCTCAAGACCCTACCTGGTTCACAGACAGATGCATCAAAAATGGCTTTTGAACCATTAATTCCTCGGGTGCGAAATACTTCTCATATGAACTTGCCTGTTGAGTCCAATCGATACTACTTTAAGTATATTAATCGAAGTGCTCTTTACCGTATGCAGCATAGTGTAGATGGTAACCTTTCTGCTCAGTTTCGAGATGTGACCATTATGTTTGTTAGTCTTGGAAAGACTGAAGTAACAAAAAAAGATGGGTTGAATAAAGTTCAAAGAGCTGTTTCTTTAGCCATTGCAACGCTAGCTAAATATGAAGGTATGCTACAGCAATTTGCAATTGATGATAAAGGTAGGATTCAAACAGAAACAATCGACCCAATTGACTCAATAAAGATTGATAGGTGCTACATTGTTAGCTGTTTTTGGTCTCCCACCATTATCGCATGAACGCGAAGCTGTGTTTGCTGCAAAAGCTGCTTTACATCTTCGGGATAGCTATCATGCTGAAGGGTTTCAAGGTTTTGCGATAGCATTATCAACAGGCACTATATTTACAGCTGTGTTACCACAAGGAAGTCCTTATCGCCGTGATCCCAGCATTGCAGGCGACGCCATTATTGTAGCTGTACGCATGCTCAAGTTCCCTTTTTCGAAAGAAAACGTTGTATGCGATGCATCTACAAAAAAACAAATTGGTGGTCTTTGTGAATTTGAAGACTTTGGTGAGAACTTTGTAAAGGGAAAAGTAAAGCCTGTTCAAATCTTTGGAATATCAAAATTTGGTCCTCCTGAAAAAGACAAACGTATCTCAATCTTGAGTTTTGAAAAGTCAAATGATTTTATCGGATACAAGTCTGAAATGCAGAGAGCCACTCATTTTGTAGATGACTGGAATGATGCACCTAATCATCACTTTCTTGTGGTATCTGGACCATCTGGTGTGGGTAAAAGCTTTTTCTGTAATAATTTGCATAAAATGATTGCGACTCACGGTGTATATAGTTGGTAAGTATAAAAAAATTGCCAACCAAAGTATGTTTCTAACTTTGAGGTTTGACTAGTTGGTCCTCGTCCACTGAAGGTAAGTTACATGTATACTCTTCTTGTAAATGACTAACAAAAAAAAGTTGAGAAAAGTAGCAAATACTACTTGTTAAGAAACATAATGTTAGCTTTGTTTGAAGTTATTGATTCAGACAAAGTCCCACAAAAGACTACAGCAAGGTCAGACACATATTCTCAGAGCACAAACACAAGCAGTCACCATTTTCATCTAAATCAATCCACTCACTCTGTCGTTGGATCCAATGATTCAGTGGCTTCTTCACCTTCTTCTGGAAGCTTTCCAACAACAAAAGAATGGTTCAAGCGTCTTGCTTCCTATACATCCATGTCTCCTTCTTCTATGGGCTCAAACTCAAACCATGCAGAGATAACGAACGAAATAGTAGAGTTGATCTTACGTTGCCTTCTTAAATGCGGCGAAGAAGGGGATACATGCCTTTATTTAAAGATATATTTACTACATTGAGTGAAATCAATGAAAATCGATATACAAGGTTGTTAGACGGGAGAGCAAGAGATATCCTATTAACAGGAGTTATTACACGAATGGCGCAACATGTTTCAAAGCATGTTGGTTTAGTGGTTATTTGCGACGATGTTCAATGTAAGATTTGGCTAATAGGTAATGATTTATGGCTAATATCTCTATAGGGGCTGATTCCTCTTCAATCCGTATACTTCAGCATATTCATGAACATTGTCAGAGAGTAATGATACTTATGGCAACACGTCCCATACGAGACTACAATGTTGCTTTCATTGAAAATTTTAGATCGACAGGTTCATATGAACACATAGAACTAAACGGTCTGGGAGAGTATGAGATTGGCGAAATCATTATGCAGAATTTTGATAGTGGCGTACATAGAATTAGTCCTGAGATTGTTAAAGTAGTTCAGGTAAAAAGAGTATTTTATATATGGCAAGCATTTACTAAACACTCAGCCATATATAGAAACGCACTGGTGGCAATCCGCTTTATGTCAAGTATGTTGTTTATAGCGCACAAAACAAAAGAATCAGAGACTAATTGCTTTTAGAAATATGGCCATAATTCTTAAAGATTTCAATCATGTCACGGTTGTTCAAGGAGAGCTTGTACCAAGCACCAGCAACTTTGATTTAGAAGATCTTTTAGGTAACTTTGACTACAAGAGGATAATAAAAATGCAATTTGATAGATTGGACTCTAGTTATCAAGAGTTTTTAACAGTAAGTCTTAGTAACTAAATCTAACTTTATATCTGACCTAAATAAGGTTGCCTGTTGTCTGGATCAGTACTTCACTATATATGAAGTAGGCTCTGTGATTAAAGACAACAACTTTATTTTTAAAACGAATGATACAGAGCAAGTTCAGAAACAGCTCCAAACTTTTGATGTCTATCATTTTTTGCAGCAAGTTGATAGTGGTAACCCTCTCGAAAGTAATGTAGCCTTATATACTTTCACGCATATTACTATTCCACAAAGCATCTACGACATGATATCCTATGAAACACGTATTAATCGTCATCGAGCACTGGCTAAATACTATGAAAGCCAAATCACCAAAGATAATTATCTTCAACTTTTGGGCAAGATCACAAGGCATTACCTACAGACAGATCTGGTCGGAAAACAACTTTACTATCTTGAAGCCTTGGCAGATCAAAATATGCAGTCTTATTTACTGGCTGAAGCAACCGCTAACTTACAAAAGATTGTTAGAATACTAGACGAAAATGACGAATTAATGGACCAGTTTGGCCATATTCATCTGAGTGATATTTATCGCCGACTTGGCGTCTGCTATACCATGAGAACGAAACTAAATGAAGGTGAACACTATTTATTTAAAGCACTTGAAGTCTTGGGCGAACCTTGGCCAAAATCAGCACCCCACTTTCTTTATAAATTCTGGAGAAACAAGCTCAAGCAATATCAAAATCGGCGCTGGGGATTTGTATCTAAATATACAAATACATCGAAAAGAGAACATGGCTTTCGTGTGGTAGAGATCATGGCTCAATTGTCGAACATTTACTTTTATACAGGCAATGGCAGAGATTTTGTATATGCCTGCTTAATTGGCCTAAATGTTTGCGAATGCTTGGGCGATTTGGGACCAAACTACACATTATTTTTAGCTCGTAATGCACTTCTCTGTTGGCTCAATGATGACAAAACCAATAGCGTGTTCTATATAGCTAAAGCTTTGCGCCAAATGGGCACTGACAAGACTGATCCTGGTACATTGACAATCTGCTCACTTTTATGTTTTGCTGCGGGAAAATTTTCAAATGCAAGAGACTTACTCTATCAGTCCATTGAAGGCTCAAGAACACTTGGTATAGTGACAGATTGCCAGTCCTTCTATAGATCAGTGGGACTCGTTGTCACTATGCGGATTTTTGAAGGCACATTTAATCGCTCTGCTACAGATGTAGCTCTGTTAAAACAAATGGCTGATACTGCACATAGTAATGGCGACTATGAAGCTGAAACATGGCTAGGCGTTTATAATGTTGGTAATGCTATTATAACAGACCGCATGTCAGATTGTGCACCTTACGTTGCATTGTTGGAATCACATGTAAGAGAAGCTGCGGATTATAACCGCATTGCTATACATGGTACATTAGTTTGCTATTATGCAAGAAACCATTTATTTGAATTAGCGAGGCGACACATACAAAAGCTCATCAACAATTTGCCTTGTCTGACAGTAACACGTATAAATAGAAAAGAAATCTAATCTATCACATGCTTACCTTGTTTGATTTTATAGCCAATACTTTTCCAATCTTTGGACTTATTTTTGCTACAATGGGGCTTTATTGTATGGTAGAAGATGGGCAAATCGATCTTATGTCAGACGGTGATTCTAAGAATTACGAGAAATTTATTTTTGGCTTATCAAGATTGAACCATGCATTTCAGCAAGTCAAATTTTGGGAATTTACTCAGCCTTGTTTGTACCTTGCTCGTGCATTGCCTTATATTACAACACGACGTATTGTCGAAGGGTACATGGTAAGAATATACTGCCTTTACTGAACAGTTTATTTATGTATATAGGTTCTTCGTCATGGTATTTTTGAAATGCACTTTATTCAAGAAATTAGGTTTTTGAAAGCTTATTATTGGGCAAATTTAGGCAAGTTTGCTTTTACACCTGAAGACCGAATTGAGTGGACAGAAAGAGCCAAAAAGGACTTTGATGTTTTGGGGATTCCTGCGGATACATATTGTAATCCTGATCCAGGAAATGCATATTATCGAGGCCTTCAAGCTGATCTACGCGCTTCCATTAGTGTCAGTGAGAATACAGCAGGAACTTCTGGAGATCCTAGCACCAGTACTTCAGAAGAACAGCAAAAAGTTGTTTCCAATGAGGTAGCTTAGAATGCCAACTTTTATGTCAACGAACTTATTGTATCTATTATTGTATCTATTATTGTATGCCGGTTCTGTTGCACGCTTATTATATGTCTACATAATTACTTTCTTAATTTCTTAATGATAATAATGTATTATACTGAAATAAATCAACTAAAATGCAAACCAGACAAAGAACTATGACATACATTTGGACGGTTGCATCGCATTGTCGCTTATTTTAACTCTGTCATTTTGAACTGCTTATTACTCAAAGATTAATAGGTCTCACGACTTTAATTCTGGTGCGTATTAGATCTAGCTTGCTAAATCATTGTTACAAAACGACCAATTCATACTCTATTTTTCTATACATATTTTTTCTACCCAAATTTGAACTCCATATTATTCAGCTCTAAATTCTGAAAGCTACTTGTATCACCGAATACTTATTCTTTTACTTATTGTATTACTCTATATCACATTAGACTTTAGCACATATTGCTTATTTTATTTGTTAGCCAGCAAACGCTTGACATATCGTACCGCTTTTGCAATGACTTATAAATTTATTATACTTGGACTGTCATGATTGCACTTTTGCAAGTCCAACATGACTACTTTAGAATAGATATAAATACTAGAACAATTCAACTTAAATAAAGAGATCCAAAATACATATTTTATTTTAGACTTACAATCGTACCTTACTTATATTGTTTTATACTTTAAACTAGATTAATATCATATCATTTGTCTAATTGGGTCCCTTGATTTTGTATTACATTTGATCATTGTACGATATATTATATCCTTGTATCTTTTACTTATACAAATAAAATAGTCGGACGACTTAAAACCTGGTGCTCATTACATATAACTTGCTGCCTATTGCTCTGTTACGTTTATTGTCCTGTAGCAATAAAACAAATACCAACTTGTATTAGGTAAGCAAGACAAAACACAACTTTTTTATACCAAGAAGCAAAATGGCGTCGACCACAGGATTCGAACCTGTGCAGGCAGAGCCTACTACATTTCGAGTGTAGCTCCTTAACCACTCGGACAGATCGACTTGTTAGAGTCTGTCAAGTTGATATTTCTTTAAGGTTTGTATCCAATAATACAGGTCAGGTGACGATAGAATATTTTCTAGCCAATGGTATTACTGGGAAAATATTCTAGAAGGCAGTGACGTCTGTGTTTTGATATTATAAGTCTTTGATCTTTTTTTATTTTTTTGTTATATGTTACCTGTGTTTTGATATTATAAGTCTTTGATAAGTAACTTATAATCATCAACAACACGGTATTTATATCTTTTCTATTCTATACTAAAATATCTATTCTATCACTAATAAAGCAGGAAGTAATTATATCCTTCAACTTGATTGATTACTTCTTTTTCGACGAATGCCACGCGAGCTTGGCGTCTCCTAAAGGCAACTTCCTTAAGCGTAATAGATTCAGTCTAACCTTCTTTCTTTTCTTGTTTGATATTTGAGGTTTAAACCTTTTTTTGTTTGATCTATACATATAGGGAAGGTTATATTCAACCTCGATTGGCTGTTGGCGGTCGGAAGTACTAATATCTGCGACATTACCCCCCTCCTGGCTTGAAGTTCGTCTCTGAACTACGGGCGATAAACCAGAAGAAGACGCAACGACAGGACGACAAGTAGACGCGTTTCGCGATTCATTGAAAACAGGTGGGAATTCTTGAACAGTATGGTCATCAGAATCGTCTAAATCATCGACATCGATATCAAAATTGAATTCTGATTCAGGGAGATCCCAAGGGTGAACAGGCACATCTTCTTGAGCATCAACGAATACTTCACTGTCAGCAGAAGGCAACGTACTAGAGTCAATCGAGTTGTCGTAGTTAGGTACAAAGCTCGTAAGTATAGAGGTATCAGTGGTTTGATCTGGAAGGGCTAACGAGGGCAATATAGGAGAAGACGAGTGAGAAGGTACGGTTATGGTTGTGGGATTTGCAACAGGTTGTATTTCATCAGATTCTATGATAGTGGTATTGGGCTGTTCTGTTTCCACAGGATCGATATTATCAACATGATGACTGATAATCACATCATTACCAGAAGAGAGAGCAACACGCGAATCGTCAGTAGGTTCAGTTGGACGATCAGTGGGCATGATCGGAGCACTGTTTGTATCTTCAGAAGCCAGAGTTGGAGCTAGTACGGGCGAGTCATCTTGATCAGTATCATTTGAGGTAGGCATGAGTGAATTATTTGATGCATCTTCCGTGACTAACTCGTTATCAACAATTGTAGGAGGAATTGAGGGCACAACGGCAGCTCGTCCGATGTTTGTCATGACCTGTCGCCATTCTTGTCTAGCTATTAAAGGATCATACCAAGGTGTAGATGTTGTATGGCCATTTGCTATGCGCAATCGATCCACATGTACCAACGATTTCAAAGGCTCTCCTGCTAAAGTCTGTAGTTTGTATGTACCAAAGTCCGGAAAAGTCTGAACAACAATGTAGGGACCTTTGTATTGTGGTTCGAGACCATATCGTCCTTCGTGAGTGAGCATGACTTTATCACCGACTTCAAAAGTCACCTTCTTGATTTGTGAATCCCATTTGTCTTTGTCTTTTTCGGCCATGGCTTTCATGCGGAATTCAGCAGCTGCACGGTGTTGTCCGAGATCAGCCAATTCTCTTGAAGTGATATCAGCTACTGTTCGCTCATCTTCAAATGTTTTCTTATCAATATACGGCACAAGTGCATCACCGGGTAGTCTAGGTTCACGTCCATAAGTCAGGAAGAACGGACTATACCCAGTGGTTGAGTGTACGCGTATTCTTGAGGCCCAGAGTGCAGCGTTGACAAAGTCATCCCAGCGGTGTAAGGCGCCATTTACATATTTGCGAAGCATTCCTTTTATTACAGCATTGAAACGTTCCACCTTGGAGTTTGTTCGAGGATGATATGCCGAAGTCAGTTTATGATGGGTACCCACACGTTTTAGATAGGCGTTTACCAGGTCGCTATTGAAGTTGGAACCTCTATCAGTTAATATCTCTGAAGGGCAACCAAAACGCATCATGATTTCTTCATATATAAAGTTAGCAACCGTTTCTTTTGTGGCAACAGGGACAGCACGAGCAATGGGCCAGTTTGTGGCATAGTCTACCGCCACGAGTAGCCACCGGTTTCCTTTCATCGTTAATGGTAATTCGCCAATGAAGTCTAAATGCCAGCGATCAAATGCAGAGGGTACCTTAAGTGGATGCATGACATCGTGGTGAATGTGCCCCGGACGGCTATTTACTTGGCAAGCTGGGCAAGTCCTCAACCATCCTTTCAGGTCCTTTCTCATGCTTGGCCACCAGAAGCGAGGTGTAAACAGTTTAACCATTGTTTCAAAACCAGCATGGCCATTGGATTCATGGTATTGTGCAACCAAATCGTCTCTTGCCACAAAAGGAACAAAAGGAACGGCTTTCAGTGTTTGCTTGTCATCAATAGGGGTCAAGTGGTACACCCTTTTATCCTTCACGACAAATTTGTCTTGTCGTTCTTCGAGATATCTACGTAACACAGCAGATTTGATTCTATTCAGGTCAAGATACAACATAGGCCAATCATTTTGAATCGATTCCGGTGCTTCTTTCATGGTCCAAGTGGCATACAAGAATTCAGGTTCCAAGGATGTATCGGCGCTTTCCGATCCTGGCCCACCAAGTCGAGATAACACATCTGCCACGTTGTTTTCCTTACCAGGCTTGTATTCAATGGTAGGTGAATAAAGCTCAAGCTCGTTCATCCATCTAACCAATCTTGGGCTCATCTTTTCTTGGGTTCGTAGGTAACAGTTTGGTAAGTGGTCGGTCAATATTTTATATCCTCCACGACAACCGTCAAGGAAACAGCGCCATGTGCGTAACGCATGTAGAATACCCATCAGTTCTCTTTCCTGAGCAGGATAATTGCGTTCTGCTGAAGAAAACTTCTTGGACTCATAGGCCACAGGATGCCAGGCAGGCGGATCGTTATTGTCAGGCTGCAAAAGAACAGCGCCACAACCGAAATCAGAGGCATCTGTTTCTACTCGGAACGGTTTGTTCATATCAGGGGATTGTAAGACTGGAGCTGAGACCATTAATGCCTTGATTTTGTCAAAACTCTCTTGACATTCTTTGGTCCATACGATTGGTCTGCGCTTTGGACCTGTACCTTTAGTGAGATCAGTCAAAGGAGAAGCGATAGATGCAAATCCAGGTATAAATCGACGGTAATGTTGTGCGAGACCGATAAATGATCTTACTTCTTGTACATTAGTTAGAATTGGCCACGACTTTAGCACCTCCACCTTGGTACGACTAGGTAAAATACCATCTGGGGTAATGTCGAATCCCACAAAAGTTAGCTTACGCTTGCCAAATTCACATTTTTTCAAATTTGCAATTAACTTGGCGTCCTTGAGCTTGTCTAGTACCATACGCACATGTTTCTTGTGTTCTTCCAAAGATTTACTGTAAATCAGGATATCATCAAGGTAGACTAACGCAAACTTGTCCAAGTACTCGCCCAAGATTTTGTTCATAAGACTCTGAAACGTAGGTGGGGCGTTTGTAAGACCAAATGGCAATACCAAAAATTCGAATTGTCCGTATCTTGTATTAAAAGCTGTCTTTGGTACGTCTTCTGAATTGATGCGAACCTGGTGATAACCTGATTTTAGATCTAAACTGGTAAAATGAGTCGCACCCTGTAGTCGATCTAGACATTCATCTATTCTGGGCAATGGGTGGTTGTTGCGAATGGTTACACTATTTAGTGCCCGATAGTCAATGCACATCCGCATTTCACCAGTTTTCTTTTTTACGAATAGGACGGGCGCTCCCA